GAGTGGAAATTTCTTTTTAGTCCGTTTTTTTCTGACCAATGTTAGTATGAGTGGCACAGTATGAGTACAAGTGCTTGACCAATCTGACTAATGATTAGTGTACTTGACAGCCGGTCCTATACATTAGTCTGAGGTACGTTTGAGATGCTCCTTCGTCTGAATTTGTCTTTTTTTTGAAATAACTGCTTCATATGGAATGTATAGTTGATCATTCACGGTCTTGCAAGCCATTCACAGTCTTCCAAGTCATTCACGGTCTCCCGTGGTCTCATTATATTTCCTTCAACTGGTGAAGTACCTCATGGAACATGGTCACGACTTCTACCCGGGTCCCCCAATCGATTCGGACCGTTATCCATCTTATCCATCTTTTCCATCTTTTCTATCAACTCTAGACCGGTTGATCTGATTAGAAAAGTCTACGATGCGCAGAAACGACGTACGATCGCCAAGGTGCACATCTCGACACCTTTAGGCATTCCTGACGCTCAACAGAACTCTGCGCGTTTCTGTCGCTGAGTTCTGGCCCGCCGACTATACCACCTTGGAGTTTATTGATGAGCAAAATGGCGCAGAACCACATCCAGAGGTATTGTGGTGGTGGTGGTGGTGGTGGTGGCGACGGACGGCTGGATCTCACGGTGGTTCTAGCGATACTTCTGGTGGTACTGGCGATACAATATGTATTCTATACGCTCTCTACTCCAAGACTACTTCGACTCCAACCACTCCATACCCTGTGCCCTCTGAAAGAAGCAATTGTGGAAACAGACAAAGGAAATCTGAGAATAGAGTACGGCAACAAGTATCGCCAATGCGCATTTAGCCCGCTGCCCGCTATCTCGCTTTTTCGGAAAGTGAAATGTGTGCTTCTTTGCTTTTTTTGATTCTAGGGTGGAAAGGTCGATTATTGAGACATTTCAAAAAAGGTTAGATATCGTTGGCCAACTTGCAACAAAGTCTGTAGGCCGTTCGAGACCCGAGCGTCTCTTCCCAAGATCCACGCCGCGAGTAGATATCCTGGCTTCGGGAGTCTGGGGGTTCGGGAGTCTGGGGGTTCGGGAGTCTGGGGGTTCGGGAGTCTGGTTCAGGGGTTTGGGAGCATCGGGGCATCGGGGGACTTTGGGAAGTTTGAAACTTTTGAGGGACCTTGGAGAGGTTTCTTGGACCCCCTTTGAACTCTTGTTGCCCTCAACCCATCTCTTTCCTTCTATACTGGCCAAATACAATCCCATACAGTACGCACGCCCTGTTTGACCATTACCGAAACCATCGGTGAACTTTCAAGACCAGGCAAATTGCTCACAGTATTTCTGATTTACTTGCTCACAGTCTTTCTGATTGACTCACTTTGGTTCACTGACACGTTTTATTCGCTCCCCAACTCGTATCCACTCTTTGACCGCTATATACTACTCACATCACCCAAACACACCGCCCCAAAGCCGATCCAGAGCATCAATCCAATCGCCGGGTGGGGCAAGCTCCTCTTGACACTCCGATAAACACCCCAGAAAACTCTCTGGGGCCGTAATTGCCGTATTCAGCAGAGTTTGTAAGGGTCTGGTATGACTCGTATGACTCCGGGTGACTCATATAAATGACTCAATTAAACGTTAAAACAGTCAACAAAAACTAAAAACAAAAAAAACAAAAAAAAGACAAAAAAACGGGAAAAAAACATAAAAAAATTGGTTGCTCGGGTAATTAGGTCCAAACAAGAGTTTCCGGCTGGCAAATCAGAAGATGCCATGTCTGGCACAAGGTGGTTTTCAAACAAGTGAAGTTCAAACAAGCTGAATGGCAAAAAGAGCGCGTAAAGGCGGGAAAAGCAAAAGGGGTAATTGAAGCTACAAGTAGCAAGATTGCGTGAATGAGTCATGTGAACGATGGGGAGAAGGATCCGAAGAGAATTGACAAATATCCACTACTGGAAGCAGCTGTTACTTGTCGGGGACTTCTCGGCGGACCAATCTGGGTCATTTTTAGCTGCATCAATGGATGTCAGGACGCGGGTTCGATTTTTCCAAATGTCGCATTTATTTGGCAATTGAGAATACAAATGAACGCTGCTGGGGGCTATTTTTCTACTGAGTATAGACAGACACAATTTCTGAGTATAGTTCCGCGGGTATATCGTCATCTTGGTCTCTGAAGATGAGGTAACGTACGAGTGTGTAAGGATCTTCATAGACGAACCCTTCAAAGTCCAATGAACATGTCGCGAGGTTCCGTGGGTCTTTTTAGAGGTTTACAGCGTTGGTGGAAGATGTCCTTCCTCGCCAAGGGTGGGACAAGCAAGTGCGAGAGGCTAGTGCGATGGCAAGACCATGATAATGGCAAGATCATGATAGTGACAACGAGGACGACGAGTGTGATACGACTACAAGTAGTACTATAACTTGTTTAAACAATACGTCAACAATACGTCAAGTAATACGTTCATAAGAGGGTCAAATCCGGTCTACTAACCTTGGTCTGAGATCACCGCTTCCACTCTGATTAAGACTACTACTACCATACCAAAAAACCACAAACCACCTGCTGCAAGTAGATCCCCAGGTCACGCCAATGCAAACCCGGTACCAACTCAGTACCGCTCAGTACTAACTCAGTGCCAACTCATACCGTGCTATCGGATGTGGGGGTGTCTCAAATGATGCAGTGGTTCCGGCGGAATCGATCGCGGACATTTCTCCATTTGATCCCCTCAGCGAGCTCTAGATGCTGTACTGTCTAGAGCAATGTGGAACTTGTCCTGCAACAATGTTCAGGCATCGTCTACAACCATCTTCCATACCCTATAACAATGCTGAACGACCGTCTACGACCGTCTTCAAGGACCGTCCACACGTATTTCAACCCCACTCTCTGATCTACCTTGCCTCGCACATGCACAAATTTTTCTAGCTCCAAACTCTCGACGCGTCGCTACCGAAAAACGCCGCTCGGCAGCCCACTGTATGTACTCGACGATACTCGTACCTGAGTCATGCCGTAGCAAGTTTAGAGATAAGCCGTGCGGTGGACTGTGGCGTGGCGGCGGTGGAATGGGCTCTTATCTAATCTGGGTTGCTATGGCGTATGTCGCGATTGTTGGTTGCTACAATTGATGATTATTTATTACTAAAGAAGATTAAGATAATAGAATAGAAAATAATAAAAATGGAAAATAATAGAAAATAGAAAATAATAAAATAGAAACATATAGAAAAATATAACTCAAATATCATCCAAATCATCTAAATCATCCAAATAATAAATCATTATAATAATCTACCAAATTAATCAAATACAATAATTTCCTAATTAATTGTCTCACTCACAAAATTTAATTTTCCACTTCCATTTTCAATTTTTTTTATTTTCATTGCCATTTGCCATTCTGCATTGCCCAAATACCTTGTCAAACTGGTGGGCTTCCGAACCCCAACCCGACCGTGTGGCTGTCATAGATAACGCATCTATGTCTCGTCTGTGAAAAAATTTGCCCACAAAATTTTAACCTTTCACACTTTTTTAGACCTTACAATTTTAGACTTTACCACACAAATATTAAACTTTTACCACCCAAATTATTAGACTTTCTCACTGGAACATTAGACTTTTATAATAACTTTCTTCACCCTTTGTTAATCTTGCCATTACCGTTTCATCTCCCTTCTTCTATAATTAGCACCGATGCTTCCATGCAGTTGCGTCTTCGAGCAGAGCAATTTCTGTCACGTGGTGAAGTGAAGAGTCACATGACATATGTATTGATGTCTGCCTGTTGCTATCGCCCGGTGGACATCTGCCACATTTCCCTCACGTGAGCTATCACGCAAATCCCCTCAAAAAAAAACCACTTGTTACTACTTTTTTCGAGTTTTTCCGAGCTCGATAACCTCCGCGAACAATAGAGATCGTCATAACTTTAATTTCAAATAATGACAGCAATTGTTTTTTGTGTCTGTGGCTGAGGAGAAAAAATTGATGGCAATTTGGGACACTCGAGACCGGGGCGGGACCAAGCGTCGTTGCGCTAGGTCACGTGACAGCCACCGACAATACCGAGGGGGGTTGGCTTAAATCACGTGCCGCTCCCTGGCCCTCAGTCACGTGCGCGGTCACATGATCTCGCGTCGGTGTCATCTCTCCTTCCCCTGTCTGACGTCATCTCGTATTTATTCTAAAGTTGCATAATGCCTCAAGCCACACCTTCATGGCGTCAATGAAGGAGGTGGTCACGTGGATGGTCACATGACTAAGGAGGTATGTGACGAGGCGGTCTTTGTTGTGGTTTCGTGGTCCCGTGGTGTCTTGGTTAATGGCCGCTTTTAGGAGGACTGAATGCTTTACAGTGATATTTCTCTTGCCTCAGAATTTGTACATCTGATTATTTTATTCAACAAGGTTTCTAAGTAATATCGCAAGATCCATCAACTCCCAACTAAACGGAAGGTGTCCAGACGCCACTCAAACGTGGTCAAGAGGGCTCATTGTGACCGGGAAAACTCTCAGATGTATTATTTCGTGTATTTTGTGTCAAATTCTTTTTTCGGAATCTCGATACCATGGTTCCAGCGCGGGTATTTGGACAATTTAAGTGGAGGCCATCGTATCCAATCGGCGATAAGATTTGGGATCAACTAAATCCAAGTATTCCCTGCAGAAAAAAAAAAACATAAAAAAAACATAAAAAAACATAAAAAAAACGAATAAAAATATACTAAAAAACGCCTACAAGCACAAGAACTACAAGAGCTATGGCTCCAACAACTCCGTCTACGTAGACATTTCCTACTTGAATGGGTATTTACAATGCATTTTTATGTCATAACTTCGTACAGGCTGAGAGCCGCATTTTTGGGGGGGCCGACCGAGTTATCGGGGGGTGATTTGGTTTTGTGTCGTTTTGTTTATGTCGTTTGGTTTGTGTCGTTTGGTTTTGTGTCGTTTTCTTGATTTTTGTGTCCTTGTGGTTTTGTGCCATCCGAATCCACCGCACTTTCACTAACCTAACTTCTCAACCATCGTCGATAATTGCCAGCAGCGTCGACACTCTGGCCCATCTGCTGGTGGTTGTAGGCCAGGGAGGGCATCATGAGCGGCGACGGCGGGGGACTCAGCTTCTTGCCAGTGGTCTCCTTGCGGGTGGTGGCGCACAACAGAGGCGACCGGTACATGAGATGCGAGTTGTACTCGGGGTAGTTCTCGTCGTCCTCATCGTCAGAGGTGGGCGGCGATCCAAAGTGCTGCTGCGAAATGGCCGCCGCTGGTAATGACTGCGACAGCACTCGAGGTGAGTATTTGGTGGCGTTGTGGGTGGCGTTGGCGGCGTGGTGGGTAGCGTTGCCTGTGTGGTGGGCGTCGGGCTTGCTCTCCTTGTCGTCGAGAAACAGCTCCTCCGGTGAGAGAGGCACCCCGGCGTTCTTGGGGCGCAACGTGTACAGGGTCGAAGAGGCGCTGTAGTTCGGACCAGCGTCCGCCGCCGTGTCCGACGTCTTACAGGCGTCGGAACAGTACATGGAGCCGGCGGGGCACTGCTTGTCGCAGACGGTGCAAAAGTCGTGGGACCACATGGGTTTGGTGGTGAGTGTGTCGTTTGGGGGGGTTGTGGAGACTCTGGCGCCGGCAACCTACTACCCCCTCGGTTATATAGCGGCGGTTCGAGGCTGACTGACGCTGCACCCCGAGCTTGTTTTCCGGTGGCACAATAAATTTTCCCCAACCTTATTTATTTCCTCCCGCAGAAAACACAAAACCAAACGATGATGCAGCACCCATGCATACACATGCACCCTCTCCCGCAGCAATGAAAAAAAAGCGAAAGATTGCATCCAAGATTGAGTCATTTGCAAACCCAGTCGGAGTCAGATAACAATCTCGGGCTTGAGCTGGATATTCAGGCGAGAAAAGGACCGTGTTTATCATCGTTTGGCGTGTTGGACCTTGTTAGATGACATCGAATCACGCCCTTAATGCCTCAATGATAATATCTCCCACTAACTCAGCGACCCCAGTAAGAGCTACTCCAGCGCTCCCTACCCCAGCGCTCCTTTCTCCAGCACTCGAGCTACTGGTACGAGAACAGTACATGCCTCCTCCCTGCTTGTGCTATTGTCTCAATAGCATGTTGAGATTGGTGCTACACCTCAGTACGTGCGAATGAGTACAAACTATGTACAAGTATTTGCACCACGACAGCCGTACTATGGTCGAGCAAGGAGAACGGGGGTGAGATGAAGGGGTTGGAGCTCAGGGCGCAGTCTTCTATAACATCTCGGTCACCGTTGACACACGTGCGGAGTTCATTAGCACTTGTGTTTGTTCTGGTTCGCCCGTTTGTGTTTGTGCAATTTTTCACGCTCCCCTGAGTCTCCCAATGGTGTTTTTTTTTTTTTTCTATTTTTTCTGCTGCCTACCACGTTCTCGCGACAGAGGCTCTCCGTTATCGCACCTCCCAATCTCCCCACGTTCCATACTGATAGGACGGCCCATCTCCCACGTGTCTAAGGCTAAAGTAGGTGCAAAATATTGCACTTTCCGAATTTGGAAAGGGAGTATCGGTCGCGTAATGCGCGACAACACCATGTAGCAACGACGGGGTGTGGGAGTGACATGGGCAATGTGGTAACGACACCAGTCTTGTCGCGCCCATCACATTGACCATGTCGCGCCCACCACATTGGCCATCCATGTCTCACCCATCACACTGACCTTTAACCACTCAATCTCCATGCACTTCCATTTTCCATTTTCATCTTTGGACTTACCGTGTGGGGCACATTTAATACATGTCGCCCGAAAGTTCACTTACAATTGTTGCAACTCCACCTTCCTGGGATCGGCTAGAGGGGTTGTGGTTAGGGTGCTCGGGAGGGTGCGTGCCAGGCAGGGCGGGGACAAGCCGGGTTAGGGCCCGTATGAAAGCACGATTGTCTCGTATTAGGGCTAGGGTTTCTCCGCTTGCGGCTGCCACCAACCGATTTGCACGGCTCGCGTAGAAGGTAAATTGGAATGTAACAATGTACAACGTATAGCCAACACAGTTGGTCGACGTTTATTTCCAATCACGTGAGCCTCCCACCGTCTTTGCCCTGAAACGCCCTAACCTCCAACTCCTCCTCAGCCCTGGCCCTGTAAGGCCCTAACCAGGTTCCCTACCGCTCCCCTAACCCACACCTACATATGGCAACAATTGCTCGCGTCTGAGACGCATCACGGTTTCCCCGCATTGGGCAAGTTAAGGGATGAGGCAAATAAGGTTTAATCCCATTGGGCAGTCCGGCTGGAACAGGTGTTGTTGCATACTAAACGGGAAGCAGCCACAAATAATGAATATGGAAGAAAAATGGACGAAAACAATTGCACAAAAAAAAACAAGGGAAATGAAAGAAAAAAATGAAGAAAAAAAAAAACATGAAGAGTTCTATGAAAAAAATTAAATGGAAAATTCTATGAAAAATCAAGGAAAATCCGAAATAATATTAAATATTTAAATAATCTAAAAAGTTTTAAAATAAACATAAAAATAAAAATAAAAATAAAAAGTTGAACCCGAAGACACACACAAATTTTCTGATTCTCCAGCACCATTTTCCACGCACTCCAAGACATTGCACTCCACGTAGGTTGGGTTTAAGCGAAAATGATGAGGTTTGTGGAGACATCTGAGACATGACAAATTTTGAAAAAGTTGATTTTTCAAAATCGGATTATAAATTATAAATGGGGAGATTTATGGAAAGAATCTGGGAGGTGATCTGATCCACTGGGTGACATGTGTCATTTATTCTCCTCCTGGTTTCTATCTCAGGAAGGACCAGATTTGACGTTTGACGTTGAAATTTGTTTTTGTTTGGTCTTTTTTTTGCACATCTGTCGTAATAAAACGCGCATTTAAAAATAGCCCAAAAAAAAAAAAAAAAAAAAAACACCACATGTTATTGTAGCAACCATACAGCCTGCAGGCAGGGTCCGTGTGGAGGGTTTTTTGGGGTCGTGAATATTTTTCGAGGGTTGCTCGAATCGGGGTTGGGGTTTGGAGTTGATTGAGTTGGTGGGTACTTTTTATTATTTTTGAAATATTAATTTCTGATTATAAAAAATATTACTTTGTGATTTTTACAAAAATGATTTAATCCGGTTAAAATGGCTTAAAGTTGATAAGATATTAAAATTGATTTAAAGTAATAAAAGTAAACTGAAAGTAATTACTCGAATTTGTACAAGTACAAGTAATTTAATACTTATGGTTGGTTGTAAAGTAATTTCAACAGAATTTATTTCTTTCTTTTATTTCTTTCATTTCTTTTCATTCATTTATTTTTATATATCCCATTCATCTTATTCATCTTATACGCACTAATTCATGGGTGCATATGAAACTGAAGAAACGAAAGAAACGAAAGAAACGAAAGAAAATATCGGACAACCCGAGAGAGCGGGAAAGAACCGAATCTGCAACAAAACACGGACATCTCAGATGGATAATCTTTCCGGCGGCCGGGGTTAGCCAATTTACACCGTTTTTAGTGCCATTTAATTTGGGTGCTAAAAACCAATGTTTTGGCAACCGCAGAAATGGAGATTCTGGGCCCTGCAAACAGAAAATGCTAGCCCAGAGATTATTAGACGGGCTGGAGAAGCCGCTAAGAGTTGTGGGAACGCCCCTCCCCCAGTTTCGACGGTTCTGGAAGCGCCAAAAGTTGGCTGAAAGTTGGCCGAAAGTTGGCCGAAAATTGGCCTAACATTCACGTGACGAGTTTTGGCCCCAAAACGGCGCCCTTACAAGATTGGAAACCGCCCAGTTCAAAAATGGATGTCCAGCTGCCTGAGAACACTGCCGACATCGGTTTCAGGTCGCCTGCGTCTCGTTTAACTCTGGTTTGCTCGCTTGTGGAATGAGGTCATTCTAGATGCACATTTGGGACGCATCGAAGGGAGCAATTAATAGATGGGGAGTTATAGAAGCAAGGCGCGAGAGGGGAGGTTTCGGGCGGCACGATCCGATGATTCCAAGAAGGCTCTGAGATGGTTCCGAGTCTGTTTCTATTGTTTTTGAGTCTTTTTTGGGGGTCTTTTTTTTTTTTTTTTGTTTATTTTCGAGTCCTTTTTTTGTGGGCAAAAATTATATCAGAGCCGTCTACAGCATGCCAGGAGGCCGTTTCGACATGTGGAAACACGTGAATGAACGTGAAAGGGGTTTGAGGGGGCGTGAATGGAGCGTGGAAGGTCACTAGATCACGAAATATGATTCTGGGCGACAGTGAGTATTTTTTTCGTTGTGGGCGTTCTACTCCTTCGACCGACTCTGGTGGTGGGATGGGGGGCCAGGAAAAGAGGCGGAGTTGACGAAATGAACAAAAAGACGATCAAAAACGATTCTATGGAGTTTTTGGGCCGCCTTAATGTCGTTATTGTGAAAACATGTGTAGTGTCAATGGACTCATAAGGTGGACTCACAAGGTGGACTCACAAGAAAGACTCATAAGGTGGTTGGAATGAGGTTGAAAGGGGCTGGAGAGTGGCTAGAAAAAGCACCCAATTACTCCAGAGTCCGTAGTGGCCATTTAAATCACGTTATTTACACTAATCATCTCTGGCAATCATCTTTGAGCTCACCTGCAGGACTCGCTGGTCGCTGAAGGACTCCCGGTCACTGAATGACTCCATCACCTTACTCAGATGAGTAGTCTTCGTCCGGCTAGACTTTCTCGAATCGGCTCTGGGCTCGTAATTTCCAACTAACGACTCTTCTAGCGTCCGTCATGTACAGAAAGACGCTATTTTTTCCATGGCAGGCCCAATGGCGATATTATCCATGGAGTTTCGGAACGTTATTGGGCGACAAAGACGGGCCAAAGGCGACAAAGACGAGGTCCAGAGGCCGATAAGATCGTTGAAGTGCTGGTTGACGTACTGGCTGACAGGTTTGATCAGTTTTCTTTGCATCCAAGTGTCAGGATTGAGGTGGAAATGGAGTTGACATTTTTTTTTTTTTTGTGGAAAATTCGAATCTGAATAATTCCACTGCAAAAGCTCTTCATCGACAAGAGACTAGATTGGCTGAATGGTGCCGGCCAAATTGGTCGTTGGACTATACATTGTCACTGTCAGGATCTAGCCCAGTTTCTTCGTTTCTTTCTCCGTTTTGGGGGGTTGTAGATGACCATGAGCTGATCACTGGTCTGGAGCCGCGATAATCCACATCCAAGTCACGACCAAGTATCAAAGTATCCAAGTTTCGTTTCCAGGTTTCGTTTCCAAGTTTCGTTTCCAAGTTTCGTTTCCAAGGTTCGTTTCCGAGTTTCGTATTCAAGTTTCGCCCAAATTTCGTATCCAAGTAAAGCCCAAGTAAAAACCAAGTAAAGCCCAAACAAAGCCCAAGTAACTATCCTCAACTACTTGACCTCCAAATACCCCCATGTTCACCTTTTTTCAAAACCCGATCATTCCAATCACACCAATAACCCCAGTAATCGCCAAATAGGCAGGTACGCCGTCTGAAACTAGCCAAACACGCCCGAAACATGCAGACCTAGCCCTTAGTTCCAGACCTGTGAGTCTGAGTGCGTTTGAGGTCCATTATCTGGCCCACGATTTCCACAATTATTTCGGACATGGTTTCGGACGTTATTTCGGGCGTTATTTGTCACCTTTTGCGTCGATTCGTGCAATTATGGCCGGTCTGGGGGCGTATTAAAATCGTTTTATTCCGTCGTTGGCGTGGTTCGAACTGGTGCAACCGAGTAAAAAAGACGACATGCTGGAGTAGTTCACTGGCCGAGCGGGTGCGACGGGGGTTCGGACTGTTGTCTTTCACATCTCTTACAAAGAAGTCTGAGTTTCGGGGACGCGGTTGCCGTATTATTTACCATCTTAGCATCTTTCCAGTATCTGACTCTGCCGAGTCCAACTACCTCTCCATTTGCCGGCTCTTGCTTTTTTTTGTTTTGCCCAGGAAAAAAGAAAAAGACAAGAAAATGCCAGAAAACGAAGGGCAATGTGAGAATGTGGGCAAGACTGCGAATGAGCCTCTTGTGGAGATTGCATTAGGAAGAGATTGCTGGCGTCTGGGGCAGAACATTTCTTTTGGGATTCCAGAACCGACAAAAACGTCTCTTTTTCGAGTTTTCGAGTTCTCTTTTTTCGCTGCTTTTCGCCCTTTCCCATTTCGCTGGTCGGAGATCGGCAAAGACAACTTCCGAACGAGTACCAATTCATAGAATGGAGATATTGGATTGTGTAAGCCGGCAGATTCGGCAGATCCGGCATAATTGTGGAATCCACTCCTTGTGGAACCCGCCTGTTTCTTGGAACCCGCTTTTTTGGAGATCGTCTCTTTTTTGAAAACCGCCTGTTTTTGAACCTCCGCGGTGTACCACCACTCGGCTTAAACTGCCCTGAACCAGCCATCTGATCGGAAATCTGGCATGAAATCTAACATTAGTCCATGGACTGTTGGTTAGCACGAGGAGATGCATTAGTGTCGGTCTTTGTTGCGGCGGTTGTTACACCTGTGGAGCGGCTAGATGGAAAACGGTAGAGAGGAGGTTGCTGAGAGATGGAGATTATCGTGGACTAGACGACGGAGACCACGATGGAGAACTCCCCAGTCCATTTCGTCGGTTCCCCCATTCCCGACTGTCCATCACCTCCATCTCCCACCTCCCCTCCCTTCTCCCTAAAGACAAGTCATTTTAGCACATTTTGACATGGAACCTGCTCTATACATTGCCGGCTGCATTAGAGCCGTCTCCCGTGGTTTGTTTGCCTTCTGGAGTCTCTCGGTCGGTCACCAAGGTTCCACAGATGGAGGTGTAGAGGCGAAGAGACAGGTAAGAGAGGTGAAGAGACAGGTAAGAGACAGGTAAGAGACAGGTAAGAGACAGGTAAGAGACAGGTAAAGGACATGTAAGGGACAGAGACACCGAGACAGAGACACCGAGACATAGACACCGAGACATAGACACCGAGACAGAGACATCTTATCCCTTCTACATCTACATCCTGTCTCGTCTCATCCTCCTCGTTCATAGACCAAGGAAGGGGGACATGATCAAACTATTGGATAGTACAAGCTAGTATCGGACCACCACCAACAATGGACTAACATTAGTGTCTCTTGACGCGAATGAAACCGGTCCAAAACGCTCAGCTCAGGCTACTGTCAACTGGGTGTACTAGCACACTACAATAGTGCAGAGAGTAGCCATGGACCACAGAAAAAACACAACCATTCCAAGATATCGCTCCTTGTGCCGCAGTTAAGCATCATCTCTTTGTTGCAAGCTCCTCATTAAGACAATCTCGTATTTTGTCTATAGTTCTGTACCTCCAGGTTAGGATATGGCCCCAGAGGTTAATGTCCAGCACAAGGCTGCTAGCAGGTATATATGGGTGACGACTTCCTTGGCTGGTGGCAGGTTAGTGATTGGAAGGCGTTACCAGAGTCAGCCATCGAAACCACCATCAGTCACCATCAGTCACCACCAGTCACCACCAGTCACCACCAGGCACCACCAGTCACCACCAGTCACCACCAGTCACCATCAGTCACCACCAGTAACACCACCCTCACCACCATCACCAGAGTCCTGATCTCCACCATGAAATCAAAAACCCGGTACCATTGTCCCCATTTCGGCTGCAAAAAGTCCTACACGCGTCGGGACTATGTTGAGCGTCATGCCGTTAATCGTGAGTATGAGTGTGAGATTGGAATCGCTCATGAGGATCGGAGTGATTCCAGAAAGATCAGAGTGATTCAGCAACACGCGGAGTCACTCGGAAGCACTCTGAACCAGTTTGAACCCGCTAACACTAGACATGACCACAAAACCATACATCTGCCTGGTGTGCGACCGATACTTCAGTCGAGCAGACCTGTTCGAACACCACATGGACACAAAGTACCACCGAAAACGTGCGGAAAAATACCAACACCCAGATCATCCATGGCAGGCGCCGGAGACCATGATGGGACCGGGTCAAGGGATCGCTCCTGGCCAAGGGCTCGCTTCTGGTCCCGGTCTCGGTCTCGGTCCCGGCCCCGGTCCAGATGGATTCGAAACTCCCCAAACGACTTTCGACAACGAAGTCATGTCTCCAAACGAACCTCAGGACCACCTAACCGCCCCCAACCCGGACTCGTACTTTGTCTACCAACAGAAACATGAGTCATCCTATTATTACCCCTCACAGCCGCTGTTTCTGGCCCCCGTTCCCCGAGCCATGTCCCAGAATCATAGCCAGAGTCTTAGCCAGAGCCAGAGTCTTAGCCAGAGTCATAACCTGTCCAGCCGTCTGTCTAGTCACCCAAGCAGCCTTTCCCCGAACCATTCTCAGACCCAGAGTCATAGTCTGAGTCCCCACCAAAACCACAGCCACCCCGCTGTCCACTCCACCCAACCAATGCTCATGTCACAACATGGGCCAGCCCAACAGGTGTATCCCTGGCTGCCATCCCAGGCGAACCCCATCCACTATGTATAGAATATTATTTATCCATGTAGATGCGGTAGAGTATGAGTAGATGGAATCTGTCCGGCTCGCTAAAACCAACTAGGGCCATATTTTAGCCATCAAACGGCACACACTATTTGTACCTGTACTACAAGTAGTAGCCAAACAATGTAGTGTTAGTGCAGACCCTGTGAGAAGTGCTATATGATCATGAAGACAAGATAATGGCATCAATATATCATTCATTCCACAATCATCTCAACCATCTCAACCATGTCATTCACTCAACCAACCCCACCACTCAACCACATCCACCCAGGATATAGCTCACCAGAAGTCGTCGTAATCCACCTATCATAAATCCCACCTATAGGCACAGAACCTCGTAGACACGGGCACGCACCCGACCTCTGCCACAGTCATGATATCAATAAGATCTCCTCCACGTGGTCTGTACAGAAACACGCTATTTTTCCACTCAACCGACGCATCTGATCTGACGCAAAGGAGCGTCAAAACATACCAGGGGGCGGAAGGAGAAACAGGGAGATGTGAGACATAAGATAATAGATGTCATGTCGGAACAGGCGCAAGATAGTGTCAATGTCAACGCAAGGGCTGGAAATGTGTATCAGACGTCTGCAAAAGCTCGTAAAAATACGTAAAACTTGTAAAAAACCCGTAAAAAGTGCAGATTCATACACATCGGAGTTATTACCGACATTGACATCCCAAAAACGAAAAAAGTCCCCTTGGGCTATCCTGTAAACATGGGCAGATCAACCCTAGAACGACTTAGAAGTGGCCGAGGGTCGATCACCGACGGTATTGAAACCTGCAATCTAGACGGACGCCCATCCTCTTGCTGTTGTTAGTGGGGTTCGGTTGGTGTTCGGTTTTGTGTTTTTGGCGAAATGAAACCTTGTTGTTGGGAGATATCTAACCTTGCGTTTGGCTTGCGTTTGGGTTTGGGTTTTCGGCAGAATTTGGGTTCGTCAAATTAAGGTTCTGAAGCAGAAAAATGTGGGGAGGGGACACAAAGGCCTGGCTGAAGGACAGAGTTCAAAGTGACAATGGCCTTGTGACGAACCGAGCGTGAAATCGGGGTGGTGATGATGCCTCAAAGTACCCCATAATATTGGGGCAGCCGCGAATCAAAGTAGTCGCGAATCAGAGCAGCCTCAAATCGGAACAGCCCCGACAGCCCGACAGCCCCAAAGAACGCCATGACAGCCCGACAGCACCGACAGTTACCACAGCAATGGGAACGTGCGTTCCGCACCAAAACCTCCGCGCAGGGGCTCTCGTCCTCCGTCATCGCTTACGCTACGGCAATGTGCAGCACACAGACAAGTCCCCCGGGTTAGTGTGGACTACAAGACAGCTGGTCTAGAAGTTCCACGGAACGCCCAGACGCCATGGCGACAGAGTGTCAACGTCAACTGCAGGTCGATCAGCAAATGACAGCGGTTGATAGTTAGTGTAGACCGGACTCCGACCGTGTTTGCGAGAATTCCTGTCCGTTTGAATGAGGGTGACATGGTCACTAGTCCTCTGCAGCCACTAGTTGTAAGATAGCCGCGCGGTGTATTATAGAGTCGTATTGCATCCCCGCCCACATACCCGCTGTGGCCAGAGATGATATGACGATGACTCTACACGTTTTGTGTGGCTGACAAATGGAAATGTCAGGGTACTGCAGCGTTGGATCGCGTGTGTACTATGGTGGTGTGTTTGCGAGCTTGTGCACAATCGTTTGTGATTGTAGTGCCGTTTGTGCTCAACCGTTTGTGATTGTAGTGTCGTTTGTGCTTTGTCACCGTTTGTGATGAATTGGTAACGCCCGGAAACTTGCCCAGTTTTTCCTGCTCTGCCGGTTTAGGAGCTGTCGAGACGTTTGCGGAAGGGTCGAGCATCAGCCACATCAAATATCGCGGTTGAGAGCAGTACTGGGGTCATTTGGCACAGGGAATCGAGGTGAGGACTGCGGGGTCGAGCTGGAGATCGGTGGCCAGGGTTAGCGTATAGATACAAGTGCAAGAACTCGTACGTACTCATATGTACTCGGCGGAATCGAATTGGAGATGCAAGGAGAAGAAGGGCGAGCACAGTTGTCTGAATCCGAGTAGAATTCGAGTCGAGTTCGGGTACGGTTATATTCGTAGAAGTAGAATCAATGAAGGACTTTCATATCCCCAATAGTCGAATTGCAGCTATTTTTCGTTTCTTTTCTTCTCTCTTTTGTTCTTTTTTCTTTTTTTCTTTCTTCTTGATGTTTCCCCCCCCTCTTGATGTTTTTTTTCTTCCTCTTGATGTTTTTTCCTTTCCTCTTGATGTTTTTTATATTTTTAATATATATATATATATACTGTACATTATATATTTACATATTTACAGTATATACTTTATATATATTTTCTTAGTTCAGATCAGACGGATAGAAATCAAGTGACAGTGGGTAACTGGGTAATAGAGAAACCGAGGGACATAAAAGAGCTTCATAAATCACAATACTTCTACTTCGCTCTGTTGCCTAATCGAACCCCCCGCCCCCCCCCCCTAGACTCCTCCAACCATGCGTAAACATCTCAATGGCGCGCATCTCCTGGAGGTAAGCCTCGAGCCTCATATTCCTAGATCTTGAGATAAAAAGACTGCGCCTTGTCCATTCTCCAAGATTTTTTCTTCTAGAATCAATTCCATACTGCCGAGAGCGGTTCACGGGGCTGAAACTGACTGTACCACAGGCTCAATAGTCCACAGTTCGATCTGCCACATTGACCAACGCAACAAAGTGCGATACAATACGTACCAAACAGCATCAGTACCGTACCCACCACTCCTCACCGCAATCATCCACATCAGACAGCAACGTCCATCTTCGACCATTACCACCGAGAACTCTCCGTTGAGTCCCATTCCGACCAGACCTCCCATATCCTTGAACCCATTCCGACCATGCTCGCTCTGACTCCGACCTCCTTGTGACCTCGTTTCTCATTGTCTCCAGGTCCTATCTCCTATCTCCTATAGATCCCACGCCATTGCTGCTCATCTCCCGGCTCCGTCTGCACAATCTCGCATCGACATTCTCGAACCAGCAAGACTCGGTATATATCAAAAGGCGGCAGAATTTTCCCTTTTTGCCCATTTGTCATTTCTGCTTCTGCCCTGCCACTAGTGTGGGGTACAGCACTAATGGGCGATTGGACTGAGATCAGGAAATGGTCAATGGAAATACCAGCTGCGGAAACGGCCAGAGCGATGGCTTCGACGAGAGAAATGACATACTCGGCGAAATTGCCCCATTGGGCACCGCGTTAGCCCTTACATCTCCAGGCCAACGTTCGGCATTGTCTAGCTGAAGTATCGTCCATTTTTCCTTTGCGCTTTTTTTTTTGTGGGAGGTTTTAGACGCACCAATGCACACGGGGCAGATGAGCGGTACATGAGGGAGGTATCTGGGGTTTCTGGAGCTGTGGAGGTATTTTTTTGGCTCTATCTTTCGACGTTGTGGCGACTCGAACTGAGGGTTGCGACTCAAGACCGCCCAATTTGTTTTTTTGCCCCGTTCAAACGGCTATCTCCACGGCCATCTCGCTGGCTAGCACGTTGGATCGAGAGTCTGATAAGGGCTGCTTCATCCAAGCGTATCGACCTGCTTCAAAGGACGGATACGACGAGATTGAGACTGAGAGAGTGGGACCGCGATAGTGGGACTGAGACCGGAAGAGAGAGGCTTGGAGCGACTTTGAGGGGCTGCTTAGATGCACGTGTGATGAGATCTAGATACCTTTGAGCAGTAGGGGGAAGATAGCAGCACACAAGAGCGATACACTACAGAATGTACAAGAGTATCTTGTTTGCAAAGATTTGTGGCTTGGAGATGGATCGGGTCTGACAAGTGCATCTCAAGTTATCTCAAGTTTGAGTCTGGTAGTCTGGTCAAGTCGTGTCGAACCTCACCTCATCACTGGATCTCCACACTCGGAGGGATTCGGAGAATCAAACTGAATGAAGACATACCGCCATCCTCATACACCACCCTCATACACCTTACTGTTTAGGAAAGATGCTGGCACCAAGCAACAACGACAAGGAACAAACCAACAGACACAAGGTTCCAGACATATGGGCGTGATTGGGCACAACCTTGATACTGGAGCTTTTTGTTTGGGTTTCATGATGCCAACCTACTGAGGGGCTGGCGGAAATTATAGCCGCGAAAAGCATGACTCCAGACGCAACAGACGGCGTGTCCGATTGGCCACACTGGCATCTCTGCACACGCCCACGCCCATTTGTGCATGGATCCACGCTGCTCTCGCGCTGCTCTCGCGCTCCGTCTTGTGCGTCGCCGGATTCCGACCTCCACGGTAGGTTAAGGTACAAGGGAGATGATAAGGGTATTTTAAAAAATGCAGCAAGGTATATACTTACACTTGGTGCTACTGTGCGGACGCTATTACAGGTGGTACAAGCGCTACAAACTAAGTATTTTTTTTATGCTACAGAACAAGTATATTTGTCCTTCCACGCTAGCTGGGTTTATGGGGTTTGGGGGTTTGGGGAGATTTGGGGTGATTTGGGGGATGTGGGGGGCGTTTGGAGCGTCCAAAAACACGACTTGGGGCTTTTTCGGCGCTTGATTGGCGGCTCTTTGGCCATTCGCTTTTTTGTTTGGCCAGTCGCTCAAACTCGACCCCCCCCCCACACTTATCAGCATACAACATCCTCTTTGGGATGGTGCAGATTGGTAGTGCATATCGGCAAAGTCAAATCCCCCCGCTTATCAGTTCGACTCGCCGTTGTGTCCGCACCCACGTTACGTTATATATATAGACCATGGGATCCAGTTTTCGCATGACAAGACGACATTCGTGGGTTACACAGACAGGTTGCACAGTAACCGATTCACAGTTGGTAAGAACGATTTTGTCGTATTAGATATCATCCTAGATATCATTCATTCAGATATCTTTCATATCGATTTCGTTCCGTCAGATTTCGTTCCGATTTCCAATCTCACATTTCGTTCATCTCATTCCGATCTCACATTTCGCTCAGATCTTGCATTTCGTTTGTCTCATTCAGATCTAACACTTGGCTCAGACTTGGCTCAGATCTGACACTTGACTCACCAACACTCGATTGACATCTAACCACCATATCTCACACTGGTCAACAATATGGACGCAGATCAAGCCCATCTTGAGGCGCTCGGATACAAGGAGGAGTTCAAACAAGAATTCGGCCTGTGGTCCACGTTCGCCGTCTCCTTCTCCGTCCTCGGACTCCTCCCCTCCATTGCATCCACCCTCTTCTACGGACTGGGATACGCCGGAACCGCCGGAATGACGTGGGGCTGGCTCATCGCCATGGTCGGCGTGCAGTCGGTCGCCATGAGCATGGCAGAACTGTGCTCGTCAATGCCCACCTCCGGTGGTCTCTACTACGCCGCAGCGGTGCTGGCGCCCCCCAAATGGGGCCCTCTCATGTCGTGGCTCACGGGGTGGTCCAACTGGCTCTGCCAGGTCACGGCCGCACCCTCGGTCAACTATTCTACCGCCTCCATGATTCTCGCCCTCAAAACACTGCACGACCCCTCCTACACTGCCAAAACATGGCACGTGTATCTGCTCACTCTGGGCATCATGTTCTCGCACGGCATCATCTCCTCCATGCCCACACGGTTCATTGCACGGTTCAACAGTGCCGGAACCCTCATGAACACCCTGTGTCTGTTTGTGGTGCTGTTCATGATTGTCGGCGGCGCCCAGCCCGGAGAAGACGGCCACAAATTCAACAACTCCCATGAGGTGTGGTCGTTCATCGACAACCAGACCGACTGGCCTAACGGAATCGCCGTGCTCATGTCCTTCATCTCCATCATCTGGACCATGTCCGGCTACGACTCTCCTTTCCACCTGGCGGAAGAGTGCTCCAACGCCTCCGTGGCCGCTCCCCGAGCCATCGTCATGACCTCCGGAGTCGGAGGACTCATGGGCTGGGCCTTCCAGATCGCCATCGCTTACACGGTCCGAGACGTGGCCGGAGTCACCCAGGACGAGCTCGGCCAGCCCTTTGTCACCTACCTGCAACAGTGTCTGACTCCACGGTTTGTCACCACAATCACCGCCCTCACCATCATCTCGGGCTTCTTCATGGGCCAGGCCTGCATGGTGGCAGCGTCGCGAGTCGCCTTTGCCTACTCTCGTGATGGCTGCTACCCTCTGTCCCACATCTGGGCCCAGGTCAACCCCTACACCCAGACGCCCGTCAACGCCGTGTGGTTCAACTGGATCATTGGTCAGCTGCTTCTGCTTCTCATGTTTGCTGGTGACACCGCCATCGGCGCCATTTTCTCCGTGGGAGCCATTTCCGGCTACGTGGCCTTCACCATGCCCATTGGCATCAAGGTCTTCTGGTCGTCGGATAAGTTCAAGCCCGGGCCCTGGAACCTTGGCCGATGGTCGCGGCCCTGCGGCATTCTGTCGGTCGCCTATGTGGCGCTCATGACCCCCATTCTGTGTCTGCCCCAGTACAAGGGCAAGAACCTCGATCTCGACACCATGAACTGGACCGTGGTGGTCTACTTTGGTCCCATGCTTCTGGCGTTTGGCTGGTTCATGATCGACGCACGAAAGTGGTTCAAGGGCCCCAAGGTCAACGTCCAGCATGCCATCCACAAGGACCACGAGCTTGAGGAGCAGTCCACCAATGGCGTGGAGTTCTTGTCGGGCGTTGAGCCCAGCGGATCGGGCAACTCCTATGAGGAGCACTCCAAGGCCAAGGACTGGGCTCGAGCCGACCAGGTTTAGTTTGGACTTTATGCCGTATTTATTTGCATAGTGAATGTTTACTTGATGAGTTAGTAGGGATAGGAGATATCATAGATCAGAGTAGTATCAGGATCAGGATCAGCATCAGCATCAGCATCAGAAGAAAGGTATCAGATCAGAATCAGACCAATGGTAGCGATCAGAAGAAAGGTATCAAGTCGCAAGTCACGGAAGTGGTTCTGTCAATGGTCGATAGTCAACATGTGGATTTCGTGAGTCTTACCGAGTCTACTCGTAAGTCGAGACGTTCTTCTGTTGTCCTCGTGTCGCCTGTTACTCGTCAGTCGCCTGTTGCTCGTCAGTCGTCTCTGTTGACCTGCCGAGCCAAACGCTCGCTCCTATATATACATCCGGCGATATTTGCTCAGACCATTTTCCGCCCACTTTCTCCAAAGTAGGGCAAAGCTGACGCCATGCAGATGCGCTTCCCTTTTGTGATTAGTGATCGGAAATACCCCAGCCCTAGCCGCTCCATGTTCGTTTTCCGCCAGACTCGAACCCACGGGCTTGTCTTCACCGCCACTCGCTACTCCCAAAATAGCTCCGAGGAGGCGCAGCGACCCACATTAGTCACGCAACCTGCACGATAGCAGAGCAAAAGCTCCGTGTCGAGGTTGGCGAGCAAAGTTGAGATATGCCGCAAGTTTGGTAAGGTGGTCGGCCTGCCCTCGGCAAGTGGAGGTGTCGTGGTCACCAGTGTCTCAGGTACGATGCCATCTGGAGTATAGATTGATACGAGTGCACTCCTAAAGACTGCTATAGACTGCTATAGACTGCTATAGACTGCTCCTATACACTCCTCCGACTCCACGAGCCCTTCAAATGTCGCATGGACCACGTCGACACGCTTTTACTTCGCGGTCCGCTTGCGCATCCATCCGGCTGGACCAACAGTGGCATCTCCTGAATAATACGGGGCGGAGTGGAGTATCGTGGGTCGTAGGTACAAGGCGCTAGTGAAGGTGCTGACAAACGTTGTCGAAGCGGTTTGAGACGGTCAGAAGCGGTTCGTCTCAGCGGTTGAAAGAGCGGATTGGCGACCGTCGAGTAAAGTTGGACCCAAGGAGCTGTCCCACGGTGTAATACAGCCAAATGTGCTCATACTGGGCTCGAACCGTGCGTGTCCCACATACAGCACATGGCCAACAACCTCGTCAAATTGAACTCACACATTCACTAAAGTTCATACTGCAGTACAGTTGGAAGTAGGGTGGGGATGAAGAGAAAAAAAAAAGGAATCCTCAGAGGAGAAACAAACGAGAAGGAGACAAGGGCCCGTGGGGTATATATTTGGCCGCGCAACAAACAGGTGGCAGGCACGTGTCTGCTGTCTGCGGGAGTCCACGTGACTCGGCCACCGGCTCCTTTGCCCGTCTTTTCCCACCACCACTATTAATGCCTCTACGTACCCCGGGTAACTTTGAAATTGGGAGGCGAGGCAGCAAGACTAAGACCCAAACTGTGTGTGTCACTCTCACTTGAGCTAGTTATCGAACCGGGCTACAAAGCTCCTAGATTCCAGCACAGTCTTCCTCTTCCACCAGAGCGATAGAATTCCGGCATGCCCAGGACAACCAAGCTAAGGCTGACGGGTGAGTATGAGCCGGTGGCGTTGCGCCACGGAGCGACTGTGGCAGTCAGTCAGGGACCAGTCAGGACCAACGGAACACTGGGTGGACATGGGACAGGGTGACACAGACAGAGAATGTCGCAGACAGAGAATGTCGCAGACACAAGGTGGCACAGACAGAGAATGGCACAGACACAGTCCAATGGGAACGGTCCTCGGCCGAACGCCCCTATGACAACTGGCCTGATATCCATTCGGAGATACACAAACTCTGGACCGGAGATCGAGTCTGTGCGACACCAGTGACGGTGCGGAGAGACCATGCTGAATGACGGTGACGAATGGCAAAGACCTACGATATGGAATGGCTAGGACGTCTTCAAGACTTGGTTTCCTCTGTGATCAGAGTGGAGGAGTGTCTGGGTCAAATATGTTCTCAACGTCGTTGCCGTACGTTATTGTACATCATTGTCATCAGTCGTTGCCATCGTTGCGTTGTATGGCAACGTTTCATATCATTGCATTGGTCGTTGCCCGTCGTGCGACCTGGTATCCGGCCGTCGTGTGACCCGGTGTCCGGCCGTCGTGCGACCCGGTGTCCACTCGAGCCCTCGTAGCTCGCTGCACACGCTACTCTTCCAACCCCGCTAACACAGTCATCGCCGCAGACCAACTATACAAAAGAGATGTCTTCCGTCTCCCCGACCCCTTCGCAGTGGTCCTCGTGGACGGCGGCCAAACCCGAACCACCTCCGTCATCAAGAAAACGCTCAACCCCTACTGGAACGAGTCGTTCGACGTCGACGTTACCCCGTCGTCCATCATCGTTGTGCAAATCTTTGACCACAAAAAGTTCAAAAAGAAGGACCAGGGCTTCCTCGGCGTCATCAACATCCGCGTGGGCGACGTGCTCAACCTGGCCCAAGGAGGAGACGAGATGATCACCAAGGACCTCCGCAAGGCCAACGACTCGCTCGTGGTCAACGGCAAGATCATCCTCAACCTCAGCACCAACACCGCCGGCCGACGCGCCACCGGCGCCTCCTCCGCGGCAGGCTCCACCGCCCCATCCACCGCCTCCGTGTCTGCTGCTGCTCGCACCAACCTCCCCGACATTTCGTCCCTCAGCGTCGACAACTCCAGCGTGCGAAGCAGCTCCACCTCGCACAGCGCCACCCCCTCGGCCACCACTAACAGCACATCGACCAGTGCGCTGAACGGGGCCAATAACACCACGGGCACTACAACCACCACAGGCCCCCCTGCCGGTGCACCCACCGCTACCACCACGTCCACGGCCGCACGCCCAGCCCCCAACTCCCGGGGCTTCTCGTCCTTTGAGGATCAGTTTGGCCGGCTGCCCACCGGCTGGGAGCGACGTACCGACAATCTGGGCCGAACGTACTACGTGGACCACAACAATCGCAGCACCACGTGGACCCGCCCGGCAAACTCGCAGAACGAGTCCGAGTCGCGCCAGGCCCGTCAGAACAACACTAACCTGGAGCGGCAGCGGCACCAGAACCGAACGCTGCCCGAGGAGCGGGCCCAGTCGCCCACGCTCGGTTCCCACAACCGTACCGGCTCCGGCGCCACCGCAGGTTCGTCGTCGGGAGCGGCGGGAGGAGGTGCAGCCGCCGGCGGTGTTGCAGCCACCTCCCCGGGTGGTACTCCCCGGTCTGCATCCGACGCCGTGGCCATGACCATGTCTGGAGCCACCACACCCGCACTGGGCGAGCTGCCTGTCGGCTGGGAGCAGCGGTTCACACCCGAGGGACGGCCCTACTTTGTGGACCACAACACACGAACTACAACCTGGGTCGACCCTCGGCGACAGCAGTACATTCGAATGTACGGCGGCACCAACGCCGCGGGGGGCACCAACACGACCGTGCAGCAAATGTCTGTGTCCCATCTGGGTCCCCTTCCCTCCGGCTGGGAAATGCGGCTCACCAACACTGCTCGTGTGTACTTTGTGGACCACAACACCAAGACCACAACCTGGGAAGACCCACGGCTGCCCTCGTCGCTTGACCAGAGCGTGCCGCAGTACAAGCGGGACTTCCGACGAAAGCTCATCTACTTCCGGTCGCAGCCTGCTCTGCGAATTCTGCCTGGCCAGTGCCACATCAAGGTGCGGCGAGATCACATTTTTGAAGATTCATATCAGGAGATTATGCGGCAGACGCCACAGGATCTGCAGAAGCGACTGATGATCAAGTTCGACGGCGAGGAGGGTCTGGATTACGGAGGAGTGTCGCGAGAGTTCTTCTTTTTGCTGTCGCACGAAATGTTCAACCCCTTTTACTGTCTGTTTGAATACTCGGCGCACGACAACTACACTTTGCAGATCAACCCCCACAGTGGCATCAACCCCGAGCATCTCAACTACTTCAAGTTCATCGGTCGGTGCGTCGGTCTGGCCATTTTCCATCGTCGATTCCTTGACGCCTTCTTCATTGGCGCCTTCTACAAGATGATTCTCAAGAAGAAGGTTATGCTGGAGGACATGGAGGGTGTGGACGCGGACTACCACCGAAACCTGGAGTGGGCGCTGGACAACGACATTACCGATGTGCTGGACCTGACCTTCAGCGTGGAGGACGACCAGTTTGGCGAGATTGTCACCATTGATCTCAAGCCCGACGGCCGAAACATTGAAGTGACCAACGATAACAAGATTGAATACGTTGAGCTTGTGACCGAGTGGCGAATCAGCAAGCGTGTGGAGGAGCAGTTCCAGGCGTTTGTGTCTGGATTCTACGAGCTCATCCCCCAGGAGCTGGTCAATGTGTTTGACGAGCGGGAGCTGGAGCTGCTGATTGGAGGTATTGCCGACATTGACGTCGACGACTGGAAGAAGCACACCGATTACCGGGGCTACTCGGAGTCGGACGAGGTCATCAAGTGGTTCTGGCAGTGCATTAGATCGTGGGACAGCGAGCAAAAGTCGCGGCTGCTGCAGTTCACGACCGGTACGTCGCGAATCCCCGTCAACGGCTTCAAGGATCTGCAGGGCAGCGATGGTCCTCGCCGGTTCACGATTGAGAAGGCTGGAGAGGCCCAGCATCTGCCCAAGTCGCATACCTGTTTCAACCGAGTCGATCTGCCTCCGTACAAGAACTACGAGGATTTGGTCAAGAAGCTGTCCATGGCTGTGGAGGAGACTGTTGGTTTCGGCCAGGAGTAAGCCGGGGAGACGGGACTGCGCAGTGCAGGTAGCATATACATTTTTATAACATGCTTGAGTGAGCTGAGTAAGGCGCGGTGAGTATAAACCTTTTATCAGTATCGTAGCTGTACAAGTGGTTGGTAATCAGCCACAGTTTGAGTGAGGGATATACACTGGGTGTGATGGAGAGAATATGTAGGTGGAAGAGGTCTGGGATTGCATTGTAGACGAGTATACCAATCGGGTATATCCTTAGATGAAACAGTGATTCAAAAGAGTGATTCAAAAGTGAGCGACGCCATCTGAAAACCGGTTGAAAAACAGTTTGAGAGACCACTGTTCTCTCCACAGCTGGTGCGGGAGTCTAACCTACTGTGCGACACTATTTGCCAAAGCTACGATTTAGGTGGGGCTGGTTTGAGGGCTGCAGTTTGAGGGTTGCAGTTTGAGAGCAGCAGTTTGCGTGTTTTCAGTTTGCGAGATTGGTTTCTGGTCACGTGACCGGCGAGAAGGCCCGCGGCCTGATTTTAGGAGGTGTGCGTTTTTCTGACTGCTACAAGTAGTTTGGTTGTGGTTGTATTTCCCGGACATGACAGTTATCGCAGAATTAGGTTGTAGTTTCTGGATTGGGAATAGTGAGCGGGTTGGGGGTGTGGGTTGTGAAACGGGCTAGGGTTGGTGGATTTGGGCATTTTAAGAGTGGAAATCAGATTTTTGGACACGTTAATTTCCGGCTATCTCTTTTTCCGCTTCTCAAACCGTCGATTATGTGCCCGTCGGGGTGTCTCGTTTTCCCCACTGGTTCCCCCGGAGTCCGCATTTTACGTGCACGAGCAGTCGGGTATTTTCCTTATTAAACCTTGGCGTATCTGCGAGGCTTATCTTTGCAGTTGAAAAGAAGCGTCGGATGCACGCGCAACCGACTTTTTCGACACTTGTTTGACACTTGTTTGACTGGTCACACACACACATGTTACTCACTCTGATTGCGCTTTACACGGGCGTGTTTCTCAGCGCGCTGGACGCCACCATTGTCACCTCCATCTATGCGACGATTGCTTCTGATCTGAACGAGCTGTCGCGAATTTCGTGGATCGCCACGGGCTACCTGGTTTCGTGCGCGGCGTTCCAGCCGCTGTATGGCCGTCTGAGCGACATTTTCGGCCGAAAGGCCATGTTGCTGGTGTCGTCGGCCTGTTTTGGTGTCGGCTGCACCCTGTGCGGTCTGTCGTACTCGCTCATGCCGCTGATTGTGGGCCGAGTGATTGCCGGAATCGGCGGCGGTGGGCTTCTGACCGTCAGCACCATTGCCGTTTCCGATCTGATTCCGCTGCGACAACGAGGAATCTACCAGGGCGTTGGAAACATTGCCTACGGTTCGGGCGCGGCGATCGGAGGAGCTCTGGGAGGCGTGCTGTCGCAGTGGATTGGTTGGAGAGGCGTGTTTCTCATCCAGGTGCCCTTTATTGTCTGCTCGGGCACGCTGGTGGTATTTGGAATGACCAACAGCAATACCAAGAACCAGAAGCTCGACGATCCCGAGTCCGCCGACGAAAACGCCGACGAAAACACCCCCGTTTCGCCCCTCACCACGTCGCCGGCGGACTCGGACGTGGCCAATCCTCTGTCCGGAGCCAACTCGTCGGTTCTCTACGGATCCGTGGAGTCTGAAAATCTCCCACATGCCAAAAGCACCGATTCTGACCCCACCGGCGAAACTACCTGGCAAAAGGTCAAGAACATCGACTTTGCCGGCTCGGCTCTGCTGGTCACGTCGCTGTCGCTACTGCTGTTTGCCATTTCGTCCGCCACCAAGTCCGCCTGGACCGAACCCATCATCTACACCCCGCTGATCATCTCTGTGATTGCCGGCGTGGTCTTCTGGAACTACGAGCTCAAGTGTGCCAACCCCGTGATTCCCGTGAGTCTTCTCTATCGACAAACCATCTTTGCGTCGTCGCTCACCAACCTCTTTATGACCATGGGAATCTTTGCCATGCTCTACAACGTGCCTCTGTGGTACAAGTCTGTGCTGGGCGATTCCGACGCCAAAGCGGGCGCCCGGCTGGTGGGCAACTTCATCGGAGTCTCGTTTGGATCCATGTCGTCCGGAATCTACATGCGAAAGACCGGAAAGTACTACAATCTGGGAATCGCCGCGGGAGTTCTCACCACCATGGGAGTCTTTGCGCTGATTCCTCTGTCGGCAGAAACCCCGGCCTGGCTACAATACACCATGCTGTTTGTTCCCGGAGCCGGCTATGCCGCCATGCTCACCGTTTCGCTGCTGGCGCTAATTTCCGCGGTCTCGAACCAGGAACAGGCCACCGCAACCTCCATTCAATATGCCTTCCGAGGCGTGGGATCCACTCTGGGTGTGTCGCTGTCCTCCACCATCTTCCAGGCGGTCATTTCCAAGTGGTTGCCGGTCAAAATGTACGCCGTGGTGGACAAGCCGACCCCCAAGGAGGTGCGACTGATCGAGCTGACCATTGCCGCCGTCAAGGAGTCGGTGACCGCCATCCGAGAGGCCCCCGCAAAGTTCCAGCCCGCCATCATCGCCTCCTACGACCTGGCCATCAAAGACGTGTTTTTCTACGCCACCGCAATGTGCGCCATCAGCACCATTTGTTTGTATTTTGTCAAGGAGCATGAGTTGAGACAATAGGTCTTAGAGTAATAGATTGGTAATGGAAGTACATGGATAGAATCTTCCGACTTCAGGTTTTCAAGTGGTATGTACATACTAGACTCGATTTAGTTGGATAAGTTTGTTAGAAATAGTTGGGCTACAAATCCTGCTGCGGTTTGTTTTTGAAGTTACAGTGATGGTGAAGGGGATAAAAAGATATCATCGTAAAGACAAGAGTCATGTTTTAAGCAAATGTGTAGTAAATTTCCACTATTTGTCTCATCTACTGGTGTTATCACAAATTCAAGACCAATATTTAACGAATTCAGTTGGGACGTTTGTTGGATTTACTGTAGAGTAATATCAATCGTAACTAACATGGTGGTTGCTTTCAACATCATTATTACTGCTTTCACAGCTACTATACACGAGATATATATATTTACTAAACCCCGATGTTGCCACCGTTGAACCCAGCTCGATTCCAGCTTCCAAACACTGCTACTTGTGTCTTTTCAGAACAACTCCTCCAGGACTTGTGTTTTAGAAAATTACTTACGGTTTAGGTGGCCGTTTAGTTAAAGAAAAAAGTCCGCTGGGGGTGCCAATTCGGGGTTGCAGAGATGCTACAAAAACAAAAGTGGTACCAAAATGTAGAGCCAGGTTAGATATTGTCATTGACACCGAAATATCCCACATATACCATACAAAATTTGCCGCTATTCCAGACGAGCGTATTTTTACACTCTAAAAATTACTTGGGTTTTGTTGACGTAAAGTAGTGAAACAGACATGGCGCAATGACTATTTCCAAGCACTACTAGTACCCAGCTGGAGTGCTCTACAAACAACGATTCTTGAGAGTTATACTAAGGAGTGACTAGGTTGAACAGAGATCTGAGGCCCGTTCGCATCAGGACCTTTCACCACATCAGCACCAATCACTGGCAGTTTCGGTTCTTGCAATCCTTCTTGGGCTGGTGCTGGTGCTTCTTGCCAACAGTGACAGTGGAGGTGACAGTAACATACTCAGGAACCTTGACCAGCGAAGGAGCACCACGGACCGTCTGGGTGATGGTCTGGGCGGGCGCCTGCACCGTCTTGGTGACGTACTTGTTCTGGCCCTGCACAGTCTTGGTGATGTACTTGTTCTGGCCCTGAACAGTCTTGGTGACGTACTGGTTCTGGCCCTGAACAGTCTTGGTGACGGTGTGGTACTGAGGAGCTCCACTGACGGTGATGTACTGAGGAGCTCCCTGGGTGGTCTTGGTGACATACTCAGTCTGGTACTGAGTGGGACCCTGAACCGTCTGAGTCTCAGTCACGTACTGAGGAGCGCCCTGAACAGTCCGGGTCTCGGTCACGTACTGAGTGGGCCCCTGAACCGTCTGAGTCTGCCACTGGGTGTCGTACAGAGTCTGGTATTGGGTCTGGTACTCGGTCTGCCACTGAGTCTGCCACTGAGTCTCATACAGGGTCTGAGTCTCGGTCAGAGTCTGGAACTGGACCTGGGTAGAGGTCTCGGTCTTGGTCTGGGCCGCTCCCTGCTTGCTCATGGTCTTTGTGACCGTCTTGGTCTGCTGCTTAGGACAAGACTGCTGCTTGGGGCAAGACTGCTGCTTGGGGCAAGCGGGACACGACTGCTGACGCTGCTTGGGACACGACTGCTTAGGGCACGACTCCTGGGGCTGCTTCATCATCGGACACTTGTTCTTGAGCTTGTCCATGAAGAAGGCAGCCTCCTCGGCTGTCAGATCGTCGAGGTTCACGGGAGTGTCGTCCACAGACTCGGGAACGGACTCGGAGGCGGCAACAAAACCGAGAAAGGCAACGAGGGCAATGTTCTTGAACTGCATGGTGGAGATGAGAGTCAAATGAATTCGAAGAGAGTGGAGACTGAAGATGGAGATGGTAATCCAGTGTGGAACTTGTCGCCATACTTATAGTCCCCAAATCTCACCCGTTGATTGCTCTCGACAACCGATCCAACATGTTCAACATACCCGTCGTCACAACCACCCCTGCACCACCCTTTTGCTTCCCCCTGCTTACCTGCCCTGTTCTATGGGACCTGTTGGAGATCCACTTGACGAAATCGAGTCTTGTTTCGATAGTAGACGTCTCTTGTAGTGTCTTGTAGTCGCTCCAGGCAACGGTATCCCAACTGGGAAGGCGTTTTCGGAGGGAGAAATGCGGAAAAACGCCGGAAAAAGAACTTCGCAAGAACGGTGTTGGATCCACCTCAACTACTCACGATATGTTTAATGTTACATTGCCTAAATACTCTAGATATCCTCCTTGGTTGTATCCTCGATTCCGCCTTCCCCCTACCTCTGCTACCTCGCTTGTGCATTCCCTGTCTACCTGTAATAGTCGGGTCTCTTGAGGTTGAGACCGTACTCGCTGCTTGCCGACGACAAGTCCTCCATAGTGAGGACAATTTTCGACCGACCCGATGTGCTGCTCTGCACCTGCGCGCCTCCCACTCCTGCAACCAGAGCCTTGGCCCGGGCCTGGGGGTTGGAGGCCGAAGACACGGACGACGACGACCGGATGCGCGAGTGCTGGTAGGCGTCGGAGGCCAGATCCGAGATGAATTTCTGGGTCGCCAGCGCCAACAGTCGTTTGATCCGCACATCGTTGGTCTGGAACCCCGATTTTGCCAGATAGTAGTCTGTCACCGCGTCAGGAATGATGGGCGCATACTCGTTCATGTTGTCCAGAAACTCGCTCAGCGTCTTGTCCTTGCGCGTCACCGGCACCGGGCCCGGCACCTGTGCGGTCTCCTCTTCCTCTTGTGCCGGTCCCTCCAGCTCAAAGTCGATATCAATGTCGTTTTCCTCGGGATTGGCATCCTCCATGTCAACATCTTCTGTTCCGGGAGCTGCAGGAGCCCCAGAAGCCCCAGAAGCTCCAGAATCCCGTGCGCCTGGTTCCTTGTCCTCGGAGTTCTTCTCTCCAGTCTCCTTCTTCTCGCCATCCCCCTCAACACCATCTTTGCCTCCCTCTTTTGGACCTTCCTCCTTGCTGTTTGCGTCTGTGTCTGGTGCGCCTTCCGTCGGGGCGGGCTGCGGGTCGTTTTCGGCAGCGGCGGGCTCCGCGGGCTCCGTCTTGACGGTCGTCTCGGGCTCCTTGTCCTTGATATCGCTCATTGACACGTCTTGTGGTGATGACATTTGCAGAGTGGTTGCAAAGTGGGGCGCGTGCGGAGTGAAGTTAGCTTTGCTTAGTAATGATTAGTCAGGGTTGCGAAATGGGCGAGAAGTGGATAATGGAGAGAGACGAGGTGGAGAGAGACGATGTGGAGAGACAAAGATGGAGAGAAACGAGGTAGGTGAGCTTCTTACCATTTCCAGTGTGTCTGCAAAACTAGGTTGGTTCCTGTTTAGTTGAACAATAGTTAAGGGAAAAAGTACGCTGGGGGTGCCAAAGCGGGCTTCTCGAGGTGCTAGACGGACGAAAAATGTGTCAATGGTTAGAGAAACTGAAAGGATTAATTTTGAGGCTGTTAAATCAAAGAATTATACTGTTTTTGAGCCACTGTGGGCATGTTTCTGAATTTACAAAGAATGTTTTTTACTTGGATTTAGTTGGGACAAACAGAAAGAAAAATGTGAGAAGGAGGAAAAAAACATAGAGAAAAAAAGAAGAAAAAAAAAAGACTGTAAAATCCACAAACTGCTTAAAAAATCTATACAAGGGTCGAGGAACGAGTGAAGACTTGGAAGATGCGGTTAATGGATCTAGACGAGATGGTCATCTGTGACATTCTATCATAGAGCCACTTGTTGACGGCAGCAAAGTGATTCCGAAGCTCAGACCGAACACTGAGTGCTGGTTGTAGCGAATGGACTTGATACGAGCAGCAAAGGTGTTATTGTTGGAACAGTTCCTTTTCCCAGAGAATCAGAAAGCCATGTGAGAACCACTTGAAGGTGGAGTATGGTTTGTGGGTTAGTTCTGTGAAGATGGGCTTACCAAACAGTCCTCTGGCGCGACTAGAGGCCGTCGGTTGAATCATCGCTGTCTGGTTCAGCAAAGACGATTGATTACGGCAAAGACGATCGATTGCAGCAACGACGATCGATAGAGCAAAGATGATTGATTACAGCACAAGACTCTCCGTACCAGCTGCTGATACAGGAAGTCGTTGAGAGCAGTCGAGACAAGCAATCGAAACACGCAGTTGGCATCAGAAGATGAGAAATGTATGATCTGATCTGATGATCTGAGTTGATGAGTTGCCCCTGTCATTGTCGACTTGGTAGGACTCATGATAACCAATGGTGTCCTCCAGTATCGCCAGGATGGTACGGTATGTACTGTACCGTGCTCAAACGCAACCCTGATGTCTGTTTCGCGGCCATGATGAGCAGAAGTTGGTCAAGCGAAAGGTTGACAATTGAACTCGTTCAACCGACTTTTCAATAGTTCTAACCAGTTCTAACCACCAACTGTTTACCGTTTCTGCCTTCTCGACAATCGAATCTCTCAGTATCAGAATACCAACAGTTGTCTCTCGACAACCGCCCAACATCACCAGATCTAGATCATTGCTTCACGCCCGGTGGAAGACGAATCCGGTGGAAGAGAAACGCAATCTCGAAGGTCATGCTCGTCCCTGGGCGTGTCTCGACCGTCAGCTCTGGTTGGCATGGTCCCACATTCTCAGCTGGGCTCACGAGTACGATATTCACCTTGCCAACATGTTTATCTTTCTTTCTGATATTTCACAGCTCCGCCGCTGGCCGCCCAGAAAACAGTTAACCAACAAAAATCCAAGAATCGAGGCTCCAATTGTTGATGGCCATTCAGTGCGAGAAATGGAGACTGTACTGCGCCGGCCGAGAGCGGAGATAGGTGCAACTCGAGCAGAGCCATGGGAGAAGGGAAGATGACGACTCTGTATTGGCGGATGAAGAGAGCTGGCTCAAACAGACTGTCCGTGACCCACAGACTGTCCGTACTACCGATAGACTCGGCCAGACTGTACTTTCAACCGACTGTAATTCCCACAGACTCAACCAGAGTTGTCCCTGACCCAGTACACTGTTGCCCAGTTGGTCGACGACGGACAATACAACACGATATGGATCGGTCCCAGCCCGGCATCCGGTGCATTCCACCACCTTCGGTCGCACCTGAGACGCATGGTCGCCGATCAGCCACCTGCGCCGCCGCCACCTGCGCCACACGTGGCTGATTTGTCATACTCCACAAGGCTAGACTGGCTTGCTGTCTAAGTGCACATGACTAATGAGGTCCGAATGTCGTCAGCCAAATTAAGGTTTGGCCAAATTGGCGATATAAGACAGCAAACCAAAAATTATAAAGACCACTGCTGAGACCTTGTTGGAGCATCTTTTTTTTTTCCCTGCAAAAAAAAACAACCTCCGCAACACAAGCTTAGAAGCAATTGGGTCCTCTCTTCTCAATTGCGCGCCCCCCTTTCTCTTCCACAATTCGCACCACTCTCTCCCGACTATCAAACATCGCACGACAGACAATGGCTTCTATCCCCCATTATGACTATCTGGTTATCGGCGGAGGCTCTGGAGGTGTTGCTTCTGCTCGTCGAGCCGCCTCGTACGGCGCCAAAACACTGCTGATCGAGGGCAAGGCGCTGGGAGGCACCTGCGTCAACGTGGGCTGTGTGCCCAAAAAGGTCATGTGGAACGCGTCCGATCTGGCGGGCCGAATCCGACAGGCCAAGGAGTACGGCTTCCCCGACGTGGACCCCAAGTACGCCGACAACTTTGACTGGTCCGGATTCAAGGCCAAGCGAGACGCTTACGTCAAGCGACTCAATGGAATCTACGAACGAAACCTCCAGAAGGAGGGCGTCGAGTACGTGTTTGGCTGGGCCACCCTCTACAAGCAGGAGGGCCAGGAGTTCCCCCTGGTACATGTCAAGAGCGACGACGGCAATACCAAGCTGTATTCTGCCAAGAAGATTATGATTGCCACCGGCGGAAAGCCCCGTCTGCCCGACGTGCCTGGAGCCGAGTACGGCATTGACTCCGACGGCTTCTTTGCTCTCGAGACCCAGCCCAAGCGAGTGGCGGTGGTTGGAGGAGGCTACATTGGCGTGGAGCTGGCTGGTGTCTTCCACGGACTCAACTCCGAGACCACCCTCTTCTGCCGAGGCCAGACGGTGCTCCGAGCGTTCGACATCATGATCCAGGACACCATCACCGACTACTACGTCAAGGAGGGCATCAACGTGCTCAAGGGCTCCGGCGTCAAGAAGATTGTCAAGAAGGACAATGGCGAGCTGCTCGTCACCTACGAGCAGGATGGCGCCGAGAAGGATATCACTCTTGACTCACTTATTTGGACCATTGGACGAGAGCCTCTCAAGGACACCCTCAACCTCGGCGAGTTTGGCATCAAGACCAACAAGCGGGGCTACATTGAGGTCGACGAGTACCAGCGATCGTCCGTTGACAACATTTACTCGCTTGGAGACGTTTGCGGCAAGGTCGAGCTAACCCCCATGGCTATTGCTGCCGGACGAAAGCTGTCCAACCGGCTGTTTGGTCCCACAGAGTTCAAGAACCAGAAGCAGGACTACACCGATGTTCCTTCTGCCGTCTTTTCCCACCCCGAGGTTGGCTCCATCGGTATCACCGAGGCTGCCGCCAAGGAGCAGTATGGCGAGGAGAACGTCAAGGTCTACACCTCCAAGTTTGTCGCCATGTACTACGCCATGCTCGAGGAGAAGGCTCCCACCGCCTACAAGCTGGTGTGTGCCGGCAAGGACGAGAAGGTTGTTGGTCTGCACATTGTTGGCGCTGACTCTGCCGAGATTCTGCAGGGTTTCGGCGTGGCCATTCGAATGGGAGCCACCAAGGCCGATTTCGACAATGTTGTGGCTATCCATCCCACTTCTGCCGAGGAGCTGGTGACCATGAGATAGGCCAGGAGCGCAGCGAGAGATTTCTCTGGTTTGAGGCTATCGATATTTAATCAACTAGACGTGTTATGAGAGCTATGAGATGGTTCAAATGTAGTTGTCAAGAACCCAATAAGTAAGATGTGAGGAATACGAGCCGGATATGGCAAATGGAATGGCACTTGGAGTTGGATAGAGGAGTTTCCTAATGAGGTGGATCGGTGGTGGACGAGATTTAGCGATCCAGTCTATGAGAGAGACCATGATGAGTACAGCAGTGGTATGACTCGTTTGTATTCAAGTTGCTCTCTTCATGACGTCAGAGGCCACTGATACCCAGCAACATGGCGGCGTTGTCTTTGTCTGTGTACAAAAGCTCATTTGGAGGACTGGAGAGTGGCTTGCCCCGAATCTCCGAAGGAGGCGGTTGACTCAATTCAGCGGTGCGATTCAGACGACTCAAGTGAACAACACGACCACCACTCTTGAGTATCGTACATGCACTGTCACTGCCACAGAATCGGGGCAAGTAGTAGAGTACCAAAGTGGGCTCGGTCAGGTGTTTCAACGGCCAAGCGCTTTGAATATGGCATAAGATGAGTTTTGTCATGTCGGCTTCTTTCCCAACTCAGCAGTTGCACCGTTGGAGCAGGGACTAGATTGAATGTTGATGGCGAAATGAAGACGGGCAAGAAAGTGGAGAGACAAGAGGAAGTTGCAAAAAGGTCCGACAGTGGGTCTTGCTGTTGAGGGAAATGGCTAAGGCGGCATGGAAGACGAGCCGAGGACGGTCCGGGTCGTGGGAAACCACATATAAGAGGGCTGGAGTCCTGGATATCACAAGTCGGTACATTTCAACCAGCCCATCATCGTCCTAATGAACTTCAAACATCTTTCAATTCTCTTCCTGGTCTCCATTGTTGCTGCCAACGAGGCCGCAAATGAACACATTGACCTACCTGTCCACCAGGATATGCCTGCTGTCGATAAAAACGTGTATGACATCTCCGTCCAGTACCCCGAGGAGGCGTTGGAGGTGAAGGAGAACCCCGAGTTTTTCTTTTGTCATCTGAAAAAGTGCTTCAAGAAGAAAAAGTGCTGCCGGAAGCGACCCAAGAAGAAGTGCTGCTAGATGGAGCCCTCTGTCACCATGCGATTGACCGGTAATTCATCAACTCTCATTTCTAATCTATCATGTTTCAGTGCGAGTAACAGTAGCTGTTGGAGTGGCAGGAACTGTTGAAGTGGCAGTACCTGCCAGTGTAGAGCTGAGGAGTAGACAGTATTTGTGAAGGGGTAGATCGATAGAGTCGTGATTAGGTGGCTAATTCGGCTAGTTCGGCGTCCAATGTGGCCAGTTTCGGCGGCTTTTCCGCTACTCTATGGTAGCTCTCTTATTGTATACTTTCATATCAGTAAATCTATGCCATTCTCACTTCATATCAGAATAGCATAGATTGACTGATATGAAGTCGATAAACGGGAGAGATTCTGGGCCATTCTGGCGACTGAGGTTTCAGACTGCTCAGCAACATGTCTATCTCGTTGAGGATGAAGGATCTGAGGCCATTCGGCGGCGGAGTACGGCAGAATGCGGCAGAATGGCGGTATGTCGTAGGAGTCCTCAACTCAGTCACTGACAAAAGATTCATCTCTGCCATCTAAGAAGACCGGCTCATTATATAACACATACTGGGGCTCATGTGTGATGACTGAGGAGGTCCGTGTGGAGATGGTGAGATGAAGATCAAAAGGTTTAGCCCCGACAGGGCCTGTGCTTGTTTGAGATTCTGGTCCTGGGGCGCCAAAAAGCTGAGCACATTCACGTTGGCAGCGTGGGTGTCAATATCTCCTCCAAGTCAAGTCCAAATCAACACCATTCTGCAGCAGATGAACACTCTTGTGGACCGACCGGAATCGGTGCTTGATATAAGCAGAAGCAGAAACTGGAGAATGCAGCATGACGTCAATCCTCCTGGAGATCGTGGACCTTGGTGATCTTGGACCTTGGAAATCGTGGACCTTGGAAATCACGTGGACTCTGGAAATCACATGGACTCTGGAAATCACGTGGACCTTGGAGATCACGTGGCTCATTCGTCCTCCTCCCCCTCCCGACACGTGCGTCTTCGTACGGCTGAGAGATGATCGAGTCTAAATGCATGTTAACACAACTGTAAACTGCTGCTTATCTCCACACCAAGTGGAGGCCGTCAAGTGACGCAATAGAGGCCGTCAAGTGACTCACAATCGCCAATCAAAAACGGGCTAGAAAACACTGGGTCGTTGCAACATGGGCTAGCTACGGTAATGGCTCCGCTCCGTAGCCGCTCATCACCCATGTTGTGGGAAATGATGTCATAGTACCTTTGTCGACTTCTCCTTGTTAGCCACTTGGACAGCTCTTTGTTAGCCCATTGTTCACTCCTGCATTTTCACCAGAAAAAAAGCGCCAAATGAGCCAACTGAGCCAAATGAGCCGCATTCGCCCATGCCGCGGCTTGGTGTGCCTCCACTATCACCAATAGAATGGAGCCAGTGAGCGTGACCCGAGAGAATATTTGTATTTATCGGACCCAGATCGTCAGCAGAGCTTGAGAACAGCATTGACCAAGAGCCACCTACTCAGTCATTGACAATCAACCAGTACCAAACCATTCGCCCATTGACAATCAACCACTCACCTCTTCAAACCGCTCACCTATTGACAATCAACCACTCACCTCTTCAAACCACCTCCACCAACGACTCTCATGGCCGACACCAACTCGCGGATAAGATGGTGGATCATTCCAATGGTGGTCGGGGGAGTGGTCATAGGGGCGCTCTACCTTTTGGTGTTTTGCAAAGGACAAAAGAAGAAACGGTTCACAGAGCTCCAGCGGCAACAGCTGGAACAGGGCTACCCCAATGACCCCCGCCCCCCAAACTTCACCTACAGCTACCCGGAGACCATAAGCGGATACAACCAGACCACAGTCATCTACAACCATCGCGTGTACAGCAGTAATGGCGAAGGAGGCGTCAACGTGACCAATGATCCAGTGACCCACATTCCCATGACCTCGCAGACCATCAGAGACGAGTCCAACGACGTGCCTCCAGCCTACTATGTGGCTGTGAGCCCTCCGCCCAAGGCCTACGATGGGGCCACCAGCTACGGCTATGATCCTGTGGGGGGCACAGGTAACGGTAGTCACAGAAACGTGTACAATCCGGTCAACGCCGGTTCCGGCTCACAGAGCGCACACATCTCCTCCAATTCACGTCCACAGCCACAGGGATTCTGGGGCAGGTTCAAGAAGAGAGACAAGACGGAGAGCAATCGGGATTCCACCAGCGGCGCCGCCGGGGGCTCCGGAGATGCGTATGGAGGATGCCATGGCGGTGGAGGATACGGAGGAGGACATGGGGGACATGGAGATGGTGGAGGAGGCCATGGCGGCGGTGGTGGAGATGGTGGAGGGGGCGGTGGAGGGGGCGGTGGAGATGGTGGAGGAGGCGGTGGAGGCGACTAGTTTTATTAATATATTCAATCAATCTGACGATCATTTTGCGTTTGAAGGCTCGTATTGTAGTTGTACTGTAGACGTTCGGATCTCATCTGTAGATCTGGCTTCCAAGTAGTGTCCAAGTAATGTCCAAGTAATGTCCAAGTAATGTCCAAGTAAAGTTGGGGCAGTATTTTTAAAGAGAGAAATAATACAACAACGGAATATATATAGGGGCGGAGTGGGACGGTTTGAATCTGGATCCTGCGCTATCGCACGCACACTATGACACAAAACGAGCCCGTTCCCGCCGCTTCCGACATCGTGAAGCAATACTACGAGCTTGTGAGGACCTTGGAGCGCCTGAAACAGGAGGTGGAGACGACCGACTTTTTCGGCGACACCCATGATCGGTATTTTGAGGAAGAGCGGTTTCTCGAAAGAGTCCGGGCGCACGTCAGAGATATTCAGCTGGTTGTGGACTGGTATCGAGATTTCGTTTGACGGAGGTGGGATTCAGGGGAGCTCAGATGCTTTGACTAAGATAGCAGAAGTATGGGTGACTAAGATGATTAGTCATGGTTAGGAGATGACTAGGCATGGTTAGGAGATGGCTAGGCATGGTTAGGAGATGGCTAGGCATGGTTAGGAGATGACTAGGCATGGTTAGGAGATGACTAAGGACACGTGGGGCGGTCAGGTTGGACAGCAGCAATTGGTTATCACAGACCATGTTGCACCGCGCTCTCGACCTGGACTAAGCCGCCGCACAGCAGATTGACAGCTACATACTGCGGCGACAGTCACGTGAGTCATACCAGGAGGGTAAATAGCAATAGCAATCAATCTGTGTTTGCAAAGAATAGTCATTCTACACACAGCGAGTCATGTGACTGCTGGAATCCAGAACGACGATAGTGTTCTTTTCTCTGCTTCTCTCTGAATGACTCATCATCTCTGGAGTATCATCCCTACTTGGTTTGGAGCTCTGACTGCCATTTTGGGAGAGTGTTGTTATACCCCACCGCAGCATGGCAATTCCAGCCGAATCAAGTCGATCGAAATGCTCGATTTTGATTGGTCAATCGGATACACCCACCGTTACAACCTCTTTCGCCATATCGCTCCAGGTAGCCATCCCACGCCGTCACCGTGACCAAGTGACAAAGTTCAGATAAAAAAAATTTGAACCTTTGCACTTTAAATTTTGGGACATCACAGCTCGGACTGAAAATTTAAAAGCTGCATGCTGGCTCTGAGACGCTTGTTCACCACCGCCTCAAGAAGAGCTTTCACAACTCCCTCCAAGACGGCCGCACCCTACTACACTGCGAAAATGAGCACCGCTGCCGCCCCCGACGTTGCCACTCTCTCCAGCCAGCTGGAAAAGCTCGGAATTGACAAGTTCGAGCCCTTCCCCGGGTCCAGCCCCGCTCTCAACACCATGGATGTGTTCCGATCCTACATCACCAAGGAGCTCGCCGCTCTGTCCAAGGTGGATCCCGAGCTCATCTACCCCGCTCTTGAGTGGACTTCCACCTCCGACAAGGGCGATCTGGTGATCCCGTTGCCCCGGCTCCGAATGAAGGGCGTCAACCCTCAGGAACTGGCTGTGGAGTGGGCCTCCAAGTTTCCCAAGGGCGAGTACCTCAAGGAGGTCAAGGCCATGGGCCCCTTCATGCAGTTCTTCTTCTCGCCCAAGCTGCTGTACAACATTGTCATCAAGGACATTCTGGAGCGAAAGCTCGAATACGGCTCGTCCGACGTGGGCAAGGGCAAGAAGGTGGTGATTGAGTTCTCGTCGCCCAACATCGCCAAGCCCTTCCACGCCGGCCATCTGCGATCCACAATCATCGGCGGCTTCCTCTCCAACCTGCACGAGAAGCTCGGATGGGAGGTCATCCGACTCAACTACCTCGGAGACTGGGGCAAGCAGTTTGGTGTGCTGGCTGTGGGCTTTGAGCGATACGGCTCCGAGGAGCAGCTCGTGACCGACCCCATCCAGCACCTGTTTGAGGTCTACGTGCGAATCAACAAGGACATGGAGGCCGAGAAGGAGGCTTCCAAGGAGGCCACCGGAGAAGAGTCCTCGGCCACCGACGACAAGGCCCGAGAGTACTTCCGAAAGATGGAGGACGGCGACAAGGAGGCGCTAGCTCTGTGGTCGCGGTTCCGGGACCTGTCCATTGAGCGATACAAGGACACCTATGCTCGTCTCAACATCCACTACGACTCGTACTCTGGCGAGTCCCAGGTGCCCGAGGAGTTCATGAAGATGGCCAAGGACCTGTTTGTGGAGAAGGGCCTGGTCCATGAGGACCGAGGCGCCAAGCTCATCGATCTTACCAAGTTCAACAAGAAGCTGGGCAAGGTCATTGTCGAGAAGAAGGACGGCACCTCTCTGTACATTACTCGAGACGTTGGAGGAGCCATTGCCCGAATGGAAAAGTACAAGTTTGACAAGATGATCTACGTGATTGCGTCGCAGCAGGATCTGCACTGCCAGCAGTTTTTCCGAATTCTCAAGGAGTGCGGCTTTGACTGGGTGGACCGACTACAGCACGTCAACTTTGGTCTGGTCCAGGGCATGTCCACCCGAAAGGGCACCGTGGTCTTCCTGTCCAACATTCTCGAGGAGGTCAAGGAGTCGATGCATAACGTCATGAAGAAGAACGAGGTCAAGTACAACCAAGTGGAGAACCCCGAGGAGATTGCCGATCTGGTGGGCATCTCGTCTGTCATGATCCAGGACATGTCCGCCAAGCGAGTCAACAACTACAAGTTTGACTGGGACCGAATGCTCTCGTTCGAGGGCGACACCGGCCCTTACCTGCAGTACGCCCACTCTCGACTGCGATCTGTGGAGCGAAAGTCCGGCATGACCATTGACGAGAACCTGGCTTCTGCCGACTTCTCGCTGCTCACTGAGCCCATCGCTGACGAGCTCATCCGAACCCTCACCCAGTTCCCCGACGTTGTTCTCAACGCCGGCAAGACCCAGGAGCCCGCCACCATTGTCACCTACCTGTTCAAGCTCACCCACCAGGTCTCGTCCTGCTACGACGTTCTCTGGGTCGCTGGCCAGGAGGAGGCTCTGGCCAAGGCCCGTCTGTCTCTCTACTCGTCCGCTCGACAGGTTCTCTACAACGGTATGGTCCTTCTTGGTCTTACTCCCGTCGATCGAATGTAACCAAGTCACTCTGTATGTATTTGTGTATAAAACAACAAAATTGATAATGACCAATTGGAGATTGTGCGCTACAAGAAGAGAGAGGTTGTACTTTTTTATGTTTGAATAAAATAGATATATATACATATACACACGGCCGTTCATGGCCAATTAGTTGGTTGCGGTACTCAAGCTAAGCAACATCGCCTGACGCCTCCCCGCCCTTGCCAAAACTGCTATTGAAGCCCAGTAACCCGTTGAGGCCACTGACCCAGTCTCTGTCTGTCTTGGCCACGCACCAGATGCCCGAGTTGTGGCCGGTTTCGCTTTCGACCAGAATCTTGTCGCTGGGTCGAACCAGACCCTTGGCGATTCCGTCGACAGACAGCTCGGCGCCTCTACCTCGAGATTCGGACGAGGCGGTGATGCATATTTTGGAGGTGGCTGGGAAAATGAGAGGCCGGAATGACAGCGATCGCGGACAGATGGGGGTCAGCAGAATGCAGGCGACTCGGGGATGCACAATGGAGCCGCCAGACGACAGCGAGTAGGCCGTGGAGCCCGTGGGTGTGGCGATGGTGACACCGTCAGCAATGGCTCGGGTGATGAACTCGCCGTCAACGTGGATGTCGAGCTTGGTGAGATGCGGCTCAGCTCCACGGTGGATGTTGATGTCGTTCATGGCGTAGGTTAGTGGGCTAAGATTGTAGTCGTCGGGATTGCCGTAGACATGGGTTGAGTTGTGTTCAATGTGCGATTGGGAGGGCAAGTGGGTGATTTCCTTGCGAATGGACATTTTCTGACATGCTAGGCGGGCGCGGTTGACCACCGAGGCCTGCGACGAGTACACCATGTCGAATGCAGTTTTGAAGTCCTTGAAATCAAACGGCAGCAGGAAACCCAGAGTCCCCAGCGAAAAGGACAGCACCGGCGGCACTTCTCCGGAAGCAAACATGGAGGTGGCATGTAGAATAGTTCCGTCGCCTCCCAGAGTCACGAGCAGATCCGTCTTGTTTCTCAGCACCTCTCCTGGCCCCGTGTGGATGGCGGTCACGCCTGCGGCTCCAATCTGCTTCTGGACCTCGTCGGCCACATGTTCCTCCACCAGAATGTTGACTCGGGGGTACCGGCGCTGGATGTGAGATGCCATCTGGATGAGCGACTCGCGCACATTGTGGTCCCAGGGTTTTTTGACGATCAGAACGTTTTCCAGAGGCTTGTCCCACACCAGAGATGACAGAGAGGTCGACTCCTGGACGTAGTGGGGCGACTGGCGGTCGGGAAGCAGTTCTGCATGCAATATCTCGGTCGAGAGAAGCCGAATCCATGTGGATCGGCGCGCTTGCACGCTGTGGGGCCGTGTTATACCGGTTCGGCGGATGAGTAGTCGCATGGCTCAAGATATTAATCAGAGTTTAGATAATATATTAATGTGGGGCAAGTGTGTGCGAGTTGTCGTTGCGGTCCAGCAGGACCTTCAGAGGTCCATCTAAGGATGTAAATGGGTAGCAAAAAGGGCTATTTTTTGATAATCTTTATTGTACGGTTCGGTGTGGTTCTCTTAACGTGGGAGATGGTCGCGGCAACTGATACTTGCACTTATTATCGTCACCTTTAGTTAATTAATCAAGTAATTAGTTGGAGAAAAGCCACTTTTACTTGGTAAATAATTGCTGTACCTGCACGTGCTACTCCGATAGCCAGCGACCTTCTAGCACTATCAAATGCGGCATTAAAAGGATCTGAATGATATATATCTTGCTCCTGAGGAATAAAGAGGATATTTAGGGCGATGAGGTCTCCTGACGTCTTCTTTGGCAGACAGAGTGAAGATGAAGTGGAAGTGTCAGTGGAAGGCAGTGGGAAGTCAGTGGAAGGCAGTGGGAAGTCAGTGGAAGACAGTGGGAAGTGCCAGTGGGCTGTACAGTTGTGAGATCGATGGTGGGTCTGATGTCTTGTTCCATTGAGTCAAGTACTTGTAGCTAAGAGGTTGTACAATGCTCGTACGTGGATCCAAGCCAGGACTGTTTTTTTTTTTTTTTCTGCATATACATTCATTTAATTATAACTTTGCCGTGAAAGAATAACCTTTGAAATGAATGTACGCTTACACGAATATTACTAATTAAACACGTTTAGTGTCATGGTCCAACTTGGCACGTACCTATTTCCAGTAAAAAAATCATAAAAAAACCTGGTTCAGTCCGTGTTGTATGTTGGTCCACATAGCTTTGCGTGTTTGTTCGTTCATCGGGAAAACGCCACTCCAGTCTCCAGTTCTCTAATCTCAATCCTTCCATTGCCCTCTTCATTTGCATTGCCTTTGAAAACGTCTCCTTGTGGTTCTTCTTCGTCATTGGTTTGGTTCTGCGTCCCCTGTGGTGACTACGCGCCCTGCTACGCTGTTCTCTCGGTGGCCTCGGCCGCCTTTTACGCTTGCTACTGTCTCTACTCTCGCTCATCGTGAAGTGCTGGCGGTTGTCCATCGTAGAAACACGACTGTATACCAGGACATTCTCCAGGCAAGGCTGCTCTTCTTCAAACACGCAAGCAGTATGTACTTCACACAAGTTAGTGTACTTCACACCAGTTGAGATCCGTTACACACCCAGTGCGAGTCGAAAAAGACCACGGTCAAGAGTATGATTCTGGTAGGAACGGGACGGCGACTTGGCCATTGGACGGCGACTGCTCCTGCATCGTGCAAGTGGTATTTTATGTATATACTGTTTTATAGATTGATGCAAGACTTGAGTACAACTTGTAGATTCATAGACCCGACATGGGTTCGCAAGACTAGACTAGTTGATTAATAACACCGAGTTGACTCACGAGACTCATTTCACTAATGTACTTGTACTAGATATACATGTACGGGTACGTACTCAGCGGAGCCGACGCGGAATCGAAAATGGTAAAAGTTGCAAGTTCGTTCACGGTAACTTACCAGCACTGTTAAACAGATGATTTCCAGTCCCCTCCCGCCCATTACTCATACCAGTGGGAACAGCTTCTGCCGTCTACCGTCTATCGTCTATAGTATATCGTCTATCCTATCGTCTATCCTATCGTCTATCCTATCGTCTATCATCTCTGGGTCCCTAGTGACGAAACCTCAACTCCAAGGAGTCTACACTACGATACTGCGATATCGATACTGTACGGAGATCGGAAGGTATATAAAGCAGTATAAACAAATAAATAAAAAATAATAATATATATACTTGAAGTCACAATAACGAAGGAATAAAAAACATAATTTGTCGTACTGTACTTGCACCAATGACTACTGATGTCAATCCAAAAGCCCTGATTACTGCACTTGTTCTATAATGACAGCTAGGTCACCGAGCAGTGGACTATTGACCTTCAATCAGTCTCGATGTACTGAGTGAAGATACACCAACTCTACTCCATCTCCACTCCATCATCTCCACCCGACTAAAGAGGATTCAGAATCATAGTCCGGGTTCAGAGTCATAGTCCGGATTCAGAGTCACAATCCAGATTCAGACGAGACTGTACGATACGGTATCATTCTACCTGCCTCCAGGAAGATTTTGTCCGGGTCGTGCTTTACAGACAAGACATGAGAACGAAGACATGTCGACTACCCTAATGCAACTATACAGTCCCTCAACTGAAGGCGCCAACAGCTTCACCTCATGAGAAGGCTCGAAATGGAATGCTCGTCTGCCTCGATATGAACGACCCAATTTCCCACAACAAACCGTCAAAATATAACTTCAGCAATTGTACAGTAGTGTACTTGTACATGCGCAGCATCAGACTACAAGTAGGTAAGTACAGTACAAGTATGTACAGTACCAGACTACTTGTAGATAATACTATAAGTATGTATGTGCAGTACATACCGTATGGACATACGAGTATTCAATGATGGTGTTCAATGACCGTGTTCACCTATTGATTTCGTCGCGCTGTGGAACCCCTTTATTCGTGATTACCGCCGCTACACGTGTACCCGCTATCCAAGCTCAAACACTCGGTTCGGCTTTTCCTTTTTCCATTTTCCTTTTCCCAATTTTTTCCCTCTTCTCTCCATTCTTTTTCCCCTTTTCCCCCTTATTTTCTCCACATAACACCCAACAATGCAATTGTGTGACGCGATCTATGGAGTAAATTCCAACGTATGGAGCAAGTGCAGCTCGCATATACGCCTCTATCCAGCTATCCAGCGACCATACAGTGTCCACTCTGCCCAGCAAAGATGCGTCAAAGGCGCTTTCCATTGTTATTGTTTCAGATTGTGCATCTCCGCAGTCCAGGGGCTTTGAAAAAATGTCCATGACGATGCTCATTGTGTCTAACTTTATGAGAAAACACGAGACAAGACACGACTACACATCTGTTGAAAGCACGACTGTTGAAGCAGTCAACATCTGTAGTACTCTACGATACGCTGAGCACGCTCAAGATGAGCCATTCGACATAAGAGTAAGGGTATTTCATATATATAAATCTTGAGTTAGCCCGACGCCAGCGCAGGACTACAAGATGGGGTTTTGTTAATAAATCTTACTCTTAGTTCCAGGACCAAGAGACACCGACTCGTCCCTCGCTGGGAGAAGCCAGGGCGTTGAAGGCGGCGGGAGAGAGATCGAGATCGCCGGAAGCACAGCCGGGGCACATGTCGGTGACGGTCACGGTGACAGACTTTCCGCCTCGGTGGGCAGTCAGCTTCTTGCCACACAGGGTGTTGTGGTTGGGGTTACCGTCGATCATACCAGCCTGCCACATGTCCTTGTTAAGGGCAACAATGAAGTCGGAGTCGGTGCTGGTGATGCCGCAAGAGCCCATGCCGGTGTCGTAGAAGGTAGCCTCACCGGTGTGGTCACCGGATCCACCGCCAGTGGAGGGGGCGGAAGGAGAGGGCTCGGGAGCAGCCTCAGAGGTGGTAGGAGCGGGGGCCTCGGAGGTGGTGGGCTCGGGAGCGGGGGCAGGGGCAGCCTCAGAGGTGGTGGGCTCGGGGGCGGGAGAGGGAGAGGGGGCAGCCTCGGGCTTCTCGTCGGCAGCAAAGTTGGCGGGAGAAGGAGAGGGAGCGGGGAGGGGCTGCTCAGCAGACTTGGGGGCCTCGGGGGTGGGGGCGGGAGCGGGAGCCTCAGAGGAGGGGGCGGGGGCAGGAGCAGCCTCAGAAGTGGGAGCAGCGGCGGGGGCCTCGGGGGCAGGGGCGGCGGGGGCCTCGGTGGGCTGCTCGATCTGGGCCTCGGTGGTGTAGGGGACCACCTCGGTCTTGTAGGGGGTGCCGTTCTGGTCGACGTAGACCACGTTCTTGACGTAGATGACGTTGGTGTTCTTGACGGTGACAACGGCTCGCTTGGCGAGGCCAGCCTCGGCAGCGATGGGGGCGGCCAGAACCTGGGACAGGAGGGCCATGGAAACGATAGAGAACTTCATGTTGGAAATAAGGGCGTGTGTGTTGGTTTTAGGTGACGAAAAAGGAGAGTCGCGTAAGGAAAGTGGTCCGGTCAACGGAGGGTAGAGAGAGTGAGTATCACAAAGGGAGTGTCGGTGCAAAGGAGTGCAAAGAGAGTGTCGTGTCCAACAGAAGTCTCGGTGTGGTTTCGATAGTTCCTACTTGGTGATGAAGTGTGATGGGGACACCATTAGGTGGAGCATGGCGGGCTTTTATACACTGACTCTGTATTACGAGCTTACTATTGTCCCAAGCCAATTTCAGCTCTTTTTAAAATTAGGGTCCCAACGCTAATGCGCAGCTGAGTTGAAACAGCCCGACACAAAGCGGAACCATCATACCTCAGTTGGGCAGTTTGTTTTATCCCAAGACAGGGGTTAAATACTGTATTGTAGATTATGGCGAGTGGACAAGACCAGCGAGGCAAAGGAAAAAAAGGGGGTGATCAGGCGAGGCAAAGGGGACGACCAGGCGAGGGCGAGGGCAAAGGGGACGACCACAACAAAACTCCTCACCAGATACTCATGTGGATCTGCACCAACCTGTCCTTGCCTTGCTACAGTACAGTACATACTGGTATGCTGTCTGCCTGTCCGTCCGTCATGCCATTGCCATTTTCCGTCACTTTAGCTTTGGCCTTCTTCCTTCCTTCACTCTCTCCTTGCTTGGGACATGCATGAGCCATGTGCCGAGGTGTGACCGTGCACGGAGGTGTAACGGCTACTTCTAGTTGGGCTTGTTTCTGTGTTTGTGTTTGTGTTTGTGTTTGTTTCTGTGTTTTTGTTTGTTCTGTGTTTTTGTTTGTTCTGTGTTTTTGTTTGTTCTGTGTTTTTGTTGCTCCGTTTCATCCCCTTTTTCGCCTTTTTCTTCTCTCTTCTCTCTTCCATTAATCGACCTCATGTTCTGTCGAAGCCAACAAGATTTGCAACTGCACGAAAACAGGTGCCTAAACCTTGACACACAAAGGCTGGAGGACTAAGCAGAAAAAGGAAAATGGAAAAAATGGAAAATAAAATGGAAAAATGGCCTTTTTTGAGAACACCAGGGTCCAGCCCGGAAATAACCAGACCACCACAAACCACTATAATGGCGGATAATCGGGGGTGGCGGGAACAACAGAATACCCTAGGAACATTGTCGTGCGCCATTTTTTCAACAAATACCGGAAAATATTATCTGCGAGGCCCCCTCTGTCTTTCAGTATGAGTACGACTACCTTGTACGTACAATACAGCTCGTCTGCCGAGTTATTTTTTCTTTTGGCTCACGCTTTTTTCACTCGACGGTTTTTTGTCCCGTTTTTCGGTGCACGGTTTTTCGATTCGCTGTCTTTGGCAAGAAACGACATGGTCCAAGGTTAACCGTGAGACACGGTCTCTACTCTCGTTGGCTGAGCGGCCCAAAGAGGCAGAAATAAGCAAAACGCCATACGAGGCTCGGTCTGGAGAGGCTCAGTCTGGAGAGCTAGAGGCTCAGTCTGGAGAGCCCAGAGGCTCAGACTGTAGAGTGAGTACGCTCTTGTACGAGTACTGTACATTCAAGAGCGTGACATATGCTGCACTCTACTCACCGAACTTCACTCTGGACTCCACCAACATACCCGCTCACCACTGTCATGTTTCACCTTGACAGCTGCTCCGAAAAAGGTACCGCACGGTTTGGAGGAGCGGCCGCAGAATGTGTTTGTTGACAAGGAAACATCCACTAGTGGATCTACAGAAAGCGAGGCTAACCAAGCAGAAAGGCACTGGACAGTACACACGGGAGGAAACAATGGCCTGGACACGTGAAGAGCTCACTAAACATTGCTTCCAGAATAGCAACCCGACACCAAACACTACACACCGCCCTCGCCCTGCAGCTATACCCATGTGAGAGGTGCAGCCAGAGACGGCGTCCGATCCGGGTCGTGATCAAACGTACAGCAGCGCGGCAGAGAAGAGGCAGTGCGGTAATATGTGATCTAGTTGGAGTGGTGCGGTTGGAGTGGGTTCGGTTGGAGTGCAAATTCTACGTCAAGGCAATGGCACGGAGAAGATGTGCCATTGACCATGTATGGTTCAGACAGTAAAAAGTCGTCTTGCTCGTTTCCTCGTCCAAGTATTCGTACTCGTACCATACTCATACACTCACTTCAATAAGCACTACCAAAACGGAAACTTCAATATATGCCGTACAGTGCCTTTCGAATCTAAAGCGAAGACATCAGATTGCTCTCCAATGAGACCGGCTCCGGAACTATGGACTTGTACGTGTTCCTTTATTGACTGCCTTTGGTTTCTTGTGCACCAATGAGAGTCATAGATGTGTTCAAGACATCTGTCTATCGTTTTGCATGCACAACTCGTACAGGTACAGGTACTTCTACTAGATCTCGTCAATTGAATATGAGCGGCAATAACGATTCAAACGAGTGTTGGACGCTCTACAGATCGCTTCATCTTGTCCATCCTATGAATCGCACCTCCTCTCCACCAGAAGATCATGGTCTGCTATTTCCAAGATTCATGGCCTGTTCTTTGCAATCATGATCGCATCTGACAGCCCTCCTACCTCCTCAATCGATGCCAGCCCTTACATGTATACATGTATGCAGACAGACACATTCAGCTGGTCCTCCTGCGTTGTGACAGAAGACGACCTGGACATCCTGTAACTTGACAGTGTAGATCGTTAGAGGTATGGCACTTGCACCGATAGTCTCAAACATGACACTTCTCCTTCGTAAATGCACCGTGTCAGTATGTAGTACCTCATTTTTTTCGCCCCTTCATTGATCCTTCTTCCAAGAGGGTCGCAACCCACCCCTGATCCTTCCAATGTTATGGTATTCGCTATTTACATGATTCCCCGAAAGGGTTGTACCAAAACGAGCTCCAACGGTGATTGTCAGACTGTCCCGATCATTATCCGACTGACGGAACCACGGTCACACTAACCCGACCACTGCCCCACATGAGTTTGCTCGTTAAAACCCCTCCAATCTCGCCTGAACCTCCTCCTTGCCTAGAAACCACCGGATCTTGTCCATGCTCGCCCCCGGAGTGCCGTCAGCAATGACCTTACGAAGCACCTGGTAAATCTGCTTCTTATCGTATCGGGTATCCAGTATAGCAATGCCCATCTTGACGTCCTTGGCCTCTGCAATGGTTCGAACCATCTTCTCCTCCTCCAGAGTGAGCATGGGCCGCATGGGCCGCTCAAACAGGAACCGACAGGTGGTTACAAACTCCTCCACGTTGCCAAAGGAACCCTTCATGATCTCCATGGCGGTCAGGCAGTCGTCCAGCGTCTTGGTGGTGCCCGTCTCCTTCTTCATGGCCTCGTAGTACGGCTTGATCCACTCCTTGTCTCCCGGGTTTTTGATTCGACCATACATGTAGTGCTTGTTGTAGTAGACAAGCTTGCTGAAGTCGACCTTGGCATTGCCCTTGGTAAGGGTCTTGAGGTCGAAAATCTGCTCCATTCGCGACAGACCGATTCGATCCGACGCCTGAATGTGGTTGTGGGACCAGCCGAAATGCAGGACAAAGTTGAGAATGGCCTCGGGCAGATAGCCGTTCTCAAGAAGAGACATGACGTCGATGTCCCCAGACCGCTTACTGAGCTTCTTGTTGTCCACAGAAGTCAGCAGGGGAATGTGCACAAACCGAGGAGGGGTCCAGCCAAACGCCTCATACAGAGCAATGTGCTTGGGGGTGGAGGGCATCCATTCTTCGCCCCGAATAACCGTGGTGATCTTCATGAGGTGGTCGTCAACGACATTGGCAAGATGGTAAGTGGGCAGTCCGTCGCTCTTGAGAAGCACAATGTCGTCAAACCGGGTATCGTTGGCGTTTCTCTGCACCTGGATGTTCACCTGTCCATGCAATTCGTCCGTGTAAGAAGGGTATAGGTCGGGGGCCTTGAAACGCACGACATATTCTCCGTTGTTGGAGTCGGAAGCCACGCCATGCGCGCACTTTCGGTCGTATGAGGCCATGGAAGGAGGCACGAGAGCCCGCGCACTGTCTCGCAGATCATCCAGTCGGTCCTTGGAACAGTAGCACTTGTACGCATGTCCAGACTCCAGCAGCTGGTCCACGTACTTTCTGTAAATGTCCGATCTCTCCGACTGTTTGTACGGTCCGTAGGGTCCTCCCACCTTGGGGCTTTCGTCAGCCTTGATCCCCAGCTTGTCCAGAGTCTGGTACAGATGTTCTTCGGCCCCAGGCACCAGTCGGGTCTGATCTGTGTCCTCCACTCGCAGCAGGAACTGTCCCGCCGTCACCTTGGCCTGCAGGTAGTTGTAGAGGGCCGTTCGCAACGAGCCGAGATGCAGCAGGCCTGTTGGCGACGGCGCGAATCGGGTTCGTTCAGGCCCCTGTGACTGTTTAGCCGGGTTGGGGGTCTTCTTCTTATCGGTGGCTTTTCGCAGGCTGAACGAGCTGTGTCGGGTCTGTATCTGCACGGCCAATGGCTGCCGGACACGTGGCAAGGCCAGACGCGGGCCTGTGCGCATCCACAACGTCATTTTTCGCGGTAGATATCGTCTTGTCGAGGCGGTTGAAGCTGCTGGAAAAAACTAAGTTCGCGGTACCAAAATCCGACACAAGCTCTTTTTCACCACTCTCGCAAAAAGCTTAGCCGAAGATACATAATGTCCAAAGCATATATTGAGCAGGTTGTGTGCAACTTCTTTCAACCAACTCACCCAACACCACACTCACTACACCACGTTCGACCTAAGGCTCCACCAGCACCCACTTTCAAAATTCAGCGCCAAAACGAAACCCCCTTTTTTGCACAGACTCAGATGTACTCGAGACCGCCACAATACCAGGGATACTCAGCAAACTACCCGAGCGGGTACAACTCGGAGGTTGTGAGAATGCAGAATTGTGAGTATGATCCGACACGGAAAAAAAAAACCGTGACACAGCACAGAACCCGGGGCCTAGGACGGGAGAGGAGCAGAAGGGAGGGGACTAGTAGGACTGGAGAGTGGGAGGCCGGAAGAGACCAGCACTACCACGGTGTTTGTGTCTTTGGCGCATCTCTCTCTCCCCCTCTCTACTTGTCTGGTCACACGTGCATCTTGTACTTGCTCGCGTTCATGTGCTTCTCCACGGAGAGAATGTAGGTGGGCCACCAAGCAGGTGGTGAAGAAGGCCGTGATCGCGGGGGAAAGCGTGTTCAAGACTGTCAAATCCGATGACCGAACTGCTTGTGTCCATCCCAACCCATCACCTCTTCATCTCTCCTTCCACTACCCCTGGCTGATCTCTTAAGGTGGAGGAAGGACAAGACCCACGCAACACGCCCAAAGCAACATACTAACCTAGTGGCAACTTCACGAATCAAATTCAACGCCGGACGGACGTTTGACTCGCTCGACGACGTCGAGTTCTGCCCCAACCTCCTCGAGGAAGAACGACTCAACAATGCATCCCCCCATATGCTGACGCCCGACCAGGAGCTGCGAAACGCCATCTCCAGACAGTACGGCGGATCCAACTACTCGTACTCGTCCCCTCTTTCGCCCTCTCCCAGCGGCTCTGCCGGCGTGACCCGGGCCAAAAAGGCGCTTGAGATCATCGATCCCGCCACCGGACGAGCTTCCACCCCTACCAACATGGATACCGGCTCCCCTCGGAAGCTCTAGATATTTATTGCATCATAACTTATTTAAGCGGAGCACGTTGATTTCCTCAGACTCTTAGAGATGGGCGAAAACCGTGCTATGATGCGATTAATGTACATTATCGTTTATGAAGGCTCTGTGAGCGCAACAGCCGCATGGTCATGAAGAGGTGTAGCCAGGAAGGGTTCTTGTAGACTCTTTGGTCTGTCAACGACATACAAGTACGACCAGTGTTCCGTATGCGAGTCCTCTAGACTGAAAAGTGATCCACATTAGACTGGAGCCAACTACTTGTACAGCAGCTCAGAGTGACTAAAAGTAGTGACATGAACAGGTGCGAGACCAAGACGCGGCTTGTTTATAAAACAGTATCATCTAATAAGATGATATAACCGTACGCTATACATCCGGGAAGTAGAATAGGTCTACAACAATGTGTCATGCCTGGACAAGTGTTTGAGTACAAGCAGTACTTGAACCCGCATTGAGACAAGTTATATACAGCAGATGTCCCTCTTTCCTACTCTTCCTCTTACCAGCAAGTCATTCCTGTCTACCAAGACACTTCAGTCAGGTTGGACTCAACGACTACAAAACAATGAATGTACGAGTACATACTGTACAAGTATATACCGTGTGGCAGTACAGTGGTTGTAGGTCGGTTACTATCGCGCGACCAAGGGAGACTAGCTACAGTGTGATTCACTTTACACCTCTTTCACCACTTCTTGTACACTCCTTCACCGCCCTACTCTATACAAAGTCATATCTCATTAATCTTACAGTCATAAAGGTGGTCATTATTTTGGTCATGTCTTTTGTCAAGCGTCTTGATCTAGCTCAACAATACAATCAAGATAATGAGAATGAAGACCAGAATTATGATGGTCAGCAGCGAGCCGGACTCCTTGGCTCGTCGCGAAAAGTCGTCCAGTCGTCGTCGAGCCAGATTCAGACGTCCGTCACTGTTGTCCACCTGGGCCTCAATATCGTCCAGCATGACGTTATGGGAGTCGACTTCGGCTCCAATCTGCAGACTGAGCTGATGCTGGCGAGAAACCGACTGAGCTAGAGTACTCAGTCGCTCGTCCTGCTCGCCCATGTCTTCTCTTTGCGAGTACACAACCTGCTGTGTCGACAGCCCCTCGAATCGGGCTGCTGGGCTGGGCTCTTCGTCTGTGTATCTCTCGGGAATCAGGGCCTCGGGGTCGTCTCGGTATGGTTCAAAGTCTCGGTGCTGGTCGTTGAGACTATGGGCACCACTGGTTTCCTCCAGGTTGTTGTCTCGGAACTTGACCGACTTCTTTTTGCTGACGAACAGCGACTCGTTGAGATACAAGTCCGGCAGATCCGTGTCACTGATCTTCTCGTACGCCTGCACCAGGTTGTGGTAGTCCTCTCGCACTCGGGTCAGGGTTCCAACATCCTTTCCGTGGGTTGCTGCTTGTCGGTTGTCCAAAAGGCCCTGTTTGATGTTTTCCAGCGCCCGCTCAATGTCGCGGTCGTCCGACTCCGCCGCCTTGATTCCCAGCAGCGTCAGCCGCTCTCGTTCGTCAATAGCCACTTGGGTCTGGTCCACCAAGAGTACCAGGTTTGTCATTGAAGTAAGTATGTATGTACGATACCTGTGAGCAAGCAAAAAAGAGATGGGACTAGTGTTCTGATAAAGACCGAGAGAGCTGTTTGTGTGTGTATCGCTTCCTTTGATCGCCTTCTGTGGTCGTCTTTGTCGTTATCGGTCGCTCGCTGCTGTCGTCTTATCGCAGTATGTAGACCGGCTGTAATAATGTTAACAGTCGTGTTTACCCACTGGAACCGAACTGCCAACCTTAGTCAGCCGCTGTGTATGTGGCGCACCGTTAACATTATGCTCCAGTATTACCCCATACTAAAAATACCACTGGCACCCGCCAAACTGCACTACTTACTGGTACAACATCTACGAATACACATCTACACCAAATGGAACCTCTAGCAAGAACGCTGCCGCCAGGGGACGAAAACATCACCCTGGACTACTGGTCGCTCGAATACATGGACCTGCCGGAGCAACTGTCATGCCCAGTGTGCACCTGTGGATTCGTGACTCCATACTCCACAAAGTGTGGCCACACCTTCTGCCGGCTGTGCATTCTGTCTACAATGCGTGTGGCGGACTCGGGCAACCGCTGTCCCATTTGCCGCAGCCAAATCGACCCAGAAACGCTACAGCCAGCGCCCCTGGTGCTGGTTGATCTGGTGAACGAGCTGCAGGTCAAGTGCCCGTTCACAAACCGAGGCTGTGCACATGTGGGGCCCCGAAGCCAGATGGAAATGCACTGCCGTCAACAGTGCGACTATGCACAGGTCCCATGTCGCGGCAAGACGGAAGAGGGGACAGTATGTGGCGAACTGGTGCATCGACGCTATGTGGCGGAAGAACATATCAAGGAGTTGCAACAGCGTCTGCCGGGCGTTACGTGTGTGCATACCAAGGTCACGTGCTTGCAAGGATGCGACGTGGAAATGCCCTTCATTGCTTACATTGATCACTGCAAACAGGAGTGTACAGAGTCACATTTGAGCTGTCTATTCTGTCAGGAGACAATCACCGCACAGCTACATGACGATCACATGTCCGAGTGTTCGGAACGACCCATTAGTTGTCCGGCCGAGAAGTTTGGGTGTCGATGGGAAGGTGCAAGACGTCTGAGCCACATTCATACAGCTTCCTGCACGTATTCTCAGCTGGCACCTGTTTTGGAAGCCCAGGAGGAAAAAATTGAAGGCCTCCGACACGAGAACCAGGCGCTACGGTATCGCCTAGATCGTCTGGATCTCCAGCAGTCTGCAGATGCGGGCTTTGAGCTGCTTCCCAGTGTCACGCGAGACGATCTACAAGGTGTGCGAACTGAGTGTGACAAGATGAGAGGCGACATCCTGGCCATCAACCAGTTGCTGGCGGACTACGAGGTGAACACGTCGATGCAGACGATGCGGGAAAACATGCGGACTCGAGACGACATCCATGCAATTGTGAATGTGGTTTCAGGTCTGCGTCACCAGATGCATTTATTGATGACTGAGCGACGTCGGCATTTTGTGGGCCACTCGGTGCCTCCTCTGGGGACTCCTCCTGTTCCCATGGAGGGCAGTTCATCCGAATGGAGCTCTACTCCTCCAGAGCTACAGCGTCGAAGCAGCGATCCTACCAGGCAGGAGGTGAAGCTATAGGGCCATAGGGGAGGGGTATTTGGTCAAGGTATTTATCAGCATGTTGTACGTGGCAAGAGGTGTCACGCACAGCCAATTATAAGTGAATGAATTATTCATCCAGGCCCCAGGGGTGGTGGTAATTGAATGTGGTAAGGTAGCTCCACTACAATGGCTAGCGCTGAAGAAGTGTATGGTCTACATGCCTTCAAAGAACATCAGATGAGGCCGGAGTGAAGCTCATAGACACTTTGACGAAAGAACAACGCGTAGATATCATGAAGGGGGCTTGAATTTTCCACATTGCTCCTCTCCAAGTTTCTCCCGAAATCCTCTCAAAAAAAACAAAAAACAAAAAAACAACAACAAAAAAAAAACCCACACTTCAAATAAGCTTCCTGACCCTGCGCTGATAAGTCGTCAGACATCTGACCTCTTATTTTGTCATGCTCCCACATCTGAGAAACGGCCTGAAACTCGCCATGGAAACACCAATTGTGAAACCGCGTCTGGATTCGCGCGATTACAAGTCTGTGCGGCTCGGCAACCGCCTCGAGGCTCTGCTGGTGGCAGACAAGACGACCACCATGTCTTCGGCCTCTCTAGCCGTTCATGCCGGCTACTACGATGATCCCGAAGACTTGCCTGGGCTGGCGCATTTCTGCGAGCACCTCATGTTTCTGGGCACCAAAAAGTACCCTCGCGAGAACGAGTACAAGCAGTTCATTTTGACCAACAGCGGCGCTAGTAACGCCTTCACGTCCACCCAGATCACCAACTACCACTTCCAGATCAAAAACAGCGCGTTCCAAGAAGCCGTGGACCGCTTTGCGCAGTTTTTCATCGAGCCGCTATTCGATCCGGACTGCAAAGACCGTGAAATCAACGCCGTCAACTCGGAGCACGAGAAAAACACACAGTTGGACTCCAGGCGTATCTTGCATGTATCTAGACTGACGGGTAGTAAAGAGCACCCCCACCACAAGTTCAGTACAGGCAGCAAACACACTCTGGACAAGCCTGGAGTGCGAGATCGGCTTCTAGAGTTCCACAAGAACCAGTATTGTGCGTCCAAGATGCGCCTGGTGCTCATGGGCCGCGACATGGGCGAGCTGGAGAATCTGGTGCAGGTTTTCGAGGACATTCCTAACAAGAACCTGCCCATTCCAGTACTCAAACAGCCCATGCTGGACCCCCGAAACTCGTTTCTGCAGATTGTGCCGCTCTCAGAGAAACGGTTTGTCAAGTACGAATTTGAGGTGCCTGGATGGAGACAACTGGGAGAGTACTCCGTCAATTCGTACTACGCACAGCTGGTGGGCCACGAATCACCCGGAAGTCTGTACTGGTACCTCAAACAAAAGGGCTGGGCCGACTCTGTGTCTGCTCATATCAACTATCTCTCTTCCGAGGGAGGGCTCTTTTCTGTGACAGTGAATCTCACCACTGAGGGTGCACAGCATACTGAAGAAATCGGAGCAGCTCTATTCGAGTATTTGGCTATGCTGCGGGCTGAGGGCCCCCAAAAGTGGTTCTTTGATGAGTCCAAGGACATCTGTCAGCTGTTTTTCGATTTCAAAGAGACTCCCACTCAGATCATGAGCGAGGCATCCGCATTGTCAGCAACTTTTGCCAACAAGCAGTGTGCTGCATCGGAGGTAGTGAGCTACAACCACCTGATGAAGACCTACAATGCAGAAGTTCTGGAGGAGTTTCTGACCAGATTGACTCCTGATAACCTCAGAGTGACTCTTGTGGCTCCTGAAGTGAAGGACAAGTGTGATTTGACTGAACAGCACTGCGGAACCAAGTATAGTGTTTCTCAGTTAAAGAAAGAGACTGTGGACAAGTTTAGTGAGGCGCTCAAATCTTCTTTTCCCAAGAGATTCCATCTCCCTCAGAAAAATCCTTACATTGCAGAGGAGTTTACTATTTTGAATGAGAAGAAAGAAGATATCCCTTTGACAGAGCACTACAAGCCCAAGACTCTCTCTCCCACATTGTCTTACTTCCCAGATCACATGTTTGAAACCCCCAAAGGTATGATTATTGTCGGATTGAACCATCCAAATACTAGCGACACAGTCAGAAACTCATTGCTAACCCGTCTCGCATGCAGTCTGTGGAGTGATGCTGCTGAAAAGTACTCGTACGATGCTGCCTCTGCCGGTCTCGGTCTTTCCATCCACAGAGGCACCTATGGAGTGATTGTGCAGGTTGCTGGGTTCAATGACAAGCTGTCTGTGTTGTTGGATCAGTCGTACGAGACTCTCAAGTCTGATATCGACCCTGGACGGTTTAGTCTGCGTCTTGAGCGACTCAAGCGAGCTCTTTCCAACGCCAAGTTCAACAGCTCGTTCCAGATCATTGACGAGTATCTTTCTGCCGAAGTCGATGAGCAACAGTTCACTTTGGAAGAGCGTCTAGCTTCCATAGAAGAAAAGGAAATCACTCTTGAGGAAGTCAGGGCTCATATGGCCAAGATCATTTCCGAATGCTCTCCTCGAGTTTTGGTCTCAGGCAATTTCAGCGAGTCCAAGGCCCATGAGATTCATGGCAGAGTTATTGAAGAGTTCAAGTGTGGAGATGTGCTTAATCTGCCTCAAAAACTGATCTCTACACCCCTTTATGGCTCCAAGATTGCTGCTAGACCCTCTCTCAATGTGGACAATGCTGACAACTGTGTTCTGTATTACTTTGAGTCGACGCAGGTTGAAAAGGCCCGCCTGTTGGCTTATATAATCAAGGAGCCTGCGTTTACGTTTCTGCGAACCAAGAAACAGCTTGGTTACGTTGCTCGAGCGGGATTTGAACGCAACTTTTCCACTGGTGGTCTTTCTCTACTCACCCAGTCGGCCTACCATGCTGACGATGTCAAGGCTCTAATGGACGAGTTCCTCACTGTGCACATGGCTGCCATTATGGAAAAGATGACGGTCGAGGAGTTTGAAAAGTACACTGCTGGATTCATTGCCCAGGTGTCCAAACCTCCCAAGTCGTTGATGGTACAGTCTCGGCATGTTTGGAGCAAGCTGTGCAACAGCTGGGGCTTCAATGTTGACGCCGAAGCAATCGAGCTGGCCAAAACGGTGTCTCTTGAAGAGATGAAGCAGTTCTACAATGAGCTGTTTGATACTGACAAGCGGTCTCTTTGTGTGCAGATCAACACGTCCAAGGAGAGCAAGCGGTATGATCTGGAGGATAAGAAGGGGAGAACTAACAAGGGCGGGCATATTTCTGCCAACATTTGAGCGCAGACATGTTCGTTGAGGATCTATATTGTGTCTCATGTGATTAGTATCGCTATAGGTACCGCTACAAGTAGTAAGTACATTATTTTCTCACGAGACATACAGTACAGTAGCTAAAAGTAGACATATTGGGTGCTGTGACCCACTTTCTAAGTCATTGTTTCATTACTAATAAATACTATCTAAACATGCGTCCATCTCCTCCTCCTCCCTGTCGTCTCCAATGAGCATTGGGAACCTGTCCACTTTCCAACTTGTACATTCTCCAGGCCTCCCGCACATGTTCTGGCAACAGAGGCGACGCGTTTTCGTAAGTGTCGTCTCCCTCATATCGCGGGTTCATCCGCAGTTGCACGTCCTTGGCCTTCTCGATGATCTCTCCAATAAACACCTTGGAGATACCTGACAGTACCACCGCGACGTTGGCGGTGATACTCTGGTTGAGAACAGCGTTGGCGAGCTTTTTCACACCGGGCCGGTTGATGTTAGCTCGTCGAAAGACCTCGTATCGGTTCATCTGCTCGGTGTCGAAGTTCTTCATGAGAATCCGCAGCTTTTCGGCCTCCATTTCCTGGTTGGTCATTTCTCCACTGGCGTTGTTGCCCAGTAACGACGTAAGTCCCTGGCCGTCGTCCTCATCTTCCTCTTCGTTTTCATCTCCCGACTCGGGCATTTCCTGGGCTTTTCCGTCGTCCAACTTCTTTTTCTTCGCCATGGTGTGTGTTGTAGATGACCGATGGCTCACTAGGAGATGTGCATGCACGGTCATGTGATGCGGTGGGAGAGTCAGGGTGTTGCTGACGTAATGAGATGGGAGATAGGCTAGTTCAGAAGGGCGAGGAGGAGCAAATGGGGCGAGGTTTAGATGGATTGGGATGGGGGTGTGTTTTTGCCCTATGATTCTCCGACTTGAGATTCTGATTTGAAGTTATGACTTCCGACTGGATTCCAGAACAACTTGAAAATTCCGAAACTTTGTTCAACAAAAAGTCAACTAGTCAATCAACTAAAGTAGAGAAGTTGCTGATTAGACTGTTGCCATAGCTGGGGAGTTGATGAAGCTTCACTTGGTGTAGTCAAGACGTGTCGACCACAACCAATTCACATCCGAGACACAGCCTACACCCAGTTGCACATTGCTCGAACATTCCACGTACGGCACTAGCCACCGGACATGGATGCTGCATCTCGGAGTATGGAGTAAATTGATCCAGTGAGACCAAGACCGTGCGTGCCAACCGACAGCCCTGTCCCGTATAAACCCCGTCGTGCACTCATCCAAATCACCCCATTCAAATCCCGCGATAGCTACGGAGAGTCTAGGTTGAGGGATTACACAGTAGGTCGCTGAGCGTAATACCATTCCGTGCCGAGTCTGATGACAGATCAGCCCAGAGAGATAGCGATACTCTAACGGTACGGTACCGGCGCACTAACGAAAGGTCTTCTTTGAAATTTGGCACCGCGAGCAAACAGCAGTGTAGCGAGCACCATTGTACGGTATTGGTGCTGGGATCAACACGTCTTCCTGGGCGAGTGAGTACTCCTCGTACCAAAGGCCACCGCTATATCACCAAGTACAGGTACCGGAAAATCTCAAACCTAAGTCGGCCGACCGAGACTCCGGACATGCAACTTGTTGAGCACAATGTTCTGAGCCTGTTGTAATTATGTTGCGTAAGTGAGAGTGAGTACAGTAGGTGGTACTCTTAGCCGTTCTGGTACTGGTAGGAATAAGGATGAGTGAGTTTACAGGGTTTAGAGGGGTTCTTATACTTGTCCGTGGATGACAAGATTACATTGGGGGAGTTGTGTAGGTGTTTGGAGAGGTGCAATGGCACTTGTTTGGCACTACAAGAGCTCGTACTCGCCACAGGTTCGAGGAGCCCCCCCAAGGAAGCCCCACAGAAAGTCCAATGGAAGGTCCAGCCGTGCATCCCCAACACTTCAGTTCACGCATCATACTCTGGCCGTCGTATTTCCCACGCTAAGGCAAGGTTGGCGCTAACAAGTCGACCGAGATGGAGAGAACAAGGGCTGAAGTGGGCTCATTTTTTTTTCAAGCGAAATACTAAGAGGCACAACGGGGCAGGAGTAGGGCTGGGCTGGGAGAAAACGACCAGGCGATAGGCGATCTGTAAAAAAACCGACTCCGCAAGCCGCATAAGAAGTACCCCTCATCAGATACGAGGCCGGATGTGCGGAGCAATTGCGGGGTCAATGTGCATGGATTGGTCTTTTGTTGTGGTTTCGTCTCTTGTCTCTGACTTTTTCGAATCCGCCCGACCGGCAAACTCATGCTTTAGACTCAACCGTACTGCACACTTGGCGATATACGGTTTCTGTAGGTGCATCTGACAAGTATGGTGGAGACGAGGGAGTCAGGTGTTTTTTCAAAGAGATGGGACTGGAGGCGGAAGGAGAGCAGATAAGTGGAATCTGCAAGCACCAATCGACTCAGAGCCGCCAAAACACCCCAGATCAACACTCTCCCGCCTCCTCCCGCCCCTCGTTCAGCTCCCCCACACCTCCCTTTCTCGTGCAGCAAGTACATGTGGGGAGTGAGTTAGGGCTACTTCCCGAAAGAAGTTTGTCGAGAGCCGCAAATGTGGCCAAATGGAGCTCGGAGCTGTATAAAGAGCAGCCAAATCCCCAGCTCCAGGTCCCTACAACCAACTACTACTACCACCACCACCACCACTCATCACAATGTCTGCTCCCGTCATCCCCAAGACCCAGAAGGGTGTCATCTTCGAGACCTCCGGCGGTCCTCTCATGTACAAGGACATCCCCGTGCCTGTGCCTGCCGACGACGAGATTCTGGTCAACGTCAAGTTCTCCGGAGTCTGCCACACGGATCTGCACGCCTGGAAGGGCGACTGGCCTCTGGACACCAAGCTTCCTCTGGTCGGAGGCCACGAGGGTGCCGGAGTGGTTGTTGCCAAGGGTAAGAACGTTGACACGTTTGAGATTGGCGACTATGCCGGCATCAAGTGGATCAACAAGGCCTGCTACACCTGCGAGTTCTGCCAGGTGGCCGCCGAGCCCAACTGTCCCAACGCTACCATGTCTGGATACACCCACGACGGCTCTTTCCAGCAGTACGCCACCGCCAACGCCGTGCAGGCCGCGCACATTCCCAAGAACTGCGATCTCGCCGAGATTGCCCCCATTCTGTGCGCCGGAATCACCGTCTACAAGGCTCTCAAGACTGCCGCCATCCTCGCTGGCCAGTGGGTTGCCGTTACTGGTGCTGGAGGAGGACTCGGAACACTTGCTGTCCAGTACGCCAAGGCCATGGGCTACCGAGTGCTGGCCATTGACACTGGCGCCGACAAGGAGAAGATGTGCAAGGACCTTGGTGCCGAGGTTTTCATCGACTTTGCCAAGACCAAGGACCTCGTCAAGGACGTCCAGGAGGCCACCAAGGGCGGACCCCACGCCGTCATCAATGTGTCTGTCTCCGAGTTTGCAGTCAACCAGTCCATTGAGTACGTGCGAACCCTGGGAACCGTTGTTTTGGTCGGTCTGCCCGCCGGCGCCGTCTGCAAGTCTCCCATCTTCCAGCAGGTGGCTCGATCTATCCAGATCAAGGGCTCTTACGTTGGAAACCGAGCCGACTCCCAGGAGGCCATTGAGTTCTTCTCCCGAGGTCTCGTCAAGTCGCCCATCATCATCATCGGTCTGTCCGAGCTGGAAAAGGTCTACAAGCTTATGGAGGAGGGCAAGATTGCCGGCCGATACGTTCTGGACACCTCCAAGTAAGCGAGGCGACAAGTATTTATAATGAGATATGATTTACGTGCAACAGGAGGAGATATGAACACTGTAGGGTGGTCTGAAGATTTCGATACCAACGAAGAAGTAAACGTTGGACCATATATGGAATGACTACAAGTACTGACACTAGTGTGCACCTGCGACCAGCCGTTGCCAATTGGGGAATTCACCTGTGTAACCACTCACAATGTTTCCGACGGCGATATGAAGAGCGGAATCACAACCAGAAAACAACCAGAATCTGATCAAGTCGACACAACCGACACTGATTGAACATGGACCGAAAAGTTATTAGATCCATGAGCAGCTTGACGGACCAACAGGAGGATTGATATCCGTTGCAGTTATTGTGTTCATCTGATAAGACATTGACGCGATCTGTTGGGCCTTCAAGGTGACATAAACAGAAAGAACGGGGCTTATTAAGATGCAACAGTCGATACATGAAGTGGTAATATCACCAGCCGGTATCAGAGACCTGAGGAAGAGAGAGAAATGGCTACAACCATGGTAGAAAATAGAAGACACGGACCCTGACTCGTCTCACGGTTCAGGTGGTGTCATTATGGACCACCATGGAGGAGATATCGGTCGGAGACGTCTGACTGAGAGGTATACAACGATTCACGTTCTTCAAAGGACTCCTGGAAGTACTCACAGCACCGAAATGGTTGAAAACTGCATATAGAAACCGACAAGCTGTGTGCATTTCAGCTTCAAGGTGGTTGTTGAAAAGTTGATATAAACTCCACGGAGGAGGAAGTACAATAGTTGGATAGTCAGTAGTTGTATCCATATCCAAGCAACAGTGACAGAGCATCCTCCTCCCTCGCAGAAGGTCTCTGTGCTACATGTTGCGCTCGCATTCGTTCCCCACTTCAGTAACTCGCTGTAATCTCCTCCACTTTTTCTTAGTTCATCTAGTCCATCTACTTAACAGGCCATCACAAATATACAAGTGTTGTATACGCGATACTGACCCAAATTATCCAAAGAACTCAAGACAGGCCCATATTTTTCCCCTGGCATTCATAGAACAGTTGAGACTCGTTATCTACGACCCTATCGTTGGACGAGGTTCCTGTCCTTACCCTGGCCCCTATTTTAAATAATATATATCAAACGATAGTCAGATAGACAGACAGTCAGATAGACAGACAGTCAGATAACAGACAGAGAGAGAATCAGACAGACAGGGTGAGAATCAGACAGACAGACAGACACCCAGTCCGTCAGACACAGTCCGACACCCAGTCAGACGCTCGCTCGTGTTCCTTACCAACTCCGCAGTAGCTGTTTCAGAATATCCTGAAACAACAGGGGAGAATCAGAGACAAGGGCGATTGGGAGACACGATTCGGATTCGGAGACAGAGCGCTTCAGAGAAAGAGCAATTCGGAGCGATTACATAATACAAGAGGTTTCAGCACGAGCAATAGGGCCGTTTTATGACAGTTAGCACTCTACCGACCTATCGGTTCCGGTGCAGTCCAAATCAGCCGCTTGTCAACATGTTCTCGTACAAGTACGTACGATACTCGTTGTATATTCTGACAGCACCAGTGCACCTCCCACCAAAACCAAAATCAACATTGACAACTTTTTGGAGTCTACGTGTCACGAGGGTTTATAGCGAGAAGAGTAGCTGAGGAGACGAAAGGTGGCTGATTTTGACACAAACAAACGGCCAACCGACAAACGACATTAGCCAATAGAAACGAAACGCGTCGCTTGGCGTCCACGGCGGCGTTTGAGACCAAAAAACACGCGAAAAGTTGACATCTCTGCGCCTGGCGAGACTCGGGCCCTAACCCTAATGGTCTGCGCCAACAGCGCTGTTATGTAGACTCGTACACCGGTACCTTGAGTAGCCCCTTTTCTACCAGACACGACATATCGAAAAACCTGCACAGAATCATGAGTTCTTCGGCTATTGTGAGTGTGGAAAGACGGAATTGGACGGTGAACAGACGCCTCTAACACAGCTGCGACGAAAGAAAAACGTCAAGAAGGGCATTTCCTTCTCCATCATGGTGGTGGGTGCTTCGGGCACCGGAAGAACCACCTTCATTAACTCGCTGTGCGGAGTGGAAGTGCTTTCCCCACAAGAGTATACTCCCGAGCACGCCCATCTTGATCCCGGAATCGAGGTCCAGCCCCGAACCGTCGATCTGGACGAGGAAGACGGCACCCGAGTGACCCTCACCATTGTTGACACCCCCGGATTTGGAGACAACATCAACAATGACGAGTGTTTTGACGCCATTCTCAAGTACCTGGAGCACCAGTACGACGACATTCTGTCCGAAGAGTCGCGAATCCGACGAAACCCCCGGTTCAAGGATAACAGAGTCCACGTGCTGCTCTACTTTATCGAAGCCACAGGCCACGGACTCCGAGAGCTCGACGTGGAGCTCATGAAGCGACTGTCCAAGCGAGTCAACATCATCCCCGTGATTGGCCGATCAGACGCCCTCACCCCCGCAGAGGTCGCCCTCAACAAACGCCTCATCATGGACGACGTGGACCACCACCAGATTCCCATCTACAACTTCCCCTTTGATCCCGAAGACGACGACGAGGAAACCATAGAGGAAAACACCTACCTGCGCAAGCTGCTGCCATTCGCCATTGTGTCTGGCAACGCCTACGCCAAGGGCCCTAACGGAGAAGACATCCCCGTGCGAGCATACCCTTGGGGTAACGTGGAGATTGAGAACCCCGAACACAGCGACTTTGTCGCTCTCAAGTCCGCACTGCTGGGCTCACACCTGCAGGACCTCAAGCTGCTGACACACGACTTTCTATACGAAAACTACCGAACCGAACGGCTGTCAAAAGGCTACTCGGGCCCCAACCCCTCGGGCGCACACGACGACTCGCTCAACCCTGAGGAGCTCGCCAACCAGAGCTACATGCTCAAGGAGGAGCAGCTGGCACGGGAGGAAGAGAAGCTACGGGAGATTGAGTTGCGGGTGCAGAAGGAAATCAATGAAAAGAAGCTGGAGCTGTTGGCTCGGGAACAAGAGCTGCGGGAGATTGAGGCCCGCATTGCCCGAGAGCGCCAGATGTCCTCCAACCCTTCGTCTCCCCAAATTAACCCGGATCTCATCAAGCAGGAGCCCGGAGAGAATGGAGCCACTATTGCTGCTGCTCCCATTCCTGCACACGTGAAGGAGGCTATTGAAAAGGAGGCTGAGGCTCAGGTGCTGGCTGCACATGCTCATGATGGAGAAGAACAGTAGTATTTATGATTGAATGGATATACGGCGCTCGAACCCTTTCGACAGCATCCTGAAGCGCAAGGACTTGGGGATCTTTAGAAAGCACTGAGAGCGTCTTTTGGCGGTATTTCGACATGAACATTTGAAGTAGGTACGGCAAGACTCTTAGGACTCTTCAACGCATGGTGGTGAATAGTACTGGCCAAACTGTACTCGTAGATGCCGCTAGAAAAAGACATGACAATACAAGGGGTGATTCAAGAAGACCCAGAGCCTCTTGATCAGAAAATACTTTGATACTACACTACAGAGTCGTATCAGAGCACTCGCAAGGTCACTCTCCATTGCCATGTATATTCAACGTCATACAATAACCCGTCTATCCTACTCGTATTTTCATTAGGTACCAACAGCTCGGATTCCATTAATCCCCTGTCGATCTTATGATAAATCTTAGACATGTATTATACCTGTACTTGTACTTGTATCATGAGCTATTGCATGTACCAGGCTACTGCAAAGATGCCATTGTCACCACCCCTCTACGATACCATTGTGTAATCCTGAATGTCTATAAATAAATACAAAACCTATAGTGCTAGGGAGGAGTTGCCGTATGCTAGAATCGGGTCCTAGTAAGGGTCCCGGAAAGTGCCAATACCAAAGGTACTGGGAGGAGCGCTGAGAGGCTCATGATTATGGTTGCGGACAAACTTTTCCTCCTTCTTGAGCGTCTGGTCGGCGCTCGTGACCCGCTTGATGGCCAAATCGTATCCATACAGCTCTGCGAGCGAGCCCTTGACGTACTGATCCGGCGCGTAATCCTCCATGTTGTCCACCGGGAAACACATGCCAATGTTTCGCACAGACGTGCTTGAAATGATCTCGGGCATGTAGGGCCGGTCTCGAGGGTCGTGCATGAGCATCCGGGCAATGAGTCTCTTGAGACCCGAACCCATCTCATTGAAATAAGGAAGAGGGGCCATTTCGCCGCCGCCAAGACGCAGATCGGACCGCGAAATGGAACCCATTCCCGTCAGATTAGAAGATGACTGACGGGGAGAGGGGACCACGGAAGACACCAAGTTGGCCTCCTCCTGAAGAGCAGCCTCTAAAGCACCCATCTGGGTAGCTCCGTTGCCGCACGAGTCAGACAAGTCGAGCTGCGAGCCCTTTCCAGTGAGCTCGTTACGGTGGAACTTCTGGAAGTTTTCCTCTCTGCGCCAGTACCGGTCCAGTTCGTCCTGGAACTTTTTGTAGTTGAGGTCGTCCATGGAGGCCTTTGCGAACAGACCTCCATTAAGCACCAGGTTAACGAAGACAATGGCACACGACCACACGTCCAGCAGCCGGCCGTCATATCGACCAATGAGCTGCTCAGGGGTGTCTTCCTTGTAGCTCACCTTGGACTCAAACACCTCGGGAGAGATGTAAGGCTCAGAACCGGAGATTCCGGCACAGTACTTGATGGGCCCGTCGGGCACCTCGGGATCGAACATTTGCACCGAGACACCAAAGTCGGTGATTTTGAGCGTTCCGTCTGTGAGCAGTAGGTTTTCGGGTTTGATGTCTCTGTGGGCAACACCGTTTCGATGCATGAAGGCCACGCCCATGAGCAGCTGCCGGAACAGGCAGTTTCGCTCGTCTTTGGGCATCTTCTTCTTCTGGGCCTTATACGACTCCAGCAGTGAGAACATGTCGCCCTGGGGGCAGAACTCCATGACACAGCACCACGAGTCGTGGTAGCCCAGACACAGCTCCATGACCCGCACAATGTTGCGGTGGCCTTGCAGCTTGCGCGAAATCACGTATTCCTCTGCCACCGAGTCGTAGAAGTCCTTAGCATCCGTGTCCGCGGAGCGCTTGTTGTAGATCTTGACGGCACGTACCATCTTGGACTCGATCTCATTCACCTTTTCGACCACGGCCGTGGCACCTCGGCCCAGCTGCTTTGTTTTCGACAGCTTCTTTTCCGCCGCGTACTTGGTGCAAATGTCCATGTCCGGAGGATCGGTGTTGTACTCCGGGGGCAGAAACTCGGACGGTTTCATGATCTTGGCAGGACTGAGCAGATATTTGGGGGTAGAGGGCACGAAGGGGATGTCGCAAATGTCACTATTATGAGGCAACGATGGCTGACGGGTCTGGGTCATGACACGGGGACGCAGAGGCTGGTGGCCCGAGTACCGTCGAGAGGTGCCAGGAGACAAGGGCATGCCTCCCGCAGAGGTGGCATGGCCTCCGTTTCGCAGCGACGACAGCGACTGCTCCTTGCGCGATAGCTCCGTGTCTGTGTTTGCGCGGGTGATGCTCTTGGTGGGCACCGAGGATCCACGGGTGTATCCGGAGGGTGATCTTGTCGAGTGGGGGAGGTTGGCGTGGGTGTCGAGTGTGTTAGTTCGCGGTCTGGCTTTGGGTACGTCCATGCCTCCCGGGTGGGAATGGTCCTTTTCCTTGTCCTTCTTTTCCTTGTTGGTGAACCGTCGGGTGAGCGAGAAGCCGCGTTCTCGTTTGGAATGATCGTCCTTGGCGTGATCCTTGGAGTGGTCCTTATGGTCAAAGAGCTTTGTCTTTGAGAAGAGTCGGGACAGTCCTCGCGACGATTTTTTCTTTTCTAAGGATCCGTGTGGCGAGCCCGTGTCGGCGTCGTGGTGCACGTTTTCCTTTTCTCTGGGCGGCGAGGTGCGGGGCGGGAACCGCCGGGTCGCCATGAAGTTGATACCCTCGTCGTCGGTGGTCTCTTCGCCTGATGACGGCACGTACGAGCCCACCTTGAGCTTGGTGTCTTGGTGGGACGGCAGTTCTGTGTCGAGGATCATGCCTCCTCCATTCTGGGAGCCCATGGACGTGGAGGAGCGCATGGGAGCGTCGTAGGACGACACGCCGCTGGGGGTTCGTCCTGGCGGTCGACTTCCGGGGACCGGCTGGGGTTGTGTCGGTGGCGGCGACGACATTGGTTGTGTGGGAGATGCCACCGGCGCTTGTGCCTGTGTTGCTTGTGTGGGCTGAGCCTGTGTTGCTTGTGGGTAGTGGGAATGGCCATTTACGCATCCGTCGAATGACTCACAGGACCCGCAGGCCTCGGGCACGGGCTGCAGCTCGTCCACGGCTTCGGTGGAGGTTTGCACGGTCATTGTAGCGTGTGTTTTGGGGGGATGTCGACAGTGATGAGAGAGCTTGGGAATGGCGAGATGGGCTCTCGTTGAGTTAACTTTAACAAAAGTATAAAAGGGGGAGTTGGTCTCAAACGCTCCAAAAAACCAAAAAATGAGAGAGTAGAAAATGCAGAGAGACGGCAGGCTGAAAATGGAGAAGCCAGGCAGGCACAAACGGGGCAGGTGGGTCCAAAAACACGCGGCAAGGGTCTGCAAAAGGACGCCGGTGCACTTAGACTATTGTATTGTATGTCTACATACGACGTCCGTACACAGCTCTTGACAAGACTATCACGCAATGCGCTAGCTCGACTAGCAAAATATTACACACCACTTTGCTTTGCGGTGGTTTGCGCTCTCTCGCGGAACCACCGTGCACCTGGTGGTCAACGGGACTTGTGCATTATGGACGTGTTACGTCGTCTTTACAGCTCTCAGCTCATATATGGCGCTTGTAGTTGCACCTGGCCAATCTATTCCCTCTATTGTACTATGGCCAGCAAGGTCGGGTGACTGGCATAAAGTGCGGTATACGGCTGAGGTCTACAACCCTTTTTTTTTTTCTTTCCATGTTTTTTCTTTCCATTTTTGTTTTGCCGTCGCCGAAATTTCCATAATAACGGAATCGGAGCCTGGTGGAGGCACGTGATGGCTGCAGATGAGCCGAAGTTGAACCGATAATATCGGCTCGAAGACGCCCGACGCGAGTGCTCGAGTCTCTTGTCTCCTCCCGCAAACACTGCCCCACAAATCCGTGTCTTTTCTGACCGACACATTTTCTTTTCTCGCCATCCCCACGTGGATGCACAATGACGCATGCAAGCAAACCAACTCTACAAGCGTACGGAGCAATGGAGGAGGAGGTGCCAGGGTGCAAGGGGAGAATGGGTTGTGCGCGCAAGTAGGGAATGCAATAATAGTGCGCGTTTCGCCGCCGATTGTGCTCCATCTCGTGACTTCAACTCGCCATTCCTCTCGGCTACTTGCACATGGTTCTTACTTCATTCACCGTACATACTGTACACTCAAATGACCCTCCCACTCATCTTATTGCACCGTACAGTATTGTACCGTGCCCGTACCGCATGGTATATACAAGTACTGTACCGTACTCGCTCGTAACACCACCAGCCAGTATTTGTAGACAGCCAAGTTATTAATCCGCAAAACTCCGATCCGACGCTGTTCCGACGGCTTTGTCTCTGCCGCCAAGAAGCACCATACAGCTACCCCATTCTGTCAACCGATTCTGTCGCCCATTCGGTCGACCCTTTTTCATCGCCTCACCGCGGAACCGACATTCCGAAACCTCGCCTGACACGAGACAAGAGTCTGGTTGCCTGCTTCTAGAATGTGGCCGCCAGCCCCGTCGGCCCGGCAGCATATATGTGTCATGGGCATGTCAGCGGTAGGTCAGCAACCAGGTCTAAGTATGTACAAGACAGACCAGATACAGGGCAGACCAGATACAGGGCAGACCAGATACAAGACAGACCAGATACAAGACAGAATCCGCGGTATTTCGCCATTTCTGACAACCAAAGGACAACAATCAGCCAATTGGTGACGGCGAGCTTCGGTATGGGCTTCGGTATGGCGTCACCATGAAGATACACAGGTTGCCTACTCCAACAACTATCGTACTCGTACATGCAAAATCAACTCTATCACGAGTCGGTTAAAAATACAAGAAGGGAAGTTGCAGACGAAGAACAGACAACATAAACAGTACAACTAGGGCGCTATCGTCCCGTCAACACGCACCACACAAACAGACTCGACTCTCCCGCCCCAACTACCCCGCCCGCGCTCTCGGTTGCCGTTAGAAGAAGGGCATCTCTTGGCTCGTGGGGAGGTTGATCCGGTGAGGAAACTCAAGGGCCAAGGTCAAGGTTTCGAAAGCGGTGAAACATGACATGCAATAAAAAAAACAAAAAACAATAACAAAGACAAAAACCACGTGATGATTGAACTTCCACCAAAGTACGCCCCGTCGACCCACCACCCCCTTTCCATCTCCGGGATATTCGTGGAGAGTCACGTGACCCCCCAAACGGGGATTGGCGTCTTTTGTCCCGTCTTCCGCTGAGCAGGTCCCAGATGTTCCATCTTGGTCAGCCTACTGTCCATTACCAATCATGCTGTAGGTCAGAATCTAAACTGTACCAGGGTTGAGCTGGTACGGTACGAGTACGAGTTGGACATCGCTACCAGTGCCATACAAGTACATACAGTTGTGCTGTACTCGTTCTTGTATCGCACTGTTTGGTTGTTTGTAAGCGAGTAGTGACCGTTTCCAGAGGCTTTGGCCACGGGAGCGGTGCCAAATCCATGAGACGGTGTCACATTGCTCTCAACTTGAGTTTTAGCCGAGTAGAGGCTGAATCTTGAATTGCGTAGCATCGGGTTGTATGGTGGCACAGTTGTAGATTGCTCGCTATAAAGTAACATTAATTTATTATGCTCGACTCGATATACTCATGGTCATCCCCAGAACAGGCTCAGACTCGGCCATCGACCGAGAGCAAACAAGTCTTGCCGGAATCGAGTCTGAAAAACGTGTTGACGAGCTACTCCCAACTACCAAAACTAACTAAGTCCAACTAAGTCCAACTAAGTCCAACTAAAACTTTTCACTTTAATCAAACCCCTCCCACCATGTGTTCTCCAACTCTACATCCATCACCACATTGATCTGCCTCGCACACCCCAACATCGCAGCATGGACACGCTAGCAAAAAACTCGGACGTGACCGTGGGCGCGTTTGCGGTCCCGCCCCGAACAGAGTACAAGGGGATGGCCCTATATATAGGTGCCAACATCGCCGCCTTGGTGTTCTTTCTGTGGTCTCTCTCCCCTACATGGCTACTTCACTACCTGCACATCTACTACTTTCCGTCGCGATGGTGGGCGCTGGCCATTCCCTCGTGGCTCATTGCAGCCTTCATCTTCACCTACGTCTTTCTCACCCTCTACAACATTGAGGTCATGACATATCCGCTGGACCGGCTCGAGGTGATTGTGGACGAACATGCTCGAGTTGACGGAGGCAAGAACGGCGAGTACTTCTGGGAGGCCACAGACGGAGTCTGGGATCTACCTTTGGTTGACGTTTCAAAGGTTTTGTATGGGGATGATAGTGAGTGAGCAGGAGACGCGACAAAACACACCAAATGTGATCTAGACACGACCAAGAGATGTGTATCAAGAAGAGTAGTGACTTGAATGCGCTGCTACCTGGCAAGTGACACAGGATTTCTCATGTCAGAGATGGGTATGGCGTTGATGGTTAGATCACAGGTCGACGGACTGCATAGCCTCGAGAACACAAGACGCATACCATAGCTGTGATTCGATGTGGTTCTATCGCTATCTACTCATGTTGCATCCATTCAGTCACGTGTCTGTGGTGGAGGATCATATGCCCTCAAGGACTGCCTTCGGATTAATCGAAGACTACGCAGTCTTGTGACTTGAACCAAAAACTACTGACAACGACAGTTCTGAAGGATTGTCTCGATACGGACTACGCCTACTCAGAAATTCTACTACTGCCGTTGATTGTTTAAGAGTCTCCAGAATGGGGCTCTTTCTGTCCATACTGCTCAGCCCTATACCAGCACATGCCAGGACTCGTTTTCCACATTTGCAGCACCCATGAACATCTTCTGTTAATCATGCGCGCACCTCCCACCCGCATTCCGATGGCATTCTTCATACTCCACATCCACCAGATCAAACACCCTGTCTCCGACTCTAAGAACAGACTCAATGGGTTATACAATCAGCTCATTGAGTCACACCACACGCGGCTAATGGCTCGTATTCGGCTCTTCGCCTGTTTATACTTCATACAGAGATAAGCCAGCTGGGATGCTTAGCGTCCTTTCTTCCGGGGCCAATCGAAACTGAAATTGAAAAGTGTGTATTGGCAATTGTGCGTGAGTCGTCCTTGGGTGAGTAGTGACAGGCAACATTGACAAGCAGCCAGTGTACAAGCCAAAACACTCGAACTGGAGCTATTTTCATACTACAAGTACAGACCCGAATACCATTCAATTGAAGTGTTCCTCCTGCGGTTGTAGATCATACTTGTACTCGTACTGGATTCGATACCACTGCCTGGTCACTCAAACCATCTTGTTAGTTTTTGATTCAGCTAAATAGTAGTAAGTAGTTATAATGAGACTCCAACAATAGCTATGGTAGTAAGCAAATGATTAGCATGGGGGATGCAAAAGAGATGAGAAGTTGGTATTGGGAATATTGGGAATTTGCGAATGAACAGCAGCAGTCGCTCCCATACAACTAATTCTCGCTTCATCCGAGTTAGTCATGAGCCTGGGTCATGACCAACTGCTGCAGCTCATGAGGATGCAAACTTTCGACGGGAGTCTTGGACCCACCCTTAGTTCCTGGGGTAGCAGATCCACTGGCCACAGCAGATCGTGCCTGCTCTCTGAGCTCCAGCTCCTTCTCATGCTCCCGGTGAATGGCGAACTTGACCGCTTCCAGAACGTTGTCCACAATCTTCTTGGGCTTGTAGGCGGGTTCGGTGCCGTCCTGGTACACTCCGGTCTTGACCAGGATCGAGTACCACGTCTTGTCAAAGGTGTTTGCGAATCGGATATCCGACTCGGGGGTGTCTCCAACAAAGTAAACGGTCTGGGCGGCAGGAAGCAGGTCAAAGACCTCGGTTTTGGAGCCGTCAGCATTGGTAGTCTCCTCGGCCTTGGCCACTACTGTATCCTCATTGTTTTCGGCCTCTCTGAGCTTCTTGTCACTGGCAGACTCCTCCTTTTTGCCGTTCTTGGCGTGGTCCTCATCTTCGCAATCCTTGTCATTGCAAAAGTGCGTCTCGTAGGCGTCCTGACGCCAGCTCTTGAGAATGCTGTTGGCAAAATTGAAGGTCTCTTTGTTGGGCTTTCCAAACTTAGTCACGTTGAGCTCCTTGCCAGTGTGGGCCTGGTAGAGAGCGGAAATGCAGACCTGCAGAGCTCCCATGCCGTACCGCGACAGATTGTAATTGGTGGACCACACAAAGTCGTCGTGGGCAAAAAAAATGTCGGGGCCCTCGTTGAATTGCTTGGACTCGGTGCCCATGACGCCGTTCTTGGACATGAGGAGCTCCAAGATGATCTGTTGGTCTGAGGCCCATTCTCGCGAGTCGGCAAACACCAGAATGGCGCCAATGGCAATCTTGGAGAAATCCAGCGTTCGAGAAGCATTGTACTCCTCCTCAGTGAGCTTTCGGAACGGCGACACGTTGGGGTTCCACTTGAGAATGTCTCCGGGGGTGACCACGTTTTTGAAGCCGTATTCCTCGGCCACCTTTCGGCACGCCTCTCCTACGCCACCGACCACGAGCACCGTATCATACTTTTCGACCAGCGATCTCATGGGAGTGGATCCCTGGATAAACTGGCCGGGATTGACCTCGGTTTCGAGCATTTTCGACAGGTTTTTGCACCGGACCTCCTCGGTGAGACCGGAGCCGTTGGTGACGAAAATGTAGGGGACGCGAATGTTGTATTCGTTCTCGCCATTGAGCATTCGCATGGCTTCGGGGGCCTGGGGGATAACGTCTGCGCCCTTGAGCAGCACGCCGTCAATGTCGAACGCAAAGGCGTAGTTGGCGTACCGGTTGTGTGAAATGACCTCTTCGGTGGACGACTCGAGTTTCTTCTCTTTAGTGACGGGATCAATCACCTCCTTGGTGGTCTTGATGATCTTTCGCGTGGGGGTGCCGTCCTCATTGAGCTTGAGGTTGTGCAGTTTGTCGCCGAGATCCTGGGGGTTGACAGACATTTGTGGCGTGGGTGAAGATTGAGATGGGGAATACGAAGGGAGGTTTGCCGGCTCTACATATACTCGTACAGGAGGAAGCACCGGAAAAACTGTTTATAGAGTTGCACATAGAGTTGGGGAGAACAAGTAGCAATCGAGTGATTTGAGAAGGGCCTCAGGAGTCCACCTGGTACTGGAGAAGCTCATCTTGAAGAGATGCGGCAATGGACGAACCAAGGAGGTCCAGCAGGTCGCCAGACCCTCTGCGATACCCGACTCCAGTCCGTCTACGCGCGCCTTGCAGTTCTTTCACCGATCTTTTTTTATCCTCTCAATGATCGACATTGCATGTGGGGTGGATGCATAATAGTGAAGACACGTACAAGTAGACTGGTACAACTGGAGCGTTCGTACCTATGTCCTGTACCTACCATTAGCCGTGCTGTGGCCGCTGATACAGGGGGCTGAAGAAGCTGAGCGGATAGCGACAAAGAGAATGGAGCGAACCGCGTGTTTTATTCCTCTTTGTATGACGTCATAATCGCGATATTATAGCTCCCTTTGGGGCTCACTCGTACAACGGAGACACATGTGTCTACGTTTTCCGTCTCAGGGCGGCATCCCAAAACAGACTCCGCAACTTTATTGGGGTGATACGATTGACGGTGTGGTAGGTTGAGTGGTGGGTTGAGAGGGGTTTTCTGACGGTCGAAGCGACTGTGGACGTGAATATCAGTCTCGTACAAGTCGTACAAGTCGTACAAGTCGTACAAGTCGTACAAGTCGTACAAGTCGTACAAGTCGCACAGGCCACACAAGTCGCACAAGCACAAGTCGCACCGGTCGCCACAAGAGTCGCTTCTCTCCTCCAAAAATACAGTTCATCCACCAAGCGAGCCGTTTTCGTGATTCCATTTGTGCGACATGCATCGAGAGGGGGTGTCTTGGAGACACCGAAATGGACCGTCGGCGGACCCTCTGGGACAGTCTGAGCTGAGACAAAGCTGGACCGCGGGGACGTGCGACTCCGCGCAGTTGTCAAAAAGGCTCGGAAAACGGACCTACACCAGGCGTCTAGCGGTCGCTGTGACCATCTGATGTGAGTATTGTACCGCAGACAAGGACAACATGGGGCCATGTGGGGAAGAAGAGACATGGGCTAATTAAAAGCAATCCGAAGAAGCCCTGGAGAAGAGATCCCCTGAAGAGAGACGAATTATGTGCAGCTGCACCAGACAGTCTTGGGACTGGGACACATGGGGCTTGATGATGTCATACGTCATTCCCTCCTTCAAGTACAGTATCAGTATCAGTACAGTACATACATACGTACACTGGTACGGCCACAGTGGAAAGAAAGACGCCTCAAGGGGATCCAAAGGGGCAATTTTACCCGGAGAAATCCCAAACAGGGTAAACAGAAGATTCTCCACAAAATGCACTTTTCAGAATCGCCATATCTCAACCCATACACCCGCAAACAAACCCCTCCCTACACCACCTACAATACCCAGTCGTATTCTCACATTAAGTTAGAGGCGGCGTTAGAGGCGTAGAGATGGAACCTACAAATTGACCATGGGTCGCGGGAAATTCCAGGTCACGTGACCGAAACAGAGTGGACAAGATCGTTGGCAGCTTCCTTCTTTTCCAGCCCGTCCCAAAAGTTGAGCACCAAGGTTCTTTTGACGGGCTCCAAAAGAAAAAGAACAGTGCAAAAAAAAAAAAAATTAAAAAAAAAAAGAGCCCCGAGCCAATCTCCCTATAAAGTTTCATTAGCCGAATCTTGGCCGATAACCAAGATATATAACTCGGTCTAGTTGTCGTGTAAGGACAATATCGCTCATTTCAATCTATCCATGGACCTCATCGACATCTTACGGAGGCCCACATTTCCCCCTCCTTTGAAACATCCGATACATTGCTCCAGACATGGTTCCAGACCGCCTCATGCAACATCCTCCATACATGGCATTTATGATAACAGTCAGATTGGACTATAAGGATGGCTGCTACTGTGGTTGGGTTGACATGACAGGGAAATTGCACCCGGTTGCTACTGGTACCTCCAAAGTTGGCATGTAACGTTGCTTTTTATAACTACATCTATGATCCTGGGTCTGCCTGAGAGCTAGGATACGAAACGAGCTTGTTAGTGTGGACATCTCCAGGATGGTGGTTATCGGAAGAAAATAGGGCTCTGAGACAGGGCCCATCCGTGGTAGGCGTGGTAGGTTCCCAGCAGGGCAATCCAGTGCAGAATGACACCCAGAACCACGCACATGTGGAAAATCTGGTGGGACGAGCCGATGATGTCAAAGGTACCGGGGGACCACTTTTCGGGCACTCGGGCGGCGTAGATGCCGGCTCCGCCAATATAGGCGGCCGCCTCGAGCAAGATCCAAGGCAGCTGGATCCGCAGAACGGTTCCTTCGTATCCGAATCGGAAACAGGCGTGGATGACGGGGAAGCCTCCGGAGAGACCAAAGAGCACAAACATGAGGGCTCGGAACGGCCGCCATTCGCTGGTGTGGAACTTTTTCATGAGCGACACGCAAGCACAGATTGTGCCCAGCGAAAAGGTCAGGCCCCAGTACAGCCATCGTTCGTAGTCTCCGTGGTCGTAACCGTAGAAGATGATGCCGAACATGGAGGAGACGACAAGCGACACGATTCCCAGATAGTCGAGCTGGTTGCCGGTTCGGGCCACCTGCTGCGAGTGGCACTTGATGCAGTGGAAGGTGGCACTCATGCCCAGACACGAGACGATTCCAAACATGAAGAGAATGAAGACGCCGTGGTCCTTCCAGGTGGTTGTGGGGTAGATGGGCAGACCCACGTCGAGGTAGGTGCCCAGTCCGTAGGCCGCCACGCCTCCCACAAAGGTGGTGAGGGCCGGGATCAGGTGCGAGTAGATGTTGACCGTCTCATTGTGGACAAAGCCCAAGGCTTTGAAGGTCTTTTTGTAGCAGTTGGTTTCCTTGACGTAGCCCCTTCGTATGTAGCAGTTGTCTCGTTGCCACGCGGGAATGTCGTCCCACAGGTGAGTCAGCGACTCCTTGACCTCCTCTATGGTGTCTGTCACCGTGTGTTGGGCATGTTCTATGAACGATTCCTGAGCGCAGGGGTCTGCTCGGAAGCGGATTTGGCCGGCGGCGGTGGTGGTGCGTGTCGACGACATGGCTCCTGGTGGTCGTTTGGGGGAGGTTTACTGGACGATCATGTCAGCTTTTAGGGGACCCGCCTTTTTCTATATTTCCATCCCGTCCTATCGCCTGCACTCGGACCAACTCTAAAGTGGGGAGCTAACCTCGTCCAAATTAGCTTCTGGATTTTCGGATTTACCCTGGCACAAGGGGCTACGAGACAAACCTATACCAGAAGAAGGATAGCCTATCCACGGCTGCATGTGTTTAGATCCATTTTTGGTTGGTTCTTTGGCCGCGATGCCTCAGCTTGTTGGAACACACCTGAGCTGTCCTGAATCCCACTCACTCGCTGTCTGTTGTCGCACTGATACCATGCGCCTCTCATTATCATGCGCCTCTCATTATCATGTGCATCTCAACAACCGGGTGAACTTTGGAGGGGCGACGAAAAACCGGCATTGTTGTCTTTTTTTTTTTTTTTTTTTTTGTTGTTTTTTTGCAAGGTGGGTTTTTCTTTCTCTTCCTCCTACCCAAACAGGGCCCCACACACAGACACCAGCGCCCCACGTTGCAAATGCTTGTGTCTATAGCCAGAGGGCTACGGTAGTCTCCAGTTGTTGTGTTGGGCACTAAGGAAGCAAAGTTAGCGAGACGAGGGTTCTACAGAGGAACAAAAGGAGAGGGCCTTGCGTGCCTCCGGCCGACTGCGAACCTGTCATAGATGACGATAGCAGTACTCGCACTGTTGCGCACCATCTTCTATCCCTCCAAATGGCGTTGGTACCCGCTCTTTTATCAGATTACCATGCATCTGTTTCCGATAAGAAAACGAAGGAGAGTTTGTGGGGGTTGCAAGTGAGACATATAATGGGTATTTTAGGTGATTTTAGCGAGACAAATGTGGAAATAGCAGGAAATGGCACCGCCAGAGCGACGTGACCACACATGTTCCATCATGTCGTCTTTTATACCGTCTTCTAGGAACCAGCAGATGTGCAAGCGAGTATATCCTTCGTATGCTATACTGATCCTGATACCAGTCCTTGCCCTCTAGATCCCATGCTCCAAAGCCCAACTCCAAAAACCAATGTCTCGGATGCATATCAACATCACCTCGGTCTCGGTAACTCTACACCCTGGGCCCCTTCTCGCGGTCGACCCAGACATGCTCCAAACTTCATCACCAGACTCAACCTCGCTCCCCAACAAAATGCACCCTGGAAGAATAGAAAAGCGAGTCACTCCTGCATGACGCTCTCGTATCGCTCGTAACGCAGGTTTTTGACGGAATATCGCCCCGGAACCACGCGGCCGGCAGCTAAACCCACGCAGTAAGCTCAGCACAGCCCCGGTCTGGTCTCTTCGTGTTTAGACGGCCCATTAGAGTGCGATATATGGTTGTTTGCAGCTGCAGACGCTGTGTGTGTGAGGGAAATTCCTAATCGCATGAAGCAACCGTAATGGATGCCACGGAGACACAGGTATGAGTACAAGTACGAGTATGTCGAACGCCCTTGTAATGTTCCAGAAAACTCCTCTCGCACACTTAATCGCCCCACGCACCCGCAAAGCTTAGGTGCGTTCCGCCGGGCTACCCTCGTCCCCTTTCTCGTGTCTAGGACTGGCTTCAGAGCCTCTTTCAGAGAAGGGTATGAGTTTACCTGTCCACCGCTGCGTTAATTTGTGGATGATCGAGTAGTTGCAGCCTGTCCGTGGAGACGGATGTATTGAGGTGTTCGCGAGTCGTACGACCACAATACAAGTATTCAGTCGAGCTATGGTGTCTACTTGTCACATGACACGAAACGCCTCCTGGTACTCTCGCGGTCACGATTGGAAGACTCACGCTGACTTTGTTTCCTCGTTTCATTCCTCACTTCACCACCATACCCCCACAGACGGATAAACGGATACTTCGGATATGACGGGTCGACAGGTGAAGCGAATACGATGGGGTGATACATGCCGGCAGGAGTGCTGTATGCAGGTCGGTATATGTTCTACCCACGGTGGGCTCCAAGAGTGTAGCATCTTGTGATGCTCGTACCGAAAATTACGCCGAATTGTACACACTTGCACCAAGCGACTCTTCACACTCGTCCATCATTGTCCCCCTTGGTCCACCATTGTCTATCAATGTCCATCACTCCACCCTCTGCGACGAACCCAATCGTGTTCCGCGTGCCTTATCTCTGCAACAGTGACACTAATGGAATTATTCCGGAGCACTCGCATTTGGCAGCGGACGGGTCTTCTTGGCGGCTGGACATGAGACAGGTGGACTTGAGCGCAGGGGCTCTACCGTGTCGAGAGGTACTCCTAAAGGTACATGTCAGGATACGTTTGAGCGGAGATGGATAGTATGCTCAACATGGACCAGAGTTGCGTTACACCGTGGCTGTACAAGCCACAACTGGTACAATGGTGTGCGACAAGTACCTGTAGAGGAGCGAACACCACTGTTTGATTCAGGAGATAGAGATAAGACTAGATGTGTGGAGATATGAACGCCCAAAGGGATGAAGGTATGGACTGTCCAACTCTTGAATAAGACTATTAATAAGAATGGAGAGTCTTCAAACGGCTTTCAGGATCAGAAGTTCTCCCTGTAGGGTCTTTCCAGAGCGTTGGAAAAGAGTGTATTGAAGCATCTAACAGTCCACATATCAGCCGGGTCAGATTCAGCGGAGTCAGATTCACGGGTCATTCCCGAAACTTGGAAAATACAAGTACGCTACGAGTACTTGCAAATTATGTCGAAGAATATCACTCAGAGCACTCCTTAGATTGCATTGGGTTTTTTGCCAATATGGTTGTTTTTTTTTTCTTCTATTTTTTGTTCTATTTTTTGTTCTATTTTTTGTTCTATTTTGATTCTATTTTGATTCTATTTTTTATATTCTAGGAAATGCTCACAGCTACAAGAACAGTACATACGTACAATACATACATACAGTACATACAATATTATGTATCAAAGACCACTCATTGAATTGTACCTTCAGCAAAGATCCAGACCAGTGGCAAAAGGTCCCTTCCACCCGGTACGATGCTCGCGATACAGTACGAGTATGAGCATTAGTTTGATCCCATATCATACCAGTCCAAACCCACATACTTCAGCTTCCCTACGCTCACTTGACGGAGCTATGAAAGGAATGCACTCAGATTGCTGTACAAGTTGGTACCGTAGCTCTGAGATTGCGGATGCAGGGGGTGTATTGCGGTCATTTAATGTGGAGAAAAGCCGGGATGGCTGCTTTCTGACGATGATTAATTTGAAACCCGTCTTCGATTACTGATAAATTAATTTCAGCCGAGGCCGGGGTTTCTTGTGTAGTGCGAGTCTGAACTGTCCCGTATACAGTATTAGGGTCATGGTATGTTCTCATACCGCCATCTGTACATTATTGTCAGAGACCGAAAGAGACACAAACTGGGGGAATATGAGAAATGAAAATACCACAGTTAGTAACACGACCTTTTAATGCTTTATCCATACACCCGCAGTCACGTGCCTATCTCCTAACATAGCCGCCATTACTCGCTCTCCTCCTTCTCCTCTCGGCACATTTACCCTACCGCCACTAAGTTACCCCACAATAGAGGATAACGGGAATATATACATAACGCCGTAAAAAGGGTTAATTACGACTGAGCCAAGTACAACTGACTACAGGCATACATTTATGAACGGTTAGACAGCCAGTTTGAGTTGGGTGTGGAGAAAGGATGGAGATATATGTAGAGCCAGGGAGTTTTGGGGGGGGCTCATATATACAGGGCGCACGTGACCGGACCCATTCCATCTCGTGTCGCACATTGGTGCTGGTACTGTCCCACCGTCTCCTCCAACTACCCCGCTAACACGTCTTTCACGTTCGCCTTGTCAAGTAAACTCTAAGCACGCCAATTGACTCTGCATGCGCTCTAGCTGCGGTTTTTTGAACACGATAGCTAAAGGCGATAACCCCGGCGGTTGGCTCTAAAAGCACCTTTTCTTCACAAAAACCCAGTCTTTCATCGCCACAAACATGATTGACGAAATCTTTGGACGCCCCAGTGCGAAATTCAAGCGGGTCCAGTGCTTTGCCGTGGCGCTGGCCTGGTGGCTCATCATCACCCGAGGAAACAAACATGGCCCTCCCGGAATCCGATCTCTGAGTCGAGCGCTCACCGCCAAAATCACCGCGTGGCAAATCTACGTGCTCACGCTCACGGGCTACTACCTGCTCAAGAACTTTGACAAGCTCATTGGCCTCACGCCCCCCATCCCATTCGAGAACCACTACACCCCCGGCTTCTACCGGGCCACATGGGTGATGCAAGCGCTGGACGCGGGCTTCTGGACCGCCTACCCCATCAAGAACAAGTACGCCCGAGACCTGCTGTCCATCGTACTCACCGTCTACTACCTCATCTTCTCGGACGCTGCCAACGAGAAGGTCCGACGATACAGACTCAAGACCACCGTGGAATCGTGCCGGGTGTCATGGGAAAAGGGCCGAAACCCGTACGCCGGCGCCATTGCCAAGCTGCTGTTGCCCAAAATCAACATCTACAAGGACGTGTTTGTCAAGCGACCTGCCCATTCCGAGTATGAGGAGCCCGTGGAGTGTCTGCTTCTGTTTGACGGAACTGCCGAGCAGCTCAAGAACCAGAAGAAGGTCATCTACCATCTGCACGGAGGAGGATTCACCACCATGGAGCCCAAGCTGCACGAGGACTATCTGCTTGCCTGGGCAACCCAGCTCAAGGTGCCCATCCTCTCGGTCAACTACAGAAAGGCCCCCGAGTTTCCCTACCCTTACGCTCTGGACGAGGTCTTTGACACCTACTACGCGCTCATGAAGTCCAAGGGCACCATCATCGGTCTCAGTGGCGATGTCGTGCCTGAGGTTGTTGTTACCGGAGACTCTGCCGGAGGAAATCTCGCCGCTGCTCTGGAGCTCAAGCTCATTGATTACCCCAAGAAGATCAAGCGACCCGCTGGTCTGGTGCTCACCTACCCTGCTCTTGATATGAACTTTGCCTCTGCTCTGTCCGAGGACCAGATGAAGCTCATTCGACAGGTGACCAAGGAAACTGCCACCCCGTTCCTCTACAAGAATAAGAAGGACGTGTACCAGTCATACGCTGGAGATGCACACAAGTCTGTTCGAGCCAACAAGTCGTTTGTTAACCTGGCTCAGCAGCAAAAGGTCCAGTCGCAGCAGCCTGGTTCTCCTTCCGAACAGGGTCCTGGAAACAAACTGTCTCTTACTTCCAAGGTGCTTTACTCCGGAGATCGAGTTCTCCCAGCCGAGGTTTTGTACACTGCTCTGATGCTGTACGCTGGAGACACCGAGTGTGATCTGTCCAAGGACTATTTAATGTCCCCCCTTCTCGCACCCGAAGAGAAGCTTGCACAGTTCCCCAAGACGTACATCATCTGTGGTGAGGTGGATCCTCTGGTGGATGACACTGTTCTGTTTGGAGCCAAGCTGCGACAAGCCTTCAGGGACTCCGGTAGAAAGAACCCCGAGGACCTAGTCGAGGTATCCATCATCAAGGGCTACTCCCATGGCTTCCTCAACATGGTGCCCTTCTTCCCCGAAGCCAAGGCTCCCATCCACAAGCTGGGATTCTGGATGGAGGAGATTTTCGACAATGTGCTGCCCGAGGAACGAAACATCGACCTCAACGAGGACGACTACAGCACTGACGAGGAGCTGGTGGGCGAGTCGTACGCCAACATTGACGAAGAGGGAGGAGATGTCAAGGCCCCTAGAAAGAAGAAGACTAGCGCCCAGAAGGCCTGGGATAAGACCAACATTGTCCATCCTGGAGGACTAGTCGAGGGCCGGCAGGACAAGACCAAGAATTCGGTCATTGGAGAGATTAAGAATGCGGTCGTGGAGAAGTTGTAAGAAAACGATTTTATGCGAACGAGTCAGTTGAGTGGAGTTGCAAGACTGATCAACGAGTGTTAAATGGGTAGTAATAGCAAGCATTATTATGGAAAGTGCAACTCGTACCCAGTCTTTTGAGACATGCGGATGAATGTTTCAGAATATGGAGCAACAAACTGTCCCTTCACCATCTCAGGCACCCGAGGAGATATAAGACGACTAAAAGGACGAGACTTGCAATGTAGTAATTCAAGGCGAAGTATCATATGGTATGGTTTGTCTGGTGGCGCGACTAGTATATGAAGCAAGAAGCACTTTATGAGCACGCAGGAACCCATTGTAGTGAGACTATACACTAGCACCTAGACTTTCACGGCGGACATAGCGACTTGGAGAATGGGCGTCGATACTCTGTTACAAGACATGCCTCTACTCGCTGATATATACAGTGGTTTCAGCAGCGCTCGCAGCTTCGCTCTACACTTGCATCGTTAAATATCTATTATTATCCAAGATTCCAAGTCCAATACACTGGCTACCTGGCTCCCTAGTTGCATCTCGTAAAATGAGTGGCCGGCGATCATCCACTCGTGTCATCACAGTATATGTGCACAAACATATCAGCCATCCATGCACACAAGGCTGCGTGCGAGGTCGCGCGCGATATTACGCATGCTTGGCACTACTACCCTTCTCTCGATGAGTTGAAACGGCAGGAATATCGGCGCTGATTCTCGTCTCAATCGTGTCAAACGCTCTCAGCTCCAATCGAATCAATGAATGCAGAGGCACCTGCATCCAGGGCGACTGGTCTTGAGGCACATTCATAAAGTAGGCGTACAGACACCGAAGCACGGCCTGGTGGGTCACAATCATAATGTTTTCCTGGCGCTCCAACTCCATGATGATCGGCTCCAGACGGATCACAATGTCTCTGTAGCTCTCGCCTCCTCGGTATCGGTATTCGTACTTGTTGTCATCACGTGCCTTGAAGTCCTCGGGGTACTGCTGTTCGATTTCCTCGTACGTCATTCCGTCGCAGACTCCGGCGTCCAACTCATCCAGGGCTTTCCACGACCGTTTGGGGTAGTCCAGGAACCGCGCTGTCTGGTTGGTTCGTTTGAGGGTCGAGGTCCAGACTGTGAGCTCGGGAACCTTGCCGTCGGGGAACACAGATTGTTCCAGTGCGCCTTGTAACAGCGAGGGCAGCTTCTTGGCGTACATCTGTCCCCGTTCGGAGAGATTGGAGTCGCCACCAAGCTGTCCTCCTAAATTGTATTCTGATTCTCCGTGTCGAGACAACCAGATGTACCGTGGCTTAATGTGCAGATTCATAATGTAGTAGACCACACGCGATTCGAGATAGGACTGGATACGGTTGATGACCACCTGGGCGCCCACGTTCATGAGCTTGACGTAGGTGAGATCGGTTTCGTTTTCGCCCAGCGTCTCGTAGACTGCCTCGTACTTTTTGATTCGGTTCTGGAAGTCGGTGATGGCTTTTTCCGGGTCGGTGCCCACGTAGTCTGGGGATGTGGTTTTGACGTCGATGATGTTATGCATCACAATCGACGGGTCGTCGCACCACGACTCGACAAACATGGGCTCGACTCCGGCGTCCAGCAGGGTGTCTGCGATCCATTTGCGACGCTCCACCGTCGAGTTGGTGGCGTCAAACACTCCCACCACTCCGCCGTCCTCTTCGAACCACCGGATCATATCTTCGAGCGCAGCCTCGGCGGCGTTACGTCGCAACCGTTCGCCCACGGCGTTGGCGTTGTCGAAGAACTCGGCCGTCGGATGGGCCGTTTCTTTGCGTCTGTAGTTGCCGACATTGAAACAGCGGGTGGGCACGGACAGCCACGACAGGTACCGGACAATCTTTTGGGCAATCAGCGATTTGCCTCGGGCCGGCAGACCGACCATGATCACGCCGATCCGCACATTGTCCACGTTTCGAGCTCCGTAGACTGGCATGGTGTAGTAGTATTCTTGTTGCGGGAGGGGGTCGTGTGTCGTGTGTGTGGAGCTGATAGAGTCAAGATATAGGTTTGAGTTTGATAAGTGGATGGTGTGTGTGGGTGCAGGCTCTTGTGTGTAATAAGTAAAGTAGCTAGACTACGTTGTACGGTGTAGTGTTATGGAAGAAAAGAAAAGAAAAGAAGAGAAGAGAGAGAGAGAGCGGGGACAGGATCCAACGCAGCATATATATAAGCCTCGGTTCGTTTTGTGTTTGTGTTCACACGACTTGCTACTCCACAGTTGAAACTCACGCCAGACGCCTATCACTAGTCACACCACTGGGTCCAACAAAAGCGCAGTGCACAGCTACTGTACAGCAGACGGCGATACGGGAGAGGAACGGTTGCCTAAAGGGGACTGTAGGGTAAGTGCGATAACCGAGATTACGCGGGAGTGCGCCCGGTCACGTGCGCAGTACAGGGTCAACAATTGATTGTCTCCATTAAAACGTCTCAAGTAGCTCTGTAACTACCCTCTTAGTAGGACACTTGAGGACTTCACGTTCATATCGTTCCATGTCTCACCATGCAACCTTGTTCCGATGGGCCGAATAGTCCATCCCATGGGGAGATGGAAGGCGGAGATGTCTCTAGAATGACATGGAGACACCATGGAGGAAAACCGAGTGGATATTCTTCATCTCCGGGTCCGGCCGATGAAAACGGAATCACAAAACCAGTGTATTTATCTCGCTCATTATCCTCTTAATTAAATACTATGTTAAGTATCAACTGAGTAGAAAGTGCAATGCAATACAATGTGGTTTCTATTACCGGTTCGCACGTATTAAGTAGGTACTTGTACCGCACCTTCGGTAGTTATGGAGGTTAAGTAATTACGTTGCACAGTGTACTGTGTGGTAACATGTTCAGTGGCGCTCTTGCCGATTACATAATCAAGGCGGCTTAGCTAAGCCAACCCAACGCCGATCGACAATACCCCACAGCATGTGCTTGCACACACGGAGCGTGTCTCAGGGTTGTGTCTCGCTTTGCTTTTTTATTTCCTCCACCAGCGAACCTCAAACTCTCGGATTCCGCAGAGGGCCGTGTAGAGTTGGAATGTGGACAAGGTACCGGCGTGTTATGAGGTATATATGGCGAGTGGGGGTCAGTGGGGGGTCATAGCCGGTGGTATATCATAGATAGTCGGTGGTATATCTAGGATAGTCGGAGGTTTATCATGGGTACCCGCTCGGCGTTTCTGCTGGTTAGATGGTACAACTGTCTGACTCTAGTTACAGTAAAACCAGAGCAAGAACAGGTTTGTAGCAGTTTTGTAGGTATAAAGATAGCTTTTGCAGGGCTTGGTCCGTGGGTTTTCGCGTCAGTTTATTTCATGTTGGTGTTGGCGGATATATATTGCAATTACGTCATTGTCGGTTGAGAATCACCGGCAGTTTCACGAAAAGAACGACTAGGGAGGTGAACGAAAAGTACCACGGCAATTGCATTGGTATTGTACCGTACTCGTTGGTATTGTACGGAACTCGTACAGGAATATACATTTATATGGATGTTGATCTCCTATCGCTGATACCTAGACACTCATAACTAATGCCTGTCGACGGTAAGACAAGTTACAGGCACAGGTCTATCCATTGTGCTGGTTGTGGAAAAAGCAATACCGTTTGTTTCAGGTGAGAACATATCAGTTTCATATCGTTGTCGCTAATACAAGTAGACAAGAGGTAGCTCAACGGCGCGTTCGATCGCAATGTCGATGTAAACACATTCTTGCTAAGGTACAAGTACATACTTGCAAACAAGAAAGAGTTGAAAACTCTGGTTCTATAGCTCTATTAATAGAAGTCGAGGTCTATCGCTCTATTAACAGAAGTCAAGGTCTATCTCTCTAGTGTCTTGTCTTCGCATGGTACACAACGATTACATGGACGTGTCTGGACTACTCATGTCTACATCTACCCATCCTGTTAACGAAAGTCATGATATCATTAGATAAAGTCCGAGCTCTAGGCTGAGTGAGTGGCGGTGTAGGGTATAAATTAAGAAGCTGAAGTCTAGTGCTGATGAAGGCCGTTGCCGCCGGAGAAGACGATTCGGTAAGGGCCGGCGTTGGAGTCCGAATCTCCACCCGACTGGATGGCAAACGACTTGTCGTTGGAGGAGGACGGGATCTCGGCGGGAGAGTATCCCAGAGCCTTGATCACGTTGGACAGTGCTGTAGCAAACGCCCAGGGGTCCTGGTTGTTGCCACTGGCGAACACGAGATCCGTGTAGTGATTGATGGTGTCCAGCACGCTGCCATCCTTAAAGGAGGTTGCAGATCCCGACGAACTGGGGTTTCGGTACTGCAGGTTGCCGTGGTCGGCCTGGGCCTCCTCGGAGTAGTAGGTGGCATCGTAGTTGGAAGGCACGTCGTAGGCTCCAGCTAGAGATCGCCAGTACGACTGGTAGGTTGTGCCCCAAGACGAGTCGCCACCCATCTGCGAGGTAGCGTTGAGTACGGTTCGCTCGTAGGCAACTCCAGTCTTGACTCGGTCGTAACCGGTGACAATGTCGGAGTTGGCCACCTTACCCTGCTGAATGGTGTTGAGGACAACGGGGTAAAAGTACGAGGCGTTCCACACAGTCTGGGTGTTGCCATTGAGCACAACCTCCAGCGAATCCGAACCCTTGGTGCTCTGCAGAACAGCCTGAGAAGACGAAGTGTAGTACTGGATGTTGCTGGAGATTCCGTTCTGGTTCCAGGTGACCTGGGCGTTGAGGTTGCCACGGGGAGAAGAAAACTGCAGCTGAGACATGACCTTGACGACCCGGTTCACGTGCGACACCTGCACCATGTCCGAGTTGGACAGCTTGTTCCAGGCCGGAGTGTAGGTGGGGGTGTTATCTGCCACATACACATTGCCGGAGCCCTGCAGACCCAACTCGGTCCAGGCCAGCAGAGCGCCGGTCACAAACCAGTTCTGTTGCGCGTTCTGGGGCTTGTCGGTGTACTGAGCGGTGAGCTTGAGCTCAATCTCAATTCCCTGCCACAACCAGGGCAGGAAGGGCGTCACGTCCACTCGGTAGGAGGGGCCGTCGAACGCTTGGGGAGACACAATGGGGGTCCAGAAGTAAGGCGAGATGCCTCCAGTGTATACAACGGGGTAAGGGAAGGCCACGCCAGCGAGTCTCCCTCCGATCCAGACCTCCACAATTCGACTGGGACCTCCGTTTCCGTCTCCATCCTGGCCAGACAGCTCGTTGAACATGTTGGTGTACCAGAACTCTTCGTTGGAGTTTCCGGACGCATGGATCTCCACAACTGCTCGAGTGGTGTTTCGAGGCAGCTGGATGGAAGTCTTGGCAGTATCGTCGGGGAAAGAGTACGAGTCTCCGTTGCCCTTGGACAGGCCATGGACCACGTCGGCAGGTCGGAAGTAGTCGCCTCCGGTTCCGTAATTCCAAGTAAGAGCTCCTCCGATCTGGGTACCAGGGTGGGGTCCGTCTCCGCTCTTGAGGAACTCAATGAAGAAGTTGGTGTCAAACTGGCCCTGCAGACCGTCTTGAACCACGTTGCCAAGCACAAAAGTGATGGTCTGAGGCTCCTTGAACAGAGCCAGGTACTCGGAAACGTCCTTCTCAAAACCAAACTGGACCAGGGGGGAACCGACGGGCTCGGCAGTGGAAGAACGCCACACCTCGGTATCTCCAACAAACACCTGGATGAGTCTGTCGTACTGGGTGGTGGTGACGGAGGAGTTGTAGGACAGTCGGACACGGTCAAAGTCCTGGTTGGGGGGAGTGTACTGGGCAACCTTGGGGGCTCCATAACTGTTAGCAAAGGTGTGCTGCCACAGGTGGATTTTGTCAACCGACTCTAGTTGGATGTTAGGACCAGTGACCTGGAAGGTGTTGATGATCTGCTGGTCTCGAGAAGCTAGGTCCACCACAGGAGCGGCCAGCGCTACTGAGGCAAGCAAGCATGCGGAAAGAGAGTGAAAGAGCTTCATTGCTTGAGAGACAAGATGCTCTCTTGCCCGGAAGCAGTGCCTTCCTCTATATAACACCGGGCTCAGTCTCTCTCTTCTGACAGCTCTTGACTAAGTGCAGAGGTTAGTGGGAGCTTATCCGGCTCTTGGTTGGAGCTTGAGTTTGAACCAGGAACTATCACCAAGCAGAGTTCAATGTCCGTCTGCTATTGTGGGCTAGAATCGGGTGTGTACCGGAGCCCCAGGCTCTTGGATTCTCGGGAGACATCTCCTCGTCGACATTGCCGCCAGTCTCCAATAGTATCTCATGAGATCCACCCCATCAAATCCACTCTTTGGACCCTACCGTGTTGGATCAGCAGATCGACCAGCAAGGAGAAGTCGCGACTCACGTCTTTCCTTCCCAAACGACTGCCGCAGAGCCGCAAGCCACCAACTGAGTTTGGTGCTGTGGATCGTCGCCAGATCTTCTGAACGATCAACCGCCCACTCTTGAGAAATAGATAACGGCTATTGGATGTGCGTGAATGGGCGGATTCCGTGGACTCGAGCCCGTTTTGGGGGCGTTCCGGGCCTGCCGTTTAGATCCCGTTTCGACTCGATAAAACACCTGTCTCTGCTCTGTTTACACGTTTCATGTCCATGGAGATCCCTGTTTGACGTGAAACATTGCCAAAAGAAAACATAAAAGGGTGTTTGGCAGGGTGTTTGAAACTATGCATTGATACGAGAGGGAGTGTATGATATGAATAGACCTGAAAAGTGGCGTGGACGAGACCATCAATGAATGCGCCATGGACCACTTGTCGGGTTTTCATGCCTATAGCCACTCTCCTCCATCTGCTCCAGTCCACCTTCCCCAGGCACCGCTTATCATCACCTCCACCTCACCCTTCGCACATCCTTCATTTAGTCCCTCTGACGCCTACCTCACACGTGGAACATTGCAGGGGGGTACGTCAACTCACGTCGCACATCCAAAGCAAAAGCAGGGCGGAAAATAGGACCCTCAGACGTGCCGAAGGATCGCGGAATGAGCTCCAGATGCAACATATAGCACCGCGCAGACAAACAAACGCGACATTAAAACACAAGTTAGCCGCCTTTATGTCATTAGCCGCCCACATAATCCGCTCATATAACTGCCCTCTTCACTTCCACCTCACGATATCCCGCCTGCTCTTCGAGACGGAGCGGGGTAAAGCGTTCCTATAAAAAACCCAGGGCCGATCATATTATTCCGTAGACTTTGTTGGAGTGGCTGCTCTAACTTTGTTTAGCCGAGGGTTCCGTTTTGCACAATTGCAAAAAAATATATACTACAATGTAGTATATATAAAATATATAAGGAAAAGGAAAAAGGCTTCGGAGCAACACCCCTTTGGGACTATATTTTTTATATATTTTTTATTCTAATGATTCATTACAGCTATATACCTAGTAAGCCGGGTTATTGGCGTTCAATAAATCATACACTTCTGAATCTTTGATTACAGTCATTCCTGACGACTGTCCGATGAAACGGCCTAAAAAAGTTAAAATGTCGGGAAATTTAGCTCTGGCCTAACGGTCAGACTGCAGTTACCCGGCCTCTCCCTCTGGCCTCGCGTACCTGGCTACACAAGACTGCGCTCTGCAGTTCGAATCCAGGTGGGAAATTCGGTGGTTCTCTTCTCTCTATAACGACCCTTGGGCCGTGTCTCGTGAGAGTGCCATGTGGAAACATGGAACAGCGTCATCAGAAAAAACACTGGGGCCGTTGTAAAAGGCGGGCCTGGTATGGAAGTGCGCTGCGGGAGATTGACGTAAGTCTTTAGTGCAATGCGTGGCCTACCCACGGGTAGAACTCGATACCGATCACTGGGGGAGAGGTTTTTTTGTGTGGGTACGGTCCTTACAATGGTATTTTTATTGTCGGTGCGATTTCTCCGATGTTTCTCCACCAAAAAAAAGACCCTCGGCGATCTCCCCATTGAACTTTTAAGCGACCGTCTCCTCGTACTGTTCGTCTCCGTGTTCGGCTGTTTTTTCTTTTTTTTGCCCTTTTTTTTTTTTTATGTTAAACATTTTTGCATTACCTCTTTGCTTCCATAGTTAGACTTCCAACTAAGTTTCACGGCTTGTTACAAACGTTAACTATTGCGTGCAGCAGGAACAACCGGCGAAAGAGACCGCGGGGCGCATCTGCCGGGAGAGAGAACAAGGCTGTAAAAGACTGAGAACCCGTTCCAGCTTACGCCCGCGTCGATTCGAAGTCTCTCCGCCCTATTCTCCGCTTGTTTGGACCCATTAGTCTACTATTTAACCGTAATAATACGAAAATCCAAATCAGAGAGTGGAAATAAGTGACCACTGTTGGGGACTATCGATGGTGAAGACTTGTGTCTTTGGTTACACATCGACCTCCTGTGTTGCGGTACATGTCACAAATTGAAAATTCACTTAATTCACTATAAAATCGCTAAAAGCGTTGTTGTAACCGGACCCATCCGGCTAATCGTAGTTGCCCGGAGCAGGACCAAAGTAGCCGACATCGGGAATGGGCTCGATAATTGAAAGTCCAGTACCGTCGACTCCGACATAGGGAACATTGTTGCCCCACCAGTCAACAATAACGGGGTTGTACTGGACGGCAAAGAAGATGATAATGGCACAGATGGCAATTCCAGTGCCCATTCCGGCCTCCAGAATGTAGGCGTACTTCTTCCACCAGGCCAGGTACCGGCTCTTGATGTACATGTTGAACAGCAAAGCGAGGTACAGACCGCCGGTTCGGTACGACAGGTTGTATGGAGCCCAGGCCATGAATCCTCCGCAGACAATGATGGGGTTGATGTAGAGCAGCTGTCGTCGGATCTTGTCGATGGTCTTTTCCTTGGAAGGGTACTTCTTGGCCAGGAAGGCGGGCAGGGTCACCTGCAGCAAGTAGAAAAGCACACCAAGAAGAGCTCCAAGCAAGAACATCCACTTCATGGCGGGGTACTTGTCGAACATCTTCTTGGGACCAATAACTCCCCAGGCCACAGAGGCGGTGAAGAAGGTAGTGTCTCCAGGACAGGTAAACTTATACTTGTTTGTGGGCTCACAGATGTCGGGCATGTCCACCTGGAAGGACAAGACTCCGAGACAGACCAGACCGTTGACAAAGGTGGCCCAGATCTGCATCCAGAAAATGGATCGAGGAGGCAAGTGGGCGTAGTGGGTTAGTTTCTGGTCCGACGCGTAGTTCTGGGCCTGCATCTGGATGGTCACAGACAGAGCCTTGATATGGTTGAGAGCCATGAAGGATCCGGGGAGAGCATAACCGATGATGAGCTCGGAAATGACATTGAGAGACAGCGAGTTGGCGGTGTAGGCAGCAAAGATGGTGAAGGGGATGATAAAGGCCAGTACGAGACCAATAACAAACACCAGGGTCCACACGGGAGTGTCAACAGGCCACACCTGGACCATGACAACAGAGAGCACAAACATGAGCACCATGATGATGTAGAACCACCAGTCGGGCACCTCCTTGTATTTTCGCATGTATCGGGAGAAGGGGTCGACTCGACCCTCGTAGTTGCTTCGGTGAATGTGTCGGAGAGCCTTGGCAGTCTCCACCAGAGCCTCCTTGGTGGCAGCCCATTCCATGAGAGTCACGTAGACAAACGACAGAGGGTAGATGGCAAAGAAGGACGAGTAGACAACCAGGTTTGCAGCTCCGTAAAAGGGAGGAGAGTAGGCCTGGTACTTTTCATCGTCAAATCTGTTGTTGGTCAGAATCTTCATCACCTGGTAGGGCTTACCCTGGTTGTCGTACAGTCGGTTGGTGTTGATGGGGATGTACGAGGTCCAGAAGTTGTTGGTGTAGTACAGACCCAGGATGACAAGACCAGAGATGAACACGGCAATGTAGTCGTTGAGAACGGTGTAGAGAGGCATGGCTACAGGTGAGTAGGCCGCAGTAGCCATGTTCCAGTCAAATGTAGGAATGGGGTTGTATCCCATACCCTGGAGAGATCCAGTGACTCGCGCCAGAGTCTCGTTTTCAGGGGCAATCCAAGTCATCCAGTTGGTGTAGGACAGAGCCTCAAACAGGTAGTTTGGCAGCCAGAAGTAGGCAAAGGAGCACGCCACCAGGATGAGGAAAAACTTGTATTTAGTGATGGTCCATCCGTTGATGGTTTCCTTTCGGTTGGGTGCCAGAAGCGCCTTGTTGACGGCCAGGGTGGGCAACAGAGAGGGCCACACGGCCTTGACGGGGTAGACAGCACATCGTTTGAGCAGACCGGCGAGACCGAAACCCATCATCTGGGTGGATAGCATGAAGACGAAGCCGAAGGAGAAAGATCGGGCCCATTCCTGGCCGTAGAAGCTGGGCAGGATCTGAGTCATGAGGTTGTAGGTGATGTAGGGGGTTCCGGAGGCGCAGGAGACCATGATGGTGGTCAGCAGCTGTTCCTTCTGGCTCCATCGACCGGGATTGAGTGAGTATCGAGTTCCTCGGAAGGTGAGCCCCTTGTCGGGGAGCACATATTCCAGGAATCGACCACAGGGGAACAGCAGCAGCTGGATGACACCAGCTCCTAGACCAATGGAGGGCATACGAGGCGAGAAGAACTGGTTGATGAAGGCAGCAATGCCAACCCAGATAGTTCCGAGCACCCACACTCGCCAGGTCTCCGAGGTGCACTCGGTGTCGTCCTGGGGATCTGTGACGGCTCGAACCTCAGGGTACGGACTCCACCAGTGGAAAATGGTGGCCCAGTAACGAACCATCATGACCTTGTTGTTCGGGTCGTCCAGCGACATTTTTTCGTCGTCTCCGCCACCCACGGAGTCTAGAGCCTCCATCAGATCTCGGATTTCCCGACGGTACTCGTCTCGGAAGTTGTTGTCATTGTCGTGGTACTTCATGTTCTCTCGCACCAGTTTGCAGGCGTCCTCGAAGTTCATCTCCTCGAATCGAGCGGCCATAAAGTGCACCTCGGGCGAGTAGGAGCCGTCGTCATCGGAGGGGGGGATCTGGAGCTGTTCGGCCATCCACGCGAGCACAGACGAGTCGACCTCAGTCACGTCGGTCACGTACTGCTCCTTATCATTGTTGGTGGAAAAGTTGGCCACCTCCGACACGGTGGTCGGATATTGGTCTTTGTCGGTCATGTTGGTGGTGAGTCCATCCTGTCGCTCGTTTCGTCTATGTATATATGTTGGTCATGGTATCTGGTCTATGGAGCCGTGTGGGTGCGTATCAAGATGCCAAGATGAAGTAGCGCTGATAAGACGAAAGGAGACAAGAGCTGGTACTGGTGGCTTTTTGACGTGAGACGTCATTGACCATGCCGCGCCAAGCCATGGACGGGGTGGGCCATGAGGGCGGATCGCACTTGGGGGCGAGATGAATGCTCCATGTCAAGACGTTGGGTTGAGAAGCTATGCTCCCCGTAATGATGCCCAACGGACATGTTATGGGTAGAAGAATGTTTCTGCAGGGGCCATAAACTTTTCACGAAACATCTCCGGCACGGCTGAATGGTACTGGTACCTGTCAAGATGCATGACTAGCGTCTCCCACGTCACTAGCGTCCATCAACCGACTTTAGACTGGTGCCGTGTGGATCTGGGTTTGGGGAAATCACTCCTCAGCGAGCTTCACACTCCCTCGTTTTGTCTCCGTGGATCGTGTGACATGAGAAGATCACAAATCACCTCCGCCGTCTGACACTGACCAGACACGGGAGATCATTACTGCAAGAGGAAGTGAAACACTTGCAACGGTAGGGCCGGGCGGTTGGGAGCTAAACAACCTCCGTCCTTGTACACCATTCCTCCATGAATGAATGTTTTCGCCAACCTGTCTGCAACCAGTGACGCTCCTATCCGGCGCTCTACCCCTCGTATTTCATGACACTATCTCGCCAAGAAACAGCCAATGCCTTCTTTCGCACGGCTCCAGCAGATTCTGGGGTCGTGATACCATCTACTGTAGACGTGAAGTAACCGATATCTTGGTGCACACGAGCCAGCTCACAATGTACCGTTGCTGTTATCGAAAGAATGTGCAACTTGTAGCACATGTATGTTATGTACTAGCACCGGTACCAGCACATGCAATGGTTTTTTTTTTTTTTTTTTGTTGTTGTTTATATATAATATCAGACGCACTGTACTCGTACTCGTACTCGTTAATGCACACGGCTAGCTACCTTATCTTCAAACAGTCCAATCGTGGCACGTACAGCACGCATTACGATGTCAAGCCGTACATCCAGAGCATACTATCGAACCCCAATTGTTATATCAATCAAGTAGAGCCAGGTGACCTAAGTCAACTGTGGCTGGCCAGAGCCTTTCACAATACCAAGCCACGGTTCTTTATCACGCTCAGAACTTCTCACGGCTTTCAAGGGTCCCTATTGCCACTTGTCAAAGCTTTATTTGTAGGTTTATGTACTGAACGACGACGTGTACTGTTTTTTTGTTCACCTTGTTGCTTGTTTTTTGTTGCTTGTTGCTTGTTGCTTGTTGCTTGTTGCTTGTTGCTTGTTCTCTTGTTCTCCTACAGCACAGAAGTCCACCTGACCACCTCATTATCTCCTGATTGTCTATCTCCGCACCTCCTTGATGTGCAACTGGTACAATCTGACAAGACCAGTTGAAACCACACGGCACTGCCAAGCCTCAGATAACTTCCATAGCTACTATCGAGATTTCGTATCTTCAATTTCTATTGCCCTCTACTCCTAGGAGAGTCTGTACCCTCTACAACCGCCCTCTCATCTCCTTCTGAGAATGCCACTCGAGAATCCTGTGCACTAGCATGTCCACCTCCTTGGCGGTATTAGCACTGTGAATGCACACCCGGACTCTCTCCGTTCCCTTGGGAACCGTGGGATGCACAATGGGTCTCACAACCAGCCCAGACTGCTGACAGTGGGCCGCCAGAGACCGCGGGTTGTCGCAGAAGACTGAAAAGATGGCCGACCGGGGCACAGGAGGATAAACGTGAACTCCAGTGTCCTTCAACCCCGTGGAAAACCGCTGCAGATTGTCCCATAGTTGAGTCTGAAGATGTGCTGCTGCCTGGGTTTCCAGAAGCTCATAGGTGGCCTGAATGATGAGCAGATTCACCTGACCAAGAGCAGTTGTAAAGATAAAAGAACGAGCATAGTTGATCAGATAAGATCGAACCACGGGATGACATAAAATAATGGCTCCATTGGCACTCAGAGCTTTTCCAAACGTATGGATTCGAGCAAATACCTGTTTCTCCATACCGAGAGCACACACCAGACCTCGTCCCTGGTCTCCAAGTACACCTGTGGCATGAGCTTCGTCCACCACCAAAAGAATCTCTCTGTTCAGACGGTCTGAAACGTCGTACAGTTGTCTCAACGGAGCTGTATCACCATCCATGCTGTATACAGCCTCTACGGCCACAAAAATGTTGCCTGATTCGCCCTTGTACTGGTTCAAAACCCGCTCAAAGTCCTCCACGTCATTGTGCTTGAAAAGAACCCGTTTCTTTGCCCGACATTGACGCATTCCTTCATGAACACTGGCATGGATCAACTCGTCGTAAATGACTATATCCTGAGGCTGAGGAAGACAGGAGAAAAACCCCGAGTTGGCGTCGAATCCAGAATTGAAAATCAAGCCAGACTTTGCTCCATGGAATGCTGCAATCTGACGTTCAAGACCCTCGTACAGTGCACAATTTCCATCCAAAAGTCGAGACCCTCCAGAACCCAGAGAAGAGCTGGTTTGGGCGCAGAAATCCGCCACCTTGACACTGACGCTGTCTTTGAATGGTTGATACTTTCCGAGCGACAGAAAATCGTTCGAAGAAAAATCCACCGTCGACTCAGGATCCATGACCGTCAATTTTCGGAACCTGTTTTTGTGCTTTCGCGACTCAAGAATATTTTCCAGTTGCTTGAGCATGTTGGGGATGTCAAAAATGTGTTGGGAAAGAGATCAAGAGATGAAATGCGGTTATATAGTGCTACTGAGTGGATCCCTGGCACTTTCTCCACTCGGTTAAATTTCGGGGTAAAAATTAAGGTTGTCGTGACTCAATTGAGTCGTTCAGTTGAGTCACGGTGAGTCGCACGGATAAAGCAAGCTTATGTAAGCAATGCCATTGGATGGCCAAAAAATGGTGGGTCGGCCTACACATACACTCTGGGAAGAACAAAAAAGAAGCAGGAACTTCTGGTTTACTCCGATACGGGGAATCGAACCCCGGTCTCCACGGTTCTCAACTTGAGAGCGTGATGTGATAGCCCCTACACTATATCGGACCGGATGGAGTTTGGCGGGCGCTTAGACGAGTTAGATGTGTTGTTTGGGACAGTATTTAGCTGAAATTTGGGCTGAAATTTGTGGATAGCTTTTAAACACACGCTTGTATATATATTTATCAAGTTTTTTCAGCTCTCAAAGCCAAGAATTACTTCTTTAATTACTTCTTTTGGAGGGTCTGTTTGATTGCAACAGAAGATAAGAGAGAGATTTATGATGATGTGTAGTTGTGAGTGGTATGGAAGAGTAATGTAGGAGACGATTGTAGCACTAAAATCAGTATGAAATCACCAGTTTGAGAATGTACTTCTTATGTACTCATCATCATCATCAATTGACCTTTGGAAGGTGCTATAATCTACACAATCTGACTAGCTCCATCATTCAATGATAAAGGATCATGAAGAAGATGTATCTTAGTTGATAACATCACATTTGACGAAATTGGATCCCCGTGACATTATAAATAACTGTTTTATTTCACGAACCCCCCACGAAAAGTTGGTGATTTTGGTACCGTTAAGATCCCCTCGTTCTTCTGATTGTTATTTTCACATCCAATATGCCATTTATACCCTTCAGTGTCCACTAGCAGCCAACATACATTTACGGTAACAATTTCCTAGATATATCAGTTGGCATTGTACGCTCGACCCACACGTTCTTCCCAAATACCACATTGAGCTCTTCTCGCCGTCTTCATTCCAGGTCACGTGCGCTCTCGGCCGACCGATCCGAGCCTGCATTTGTGAGCCGTACTGATAAGGGTGGAGGAAATGGGTTAGGGTCAGCGTTGCGGAATGTCTTTAAGAGCAACCGTGTTTCCGAGTCCATCTGGTGGGTTGGTTCTGTGCCGCGATAGTTGCCGTGTATATAAGTGTGGTTGTTTTCCCCTTGCTCTTTTCCTCCTTCTCTTACCCCTCACAAGGGACACTAAAGTGTCAGGGCTAGTCTGACTCATTAAGCTCGTTGTCTGCAGTAACGGTAGTCCCATACCATACAGTTGAAGTGAAAAACTCCACTAGCAGAGTACGCTGCAACAATTTTACGGACGCTACGGACCCTCACAACAGTTGCATCTGCCCAAATTCGCCGGAAAATGGACTTCACTAAAGCCGACACCGTTCTGGATCTCGCCAACATCCGAGACTCGCTGGTCCGAATGGAGGACACTATTGTCTTCAATCTGATTGAGCGGGCTCAGTTCTGCCGTTCCGAGTTTGTGTACAAGGCCGGCAACTCGGACATTCCCGGCTTCAAGGGCTCTTACCTCGACTGGTTTCTGCAGGAGTCGGAAAAGGTGCACGCCAAACTGCGTCGGTACGCTGCCCCGGACGAGCAGGCCTTCTTCCCCGACGATCTGCCCGAGGCCATTCTGCCCCCCATCGATTATGCGCCAATTCTGGCGCCCTACAGCAAGGAGGTGAGCGTCAACGACGAGATTAAAAAGATTTACACCGACGACATTGTGCCCCTGGTGTGTGCTGGCACTGGAGATCAGCCCGAGAACTATGGGTCGGTCATGGTGTGCGACATCGAGACGCTGCAGGCGCTGTCGCGACGAATCCACTTTGGCAAGTTTGTGGCCGAGTCCAAGTTTCTGAGTGAAACCGAGCGATTCACCGAGCTCATCAAGAACAAGGACATTGCTGGTATTGAGGCGGCCATCACAAACTCCAAGGTGGAAGAGACGATTCTGGCCCGGCTGGGAGAAAAGGCACTGGCCTACGGCACAGACCCCACTCTCCGGTGGTCGCAGAGAACCCAGGGAAAGGTTGATTCCGAGGTTGTCAAGCGAATCTACAAGGAGTGGGTGATTCCACTCACCAAGAAGGTCGAGGTGGACTACCTGCTCCGGCGGTTGGAGTAGCGTGTGTTTTTTTAGCGAAGCGAGAGAATACTGACGGGGTATACGGACATGTAGTATTTGAATGTGCAATACTACGAGCATGCGGTCTTCGGGTACCCTCGATAAGACGATCGAAATAGTACATTGAATGTGAAAAACGGTATGGAAGCGGTATTGTAGTGCTGGACAAATGTTACACTGAAAGAGATATGAGAGAAGGCAGAAACTCCCTAGTAAGAAACATATACTTGCTAATGAGTACTAGCCCTCTTCAACATTATATACAGCAAATAAGTCTTGTCTCGTTAGCTCATAGACTGTCATAATCTTTATATGTACAACACACATCTCAACAGCACACTCTCAAGGGGCCAATTTCCATCCGATGGGCGATTAAAAGACCTCAATAGAACCCTCTCGCTCCACAGATTCGAAGAATCATCTCCATTTCCCTCTGCTATTTGTACTTCGTTGTTTATGGTGCAATTTGAGCATGTGCTGCAACCGTCGCCCTTGTCCACCCGATCAGCCTCTAAACTGCACATTAACCACTCTTGTTCGGTCTATCAATCATTAATATACATGTGTCTATATATATATATCATCTTTTGTCTCCTCGTCGCTCTAACCCATGGCTCTGCAGGCAAGCTCAAAGGCGTAGAAGGTGCAAGCGTTGACGGGGGCGGCTCGCAGCATGGTGGGTCCAAAGCCCCGGAAGAAGCCCTTGACGCCCTGGTCTCGCAGAATCTGCTTGGCGCAGTCAAACGAGTTTTTGTACTTTCGCTCGGCCGGGAAAATGGAGTCGGTCTGCATCTTGGACTTGATCACGTCGATGGGGTAAGCAGTGGTCCACATTCCGTAGCCAGCGCCGGCTCCGTACATGCACAGCTTCCAGCCGGGGATGTCTTTTCGCTGGCAGTCCTTGAGGGCCATTTCTCGCTTCACCAGAGCCTCGAAGGTCAGAAAGTACATGCCCATACCGTGAGACTCTCGCACAAGAGTGGGCATGATGCCTCGGTAGATGCCCTGGATGCCTCCGGCGCCGTACATCTTCTTGATGCAATCAATGGGTCCGTTGAACAGCTTGTTGTCGGCCGTCTGGACCTGCAGACGGATACGGATCTGTTCAATGGGCGATGCCAGGAAACCGTTGGCAAAACCGGCCGCAGCTCCACACTGGTAAAACTGCCACGAGCTGAGCCGGGTGTCTTTGAGACCGAGCGAAATGTTCTGAGCACCAAACATTCGCTTCATGTACTCGTTGACCGAGAACTGGATCGAAACACAGGCCCCCACACCAATCAAGGGGGTCAAAGTGCCCTTGTAGAAGCCCTTGAAGCCCTCGTTCTTCATGATCTGCTTCACCACGTCCATGGCTCCCGAGTATCGGCCCTCAGGAGCACTCTGAAGACGCACCTTTGTGGTATCAAACGGCTGGCCCGAAAGCACCTGCGCCACTCCTCCACAGGTGCCGGCAATCAGATCCTTGACCACCCGGTTGTCGTCAATCTGGTTCTCGTCGTAGATCACGGGTTCTTCCATTTTGTGTGTGTATGAATGGCAGAGTCGTGGGTCTGGCTTGTTTTGTACCCACACCCATGCACACTTGCAAACACACCTCCACAACGCGCCTATATTTTCCAAAAAAGTTTTTTTGCATTTTTCAATACTAAGAGAAGCAAGAGAGAGCGAGCAAAAAAGAGGGGAGAGGACTGGACCATGTGCGCAAAAAGCAGTTGATAAGGTAGATCACGTGACTCTCCTCTCTACCCCTTCTGTTCCAGCGGGTTCTCTTGTCCTCTCCAAAAATGCTCCCACTCAGTCTTCAGAAACAACTGCCGCTCGCTTCGGTATACCCCACCATCGAGGAGGGAACTTTAATGTCAGTTGCTGGGCTGTTTGGTCGAGTTTTCGGGGTGTAAATGTTGTCTTATTTGTATTTTGACTACATTATTGTTATTGTGTGACTTGTAGGATTCTGAATATGTTATTTTTGTCTGAATTGGAGCATTATTGCGGTAGTTATTGTACTCCCTCGAAACGAGGCAAACGGCGGCTATCGTAACTCAATGTTGGCATGCGTCTTTTGACTCAGTGAAAGGTGCCAAAATAGCACGCTTTTATTGGATGACGAGTGACGTCACTGATAGATGATGGTAGGGAGGAGACGGTCACGTGCTGGAGATTTCCTGGCCACGTGATGTGTTCGGCTGTATGCGAACACATCTCGTTGTTTTGGAGTTGGTACTGTAAGCTGCATTGTTGAGGTGGGATTTTGTTGGGATTTAGTAATTGGGGTCAACTAATGTCAACTAAAAGTGAAACGGAGATGTAACTAAAAGTGAACGGAAGATGTAAGGCGGTTGAAGCTCGTTTTGTTTGGTATGTGGGTTAGTAAGGTCTTTATAATATGTTGCTACTAGTACTGATGTGTTTCATAGAGATTCTCTTTCCATTCATTGACTGTATGTGTTCAGTATCTCGAATAATTGCAAGACAGGCTTGATGTCGATCATGACCATGTACATGTACAAGCACATGTACTGGTGGAGGAACACAGAGTTGAAAGTCAACTACTTGTACTTTCATGTCATTCCCCTAGCTGGTTCGTTTCTTTCTGACACAACTTCTTCCTGTTTGTACAAGACCACCACTTGTTACATATTGGTGCGGTTTATGTTGCACAACTGACATTGTAAACACAACTGTCAGCGACCCAGGGAGTTGATTAATGGAGAACAAAAGCAAAATTAAAACCAGTCCTCAACTATCCAAATTTCCATCTTTTCCGTACTGTCTCCCCTCGTATTCTTGAGTTCAGACCATCGTCGATCACTGTTTCAGTCCCAGACTCCTTCCACGATCACCAAAAATGATGCCGGGACTTGGGCTTCCTTTTAGTGTCCGTCTTGGATATCCGTTGTAGCTTACTGGAAAGTCATCTGTCGAAAAACCAAAGAATTTGGGCTAGTGTAACACTCTGTATCAGACAGAGATGGGAGGCCTACAATGTCAAGTCAACCTGAGAACCAACAAACGTCAATTAACTACTTGAAGCTACAAAAGAAGACACATGGCAAGGGCCACTCCAAGACCAATCTCGACAGAAGGCTTGGAGGCGTAGTTGGCCTGAGCAGGAGTCTCTCCCTGAGCAGGAGCCTGGGCAGGTGTCTGGGGAGCTTTAGGAGCGGCCTGGGTCTCTCCAGCCTTGGGTGCATTTCCGATCTGGCTGACCGGATGAGAAGGAGCCTTGGACTCGTCGACACCTCTCATGACGCACTGAATCATGCCTCGCTTGTTGATGGGTGTATCTTCGCAGTCGGAAGCGGCAACAAGAGACGACAGCAGCAGAAGAGGAATGAACATTGTTGTGAGGATAGGTGGTGTGGTTGAATCAATGACTCGAAGGGGGGTATATATCAACAGGCCGACAAATACAACAGACTTTTCTATTCCATCGCCATTTATACCTCTTATGCCTTTTTGCATGTAGTATGTTACAACCATCTACATCTAGCCCATCTTTCTCAAACCACTGACTGCCTAATGGGCACGACTTGTAGCACTATCGGTAGTGGAAGTGCTATATTGTTCTATACGGAACGTGAACTAGTAACACCGTAACTCATCCTTACTTCTTGATATATCGTAATATCGTCGAGCCTCTCTGATGTACATATAGACCTGGCACATTCTTCCCCTTCTGGACTATAAAACATAGCTATCATCTATACCTATAGCACCATGTCGCGTCGCAGTGACATGGCGTGAAAAAAAGAAGAGCGTAGCGACTAATCTACCTCATCTACTGTCGTGTATGTGTTTACCACCATCTTGTGGTCTTGTAGACGGATCTTCTACAAACTTTTTAACCACTACGAAGTAGGACTCGTCCTCATCCTAGCCCTGAATACATCGCCACTCATTCTCCAATGCTACACAGGGTCAATTTATACTACACATTAACCCTTGGTCAATAGCTACATAGTTACCGCTCTCCTTCTTAGGAGACGGAAAAAAGCTGGGTCCGTTACAAGTACCAGCTTGTTTGCAATTCACGCTCCAACGCCTCTTCGCCCTTCCATGGCTAATAGACCCGCTTAGTCACTTCATTCATCAATCATATCTCATTATCATTACGTTAGTCACCAGACAATGCTCTCGTAGCGCTCATCCACCTCCTTCTGACTAGCAATATAGTCGAGCGTTCGGTCGAAAAACTTTTTGGGCGCCTCAATGTTCTGAGCATCATAGGCTCCGTCGTCGTTGAAGTTGTTTTGGATCACCTCCACCAGACCATTAATGTACTTGACCGTAATCTCCGTGTTACCGTGGTCAAAGTAGTAAATGTACCGGTTGAGAATCTCCACAAACAGCTGCACCTGCACCGCCACGTCCATGCATGCGTCGGCCACCCGCAGAGCTCGCTGAAGACACTCCAGCACCCGCTTGCCGTCCCGCACAGACGCCGTCCCGCTCTCTTCACCCTCGGGTGTCTCCTTGTTTTCGTCGTCGTCCTCATCGTCGTCGTCAACAGTCCACCACAAATGAGAAGCCATGTACACGGCTCGGCACTGGTCGGGCTTCTTGAGAAGCTTGCTGCCGTACACAGCCGTCTTGGAAATCAACAGCTTGTAGTTATCCAGAGAAAAGTTGCGTGTCTGCTGCAGAGCACTGACGAAGATGCAAATCGCCTGGAACTGCGCCCGTGAGTCCGAAACTGCCTCCTCATACACAGTGAACGCCTGCACAAAGAACTCGTACGCAGCTTCCTCGGCTCCACATTGGTCAGCCACCTGAGCAGCATCAACGTACAGACGGAGAGCGTACTCAGCCCGACCCGTGATAGAGACATCGGAAATGAGCTTGTGGATGAACTTGAACAGAGCGGTGGTCCGCTGCATCCAGTCAACAAACACAGACTCCCGGGCCTTGTATCGACGAGCAATTCGAAGCGTGGAAAACACCAGAGCGGGGTAGGTGTACTTTCGAAGCTGTCCTCCGGCAGAAAGCGCCTTTCGAGCAACTACAAGCAGCTTGTAGTGGGTGTCGGGGTCCTTGTGGTACAAGAGATGTACAACCTTTGCGATTTTGGCCTGGTCGGCAGCCACATCTTCAGACTCTTCGTCTTCAGACTGGGCAGCAGCTCCTCGAGGAACAATCAGGATCTGCAGCAGTCCAAACACACCTTCGGCATCGCCAATATCGGTGATATGGGCCTGCTCCTTGAGCACAGAGTCAATCACAGCAATGGCAACCACTCGCTGGGAAGCGGCAGTCTGTGATTGAAGCAGTTCCAGGTACGAGGGCACCGACAGAACCGTCAACAGCCGGCTGTAGAAGTTGATAGGCGCCAGAACCATGGCCAGCAGCGCATCAACGGTTTCCTTGGAGGAGGTGGCAGCCGAGTCGGCAGCCTTGAGCTTTTCGGCGGCATGAGAAAAGATCTGGTCCAGAAACTCCAGACGCTCGGGGTAAGCATTCATGGAGAGCTTTGTAAGAGCTCCAAGAATGGCCATCTGATCTTCGAGGGGCAGATCCGGCCGGGCCTTGAGCAGTCCCAGAAAGTGGTCCCAAAACACCTTGAACAGGTCCATGGACGCAGGAATACCTCGATGGTACTCTTCGGTGTAGGGCGACGCAGAGGGGGCGGTGAGGGGGTCTGTGACCTCTTCATCCTTGTCCTTGCCCTTGTCATCTCCGTCCTTGTCGTTGTCAACAGCGTCGTCTAGGTGCGCCTCCTTCAACTGCTTGGCAACAGTGTTGGTTTCGTTTTCGGCTTCTCGGGCGGCGTAGGCAGCCAAACGTTCAATCATGGTGATGACGATTCGTCGGACGGACACTCCCGGGTTGAGGTTGGCAATGGTGTCGAGGAAAATGTCGAGGGTGGCGAGATGGAACTCGTCGGGGAACACCTGAGTGATAACGTCCAGCAGGTACTCCTGGGCGAGAATATCTCTGCATTGAACCACCTGTTCAAGAATGGCAGGCAGAATCGACTCGCGGTAGTAAGTCTTGTCGATGCCCTCGAGCTGGCTAAGGCGCACGAGATTGGAGCCCACGAGAATCTGCAGTTCCTGACGTTCGGCCGTTCGCTTGTCCCGCTCCCGCGAGTGGCCCTGGTGCTGCAGACGCACCCACAGCTTGTTCATCTCGATGAAATTGGTGATGACAAACTGGATGGAGTCCTGCAGAGAGCCCTTGGTAGCGGCGTTCTCATCTCCCTCAGGCAGAGTGGGGAGCTTGTCTCGGGATCGCTGCGACAGGTAGTATCGCAAAAAGAGACCTCGCACGGGATGCTGGACGCCTCGACACATCTCCATCATGTCCTTCATGATCTCCTTGACGGGAGCATCGTCCATGCCCATGTACACTGTACCCACGGTGATCATGAGATAGAGACGAGGCACAATGTTGCCTGCGTACTGGACCAGCTCGTAGAGGTCCGCAAGGTGGTGGGTGGGGTGGGAGTCCTTGAGAAAGGCGCCGAGGTACGCCAATGCGTCAAATACCACAATGTACAGTTCGTAGTACTGTTTGGGCGGCAGGGTGGACGAACGAAGCTCGGCCAAAAGAGTCGAGGCATGTTTGACAGCGTCCATGATTTTGCCCTTGTGTTCGAGACACCGGCGCATCTGCGACTCTTGCTGCCGCACCTCGGTCAGCGCCTCTTGCAACGTGTTGTTGGACATGTCAATTGCGTAAGGCGGTAGGTGGTGTAGGTAGTCGGTGTGTTTTATCTGATTATCTGTCGTGGCACTATGCAGTGGCAATGCCAAGCAGTGGTGTTGTGAGGGGAGGTTGTGAGTTCGAATCTGGGTGGTGACGAAAAGTGGTGCTTTGGCCGGCAGCGTGGAGAGTGTGTAATAAGCGCCTCGAGACCTTTTCAAGGCAATAACAATACCAAAATCAAGCCATATCTGCCGATTTTGCTTTACTAATGAGCATTTACTCGGTAGATCATGCCCGTCGAAAACTCAACTAAAAGGTCAACTGTATGTAGCCTGCCATCGACATAGAGATGGGAGCCGCTCGGACTTGCAATGGCATAAGAGGTAGTAAATACCTGGCAGTTGCATTTAAAAACACATTCAAAAGAACATAATTGCCCAATTATTGTATTTTTCTTGCTGTGGCATCTTATTGTAGACCCCTTGTAGGTGCTCCTCTTAAGTAACTCCTAACTAAATGAAGATCCGACTGTGATAGAACTTGTACAACTTTTTCGCACTCGTGACCAGGTTCTGTAACGGTGAATATGGACGTAAAAGTACCCACACACCCTGTACAGTACTATAGCCTGGAAAACCGTCCGAATATTGCCAGTTACTCTCTGATGGCCGCTTCTTGTTATCTTCCACTAATTCCCAACAAAACAGTCTATTAAAACTACTTACGCAATCCTCACTATGAGCCTATTTAAATTAGCTCTCGTGATATGAACACGTACCCAGTGTTAGTAAACCACTTTCAGAAATACACAGTGTAGATCAGTCAATTGGAGCAGAAAAGGGATAGTAGTAAGCCAACTAGATAACCAAACCGCTTGCGAATCACGTGACAAATACCCCGCCCCCGGTTGCTTATGTAAAAAGCCCGTTTTTTTGCCTCCAAAAACCGCACCTCGGCATACGCGTCCTACACCCACCGACCCTGCATTGATCGACACCAGGGTCAGAGATTTAAGCGGTTTACGGCTGAAAAAGAAACCCCCGGCCTTGTGCAACTCTTCCTCTTACACCAACAACCACTTTCAACTCACACCATGCGACGACGAGCTACTATTCTGGCTGATCTTCAGCAGCATGGAGACAAGATCTCCTTCAAGCCCGGCGACAACAACAAGTCCAAGCTGACCGTGTCCGTCAACGCCCCTCGACAGGACCGCTTCTCGGCGCCCGTTTCTAACGCCGATCTCGACGTGTTGAACCACGTGGCCGATGTTTCAGTGGCATGGGGACGACCCAGTGCTGCCCAGCAGCCCGTGCTGTTTGCAGCTGCTTACGAGCCCGGTCTGCACGTGACCGTGGTCAAGAAGCAGGCGTCGGAGCCCCGCAAATGGGGCGAGGAGAAGCCCTCTGAGGCTGCTCCTGAGCTGGTGCACGTGGCCAAGTTCCTGGAGGAGCAGCTTGGTCTGCCTGTGGATCCCAAGACCTTCATCGAGTCGCGATCCGACTACACCTACTACGACCCTCTTGTCGGTCCCGAGGCATTTGGCCACTTTGTGGACAAGCACTCTGCCTGTTCCGATGAGTCCGAGGAGTTTGTGAATGACCTGGACACTTTCAACTACGCCCAGAGTGCGTCTTTCCACATTGATCACGACAAGAAGGAGCTGGTGACAGAGGTGACCATCCCCGATCTCGAGCACTACTTCAACCAGAAGAAGCAGCACATTTCGCGGGCGTGCAAGAACGACCGTCTGGAGGTCGGGATCTTCGATCTCAACAACCTGGCCACTTCCTACGCCTTTCGAGGAGTTGCCGAGCTCAAGGGCCTGCTCCATGACTCTACCAAGGAGAAGCCCCAAGAGACCTTCCTAGTGATCGAGCCTCGACACAACATCGGTGCTGGATCTGTGTCTGTGGACTTTGAGCGTCCTGTTGGTCTGCATCCCAAGTCGGAGCTCAAGCTGAGACACATTGCCATTCCTACCGATCACAATGACGAGAACGATGGAGTCAAACACTGCAGACTGTTTGCCAAGTACTCCGCCCCCTCTTCTATCTTCTTTGACAAGTATCAGCTTGCGGACCTCGAGAGAACCACCTCTGAACACCCCAACGGTCAAGGACGTCTTCTTGCGCTGTGGGGAGAAGCCGATCTTGAAGAACCCCGTTACCACACCGAGGGCTGGGGCTCCGAAGCTTTGGTTGAGATCTTCCCCATCACTGATGCTCCCGAGGGAACCCCCTTCAACCTCAACTTCACTCTTCCTCTGCATCTGCGGTACGAGGAGCCCAAGGAGGGAGAGACATACGAGCCCAACGAGGCCCCCTGGCCCCTGGTGTTTTGGGTCTGTGCAGAGACCGATGAGCAGTTGGCCAACTTCAAGCAATCGCCCTTTGACGTGACCCACAACTCGTATATGCGTCTGTTCCCGGAGGGAGTGTCTTACCACCATATTGGACCTCGAGAGGCCAATGGACGAGGATTCCCTCTTCTGTCCACGTCTTGGGGAACTCCCGTGGCTGACATTGATCGGTTTGCCGCCGTCAGAGACTACACTTCTATCATGATGGTAGCTGGTTTCCTTATGGTCACCATTGCTATTCTGCGAAAGGTGTTCCGAGGTAAGGCTATGAGTGAGGAGTTGAAGGAGAAGAAGGAGCAGTAGACGTGAAGACGTGGCCCGACAGTCTATCAGCTAAACAGGCCTGGATCTACTTGGGTTTAGTTGTATGAGTCCGTACTACTAGAAAGGATTATTGTATTTAAGAGTAATATTTGATTGATAAAAAGAATCAGACGTCAAACGACACGAACAACTGTCGTTAAAAGTACTGTAGCCAACTAAATCATTGTTGTTGTCTCGAGTATACTGATACTCGTATTGTATTGAATTGTATATGGACCATCACTTGTTGAAGAAGTGTGTTTTACGCGTTGATAACACCGTAAGGCTGCTTGGACAGATTGAAGACATGTCTATCACCCGTATAGCGTACAGCCGCATAGCCGTATAGCCGTATAGAAACAGCACTGCCCTCGTATCCAGCCTTGTTAGCCTGCTTTTTCGACCGGTGCTGAACCCTTTCTGACCCTTTCTGAACCTTTCTGAACCCGTGCTCTCAACCATTCTGAACCTACGCTTTGTCAAAAGAGTGGGGGTTCAAAGTGTGATTTGTGGAGTTGACACTGATGATAACTACAGAAATCGATAGTAGAGACTTGTTGTGCTCATTGGTGAAATGTGTACCAGTCTTCAGCGACTTTGTTGTCAATGGTGGAATGGTAGAGCCCAGAGTTGTTAGTTGCATAAGCTGACTCAGTCTCTAGTATCAGAAGGCGAGCTATAGCAGCTCTGCATGACTTCCTACAGACTCCTGCTCATCCGGCCACTATTGATATATCGGAGATCGACTTGTTTCGTACTCCGACTCCCACAGCTCAAGCCAGACCATCTACAATATCCACACTTTACTACTTTGCCAGTATAACGTCTTGTGAGCGAATACCCATGGATAGGACCCGTTCAACCATAGTGCTTCGCACTCTTTGTTTCACTTCCTTAACTATGTACATTACTGCTCAGCAGTCGTCTCACCAGGCACCTTGGCTTCCTTGGCAAGTCGCTTTTCCAGAGACTGGGGGTAGATGGCGTCCCATCGCTTGAGAACGCTATGGTCAGCATTCTCAGGCCAGGACTCAGCGGCTCCTCGTCTCCACAGGTCCTCCCAGTGGATGGTCACGGGCACCTTGACGGCCTCGGTGACGGTCGACAGGTCTGCCAGCGCCTCCTGTGTGTAAACGGGCCGGTACTGGCCGTCCTGCCACACGTTTCCGGCGGCGTTGGTCTTTCTCCACCCCTTGATGTCCTTCTTGCCGTCGTGGGTTCGCTTGTATCGCAGGTACACGAGGCCGTCGTAGGCATCACAAGCAGCCTGGTGGTCGCCGAAATCGGCAACGGCCATGGGCCGCCACAGATCCTGTCGCATGGTGGGCCGCTTGTTCTCCCAGTTGGGGTCCTTGAACTGTCGGTTGAGATGGTGCTCCGTCACGCCGGGGACCTGGGTGTAGGCCACCTGTCCCGTCTGGAGGTGTCGGTAGACGTACACAAACGCGGGCTTACCGTCTCGCTTGAGAGTGGCGGGCGTGTACTTTCGTACGGTGCCCATGGCTTTTGTGTACTGTGCCATTGTTGATGGAGATGATGTTGCAGTGTGAAATTTGTGATCTCCATTAGGGTTTGAGGGAGGTCTGGAGGGAGGGAAAAATTGCAAATGGTTTTCGCGGGATTCGAACTGGCGTTCACGAGGTGACAGTCACGGGATGATCGGTCTAGCTCTTCCCTTCGCTGACTAACGCCCGAAACCAACTCTTCTGACTCAGCTCGGTCTCGGCTCAACAAAGTTGAACTCTGAAATTTGGGGGGACGCGTCTAGCGAGACATCGATCGACCGAAAATGTGCAAGCGAAATAAATCCAAGAAAAGCAGATAATTGGGAAAAAATCAGGAGCAAGGAAGGAACCGACACGGGCCTAGGGATATATGTCACGTGACTACCCCTACTACTCCACCCACCGACACCATTCATACTGTTATACGTCCCCGTCAGAGGGCTTCCTCCTCGGTCTCTTGACATGATCATTCTACTGCTGTTTTTTGACTTCACAAGTATGGTGCCATTAGTGTTTTTCTAGGGTGGTTTTTCTCTGTAGGAGCTTGTCTTAGCTACGCTGTGGCGAAACTTGTGGTACGAGAGTGTAGAAGCAGGCACGGATGACGGGGGGAGGGGCAGTAAAGAGGGCCAAGGTGGCGATTTTTCGGAAATTTGAAGGTTGCCAGGTGGGAAATGGGCGGTCTAGACCCTGGTTTCCGAGCCCAACTTGAACCCCGTCCTCTGTCCATCGCTCCACCTGCCCATCTGATAAGTCTAGAAGGTTATGTGTCTTTGTCACCAAAAATGGCAAGACGTTACAATTAAGAGTTTCCAACTTTGGCGCGTATCTTCCCCTGACCTACGAAAAAAAACGCTACATTTGTACCGACTTGCTCGCCAACAACTCCAGCTACACCGCCAGCTCCAGCGAAATAAACAGCTCCACCCCTTGCGACATGTACAACGGCACCTTCAATCTCGGCCCAATAACGCTGACGGCCCCCAACGTGTCGTCGATACCGCCTCCTATCTACAAACACTCCATTCCACCACTCGTGTCATGGATCTCGGACGAGAATCTCGCGCTGCTGCTGCCCATCATCTGCTACTGGACGTCGGGCATCATGTTCCACATCATCGACCAGTACGAGCTGCTCGAACAGTACCGGATCCACACTCCTGAGGAGGTGACCAAGCGCAACAAGTGCACGTTTGCGGAGGTTGTTCGAGACGTTATCAAGCAACACATGCTCCAGACGGCTCTGGGCCTGCTACTCAACTACTTTGAGGAGCCCAACACGACTGGCCATGAAGCTCACGACATTTGGACGTGGCAGGTTCGGTTTGGAGGACAGACGAGCCCCGCAAAGGCGTGGCTCGCGGCGTTCGCCTACACCTATCTGCTGCCCTTTGTCAAAATCTCCTTTGCCTTCTTCATTCTCGACTCGTGGCAGTACTTTCTGCATCGGGCCATGCACCAGAGCAAATGGTTATACAAAAAGTTCCACTCCAGACACCACAGACTCTATGTGCCCTACGCCATTGGAGCGCTGTACAACACTGCTCTGGAGGGCGTGCTGATGGACTCGTGTGGAGCCGGCCTGGCATACATGGTTTCGGGCCTGACTACCCGAGAAGCCATCTGGTTCTTCTGCTTCTCCACGCTCAAGACTGTCGATGACCACTGCGGCTACTGCATTCCCTGGGACCCGTTCCAGATCTTGTTCCCCAACAATGCCGTGTACCACGACATTCACCATCAGAGCTTTGGCATCAAGACCAACTTTTCGCAGCCCTTCTTCACCTTCTGGGACCGCATTCTCAACACGGAGTACCACGGCACCCGGGGCTACGTGCAGAAGCAGAAGGAGATCACGGCCCAAAAGTACAAGGAGTGGGTTGAGTCTCGAAGCGGCTCTTCGTCCGAGGATGAGAACAAGGCCAAGGCCACCGAGGTGGCTGGCAAGTCGACTGGAGCTTCTACTTCCGAGCAGGTGGTTTCTTCTCGACTTGAGTAGACTACGATACACTATTTCACGAGCATAGCATCACGGCTCCCGAGCCACTAAACGACTAAACTAAACAGATAACATAACGGTACAGTATATAAACAAGCATCGAGTGCATTACAGAACGAGTAGTACGAGTATGAGGACTGTATATAGGACTGTACGGCACGGTACACGCACGAGAGCTATTGATTCAAGTGAGGTGGACAAACTTTCAAGCTATACGACTAATACGACTATCTCCGCAATCTCCGAAATACCGTTGTTGCGGTGGCATTGGAATGTAAACGCTGCAGGAAGTGCATGAGCAATCTACATTGTAGAGTGTGGGTTTTTGAGGTTAGTCAAATATTGGGGTAATAAGGGGCTGAAAAGGCGCTTAGAAAAGCGGTCGAAACACGTTTTTGGAGCGAAATCCCAGCTTTTTGCTCGCAGGACCAAAAGGGAAAGTTCAGCAGCCAAACAGTAATCACTCAAAGTTGTTTTCAGTCAAGGTTGATTTTCAGGGAGCAAGTTACAAGCTGGTCTTGTGACCTGAGGGGCTGTGTCGAGAATGCGAAGTGATACGCATACAGTAGAGAAGGTGTTGATGATGACAACGTTCAGATCGGGCAACGGGGCTCGGAATCGTGGAGGAGAGGACATATGATATTGATGCAGCATGTGTTGATGTGGTTTATAAACAGTTGGAGCTGATAGTGTGGGTACAATAGGAAGTACTTTCATCTCGGCATTCTACTGGACAACCTCAACCAGTTGGTTAAAAGTTCTGTACTGTAACTGCTAGACAAGGCTATAAAATATAAAATATAAAATATAGAATATAGAATATAGAATATAGGGTGTAGAATATAAAATCAAAATATAAAATACAAATATATATATAAAATTAAAAAAGTTTAAAAAATAGGATACAGTATAGACCACCAACAATAGCTCCAAGACACGGAAATATAGACATAGACATGGCCTGCTTAATGCCGGCTCGGTGCATCCACACTGCCGTCGAGCAATTAATATCCGGCCATCATCCCGAAATCCGTCCTGTTTTCTCTCCTCTCAGACATGTCCATTGTCTTGCTGTCATCCAATGGGGTTTGGGGTAATGGGTGAGGTACAAGTAGTTGGAAGAGACACAACGGAGATCGGCATGAGCGAGTACGATACACCGGAATGCTCGTAGTGTACCGTGCAAATAACCCAACACCTCCAACAAATCACATGCTATGCCATCACTCCTCCTTACAATGCTCACATGACGTTGAGGTCGTACATTTGATAACACTGTTGGGTTGGAACCTAATCAGTTTGCTGCCCTGAACGGTTGTCGAAGGTGCGCATACGATAGTGCCATTGGTGACTGGGGATCGGGCGACGTGGTGATGGAGCTTTTGTAGGGTAAGTGGTAACTTGGCAAGTTCTTGGAACCGCTAGGGACCGTCGGGATCTTAAGTATCCGTCTTTTTTTAGCAGAAGGTGTCCGGTTTTTGTTCACTTTTCCACCCGCTCTCTTGGCATGGCGCCATTTTTCAACTGTAGATTTCACCTGAGGTAGGGCTCGGTGCTGCACGGGGAAAAAAAAGCAAGGGTGGCGATTGAGCTGAAGCGGTCCTGTAGTCGGTTAGATTCGCAGTTGGGGAGGTGCCCAGGGCCTCAATTGGACACAAATAGGCGACGCTGGCCGCCAGCAATAGTCAGCAATCTCTTGTCTCCTTGTTAGGGGACCCGCTTTGGAAGTCTCAACTATCGTATATAGTGCTCTTGAACATCCGCTTTTCCGCACTCACTCACTCACATCCTGTACATCGGCACATTGCACCACATACACTTCTTACAGTAACGCAACTGCAACACGGTGCAACAAGTGCAACAACAGAGAGTCTCGGACACACATTCTCAAGAGACTGCACCCAGACAAGCGAAAAAATGGACAAAGAAAACGCCTCAGTGGAAAAGGCCCCCACCACCCCGTCTTTGGCGGTCCCTGCTCCTTCCCAGGCTTCCCCCCAATCGCCCCAGGCAGCTCTATCGCCGTCCAACTCGTCCATTCAAGCCACCTTTGCCCGCGCACGAAAAGGCAGTCACGCTTCTCAGATGGAACGCCCCAACAACCGCGACTTTGCCATTCCAGCCTCCCCCACCGTGGGCGAGTCGTCCATTGCAGAGCTGGTGACGGCACCACCGGCAGTGACGCCCTCCCGGTCCCGATCGTCGTCGGCAGCCTCCAACAACCAGGCCGCCATGTCGCCTGTGTTCCCGGCTTACGACGACTCCAACGCAAAGCACTACCGCCGATGGGAAGACGACCGATTGGATCTCATGGTGCAGCCCGACAAGCTGGTGTTTGTGGAGGGAGATACGCCCGTGGAAAAGGCGTTCGATAAACTCGTCGAAAACCACTTCACCTCGTTGCCCGTGCGAACCGCCCCTGAACACAAGTCCGTCTCCCACTCTTTCGACTACGCAGACCTCAACGCCTACCTGCTGCTGGTCATGGGCTACGTGGACGCCGCAGACACCACTCCCGAGGCACTGGAAAACGTCAAGAAGGCGCGATCGGGCCAGCCCGTGCCGGTCAACTTTGTGGCTGGCCTGGGAGCCAAGGATCCCTTCATCTGTGTGCCTAGAGACTCCACTCTGGCCACTGCCGTAGAGATTCTCGGCTCTGGCGTCCACAGATTTGCCGTCACTGAGGGCCCCGCCTCCGACGCTGTCATTGGCATTCTGTCCCAGCGACGAACCGTGCGATACATCTGGGAGAACGGCCGGTTGTTCAAGACGCTGGAGCCCCTCTTCCAGACGCCCCTCACAGACCTGGGTCTTGCCCAGCCCAACCCCAATGTGCTCACCATTGGAGGCGATGAGTACGTTATTGCGGCGCTGCGAAAGATGAACGCCCAGAATGTGTCTTCTCTCGCCGTCGTCGACGCCTCCAACAACCTGTTGGGTAACATCAGTGTGGTGGACGTGCGGCTTGTGTCCAAGAGCTCGCAGTCACATCTGCTCAAAGCCACCTGCGCGCACTTCCTGTCAGTCATTCTCAATGCCCGGGGCCTGGAGGACGGCAAGGACTCCTTCCCCGTGTTCCACGTGACCCCGCAGACGTCATACGGCCGAACCATCGCCAAAATGGTCGCCACCAACGCCCACAGACTGTGGGTCGTGCAGCCCGATGTGCCCTCTCCACAGCCGTCGACCCCCTCTGGTCAGCCGGCCTCCAAGACCCACGGTCCCTCTCACCACGCTGCTCACAACGGTAAGCTGATTGGAGTGGTGTCGCTGACCGACATTCTCAATGTGCTGGGTCGACATGCTGGCAACTCGGACCTGGACCCCCATTTTGCCCGTCGAAACCGACGACGGTCTTCCTCCTCGTCCGTGCGATCGCGATCTTCCTACGAGCAGTTCCGACGGTCCATTTCCATTGATCGGGGTCAGAGATAGGCCACGGCGGAATCTGGAGTGATCACGTATATAGGTGGAGAAAAGGGGGGATGGTATAAGAAGGCTCCCTTCTCAAAGAAATCAAGCACTATTTATGCTAATAAAATTGAATTATATTTGCTGGAGTGCAAGTACAACCACTGGTACTTGTGCCGTACTTGTGCCGTACTTGTGCCGTACTTGTACATGTTAGTTGGATGTACCTGTATTATAGTATCGTGGTGCCAAAAGCAAGGCTGATCAGCCGTGCATTAGATAGAGCAGGGTCCTACAGGGATGTCGAAGTGGGGGAAAAATGGGAAAAAGTGGCGCTTCTGGCTTCTTCGAAGCTTGTATTGTGTTTGTTTGGGTCGGTCTGAGTCTGATTGAGCCCGTTCGAATATTTGGCCTGTCATTAATTGGGTAACGGCGGCGGTTCAGATCGTGAGGATTTTTTTATTTTTTATATTTTTATTTTATATTTTATATTTTATATTTTATATTTTATATTTTATATTTTATATTTTTATTTTCATCCAAATTTCAAGATAGTTTTATCTTTATGTTTTTTCGGTATCGCAAACTTTACGCTGTGTTAGCGTCAGTACCTGCCCTCGAGCAGTACCAACCAGCACAACGGTTCCCAATAGGGTAGTTTTAGTGGGCCACTACAAGTAGACGTGGAGAAGGCAATGTGGGTGTTTGTGTCTTTAGATGCTTTTTGTCCGGTATTTGAGATAATAGCGAAGATTCCGTTCCCGTGTAGTTGGTTCCTTGACGACATTCCTGCTGCTGTGTTATATATATAATCTTCATCAAGTCCCAACTAAAATGCTAACTAAAATCCCAAACTTAATGGCTTTAAACGCACCTTGTCCCGTCCCTTCATAAATACGCCATTTTCACTCCCCAATATGAAACGGTTTCTTTAGGTTAAAATTCGAATCTGATCGGTGGCGATATGAAGGCAGCGTGGGGCGGCGCAAGAGCAGGTTTCTGTGTGGCGATAGACAGATGTGGGCACGGTGTTTGCTGTCACGTGATCCCTACCCCGGAAACATGGCGGTTGTCGGTGTTTTATTGCCTCCAAACTGCTCGCCGCCACGTCACACTACACACCTCAGCTTTAACCGTTTCGGCGCTTAAAGTTCAGATTTCCACGTCACGCTTTATTCAAGTGCAACCTGCAACACAGCTTGTGACTTGTACAAGTACACACAACTATCTCTCGCCACAATGAAACTGATCTATCCGCTGGTAGCGCTACTACCGCTGGCGATGGCGCAGGAGCCGCTCATGGGCGACCTCATTGCCCAGGCAGACAAGTATCTGTCCGAACGAGCCTTTGACCAGGCGCTGGATTCTTACGACAAGGCGCTAGAACGACAAAAGTCGCAGGGCGACGACGCCGTGGAGGACCCCGTGGAGCTCTCGCGAGTCATGTACCGACGAGGAACGGTGCTGCTGCTCAAAGACAAGCAACAGCTGGCTCTGGACGACTTTGAAGCAGCCCTGGCCCTCAACCCCAAGATGCACAAGGCCTCCATCAAGATTGCAGAGGCGTTGTTGCGACAGGGCGAGTTTCTCAAGTCGATCCAGCGCCTCGAGCCCCTTACAGATCTCAAGGGCATGGACGAGAGAGACCGAAAACGGATCATGGAGGGTGCCAACAGTGGCTTGGTGAACACCGAAGCCGCAGCCAAGGCCTACCAGTCGATCCTGGAGTCCCAGGACAAGGAGCAGCCCATTGACAAGATGCACGCCGAGTCGTGTATTCTTCACGCAACCGAGGCCCTCAAGGTGGCTAAAAAGTCAATCACATTACACAAATACAAGGCCAACTGTCACTTGGCTCTGGGCCAGGCCCAGTCTGCACTGGTCGACCTGTCTTACTTGCAAGTGGCAAACCCTGCAGACGTGCAGCTGGCCCAGGAGATGGCCCAGATCTACTTTTACATGCTGTACGAGCCCGACAAGGCGCTACAGCAGATTCGACAAAAGTGTCTGCGTCAGGATCCCGAAAACAAAACGTGTGGACGGCTGGCCAAGGAAATTCGAAAGCGAGACAAGGTGCTGAAGCCCGGCCTGGCTCTTTTGGACAGTAAAAGAGACAGAAAGCCTGCTGATCCTCTCTATGAGCGACTGTTTAAGGAGTGGGTTGAAGAGGGTCTGTTTGACGACATTGTGCGAGACACCAGGGTGTTCATGGATGCTCTAACCATTGCTCCTATTGATCGAATTAATAATCTCGGCTCTGTTTCCAATCTCGTGGGTAGCATGGAGGAGGTGCTTTGTGAGGCGTACTCCAAGCAGACCCAGAAGAAAGCCAACAAGCCCCCTGCATCGCGGGCTGTTTTCTGCGATCTTGTTTCTCGACGAGACGAGCATTTTGTTCCTGCAGTCATGCTTAAGGCCAACAAGCTGGTTGACGAGGAGCAGTTTGAGCAGGCTGATGCGATCCTATCCGAGCAGGTTCAGTACTGGCAGTCCCTAGGTGACAGCCACAAGGTGCAGCTGCTTCGAAACCGGCAGCAGGAGGTGGCTGTGCTTCTCAAGCAGTCAAAGTCCAAGGACTACTACAAGATTCTGGGTATTGCACGAGACGCTACCGAAAAGGACATCAAGAAGGGATACCGAACACAATCCAAGCTGTACCATCCTGACAAGTACAAGGGCGATCTGGACGATACTGCTGTGGAGCGAAAGATGGCTGAAATTAACGAAGCATACGAGATTCTGTCTGACCCTCAAAAGAAGGCTGCGTTTGATAACGGAGGTGAGTTTGATGGTCAGGGCCAGCATCAGCCCCAGAACCCCTTTGGAGGCGGGGGTGGAGGCTTCCAGTTCCAACAAGGTGGAGGAGGTTTTGATTTCGCTGCCATGTTCCAGGAACAGATGAAGCAGCAGGCTCGACAGGGGCAAGGTCGTGGAGGTGGAGGAGGAGGCCAGCACTTTCAGCACGGCTTCCGGTTTTAAGAGGAGACGGTCCCGGTGAAGGAAGAGTGGCGGTAATAGAGAGAATGTCGGCTTGCCACGGTTGTGAAGCATTCTCAGTTGTACTAATGTATGACATGGCTATATGTACATTAATTGGAATATTTAAGTGTTGGAGGTCAAGTAATGTAAACAATGAAGCATAGGTCGGAGTCGTACATTGCACAGCACATGGTCAATATCTATTTTCTAGTAACAATGTCATAAAAGGCCCGGCCCTGAATACGGGCAATGTCGAGCTCCAATTTCGAAGGGTTTCGACTTCCATCTCCTCCCGTGAACGTTCCAGATCCCCATGGAGAGCCTCCGTGCACTTCTTCGAGACTGGTGAGTTCGGCAAAGGCCGGTTTGTAGCCCAGAGGCACGTACAACATGCCGTGATGAACCAGAGTGGACAGAGCGTCGGCTGCTGTGGTTTCCTGGCCGCCTCCAGGGGTACCTGTCGACACGAAAATGCCTGCAAACTTGCCGTACAGAGATCCATTGGCCCACAGGCCTCCTGTTCTGTCCCACAGGGCCTTCCATTGGGCTGGGAAGTTGCCGAACCGTGTGGGGATTCCAAACAGAAACGCGTCGTACTCGGTGAGAATCGCGTTTGTCACCAGCGGGTCGTTGGGCTTTGGAGGAGCTCCCATCTTGGCCAGCATTTCTTCTGATAGGGTCTCTGGCACCAGAAACAGGTCTGCAGTGCCTCCAGCCTGTTCAATCCCCTCCTTGATGGCCACGGCAAGCTGCCGGATGTGGCCGTACATGGTGTAGTAGACAATTGCGATTCTGGGGGCCATTCGGAGGTGTTTTGGAGTTGGTCAAGAGCTCAAGTTTGTTTTTCCAACCATGACACCATGTGACTACAATAGGCTCAGTGGATCGAGTCAAACAATTTTGGTGGCTGGTGAACGTTGCTGCGCGGAAAAGCCAACGGTTGGCTGGGCTAGAGCGATTCTTTTGCTGATTCTTTTCTTACGTAATCCTCTCTGTTCACTTCCATATACTCCTCCATCGACCAACCGCCTGCACCGGCTGAAATTCGCGCTATTAATTTAATGTCCACGTTTCTGCAGCTAAACACAAGGGCCAGCACAGGTTATGCAAGAGCCAGACAAACAGATAATGCACTCGAGATGAGACCCTGAAAGTGGTCGGAAATGGAGCGAATAGGGAGGAAAACGGCTTCTCCGACCGAAAATGAGGCGTGGTTTCCGACCAGCATTGTCAGAGCAAAAAAAACTTCAACTTTTGTGTTGGAAAAAGAACTCCGCAACGGAGAATTGAACTCCGGTCCCCCGCGTGCTGAACAATGTTCTGACAGGCGGAAATTCTAGCCACTAAACTATTGCGGACGTTTTTTTCATTTTGAAAACGTGGCTTGTATTAAGCATATTTTTGATTAGTCAGAGTAATGAATCATTAGAATAAAAAAAAAAAAAGTTATGTAGTGAATCATTAGAATAAAAAAAAAAGAACGAATTAGAAAAATAAAATAAAATACAAAATTGAATAAAAAATTGAAAAGAATATGTATTTATTTCGCTAGAATAAAAAATGACATCGTACGACAACCCCTGAGACCGCAACGACTCAATCATGATACACGACTCATGATAACAACACCATTTACGACCCTCACGAAAACAACTAATCCAACTTCGAGCTTGGAGATGATATGATATGATATGATGATTGATTTGCTAGTCGTGATTCACTACCACGTGACCGCGACAAAAACAAGATGAAGCGACGATATTGGCAGTCTCAAACTCATTGACACCGAAACGCGCATCACAACGATTATGCGTTTGATTTATTGACGCCAATAACCCGGCTGTACGTAATGAATCGTGAATCATTGGAATAAAAAATGTCAAAAATCGGCAAATAATGGTTAATATCAAAGTAGCTGGATTTTATGATGCGTAATAGACAAGTACAAGTAGTTGAAATATATTTCCCTACAGTAAAATGTTTAAAAAATAAAAATAATAATAATAATACTAATACTAATAATAATAAAAAAAAAGTGGCAAGTTTTAAATGTTGTAGCTCTCAGATCTCAAGAAACACCTACAAGTATGAACATACTACAGATAAATGACTCTGACTCAACATGCTGGTGCAACTCGCCGAGAACATTCCACCATCAGGTCATGGGACGAGTCTGCTCGCTCAACATGTCCCTACTGGCCATGCGACCAGCTGCATTTGCTCCAGATTTTTCCCATGATATCCGCCCTGTTTTTTTTTGGTTTTTTTTTTTTTTTTTTTACGATTTATTATGCTTGGCATTGTTTGGGTCTGAATGAAACTCGTCCAAATGCCGTTGGTGGGGTCATTGGAGGCGGATAGGCGATGTAGCAGCGCAATATAACTATCTGCTGGCTTCCTAGGTGTTGTAGTGTCTCATGTATATTTTCCCATTCCCCTTCTGGACCCTTACATAGACAGCCTGTCTGTTTTGGAGCGAGTACACTCGTGCATTCACGGAGGTTTTTTACCGTCGTTTTCGTCGGGCAACTTTAACCGACTTCGGCATTCAAAAGGGAATATTAGCCGTACAGGAGCTCGGCTAGCACCCCCCAACTTGGAAGAGCAACACGGGGGAGAGTCGAGAGCAGTCTCGAGACGAGGTGGGATCCCGTGTATATTTATTTTTTCGGCTGGTTTGCAACCGCCGGTGGATTAGCCGGCTCGCCCATCGGCGTTTTCTGCATATTCATATTTCAGCCGTTCATAGCTCCTGTATTATGAATTAATATCTCCATCTATTATTATTATGTCATTGCTCCAACTGACAGTCAACACAATGGCAAACTCAAAATACAGTGCGCCTGCGATCAGCCTGAATCAACCCAATTTGCACATACAGTAAAGTGAACGTATCCGACACTCCAAGCGTACAAGAACTGTAGCTACCAATACGAAGCTCCGCAAAGAAACACACTGCTCACCTTCAATACGCGATCGGGTGCCACATTACAACCTTTGCCTCAGCCACTGGGTTGCGGATCCTGGACTGAACCAAAGGGCTGCACCCGAGACAAGAACAAAAATAAAAAATAAAAAACAAAAAACATAAAAATAAAAATAAAAATAAAAATAAAAAACGCTGCCCAATTCTCAAAGTGCTGTGGTTGGCGAGTGCTTGTTCGACCGACTCCCACACATGAGCCTGCGTTATCAGTATCAGTGGCGTGATGCAATGTCTCCAGAGAGTGCTACAAGGCGAGTACTTCACCATCCACGATTGAATCCACAATCCCCATGTCATCTTGGACTCTCCGACAAGGCCCCGATGATCCCCCCCCGGATGTCTCAGCAACGTATCCACTCGTATACTTAGTGTGAAAAAAAGCAACTTCTGGTCAACAGACTTTCGGCATCTCATCCCAAGGACCGTGCGTCACCACTGTGTTTGACAATGGACAAGGGACGCGATAATGAACAATGGGCTCTAGTGTGTATATTCATGCTGTAGGAGCGGGGTACATGAGTCGGTATCCGACTGTACGGTACGAGTATTGTTGACATGTATCGATATTGTGAACATGTCATTTTGGCTGGTGTTTAGTCTGTTGTATGCCAAAGTATTGTAATCCAACCTATACTCTGTCTTTCTGCCACCAAACGGCCAATGGCTACAAGTGGCTACTCGTACGGCTACATTCAGCTACCTCTTGAAAGCTGACTCTTGCGCCCTCCAAATCCGCTAATCCCACCAATACGACCTTGAGAATGCTCGCATCCCCTACGGGACAGGTGCATTTAATAATCTTGAGAGCAAAGTGAGTCAAAGCTGCAGGTCTGTAGACCGTGCTACAACATGCTTAGGCGAGAAGTGGGCCAAACGAACGCATTTTTGGATCAATAGACTGGCTCTGAGACCAGGCCGTTCTGGAGACACCACAAACGTGCTTCTCCGCCATTCCACGCGGCCCATGACTCGATCGTGACTCCTTTTCGGATTACATGGGGCGTCCATTTAAAATTTGGCGTTTCCGGGATCCGAAGTGGAGACCCGCCGATCCCTGCCTAAAAAGTTAAGCTAAACTCCAATCTTGGCTCATATCTGGAGTAGCCGATGAGGCACGGTCCAATATGAAATTCTCTTCTGGCCTTGACATGTATATATATATATATATATATATATAACGGAGGAGGTAGCCATAGACACAACACCCCACCACATCCATCACTCAACATGTATTCATTCGACTTCAACTTTGACACGGCATATCCGCCACAGACTGAATACCCCAAACAAGACGACTGTCTGGGATACATGCCCATCACGCCTCCTTACCTGGACTGGAGCTCGCTGACATTCCCGCCGGTTGAATACGCACCCATCGTCGATAACGTGCTCCCGGAAGAACCCTCGGAGCCCTCGGACGTGTCTTCTTCTTCCGGAGAAGAAAGCCCCTACTTTTTCGACGAATACTGCACCATTCCCTCTCTGGTCGACCAGCTCAAAGAAAACCCCAACATTTGGGCCATGGCAAACACCGTCAAGAAAGGAGCCTACGTGTGTAGCCACTGCACTAAGCAGGGCACCCCCGTCAAGTTCAAAACCATGGTCGACTTTGCCACCCACCTCGACTCGCATTCTCATGACCGAAGCTGCAAATGCGCCGACACAAAATGTCCCTGGTCCATTGTGGGCTTCTCTACTCGATCGGAAATGCGAAGACACACAAACTCGGTCCATCGACAAACACCCTTCACATGCAAAATCTGTGACCGCGGGTTTGTACGAGAAGACTCTCTCAAACGGCATGTCAAACTACTCCACATTTCTCCCCTCAAAACCAGACGAAAGAGTACCTGAGCAACAGGATCCCTCACAAACACCACCCAAAAGCTAACACTCTCGACATGTATTTATACGATCTGTACCATATTTTTATATAATGTATTCATGATCCATATCCGAACAGACTATTGAAGGGCTCTCTACGCTATGCAACCACTTGTAGGCTTCTGCTATCCGCTACAGTATATCCTTCATTGATCTGTTACCATGTCGACTCAATCTTTGATGTTAACAATAAATATTCATTACTCTTCTATACTTTCCCCTCTATACTTACGTCTATTCGGAAAACACCTGCTGGAGATGCTTGAGAGCCAAGAAGGAACCTCCAGACGCTCCCTTGGTTGCAACTCCCGAACCGTTGCAAATGGTCAGAATTCGCATCTTCTTGGGGTAATTGAAGTGAATGAGCTTGGGCGACAGCAAAAATAGCTGCTGGTCAAAGTCCGCAGCCGTGTCGGCAACATGCTGGTTCATAATCACTTCGTTCTTGGCATCCAGCGCCTGGTTGATCTCATCCAGAGCTCGGAAAGCCACAGGAGCAACCCCCTGTAGCGCCAAAAGATAAGTTCCGATCGAAATGGACCGCTCTCCTCCAGACTGGGTAGTTCCATCCAGCTTACACTTGTTGCCTCCCTCTCGGAAACTGACCATGATCTCAATACCCCATTGGGAAAACGGGAGAGGCTCCTCGGGACTAGGATCGTTGGGATTGGCCTTCTCCTTGACTGTTCTCAAAACAACCAAACCAGAAGCCTTTTCTTTCTTTTTGAGAAGCTCGGCAAACCGCGAAGAAACAAGATTGACGATTCTCTCAAGCTCGGGCACAAACACGTCGATGATCTTCTGCATCTCCTCGGCCGCATTGTCTCGTTTGTTGGTGAGATAGACCACCTCCTGCTTGGTGCGCTCGGCCTGTCGAAGCACCTCTTCGTACTTGTTTCGAGCATCCATATCGACATTGGCAAACGTCAGCTCCTGGCGAAGAGCATCAATCTGTGCATCCACATGTGCCTGGAGATCGGGGCCATCGTATTGTGCCTTGAGCTCTTCGAAAAACACCACGTACTCGGGCTCCACCTCCTCCTTGTTCGCCATGTACGCTTCATATTCTGCCTTGGCAGCTTTGTATCGCTCCTTGAGACGCTGGAACTTTTCTTTGAACTGGGCACGCTCGGCCTCCACCTCGGCGTATCGGGTTTTGAGACTAGAAACCAGTACATTTGCTCTGGCAAGCGCAATGGCGTCCTTCTGAGCGTCAGGAATGATCTGGCCCAGCTTTTTGATCACCTTGACTCGATCAAGCATATTGGCAGCAATCTCGTCGCGGGTCTCGTTTCGTTTTTTTGCGATAAGAGCCTTGACCTCCTCAATGCCCGCTGGAGCGTTTTCGACGTGCTTCTTGAGCTTGACCTTTGCAGTATGCAGGTTCTTGGCCAGAATATCCTTCTTACTCTCCCTGGTCCTGTATCGACGCAGCTCGTCTGCAGTCTCGTTTTTTAAGTGAGCCTTGTCCTGTAGCAAACTGTTTGCAGTCTTGACTTCCTCCTTCAAGGGTCTGAGTCGCTGCACAAGTTCGTCATACTGCTCCTGTAGTTCCTGCTCTCGGGACCGATCAGGTAACTTTTCGTAGATGATTTGAGAATCCTTTTTGGGAGGATAGGTGTCGATCGGCTCGGACTTTGTAGAGGTGTACCGCTGTCCGTAACGAGACTGCTTGACGGTGTACAGCATGTTCTTGGAGATGAATCTGTTGATGGACGGAGGCAACTTTGAGATTTGTTCGGTAGTAAGTCCTTGTCGACTGTAAGGAACAGCGTGGATTTTGGCTGTCTCGCAAAGATGGGCCAGGTTATGATCAGGACCTTCAACAAGGTCCAAAATGTATCCGTCGAAACCGAACCCTCGAAGCTGCTCCCGGGCGACAGGCACAGTATGAGACGCCTCCTCAAACGACTTGGATACTTCTCGAACAGTAATTTTATCTTCAACACGGACAATCTGGGCAGCAGCACTGGAATCACGAGCCACAAAGTGCTGGGCAGTGGTCCTGACCACGGCGCTCACCATTCTCTGGTCATCGAGGTTGTTTTGTTTAAGACGAACAGTGTTGATGGCAGGGAGCGAGTATCTGAACTGGTCCGGAGGTGCGATTCGTTTGACCTTTTGGATCAGGTTCATGTTGATTCGCTGCACAGGCACAAACCGGTCGTTCACACGCCTCTCGGACTCCAATGCAGAGTGAATCTCATCAGCCTTGCCGGATTCGTTCCGTCTTTTGGCTTCCAAGTCTCGCATCACCTGTTTAGCCTCGCTGTAGTCCTTGTCCAACTCAGCCAGCTTGGCCTTGAGACCCTCCTTCCTCTCCTGAAAGGCGGGGTCGTCCAACTCCTTGCACAATGCAGTGTATGACGCCTGATCCTCCTGGACTTTGTTCTGCAGAACCTTGGTTTCCTCTTCGTGCTTGTCGAGACGTCGCTGCGCAGCCTCAAAGTCTCCCTCGTGCTTGGCCATCTTGCCCGCAATCTCCTTATCCTTATTACGGAGCTCTCGGTACTTGCGCCAGTACTGTTTGGCCTTTTCCTCCTTTTGAGACATTTCATTTCCGCATGTCTTAATGACTTGTTGGTACGAGCCCATCTTCTCGCTCAGAGTCTCTTTCTCCTCAATCAGATCTTTGTTGGCGGCATTCAACTGTGCCACCTCGAGCTTTATACGCTCAGTCTCCTGTTTCAGAAAAATGCCTTTGCTGTAAACAGCCACCTTTTCCAGCTTCTTAACCATCTCCTCCTGCTTCTCACGCTCCTCCAGTTGGGCGATTTTGTCAGTCAGATCGTTTCTTCGTCGGTCCAGATCCGCAAGTGCATCTGTGGCCAGCTGCAGTCTGTGCTCGTCGTCGGCACTGTGTTCCTGCTGGTTTACCAGCGAGTCGTAGTGGCTACGCATGTTTTTGTAGCCGACATCCTCCATGGTGGTTATGAGAAGCTCTTTGGGACTCATGGTGGTGAAGTCCTTGACTCGATCCTGGGGCAGGAAACGGGTCATGGACACAATCTGGATGTCGAGCTCTCGAGCGGTAGCACGCACCTCTTTCATTGTAGCCGACTTGCCGTTAATGAAGAACTTGCCCTGCTTCTCGTCACGTGTCAGCGTTCGTTTGAACGTGAGGTCCGGCATGCCTGCAAAGTTCTTGACCACGACCCGCACCTCCAGCGCGTCCTTGGTCGATTTAATGAGCTGCTGGGCCTTAAGGGCCGCCTTGCCCATGCATGTGATGGGGGCTGCGAACGCCAGACAGATGGCTGCGAGCATGGTACTCTTTCCAGATCCATTAGGGCCAATCACAAAGTTGAGAGTGGGTCCAAAGTTGACGAGACACTCGTCGTAGGACATGACGTTTTTCATGTAAATCTGGAGAATGCTGCCCGGTCGGTAGCCCGTCTTTTCGCAGATGTCGAGACTGGGTCGGGGGATCATCTCGGACCCATGTTGTTGGTCGTGTTCTCGAATCTCGTTGTTGTACGCCCGTTGTTCTTCGTCAATGTCGTCGTCGAACACGCCCATCTGTTCGTCCTGCGTGCGTCGACGCTTGGCGACCGTCTGCGAGCCGTTAGGCAGGTCTCGTTTGGCCATTTCGTGCTGATGGAGGATTTGCGACAGTCGTGGGGACAAGTTTGGCGTCTTAACAGAGTTTCGCGTTTTTCCACTTTCTCATTAAGGAGTTTATTAATCAGACGTGAACCATGGACCAACATGGTGGGAGACACACCTCAGCAAAAAGAGGGAAGGAAGAACGAAAAGACGGGGGGGAAACATGCCATTGCGGTCAGATGACCACCTCACGTGACCTCTCAACTTTTGCGGCTAATCCACGCTCCGGCCATCTCCTTCCGTTTCCAGTCGTAACCCCATTCATACTCCGTTCATGTGCCATGTACTGTCGACAATATTCGTATACGGAAACTCTCTCCCACATGCTGTTTCGACCAAACTGTCTGGATGTAGACTGTCCATACACACCTAGGTTACAGCAGTTGAGCGCGTGTGAGAAGGAAGTAGCGATGTCCCCGGAGTGTATATATAGTGCATAACCTGGTCATGACTTTTCTGTCTGCAGTATTGTACTCGTACACCATGAACCCCACCCTGCGACTGTGCCGATTCATTCGACCTTCCACCGTCAGAACCTCCATGGTCAACACGTCCCAGGTGTCTGGAGGCTCGTCCTCCATGGCCTACGACGCCTCCACATCCTTTTCGTCAACTCCACGACTGCTTCCGCCCAACTCCCAGCCCAGGTTTCTCGCAAACATGTCTACAGGAGACGTCATGGCGCTGGGACTGGCTTCTCTCATGACCTGCCGGCCGTCCATGGTCCAACTGTGCGCAAAGATATTGCCCTACGTGCCCAATTCGGTTGTCAAAATGGTCGTCTACCGTCTCTACTGTGGAGGAACCAACCACCACGAGGTTCTTCTGACCGCCCAGAAACTTGAGAAACGCGGCCTAGGCGTTATGATCAACTACTCGGTGGAGAGAGCCAACTGAAGAGATTGATATATTTATAGATGGTAAAGTATTTATTGTGTTTTACGGTAGTTCCGGTAGCTACAAGAACTTGTTCAAACACACCAACTTTGATCCAGTATGGTGTACTTGGTAAGCTAGCCACAATACGAACTGGTGCACTCCCGACAGTAATTCTTTCGCCAATCAACCAAAATTACATGTCACAATCCACCTCTGGACTCCTCGCACTCGTACCGGTTCACCAAGGTACACTTCTTCCCGTCTCAGATCGTATACGCAACGGTAAGACAAGATGGTGCCTTGATTCCGTTCTAGATCGGCTTGGATCCGGCAAAGAAAGATACACAAAGACCATCAAGTCAATCTAAACTGATTTTCTAACTCTCCTCTGGAAAATTCCAACACGACCGATTCAACAAGTGGCTCCTCACTCACCATACAGACATAAATGACCACCTTTTTGGCCTAATCGCGGGGCGTTTTAAACCCTAACCCAATTCATGTTCGATTGCGATCAAAGTTGTTCTCATTTATATTTATATAGTCAGCGTCGCTCGCCTCTCTTTTCCACCATATGACAAGAAGAAATGATCGCTCTACTAGCTTCCATGGTAGGGCTGATGGCCCAGGATGTACGCGAGCTCCGACGACTCAACAAGCAAGAGAAGGCCCGCAAGAAGGAGGCCAAGGCCAGACGTCCAGCTCGCAAGAACCGCCACAGTCTGTCCGACAGCGTGACTCTGGTGGACAGCAACCAGTCGAGATCTTAAGCCACAATGACAGCGACGGCAACAATGATAGCGACACAGCCCGCACAACCAACGAGACAGACGGATGTCTTCCTGGACTTTCGTTGGGGATGATGGAGAGGTTGGCTGTTGAGGGGCGTAGACAGGCCAAACTTTTGGAACGGAAACAGCAACTGGAGGCCTCCAAGAAAAAGTTTGAGGCAAAAGTCGAAGCCGACAAGCGGAGGAAGGCTGAGCACGGCAGGTTGGCGAGAATCCGTGAGGAAGAAAAGCTCCAGAAGCGTGTGGACGTGAGCAGGACCAGGGCGGAAGCCAGAAAGAAGAAACAGCAGCAACAGCTTCTCCGGCTTCAGAAGCGCATGCAAGAAAAGTTGTACAAGGAGGAACAGGCGGAGGAAATCAAATTCAAGAAGCTTGAGGATATGCGGGTGAAACAGGAGAAGGCCAAAATTGCCAAGAGAGAAGCCTGGGCAAGGAAACGGCTAGCTCAAAACATTGTGCAAACATATGAAAAGCCGTTGTTCAGAGGTCGACCTGGTACGCTTAACCACGAAAAGCTGCATAATCTGGAGCAGCACAGGAACCGGGCCAGAAGACCACCACCTTTTGACCCCGATGAAGAGGCAGAGATCTATAAATCTGTGCGCAGGTACATTACTCCAAACATTAAGCAACCAGGAGGGTATGTCACTCTCACTCCTACTGTCTTGGAGAGGGCTACACAGCTATTAACCAATCAGAACCTCAGGCAGGTGGTTGCGTCTCCTCGACGGGTTATCGACAAGGCAGGTGAAATTGTTAGTCGGTCTTACAACAACACCAACTTCTTCATCAACCGTTTGCACGAAAAGCGAATGGACGAGGATATGGCCGATTGGCTTACTCTGAAACGCCAGGCCGAGAAACCGGGTCCTTTCACACCAAACGTATACTCGTGTGTCAACGGCCAGTATTCCTACGACGATCCCCCAAGCAAGTGGGTCCCTTACGCTGCTGATGACTTCTTTGCCGATCTTCAGGAAAAGTCACCTCGGTACTTTGAGGAAGACGGATCTATGGCGCGTGTTTATGAGACTCCTCCTTTTCCCGAGCCTGGACCTGCCGACGCACTCCCTCAAAACCAACTTTTGGAGCAGCTGCATAGATACGTTTCCGGATACGCTCACAGAAACTACCCGCTGCTCATGGGTCGCATGGACGAGTCTGCTCTGCTGGGTATGGGTGTTGTTGTTGAGGAAAAGATCAAGTCGATGCTGGGCAAGAATGGAGACCTGTTCTATGCTGTCAAGGAGGGAACTGACAAAGTATGAAGGAAGCAGTATGGATATTTATTGAATACATGAGTGAGTGTGCTGCAGCAAGGCTGTAGCAGCAAAGCTGATCTGGATGCAAGATGGAGCCATTGGAGCTCGTGAGCAGTGATGTTCTAAAAGAACATGTGAGGGGCTATATCGGCTGATCCGTCGACCATGCGCTCATCTGACAATACCTGTAGAGATCTCCTGGATTTGCACAATAGGCTGCGTTGGGCCGGCTGAGACCCCAGAGAGATATATACGTGATTAGAAATCAAGTGACAAACTGTTTCAGTCTCATTGTGAATATCTCAATCGCATGGCGACCGACTCGGTGTGAACAGTATGCTCTCCATGATGTTGTGGCTGCGACGGATTGCCCTTTTTGTACAGGTGGTACTCGTCTGGAGCAGATCCATCTTTGTGCAGAATGTGAATGAGCAGCTGGAAGTCGCTGGGAAGGCTGTAGGTGGTTGTACCGGAGCTGCTGGTCACACAGACCACGTTCGATTGTCCTGTTTCCACTGAGAAGTTGATCATCGAGTTGCAACTTGTCGGTTGGTGGCATATCGCTAAAAACAAGTGTACAAGTGTACTGTAAATATATATCGTTAGCTGTAGCTTGATAGACCCCACCTAACATGTTGAGATGAGGTCCGAGACCCACTTACCCCACCATGTGTATACTGTGCCTTGTACCTTGGCCCTGTCCAACCTTGATACTGTTGAGCTAGGTGGTATTGGACCAGTGTAAAAGACGGGGACCAGCTGCGAGGTTCTCCGTTCATGTCTCAGTTTGAATAATGGAGACAGTTGTGTCGTCTGCGGCTTTCCAGAGTTGCCGCTATCGCACATACGAGAGCAGCCCTACTACTACAAGTGCAAGACGATAGTTCAAACTAACAATCTCTAGCGGGTCATAATAAATATTGAATCTAAATATTTCCAGTGTCTTACCGGAATGAGCGGAATTACTGACAGTACCAAACCACACTCTTAGTTTGAGAGGGAAGAAGGGTCTAATTTTTGACAAACGCAGGCGGAGGATGAGACGGAGGCTGGTACTGGTCCATCTCAATGTTTGAGTGTCCAGGAGGAGGTCCCGGAGGAGGACCATAAGCGTCGCCCGGAGGAGGACCATAGGCATCGTTGGATGTGTAGCCTCCCTGGTGATTGCTGTAGCCGGCGCCATGGTGCGACGTGTTGACAAAGTTGCCGGATTGGTCATAGTATCCTGCGGCTGTGGGGTCGCTGTTGGCGTTGGGGTTGTATGGGGGAGCAGCCTGAGACTGGTACTGCTGCTCCGACTGGTGGTATGTCGGGGGAACGATCCACGACGTTCCTGTGATGGGTTGTTGGCCCCTGTTGAGCCGTCTCTTGTTGGTGGTGCACACTAGCAGAAACGAAATGAGGAAAACTCCGATGATCAGCGCCAGCAGAATCCATCGGCCCCAGTTGTTCCAGCCGGAGTTTCCGCCACATCCCCAGCCGTAGCAGCCGTCGCTGTAGTATTGCCGTCGTTCAAGAGGTAGAGATGGCATTGTGTGGGTGTGGGTGTGTGTGCAGACAGACGGTGTGTACTTGTATCTGTGAGGTGAATAAAAATGCGATGGTGCGTTTTTCTGTCGCTGTTCGAATGCTCGTGTCGAATGAGGGCAACGTGTATCTCGTCAGGAAGACTCTTGGCTGTGCAAGTCGTGCCAAAGTTGAGATGGCGAGGCTGTGGTGTTTTGCAACCGCAGACAATCACAGGAACTGCATGCACCAAACCATAACGGGTAATAGGGCTAGGGCACGAACCAGCCGTATCGGCCACTGTTGGGTGCAGAGGCTGGTTTTTTGCTGCAGGTGGCAAAAGTGGGGAAAAGGCATGATCACGTGATATCATATCCCGATATACACCTGCTGATCACGTGAACAGCGTCCACGGCCCGGCCGTCTTGCTCGGCAAGTTATCTGGGCGTGTTCCCTATCAACGGCAAGGGGTCTATTGTTGGTGGCGTAGAGTTTAGGTCATGTCATTTTGCGTTTTCCTTTTTTTTTTTTTTTTTTTCCTTTTTTTTTCCTTTTTTTTCCCTTTTTTTTCCCTTTTTGAATTTGGATATATTTTTTTCAGTTGACTTGGCAAGCGCTAATATGCGCTGGTTGGGAATTCGATTTCGAGTAGTGGCGACATTTAGACCGGTAGAGGCTTCTGGCGTGAGGGGGGAACATCGATATAAATATAGCATACGCCGTTTCCGAGGACACGTGTCCTTCGGATCAGATGACGACGAATCGTTCTTGTTTTTCTTACGTCATTTTCTACGCATCATCCATCTTGTCAACATTCCATTCTAGACGCATGGAAGTGCACACCAACAGGAGCCGACAGGAACGATGGTGGCAAATGAAAAGATGGAGAAAGCAAGCAAAAAAAGCGACGTGTGGGAAATACGACGCAACAATGGCAATCGAGCGACGGCAAGAGTGGAAGCAAGAGTTAATTTCGTCCAAATAGCTCACAAGATATCTCACGTGATTTGAATGAGTGAGATAAAAATAGATTGTACGAGTATGAATGAGCTGAGTAAGAGTATCATCACTACAAGCATTGGTTTAAAAATGCGTACAAAAATAATATTACTGAATCAAAAAGGCAGGCCTCCCCTGCAACTTTCTCTCTCTATCTCTTGTGCTCCATAATCCTCCTGACAGCTGCCGCACAGCCAACTACTTGGGAACCAAATGCTCGTCGTCATCAGAATGCAAAACGTCTCGTCCAGCCGGCTGCATGGGCGAGCTGGTGTTGGGATTGGGGTCCGCAAAGGGTGACAAGTGCGAATCGTCAGTCTGCGGCCGTTTCTCCAAATTGTCCATCTCCACGGGGCTCGTCGAGTAACCCTTGACGGGGTAGTCACTACCAGGGAAGGTGGCAGACTCCATGAACGAGTTTCGCTCAGACTTGTACACTCGGTCCGTGTTGGGATCGCTGTACTCGTCAGTGGGAGGTTGGTCGTAGCCAGGCTTCTCTCGAGCAGAAGTGCCGTAGTTCTGAGTGGTCTCAGACACAATGGTATCAATGTCCTGGCCCTCGAGGTAGTTGAACTCACCAGCCCACCACATTTCTCGAACAATGTCAATATCCATGGGGAACCACGATCGATGCACACACTTTCCAAGAAGTCGGGGCAGAATGCACACAATGATCATGAGCAACAGGCAGGTCCAAAAGTTGAGGGCGCCGTACAGATGCTGCGCAGTCTTGTAGAAGAGCTGCGACGCCGTGAACTGCGTGTAGATACCGGTCCACGCAAACACGAGCGCAGAAGACACCCAGCAGATGATCAGGAACGGCTTGGACCACTGGTACATATTGAGCTGCACGTAAATGTTACAGGCAATCATGGACGCTGTACCGGCGTAGGCACCGTAGGCTTCTCGGTAGTTGATCTCTCGGCCAACATTGGTGGTCACGTGGCCCTTGTAGAAGGTCAGGTAGGTGAAGAAGTAGCAGATGACCGACTGGAACAGACCGTCGAGCATGTAGCCCCAGAACTTCCACTGAGTCCATTCCAGACGCAAGATACCTCGTCGGTACAGCTGGGGGACGGCAATGGAGATCTGCCAACTCACGTCCTGGTCAAAAATACCAAGCAGGATGACGGGAAGAGAGGTAAACGCCAGGTTAAACAGGGTAATGTACGTGTAATCAAACAGCATGACACCATCCATGGCCGTGTGCACCTGGAACCAGAAAATGGTCATGGCAAAGACGATATTCTTGTAGAAGAGGTTGGCAGTGAGCTCAGCAATTCGGCGGTAGCCCCATCGACCGTGCACTAGCAGCAACTTGTTGAGGAACCGGAATTGTCCGATACCGTAGTCAGACGACATGACGGCCTGTCGACCCTCGACACCAGCAATACCCACACCAACGTCGGCCTCCTGGATCATAGAGACATCGTTGGCACCATCTCCGATAGCCAGAGTCATGACATCGAGCGACTTTTTGACCAGAGAAACAACAGACGCCTTTTGGGCGGGAGACACTCGGCAGCAGAGAACAGACTTGCAGTTCTTGCACAGCAGCAGAAACTTGATACGAAGAGGATCGGAAAGAGCCACCGTAAGAGCGTCACCGTCAATGACAACAGCAGCGTTGTTCTTGGGAGGGGAATGATCCTTCTTGGCAGCCTTGAGAGCCTCCTTGGACGTATCAATGTTGTACTTGGCAGCAAACTCGTCCAAAACAGCTCCGACAGACTCGACTGTGGGGTTCTTGACCTGGATGGTGATCAGCTCCATGCTGTTATCCAGCAGGTTACAAGAGTAACCAATGTTGACAGCAGTTTCAACCTTGTCACCAGTCAGAACCCACAGCTTGATTCCAGCCATAGCCAGAAGAGCAATGGAGTTGGGAACTCCCTCCTGAAGACGATCTTCAATGGCGGTACCTCCCAACAGTCGCAGATCTCGCTCAATCTGCTCGGCCACCTCATCCATCTTGTCTTCTCGGTTCTCAATGGCTCGGGCAGCTTCAGAATGGAGACTGTACCACTGCTCGTATTCCCGCTCGGAGATCTCTCGGTGGGCCAGGCACAGGGTTCGAAGACCCTCGTTGGCGTACCGGTCGAGATCCCGTGCAGTTTCCTCCACCAGAGAAGACTCGTTAATCTGACGGTTGAGACGGCTCAGAATGACGGAGTCGGCTCCCTTACAGAGCAGAACAATCTTGCCAGTGTCGGGAAGACGTACAACGGTGGACATTCGCTTTCGGGTAGAGTTGAACTCCAACATGGCCAAAATATCGTACTCGATTCGCTTGCCCATGACGTCAACAACCACGGATTTTCGAGTTCGTTCCACAACAGTGAAACCGAGATCTCGAGCGGTGGAAACCAGAGCAGCTTCGTCGGGAGACTGGGCCTTGAACACAAGCACACCTTCTTCGTCAACCTCTGGAAGAACAGAGTGACACAGAGCGAGAGCCAGAAGGAAGTAATGGACATGCTTCTGCTGATCAGGGCCAGAGGCACCCTCCAAATCTCGAATGATATCGGAAGAGACGAAAGTGGGCTCGGCTGTTAGGTATGGGTTGTGGTACACCTTTGCCATCTCCCGGGCCATCAGCTGTCGGTCGTCAGCAATATCCTGCTCCATTTCAACCTTGAGAGTATCGATGTTGGCTCCCTGGCGCTTTCGGAGACCCAGCATGGCCTCGGTAAACACCTTACCATATGACTTGCCACCAATAGTACACTGTTTGAACTCCATGACATTCTGAGTGAGTGTTCCGGTCTTGTCGGAGAAGATGTACTCGATCTGGCCAAGATCATCGGAAATACTCCAACTCTTGGGGGTGCAGGGGTAGTCCAGAGGAGCATAGTACATGTCGATATCGTTGTAGATGAAGAAGGCATGACACGTCTTGACAATTTCAATCGAAATATACAGAGAAATGGGCACCAGGGACTGCAGAACAATGAGGAAGGTGAAGAACGTGACCAGACCACCTACAGCGTAGGTTCCACCGACAATTCCAAACTCGAAGAAGTGGTCAGAAGTGTCATGACGGCGGAAATGCTGTGATTGGACGGCAGCGGCAACAATAGACAGAACAGCGAGAAGAACCACGTTCGACCACACGTTGATGTTGAGCTCTCGGGTCATTCGGGATCGCTTGGCAGGGGTCTCTCCGGTGTTGAGAACAATCTTGGTGTCGTCACCGGTGAACACAACCAGACCCATGACCCATCGTGTGTTTCGCACAGAGCAGCCTCGCAGCAACAGGTTGTTGGAGTTGATAGGCTCGCTCTGGGCTCCTCCGTCTGTGTTTCTCCACTTGAGAACACCATTGTAGGAGTACATGTTGGCGTGGGGGGGTTCAGACATGACTTCGAAATGCGAGCGCTCAAAGTCGGAAGCGTGACGGATGCCTTTTGTGGCTGAAAGGGCTTGTCGCACCTTCAAGTTGGTCTCACCATCCAGGTTACGAGTCTCGATATAACAGGCTCCGTCGTCGTCCGAAGTGGACAAGACAACAATATCGGCAGGGACCTCGTCGTCGGACAAGACTCGAACAATGTCGCCCACGTTGACCTGCTTCCAGTACTTCTTCCGGAACTTGGCCACGCCCTCCGGTCGCTGGTTGTAGTCGATGACTGTGGGGTCGTCTGAGAACTCACCAGGGTTCTTACTGTCTCTGTTGTCAGTGCTGGCTCGCAGAGTACGAGAGTCGCCCGCGGGGCCCTCGCCAAAGTCGCCCGAGAACCGCACAGAAGACCGTCGCTGGTCGCGGTCCATGGAAGGTCGGCCCAGGTCCATGGAGGGCCGCACGTCTCGTCCAATGTCCGATCGTCGCACGTCAGAACGACGTCCACGAGACACACCCGAGGGTCTGCCACCGAGATCACTGCTCATTCGCGCGGTGATGACCGTGGTATTGGAGAGCACCCTGTGCAGCTCCTGCTCCTTTTCCTTGGACTCGATTCGTCGCTGCTTGGGCATGAAGAGTCGCACAAAGGCCCGTCCCTTGGGGCCCCAGAAGCGCGAGTTGGCCTTCTTGAACCGTCGCCACAGACCCACGTCGTCCTCCTCGACGTTGGGGTTCTCGATGCCGTCCAGCACACGGGTCACGTTGTTGTTGACCTCCATGTCAAGAATCTGCCGTCGGTAATCCTCGATGGCGTCCTTGATGGCTGTCAGCACGACAATGACAATGATGGGCACGGCAGCCAGACCGGCGGATTGCACTCCGAAAATGGAGAAGGCTGACAGAATGGCAATCAGCAGGAAATAAATATTAGCCACGTTGTGGAACTGGTACCACAGGTTTTTTGGCACAAAAGTGATGGGCGTGTATTTGGTGGTTCGGATCTTGTTTCGCACATAGTGTGCGAGGGGGTTGCCTGTTTTGGGGTCTTTTTGGTCCTCGGGAAGAGGCTCATTGAAGTAGACTGTTCGCGAGGGGCCATGAGCCTCGTCGGTGATCTCATGGGTGTTGTCGACCTCGACTCGTTCAGGATGCACGAGTTTTTGAAATAGCGATCGTCGTCGGTTGACCGAGTGGGTGCGGCGTTGCGTGCCGAATCTGTGTCGCTTGGATTGTGTCGTGTCAATGTTGGAGCCTACCTCTTGTAGAGGGGCTATATTGTCACCTTGCTCGGCGAGCTCAGCTGGGTTAGTAAAGGTCACCAAAGGCAGATAATGATATCAAGAGCTGCCCTGGTTGTGTTTGGAAATGACAATACAGTCACAGCAACACTCGCATAGTTGCATGTCTGGATAGTAAACACGGAAACGGCTGCTTATGGTAGTAACATCATATCCATCACACAACTGACAAAGGCCAGCTATTGCCATGCTCTCATGGCACAAGCACACACACAGGTATCATCTAGAGGAACTAGACATGGAATATCACGACACACTGTGGCGTTCTTCGCTGAATGTCTCTCTGGGCCTCTTTGGAATGTGTCGTCCATCAGGTACAATAGGAGCTGTCATAAGGGGGTTGTCATGTCTGTATCTCCGTGATATCGTAGCGTCGGTAGTATGGAGTCTGTGTCCCCATCTATGTCCCTGTCATGTCCCTGTCTGTGTCCCTGCCATGTCCCTGCCATGTCCCTGCCATGTCCCTGACTGTATCCATGTTGAGCCCTTCAGGGTCCCGTCTCTGGTACTCACCGTCGGTACTGGCCCTCATGTCTAACAAGTGTCAGATTATGCAAGGATACCACAAGAGAGTGCTGGGCGAGTGTGTGGTGTGAGGAGTTGTGGGTACAGCGGCCGAAAGTTGTGGTGTTCGCGGAAATGGTCGCGGCGAAGGTAATGCAACCGAGACAGACGCAGTCCTCGACACAGGAGTGAGAGAAGTGGTGGTGAGCCTTTTTTCCGAAATACGCTTCTTCGCCCTGCCGAATTATAATTTAGAATTGCGGTGTTTACAACGGCGCAACAACAAAGACCTCCGGGGTCCGTCGTCTACAGCAACTCGAAAACGGCATTTTTTGGCTGACCAACCCCTCCAGGGGCACTAGGTCTTGCGGCCACCGCACAGCCTCGTCTCTTTTGCCGTGTAAAAAACGGTAAACAGCACAAGCTTGTATTGTTTTGGCTCCTAACTAAACCGCGCCAAGGTCCTGCTTTTAACTCCGGGGGAGCGACTGAGGGAATCTATACAACAGGCACTATACATGCCTCCAACGGCCTCGGGAGTCTACAAAACAGGCCCCGATTGCAGTCGAATGATTAGTAATCGTCTTGGGTCGGGTTTCTTTCAAGTGTCCGCGTGCAAACCAGTGTACAACCATCTGCAAAACATCCACTATTGCTCGATGGAAATTACACTTTAAGCCCTGAATATGCACCGGACAATGCTGAAGGTACCGAAGCCAAGCGTGGAGTGCAGCTAGAGTTTTGCTGAAGCTCTTGAAATGGAGCAGGCGTGGCGGCGAACGAGCTGGGCCTGTTTCCCGCTCTCCTTGTGGTCCCCAATTGCTCGTTTGGTTCTCCTCCTGCTCACGGTTGTGGTCGCTGTCATTTCTCGGATCTAAATCCAAACACACTTTTTTTCCATGCAGGCTTCTGGGACCACGGTGCACATTCTTCCTTGTGCGACTGGGTCTTGTGGAATGTGAGTCTGCAAGTACTCTACCGTAGGCAGGTTCGTCGAGGAGATGGCTCTAGTGTGCACACGGCTATAACTCCTTTGGGGCGCTAAAAGGACAGCGCATAGCTATCCCTCTCCGGGCTAGTGTTGTCACGCACTGTCTATTAGTGCAATTCGCGCATTATAAAAGCCAGTCTAATTCCTTGTGTTGTATCGGAAGCTAGACAAGGTTCCGATCGAGCCGAGGGTGTCTTTATTAGTAATGCTTGTGGGAGCTTGTGGGAGCTTGTGGAGGTTGTGGGAGCTTGTGGGAGCTTGTGGGAGGTGGTTGGTGTGTTAAGTAGGTGGTTGGTGTGTTAAGTAGGTGGTAAGTAGGTGGTTGATGTGTCAAGTGGTTGAGGAGTTAAGTGGTGGTGGTTTAGGTGGTTGCTTGGTAGTGCTCTGTACATACAGTACCAAGAACAAGAGCCAGTACACACCCTTGGTTGCTCTTGATGTCAATGTGCTAGCGCAGTTGGAATGGTGTCTTGCTTCATCATCAACACGAATCGAACTCACAATCTTGCGGCTTCGAAAACGTGGTCAGTCATGTACTACAAGTACAAGTACGGTATCAACAACCAAAATAGGGTCCTCAACAGTCTGCCGAGCATGTTAACCAGCGCTACTTGTTCAGAATGTACAAGTACAACACCTGTACAAGTGCTGCGGATTGGCCTTGAACTTGCATGGACTTGTGAAAAACCAATTCACTGCGAGCTCGATTCGATAAACGATGACGACGGATCTCCGCACGTCAGATGTCAGATTGCGTTAGCGTCGATTAAGAGTGACGTTTGACGGCCGCTAGCGCCCAAGACATGTGTTGAATACAGGTATTGTACAATTGTGAGAAGGCCGGGAGGATCAGGATTGAGCACGAGCACGAGCAGAAGTACTTGAAGACCACTCTGAAAACAGTACAGACCTCAATTGAGCCAATGATATAGCCTCACTGCCGTCAAAGATATATACAACGTTGTCCACCGTGGACCAGTGTATACCAGGAGCGCCACTGTCAGGCAAGGTGGATAGACTAACCAGTTTACTCCACCGACAAAGACATGGGCGACTGTGTCTTGAACCAACTGTGTGCCATGTTTCAAGTGGGCACCTCTCGTCGACCACAATCACACCACTTGTCTCGTATTTCTACACTGCAAGATTCCCGCTCCTGCTGGGTGGAGTAAAGCTGAGATTGAACTTTGCCCGTGTCGACAGCAACAGCGGTGTGGCTTCGCGGAGGTTGTGTTCGTCTCTCGAGTTGGAGGTCGAGATGAGTTGGAGTTGGAGAGAGTTGGAGTTGAGTTGAGTTGGAGTTCACATCTCGTTCCGCTGCACATTCTTGATTGCTTGATCACCAAGTCCTCGGGTTTCTCCAATCGTTTCTGCATGTCTCCCAGACTGCACTGCACACTACGGGATGTCCTGAGTAGAAACGTATCCGCACCGGCCCGAGTAGCAATATCTAACTAAAAGTGGAAATGTCGTGTCCGACGACAGCCACATTGCAACATTGGCAAACAGCCTCCCACTAGTGCACCCTCAAGCTCGCTGCAACCCCCACGGTTTCACTTGGCCAACCCACCCATACAACCATGTCTCACACGGGCAACGGTTAACGGTCTCCACCTGGATCACCATCAAAGAGTGGAGGCAACAGAGACCTGGGCTCTAGGGCGGCCAAGAGTCACCCACCAGCCCACAGAAAGCTGCACCAAACGAGCAAATATGTCCGGTGTCGTCGCCTCGCCGGCATGCCAGTCGTTACTTTTTTGACCTATTCATCAGATAACCTGGGTATAGTTGCTGCACTAACCACTGTCGTCTTCCCGAAACCCACTTTGTCCGCGTCCCTCATGTATTCGTTATCGGACGGGCGAGACTGACGAGACAACTTCATCAGAGAGCCCGAGAGATGCGATTACTACCTGGCAAGCCACACTACCGCCTTCGAACGGCACCTTGGCCCTGTCCCTACTCACACGGCACCGCTACAACAAACGGCACCGACGACCTACAGTACGCGGCTTGACCAACAAAGTGCTCAATCTCTTTTGCCCTTAGACTCGACCAGAAACCTTGACCTGACGGCGGCCTCTTCCACAGAGCTAGACAGACATTAGCGCAAACTGTTCCTGAAACTTTGCTGCTCGCTCGCCGCCCACTACCTCTTGCCACCCAGCCCTGTGGTTTACGGTGGTTGTGCACATACGATTCGTATTTCCACGAAATGTTTGGAGTAGGTCTCATAAGTGGCTTTTATAGGTCCAAGACCTAATCTGACATGTGCTGGGGGAGGACGGTAGCCGCTCAGGACGTTTGCAAGAGCAAGAAACACGAATCTTTGATGATTCCGTACCACACCTCCAGTCACAGATCACCGATACAGACCGCAACCAACCTGGTCACATGGTGGCTTCCCAGTTTACTCAGTCCGCCTCGGGGACAGTTTTGTAACAAAAGCAACGACCGCAAGATAGGGGAAGCTCGTTGGGGAAAGAGGTTCCGTAGATCACCACGGTGATGCAGAGCGCTGTCTTTCTCCAACACACCGTCTTCTCACCAGTAAAGTGATAGTCCTCCCAGGACACTGACACAGTTAAACTAAGCGTGAAATTGAATGATGGACGTCCTCAGGGCCCACAAGCACGCCTTTAGGCTAGGTGCCTCGACTCGGACAGCAGTAGTCCATGGATTGTCTAAACAGGGGCTTACTTACTTTTTCCCATCTTCACCCTGAAAATAAAAGTCCTCATTCCTCGGTCAACTATGCGAATTAGTCACTGAACGTGGGCGAAATGGACTGATTGAGAAATAAACGTGGGTGATACAGGCGACCAACCGTTTAATCAGGTACCCACACTCGGGTACGAGCGCTTGATTCCTGCACTACCTCTCGTCTAAACTCGCCCGGCGGATTCACATGATAATCCAACTTGAACAGATAACCGAAATACCCCTTACTTTCTGCACCGGGACCCACGTTGGTACCTGATTTAATGCAATATCGAGCTGCTGATCGAGGCCGACTAGCCAATCGGCGGTCTACGGGCGATCACCAACGCAGATCACTGGTGCACACTTGCATGAACAGAAGCTAGCGGTCAAGAAGGTTGTCATATACCTTTAGGGGAAACTAAGTGACTGAACAAACGGTAGTGTGTTGACCAACCAAAGGTCCGAGCAAACGCTCCGGAACTTGGATTCTTCTGTGGGGAATTCCACTCTGTCCTTGGGTAGCCCCGACTTTCAAATGCAGTCAGATACACAGCACATGTCTCAAGCAGGAACCTCCACTTTCACAGACATGTTCGACGCAGTACAGTGCAGCTACACGGATCAAATTGGCCGGGAAGGATGTTTAAAGTGGATAACTCTCTTGTTTTCAAGTGTATGAACATGTAAGAACAAAGAAAATGCGCTGTGGCGGTTATCGTTCATGCTTTATCCAAGGTTGAGATGGTATCACTTTAACCACATGACGTAAAGGGCGGAATCACTGATAAGAGGGTGGGAACTTGAGATAAAGGGTTGAAATACTCCTAGCTACATGTCTGTGAACTTGTCGTGTCCAATCACAACTTTCCATGGCCCTGGAAGACCTCAAAGAAGCTTGTTTGGGTGAAAGACCAGTGTGAGACTGGTTGGTCCAAGTCAGACAATCCCTGAGCTTGGCCGAAGCAAACTCACATTGCCGCTAAACCAACGTCGATAGACACTCTTTGTCAAATCCGCCATCCAATGTCGCAATTGTACAGTGGTCCGAGAGGTAGGTTTGGGTGGAGGTTCTGGGGAAAAGCACAAAGTGGAGGCGAGACTTGATGAGACTGACATCGACGCTACTGTCTCTCTCAAAAGAATATAAATACAGGTTCAGGTTCCCTCTTGTCTCATCAGCAAACAGCTTCAACTCCTCTCTTCACTTCTCTACCCTCTTCTCTTCTTCTTCAAGAACACCACCCTCTAATCTCTTACAATGGTTGCCATCAAGAACATCGCTATCCTCGCCGCTGCCACCTCTGTGGTTGTCGCCGCCCCCGCCGCTAACGGTGGTTTCCAGCGAATGGAGATCCGACAGCTCGATGTTGCTGACGATCTCATCCACATTGCCGAGACCTTCCTCTCTGCCATCACCGGCACCCTTGGTGTTCTCACCAACACCTCCAAGGGCACCCAGCTCCAGAACCTCGAGACTGCTCTTGACTCCCTCAACAAGCAGATCCCTGCTCTGATCAAGGACATCAACGGCCTTAACCTCCCCGTCATTTCCGGTATTGCCGGAACTCTTGGCTCCATCGTTGTCAACCCCATCTTCAAGACCCTGGCTCTGATTGTCGAGACCATTGGCGCCACTCTTGCCTCTCTCCCCGTTGATGCCTTCAACACCATCCAGAACCCCGCCAAGATCTTCCAGACTCTGCTTGCCAACATTGGTCTGCTCACCGATGCCTTCAAGAAGATCTTCCACAACCTTGGTGATGCTCTTGGCTCTCTGGACTCTGCCACCTCTTCTCTTGGCTCCGAGGTCTCCTCCAAGCTGCCTCCCTCTTCTGCTCAGTAAGTTATTTCTACTGACTAACAATGGCCCGACTGGTTTCCGGCCCTATCTATTACTTCTTCTCAACTCTTTAAGCTTCCATAACTATCAGAATAAAATTTTGAACCCACACTTCTCGACTCGCTATTGTAAGACTTCCCCCAGGAACAAGGTTGCGGGAACTGCATTATTCCCAAAGGGGTAATTTTCAATGTAGATCTACAATATTACGCTCATACACTCCACTCCACGGTACGTATACGTTCGCTAGACCTTCTTCTAACCCTAGCTTCGAGCTTCTTTTACTTCTCGAGAGTGGTGAAATTTCCGACAAACACAGTAGAGATCGAAACTCACGGTCTATGGATCATCTCCTGCTGCCCCGACTCATGGCCACCACCCACTGATCTCCCTCCTCGTCCAGTGACCCCCACAAACCCTAGAGCCCCCAAGCTTCCTTCTCTTGTGAGTGGCTCGATACTGTGTGGAAAAAACTAAGGCCACACAAACTATTGTCTCTGCTCTAATTCTGAGGTAAAGAGACTCGCTTGTACCGTATCGCAGCACATCAGACCATTGAAGCCTGGAAGCCTGAGGGATAAACTAACGGCGGTAAACTAAATCACCGGTACTCAGTTAGTGGATATCGCTAATCTGCCAGTATAAACCACTCTGGGAGGCAGTGCATCGGTCAGCTGTCCTGTTGGTAGGTTAATCCTCTTGCCGCATGACTCCCACATGTCTAGAGTGCTCGGCGCCCAAAACGTAGATAGTCCAAAGAAAGATCGACAATCAGCAGATATTCGAAGCCCGCGACTATCACAATCGGCCAATCAAAAATCATCGCTCGCCATACAATACAACGGCTTGCCCAGGCTCTTGTTGGATAACCACCCACTGATTAACATTTTTTTGATCACAAGTCTTCGATGACAGTCCTCATCGACAAGGAACAAGTTTTTCACACAATGGCCAACTCTGCGTCAATCAAATCTGAACCATACGCACCAAAAAGACTCACCACCCGACTGTTTCCGCATACGCACTCAGTTATCAATGGTACAGTATGTATTGCTCTTCCACAAGCGACATTTTCTCCTCACAAAAAGCAACCAGACACCAAAGGTGGGCATCGAGCATTCAACCGGGTCAGGTAAACATGCCGCTGGCTTGCTGCTTAGATGCCGAAAGAAAGAGACCGCGGAGGAAAAAGAAACCAATGGTTGCCTCATTTGAGTTCATAAAGCCGGTCACGTGACTTTCTGGGTCGAGCGACCGTCAATACTTGCATTTTTATGAAAAAATCTGGCCCGATGGTTTAGTGGTATAATTCTCGCTTAGGGTGTCCTAGGCAATTTGCGAGAGGTCCCGGGTTCAATTCCCGGTTGGGCCCAGAATTTTTTGCCTTTCCGAGCAAAGCATTTGTCGGCTTTTTTTTGTGCATATTCATATTCATACGAGTACATTGTACAGGTACTATACATGCTTCCATTCGTGTCATGATCATTCTTATTCATAATTCGTTTCATTAATGATATCTAGATTTGGGACAGGTTGGGGTCCTCTCCTCCGTCATGTTCCAGGCGAAGCATGGCCCAAGTAAGGTCGGAAATGCACACGGTCATTCCAAGCGCATACACCAGCGTGATGGCGTAGAAGAAGTTTGCGTTTCCTGAGCCCAGGTAGATCCACATGTGGAAGAAGGTGGGCAGCAGCACCGAAGAGTATAGCAGCGCCAGAAAAGCCGGAATGGGGTACCTCAGAAGCGGGAAAAGCGGTCTGAAGAAGGGCACCAGCGAGAAGAAGATGCCCACATCGGCAGTATCGGGGTAGGCCTTGAACAGGGCCACCAGACCGAGATAGAGAGTGATGGCAAACAGAGGGAAGCTGCTGAATCTAAGAGTGATGGGGGCGGCGTAGAGAAAGACGTGGATTTGGAACACTCCGGTGAAGAAGGGCTGAAAGAAGTCAAACATCTCCGTGAAAAAGTACCACCACAAGCCAATGTTAGGAGTGAGGTCTCTACCAGTAAGAATAGTACCATAGACAGCTCCTAGGAAGTTCCAGGATCCAGCAATGGCCTGGGACAGCAGCAGGATAGCTGCGGTGTAAGAAGCCGACAGCAGGCAGAACCGGAAGCCGTACTGGGCCTTGTTTGTTCTGAGTGGCGTTCCGCTGTTTCCATGGAGCAGGAGAGACACAAGAGGAGCCAGGTAGATGGGGTAATATGAAAGGTTAGTGGCCAATGCAAGAGAGGCGGCTGCAGTCAGAAAGTGGCCGTGGGTGGCAGCGGCCAGGGTGTAGCAGATGGCAGCGTTGTTGAACACAGCTGTGGATTTAGCTGCCGACGACAGAAACAGCAGGGGGTTGAAGAGGTAGATTGCTGCGATGATCCAAGGAGCAAACGGCAGCGGCTCTTTTGTATCTTTCTTCTTGAAGACGTATTTGATGGTGGTGGCGGCTCTCTGGGCGGTTTGAGCGAGGGCCCATGCCGCCGTCAGGTCCGCCAGCACGTATAGAATGTTGATTGCGATGGTTTCGGGCACGATTTTCGACACAGCCGACACTGCGCCGAGCAGCAGTGGCGACTGGTGGAAGATTCCGCCGTCGTAGGGATCGATTCCTTGCTTGTAGAGATACAGGCCCTCCTGGAGTCGTTTGAAGGAGGTGACGGGCGTGGAGATTTCCACATGGCCATCTAGAGTTGCGGGCACGGACGGGAATAGGTGGTAGACCACTATCCGAGCAATTGCTCCACAGGCGAGAGTGGCGACTTCCATCGTTGAGAATCCTGCCGTGGGTGTCTTTCTGTGGGTTTGACAGACGTGCGGTATTGACAATGTGTGTCTCTTGTTCTTGTCTTGTATGCACAAGTTTGTACTGTACGTGAATTAGGTGTGGAGGAAGTTACAGTAAGTGTGTACGTAAGACGTGTTAGTTGGGGTGAGGAGGTCTGAATGTGGGCAGTTGGGTGGCGCTAGACAGGATGATTTTTGGCCCTGAATAATCATCGTGCATCTGCATTCCAATTTCCGCATTACATTCGTCTTGTCGTTACCAAAATATTCCCTATATATAGACCCTCCATTCCCACTCTTGTCGTTGTCACACATTCTCCCACCACTCATTTAGGTTCGGACGTGAATGTCCCACCTGTTACCAACGACCTGGCATTTTCAACATTGAGTTCACTTTGCTTAGGTGGCCTATTCGACACAACAATCAAATGGTGAGTGTGACAAGGCGACGCGATGGGCGATGCTGGCGAACTGGGTTGATTTGATGACACAAACCGATGGCCGACACATGGCTCCGTGTCTCTTGCAAACCGACCAATCGAATCCCTTAGTGTGGGGTTGATCGCCAATATGAAAAGACACGGGGGATGGATTTGATGAGCAACAAAAGACACAGAAGAGATGGTGTGACACAGACGAAAGCAATGTGATTAGGACCTCTGGATGACGTGATCTTTGCGCCAGTGTTGCACTATTGAATCAGCCATTTTATCAACCGACTAGGACAGGTATTCGTGTGCCCGTTACACGGTGTTTAGTACAAACATTGATGTGGCAGTTTGTGACAATGTTACAATTGTGTGACAAGTATACTGATTGTTTCTGTGTCAGCAGCTTGGAGCTGGTACGCTACGCTGTGTTTGTGTCCATGTGCTTTTCGTGGCCTACCTAACATCACGTAACGGTGTCAGCTTGGCGCGCTGTTGTGCCGTGATTGCAACTACAGCTACTTGCTTCCGCTTGGATCCAGGTGGTGTCTTCCACTGCGATGGCAAGTGACACGCATGGTCACGTCGCGCGTCGTCCTCGACCTGCGGCTACTCCCGTTACCCGTTTCCGTTTCGTACTAACCCAGGACTTTGAAGAATTCGAAGAGAAGGACGGAGTGCGATTCTCCTGGAATTGCATTCCCTCTACCCGAATTGAGGCTTCCAGAACCGTCGTTCCCATCTCGGCTCTGTACACTCCTCTGAAGGAGAAGCCCAACCTCCCCGTACTGCAGTATGAGCCCATTGCATGCCGACCCCCCTGTCGAGCTGTGCTCAACTCCTTCTGCCAGGTTGATCTGCGAGCCCGAGCCTGGGTCTGTCCTTTCTGTCTGTCTAGAAACCAGCTGCCTCCTCAGTACCGAGACATTACTCCCGAAAACTTGCCCCACGAGCTGCGACCCGAGTGCACCACTGTTGAGTACGTTCTGTCCCGACCTGCTCCCAACCCCATCTTCCTGTTTGTGGTTGACACCTGTCTGGACGCCGAGAACCTGACTGCTCTCAAGGATCACCTTGTGGCCACTCTTTCTCTGATCCCCGAGAACGCTCTCGTCGGTCTCATCACCTTTGGCGCCATGGCTCAGGTCCACGAGATTGGCTACCGAGAGTGCGGCAAGAGCTTCGTCTTCCGAGGTAACCGAGATTACACTGCGAAGCAGGTGCAGGAACAGCTGGGTCTCAACCAGCCTATTGGTCACCGAGTCCCCCAACAGGGAGGACATCCCCAGGCCCAGGGAGCCGCTGCCCGGTTCCTCCTGCCTCTGCAGAACGCCGAGTTCGCCCTCACCAACGTTCTGGAGGGTCTGCAGAAGGACCCCTGGCCCGTGGCTGCCGACCGACGACCCATCCGATGTACCGGTGTGGCTCTCGGAATTGCTCTCGGCCTGCTGGAGACTTCCTTTCCCAACTGCGGTGCACGAGTCATGCTGTTTGCTGGTGGTGCCCCCACTGAGGGTCCTGGTATGATTGTGGGTCCCGAGCTCAAGGAGCCCATCCGATCTCACCACGAAATTGAAAAGGACACAGCCAAGCACTCCAAGGCTGCCACAAAGTTCTACGAGGGTCTGGCCAAGCGAGCCACCACCCATGGCCAGGCCGTTGACATTTTCGCCGGTTGTTACGACCAGATTGGTATGCACGAGATGCGATCTCTGCCCAACTCCACCGGTGGAGCTCTTGTGCTCTGCGATGCCTTCTCCACATCCATCTTCAAGTCCTCGCTGACCAAGATGTTTGCCCGAGACGCCAACAACTTCCTCCAGATGGGTTTCAACGCCACCTTTGATGTCGTGCCCTCCAAGGAGCTCAAGGTATCTGGTCTGATTGGCCACGCCGTTTCAATGAACAAGAAGAACCCCAGTGTAGCTGACACCGAGATTGGTATTGGCCAGACTTCTTCGTGGAAGATGTGCTCCATCACTCCTGCTCACACCTACGCGACTTTTTTCGAAGTGGCCCAGCAGCAGGGCACTCCTGCAGGCCAGATCCCCCCTGGATACGTGCAGTTCCTGACGCATTACCACCACTCGTCCACTCAGCAACGTCTTCGTGTGACCACTGTTGCCAAGGCTCTTGTGCCCGGTGGCGATCCCCACATTGCCAGCTCCTTTGACCAGGAGGCTGCTGCTGTGCTTATGACTCGAATTGCCATTTTCAAGTCCGAGACCGAGGACGGCAACGACATTATGCGATGGACCGACAAGATGCTGATCCGTCTATGCCAAAAGTTTGCTGACTACAGAAAAGACGACGCGTCTTCGTTCCGACTCGCCCACAACTTCTCGCTGTACCCCCAGTTTATGTTCCATCTACGACGATCGCAGTTCCTGCAGGTGTTCAACAACTCGCCCGATGAGACTGCCTTCTACCGACACTGCCTGAACCGAGAGAATCTCAACAACTCGCTTATCATGATCCAGCCCACCCTGCTGTCGTACTCTCTGGAGCAGGAGCAGCCCGTGCCTGTACTGCTGGATTCGGTGTCCATCAAGCCCGATCACATTCTGCTGCTGGACACCTTTTTCCACATTCTCATTTTCCACGGAGAAACCATTGCCAACTGGCGAAACCAGGGCTACCAAGAAAAGGAGGAGTACGCCAACTTTGCTGAGCTTCTGCAGGCCCCTCGAATGGAGGTCCAGGACTTGCTGGTTGACCGATTCCCTTTGCCTCGATTCATTGACACTGATGCTGGAGGTTCCCAGGCCCGTTTCTTGCTGTCCAAGCTCAATCCCTCCAACACCCACCAGAGCGACAGTGGCTACGGCACTCCTGGCAGCGCCGTGGTGCTTACTGACGATGTGTCTCTGCAGACTTTCATGTCTCATCTTCAGAAGTTGTCTGTGGCTGCCTCCTCTTAGGGTTAAGTAATGTTGTAAGATTAATTTGTATTGTTGGATTGTCGAGCTGGGAGTTATACAGTAGTGTCTATACACTGTATTGTCTCAAGTACACCACTCCCTTGCATGCGACCCCGTATCTTGCGTTAGTGAGACGTGGTTGTACGATACAGTGGAATACATGTTCTTTGGAGCTAAAAAGTTTCAAGGGGGCACTGTATGAGCTGTGCGGGTGGGGTGATGATATGATATCGCGATAGCTGTGTAGATGCAATGTAATAACTCCTTGAATTGACTCAATTAAATGTAATAAATAGTATATAGAATGAAGGAATGAAGCATATAAACAAAACCAATCCACATTATAAATATATGTTAGTGCTCTCTCTCTCTCTCTTTCTCGTTCTGTATCTCACTGTTTCCTAATGTCCTTCGAAGTCCGGTGAAGAGTGGTACTCTGGAGACGAAAAGTCGGGAGAGGTGTGTGCATAATCATAGTGTTCCATCTGGATCGGTTGTTCGACCTTTCGGGGTCGGCCCTTTTTGCCTGGCGATGGCTTGGGTTGGCCAGGTACCTCGATGCCTCCAGAGCAGATCTGTCGGGCTCTGTGTCGGTTGAGGGCGTCTGGTCGATTGAAGCCCTTTCCGCAGGGACAAATGTGGGGCTTGACTACGGCGTGGGTGCGCTCGTGTCTCTTGAGATCGTGCTGTCTGACGAAGGAGGCTTCACAGGACGAGCACGAGTACGGTCTGTCTGCAAGGTGGGTCTGGATGTGCGAACAGAGGTTGTATCGTCGTCCAAACTTCTTGCCACAGCCCGGGTACAGACACAGAAACTTGCCGTCTTCGCAGGGCCCATGAATGAACGACTCGAGTTTTCCGGGGGGTAGGCCGGACTTTCGAGGCTGAGGCTGGTTGGAGACCTTTTGCTGTTCGATGATCTGCTCTGTTTCTGTGTTTTCGGGGATGGTGACGACGGGCAGCCACGAGATTCCGAGTCCGTACTCGTCAAAGGGTTCTCCAAGGGGTCCCTCGGGAGAGGAGTGGTCATGGGGAGACTCGTAGTTGTTCCAGTTGTCCATTTCAGGAGAAGTGAAGCCTGGCTCGGGAGACAGGTAGGCCAGAGCGTCGGCATCGTAGTTGAGCTGGGGAGGGTTCAGGAAGGGGTTCTGCTGAAGATGGGACGAGTGAGCATGGCCAAACTCGGCAGCCGGAGGGTGGGACGAGTGAGGCGGAGACATGGCTCCCATCAGCGACATGGTGGGGGGCTGCTGGAGGAAAATGTCCGATTGTGAGGGGTCATTGAGCGGCTTGGTGGGACTGGGGGTGGTGGAGGAGAAGTTGAGCAGTCGCGAGAACCGCGCCAGGGTGTCGGGACTCACATTGTTGGTCTGTGTAGGCATCATCTGGGGGGTAGACGGAGGCTCCAGCTCGTTGTAGCCAATGTCCAGGTAGTTGACATCGTACTGTGATCCTTGGTGGGGATGGTGCGGTTGGGCCGACGACTGCTGGTTCTGATGCTGCTGTGAATGATGCTCCTTCTTCATATGAAGACTCTGCTGCGACTGCAGAAAGTCATAGTCGAAGTTCATTGTGGAGTGTGAATGTGTATCAAGGTGATGGAGGTGATCTGGAGATTGACTGTGTGTGAAGTGATGCGAATTTCTGTAGATGGAGGACCCCTGCCCGCAAGGATTTGACTGTCTGTGGTTCTAGAGCTGTACAATCTCGCTGTGGGATCCCCCATTGTACATATACTGTCTGGAGGTGAGGTGCGATGGGCGGTTCGTATGGGTATTACCCGTTTGGGTATAGACACAACACGTCGTGCGAGCTTAAAGGGAGTGAAAAACCTTATTTACCCCCTAAAAACCCCTCGGTGCTGTATGGGCTGTAGGCCCCGAATCTTGATAATGGTGTATTCGGAGGTTATTTCGCGTGGGTTGTAGCTTGACGTGTACAGCGGAGAACAAACGTGAAAGCAGGGCGTTGATTGACTATATGACGTGTGTTTGGGGTCTCGTCGCAGGTAGTTGAACAAAGACTCCTCCAGTAGCGGGTCTCGTTGGTTGGCGGTTGCTACTCGTACTCGAACCGCCGTACCGTACCGTACCGTACCGTACCGTACCGACACTACCTCAGATGATGCTACATCACCACTGTAGGATTATCACTCAAACTGTACAAACCACCATGTGTGGATTGGCGCAACTATCTTCGATCCGGCGTGGGGTGTAGCAAGATGCATAGGCTCCATCCTTCTATATACAGCGCACGGACTGTACTAACCTTCCACACTTGATTTTCACACAGTCGAAAGTCACTTTACCGAAAAGGGCAGTCAAATGTCTGTCTGTCTCCGGACTCGTGACTATCGCGTCTGAAACGGGATCGGGGTCTGCTCTCGGAAGAAACCATCCTATGGACACGTGAGGATGCGCAGCCAACGCTGGCAGCCCGTGAGGCTCCACGGCTGCATTGACGGCCGCGATCAGACGCACTATGGGCTCATTGTCGGTCAGAGCTAGGACCACAAACGCACGTGTTTTCTGCCGGTTCAACACCACCTGTAACTTTGTCTTGGACACATTGATCTTGATGGGGCCCTTCCACCCCGTAACAGCCTCGCAAATGCTGTCCGTCACTTGCTGTTTGCTTTCGGTGGTGGGCATCAGAGTGTCGGAAAGAGATACATGCAGAGGTAGTCGTACTCCAACGTCAGACTTGGCCAGGCTGTGGTAGACCACTTGGTAGGTCTCTAGCACCTTGGCAATAGCCCCATTGAGCATCTCGAGACGTCTCCAGGCCACGTCCGGCTTCCATTCCAGGTACACATGTGTAGGCCACTGGCCCTCAATGTGAGGAAGGGCTCTTACTTTTCCATTCTTATCGGTTTCGCAGCTGGCGTCGAGCTGTGACGCGGGCTTGGAGGTGTACAGGTGGTAGAAAGAAGACGGGAGTGGTGGCAGCGGTTTTTTCCTCGGTCCTGGCTTGTCCACTTTCATGGGTGTAGCGCGGAGGTACTTGGAGTGGTGGTGCAAGCTATTATAGCTTAGTCAGGTAGCTGGTAGAGTGACAAACTTTGTATTTTTTTTAATTAGTTTTTTAATTTTTAATTTTTATTTTTTAATAAGTTTATTTTTTGATTATTGGGGAAAAATCCGATCAATTCGGACAAAATCAAATTAAATCTGATAAAACTGGAGAGGGTACCAGAATCTCTCGGAATCAAGTAAACTACCATTTAGCTACCGCGGGACGGTATCTTCAGCAAAAACCGGTCCGTCCATGTCTCATTTTAGGTCCATTCATATCGTTACATATTGATACAGTGGTTTCTTGAGCTTGTACGAAGCAGCAGAAGATTGTTCTAAGTCGACCCATAGTAGAGCTAGAAGCCCCATTTTTTGCCAGCTGACTAAACTCGTGGCTACAAGCAAAACCCGCTCCTCAGAGTCTCTCCACCCACACCACAACAGCAACAACAGTCCTCCCAGTCGACCCCCATGCCCCATGCATTTGCGGTTAAATTGGGAAAGCTTTCTCCGTAACACGCATCAGCTGCTGCAGTACGGACTATTTGTAGATGACCAATTGAGTTGCAATCTAGCATGTCTCAGAGAGAGCAAGGAGGGTATTGCTGGGTAGATACGGGTTGAGCTAGACGTCAGGCACATCTGCAGGTCCCCAAACTTGCGGAATATCGCCTCAAACATCCCCCCCCAGCCTCGCCCAACGCCAAGTTCAACGGTGTTCGTGCTGCTGTAGACAGGACAAAAGCTCCTCCGTTTAGGTTATAACTTTGCATTCATTCTGGAATCTGGACCTGGAGAGATGGATCGGAGATAATCAAACGGTATCCGGAAGAGAGAGAGAGCGAGAGAGAAAGGCAAAGGGACCGGGAAACATCAAAGCAAGACGTTGCTGTGGTCTCAAGGACTATATATCTCACAGCTGGAGACCGGATCAAGTCGGAACGGCCAAGGTTGGCACTAGCAACTGTCAAACCCAATGGCGTGCACCTCTTGACGATACAGGTAGCGGCTTGTTGGTCCGGTTTTCGCGAGTACAAGTAGTACTTTTCCAACTAGTGCATTTTCCATCTGAAATCGAACCCGCAAAATCATAGCCACCAACGTATCAATCATATCAACCAATACAACCCTTAGTAGGATGTGATTGATCTGCATAGCGGTGATGTTTCATACAGGCAGATGGTGGACCATACTTGTAGCTCCGCGCACATGTATATGCCTGCAAAAATCGACTATTGTCCCGATCGCTCCTGGTACTGTACGTACATCACCACCCACCCGGTTTCTTTCCGTGCATTTGTTGAGTACGTATGTGCGCATTGCAGGGGGGAATGGCATCTCTTGGCCTGTCTGTTGTGCTGTGGACGGCTGAACCTCCCCACACTCTTATAGCTGGTGCTGTACAGCAGTAGTAGCCGTGTAATGTCAAGATCCACAGCGCCACTATGGGCACATCTCTCCATCTTGATAACCCACCCACCCTGGCATGACTCACGATCTTCCGGATGACTCAAACAAATGACTCGCAACACGTGCCCTTTCCCCCAGATTAGTTTTTTTTCTTCCCCCCTTGTCTCTCTCAGACCGTGGTGGCTAACAGTTTTGCTCGCCGCTCTCTGTCGCTCCTCTGTTTTCTTCTGTCTGTCTTTCTCCTCGCTGTAAATTGCCGCATAGTAAAAGGCGCCCGAATTCTTCCGGAATGCGTGCCGGAGTTTCTATTTAGGTTTTGGCCAATTACTGCGCAATAAATCCCCTTACCCTCCCACCCCAGAACAAAGACCAACCAAGTAGCTTTTCCATCGCTTGCTTATAACTGCAGCGCTCCTACCTCCACGACTGTAAATTTTCTTGACCCAAGGTGAGTGAACACGTTGGATGCTGGTGGGGCTCCGGACGCCAATTGGAGGACTGGGAACGACAAGCCGCAATTGCCGGCCCCATAGAGTGCTGGTCGCACGCTTTCTCCCGTGCTCTGTCGGAGCCCGTTTCTCTCTTGAGTCCCTCATGCGATAGCTCCGGGCAATGCTCTCAGGGAAGAGCCAGGGCTGGTGAGGCATCACAGGTGGTTTCAATGGCACATAACCAATGTTATTGTGTCATTGCAAGTCTCTTGGGCCCTCAACATGTTCTGTTTGCTGTGTCCGATACAAAACAGTGGCAAAGAAGCTGCGAATCACAGCACCTTTAAATGACAACACATTACACAGACACACAACCCGCACAGTGTTGTGACACAAATACGAACATGAACACAAGCACCATGGCACTCTGTGACAACGACTTTTCCATCACCTTTCTACTCACCCCATGACTAACCCCAGATGCTTAGAACAATCAGATCCCAATCCATGCGAATGGCCTCCGCCTCGTCGCGAAGAATGCTGTCTTCCGCCGCCTCCACATCCATGCTAAGACAAACGCTCAAGGCTCCCTCCATGACCGCTCAGGTCACTCGACCCACCGTCATGACCTTCAAGCCTGTTCTGCTGTCCCGAGGATACGCCGACGTTGTTGAGGTGCCTCCCATGGCCGAGTCTCTGACTGAGGGTACTCTGACCGCCTTTGAGAAGGACATTGGAGACTTTGTCGAGGCCGATGAGGAGATCGCCACCATCGAGACCGATAAGATTGATGTTGCCGTCAACGCTCCCTTCGCCGGAACCATCACCGAGTTCCTGGTCAAGCCCGACGACACCGTCACTGTCGGCCAGCCTCTTCTCAAGATTGAGCGAGGCGAGGGCTCCAGCAGCGGTGGCTCCAAGCCTCCCAAGGAGAAGAAGGAGGAGAAGACGGAGGAGAAGGAGGAGCCTGCTCCCAAGGAGGAGTCTGCCCCTGCCCCTAAGAAGGAGGAGGCCCCCAAGAAGGAGGAGTCTGCCCCTGCTCCCAAGAAGGAGGAGAAGAAGCCCGCTCCCAAGGAGGAGAAGAAGACCGATGCCACCGAGGGTCTCGGCGGCTTCCGAAAGGAGGAGCGAGTCAAGATGAACCGAATGCGACTTCGAATTGCTGAGCGACTCAAGGAGTCCCAGAACACCGCCGCTTCTCTGACCACCTTCAACGAGGTCGACATGTCCTCTCTGATGGAGATGCGAAAGCTCTACAAGGATGAGATGCTCAAGAAGACCGGCACCAAGCTTGGTTTCATGGGTGCCTTCTCCAAGGCCGCCGCTCTGGCCATGCGAGACGTTCCTGCCGTCAACGCTGCCATTGAGGGCCCCAACGGTGGTGACACCATTGTCTACCGAGACTACGTTGACATTTCTGTCGCCGTCGCCACCCCCAAGGGTCTGGTGACCCCCGTTGTCCGAAACGTTGACCAGCTCGACGTCATGGGCATTGAGAAGGCCATTCACGACCTCGGTGTCAAGGCCCGAGACAACAAGATCACTCTTGAGGATATGGCCGGCGGAACCTTCACCATCTCCAACGGTGGTGTTTTTGGCTCTCTCTTCGGTACCCCCATCATTAACATGCCCCAGACTGCCGTTCTCGGTCTGCATGGTGTCAAGGACCGAGCTGTCGTTGTTGACGGCCAGGTTGTTTCTCGACCAATGATGTACCTTGCATTGACCTACGATCACCGAGTTCTCGATGGTCGTGAGGCTGTCGTTTTCCTCCGAACTATCAAGGAGCTCATTGAGGATCCTCGAAAGATGCTCCTTATGTAACTTATATATAATTGAATGACGCAAGTGAACGACTGATAATGAATAAAGGTCTACTGATTTGGTTCGAGTGTACGTAAATGCGAGTGGAGGACATACAGGCGCGGAGCGTAGAGCGTACATCTAGAGAAGCCATCCTTAATATACATTGATTATCTACATTAGCGTTATTTTTCATTTTGTGACACCCCGTGTTTGGTTGCGTCCAGTATCTACGCATTAATAAACCGGGTGACTCCCTTGTAGTCTTTCTCGTCCAAGAGCCCGAATCTGATCATGTCGCTCCAGAAGAGTTGGGCCTTCTGGGACGCGTAGCTGAGGTAGTCAAAGGGGTCTTCCTCCTCTTCCACTTCCGAAGCAGATGAGTGACTCACGGACGGTTTGAGATTGGCAGAAGAGCCGGAAGACGCGGACAATTGCTGCTTCTCCTCCTCGGTCTCAAACGTGTACTGGCCAGTTTCCATGTTCAGCTCCTCTCGGATCTCATCGTCTTCCTCCTGGTCAATCACAGCCTGCACAATACCCCACACGAGCCAGTAGAGGTGCACGGCGGGTCGCCAGTCACGCACCTCTTCCATGAGTCCGTCCACCTCGACCTGGATCTGGTCCTCGTCATCAAAGGACTCCAGACCATGCTCCACGTAGCCGTTGAGAAGGTTGAGCTGCTCCTTGACGGTAGGATAGGCCTTCTCATGAATGGTTTCGGGATGCTGAGCATCGTGGTAGTCGGACATCCACTCGCAAAAGTGGTTACAGATATCAAAGCCTCGGGCGTTGGGGGATGCGTACTCAAAGTCAATGACAATGAGCTGTCTGTGCTCCAGCTGAGGTTGCAGCAGAGGAGAGCCTGGCGGGGGCTCCAGACGCAGCAGATTGCCGTACTGTGTATCGTTGTGGGCAAAGACGAGCTTCTTGTTGATGGACTCGGCGCCTCCATGCTTGTGCTCCAGCCAGCTTCGGTACTTGGCAACCATGGTCAGGAATTCGTCCCAGGAGCTCTGCACAACGGTCTGGCAAGTCCATTCGGCGGCAGGGTTGGTCTTGGCCCGGTTATCGAGAATCTCAAGCACCTCCTTGGCTCGCACGCCCCACTTTTCAAAGTTGACCCACACTCCGGGGCCAGACATTCGCTCTTCAGGAAGCAGTCGCACGTGGTCGTGCAGCTCTCGCATTCGCTTGGCAATCTGCACAGAAGTGTCTGGGTCTCTGAGATCTTCCTTGGACAGGGTCTTTGCGTGGAAGAACTGCTCGAACCGGCCGTTGGTAAAGGTGCCCATCATCTTGGGTCCAATGTTCTTTCGTCCCAGACGCTGCAGAATTCGCAGCTCCGAGTCCCGGTCGATGAGATGCTCAACCTGGGGGCCGTACACTCGTAGCAGCAGAGGCAGCGGCAGCCTGTGTTTGGCCACAAAGCCTTCGTTGGCTTCTCGCAGCCGCTCCTTGAGGTATGTCGGGGGAGCAACGTGGTAGACGGCGTTGGTGAGCGCACCAGACAGTCGGGTGACCACCATGTCGGCGGCCATGGTGCTCTCCACGTACTTCCACTTGGGAATCTTGAGGGTATGGATCAACATGAGGATATCCTGCTTGAAGTACTCCGTGGGGAGTCGGTTATCGAGGAAAAAATTCACGTTTGGCGGGGGTAGATCCTCCTCGCCGGCAGACGAGTGCTCGCTCTTGGTGCCCGAAAACCGTCGCAGCTTAATGTGTGGACCCGACACCCGCGTCGCCAGCGGAGGTCGCACGGGCTTCTCGACGGTGCCGGGGGCCTTGGTGTTGAGACTGAGCTTGGAAATCGCCTGGCTGAGTCCCGCGTGCTGGGGGACCGCCAGCGGCGTCATCAGCGGACTGTCGTCCGGCTGGGTCTGTGGAGAGGTGACAAACATGGAGCTTTGGTCGGGTTGAGGGGCCATTCAGCGCAAATATCAGGCAATCGAGTGCTTGGGAAGTTGACGTCGGATCTCTGGTGCAGACAGCAGAGTAATGGCGTCAGCGTCAGATATGCGAGACAGCAACAGCAGGCAGGGGGGTTTGTTTATCTGTCGGATTTACGAGCTCGCGGGCCGTTTCTTGAATAGCTGCGGAGATCGGGGGAAGGCGCCTCAAATCAACACCCACAAGGTCGCTACTAGTACCTGGCTGAGACCTACTGACGTCTAAAAGAGGTGTGCAAAAGCCCTTTTTTTTCCCTGGTTCATCCCGCAAACCTTTTGTTGCTTAGCAGGTCAATCAAAAGCTTAATTTCCCGGCAAAAAAAAAAAACCCAGGTCCAATAGATAACCCACCGTCAATATACTTCAGGTGTTGCGGCGACAAAGACCCCACAAAAAAACAAGAGCCCAACTCGGATAGCAGACATGGGACTCGATAGACCGACAGATAGCCCCTGGACTGTCACGTGCACAGCCCTTTTTGGGCGCTCTCCAACGCTCCAACGCCCACACTGCAGAAGTCCACAACCGCCGATAGCTTGAGAGTAGCACAGTAGCGCCTTTTCACCAAGCCTATTTTTCTCTCGCCGTCGCCCAAAAGACCAAAAGATTTGCGCCGTAATTTTTTTTAATAGAATTTACCGCTATCTGTAAACTCTGATTTTTTCACGCTAAAATATGGTCACACGCTCAACTTTCAGCCTACAGGGTGTTTGATGTACACTCCTAAGGAAGATACGCACCCAACACGCGCCATACATGCATTCCCCACGAGTTTCCCGGGAGAGTGTCCGGCAGCGGGTGTGGTCACCCTGTGGCAGTATGCTGCAATCACATGGACGGCTCCACCAGCCCGCATGCCAACACCAATAGGCGCCTATTTTGCCACTGCGCAACCTACTCACAAGAACAATACAAGCAATCATGCACCTGCCGTCAGTAGGGGGGTGGGGGGCTTGGCCACACCACGCCCACAGACTCTCCTATAGCTCCTCCCACCCCTCCCACCCCTCCCACCCCTCCAACACCTCCTACATAATCTGGCTTTCGCTTGATCAATTTTTATTTACACTTAAATACACTAAACACAAATCGGCCACAACAGATCAAAACAAGACCTGTTCTGAGACCCCAGACGCACGGGACATGTGCAACAACACTGCCCCGCATGACACGTCTACACGGTAAGCACAAAACACCTCTCTATCTAGCAATCAGCAGGGACACTGCAGAACCCGTCTAGTTGTGGTGTCCACCGTCCCCTCGGACATGGGGCTTCTGAGACATGGGCGGGTCCACGTAATATCCTGCGCCCGCCGCCATGTGAGGGCCATTGGGAGCATACCAGTCCTGGTAGTCCACGTAGTAGGGCACCGGAGTAGGCCCGTAAGCCTTGGGCCGGTAGTGACGTCGACCGCCGTATCCACCACCGCCTCCTCGATACCCGTTGCCTCCGTAGTGGTGGTGAGGGTTGTGGTGGTAGTGGTTGTCCTTGTCCATCCGGTATTGGCCCTGAGGAGCCCACCGGCTGTTCTGCAGCCCCCCACCTCCTCCGTAGGACACAGCCCGCGGCTGTCTGGGGTAGAAGGGTGTGCCAATGTTGACCTTGGGCTTGGGGTCCCCGTCAGCCTCCTGGGGCTTGTCCGACGGATGGCTGTCAACATCCTGACCTTTGGGCGGCTGGCCATACATGGAAAAACCACGCTGTCGGGGACCAGAGGGAGGGTTGCCAGCATTGTACAAAGGCAGAGAGTGGTGCCGCCGCGGCTGGTGCTGTTGCCGGCCCAGGGCCGGGATGTTCACGGGAGGGGGGGCAAACTCCAACGTGGGCAGGTGGTTGGGGTTGGTCTTCTGGTGCTGGACCTCCTTATACTGGACATGGATTGTGTGGTTCCGGAGAATGCTGTGGTTCTCCTTCTCAACGGCAGCGTCGGCGGAGGAGGGTTCTTCGTAGGAGACAAAGGCAAATGCAGACGGCCGCCGAGCAAGCGTCTTGATGGAAGAGGTCCTGTCCCGCTCCTTGAACTGGATCTGGCAGGAGACAATGGTGCCATGCCGGCCAAACACAGCCCGCAGGTCTTCGGGGGTGGTGGCGGGGTTCAGCTGGCCAATGAAGATGGACTTGGGGTCGACCGTGGTGACAGTGGTCTTGCTGAAGTCATTGTTGAGGTTTTGGGCCCACTCAACCTCGAAATCACCCTGGGTTCGGATATGGAGGTAAGCCTTGATGGCATCGGATCGGTAAGCAAAGCGAGCAAACCAACCTCGGTTGGTTTCGGACGATCTGGATCGAACACAGGTATTGACGAGATCTTCGACCTCTCCAAACTCCTCGAGATAGCTTTTGAGTTGCTAGGTTAGTAAGGATGTTTCAGTCGTCGTGACATCATCGGAGGGGGGGGATACTTACGGGAGACGTGGTGGATGGGTTTTGGTAAACAAAGAGGGTTCGGTTGACTCGAGCAGGCTCGCAACGAATGTAGCGGTTGTCGAGGTAGGTTCCCTGACCCTTGGCAATGGCGTTCTTGGCGTCGTCGTCGGTGTTGAACTGGACAAAGGCGTAGGGCCGCTCGCACAGGTCTCGGAGGACCTTGACGAAGGCAATGGAGCCCCACTGGGCAAAGTGGCGGGTGACCGAATTGTTGAGCTGGTCGTCGGTGAGGGTGGCGTTCAAGCTGGCCACAAACACACACGACGACGGCCGCGACGGTCGTTCCTGGTTGGGGTAGTACGGGGTTCCCTTGTCATCTTCTCTGGTCTCGGGCTCGGCAGCAGTGAGAGAGTCCGAGGTGAACGAGTTGGGCTCGGGGTCGTCTAGGATGCTGTTGTCAGCGGTGTCGTCGTGGTCGCTAAGGACATCGAGCGTCTTGTCTTTGAGGTCGGCTGTGTTAGGAGGTTGTGACAACGCGGGTGTTGTGACAGGTAAAGCAAAAAACGATCTCACCCTCGCTGGAGACAATCAGGGAAGCAAAGCCCTTGGTAACAGAGGCTGTATCACAGGGGGTATCCGCAGGGGGAGGAGTGGTAGTAGGGCTGGTCTTGGGCATGGTCAGGAGCTAGCTGTGGGGGTGGCTGGGTGGTGGAAAGCGAGCTGCTGGTCTGAGTGGGGGAAGAAGATGTGATGTGATTGGGAAGAGGAAGGAAGAACGCGGCGCAAGAGGAGGGGCTCTTATATAGCCATGAAAATATTAACACAGACATAATAGGGTTATGTAGTGACATACACAAGGTGACACAGAAAGTGCCATGCTTAATACATTGAGATGATGCGTGGTGTCAGTCACAACAACGACACCACCACACTCGGAATTTGACGGGAACAAACGGCAACCCGGTTCTGTGACCAAAAGGGATTGTCTTGGGCCATCCAGATCCCAGATTAGTCATCATACACCAACCACTTTGTTCTGATGCTCCACATCTTTTTTTCGCCCTCCATCTACAGTACACCAATGACCATGTCGATTTATCGTCTTTAAAGTTGCGATAATGCAGGGCCCGTCCTTTGTCTGGTGAGACACAGGCTAAAGTGTGACGTTCGAAATGACTACTAGTTATAATTACAGTAGCAGGCCGGCAATGGAGTACTCACTTGATCATAACCATCCAACTGGTGCAATTGAATCCATTGAGAACCCAGAGCTCACTCCAAACGACCATTTCGGCGCTACCCGCGGCCGTGCCCCCGACAAAAAACATGTATGTACAGTAGACCAACATATCCAGGCACATGAATACTGCAGTCCCGTTTTTGAGGCACAATGATGCGATGCTCCATCTCTCACAACATGGGGCTGATTACAATATCGTACGTACGATAGTCGGTCCATAATATGTAATAACACGTAGATGATTAGTAAGTAAGAGAGAACACATTTTATAGATCATATTCTCACTGTACAATGGTCTGGAACCGGCATATTGAAAACTGCACCTACCCAGCCCATGTAAGCCCCATAATGAGCCATCTCGTGATGACCCCGATATACAACAATGCTACAATACCCGATCTGACATCTTAAAACTCCAATAAATTATCTACTTGACTTGTAGTACTTGTATATGACTAATGCAAAATGCTCCACTGAGGGGGACTGCCTGCTCGAGAGGCAGCCTGAGAAGTGCTGGTCCGCCCGCTCTTCATCATGGACTGAAGAGCGGCCTTGGCATCGCTGAGAGGATCCTGGCTCTCAGATCGGCGGCTGGAACCAGGTCCGATGCGTGTGTCGTCGTCGTCATCGTCGCTCGAGTCGTCGTCGTCTTCGGGAACAACCTGTCGAGGCGACAGCTCGGGGAAAAGCTTGTCGATGTTCTCGCGGTCCGGATCCGTGTAGTATGACCGAGTCATGTGAGGAGGGCGCTCGTCTGCGATCCCCACCGAGGCCTTTCCAGTGGCGGAAATGTTGAGCGAGATGCGTCGCTTGATCTCCAGCCGCTTGATCTGCACGGGCGACTGCTCCAGGGGCTGCAGGGGGCCGCCGAGGGGTCCCGAGCGCACCTGGTAGTTCTTGAACGGATCTGACAGCTGCTCGGCGTCCTTCTTGAACGAGGGCATGGGCATGGGTTTGACGGACAGCTTGACCAGGCCCGAGCCTCCAGGAGAGTCGTTCTGGGCCGGCGACGTAAAGTAGCCGTGGTACAGCGGCGACGAGGCCATGATGGTGGAGAAGGAGAAGCCGTTGCGGGGCGTCTGTGGCGACATGATGGAAGAGGAAGATGCAAAGGTGGGGGACGACGGGAGGTCCGAGAAGGACGCCGAAGGCATGGGTTGGGTGGCCGAGGCGTAGATGAGCGACGGGTTCACGTGGGACGACGTCTCGAATCGGGCCAGCGTTCGGCTTCGGGGGGTTTCGTTAGTGGCGGTGGTCGGTTGGCCTGTGTGATTACTGGCGTTGTGGTGATGTTTGGACAGCTGCTTGGGGGTGTGTAGCACCGTCTCGTACCCTGGTGGAGTGTGTGGTCGTGGTGGCGGGCTGCTGGGGGTGTCGAACGATCGGAGCGCAGCCATGGGTGGCGACGACGACAGCTGTGGCGGAGGCGCCGTCAGTTTGCGTTTCTTGGTCGGGGTGGTGGTGGGAGAGGCCATGGTTCTGGCTGCAGCGGCTCCATCGGTGGACAGGAGGGGGGAGGAGGAAGGGTCCGAGGAGGTGGCGCTGCTGAAGGAGTCGCCGGCGTCGAGACGCCGCTTTCGAGGACGACCCCGTCGCTTTTTGGGCACGTCGTGGCCGAGAGGCATTTTGGATCCCGAGTCGTAGAAGGCTGGCAGAGCAAGAGGTTTAGGAGCAGCAAGACTCATTTGTGTTTGTGTGGTGGTTTGGGACAAGGGTGGAGAGAGCTTATGATGAGGATGAAGGAGCGAGTGAGACGAGTCGGGGCAGATTCTGTGTTAGTTTTTCTGCTTCCTTTTTTCCCTTTTCTTTCTCGTCTTTGTAGAAGAGAAGAGGACGGGGCACCTAATAGACGGGGTGTGAAAAAACCTCCTATTTTTACCGTTTAAGACCTCTTCAAACAATGTACGATAATTTTTCTATCGCACAGTGTGGACACCATGCACATAGGAGATGCAACGCAGGAGCAGTAATTAACCACTTTGTCGTCCAAAGGCAGGCAGGCAGGCGGCGGTGTACACACGCCATGTGACGCTGCTGTTTGTGTCCTTCCCAAATTGAGCAGATAATGACGGCAACCGATGCGAGGGAGATTTTTTTTCTTCTTTTTTTAAGCCCCATTTTTTGAGCTCCATTTTTGAGCCCCATTTTTGAGCTCCATTTTTGAGCCCCGTTTTCGAGACTCAATTTTGTCAGCGTACTCACCCTAAAATGCTGTAAACGTCGGGACCACAGTTGGAGGCAGGCGTGGAAACGGAGGTGCTGGAGGAAGATAAAGAGGGACTGGGCGGAAGAAGATGGCGGTGGGTGGAATGGTCGGGGAAAAAGGGGTCCAACTTGTGAAGCCGAAATGTCGTCTGAGACTTGAAGGATTCGAACTGGGAAAGATCCATCCTAATAATATCTAAACGTTAGATTAAGGTTTCAACACACGGTTCACGCGTGTGCACAAGGAACCAAAGCTTAACTGAGATGGAACAGAGTAGGGCTGGGTAGGGGAACAGAGGGGGAGGCAGGAGCGAGACTGCTAGAGAGGCGGTAGGGGAGACCAAAGACGAGCTGGAGGCCGGTTTCCAACAGCTTACTAAGCCTCTCAAAGCTGTTTCGCGTCGAGAATCGGGCCGCCAATCGACTCTTGCGCCACCATCAACCGTCCCCCCTCAACTCTCAAGTCTCCCAACTGTTTACTTTTCCTGTCTGGGATTGCTAATTGAAAAGCTTATTCTATTGTTGCAACGCGTGGGTCTGGGTCGGGGGTTAGGGTACTTACCGGAAACGGGTCTAATTGCTGGATAGACTCACGTCAAACGCGCTATTGCAAAGGAGACGTAGAACAGGGAGTGAGGCCAAACTCAGAGTGGCCGCGTGGTCTAGAAAGGGGTAACTAAAAGAGATCAGCCCCTAGATGACGGAAGCGGTTGTTTGCAGAAGAAGTGTCGAAAAGAAAAGGCGAGCAAAACGTATGCGCAGATATTCTGTGCTTGTATGTGTGTGCGACTCTTGTACTGTGTGCACTCAATTGCAGATGCTGTTATTGGAGCATACAGTCCTTGGAGGTGGAGTGGGTGGGCTCCAGATGGTGGGCTCCAGAGTAAAAATAGACGGACGAAAAGAAAAGAAAAGAAAAGAAAAGAAAAGAAAAGAAAAATACCAAGCCAACAGACGTGGAGCGCTATCGACGGAAATTATCTGGATAGCGTGATGGTCTGCCAAATCCAGGAACGCGGACACTCTTGGTGTCGGTTAAAATAGTCTAGTGGAGACGGCAGTTTGGCCAGGGGAGACCACTTTGTGGAGTTTGGTGGGCGGTGCAAAAAGGAGGGGAAACGGAGACGGACGGACAGTGTCGGAAAGGTACCAATTGATGAAGATGTTGACTTGATTCGCTTGTCTTTTGGCTGTGGCGGCTCTTATCTTTTGATGGTGCAGATGGATGTATGCTGAGATGCTGAGATGCTGAGATGCTGAGATGCTGAGATGCTAGTATCGGTGGATCTCCTAGCAATGTGAGGTGTACTTGAAAGACGCCTGCAACGGTGATAATATGTCAGGACGAAATAATATCGGACGACAGGGACGGATATCAACGGCACTCGGGCTGAGTATACACCTGAGACCGAATGTTATACCTTCCTCCAATGTCAGCCTATACCGAGATTGAGGCCAAGCCAGAATGGTGCAATGTCGACAGCTACACGGAAGACCAACAGTATATATAGCTACTTTGTCGTTTCGATCGCTTCCGGAAAAGGTCCGTCTTGTCTTGTCTTGTCATCAGACCATGGAGCTAACCACCTACCACCAGGGATATAAGATTAAATATAGACTGTTGTTTATTATAGCAATGATAGATTCCCTAACTAAATAGCAACATGTCGTTGAGGGGAATGTGTAAGCAACCGGGGGATACAAGCAGTGTATTTCTCTGTTGCTTGATTTACTGTATCAAGACCATATGTATCGCTGAATGCTTTCAGTACTCTGTACATTGTACCATCACGGTACATGGAGTCAGATATAGCCATACGGCCCACCCATGTTTCATGTACGCACTGTTCACATGATCATGTTGCTCGTATGCGGACACTTCAGTCTAGACAAAGCCAGTCCGAGGTGGTCGTTGTACTCCACGTGTCTGTTTACATGGTGTACTGTAGCTGTGCCTTGTCTATCAACTCTGTACCTTGTCAACTTGTTGCTATAGGGCGGGGGCTATAGAATATCCTGGATAATTATTTTGGGAAACTATGACTTTTCATTTGCATGCTCTCAATGATTCCCCTCCAGAATCCTGGTAGAGTACTCAGCAAAAGACCCCTCGGACCCCAACTGACGATGCATGGAGGGCTGGCAAAAGACCGCAAGCGTATTCCTCGACACCCCAGCAACATTGGCGCCCTTGACAAAGTGCGGCACAGCCTTGAACTCGCCGTGGGTGGCTGCTTCGAGGGCGGAGCCGGTCTGGAAAGCCAGAGCATCGGCAGGAATCTTCACTTGCACCACCTTGCCATGTCTGTTGTGAATGTACAGACCGGCCTCGGGATCCGGGCTTTTGGGTAGCACAGTCTTGCCATCCAGAAACATTGCTGATGTCAGACCAGTGAGACAGCTGTGGTCCTTGTGGGTGCCGCACCAAGCGTCGTCTGGAGTATCTGCCTGCTCCTGCTGCTGCTGCATCGGAAAGTAGTGCAACAATCGAGCCTTGGTGGTCGTAGAAGTGCGAACAACGTCCTCCAGGTACCCGGCGGTGTAGCCATCGATCTTGGCGTGTCCAGCCACGTACCTGTCGCATGCACGGGCCACATGTTCGGCCACGTCGATAATGAGGTTACAGAGAGCCTTGAGGTTGGTCTGGAACTGTGGCAGATCCTCCTCTTGGGGCCAGATGTTGGGTGCGGTGTACATGTGCATATCTTCGTATCCCACCGTCTCCTCCTTGGGTGGCGCTTCGAGTTGGGGGTCTTTGTGGAACGCGCAGTTGGCGTAGAACGAGCCCTTGTTAAAGTCGGGCACGCCATTGGCCAGCTTTTCCCGGCCCCGGGACCAGCCCTGGCACCAGAAACTCGGCTCGTGCTCCATTGCCGCCAGTTTGTCGGCCGGCAGGGCTGCCAGATCAGAAGCTGACAACAGCACCTTTTGTCGCAGCGAAACAAAGTCTTTTGGCAGTCCTGTGACGATAATGACTCCGAGAGAGTCGGGGCCAAAGGCCGAAGGCAGTAGGCTGTCTTTGGCGCCGCTTTGCAGCTCTTCGAGAGACACTACGACCGGAGTAGTGGAGTAGTCTGTCATGTTGTGGATGTCGTCAATGTCGGATAAATTGAAATTTTGATATTAAAATTACCCCACAGATTTTCGGCATGTTTAATAAACGGCACTCTGATTAAGTTTGGCAGAAGGGCTGAAAAATTACCAGCAATTTTGCTGGTGGAAAAAAAAACAATGGGGTTAGAATAATGGGTGGAAGTTCCAATAGATTATCAAACAGGACATAAAATCAGCTCCTCTACGCATGCTGCTTCGAACCAATTCATTGCCCTTCCTTTTAAACGGTGTTGCATACAAGTGAACAGGTACACTATTGATCAACACAGCCTCTTCTATCTCAGGGGCTGGTGCATTAGTAGGGTCGCAAAACTAACATATTTCAGCAACTTGCGCACAATGTGACATTGAGAAGAGATAATCAGCCGATTCTGAAATGTCGGGAGAGATGACTTTGTGCTTTTTGTCTGGTATTGCACTGATTTGAACGGATAGGAGATAGACATTGACTTGCAGGGGGATGTATACATGCGATTGGCCGTATTCATACTGCGTTTTCCCCAACAAGAGACTGTCAATTGAGCTCTGTCCACTATACTTCCGGCTGCTAAATTTAAGTGACAATCCCTTCCTTATCCCTACGTCATAACCCCTATAATGGTTCTCCTCATTATCATAACAACAGCCTTCCGAGTGTGCTGTGCCAATACTACTCTACATGGAGAAATACGATACAGTATCAAAGGCGGGCATGAGGCGCATCTGAGCAGAACTGCTATGCATTTGGAAGTCGTTTGCGATGACCACCATTGACTCTCTTTGTGTCTAGTAGGCCTCTACTCACGTGCTCGCGGGATGCCTATACTTGATTTATGAGTGCACGTAGCTCTTTGTCGTATACAGTGTAGTATCTGTATTCGATTTATGAATAATTGATCTATGTAAACCACGGAGACTGGAACAGATGTCGGCTAGTTCTTGATTCCCTGCTTGTATTTGTTCTCTGGTGCGCTGAGTTGTATCGATCCCAGTGCTCTAGACTGTCAACTCCTCCAGCCAAGTTTGAACTTTTGTAGAAAGTATTTAACAGTTGCTTGTAGATTATCCTCCGCTCAAGTCTCCAAAACTGGAGTCGACTTTCCGATACAGAAGTGGAACCAGACTTGCTCCACATTCATCTTTCCCCCATTTTTCTATAGTGGTTCAGTGGAGTTGACTACTTGATAACAATTGGTACATGTAATACTGATACATCTCCGTGGATATACCATACACATTCAGTGACCAAGCAGCGTCGAACATGACCTTCAAGAATGGGTTCCCTGTCATCTGGAGGGATGACGGCTCTGGTTTGTCAAGTCTGCTGAATGCATCTACTTGTACGTTGTAGTAACTTCCTCTGTCCTCCCTAGAAACGACCCTTCAATGCAGCACAGACGATAAATCAGCGTATATCGTCCAGTCCAACTGTGAGACCTACGATGACCTAGAGAATGGTTCTCTTAATCTGGAGTCTGCTTCTTCTCCACACAACTGACAGCGTATCCCCCATGGCACCGAAGCTCCAGTACTGACCGACCTTTGCTACAAGTGCTGTGTCCAGAGTTCTCTAGTAGGTACGATACGACAGCAGCTTGATACTGTGCTTGGACCTACCCTTGCATGAGGTCTTGCTGTTGTCCACTGACACAGGACCATTCTGCGGGGTCCACTGAAACAAGACCATTCTGACGCGATTTCTTTGTACAGATGAAGTCAGAAATACAAGCAATGGCACCACTCTTTTGGTTCGACCATGACTGTTTTTACATCCATTTCCAGTACCAACCGCACTTTTTTCATGTTCGCCCCACATTTATTAATATTATGCTCTTCATGCACCAGCAAAATAACCGAAACGCGCATATGATAGTGGGATTCTCGATTTGCCCGGCAGACAAACGCCGCTAAAATCGCCACAGTATCGAATTTTAATTGAATACGAACGTCAATTCCGGCTTATCCTTCTAGCAGTTGTCTCCCGCAGCTCGCTCCATGACTAATCATTCACGCGACATGTCTCAGCTACCCCGGTCTGGCTCATGTAAAAAAAGTGTAATCGGCTTTTTTCCGGTTGATCACAACCATCAATGACACAACCTGTGAATCGGAAGGCGACTGTCGAGCGGGTCGAGCCAGCAGTGGAGGTGGCTGACTCCGAGTCCGAGGCCAAGACCGACGTCCACGTTCACCACCATCATCACCACCACAAGCGAAAATCCGTCAAGGGCAAGATTCTCAACTTCTTCACCCGAAGTCGACGTATCACCTTCGTCCTCGGCGCCGTGGTCGGTGTGATAGCCGCGGGATACTACGCTGCGCCACCGGAGCTCAGCATTGATATCGATGCTCTTCTCGGCGACTTGCCCTCGTTCGACTTTGACGCTCTATCTCTCGACAACTTGTCCATGGACAGTGTGTCGGACTTTGTACAAGACATGAAATCGCGGTTTCCGACCAAGATTCTGCAGGAGGCGGCCAAGATCGAGAAGCACCAGAAAAGCGAACAGAAGGCTGCCCCTTTTGCTGTGGGCAAGGCTATGAAGAGCGAGGGACTCAACGCCAAGTACCCGGTGGTGCTGGTGCCCGGCGTCATCTCCACGGGACTGGAGAGCTGGTCCCTGGAGGGAACCGAGGAGTGTCCCACCGAGTCGCACTTCAGAAAGCGAATGTGGGGCTCCTGGTACATGATCCGAGTCATGCTGCTGGACAAGTACTGCTGGCTGCAGAACCTGATGCTGGACACAGAGACCGGTCTAGACCCTCCCCATTTCAAGCTGCGAGCCGCCCAGGGATTTGCCTCCGCCGACTTCTTTATGGCAGGCTACTGGCTGTGGAACAAGCTGCTCGAGAACCTGGCTGTTATTGGATACGATACGGATACAATGTCTGCTGCGGCGTACGACTGGAGACTGTCCTACCCTGATTTGGAGCACCGAGACGGATACTTCTCCAAGCTCAAAGCTTCAATCGAAGAGACTAAGCGTATGACAGGTGAGAAGACAGTTCTGACGGGCCATTCCATGGGCTCCCAGGTCATCTTCTACTTCATGAAGTGGGCTGAGGCCGAGGGATATGGAGGAGGAGGTCCCAACTGGGTCAATGACCATATTGAATCCTTTGTCGACATTTCCGGCTCCATGCTGGGTACTCCCAAGACCCTGGTTGCTCTTCTGTCTGGAGAAATGAAGGATACCGTGCAGCTGAACGCGATGGCTGTGTATGGACTGGAGCAGTTCTTCTCTCGACGAGAGCGAGCCGATCTGCTGCGAACATGGGGAGGAATTGCTTCCATGATTCCCAAGGGTGGTAAGGCTATCTGGGGTGATCATTCTGGAGCCCCTGATGACGAGCCTGGCCAGAATGTCACCTTTGGCAACTTCATCAAGTTCAAGGAGTCCTTGACCGAGTACTCTGCTAAGAACCTCACCATGGATGAAACCGTTGACTTCCTGTATTCTCAGTCTCCCGAGTGGTTTGTGAACCGAACCGAGGGTGCTTACTCCTTTGGAATTGCCAAGACTCGAAAGCAGGTTGAGCAGAATGAGAAGCGACCTTCTACCTGGAGCAACCCTCTGGAAGCTGCTCTCCCCAATGCCCCCGATCTCAAGATCTACTGCTTCTATGGAGTCGGTAAGGATACCGAGCGAGCCTACTACTACCAGGATGAGCCCAATCCCGAGCAGACCAACTTGAACGTCAGTATCGCTGGAAACGACCCTGATGGTGTGCTTATGGGCCAGGGCGATGGAACCGTCTCCCTTGTGACCCATACCATGTGTCACCGATGGAAGGACGAGAATTCCAAGTTCAACCCTGGTAACGCCCAGGTCAAGGTTGTGGAGATGTTGCACCAGCCTGATCGACTTGATATTCGAGGCGGTGCTCAGACTGCCGAGCATGTGGACATTCTGGGGCGTTCTGAGTTGAACGAGATGGTTCTGAAGGTGGCCAGTGGAAAGGGAAATGAGATTGAAGAGAGAGTCATCTCCAACATTGATGAGTGGGTGTGGAAGATTGATCTCGGCAGCAATTAGAGAGTCCGTTTTGTAGAGTAATATGTTTTGTATATCACACTGATGGAGAAGGGCGTTCGTCCTCTCATGATTCCATGTGGTTGTTTAATGAACACGTAGAACGACGAACGACGAACGACGAACGACGAACGAACGAGCAACAAACGTCATCAACGCGTGTTTTCCCGCAAAATGAAGAATGTTTCCCCCACAATATGCGCCTTTCTCCAGATCTGCGCGTTCTGATAAAGAATATATTTCAATTGTTTGGAATAAATCGGGAAAATTCAGGAGAAAAGAGGAGAAACAGGGAAATCACTGAAATCTACTCCTGAAAATGTTCGACAAAAAACGAATTGCTTCCAATATACAACCACTCCTGTCACCTCCTCAACAAAATATATTTTACTCCGCCACCAATGCCAACCCATGGTGACGCCAAGATTCACAAGACTGCTTGGAGCGGCTGAAAAGAGTGTTTTGCGGTCTTCTAAGCGACCCCGAGCCGCTCAAAGACCCATTGGAGGAGATCTTCTTTGGCCATTTCGGTTCTGTTGGCTATCATCCGCCTCCAAAAAGCAACCCCATTTGCTTCTTTTTCCAACCCGTTAAAATACCTCATCTCGCTTCACATTCCAGGGTTTCATTTTAAGCGTAGCACCATGCAAAGTGCAGGTGTAGGGCGTACAATAAAGCCTGTGAGACACTCTTTGACAAGGACAGGACGCTCGTATTTTTGAGACGTTGATGTTGGGGGCTAGTGGGGCGATTTGGGGGCAATAAACGGGGTAAATCTGTGCTTTTGAGGCTGTATTTTTGATTCCAGCCTTTTTTAATTTATTGTTATCTGCTTTACTACAAATTTCTGCCGTATTTTTAGCCCCTCAATTTCGTCTGTCACTTCTCATGTCGCACAAGGCTGTGCCATCTTGCATTAGGTTATCCAACCCTACTGTCTCTTCTCTGTCTGTCTGGAATCTGAAAGCAAGCCGTGCGACTTTTTGCAACTTGCGAGGTCCGTCAAGTCTCTCATTTCGGGGTTGAAAAATGTCGGAAAAAGATGCCGCGATTCTGGCGGTGCAATCCAGCCCGGAATCCAAGTCGTTCAACGTCAGCGAGACGTCCGTGGAGGATGTGGATCTGCAAATGACTATGTTTGGCCAGACGGTCGCCTTGGTGCGAAAACACATGCTGGTGTTCAAGAGATCGTGGTGGTGGACCTTCTTTCGGTCGTCGCTGCTGCCTGTGGCGTTCATTGTTTTCATGGTGAGTATGGTCTCGGAGGGCGAGTGCACGTCCAATTCATAGTGATGGCCACGACATTATCCATGGTGATGCCACATTCCTTGTCTCTAACACAGTCATATTCGAAAGCGTTCTATTCGCCATACGCCAACTACGGTGTGTCGGATCCCACTCCAGTTCGTCAACTGCGAGATGTGGTAAGCGAGCGAAAAATCATCTATTACTCACGTGATCCCTTGGGTGTCACCGATGAGATGCGTCGGATCATGAACACGGCTCTGGAGGGGATCCCCAGCTCCCAGATCCTTGAGTTGGAACACGAAAACGACATGTTCCAGGTGTGCAGTCAGAACCTGCGAGGTGATTCCGCCTGCTACGGAGGAGTCCAGTGGAACCATATCGATGAGGAGCAGAAGATTTATAACTACACCATCCGAGGAAACTCTGGATTGATTTTGACTGACATTGGAGGCCACAAGTCTGATCCAGATATCTTCATCCTTCCTCTGCAGTGGCAAATGGATAAGGCAATCACAGGAGAAACTACTGTCCCCTACACTCTCGCGTACACTGACGAGTCTCAGACCCAACATGAACAAAATGTGATTTCCAAATTCCTTCAGATTGTGATTGATTGGTTAGCTCCTGCCCTGTTTCTCGGCATGATTGGTGTCATTTACCATCTGGCCGGTATGGCAGCTCAGGAACGAGAGTATGGTATTTCTGGTTTGCTTACAGCTATGGGGGTGAAGCAGTTCACCCGTCATCTGGCCTATCTGATCTCGTTCAGCATTGTCTACCTTCCTGGATGGATCAGTATAGCTCTTACTTTGAATCTTGTGCTGATGAAACCCACAAATGTGGCCATTTACATCTTTTACCACATTTTCTCGGGTATGTCAATGATCACCTGGGCTATGTTTCTCTCCATGTTCTTCTCTTACGCCCAGCTGGCCGGTATTGTAGCCTCTGGTCTGTCTTGTTTCTTGGCTATCATGAGTACCGTTCAGACTCGAGTCCCAAACAACGAAGGAAGGTTTAGAGACGCTGCTGTCTACGTTCTGTCGTTTCTGTTTCCACCCATGAACTACCCTTACTTCATCCAAACTACAGGTCGATGGAAGAAGGAAGACATCGGAACCAACATGGTGGAAAACGCGCCTGACTCCAACATCAAGGTGATTGTGATTTTCTTCGGCGCCATCTTCTCCATCTTCTTTTACCTGTTCCTTGCCATGATCGTTGAGCGGTTCATGCATGGAGTTCATTCCAAGATCAACATTGACGAATCTCAAAAGGACAGAGTTCTGCTTGAGGATGTGACCAAGACGTACAAAATCCGATCTCGATGGACTGGCCGGGTCAAAAACACTGTTACAGCCGTGGACCATCTCAACCTGCCTGTTCATAACGGACAAATTGTGTGCCTTCTAGGAGCAAACGGTTCCGGAAAGACCACCACTCTGGAGATGATCTCCAACATTCAAAAGCCTTCCAGCGGTACCATCACCTTTTCTCCAGGCTCCAGAGTTGGAATCTGCCCCCAGAAGAACGTTATCTGGGACACTTTGACCTGTGAGGAGCATCTTCGGATTTGGACACAGCTCAAGGGTGTTCCCAAGAAGGAAATTCCTGCAGCTATCGAGTTCTTGATTGACAAGTGTGATCTAAGCAGGAAGCGCCATGACCGAGCAGGAACCATGTCTGGAGGCCAGAAGCGTAAGTTGCAGCTTGCCATTGCATTTGCTGGAGGAACCAACGTATGTGCTATCGATGAGGTGTCTTCTGGACTTGATCCCCTTTCCCGACGAAAAATCTGGGAGATTATTACTTCAAGCAGAGGTTCTCACACGATGCTTCTCACGACGCATTTCCTGGACGAGGCGGACATTCTCGGAGACAACATTGCCATCATGTCCAAGGGAACTCTGCAGGTGTACGGAACCACTGTTCAGCTCAAGGAGCAGCTTGGAGGCGGCTATCGAATCTTCATCTCTCATCCAGGATCGGGTAGAGAGGAGATTGTTGAATTGGAAAGTGCTGCACAGGTTGCTGAACAAATTGAAGACCTGGAAGACAAGGGTGTGGAGTACCGAGTAGCTGGACCCCAGCTTGAGGACGTCTTCCTCCGAGTGGCGGAACGAGACCACATTGAGCATGCCGAGATCACCGAAATGGGTGAGGGTGGTCTCAAGAAGGGCTCTTCTACCGGCTTGTTGCATCAGACATGGTCCATGCTGGTCAAGCGGCTCATCATTCTCAAGCGAAACCCCCTGGCTCATATTGTCATGTTCATTCTGCCCATCATTGTTGCTGGAGCCACCTCTCAGTTTTTGAGATCTTTCAAGGGATCGTCCTGCGAGGGAGACTCGCGATTCAGACGACAGGTCTACAACACCTACCGACTGGGTGTTGATCCACTAGACATGCCTGTTGGCCCCCAGAGTGTCCTGATGGACTCTACTCAGGGAGTCAGAACGTTCATTGGAGGTATGCTCCGAGGAATGGGCAACTCGACGATACAGAGCATGATCATGGCCAAAATGAACAACGGAACTCACTACACCGACACCCAGAGTTCTTTTGAGGCTTATCTGAACGCCAACTACACCCAGGTCTATCCCGGAGGAGTGTACCTAGACTCTTCTGCCCCCATTGCTGCATATCTGACCAACACTGGCCATGGTACTTACTTTTCTGTTATGATGATGAATCTGTTGACAAATGTCCGCCAGAATGGTGACTACAAAATCTATGCTGACTTCTCCCCCTTCCAAATTCCCTGGTCTTCTTCCACCGGCGATACTCTCCAATTCATTGTCTACTTTGGTCTCACAATGAGTGTTGTGCCCGCTTTTGCAGCCCTGTACCCTACTTTTGAGCGTCTTTCGCGTGTGCGTGCTATGCATTATTCCAATGGACTAAGGGTGGTTCCCCTTTGGACTGCCTATGCGATCTTTGACTGGGTTCCTCTCATGCTGACAGGTGCAGCTTGTACCGGAATCATCGGTGGCTCTTCGGAGTACGTTATGGGAGCAGGATACTTGTTTGTTGTGTTCATGCTGTACGCATTGGCGGCTTCTCTATTTTCCTTTGTCGTGTCTCTCATGGTCAAGTCTCAGCTGGCAGCTTTTGCCATCACTGCGGGCTATAATGCCATCTACTTCCTCATCTACATGATTGGATACATGTCCACACTCATGTATGAGGATCCCTGGAAGGTGGACAGTACTGTCAGGGCCATCCATTTCACCATCTCCATCTTCTCGCCCACTTGCCAGCTTGTGCGAGCGTTTTTCGTGGCCATGAATCTGTTTGGTGTTTTGTGTCGTTCAGACAACTCCGAGATTTCTTACATGGGTGACATTCTCGCCTATGGAGGTCCTATTTTGTATCTCATTGTGCAAGCCGCTGTGTTCTACGGTATTCTAGTCTGGTGGGACTCTGGACGTTTCCGGTTCGTTTTCAGAGGCAAACACAGAGATCAGGATGAAGAAACCAAATCGCCGACTCCCTCTGACGTCCAAAAGGAGGCCGAGCACGTGGATTCGAATCCCGAGTCATGGAACCAAGGTCTCAGGTTGTCACACGTGTCTAAAAAGTACGGAGGCAACCGAGTCGTTGACGATGTCACTTATGGAGTTCAGCCAAACGAGTGCTTTGCCCTTCTGGGTCCCAACGGAGCGGGTAAGACCACCACCTTCAACATGATTCGAGGTGAGGAGAACCCGTCGTCTGGCGGCATCCACGTAACCGGTATTCCTGTCTCTTCCAACCGAGCCCAGGCCCGTCAGCATCTCGGCGTCTGTCCCCAGTTTGACGCTATGGACAAGCTGTCGGTGACTGAAACTCTGCAGTTTTACGCCATGTTGCGAGGGCTCAGCAAGGAGGACCGTGACCACAATGTGGAGCATATTATTGGAGCCACCGGTCTGGATCGGTTCCGAAAGACTACTGCCAACGCTCTTTCCGGAGGAAACAAGCGAAAGTTGTCCTTGGCAGTCGCTCTCATGGCCGACCCTCAGGTGCTGCTGCTGGATGAGCCGTCTTCTGGAATGGATGCCTTTGCCAAGCGAATCATGTGGCGTACTCTGTCATCTGTAGCCCATGGACGAAGTATTGTGTTGACTACCCATTCAATGGAGGAGGCCGATGCGCTTGCCAACCGAGCAGGTATTCTTGCCAAGAGGTTTTTGGCGATTGGGTCTGCGGCAGAGCTCCGTAATCAATACGGAAACCTGTTCCACGTGCACTTGGTGTGTTCCAACGCGCCCTACACATCTGATGAGCAGATGTGGAATATTGCTGAGTGGACTAGAGAGGTGTTCCCTCAGTCCCAGATGGAGGAGAAGATGTACCACGGGCAGATCAAGCTGGCTGTCCCATGCAAGACTGCCGGACACGAGAACAAAATGTCGACCATCTTCGCCATGTTGGAGAAGAACAAGGAGCGACTGGGCATTGAGTATTACTCGGTAAGTCCTACGTCTCTTGAAGAGGTGTTCTTGGACATTGTGCGAAAGGACTTTGTTGGCGAGGATGAATAATGAAGCAGCCCAAGAGAGCTGTCCCATAACATATTTATAGAGTGTCAAGAGACACGGTGTTAGATTGTTGATATTGAATTGATGTTAATGTGTACCCTGGACTTGTAGATGTTGTAGGATAGCTCAAAATACAAGCGCTAACTGAAGGGTGAAGAGGTTGAAGACATGACGATGTTAATTGATCTTTCAGCTGGTCAGTACAAAGGGCATAACAAGGAGTAATCTCAGTCCGTCGCAGATTATTCGTACTTGGGACAGTAAATTATCTCACATCAGCTCCATCTACTGCTAGCACTCGGATCAGCACTACTGTAGCCTCTGTGGACTTCACTAGCTACTGCAGAGGTAGCGCTGGAACTGTTCCCCTTGGCAGTTAATGGTTTAGCACAGTTTTTTGTCGTTCATGACGCTAGTGTGGAAAAGAGACCCTCAGGACTTTTTTCACTGCAACAGCTTGTCCACTGAGATGAAGAAAAAGGTGGTTTCTGCTGTGTGTGACAATCTATTGGACTCTCGCTACGCTCAAGTCGTTTTGTTTGCTTGGCTTGGCTGTGGCTCTACTCCAGCCCTGTTAAATACTATATTACATCTAATCGTTGTTCTGCAGCTTGGCGAACTTGGTGTGCTCCTCGATATCCCGAGCCTCCCAAGGGTAGGCGATCCACTCATCGGGGGTGGTTCGGGCAGCAATGTATCGGCCAGAGTCCATCATGTCCTTGGGGAGCTCAGCCTTCTTGGGCTTGTCCTTGTTGTGCAGAACGAAAACGTGGAGAGTGGTCTTCTCGTCCTCTCGGCCCAGCTTCTTGGCCTGGGCAGCAATATCCTTCTCCAGCTCGGAGACGGCGTAGTGCAGGGTGGTTCGGGTGTCGTCCACCTCGTCGACAATGAGAATGTTCTTGCCGATCAGGTCTCCGGAGTGCTTCTCCAGAGTGGAGAAGTCGAGCCACTGGGTTCGGACCACCTCGACTCCAATCTGCTCCTCGAGCTGGCCGGTGCCAAGCTCCTCGTACAGAGACAGACCAATGGCCTGGATGGGGATGTTCTTTGAGCCGGGCACTCGAATGTGGGTTCGCAGGATTCGGGCGGGGATGAATCCTCCTCCACCGATGGCAATCATCAGATCGGGCTTGAACTCCTTGATCTTCTCGGCTGCCTCCTGGCACAGCTTGTGCACGTTGTTGTACGAGATGTACTTCTTGTCGGTGGGGACCTGGACGTCGCTCATGGTGTGTGGTGTGTGATGTGTGGTGTGGTGGTGTGGAACTGGTGTTCGAGAGGGAGAGAAAAAAGCGACTGGAAAAAAATGTAGCCGTTGGAATAAAAATAAACTCACCTGCAGCTGCGAAGCTGTCCAAATTTTTTTTTTTGGCCAAAAACAAAAAAATCTTTTTGCAGGCATGAAAAAAACTTGCATGGACCCCGACACCGTCCCCCCCTACAAGTACACGACAACAGCTCCTCAACGGATGTACTTGGAGCAAGAAGTCACGTGATAACCGTCCTCTCGTGGCCGCTTGAAGCTTCCCTCCTCCATATCGACGTTCTCTAATAACAACTTGTCGCTATAACTCTCCCAATACTACAACTAGACTTTTAGCTTCATTATGGCGCTATCTCTGCTCAGGCTTATCTGTAACGGCGTGGTTGGCTAATCTGAGAGCTGTGGAGATTGCGGGATCGGCTGAATATTAAGCCGAAAAAACGAACAGAGCCCCGCAAGGCACACCCTTGTGTCACGTGAATCGCCTCCTACACCTGCCCCTTCCAACAGAGCCACAGACCTAGCGCCCCCAAGGCACAGAAAACTGCATGGGAGGGGGACCCAAATGGCAACCCAATTGACCGCGGAACTTCCATTGAGTTTGAATACCAGATAAGCCGCCGGTGGATCCAAAGCGATGGGATGAAATGACACGTGACGTCAAGGAAACGGCACCAGATCTTGGGTCACGTGACTCTCCTCTAGGGGTATGTACTGTACTTTCTACGTTCTACAGTAGAGCTACCACAGTAAGCAATGTCAAAGCGGGTCCTTGCAGTAAAAGTAGTGTCAGCAAGTAGCAAGTAAAGATGTGTGTATTCACATGTACAAGGTGATTTGGTGGATTAGTAACTGGCTACGTTGAATGTTTGAGTGTGGCACTACTGGTAGTAAGAACATAATTTACAAATAATATTAGTATGATATCGTACAATGGGTGGCTATTTGAAGAATCCCAAAATTCTCTGACCCAGCGAAGGACGAGACTGGCTGTTTTTTCTCTTGGTGGGTGTATCGGCCTTGGACACTCCGTTCTGAGTGACATCAGACTTGCGCTGCTTCTTGCCCTTCCGGCCAGACCCAGATCCAGCCTCCTCAGTCGGTCGTTTCCGAGACATGGAATCTGACGGGGTTGATTTGGGGGTCGTCTTGGAGGAGACTGACTTCGGAGTGCCGTTGGACGTCGCCTTGGACGTCGCCTTGGACGTCGCCTTGGAAGCTGGCCTTGGTGTAGTCTTCTGAGTAGGTGACTCAGTGACTGTCTTCGAAGAAGTCTGCGAAGACGACTTTGGAGTCGAATTCGAAGGTGCATTCTCTGGGGTCCTCTTGGGCCCTGGAGTCGACTTGGAAGCAAAAGACAACCGATTCTGCTTGGAACTCGAAGTGCCTGAGGTCGAGTTTGATGTGGGCTGGCTGGTTTGTATCGGTGTCGACTTTGCACTAGCAACTCGTGGAGTCACCGTCTTGGAAACTGCGGTGGGGGTTTCTTTTGAAACTCCTGTAGAGTTCTCCTTTGACGCCATCGATCTGCGAGTTCTAGTCTGGATGGGAGACTGGCTAGTTTGTATCGGTGTCGACTTTGCACTAGCAACTCGTGGAGTCACCGTCTTGGAAACTGCGGTGGGGGTTTCTTTTGAAACTCCTGTAGAGTTCTCCTTTGACGCCATCGATCTGCGAGTTCTAGTCTGGATGGGAGACTGGCTAGTTTGTATCGGTGTCGACTTTGCACTAGCAACTCGTGGAGTCACCGTCTTGGAAACTGCGGTGGGGGTTTCTTTTGAAACTCCTGTAGAGTTCTCCTTTGACGCCATCGATCTGCGAGTTCTAGTCTGGATGGGAGACTGGCTGGTTTGTATCGGTGTCGATTTTGCACTAGCAACTCGTGGAGTCACCGTCTTGGAAACTGCGGTGGGGGTTTCTGTTGAAACTCCTGTAGAGTTCTCCTTTGACGCCATCGATCTGCGAGTTCTAGTCTGGATGGGAGACTGGCTGGTTTGTATCGGTGTCGACTTTGCACTAGCAACTCGTGGAGTCACCGTCTTGGAAACTGCGGTGGGGGTTTCTGTTAAAACTCCTGTAGAGTTCTCCTTTGACGCCATCGATCTGCGAGTTCTAGTCTGGGTGGGAGATGACTTGGAATTAGAGGCTGCTGCAGTAGTCTTCTTCGCGGTAGGCTTGGTGGTGGGGTTGACGCTGATACTCCTTGGACTCTTCTTTGGAACTGCCACCACAGGCTCGTCCTCAGAAGAAGAGCTCACTGTATCTGCAGGAGAATCTCTCACTGAATCTTTCTTCTCCCTGTCCTTCTCTTCCTCATCCTCAGAAACCATCGTTGAACGTCGTGCAGCTCGCGTTCGACCTCTGGATTTCGTAGGAGTGTCAGAGCTTTTCATTCCAGACGTCTTCGGCTCGGCAGCATCCCCGGAATCAGAATCATAAACCGTAGCTGCGGACAGGACACGTTTTTTATACGGCCCTCGTGGTCCCCGCTTTATTACAGCCGCCTTAGGCTCCTTACCGAGAGGGTGTTTTCGTGGCCTTCCTGGTCCCCGCTTTACAGGCTGCTCCGACTCAGCACTCTTTTCTTGAGTCTTGTTCTTGGGTTTGGGCGTCTTTAGCGTAGCAACCGTAGAAGACGCTCGCTGCTGACCTCTTCTCGATCGTTTGCTGGCTGACGACCCGTCGACATCTGCAACAAAAGTATCGGATGCAACACCGCCTTTCCCTTCATTAGGGATCTCAGTAATGCTCTTCCTGGTTCCATCCAGAGATGGACGTGATCTCCCACTTCTTGAACGCTTGTTAGAATTTAGCAACCTTTCAAGTTCCGTACCGGATCCTTCCAGACGCAAATTTCTTCTGACCGCCTTTATTCGCTCCCTTTCACTCTCTGACAAGGGTTTACCAGAATCAGGATCAAAGCCAGAGTTTTCTTCCTCTTCCTCTTCCTCCTCTTCCTCCTCTTCCTCCTCATCCTCCTCTTCCTCCTCTTTTTCCTTTTCCAAGTCATGGACATCCAACATCACCACATCTTCCTCTCTCTCCGCATCCTGCTTTCTCTTAGCTTCTTCAAATTCTTTCTGTAACTCTAGAGCACGCCATTCAGGCAAATAGCCAATTCCCGGAACGTGAAGGAATACCTCTCCAAGTGGTGTCATCCTGGGAGGCATCAAAGTCGTGGCTGTAGGAGAAACCAGTGCGAGGGGGAGGTGACCTATCAAGGTTGGAGCGCCTGCTTGTACAGTAGCTTTTCGAGGAGTAGTCGGGTGGTTCACAGTTTTCACAGCCCGAGTTGCAGATTTCTTTGTGTCTTCAACATCACTCTCGCCCGACTCGTCAGTCCTCTCCTCTTCGTAGGCATCTGCAGAGTCTTCTTCAGAGTCCTCCTCTTCAGAACCCACCTCAGATACCTCCATTTCTGCCTCCTCATGCTCTTCCTCCTCTTTCACTTCAGAATCCTCCTCCTCTACCGATGTATCCTTTTCAGAAACCTCCTGCTTCTCACCCTCGTCCACTTCCTCACCATCCTCCACTACTTCCACTTCCTCAGAGTCCTCAGAGATTCCGGACTTCTCCTCGTTCTCTCCTCCACGAAGAATGCTCATAATTCTACTTGTTGCATCATCAACATCCTCCTGATACTCATCCTCATCGCTTGGTCGCTTTCCAGAGCTGCCCTCAGTAAGATGATTTTCTCTGTAGGCAGTCTGAATAGCTACCAGACGGTCTTCCAGGCCATGACAGCCCGCGGCTCTCTCCAAAAACTTTGCAGCACCCTCCATGTATGCATTCTGATCAAACACATGTCCCTCTTCATTGTTTGTCCACAAGCCCGTCAAGATGCGCTTGTGCGGCTTGATCCATTGGTTTCTGAGATACGAAACAACTTCGGGGTGGCTCTTCTTGTAAGTGGCGCGGAACTCGTCCCATTGTTCCTTGAAATGGTTCTTGCTGTCTGATTCCAGAATCTCCGACCAGTCGGACATCATTTCAAGCCATATGTTTTCGTCCTTGGTCAAACTGGAAGGATCCACCTTGTCGTGAAGCACTCGATCAGAGTCACGCACCACCAGATGCTGGCACTGCGCTACAAAGTCCCGATTGATCTCTCGAAGCCACAACCGCATGTTACTGTTGGGGAATGCTCGGTCGATGGTCTCGTAGCACTCCTTCATCTCGCTGGAGTAGATGGTCTTGGGAAGAGGCACCGAGTGGTGTTTGAACTGGACCTTGATCATATCAAACAGCCACATGAAGTCCTCAATCGTCTTGTTTCGCATGTATCCAAACGCGAGGTAGGCATTGTCGCCGTCTTCGTCCTTTGCAACAAAGCTCACACAATGTTGGAACTCCCGGCCATCCTGGCGTCCGGAGCTCAGATCAACCAAGAGAACCTTTCCATGGCTCTTTGCGTACGCGCGCCAGACCGCGTTGCTTCCAAAGACCACCTTGTCAATATGTTTGGTGGGCGTGAGGGTTGACCCACTCCAGAACTCGGACCCGTCCTCCATGCCAAAGATCCTCGTCCTCGACGTCCAGTGGGGATCTTGCCTGCCCTGCTCTGCTCCTTCTGCAGATGTATTCATCGTGATGAAAGGCCCTGGTTGTGTGCTAGCGGGCGGGCGAAATGTGTTGTCTGTAGCGTTCCAGATACTCTGTGGAGTGGTGACTGGGTTATCGCAAACTTTGTTTCCTGGACTTCCTGGACTGTGCGGGATGGGGAAGCTACAGAAACACAAGAGGGAGCAAAGACACGTGTTTAGATCAATTGACGTGTTTTCCCTCTACTGAACCCTTGTAGCTAAACATCTGGAGCCCGCCGAATTGGCTTATGTAAGCCTACCATGTCGTCGTGTTCCGCACTTACGTGCGTGCGTGTCGTACCGCTGACATGTGGTTCACCTTGGAGGACTCAACAGACGACCGTTGTGAGCTCTGGAAGAGCTGTCACGAACACAAAACCTGGCCTGCGGGAAATGGGACACGAATATCACGTGAAAACGCGACCTAGTGGATCGTTGAGAACACTTTCGTGAAATTCGACGTCAGCTCAAATCGAACCCCGTGTCCTGTTTCACTTACTTGAACTCGTAATGGGGGTCAAGGTCAAGTAATTGTATCTTTTTGTTAGCGTACTTAGTTGACACATGCAAGCACTAGCCACATCAGCCACACTAAACTGGCTAGGTGTGAACTTGTTTTGGTCAACTCTCCGCCCATTCACGTCACACGCTCAATTCCCTAAGCCTCCCGTTGTTTCGAATTCGCCCTCTTCAATCACCCTCATACCACACTCATCTACCATCAGCTGGAATCTGACCAGCTTCACACCACCCACCCATAGCACGCCCAGAGCTAAAGTCAAATTGGCTGCGGCTGGTGAACATGCCACTTTTGATTCGGTAGCTAGTATCGAGCAAGCGGTGTAAGGGGGGATATATATATAAACATCAGGGGGGGGTTACATGGGTGATGTAGTAGGCATGACTAATCAATTCGTATCGTAATCGGCTCTCCGATAAGTCACATGACCTAGAACAAGCCGTACACACACACACATATACATATATACACATATATAGCCGTCCCCCTCTATGAGTATCGTCTCGCGCCTACGAAAATAGGGTTTGGGTGCCCTAACCCTCGACCTCCCAATCGGCCAGGACCAATCAGAGGCTTCCTAAGAGCTAGAGTTTTTGTTGCAACATTTGCCAGTGAGCTGACTTTCGGATACATATTGCTTAGGTGCTTCCATCATCTACAACTACACACAAAACAATGTCTGATACCGAAGAGCAGAAGGTTGTCTTTAAGACTGGTGAGTACTGAGATGGCATGGATCAATGGGCGCGTCCAGATGGCCCAACGTTGATGTTTGGCGACATTGAGCAAATTGAATCAGACACAAGCGACCAATGGACAACCGACATTTGGACAACCGACGCAAGCGACACAACCGACACAAAGCCGACGTGAGCGACACGAGCCAGGCAAGATGAGCGGGTCAATCCATCAACCATTCAATCGCACATACTAACGCAGTCGGATTCGACCCCCGATTCCCCAACCAGAACCAGACCAAGCACTGCTGGCAAAACTACGTCGACTACTTCAAGTGCATCAACGCCAAGGGTGAGGAGTTTGAGCCTTGCAAGGTCTTCTGGCGATCATACAACTCTCTGTGCCCCCAGGACTGGATTGAGAAGTGGGACGGCCAGCGAGAGAAGGGCAACTTTGCCGGTGATCTTAACCCTTAAGCGGCATGTAATTTATGCATTGACAGTGTCTGTTTGAGTACACATGAGTGAGACCACCAGTGTGTAACTGAGCTCGAGTTGTGGAGGAGTGGAGTATTGCGCCATGGCCGCTCATTGGACCTCCACAACACGTAGCACAACACGTAGAGAGCGTATGACGTACTTGGCCACCAGTTTACGACAGAGTGGTCTATGTACCGGCACGACTACTTGTAGAGCTGTTGATCGCCATCATGTATCATCGCATTGAACTTGTTAACCCCCTCTTCTGGCTAACGTGATATTCTCACCGATTTTGACACTTCTACAAGGCTGTCCATATTGGTGGGCTGTTCCATAGCCAAGAGGACAATATGACCACTGTCAGACTCGCCCGAACGAGGCGATTCGATTGGTATCGGTTTTGCCAACTGTAGTTCTTTGGTTGGTTTTTCAGTCCTGCTTTCATCTCAGCCAACTGTACCAGTACATACTCGAGTGTGGAGAGCACTCACAAGCGCTACAGACAACAGGGCAATAAATTAATGTATTGATATATGGTACAGTCACTCTCTGGTAGTGTCGAAATAGTTGCTCTTAACGGAACTCATCCACTCAAGTGCATTACTGAAGCCAGTCGCCCAAGAACATTCCTGATATCAGCCGCTCAAGAACATTCCTGAAATGAGTCGCTCATGTCCTTGGCCATGTCCTTACCAGAAATCATCCTCAATATTCCCCGTGGTCTCACTGGACTGCATATTCTCCTCGCTGAAGAAATCATCATAGGCATGCTTCTTTCTGTAACGTTCAGCAGCTCGCTCTTCCTCCAGAGCCTTCTCGGCCCGTTCTCGCTCCATTCGGGCCTCCTTGGCCTCTTTGAGGGTCTTGCTTTCGTGAATGGTCTTTTGCTTTTCTAGATCGGGGTATTCCTCTCGTTTCGTCTTGTTGAGACGGTTGATGATGCCGTTCTCACGGGTTTTCAGATGCACTTTTCGCACCAGGGTGTCCTTGTGGAACCCAACCTGACCGGTGGCCATGCCTTTGGTCTTCTTGAGGTTGGAATGGGGAGTGTAGATGACGGTCACATTGTCCTTTTTGTTGCCCTCGATGGAGTTGGCCTTGGTGAGCTGAGCACAGTCCTGCACAACCTGGGCAGGAAGAGTCTCAAACGTCCAGTCAGCTCCCTCGGGAATTCGCAGGTAAACGTGGGCAGAAGAGAGGTTGTCGACGTGGAACCACACGTCTTCGAGCCAGCCGTTTTTGATCAGGTTTTCATCTGGGTTAGTGGTCATGGGTCAGAGTGGCCTCCTTATAAACGCAACGGTGAATGTCCAAACGTCCAACCATTCAAGGACCTGAGGGCAAAGGAAATGGTAGCAGTTAGACCCCAGTAGGTGTCAACAACAAGTCAACAATATGTTCAATATGACAGTCTTCTTTCTGTCCAGGCAAACTTGAACGTCTGATCAACCCTCGTCTCTCGGCACACAATGTATCCATAGGTCTCTTGTCTTCGGAGTATCTAGACCGTCGTCTCTCCGCCCTCCAGCTCCACTACAAGCTTTCATCTCAGCTGTTTGCACAAATACTACCCCCGCGACACTCACTCTCAAACTTGTCTTTGCCCATGTACAGAGTAGTGTACGGGTCGACGACCTGGCTTTCGTAGTAGTAGACCATGTTGTTTTTCGCGTTCTGCTTTCCGGTGTCGCGGTAAGATTGAAATTTCGGGATCCAATTTTTTATCTATATTTTCATCATTAAAGTTGATCATGCTACAGTACGAGCGGGAGTGTTGCAAAAAGTACGGATGATTACCTCATTATCGACAAATATTGGCCTATTTCTGGTTACTTATTCCCTCAAGAATACATATATATTATACATGAAATGATTAGAGACAGGGTGTAAGTCACAGGGGTTCCCTGCTACCGAAGAATGTACTGGTAGTCCAAAAGTTGGAGTGCAGACACCATAAACAACAGTTCAAGAGGCTCTGTAAGAGGGTTGTAGCACATGGTTATTACTCACAGATCACCCCCCACTTAACCCCCTCGCAATTGGTGGCTTGTCCAGTATTTCTCGTCCAGCAGCCTCTCAAAGCTCTCTCCAACTCCTCACTTCTTGGACTTGCGGTTCTTGGCAAAGGCCTCTTCACTGGGCTCCTCTCTTTTCTTACCCTTCTTGGTCTTAGGGGCGTACTTTTCCTCCAGCTTGTCCAGAAACGAGTTTCCCTGTCGCTCTCTCTGTCGTTTGAGAATCAGAGCCTGGAGACCAGCCTCGCCGTCCTCCTTCTTGAGTCCAATCTCCTTGGCTGCCTTCTCGGCCTCTTTTTCTTCCTTCTTGGCCTTCTTGAGTCGCTTCTGCGTCTTCTTGTTACTCTCGCCGGCGTACTTTTTGTACTTTTTCACGTCTCCAGACTCAATTGCTTCATCAATCATCTTCTTGAACCGCTTCTCATCAGCCTCAATCTCAGAGTGGATGATGGACTCGAAAAGAAGATCCATATCTCCTTCGTACTCCTCGTAGGCCTCCAAAACATCGTCTCTCTCCTCCTCACTGCCCTGGTATGCCTTCTTGTCCTCCTTGATCATCTCCTCGGTCACACCCCGTTTGCACACCTGGTCGAAATAGTCCTGAAGATCGCCATCCACACCTTCTGTGTACTCCCCGGTGGTATCGTAGCGCTTTCGACGGTGCTCGTCGGACAAGACGGCGTACGCAAACGCCACCTTCTGGAACTCAACGTCCGATCCGCCCTTGTCAGGATGAGCTTTGAGAGCCGCTCGTCGGTACGACGTTTTGATGATCGCAACGGTCGGTTTGTCGGTCTGGACAAGCCCAATAATAGCGTAGAGATCGTGGCCGGGTTCCAACATTGGTGGTCGGGGAAATCAGTCTGTGGTTAGACGTGTGGCGTATAGGTATAGTGTTTTCGTGTTTAGGTTCCAGCCTGAGGACGCGTTTGGGAGTGGTTGTGGGCATGACAAGTGGAGACCGTGGGGCTTTGAGGAGTTATGGCACCTCGCGAGACGTTCCATCGGCCTGTTATCTGGTCATTTCAACCCAATTGAGCGTTACAACTGGGAAAACACACAGAAAAGTCCGAGCTGGTGCGTTGCTACAGAGAATATTGGCGTCAGAGAGGCATCTACAAGTTCTTGTACCCCTGATCTGATCCTATACTTGGGCTTATGAGCAGTCGTACAAGTAACCAGCATCTGTAAGTCTCTGAAGTTACCAACTTTAGAAAAACGGCTTTAGAAACGGACTCGTACTCGCACTCGTTCAGTACCTCTTGTCCACCCCTCTCCACCCTGCTCCATATCATCGTTTACACTACTTACACTACTACAATCGGCATGGTTGCACCGGTACTTACCGTACACAATCAGTAAATATTACAAACATCGTCTTCAATCTATATATACTATACGTCGTTCCCATTGGAGAGAGTTGGCGGCCGCTCTCCAATGTCTCGCATTCAAACTATCTCGTCACGTTCGATAGTTTTAGCACTTGTAACCAGCCTCGACAAGAGAGTCGTGGATGGCCTTAAGAGTTCGGTCAACATCATCCCGCTTGGGGTCGACGGCAGAAACACCCATGTGGCCGAATCGGAAGTACTTTGTGTTGATGCCCTTGAACAGACCGCCGGCCAGAGTCACGCCCTTAGCGGCAACCTTGGGGAGAAAGTCGGGGAGAGTCACGCCCTCGGGGAGGTAGATGCAAGTGAGGCCGTGAGCGCCGAGACCGGGCTTGGCGATAATCTCGAGACCCCAGTCGTTGATCTGCTTCTTGATCTTGTCGGAGACCTGCTTGTGGTTCTCGAAACGCTGGTCCAGCGAGATACCGTTGTGAAGAATCTGCTTGAGGGCAACCTGCAGGGCGTACACGTTCTGCACGGCGGGGGTGGAGAAGTAGGCGGGCTTTCGGGCCTCGTAGGCCTGCATGATAGGCAGCCATTTCTTGAGGTTGCCAAAGTAGACGGGGATCTTCTCGAGAGACTCAACCTTGGCAACGGCTCGGGGGGAGGCCATGGAGATGGAGAGGCCGGCAGGGGCACCAATGGCCTTCTGGGGGGCGGTGAGCACAAAGTCCAATCCCCAGTCGTCAAAGGAGATGGGCTCAACTCCGACGGAGCAGACACCGTCCACGACAACGAGCGTGTCAGGAGAGACCTTGTGGACGAGCTCGGAGATGGCCTTGATGTCGATCACGACTCCGGAAGAGGTGTCGACGTGGGTCAGGGTGATGAGGTTGTACTTCTCCTTCTTGAGGGCGGTCTCGATCTCACCGAGAGAGGGGGCCTCGCCAGCGGGGGCAGAGATGACGTCGACGTGGTCGCAGAAGACCTTGAGGCAGTCGGCGAATGCGTCGGAAAAGAATCCGGTAGAAATGACCAGAGCCTTGTCATCTCGCTTGAGAAGGTTGGCTCCAACAATCTCCCAGCCGAGGGTTCCTCCGCCAGCAATGACAAAGGGCTGGGCCTTGGGGTCGGTGGACTTGAACAGAGCCCGCAGATCGGTGAGCACGGAGCCAAACACCTCCACAAACTGGGGAGAGTTGTGGGCCACCGACTGGTGCGACATGGCTGAGAGGACCTCGGGGTCGAACTCAATGGGGCCGGGGATCATGGTAATGTCGGTCATTTTGTTTTTGAGAGCGTACGGGGTGGTGTGGATGTGTTTTGCGAGGGTGTTGGTGTTGAACGGTTGTGTAGTGGGAGAAGTGGAAGACACAATTGGCACTGCACTGGTGAAGTGATGTCTAAGTTGTCCGATTCGACGCAAGGCAGATAGACTCATGGTGGGGGTTGCGGAGTTAGGCTTGGGGGGTTGATTAGGGTTGGGGTTGTCCGAAAAAGGATGTTGCTTAATGTTTAGGGTTTTTCCAAATGTGGGAATTCCAACTTAAGCTTTTTGTTGATTAGGGTTGGCCAAAAAAGGAATGCAAAATAGAGTTGGGGACGCTCTCTTTGTGACTCGTTACTCAGTGCTCGGTGGGTGGACTCAGTGACGATTTTCGATTGTCTGGTGGTGATGGACTTGACTCAGTGAATTCTTAAAAAGTCGAGAAGCTGGTGTCAGGGCGATAAGCTTGTCTTTCTCAGAAAATACTTAATCAACGGCGTTTCCGACGGGTTCTTGTTGCTGGCGAGTTCAAAAAGTCGACGACAAGAGGCGATTGAGGATGAGGAAAACTTTTGCACTCCGACTGTGACACGGATATATACCCTTTGGCACGCCATTTTGCGTTTTGCGATTTTTGCCAGGTTTTTTTGCCGCCACCACCTCCGTGACTAATTCCCTTTGTTGCCCCGTCCCCAAAAGGCAACTGTTCACGGCGAATGCGGTCCGTTTGTGCGGCTTGGAAATGGCGGCCACATGCACTGGGTGACATATTTGGTTGCCACGGGGGCTTTTTGGCTGTGGAGCAGGACTGGCGTGGAGCTGGCGGTGCGGCGAGTACGGCCATCTGGTTGGTTTCCCGCTGCCGTTGGAATTGTGGCTGTTGGAGACGATTGTGTCCTCAAGACACGCCTCTCTGTCTCCTCCCTCTTTGAGTGAAAAATGACAAACTCAAATTGTTGCTATGGAAGACAAGGGACAAGATCCACCTGGTAGCGTGCGGTTGAGGGGAAAAGATATTGGTGAGAGGGGAAGTGTTGACTCATTCAATATTGCTGAGACAGTCGGGGCTTTGGGGGGGAATGTAGCTTATGTAATCTGTGCGGTGGTGGTACAGCCGCGATTCCGACTTTCTGCTTATAAATCACTTGCAGTAAGGTGTACTACAAGTACAAGTAGCAGACTCGCCACTTCAGCACCATCGTGTGCATCTCGCGGTCCAGCGGGAGGGAGGAGCGGCTCAGCCGGAAAAAAAGACGGGCAGAAATAGAACAAAAGGAAGCATACCGAAGATCCGGAAAAACTATGTCATGGGCAGAGAAGGGCGTGCGGATTAATTCGAAAAATTCGATTAATTGGATTAATTGGTAAAAGTCGATTGATTCATCTTCGAGGCGTATTGTATTATGTTCGATTTAGGATGTGTTTTATAATTAGTTCATGTACATATCTCCGAGTCTGCTACTTGTAACTTGTTGGTTTAATGATTAGTTGATTGTGGGTGTTTATTGGAATAGGTCTGGGCACAGTGGACTTGTCCTAACCCTGTGAAATCATTAGATTGAGAAGACTCGAGTCGATCAACCCTAGTCCTACGAGCGAGTGCAGTATATCCGAGGCAATATTCATTATCTCACAATCTTTGAGAGTCGAATTTGCATCATTCTTTCGAAATTTGTACTTTAATTTGAATTTCTTTTCACTCATCAATTGGACCAGAATGGAAAAACTCCCATTTCTACCGCCTTTATTTGCATTAAGGTTAGTTGGATTTGGCAAGTTTTGGTGAACTTTTAGTTGGATTTTTTGTTGGATTTTTTGAGCTTTGCGGTGGTGGTCAAGTTTCGTGTTGGTTATCGATAGGAGATGTGTGAATATCACGATAATAGAAGCTCGAGCAAATCAATACGGACTACTTTTGTGTCTCTGTTTCCCTCTAACCACCCGTTCCACGGTATCTCCACTACTGTACTCATCATGCTCGCAGTCTGTCTCACAATATCGCGCTGAGGCAGCTTAAGCGCCTGCTACAGATGATGCAACTCAGCGTAGGCTGATATATACAAAAAAGGGGAAATAACAGCTGTCCTTGTTGGGCCGGTTGTTTGATTCAGGTCTTTTCCTCGGAATATATATAATCTACACACAAAAATCTTCACACGAAAATCTTCACGTCAATCTGTTCATCTGTCACAGTAGGTCTACTGACTTCGAAGTGAGAGGTTATACAGTATGTATGTAAATACTGTAGCTTCAGCTGAAATATTGGCATACATGGAACGGAGGAGTAGAAGGGGTCACTCGTAGATAGTCAGTGTACAGGTACAAGTGCGTCAGTATAAGTACACCTACAACTACACGTACATACTTGTAACCAAATGATCAATTCAGATGACTCATCAAGGTTCCAACTGCTTGCCAAAATGCTCACAAATTGCACTACCTAAATTAGTTGATTATACAAGTATCTTCCCTCCAACTACAATACTCTACAAGTACTTGCATAAAGACGTGATTTTGACCAGACAAAACCCAATATAAACCATCTGAGCTCCCCTAAAATACCGTACTGCCCGCACAACCGCTAAATACTCCCGTTATTGCCCCCCATTGCCCCGCTACGCCCGCCACCAGCAACTCTTCCGTTTGCATAGGAGATGCACGATCAGAGTCTGTTAGATTCCACCCAATATCGGTTCTCGAAAATACTTGTATACACAAGTATCGTGCTACAACGCCATCGCCAAAACACACAATGCTCCGATTATCGCGAGTCGCTCAGCTGAGGGCTATTCCGATCCGCCGGGCCATGCCGCCAATCATGGTCCGAAACTACGCCGTGCCTCCCAAGACCAATTTCCAGAAGGGCGACATTCCCCCCGAGCCCAGTGGGTCGTCCTCAAGTGGCCCCAAATCGTACTTCCAGAACGGCGAAACCCCCCCTCCTCCCTCCGGAGCTGCAGGACGAATCCTCGTGGCCGAGCCCGTCTCCAAGGTCCGGTTTAGAACTATCTTGCTCCTCCTGGCAGCCATCTCCGGCTTCACAACATGGTACTTCTACCCTCGACACACCTTCACCCCGGAAGTCGCCACCATTCTGCGAAAGGCGCTCAAGGCCGAGAGCGAAAGCTTTGGCGGCCAAAACCTCCCGGAGGCCGTCAAGTATTACATTGAGGCACTTATGGAGGCCGAGGCCCAAGGCCTGTCTCCCTTGTCGGACGAATACACAGGCATCCAGCTCAAACTGGCAGAGATCTACGAGATGCTCAACTACCCGGACGCTGCCCACGACGTGTACATGGAGATTTGTGCTGCCTACGTTGACGCCTTCCAGAATAACAAAATCGCCCAGGATGTCCGGCCCCAGGTGATCCAGAGAGGTCTGCGGATCGCTCTCAAGCTCGCTCACATTTCTGGAACCGAGAAAAATGATGTGGTATCACGAGCGCTACTGCTGCAGATCCTGCTGGCTCAAGAAGAGGTCTGTCGACGGTGCCCCGAGGCCACAGATCTGCTGAAACTCGCCAGCACGCCCCCGACACAGAGCGAGCGGGAGTTCATGACCCAGCTGACTAAAAGTGCGTCTCATGCTCGTCTGCTGCGTGCTTCCGGCAATTACGACGCCTGGATGCCCTTCAGAGACGAGCTTATTGCTGCTCGTGATGTGCTCACAACTCACAACCTCTCTGACGCCCTCGCCAACGTTGCTCTCAGAGAGAAGCAAATCACTTATCAGATCATGCTTGCTTCCGGATGTGGAGTGGGAGATCTGTTGTTAGCCCAAGCCAACCTAGCCTCCATGTTCTACCTCATGTCTGAACAGCTGGAGGTGATTGTTCACACTGCCGAAAAGAACGAGGGCACCACCATCAAAGCTGACACAGGCGGCGAGATTCCTCTGGACACAATGAAGACGAGCAGTAATAACGCCCTGGCTCGATCCGAGTCATGTTACAAGCGTGTTCTCAAGGCCATTCCTTCTCTTGAGCCCGATGTCCGACGGACCAAGGAAGTCGAGGAGGCCCAGGCTCTATGCACATATGGAGTCGGTGTGATTGCTATCAAGAAGGGCGATTATGAAGAGGCTAAAGACAAGCTTCGAGAAGCCCGAACTCGAGCCAAGGGTTCTGGTTTTGATGATCTGGTCGAGGCTGCTGACGGAGAGCTCAACAAGGTTGATGGTCTGGCGCGAAAGGCGTTGAAACAGAATGAGCCAGACAGCAAGGACAAGGTGGCCAACAGCAAGGAGTCCAAAAAGCCCTCTATTGACGAGATCCACGATGTTATTGCTCATGAGGTTTCCGAGCTCGATGCTGGGAAGAAGAAGTGATTTGTATATAAGAAATAAATGAGATATAGTAAAGGAGTGCAAGAGAATGGCAAGGTGGTCAAATTCTATATTACTTGCAGTCACTGGTTCCTCGTTGACATGAATGAAGTTACCGTTGGCATAGCTGATTTAATATATAACTGTCCAACTAACTCTCACCTAGATATAACCCATGTGTGTGTTTCCAATCATCAATCGCTTAGAGAGTAGAGGCGGTGAAGTAGTACCGATCGAACAAATACAGGTAATCGGAAATAAGAGCTCCAAACAGACCCAGGCCTGGAATCTTCTCCAGTCGAGCCACAATCGAATACAGCAGAGGACGGGTGTAGGCCTGGTAGAACTCGCCTCGGAACAACCACCATCCCAGCAGGTTCGTTCGGCCCTTGACTTCCATCTGGTCGAGAGCTGTGGGGGTCTTGCCGCTCTGTCGCTGTCGCAGCAACCAGGATCCCATCATCTTTCGCGACAATGCTTCAATCACAAGACCGATGATCCAGGGGGCCCAAGGGGAGTTGAGGAAGGGGAACTTGGACTTTGTGGACGCAGGCACGGTCTTGTTGACGTGCTGTCGGAAAAGCAAGCATGCGTAGATGAGGGGTCGCAGAATGGACAGCAACTCGGCCACCACTCCCCAGTTGTCCAGGCGAGACAGCAGGTTGTACGGCCGATCAACATCTTCCGATCTCAGCACCTTGGTGAGAAGATAGCCCTCGACATTTGTGGGTGCGATTTCCGGAATGGTTCGTCCGGTTCTGGGCATCTTCCACTGGGGGTCCATGAGTCCCTTTTCAATGTCCAACTCTCCCTCGTCTCTACAGATGGTCTCCAACAGCTCTCCCGTGACTTCTCTATCGGGGTAGGGGGTTGTGCACAGCGGTTGGTACAGTGTAGAGCCCAACATATAGATTCTGAGCCCCGCCTTGATTCCTTCAATACCGATAATGCACTTCCACCGGGCCATTTCGCCGCCGTTTTTCTTGGCCACCATTTCCGCCACAAGCTCGCCAAATTTAACAAAGGTCACCGCTCTGCTGGCGTACTTGTATCCCTTTCGGTTCTTGATGAACCAGTCTGTGTATCTGTTGTGGGGCGACGGGCGGTACACGGCGGCAGCGTTGGGCGATGCGGCCACTGCACGGGCAATAATGGTGTCGTGGTAGAGGCCCAGCACGTTGAGCACCGCGTAGAGCGTTTCGGTGGCGATTTCGACATCGTTGAATCGACCAGGCAAAACGTACGAAACCGTTCGAAGAGTGGACTCGATTGAACCGATCGACGCGGCGTTGCGCACGAGAAACTTGTCATAGCTGTCGAGCCACGTCTGCGGCGCCGATTTCTTCTTCTGCATCACCTTGACCAGCTTGTCCGTCATTGTGGGGTTCCTGGAAGGTGTAGTGGGTGGTGATCTGGTTGGCGATGTCATGTTGGAGTGGTGCATGCACAACCGAGGTACTCGCACTTTACACTTTATGTCACGTGTGTGGGGTGTGGGGGAGGGAGACGTTACGAGCACGGGGGGCATTGGGGGGCCAGGGTGGGCACGAGGTGAAGGTGAATAGTGAATATTTGGAGCTCGGGGAACAAGTGGGCCAAATTTCGAGCGGGATTGTCATACAAATATACTCAATTATGGGCGGGCGTAGTTTAGGCAGGGGGCCATTGTGATTTTGTTGCAAGTATGGAGTTTGATGGAAAGGCGCTGAAATTACTGTAGGGGTGTTTTTGAGGGAATAAATGGGTGAAAGCGAGACCTGGTCACCGGAGAAACACATGGTACGACTTTTGGTGGTCAATTATTGGCAATTGTGGTCTGTGAAGAGGAGTTTCTGATTACTGAGCATGGTGGTTGGTAAATGGAGGTGGTAGATGGGGAGGTGATATCGGGGAAGAAATGGGATAATGATAATGGATATTTGGAAAATCGATTCATAATGACACAAGTAGCACATCTGTCAAGTTTTTACAGAGTTGATGGTACAATATGTCAATGATTGAGACGTTTTGGTTCTCAGATAAAACCTGATGAGTAATCGAGACGGGTTTGGAAGAAAAAAAGGCCAAAATGACTGCTTGGAAGAGAGTGTGTTACTCAGAAGAGTCTCCAATCAGATTAAAACTTACATCAAGAATGTATTTACGTATTTACAACTGCCAGTGTCTTGTTAGGTCAATGGAGTTATATGTTTGAAGGAATCACCATACGTGACCGTGGTCTCGGCTGACTCAAGCTGGAAGACATCTGTTTGGAGTGATTACTAATGGAGATATAGAAATGGAGATACTCCAGTCAGAGTTTCAAAGAACACTTCACTGCAGTATTCCTCCTTCGGGGTTCTCAAAGCTCTACTGTCTGGTCCGGATGATTTCGAAAGATATCGATGGACGGCAGAGATGGTGTTTTTGGACAAATTGTGTAACGATGGGGCTGGCCAATCCGTCGCCATTCAGAGAAATACTCTTTTGTTTATATTATGGATCTAGTCTTCAATGAGCGACGGTGTCTTTCATAGGCGACGGCGTCTTTCATAAGCGACGGTGCTCACAACCCTAGACGCCAGTGAGACGAGTAGGAGTATGAACAAGTACACACCTCACTTGACAGGCGAGTAGTAGGTCGTTAGAAGCTCAACTAACGCTTCTGAACCATTGGCCCAACTGTCCATCAGCTTGCACACCATGTTGATCGTCGTTCAACAGTCCGTTCCAGTCATCAACGCGAGACTACGACGCTTGGGGATGTAACATCACCCTCTCGATCTCTCCCCTCTCTTCTCCAGTATTGAATCCCTTTCCACACACTCATTCCTTTTCACAGGCTGTCGAGAGTGTCGAGAGTTGGTTCAGCACTCAACTGAACTCATGGAAGCACTTCAGGAGTGGTTGGCTCTAGTATGTACTCGTCGTACTGTAGCTCTTGATGACTAAGTGCAAGATGTCAGCGTGCGCGTGATAAATGGCTGGGCAGAATCGTGAGAAACAGCAGCTCCCGTATCACACCAGCTCGCCTCCATTCGTTCCCCACTTATAATATCGCACAAAATGCAACATGACCGAGTCGGAAAAAAACAGTCACCTTTGGCTTTTTTTTTTTCACCTATACACCAAACCCAATAGATTTCCTGCATACAAAGGTGGTAAGCACCAAAGGTAAAAAGATGCCAAAGTGCAAAAAGAGCGAGTGAAAAAAAGCCTGAAAAACGAGACTTGACAAGTGTGGAACCCGCCAGGAAAACCAAAACCCGACTCCACACCATTATGCCGGTCATGTGACGGCCTAGGGCCCCTCGGGGGACGCTCCTGCACCTCGACCCCCCTCCTTCAAGCCCCTCTCCACACAACCTCACGCACCACCTTGTGCGAAACAGGGCAACCAGGAACTCATCAACAACAACACCATCTGTGACACGACGAGAGACAGAAACCGGCCGAAAAGCTGACGTGTGACATCCCCGGAACGAGGAGAACACAACACAAGTCTCTGTTTCTCAATAGCGCCTCTGTCCTTGGAGAAACACACACCAAACCAGCTTGACATCCTCTCCACAGCCCAAGACACCCATCCTCTCCGCGGAAGTCCAACATACGGCGACGAAATGTCGGAAAACAACACAAACAACAGACATGTTTCTGACACAAACTTGTGCGACCCATCCCGGTTTCGAACCACAAACCTTACACTTCGAAACTCCGCTAAACGACTCTTTTTCCAACAGATTGTTCTGGAACATCGACACTCACCATACCAAGAGACAAACAAGTACCGACAACTACTGTACTTGTAGCGATCGAGTAAGAAGCAACTCAACTCAACAGAATCATACCCCACTGCTACCATCAAGGCGATACCTCTCACGACTCGCAGTCACGTGACCCAATGGACTTCGCTACAGCTCCGTACGTCTTCCTTGCATCATACATGTATGAGAACCACCAACCACCAAGATAGGTCCGAGATACTACTATTACGACCCAAGATACCTCTGTTAAACATCATTTATCACTCTATACTTACAAAACAATCAAGACAAAAATAACATCAAAAACCAAAAAAAAACAATTCCAAAAAATACCCATCATAAGTCATCAATGGCTATTCCATACAAAATAGCCACGCGTTAGTGTTAGCGTTGCACGGTGGAGGGAGGTGGGAGGTCAGTCTGTTGGTTGACGAGCTTGTCGACGGGTCATAACACAGACAGTGGTGATTAGCAAGAACTGTCTTGTGTCCGCTGTCTCGTCTCGTCTCGTCCTTCGTTTCCAATCTCTCGCCGTTGTTAGCTGGCCAGCATGCCTTGTCCAGTTCAAAACCTCTCATTCACTTCCACCACTCCTCGACAATAAATGCATGCATAGTCCATCCGGCCGGTTTCCGGATTTCGCTTAGCCGTGTTTCGCATAACTGCCCACTCGCCCTTGGCTGGGATCCGGCCACAGTCGGACTCGGTGCATCGGGCTCCAGTCTTCTTGTACCGCAAACCGCATGAGTTGCACAGCTGTCCTGCTGATGCAGACCACGACGGGCGCCAGCAGGGACTCTGGTCCGATCCACAACTGATACATCGTCGCTTGCCATAGCTGGGGGTGGAGTATGTGGAGGCACTGTGGATGGGTTTGGGAGGCGACGACAGTGCCGGAGAGGCGACCATTGAGGTCTCCATATGAGGTGACGGGTGTGGAGACGCCATGTGTGGGGGTGGGGGGATGTGTTGTATGGGGGACTGTGGGGGTTTGAGCGTGGGTGGCTCTGTGATCTGTGGGGTGCTGACAACGTGTGCGCTGCTGTGGATCTGTGGCGAGGGCATGGTGATGGATGCCGTTTGTGGGGGTAGTTGTTCATCCACGACAGTGGATGTCTTTGCGACAGGGCCTGCCTTGGATTTGGCCACGGGCTTGGGGTCCTTGAGCATATACTTGTCGTCGAGCTTGTCGGACGCCTCGACGGCCCGTTCCACGTCGCGCATTCGGTGGCCGGACTTCTTCATCCAGGCCTCGATCTGCGGTCTCCACACGTCTCGAGGAGCCGTGTCGGCGTACATGAGCGATAAGGACGGGATCACCGAGGTGGCTCGTAGGGTGGGCACGTGTAGGCCTGACGACGGGTCGATTTCGACGGCGGGAGGCGAGTTGGCGGCGGGCTGCTCAGCGGCTGTGGCAGCGGCAGGTTCTGTGTCCGACGAGTCTGGTTTGAGCGTCTCTTCGTACTGTCGGCGTTCGTTGACAATGGCGAGTCGACGGAGGTTTGCTTTCTCGGATCTGTCTGATCGGGGCTCGTCAGAGTCGACCATGTCCAGTGGCCGTTTGTTGGCAGCGAACGCGAATGGTTCGAGGCTTTGTCGGGCGACTTCCATGGCGGTTTTGTTGTTGGAGGTGGAAATGTTGGATTCTTGATCTGAGGCTCTTATCGGATCTGAGGCCTGAATTGCGGGCTGAAATGGACGTTAGATCTCCAAGAAACCGTGGGGGAGCCGGGTCGGGGTCGTCGGTGGCGGTCTCCTTTGTGCGATTCGAGCGGGCGATTCACTATCGTCGGCGACCGTCGCTTGTTTGTGTGTGTCTCTTGTAGGAGGCCTTGTGGGTTCCGATCACTCGTTGATTCGTTGATCAAAGGCCGCAAAAGCTTGCTTGGCACGTGGAGCAACAGTGGGGAGGATGTAGTATCTGGGAGAGCACGCGTCACGGGGCGGTTTTATCGTGTCGCGCAACAATTTCGGCCGGATCCTGAAGCCGTTTGCAAATGGTGTATATGCGTGTGCTGCAAGCTGATTTGGCTTCTGGTGTAAATTGTGTCCCTGAGGGGTGGTGGGTGGTTTGGGGTTTGGGGTATGGGCTGGGACACCAGATGCTAATTATGGTTCGGCTCCAGCAATTTGCCTTTTCTTTGTCTGCGCCAATCTCCCAGGTCTCTTTTTGGTTTTTGGTGGGTATATAGCTGGCGGTCTAACTTGGGCGGAGGGGGTGTGGATTGTGTGTGTGGTTCCTCCTTCGTGCGACGATGGTGCCGGCGGCTGTTTCGACGACTTGCGGCGGTCCGTATTTTCGCCCAAGACTCGCTTTTGCCCCAGTACGAGCTGCATTGTCCTCCACAGTTGCGGCAAATGCAACATTTCCAGTTTTATGCCAAATATGCTCCGCCCTCACTTTTGCTTTGGGCCGTCGTCACAACCCCTGCCCTGGCGCCATAATGTGGACCAATTCGCCCAAATTATCAAATTATCAAAAATGTCTCGCCAAAACCAATGGCCACAGAATGGAGCTAATTAGGCCGACGGTTTGACGCCCACGGGGCCAATACGGTTGTCCTGGACCCCGGCGACCGACGCTGACGCGACCCGCACCACCATGTGGCTTGATTCTTGATGGTTGATGGTTGATGGTTGATGGTTGATGGTTGATGGCTGATGGTTGATGGCTGATGGTTGATTCTTGATTTTTGATTTTTTTTTTTTTTCCCACTTCTGCTATATCCCACATGATCTAAGTCCCATGGATTGCCGTCGCGTCATCGATGCATGCATCGAGGGATGATGAGCTATGTTACGATAAGATGGTTAAATGAGATACATAGACGAGTGCAATTGTGCAATTGTGCAAGTGTATCGTTCAATGGCTCTCTGTAGACCCAAAGTGCGGCGATTTCGCAGCAAATTGGATGCGGAAATTCCACGAAATTGGGGGAAAACCTAGAAAAATAAACACAGCAAAGCGTGGATGCTGACGGGCAGACAGGCAGACGGGCAGACGGGCAGACGGGCAGACGGAGCACCATTAGGGAACAGAGATTAGTGGCGATAAGACAGATACGTTTGTCGCCCTGGATCAACTCAACCCACCAGTATAATCGTTTAATTACCTCTACCAGGCCCTATAAAAAGAGTATCATCAATACAGCTATCGTACAACTTAGCTTCACATATCAGACGTTTATTTCACCCTAATCATCTTAGGCTCTGAAACGGACGTACGACTGTGCTTACAGAAGAACCCTTTTTATCTCCTTTTACACAATGTATATTCGTGTCAGGTCATGTCAAGTCGTGTCTGATGCATCTATGACCAGTCACGTGACGATAGATATACATATATCCATTCTTGTCCGGGGGTTTGGGTGCGTTGGTGATGATCTTGTTCGTCCCTCTTCATTGCTATTCATGGAGTAAAGGTACGCTATTATCACTTCATTTTCCCAATCCAGATTGACGATCCCATCTTGACACACATTCCACACCCGAGGTTGTATTGCAATAACATGTCTTAAAACGGAGTCACAGAAACAGAGTGTCACAGAATCAGAGCGATTATTCATTTGGGACGGAAATCCGAGTTGATCCAGCCCCCACCGTGTTCGTGGGTCTTTTCTGACACCAACTAACGTTGCATAATCACTACCACCTACAAGTACAGTAGATATGTACTGTAGGTAACTCACGCATTTACACATCACACATCAGTCAACAATGAACCATGGAATCAGCCTGAAAATCATGCGGGCGTCGAAACCGCAGCTGACGCCGGCCATCCAAGACCCATTCGTGCTCTCGCAATCTCAATCGGCCGTTTTGAACCTGCCCTCACCATGGCTCAGCATCCGTCCAGCCTTTGGAACGGTCTACGTGGGAGAAGTGCTCACCTTCATGGTCTACGTGAGTCTCAAGACGGACTTCATCTACAACACGGCTCCCAGCGTCAAGGTGGGCGTGTCTGCGGCGATCCACGCCAAGGACTCCACCGAACCTCCCGTTCAAGTGCTCAACTCGACAGACACCGTGGAGCTCAACGAAATCCACCAGACGACACAGTTCCCCATCAAGTATGAGATCCCTACGGCAGGAATGCACACAGTCACCTGCCACGTGACCTACTCGTACGTGGTCGACGGAGAACCCCACCAGGAGTCCTTTTCAAAAATGTACCAGTTCAACGCCGTCAATTGCGTCCAGTTGCAGCTGGAGACCATCAAGACCGCCAACAGACAACCGGCCATGCAGATAAAGGTCGAGAATATCACCTCCAACAGTCTGTGGCTCAAGCCGCCGTCATTCTTCTCTGATTCCGTGCAGCCCGTCGGATCCACCAAGACTGCTAACCTGCTGGGACCTGGAGACATGTGGCAATACTCGTGCAAGTACACAGGCGATCGACCGGCGTTTACCATTTTCTGGACACGAGGCCCAATGGGTGAAAATGGGTGCTTGACTGTACAGTAGACGGCCTCACAAGTACTGCAAGGAAACGGAGGTATGCATATGGAGAACGGGCAACTTGAAGAGGGGGCTAGGGTACAGAGGAAAGAATACTGAGTCTCTCGATACGTGCACAATGGAATATCAGCGGATTGCTACATGGTCGTTATTGTCGAACCCCGCAGTTGCGAGATTGATTCTTGCAGTCGGATAAAGAAGTCTACTACTGGCAATGAGAGGAACATTCGAGATGAATAGATCTATGGACTGCACACTCCGAATGCTCTATCATACCAAAAATCGCGCGTCTGTTCTGCTACACAGATTAAGAACAAGGGCCTCTCATGTTCTGTTGAGATCTGACCGAACCGTAGATTGAAGAGACACAGATACGGAGATCAGAATAATTATTTGCGATACTGTCCATTGAATGGCTGGTAGAGTGGGGCCTTGTTGTTCACATTCCGGACAAGGTAATGTAATCACGGCACAAGTACATAATATATCAGTCAGAATACTGATCTGATTGACAGTTCATCTGCCATACTGCCGAGATAGGGGCTGTGGAACCGGCTGAACATTTGGACAATGGCCTTGGGTCAAGGGCTGGCAGGCTGAGGTTTGATAGCTGCCTATTACACGAACCAAGCCCGTTTCGCAATCCGGGCTCGTTTCACATCGATGAGGCCGTCGCCAAATAGCTTTCTTGCAGGGACGGCTGCCTTGGTACGGCGTTTGTCATGTATTGTTTGTTTAATACCACCTGCTGTCTGTGTTTTATTAGTTGAAACCAGCTCCCTGTGTCACTATTTTGTCTATTATACTGAGTCTTCCGCCCAAACAAAACCCTTTCTCCTACACACCACAGGGCCCTAAAACAGCAGCCAGAAACGCCCCGAAAAACGACACAGAATCGAGAAAAAGAACACAGATACCTCTGAAATCAATGTTATATCATTACGCAGAGATACCCCGCTACAATTACAGCATTTCTGCCCAACATGAAATTCACAGAAGTTTTCTATGCAAAATTACCTATTTGGGACAGTATCGACGAGTCTAAAAGATTGGCCAACTTTGCAAAAAGTCGCACAGAACGGCCTATTGGGGAGCTATCTGGGTCAAACGAAGATATACGAGACACTGGCTCGATGGTGTCCTATCAACTTTTTCCTCGGCCTTCTAGCGCCACTTTTCGACCGAATAGAGCTGTTGTCCAGTTTACTGATGATGCACGACAATTTCATTAATCGGTATCCTATGCAAGTCTTCGTTGCCACACCGACAAACGAATATAGCGACAATTACCCTTTGCAGAATCCATACGACCTCTCACCACAGTCTCCTGATCTTTCCAAGATGAAATATACAACGATTAACCAAGTATATATACCTCCTCCATGTCTCTCCTTTCTTATCATCAGACACAACCACCACTACCACCACTACCACCACTACCACCACTACCACCACTACCACTACAACACCAACAATGAAGTTCTCTACTATTGCTCTTGCCGCAGTTGCCTGCCTGGTTTCAGCTGCCCCTGCTGCCCCCGTTGGTACCGGCTCCCATGGCCCTCAGTCCATTCCTGAGGAGGCCATTGTCGGCGGTCTCCAGGGTACAGAGAACGAAATCTTTGTCTTCTTCAATGATGACGAGTCTGGAAAGCAGGGAATTGCTATCATTGACGCCAAGAAGGCCCAGGAGGCAGGCTTCATGGACCCCCAGCCTGATTCCGAGGTTGCTGCTGGCAACGCTAAGCGAGAGGCTTCTCCTGAGGCCTGGCGATGGTTCTGGCTCCCTGGATACGGCGAGCCCAACTGGAAGCGAGACGCCATGCCCGCTGATATGGACAAGGAGAAGCGTGAGGCCAACCCCGAGGCCTGGCGATGGTTCTGGCTCCCCGGCTACGGCGAGCCCAACTGGAAGCGAGACGCCATGCCCGCTGATATGGACAAGGAGAAGCGTGAGGCCAACCCCGAGGCCTGGCGATGGTTCTGGCTCCCCGGTTACGGCGAGCCCAACTGGAAGCGAGACGCCATGCCCGCTGATATGGACAAGGAGAAGCGTGAGGCCAACCCCGAGGCCTGGCGATGGTTCTGGCTCCCCGGCTACGGTGAGCCCAACTGGTAATGAGCCCGGTTCTCTTCCTCTTCCCACCAGCTGGACTGGTCCTTACTTCCAATTTCCATAATTCAACTTGACAATAACTGAAGAGCCTGTAGATACGTTTAATGGGTAGTATAAGACTACGGCGTGAGAGATTGAACATTATGCCATGCCAGATCGAACCTGGTCTGCTGGTTTATTTTTTCAGCAGAGTCTGTATGAAGGGTCAAGTGTGCTTATGGAGCTTCTCTTTTGGTGGGCGTACTTGTACTTGTACTATTTTTTTTTTTTTCTTCCACACTCAATGTTCTTTTGATAGTGTTTCATGTCTTGTTTTCTTGTTGATGCCCTCTTTTCTCCATAAAATCCATATTTATAATAATATACAAAGTCTTTTGAACCAAGCACTTCGGTCGTAGCAAGTGGTGTAGTTGGTGGGTGTGGGTTGTGACGGGAGTGGTACCTCTAGTAAGGGGCGTAACCGCCTCGTCCTCGTCCTCCTCGGAAGCCTCCACGTCCACGGAAGCCTCCACGACCTCCTCGACCCCGTCCTCGGCCTCGGCCGCCCTTGAAACCGGGGATATTGGTTCGCTTGGCGCTGACCTTGAGCTGTCGCTGTCGGAACTCGGAGTCGTTGAGGGTGACTGCCTGGGCCACATCCTTGGGCTCAGCAAACTCGATGTACGCGTAGCCCTTGGGGTTGCCGGTGAACTTGTCCATGAGAATGGTGACTCGCTGGACGGATCCGCACTTCTCAAAGTGCTTTTCCAGCTCCTGGGGGGTGGCTCCGTAGTCGACATTGCCCACGTAGATGGATCGCGCGTCAATCTCCTCCTGGTCCTCCTTGAGATCCTCGGACGACTTGGTGGCGTCCTGCTGCATGGACTCGAGCTTGGATGCCTCCTCCTGGAGCTGTTGGAGACGGGCCTGCATGGCCTCCATCTCGGCTGAAGCCGGCACGGGAGCAGGAGCTACTTCTTCGGCAGAAGTCTGTGGCGTTAGTTTGAGAAACGTGGGCTGTGTGGGGGATTGGGGGCTAGGGTCATCACTCACCATTGGCTGATCGACTTGTTGTTCTGACATTGTGTTTGTGTGTGTAGATGTGGGTTGTGTGAAGGAAGGTCTTGTTGGTGGTGTATCGCAGAATGAGCGTGTGGTGACTTTCCTGCGTCAAAAAAGTTCTGCAAGGTTAAACGGCTGAGGTGCCAAACAGGAGCAGCAATAGTGGGGGTTTTCAACGGGAATGGGGGTGGTGTGAGCTCGAAAGAGGTTGTATTGAGGCTCTGAAACCAGATATGAAGCCCAAATTATAAAGTGCATCTCATTCATCTCATTTACCAGCCCCTTACTAGCTTGGCTGCTTTACACGAATGGTCCAAGTAAAAAACAAACTTTGGCTAAGTAGATCTCCAACTTGTACTTGCAACTGATCGAGGATGTCAAAAAAACAAACAAAAAACAACAAAAAACACACAGACAGAAAATTGGCAAGTATTCCTGTACAAGTACCAAGAGTTTTAAAAGAATCCCGGGATACATCCAATCATTTGAGAACCATCAATGTCATTAAATATACTATACAGTAAGAGCCAGCCTTTTCTATGTTTTATGGAGTCTAAGGGGATCCTCTAAAGGATCTGTTTGAGGCGGCTGGAAATCATCTCAAACGAAAGCAGGGTGATGGCAGAGGCGGGCACGGTTCTAAGCAGGTTGGTGCCGAAGCCCGTGTAGAAGATTCGGAAGCCCTCTTCCTGGTAGAGTTTCTTGAACGATGCAATGATGCCACGATACTGGCCGTCTTTACTCTGGATCTGCATTCGGGTCCGCACAATCTCGTGTGGGTAGGTGATTGCCGACGCGATCATCTTGGACAGTGACGAGGCCACCGTGACTGCCCAGGGGTTGGGTTTGTTGGAGTCTGGACTGACTCCGAGCATCACCTTGAGCTTCTCGTACATGGGGAACTGAATGGCCACGTGGGAGAGGCCCAGAAGAGCGGGGCCCAGACCCGAGTAGAAGACTTTGATTCCGTCGGTTTTGTACATGGTTTTGAAGGCGTCCCAGGTGCCAGAGTAGTGCCAGGGGGTGTTGCGGCCCTGGGACATGAGTCTGGTTTTGACGACCCAGATGGGGTTGGTGATGGTGGTGGAGGCGGCTCCGGCGCCCAGAGCCGACAGACAATGCGAAAAGAAGGGATAGGGGTCCAACTGGGGCACGGTGGACAATAAATATTTTGATTTTTCGTAGACGGCAAAATAAATCATCCAGGTGGGCGAGTAGCCCAGAATGATGGGGATCACTCCTCGGTACAGGCCCCGCACGCCGTCATGCTTGACAATGGAGTCCATTGTACGGGTGAGGCCGCCCTTGAGTGAGCCTCTCTGCTTGTCGAGAGCTCCTTCTGCCTGCAACCGGGTCTTGATCACGTCGAGAGGACACACCACGATACCAGAGAGCGTGCCTGCCAGGGCGCCGGCTATGGCGTGGATGCTGGTGTCCGACAACAGATGCGTCTCATGGAGGATGTTGTGCGAGTTTTGGGACGACATGGCGTCACAGAGCTGTGTACTGGGGAGTGTTGATTGTAGTGATTATCGTCCAGCACTGTGCTACTGTGACGAAATGTATCCCCAAAGCATAATTGCAGCGACCTGAGTGCTTGGAGTAATTTATAGCGATCTGTGCGACGTTTGAGCGGTAGCTGGTCTGTGTGTCGCTGGCTGCGGCGTTACTCTTTGCTACGTGAGTATTTTACGTCGGGTCTTCACTCTGGTGGCGTTCCATCTTGCCAGTATATATACACAATTTTTTTTCTCATGTTTTTTCTCATGTTTTTTTTCCCCCATCTTTTTTTCCTTCTCTCTTACTGTACTCGCCCACCCAACCATTTGTCAGAAAGACTTTCGGACCTACTTTTCGGGGTGCATTGCTTTAGTCCAGCTAGAGGACGATTGGGGCTACGTGGGGCGTGGACAAGGCTCACAAAGACACGTTTCAACGGACCAAGGTCGCAGAGCATTTCATCGCGTTCAATGCCCTTCAAAATCCATCTCCAACACGCACTCATCCGCATCGTGGTTTTTATATATATATGTATATATATATATATTTTAATTTTAATTTTAAAGATCGTGAAAAAGTCAGACTCGAACGGCACAAAGTTTGTCACCATGAGCAAGTCGGTTATGTATACTTGTACAAGTACTTGTAGTATATTGTGCTGGCCTATATATAGTAGCCGTTAGTGTGCAATCGTGCAAGGGTTGGACTTTACAGACAGAGCAGCTCGCAGTATTATATATAGAGAACCACTACTGTACGTTCCTGTTGCAAAAGGCCCAGATCATGTCCAACAGACCGCCATGATTCCTGTAGACTTGTTCCGAGAAATGACTAGGTTCCTAATGGCAGGAGTTAACGGAAATGTGACAAGAAAACCGCACTGTGTGGGATTGTCATGTCTGTTGCGGGCTCTAGGAAGCCTCCGATGTGGCAATGGGACTTGATGTCGTCATTTTGCCGCATTACTAATCGTCAGAATGGTGTGGTCTCGTACCTCGTCGATACTGCGACTGAGGGAGAGAGAATTACTAATACAGTCAGAACCAAGAGGGGAACACGTGACTGAGAAGATTGGTCTACATGCTTACGTTAGCAAATCCATCTCTGGCTCACGCCTTCACCGCTTTCATTCCAGCTCCAGACTTGCCAACCCATTCTTGTTCACACGTGACCCTGCATAATTATCACCAAGACGCATCCACTTGCACTCCACAAACAACAAAATCATGGCAGAGGCGGCCCGACAAGAACTGGAGAACCAGCTGCGGCAGACGATCGAGACCCTCGTGGAAATCTCGCTGCTGGTACACGACACCACCGGCTCTCAGGAGAACAAGGAGGGGCTCATTGAGCAGATGGACACTCTGGTCAAGGAGTTTCAGCGACTCAAGGAAATCAAGTGCGACAAACAGATCCCCATCGACGTGATCGACTACATTGACCAGGGCCGAAACCCGGACGTGTACACCAGAGAGTTTGTCGAGCTGCTGCTGAAACAAAACCAGTTCATCCATGGAAAGATGGACATCTACACAGTGAGTAAGGGAGTAAGGGAGAGCACGAGTGATGATATTCCACTTGATATTTCATGTGGTGCACATTCTAACACAGAAATTTCAACAAACCCTGGCCAAAAACGTCAAGGAAACGTATCCTGAAATGACAGAGGCGGTTGATGATGTTCTGCAACGGACCAGTCCTGCCTAGATCTCACACAACTGGTGGTACGACACCGGGCTGTATTTAACGGTCTCGAGGGTCACCGCTTGCAAGGTAACAACAGCCTGGATCGATTGAAAAGACAAAGACTAGATCCCGCTTATCTCGTCGCAATCACCATATACAACGTGGTCACTGGTACACACATCAGGTAAAAGGAGTATCTCATGACCACACCCCAAAAGAAACATAGCACCCACTCGGCGGGGCTTCTTAAATTATTCATAGCAATGTACTATTAATCGTTATACCAGGTAGGTTATCTACAAGTACTGCCGGTAGGGGAAGTCGTACTCGAAGTGGAAGTGGAAGTGGAAGTCGTACTCAACTTGAAGTCGTACAAACTCTCATACTGGTGTTTTCACACATAATCTATTATTGATGCACCGTTTCCTATATTAGTGGATATTAAAATTGACAAAGAGAGAGGCTGGAAGGAATGACGAGAATCAAATGGGGTATATATATACTGTACTGTTGTCATTAGTTTACGCCTGCTTGTTGGGGGCAGGCGAGCCTATCCGCGAAATCATGGGAGACCCCATGCGCGAAGACGGAGTCTCCAGAATGGGTGTACTGGGGACTCCGCTCTCAATGCTTTCAATGTCTGCGTCGCTGGCGGGCAGAATGCCGTCGTCAGCATCATCCGACTCGTCCTCCAGTCGGTGCTCGGGGCCCTGGGCGCCAAACTCGTCTGCCATCTCAATGTACTCCCGATCGTACTCCATGGACTTTCGGAACTTCGACTGGGTCTGGATACCTCGCTCCACGTAGTCATAGGACCACCGCGAGATCTTGTCTCGCTGGATTCGCGGCAGCACCGACCGCCGGATGAGGAAAAAGGTAATGTATGCGAAACAGGCTCCTCCAGTCAGATCGATGAAGTAGTGGTGAGTCAGGTACATTGTGCTCCACCAGATCCACAGCACGTAGGAGAAAAAGAGGGGCGTGAACCGGGGACACAGATGGCTAGCAAACAGCGCTAGCATGCACGCCGAGCCCGAATGCATGGATGGGAAGGCGCCAAACACCATTCCGGACGCTCCAAACGTGCCGCCGTACAGCTGGAAGCCGAGAATCTTGTCGATTCGCTCCAGTCCGCCGGCCGAGCCGTGAATCGTGTAGTTGGCGGGCTGCAGGCCGTAGATGTTCTTGTACCACGGGGGCGCGTTGGGGAACATGAGCTCCATGATGACGCCAAAGTAGTTCATCCACCCGAAGCAGAAGCCAAACTGGGGCAGGGTGCCGGGGGGACCAAACACAAACAAAGATGCGGCGAGGATGAAGGGCAGGGCGAAATGCAGAACGCCGTAAGGAAGCCAGGCCAGAATGTCCAGCACTGGATGGGTCATTTGGGCCAGAGAGTAGGACAGGTTGCCGCCGTAGAGGATGGTTTCCAGCGCGGGCAGCAGACGCACGTAGATTTTGGGCCGCAGGCTGAGCGGCAGCGATGTTGGGGAGGCAAACAGCACCAGCCATGTGATGATGGGCATTCCAGGCAGGAAGAACTGCGATGTGATGGGGATGGACACCAGCGCGAAGAGCACAAACGCCACGATGACACGCACGAATGCTGGCACCGTCTGCAGGATCGACAGGCAGATGGTCAGCGACAGCACCATGAGCACGTAGGGCCAGTCGCTCCACGTCCACCGTTTGCGTCTCAGCTTTTCCCACGATATTCGTGGGTCCCACGACGTTTCCAGCTTCGCCAACGACGAGCCCACCGGCGCGTCCTGGAGCAGTCTGTATTTGATTCTGTGGAACAGGTCTTTGAGCATCGGTTTCTTGTTGTTATTTGTAGTTGCTCAAGTGTCACTATTGTACTTGTTTTGTTGCACTTGTTTTGGAGCCGTGGAGGATAGTCGGGATGTATTCCGGTCGTTGCGTTGTGTTGAGGAAGGGTCTGGGTCGTCTTGCTTTTGTGTCGAGGAATGAATGCACCTTCGCCTGCTCTTAGTGTCTGTTTCCAGTCACAGAGGATCGCGCTCCACGGTGTAACTTTTTGCGTACGTACCTGACTGCGATTTTTCCCTGGATTTGGGTTGTCCGAAAACGCGCACGAAAAATAAACTCTGGGGTGGTACACAAGCCGAAGGCTAATCTCAGCAGAGTGACAAGAGAGAGTCCTCTCAGTGTATATGCCCACAGAGATATATTTAGCCACCCGACCACAACCCATACTGTACAAAGTAGAAAGAGAGAGAGGGCTCAAGCAACAACGGACAAACACCCGTTTATATAACAAAAACACAAGAACCAAACACAACCCCAGACAAGTCACACAAACACATTCCACCCCCCAAAAGACGACTCGCCACATGACGTCATGCCACAGTCGTACACCGCCCTCTGCGATACTATACAAGTACGAGCCGAAAAGCTCCCTGAATTGGGCTTGCCACATTCCACACTCCCCTACAGTAACGCATTTGTAGCAAGACAAGCACGTTTAAATCGCCGGTGTTTTATGGCGTGCCTGAAAATCCGTGCTTCCAAAGTACAGCTCCATCGCATCCCACGTCCACGTGGAGCGTGATTGGCTACAAGGGGGCCGCTGAGAAATGGCCACGAGCAATCTACAGGCCGATTTCTTGCTCGCTAAAGACGCTCTGTGGCTCTCTCAACAGGGCAGTGTTGCATTGCCCAAGGCTGCGAGGGGGTCGTATTACTGAGACCTATTATTGGGACCATGTTGGTGGCAACTCCTTGGGACCCCTTGGGACAGTGGTTCGGCAACGGCTACATATAATTGCCGAGGGAGTGGTACTTGTCGAACCGATACTGTGCAATATCACGTAGGTGAGATTCAGTACAGCAGACAAGTGCGAGGCATGGCCGGCGTTACGGAGCGTCAACTCATGATACACCATGACGATACACCATGACGATACACCATTATGATACACCATTATGATACACCATGACGATGCATCATGACGAGACACCATGACGAGACACCATGACGAGACACCATGACGAGACAAAGCACCAGTAAATAGTGGTAGTGGTACTTGCACACAGCACGTCAAAACAAGTCGAGCTATTATCGCACATTTCACAGCTAATAACGCCTTGTGGCCGAGTATTAGCAGGCAAAATGTAGCTCTGATAGCTATAATCCCTTAATCATCACAATATTAAGCTCTCGTGAATATTATGATTGATAAGAGAAAACATGGGCACATGAGCAAACAAACAAGCACATGAGCACACGGGTAGATCCTGATGACACTACCTCACAATAATACATCTATTACAACTAATATACACACACGCCCTTCTCACGGAATCCGTCCTCTCATTGGTTGCCCTTCATTAACTCCTTGATGCGGGCAACATATGCGTCGAACAGAGGGTTTTGGACCACATCCACAATGTGGTTCTCCATCGCTCGCGTGTCAGTCAGCCATTTGGAGTTCTCGGTCTGGGTTCCTCTGCTGACCATCCCATTCCCGCTCCGAATGTCCGTATCTGCAGGGGTAAAGTGCTTCTTCCACAACTTGGCTCGTTTCGGAAAGTTGGGGGTGGGGCGAGCAGACTGGAGAAGCCCCCAGATAAGAGATACTGTCAGCAGTGTGTTTCAAAGTAAAAGTCTCAGAGAATATCTTTGGCCGGTGTGGCCGCGACAACGGGGTTGGCTTCACCGGCTGATAAGACTGCGACGAACTGGGTGTATCAACCAATGTCTGGCTCATAAATGCAGGCTCAGCAACCGAACCAGGAGGTTGGGTTAGAGGGTTTGAGACATGAGAAAGGCATCAATCTGGGTGAGGTCATCATCATCACTCTCTCCGTTCCACCGGAACTTTGGGTTGAAATCTTTGAAGGAGGTCTGGGTGGCATCTTCAGTCGTGGTAGACTTGGAAGGCCTACCCTTGATACACACTCCTGTCTTGGATTGCATTTCCACTGTCCGGTCGTAATCGTCCATATACGAGACTTTGATTTGGAAGCGATAAGTCTGGGTTAGCGGGAAGAGGGACATCGCGTCAGGGTATTGCTGGTGGCGTGGGGGATCATGTCAGGGTATTGTTGGTGGCGTGGGGGATCAATAATATTATTCAGAAACGACTCCTCGTTGCACACTCACCATGGTATGGAATCTCTTCACCAAGTACTTGAAGCCAATTCCTGGCTGTTTACAACTGGCCACCAACGGCGGGTTGTTTGTTCCGTAGATGGATCCGAACCGCTCGTCAATCTCGTCTATGTCGAGATGCTCCACAGAGGTGTTTTCGTATTTGAGGGAGATTTTCGCGCCCCCGGTGGGGGTGGTATCAATGGAGAGCTGAAGGGGCGAGTGTGGGTATTTGGTCCATTCGGACGCGTCGCGGTCAATGCCGCTGCTGACCAGTCCCTGTGCAGTTGGCATGTTTTTGTGCAGATAGATGTATTTGCAGATCCTGAACGTCGCCATGGCTTTTGGTGGTATCGAGTGGAGGAGGAGGCGGGTATGAAATATTGAGGGGGTCAAAGGTGAATGTGATTATGCGCACATTGTGTGGGGTTAAAGTTGGCATTTGGCGGGTAGAAAGTTGAAGTAAAAAGCTGTTAATAGTTGACATTACAGTTGGTAGATAGTTGAAGCAGACGACCAATCACAACTTTTGCAACCACAGCTTTTGCGACGAGAAGTCACTGTAGTAGTGCTGGGGGGAGAGGAGTATACCACTAATCAGAAAGAAAGAAAGACAGAGAGTCATCAATTCCACAAACATGATAAAACCCCCCCATCGTCTCTATGGTGCTTGCTTGACAGCAGTAAAAGTAGCTACAAATATATACATACAGTACATACAAACTGCAGGCCGATTATGTGTTCAGTCAGAGTAAGACCAGATGGAGTTTCAGAGACGGTTTCAAAGTACACCGAAGCGGCTCATCAGTTAATCACCACTGTTTCATTGGTAGTGTCTAGTCACCGCAACTACGGGTACATGCCTGTAGTCGTACTTAACATACTTTTCTGTTCCTTCTGATCGGCAAGAAATTTGGCAAGTGGATCAAGCACTCGCACCACCGGTACAAGTGGGAAACCGTCACCGATCCCACAAGCGCGAATACGAATTCCACTCTTGCCAACGCTGTCGACCGCCCATACACTGCCGACCGCCCATAAACTGTCATATTGCCAGTGCATCATTCACACACGTTTGCTTGCAACGTCCAGCTCCAGATCGAACTCGCGCCTCGCAAATATGCTCTGACTCGGAGAGCCACAGACACAGGCCACCAATGCCACCGATTCACCAATGCCACAATTACACCTTGCCACACTGCCACATTGCCACAGGGGTGTTTGGCTTCTGGCAAGGTGTAATTGAGAGAGTCTTCTCGGATCGGGCTAGTGAGAGATGAAGCATGTACCAGTCTGTACAGTACCAGTCTAAGGTCATTGTTTGTAACGAGTCCGCACAAGTATCGCACTGCCGCACCCGTACCGCACTCATACCCGTGTATCCATCTGCTGCGGCTTGTCTCGGTCCAATGAGTGTTGTTGGAACTAACGTCATCTGTGGCTTAGTGAAACTTGCCATGCCAAAAAAAAAAAAAAATTGAAAAATTTAAAAAATCAATGTTTTTTATTTTTCAGCCTTTCAAGCTTTTTTTTTGCCTCTTTTTCTTTCTCTGAGCCACGAATTAGCCACCTGAACACACCTTGTGACAGACAAGTTTCTGCAAGCCACAGGTTGTTGGCTCCGGCAAGATGTTTGGGACGAGTTCTAATCACCCACCACCGTCGAGTGTCATCAAGCACTCTTGCGATCCACTTGCCCTTGGGCCAGTCATTTCAGCCCATGGCAAAATAGCTCATGTCATATCGTTGCGGCAAAAACATAACGTTTCATTTTAACACCTCCCCCCCACGCAATCCTCGGGTGGTAGCACATCATCTGTGATCATAGAGTTTGCACGGGACTTTATGCCATTTTCAAGCCAGATGACGCGCCACAGAGCCTATGCTACTAGCCACGATCAGCCACATGAAAAAAGGCTGCTCCCCCCGTCAGGAGGGCCTGCTGCAATAAATAGAGTCGGTGCCCGCCTCTCCAGCCAACTTTCTCCCCCCACAAACCGCCAACTCTAGCTCAACAAGAATGGCTCCTTCAGTCCAGGACAACCGTTCGGCATCGCCCCAGTCCGATAAGGGCGCAAAGACCAAGGCGCCGCAGATCACCACCTCGTCTCCGGCCTTCCCCTTCCCTCTGTCGGCAGACATTGCCTCCGTGGCCGGAACCTCCAACCTGACGGGCCAGGCGCTGGTGGAGCAGACTGCCTACGCGCTATCCAAGGCGCTCTTCTCCTACTCGCCCGAGTCGTTTGATCTCGACCGAGCCGTCAAGACCTGGAACGCCAAGGACCAGACCAACGGCGCAGGCAAGGTCCCTTACTTTGTCGAGCTCGAGTCCCGAGTCGGAGCCGCCGCTATCCTGCTGGGCTACATCTACAACCAGACCGGATCCAACGCCCCCTCCGGAGCCCAGAGCGTGCTGGCCTCCTCAGCTACCCTCAAGCTCATGGCTCCCGTGCTGGCCACCTACTCCGCTAAGCCCACCGCTTCCTCCCCTCTGGCGTTCAATATTGCCGCTGTCGACTACGACCACGACGCCGAGCAGCTGGTGACCGACTACTCCTCCGTGTTCGAGGTTGCCCGAAGCATCGGACTCGGCCTGGTCTCCTCCACCAAGCCCTCCGAGGCCCAGAATATGACCGTTCTCGCTACCCTGCTGTCGATTGCCAACCCCACCGTCCACGTCTACGACGGCCTGCACTTTCTGCGACAGACCTCCCGAGTCAGTGACATCAAGGCCACCAAGGCTGTGTACGACCTGTACTCATCGCTGGTGGACTCTTCCAACGCCTCCGTGGCCGCCGTGCTCGACAACTTCAACGCTGCCGTAGGAACCAGCTACAAGGCGTTTGAGTACGAGGGAGCCGCGGATGCCAAGCAGGTGTATGTGGTGTTTGGATCCGCCGAGGCCGAGGCTGCCCGAGAGATTCTGCCCAAGTCCGCCGGACTCATTGTCGTGCGAATCTACTCCCCCTTCCTTGAGGCCGAGTTCCTCAAGACTCTGCCCAAGACCACCGAGTCCATCACCGTGGTGGGCCAGGTCCAGAACTCTGTCGCCGTCGAGTCTGCCTACGAGCACTCGCTGCTGTTCGCTGACGTGTCCGGAGCCATTGCCTTCTCTGCTGACTTTGGCCGAGTCAAGGTCCATGAGGTCAAGTATGCCCGGTCTCTGGAGATTGACGGTCTTTCTCTCGGAGACCTTCTCGGAATCGAGACCACCCCCAAGCCCCACTACACCTTCTTCAACCTGGACAATGCTGCCACTGCCAACACCGCAGCTGCCACTGCTCACGTTCTGGCTCTGGACAAGGCTGCCGTCACCTACTACTCCGAGTATGACAACTACACTGCCGGAGGAGTGGTCAAGACCACCATCTCGACCGACCGGGCTATCCCCAAGAGCCTCACCGTTGTCAGCGATCTGTCCATTGTGCGATCTCTCAACGTGACTGCTCCCGAGACCGATCTGCTGCTGGTCGGCTCTAGCAAGCAGGAGGACCTTGACAAGGCACTGACCGACTCCTTCAAGCTGTCTGTCGCTCTGTCAGGTGCCGCTGTCCACATTGTTGATCCTTCTATTGTCGGAGACAATGCCGAGACCTCTGGGCGAACCGAGAGCATGATTGAGCAGCTTGCCTTCTGGAAGCTCGCCCACCCCGAGCTTTCTCTGGATCAGATCACCACAAAGATTGTCCAGGCTAACGGTGTCGACACCGAGCTGGTTGCTTCCACCGTCGCCAAGCTCGCCGAGACCGTCTACGAATCTGCCCTCACCGAAATCAACACTGAGGGATGGGGAACCGTTGAGGGTGAGACCGAGCTCGAGGTGCCCCCTTACTTCACCGTCAATGCCTTTGGCCCCGCCAACGTTCGAGGTGAGGACGAGGAGGGCGGAGCTGCTGCTGCCTCTATTTCCGAGGCTGCCAAGCGAGTCGTGTTCAAGGAGGCCTACGGAACCGAGAACTCTTTGCGACCCGATATCTCCACCAAGAACTTTGTGGTAAAGGTGCAGGAGAAACGACGAGTGACTCCCGAGAACTACGACCGAAACATTTTCCATGTCGAGTTCGACATTACCGGCACCGGTCTCAAGTACGAGATTGGAGAGGCTCTTGGTGTTCACGCTCGAAACAATGCCGAGCTGGTTGACCAGTTCATTGAGTCTTACGGCCTGAACCCCAACGAACTTGTTTCTATCCGAAACTCTGAGGACTCTTCTCTATCGGAGACTCGAACTGTTCTGCAGATCTGCCGAGAGCACCTCGATCTCTTTGGAAAACCCCCCAAGCGATTCTACGAGGCTCTTGCTCCCTTTGCCACTGACGCCGCTGAGAAGGCTGCTCTGGAGAAGATTGCCTCTCCTGCTGGTGCCGAGGAGCTCAAGAAGCGATCTGAGGTTGATACCGATTCTTTTGTTGACATTCTTGCCGAGTTCCCTTCTGCCCGACCCACCATTGCCGATCTTGTCCAGATTGTTGCTCCCCTGAAGCGACGAGAGTATTCCATTGCCTCTTCCCAGAAGGTGCACCCCAACGCCGTCCATCTGCTTATTGTGGTGGTCGACTGGGTGGACCCCAAGGGCCGAAAGAGATTCGGACAGGCTTCCAAGTACATCAACGACCTCAAGGTTGGCGAGGAGCTGGTTGTGTCTGTCAAGCCCTCCGTCATGAAGCTGCCTCCTCTCACCACTCAGCCCATCATCATGTCTGGTCTGGGTACCGGTCTGGCACCCTTCAAGGCCTTTGTTGAGGAGAAGGCCTGGCAGAGAGAGCAGGGCCACGAAATTGGAGACGTGTACTTGTATCTTGGATCTCGACACAAGAGAGAGGAGTATCTGTACGGAGAGCTCTGGGAGGCCTATAAGGATGCCGGAGTCATCACCCACATTGGTGCTGCCTTCTCTCGAGACCAACCCCAGAAGATTTACATCCAGGACCGAATCCGACAGTCCATGCCCGATCTGGTTGATGCCTTTGTCAAGAAGGAGGGAGGTTTCTACCTCTGTGGTCCTACCTGGCCTGTTCCTGATGTGACCCAGGTTCTTTCCGAGATCATTGAGACTGAGGCTGAGGAACGAGGCGAGAAGCTTGACTCGGCTCGAGCCATTGAGGAGCTCAAGGATGCCGGACGATATGTTCTGGAGGTTTATTAGATGGTTAATAGATTATTAGATGAATTGTTTCTGAGAGCGTGTGAAACCGGAAGTATTTGTAGTGTGTCACAACTCGCCAATGCCTACAGTACTTTCATAATATTGATGGATTATGTAATCGCCTTCTGCCCTTTACAGTGGTCTGGATCTGTCTATCCACTGCTGGGCACATGTGCATCTGCTTGATCCAGTGTTGATTCCAGACCCATCCGCCAATTACCGTTCTATACCCGGAACGATCCCGAGTGTGTTTGGTGACCTGGAGTGACCTGGAGTGACCTGGGTGACCTGGAGTGACCTGGGGAGTGTACGTCGCTGTACTGTATCGTCTCACCTACCAGTTTTTTGGTATCGTATCGTATGTACTTGCAGCTAATTGGCGTGTGGATCTAGTAGCAACAAGTATCGGTGCTAGCACGATACATGAGCTGTGGAGTGAGTCATTGTGATGTCCCTATTGGTGGGCGTGTATGCCGATGCGACGTCGGTCAAAGTGACTCGATATCTGTAGTTGGCTCGCCATTCAAATAGGTCCGATCTCAACCACCCATCCTCCTCCTGCTCAACTCGGGTCCGATGCCATTTTCTTTTCCACCAAAACCCAATGTGAGTCACATGCATAGAGCGTGCTCCAAGGTGCGGGTGTACAGAGCAAAGGGTGGGACAAGTCAAAGTGACGTTTTCGTTCACGCCAAAAAAAATAAAATTGTAAGTTTGTGAGGGCAGGCAAAAAAAAAAAAAAAAAAAAAAAGAAGTCTCCCCGGGGGAAAAGGGCCCGTTTTCCACACCAAACTAAATTTTTTTCCCGCCTTAGATGGGAAGAACACACGACGGAGCTGGTAGAGAGGCACAAGTGGAATGGATCCGAGACGACCAGGGCGCCGCAACTCAGGCTGCACTCCACACATGCCCTTATCTCCTCGCGACCCACAGCTCAGCTGCTTTGCAGGGCGGTGACCTGGACCCCAACAGAGTTCTGCAGACCCAATAGCGGTGCAAATTTAAAGCCAAAAAATTTGTGCAGTTATAACTCCACGGTTCTGCTCTCCACAGTAGTGCCTGAACCACCATTGATCGAACACATCTCCACCATGTCTTCGTACGCCCTTTCCAACAACCATAAGGATGTGAGTAACAGCGATGAGGAATTGTCTGTGCACAAGAGACACACAACCGCAGAATCGCCCCGCAACAGAACCGGTGTTATGTGTAACCTATTGATGACACCGTGACACGGACACGTCGTAACAGTGCAAATCCAGACGGTACACAACAATTGCAATTGCAATTGTGTTTTGTGACCAATTGGTTGATGCTATGAAGGTGCCTGTAGAGGTGCGATAATGTCTGGTAACGTCTGTGTTCCGGCTGTGGGGCGTTTCTTAAATATACACTCACGCCATATCCTCAACACACACACAGTGTAATGACTGGACAAGTGCGACGCACGCTCAATGACCCATACTAACCCAGCTCATTGAAGCCTCCCTCCACGACCTCGACCCCGAGGTCGAGGGCATCATGAAGGACGAGATTGACCGACAGAAGCACTCCATCGTCCTCATTGCCTCCGAAAACTTCACCTCCAAGTCTGTTTTCGACGCCCTTGGATCTCCCATGTGCAACAAGTACTCCGAGGGATACCCCGGCGCCCGATACTACGGTGGTAACCAGCACATTGACCGAATCGAGACTCTGTGCCAGAACCGAGCCCTCAAGGCCTTCGGCGTCACCCCCGACAAGTGGGGCGTCAACGTCCAGACCCTGTCTGGCTCTCCCGCAAACCTCCAGGTCTATCAGGCCATCATGAAGCCCCACGATCGACTCATGGGTCTTGATCTGCCCCACGGAGGCCATCTTTCTCACGGTTACCAGACCGACAACCGAAAGATCTCCGCCGTCTCCACCTACTTCGAGACCATGCCCTACCGAGTCGACCTCGAGACCGGCATCATCGACTACGACATGCTCGAGAAGACCGCCATCCTCTATCGACCCAAGGTTCTGGTTGCCGGAACCTCCGCTTACTGCCGACTCATTGACTACAAGCGAATGCGAGAGATTGCCGACAAGGTTGGCGCTTACCTCGTTGTCGACATGGCCCATATTTCCGGCCTGATCGCCGCCGGTGTCATCCCCTCTCCCTTTGAGTACGCTGACATTGTCACCACCACCACCCACAAGTCTCTGCGAGGCCCCCGAGGTGCCATGATCTTTTTCCGACGAGGTGTCCGATCCGTCGACCCCAAGACTGGTAAGGAGATTCTCTACGACCTTGAGAACCCCATCAACTTTTCCGTCTTCCCCGGCCACCAGGGAGGTCCCCACAACCACACCATCACCGCTCTGGCCGTTGCCCTGAAGCAGGCTGCTGACCCCACTTTCCGGGAGTACCAGGAGCAGGTTCTCAAGAACGCCAAGGCTCTGGAGACCGAGTTCAACAAGCTCGGTTACAACCTCGTGTCCGGCGGAACCGACTCCCACATGGTTCTGGTTTCCCTGCGAGACAAGGGCATTGACGGTGCTCGAGTCGAGACTGTTTGCGAGCAGATCAACATTGCTCTCAACAAGAACTCCATCCCCGGTGACAAGTCTGCCCTTGTCCCCGGTGGTGTCCGAATCGGTGCTCCCGCCATGTCCACCCGAGGCTTCGGCGAGGAGGACTTCAAGAAGATTGCCAACTACATCTCGCAAGCCGTCGATCTCGCCATTGAGATCCAGCAGGGACTGCCCAAGGAGGCCAACAAGCTCAAGGACTTCAAGGCTGCTGCCCAGGCTGGTGGCAACCCCAAGATCGAGGCTCTCAAGACCGAGATCTCCAACTGGGCCGGCCAGTTCCCTCTGCCCGTTTAAGTGGCTGAGAGGAAGTTATTTATGAATTCAACATTTCTATATAGTGAAGACAGTATTTGAAAAGACAGCTGTAAAGAGTATGAGGGACTGTATTGCAAGTTGCAACTTGTGTCGAGGAACATCAGTTTTGTGATTAAAGAGTCTCCAAAATTACTTAGACTTAGTTGGTAAAAAACTGTACAGTAGAATCAAAGCAGTATCGGCCTATCCAGACAGCATAGACTGCCAGTACTCGTACTATTGTTCCTCGACACGTGATATTGTCTGATTTACAACCACGTGGCTCATTGCCCATACATACTTCATTCTTCTGTTAACTATCTACCACTGTGATCAGTGCTCTATTTTTCACCTTGACTGTTTACTGTCGAGGAGCTTGGTCGGCTCGCTGGTACATGTTCTCAACAACCTTGACCTGGTCAGGAGTAAGAGAAGATACCAGAGTCTGGTACAATCCAGAGTTGCTCTGTGAGAGCGCCTCCACCTGCTGCTTGAACTGCGCGTACATGTTGACGCTGTCGGTGGGGTTGTCCACCAGACCCTCCTCTTCCACGGTATCTCCGTCGTCGAATCGGAAGCCGCCACTGAGAATGCTCTCCGACTGCAACAGCTTGGCATAGGCCTCGTCCTCATCCTCCTCGTCCTCCTCTTCGCCCTCGGGCAGGTCAGCGGGGTTGAAGTCCTCCTCGTCGTCATAGTCAAAGTGCTCGCCAGTGTATGCAGCCAGATCTGAGCCGAGGGTGGGATCGAACTCCTTGGACACCTCCTCCTTGTGCTTCTCAGCAGCGGGAAGAGTGCCCATGACAGACACCAGTCCCTGGAACAGAGAGGGAAGGTTCTGCTGCAGAGCCTCGGGCAGAGCAGCAGCGTTGTTGATCACTGCTAGCAGAGCAAGACAAATGAGCTTCTTGTCGTTGACTCGGGTGAACTGCTCCATGTTCTCGAACCACATGGAGAAGAAGGGCGCAGTGAAGTTGACCTGCTCCAGGAGGCCAATGGTGGCCACGGGGTTGTAGATGAGACACGACAGAATGTTCTCAATCAAATGCAGACGGAAGACGGGCTTCATGGGCTCCTCGGGGTTAGGCTCGGCAACCAGAATCGACACGGTGTGCTTGACGATTCGCTCCACGTACTCGTCCACGTGGCCGTGGAAGTTGAGCACGAGAGCCTGAATAAGTCGACAGGCGTACACCTTTTCCTGCCAGGACAGCCGGCCCTCATTTTCGGTGAGAACAGACTCGATGATGTGCCAGATCTTGGCAATGAAGGTGGGGTTCTGCTTGAGCTGGTCGGCACCGTAGTTCATGTAGTTCTCCAACACGGGCTGCAATTCCTCAATGAAGTCCATGGCGTGCTCCACAAACGTATCCGACAGCACCGCAAAGATGGCCCACATGTTGGGCGAGATGGACTTTGTGCAGAAGGTGGTATCCTCAATGAGCTCGAGAATGGCGGCCAGGAACTCGACCAGACCCTGCTCCAGAACCAGCTTGTACACGGGCATCAGCACCTCCTCAATGGCATAGATGGACTCCACGGAGTTGTCCATGGCCATGATGAGGGTAATGATGGTGTTGAGAATACCCTCGGCAGCCAGAGTCTTGTCTTCGTCGGCGTAGAAATCAAAGTTGTCGTCGGCATCCGGGTCGGGGTTCTTCTTCTCACACAGCTCCTGGGCGATTCGCATAAACTGGTCTCGCAGCTGGGTGGCGAGCTGAACAGCGAAGGGCGCCAGCTGCTCGGAGAAGGAGTCCACAAAGTTCTCCATGACGGCCGAGATGGCATCCAGCTCAATCTCGTTGGACAGCTCCAGCAGCTGCTGCATGATGGCGGTGATGTTGTCTGCCAGCGCCACACGCACGTCGTCAATCTGGATCAGAGGCTGCAGAGCCAGAGCAGCCTCGGCTCGCACAGGCAGGTGCTGGTCCTGCAGACAGACCAGCACCTTGCTGTAGAGAGTTCGCACCGTGTCCTGGTTCTGGAACTCAATGTCGGCGTACGAGTTGACCATCTCGCAGGCTCGTGCTCGCATAAAGCCGTGGGGGGAGGTGAAATCGGGCACCACGTACTCCATGAGGAATGGCTCGATCATGGTTCGGAACTGGGCATTCTTCTTCTTCATGATAATGAGATGGGAGATGGCACCCAACATTCGCAGCGCAGACTCACGCTTAATGGCGAGCTCGAGCTCTCCGTTGCCAGAGTTGGCCTGCACTGTCTCCTGGACCAGCTGCAGCACAGAAGGCAGACAGGAGGGCCGCTTCTCGACCAGGGTGATGAGGAAAGAGGTGGCGGCCATGTCGGCGGTGGGGTTTTCGTCGTAGACATCGATTCGTCGATGAATGTACTCCACGGGCTCGTCCTCAAACGCCTCGAGGTCGTTCTCAGTCAGACACAGCAGCGGGAAGACCACGTGACGCACAATAGTGTCAATGTGGTCCTGGATCAAGTGCCAGTTCTCCTTGACTCGGATGCAGTCCTCCAGAAAGTAGACGAGCTTGTAGAGCGACTTGCCGGAGATCCAGATCTCACCCTTGGCCCAGCCCTCGATGCGCTGGAAGTAGGCCCGCAGAATCTCGGGCACGTACTGAGAGTTGAATCGGGCGCTGAAGGCCTCGTACTCGGCGGCCACGACCGACTCGGCGCCGTATCGGTGGTAGATTCGGTAGAGGTTGGCGTAGCCCCACTTCTGGCACTTTGTCCAGGGATGCAGCTCACGGTCCTCCACGTCCAGAGCCAGTACCTCCTGGGGCAGGGTTCGGGTGATGGCGTTGAGATGCAGCTCGGCCCAGGGCCGCAGAGAATCGTCGCCCTGCAGCTCCACGGGCAGCTTGTAGTAGGTGGCGTACTTGTACATTTTAAGAATGTGTCGCAGCATGTCGCCAGCGTAGTACGAGTCCTGATTCACCAGCGATTGGCCAAACAGCAGCAACGTGGGGAAAGTGCGTGTGATGATCTCGTTGAGGTGCGCTCGGCTCTCGCCGGTGGTGTATCGGTATCGCTTGGTGACTTCGGTGAGGATCAGCACGCCGGTGAATTTGTCCTGGTCCGACTCGCTCTGAAGCAGCTGCTCAGCCTGGCCCAGCAGAGATGGCCAGTCCTTGGGGTAGTCCAGCACGACAATGTATGCCAGCATGGCCACCAGCTGAGATCGCAGCAGCGAATTGACGCCCTCAGCCCCGGACACAGATACAAGAGTAGGCACCAGCTTCTCCCGGAACTCGGGCTTCTCCTCGACCCGGATCAGCTTCTTGGAAGAGGTGTGGGGGTTCCAGTTTCGAGTGACCATGTTCTTGAGATAGACCGAGGCGGCCTTGCGCACATTGTCCGACGCCTGGGGCTCCCGAACAATGTCCAGACAGCTGTGGATGAAGCCGGGCATCTTGTCCACCTCCTTGAGCTGGGCCTCGGCCTGCTTGATGGTGTTGGGGTTGCCGTTGGTGGTGGCCTCGAAGCACGAGTACAGCGCGTTTGTGTCCATCTTGCTGTATTTGTCGTTCTCAGATAGCGTGGACACTCGGTGCAATGTAATGCTACCTTTTTTTTTTTCCATACCTCCCTATATTTTGATGGGTTACGTTAACCTTAGCGTTGAAGGTAGGGTAACGCATCAAGGGAAATTCAATGTAGGCTGCTGGGGCACTTTTGGTTTGGCTGTAGAAACATATAATACAATGCACAGGGCGCGAGAGCTGTATCGTCGGATACACACGAGTCTGGCATTTTATTTTTTACTTTCAAAAAATAGATTTGGACTCCTGTACCCTTTGTTATACGTGCATTTTCGCGGTCACTGCTTGCTGTTGCCCAAGAAGTTGCAATAGTTTTTCAGAAAAGAAACCAAAGTCGCAGACACAGACATGTGCTAAAATGGCTGGTTGAAAAGAGCTACAAATGCTTGAGAGGTGTCAGAGGGGCTGTTGGTACTGTGCTTATATGTACAGGGTCCAATCTGTGAAAATATCGATGCTCGCCGAGTTGTAGCGTGTCTCAGATCGAGGCCAAAAACAATGTTTTTGTCAAGTATATCTCAACTGTAAACTCAACTATTTGTTCATCAGCCGAGTTTTTTTGGAAATAAATGCAGAAGAAAAAAAATATTTTCCCTTTTTGTTTTCTCAAAAAAAAAAAAAAAAAAAAAAAAAAAAAAAAAAAAAAAAAAGGACTGGTCTTGGTGAAATCCAATCCAATCCAATCCAATCCAAAAGGTGCCTATGCAAATCAAATATGATACATCTATATACACCCGCGGAACCGGCTCGGCCGCTACTCTAGATCACCATGCCAAAAGATGTTGACATAGAGCCAACACCACAGTATCAATTAGTACGTTTCGTGGATGCAACTGTCGTCACATCGACCACACGTAGACTATCCTGTATGTAGCACACATTGTCCTAACCAGCCCATTTATCCCATTATCCCATTATCCAACCGTTTGGTGTCGCCACCTCATTGTCCCCCTCCCCCACCCTATGCGTTGTTGTTGAGCTTGCTTCTGGCGGCAGCAAACATTTCCTCCTGCTTTCTCAACAGCTCCTCCTCGGTCATGCCCGACTGCTCCAGCTTTCCAACCTTCTTCTCCCGCGACTTGAGCGCCTCCTTGTGCTCCACAATCAGGTCCTTGATGGGCTCAATGTAGTCTATGAATCCCAGCTCCTGCAGAGCCTTGATGACATGTTCCGGCGCAATCGTCTTCTTGCTCTCCTTCTCGGCAATCTCGTTGCTTTCGGTGCTCAGCATCATGATGAACTCGATGCAGCACTCGATCAACACGTCGCGGGTGTCCTTGGCAAACGCCAGGTCTGACGGAATGATTTCGCTCACTATCTTCTGCACCGTGGCTGGGTTAATAACCGACCCACAACTTTCAACCCCCCACAAACAGAAACACAAACACAAACACAACCCCCCCTCCGGCTCTACTCACCCTTGGGCAACGAAAGGTCGTCATTCCCTGAAGTTTCTCTGTCGCTCATTTCACTGCGTGTATGTTGTGGTAAACGTGTGGTTGTGCCGTGGTGGACTCGTCGCTCTTACGCGCCTTGTATGCTTTATGCATGTTTATATATTTTTCGAGCTCCCAAAGATAGAGTTCAAGAGTCGTAAACAGTGATAGCCACCCTACAGGAAAGTGCAAGTCGCACTGGGAGAACGGCGCCACCGATCCAGCCAGGTCACGTGATCCTACATACCCCCCCCAGAGCCACGCCCCAAGAATTGTATTTCCCACTCTTAATCTGTTGATTTTGGTGCCTTTGGGCAACCAACCCTGTTCCCTCAAAACACGTACAAGTTTGTCAGTCAATTCATTCTCATCCATCATCCAACTACTACCCCGTTTAAGGTTCCAGAATGAGCTTAAAATGCGGGAACTCAAAGAGAAACCTTTTTTTTGGAGCCCGTCACGTGACGGCAAACACTCGATGAGACGTAGCTCAGACTCAATGAGACGTAGCTCAGACTCAATGAGACGTCGCAGAGCAATTTTGTGGGGGCGGGGAGGGAGGGGGGAGACCAAGGAGGGAACAGCCGGCTGTTGGCGACAAGAACCGACTTTGGGTTGTTCCGTTGCACTCCGAACCACAACATTGGTGACAATGAACAAGCTCAGTTTAGACCATCGGGGTTACATAGCTGTTAAAACGCCAACAAATACTTGCAAGGGGTCCAGTTTTTCGGCTAGTGAGTAAACCGGGGGTGTTTATCACGACTATCGGACCGGTTTGGTCCAAAGTGTGGTATTTCGTTGAGCATTTGGAGACAAACAGATTATGTGTTGTCGGTGACTAACCCTAGTGCATGAGTCAATCTGGTATTGGTGGGATCGTTATGGGCGTGTAGCTACTGTACAGCTCCTGTACAATGGTGTACTATGGTTGAGTTGGTTTGTTGCGACCGTCTCGTCTTGGAGGATTTACACGACAACTAAATGTTTCCCATTCCGGGCACAGGTCAAAATCGAACCAACGCCGCCTGCCAACTCCTCTACCGTTCGACAGCGCGCCAGTTCGATTCCCCGTTGTGATGCTAAAGTAACCTCGTTTACGGTGGATCATCGAGAATGACATATAGTGGCAAATACGAGGAGATATTTTGTGTCGAGCACGTTTCGGGTCGACACCGAAGAGTCGGAACCCCCCAAAACTCCCCGTTTCCACGCTTCCCCGCAACTCCAACGCTCTCTGCTCTGTTCTTCTACCACACCAGATGTACTTGTTACAATACAAGTCTCGGTCAATTTTCATGCAGAAAAAAAATTCAGAGTTTAAATTATTTTTTCCTGCACTTGGACAACCATCAGGCAAGCCAGATAATTCCACCACAACTCACACACATCATGTCGGAACAGCTGTCTCGATTCGATCCCGCTCTCACGCAGTACGCCAGCGTCACTAGTGCGCTTAACCAGCACAAGATCCGTGTCCAGGCGGTCTCAGGCGCCAATGCCAGTCTCCAGCCCGTGGAGTTTGTGTTGGAGAAGGGCACCACTGTGACTGCTCTCAAGTGGACCAAGAACGTTGGCGAGGGCGCCTCGTCGTCTTCTCGACGCAAGAAGACCAAGACCCAGGACTCGGCGGCTGCTTCTTCCGAGGAATATCTAGTTTCTGTGGGAACCAACCGGGGCGACATTCTCACTTTTTCTCCCGCCCAGGCCAAGCTTGTGTCTGCTCTCCGAGGCGGCCATTCTCTGCCTGTGGCCGACTTTGACGTCGACGCCAACTCCGGCACCACCTACTCTCTTGACAACCGAGGTCTTTTGAACGTGTGGAAGGGCTCTTCTGTGGAGCGATCTGTGGACAAGACCGGCGCCAAGCTGGTGGCCGTTCTGCCCTCGGGTAACGTGCTGCTGGCCACCCACAACATCGCCGTCTACGGCCCCCGGGGGGATGACTCGTCGGCCGTCTCGTTTGACTCGGCTCTGTTTGATATCCCCTCGCACACCTCTACTGTCACCGAGCTGTGTGTTCGAGGTGACCTTGTTGCTGCCGTTGCTGGCGACCGTCTCATCAACGTGGTTAACGTGGCTCAGAAGAAAATTGTGCTGGTGCTCATGGCCGAGTCGGGTGCCCACCGTGTCTCCATGAACGGCGACATTCTCACCGCCCTGACAGAGGGAGGAGCCGCCGAGTTCTTCCAGCTCGCCCAGACTAACGGATCCACCCCCAACAGCAAGAAGGGAAAGCGCAAGAGCATTGTCACCAAGTCCTCGTTTGCATCGCTGGACCTGGAACGGGGCACTAAGGCTGCCGGCCAGAACCTCGTCATCGACGCCATCGCGCTCACCGCCAAGGAGGCCTACTACTCGTACACCGAGCGGGCCCAGGCCCAGTTTGCACACGTGACTCTGTCTGCCCTGGAGACCGAGCCCACCATGACGGTGGTGCACGACCCCAAAAACGCCGCAAACCACTACACCGAGGAGCGAACCGTGCCCGTGTCCTACAACGAGGAGGACGCTATCATTGCTGCTGGAGACGACTATTCACAGCTGGAGAACGGTGTAGGAAGCGACGAGTCCGATGACGACGAGTCTGCCACTCTGGCCGAAAAGATGGACGCTCTCAAGCGAGAAAACAAGACCACCAAGAGCGGACTTTCCGGAACTGCTCCCCCGACCATGGGATCTCTATCCACTGTTCTTACCCAGGCCATCAAGTCCGACGACGACGATCTGCTCGAGTCGTGTCTCCTTTTCCGAGACGAGGAGGGCATCAAGTCTACCGTCCAGCGACTCAACAGTAATCTGGCCGTGCTACTTTTGGAGCGTTTGGCTGCCAAGATGACCGCCCAACCCTCTAGAGGCCGACAGTTCAACGCCTGGATCAAGTGGGTCATGGTGGCACATGGAGGATACCTGGTGACCGTGCCCAAGCTGCTGGTGACTGTGTCGCGACTTCACAAGGCTCTTAATACCCGAGTCAACACACTGGATCGTCTGCTGGCTCTGGAGGGCCGTCTGGAGATGCTTGAGGCCCAGATGGAACTGCGAAACGCCAGCCACGGCGCCAACGACGACGACGAGGAGTCCGACTCCGAGGTCGAGTTTGTCGAGGGCGAAGAGGACATTGACGAAGACGATGAGGAAGACGACATGTCCGAGATCATGGCCATGGGCGATGATGACGATGTCGAGATGGGTGAGGGGGACGAAGGTGAGGATGATGAGGACGAGGACGAGGACGAAGACAGTGACGAAGAGGACGAGGACGAGAACGAGATTGCTCTGCCTGACTCGGACGAGGAGGAGATGAAGCAGGTGCTCAACAAGAAGCGAGGCAAGCAGTAAATAACTAGCATTATAGATTTGTATCATTGGTTTGGGAAAAGTAGGGGTCTAGAGAACACAATGTAGTACGCTCAAAAATGATCCGACGGAGTTGTAATTTTGACACAATGGATATGACAACATTGTTAGCGGTTTAATGCAATGATATTTCATGTTTGTCACACGAAATCGCCCCCAAAATCACCCCCAATATCATTCGTATAATCCGCTCCTCTTCCCCCCCCCCCCCCCCCCAAACTCTATTCGAAAATTATTATGCATGTGCATGTATGTGAGAAAAAACACTGGGTAGTTGAAATCTTTTCAAAGCCACCATGACGAAGCGGAAAAGTGCGTTGAGTGCGCTGAAGCCGACGAAAAAACAGGTCATCAGCTCGGAGGATTCGGATCCCGAAGTCGTTGTGGTCACCAACCCTCCTCTGGACTCTCCGGATGCAGAGGAGTCGTTCATCAGCATCACCGAAGAAGATGAGGCCGTCAGACAGCTCAGCACTTTTGATTTCAGTGCAAAGAACACCAAGGTGGTACGAGATGAGACTCGCGGTCGATCGCGAGTTTTCCACGGCATGAAATTCAAAGAAACCATCGTTCTACGGGGAGCCTATGTAGTCACGGTGTGGAGTGGAGTTATCCATATCAACGGAGCTCTGGTGAACATCAACTCTCCGGTCGATATTCCCGTGTTTGCGCCCGCGTCTCACGCTCTTCCTCAAATCGAGGCTGCTGCTGGAGCTCCCGAAACTCGAGAATCGGGGGACGAAGACGTCATGGAGGCATTGCATCAATTGGAGGGATCCTCGGTCATTGTGGAGATCGCAGCAATGCCGCGACGGTCAGAAAACCCGTTGATTACGGTCAGCAACTTTGGGAAGATGTCCTCGGGCAACATTGTGCCGTTTGTGCGTCAATTGTGGCACTGCTCTGAGGATGACGGCAGCAACTACAGCAGAATCTACAACACAGCCAGTGTAGTGACGAAATCGCAGGCAGCGGTCATTCCCGGCATCTATGACGAATGGGCCGAAGTGTGTGACGACATTCGGCGACTCAAGCACTCCTCCACCATGGTAGTGGGCTCTCAAAACACCGGCAAGTCCACCTTTTGTAAATACTTGAGTGCGTTCATGACCACCAAAAAGACCGGCACCTCTGTGGCGTTTGTGGATCTAGATCCTAGCAATTGCGAGTTCACTGCCCCCGGTCAGGTGTCTGTGACTGTTATTGGCGCAGGTCACCTTAGTCCCTATTCCATTCTGGGACCCTCCTTCACACACGTTACAGCCCCCACCTACAGTCGGTTTGTGGGTTACAACAACCCCAAAGATGACACCAGGGGGTACATTGAGGCGTGTAAGGCAGTTATCGACTTCGCCAAGGGTCTCAAGCTGCCCCTGGTGTTCAATACCTGCGGCTGGGTGCGTGCTGCGGGACACGATCTTCTGCGACAGCTCATAGATCATGTGAAACCGTCAGACGTGGTGTTTACACGTGATCCCGGCGTCGACGCCGACCAGGCGCGACTGGCTGAATCCGTCAAGGCCCGATCGCACGTTCTCGATGCTCCAGATGCAGAGCCTCCACGTTTCACAGGTGCAGAACAACACTCGCTCCAGACTGTCACGTATCTGCACGGAGGCAATCTTGCGTCTCATTTGAGCGACCTCCCGGCCCTCGAGGTGGGTCTGGAGTCTGTTTACGTTGGTATTCTCGACTCTGAGGGCGTTGATCTGGCCGATGTGGCACTGTCTACCAACTCCACTCTTTTGGCCGTCATGACGATGGACAAGAAGACCGTCAAGCACGCGGAAATCACCCCCGACGGACTCCAGTACCTGCCCAACTTTGACATTCCGCAGGGCGAGTGTCTTGGACAGGCCATGGTGCAATTTGCAGGAGCTAGCGTCCGTTTGCATACCCCTGTATCAGCATCTCTGCTCAACGCGCAGCTTGCAGCCGATAAGGCCATTGTGCTGGTCCGAGGACGTATTCCCCTGCCTGTCTACGAGCTGTGGGACTCTCGAAAGGGTGGAGAACAGGCCTACGTCTCTTTCGACGTGAACAGCGGAGTTGGTTCCGAGGCTTGGGTAGCTAGACGTGGACTTAAGCGCAAGTGATGCATTTGCAATTGGATTCTACCGCTATGTACCGGTACATGTTACACTAATAGAACTAATAGATCATTGGAGAGTGGCGCACTATTTCTTCACATGGCTCATTCCCGTCGTTGTCTGGTGATATTGATATAGCGTTGCTGCTCGTCGGATTCAACTCGTGGTTTCCAACTCGCGGTTCCAACTCGTGGTTCCAACTCGAGGTTCTCAAGAGCGCAACTTGCAGAGATCAAACAAAACTCCACTTGCCTCTGCTACTGCCGCTGTGGATACGGTTGGGCTCTTTAGTCAGGTTCTCTCAGAGTCGTATAGGAAAAAGAAAACTCTGGGCGCACAGCTAGTGACCAACTTGTAACATATTGGTTTCATTTGCGCGGCTTTGAGAGAACCTGACCAAGAGCTCGGGCCAGAATTCTGCGTCGAGTGAATTGCAGGTACCATTTAATGTCTGACCGACAGTTCTGCTGTAGAATGCACCATCACTATGGATTGAATAGGTTTTGCCGACAGATGAAGAGCTTGTCTAAGCTCCTGTGCAATCTCTTCACCACCACCTTTTGCATAGAGAACGGGTGTGAAACAAATAAGACTCTAGCTGTTGGCTACAGTAGCAGAATTACTACTGGTAGAATGGTTGGGAAACCTCCCTCGAGTTCCCACGCTGGAAAAATTGTGGCCTGATCATCGTCGGTAGTGCGCATAATGTCCAAAATAGTGCGTGCTAAAGTGGAACTAGAGCGTGTCTAAGCATGTAGATGGGGGGTCTAAAGGGTCCATCGAAGTAATTAGTAGTGTTACCGTTTGGTCCTAGCGTGTTGTGTGCGTTGGCAGCAATTCATTAGTGCTAGATTGCCTTGACGTAAGATATGGGGTCTTGCTCATTGGAGGTTTGCAGTTATCCCATCTCATCTATAGGATACACGAACGGTATGATAGATGATGGGTGAGACAGACAAGAGACCAGACACCGAAACCCCCCGTACAGTAGCCGGTGGTACCCAAATCAAGTCTTACCCCCGCCGCCGCTTGTGATATAGCAGCACAGTGCGTGCAGCTGTGGCGGCAGAAGCCAAGACGAGGGTGCCACGCACTGCTGCTGTTGTTGGACGTGTTTCGGAAAGCACAGTCGCGACTCCACAGCATCCAAGCACCGAACATCCATGCAGGGTAGTCACAGCTTACAGCGGCGGGAGTACTGTGTTGCGCACTCTCTCTTCACTCTCGACATAGTTCCGGGGACTGGGGAAGGATGGAAGAACCCCACCCGTCCCCGGAAGAGTGTCCGCAAGAGGTATTTGGCCGACGCCCGCTGGCCCCACATCCCAGGGAATAAGAGAATACGAGAGTTGCAGTTGCCGTTTTGGGCCGATCTCCCCGGGCCCCCAAGCGGTTAGAAGTAGTACAACCAGGAAGAGCCAAAGTCCATGGACTTTACCGCTCCGAGTGGTGCAAGTCAGCTGTGCGATCGGACGTGGGCTGGTCTTTGTCCACAGTCTAGTGCTCTGATCCGGGCACATACCCCTGGTAGTAGCACAGAATGTAGTCGTCGAGTATGTACAATAGATGTACTCACTCCCTGAGAGCAGGGCATATGACGACCAATCAGTAGAAGACGTCTTTCTTCGTCTTGATTTTTCTCCCTTTTGCTATTCACGCTCGCTCGGCTATTAGTCTCACCTAGCAACACACGTCTGTGCTGGTTTTTGCCCTCTCTTGCTCTCAGTAGTCCACCTTCGCTGCATGGTTTAGGTACTGCAGGTGGACACAGCATTGAAAGGCTAAGAGCAAGCCCCGAAATAGATACGAGGAATGGAGGAGGGGGGTGGTCTGGTCTGTTCGGCCGGGAGACTTCACGTGATGTGGAGGAGATGATGTTAGATGGTCAAGAGCCCTCTTGCGACATGTGCGGAATGGGCATCTCCGTGTCCAATCGTCGTTTGATCGGCCCTAACCCGCCACAATTGGCCGCCTCTCTCCGCCCCCATCGACTCTGTAACAAGCTCTGCAATCCTCAAACAAGAAACGCTGGTTTCAAAACAGATGCAGCCACAAGGTTAGCTCAAACGCTAAGCGCCCAAAACCCAATGCTAGTCCGAAGGGACAGAAGAAGGGGTATACGTTATGTGGGACGGAGACTGACGCTAAAGTACGGTTGTACGATACGACTGTGCCGGTACTTGTACTGTAGCTACAGGTTAGTAACGGAAAAACCAGACAAACAAACCCAACAAAAGAAGGCAACGCTTCAGAGGTGTGTTTTCTTGAACTTTGACGGGAGTTTCGCACGCGACGACGCGCGTACCTGTACTCTGTAATGGCGACCTCCAATCCCACATCCCACTTCAGGGCCAATCCCCCCGCACACACTGCACTGTAGCCACACACACACACACACACACACACACACACAGACCCAACACAAAGACCAAGTTGTTGCTCGCACAAGCATCCATCACATGGACGGGAAATGGGCTGGAAATGGCGGGAAATGGCCGGGAAATGGCGGGAAATCTAGACCTTTCCATCAACTGCAACCCACGGTGTGTGGTAGTTGGTCCGAAGAAGGAGCACAGATAGTTACTTGTAGTACGAGTACGTCTACCCGTCCCTGTCGAGAAAGAGAGCGTGTCAGGGGACCCGGAGAGCTCGGAGAGTCCGGAGAAAGCGACCAGCCAACAGCGGTGTGTGGTAACGTCGGGGGTGGCTGTCTTTTAACTTGCCACAAAGCTGCGGGCGTCTTGCGGGTGTGGTGCTCTCCTCGCATCATACCGGTATCGTACCGTACCATACTGTACCGAACCGAATGTACTTGGGGTAGGTCCGGTTATGGTGGGTGGTGGTGTGGCCCTTCTCCAAAAAAAAAAACCAAACCAAACCAAAACCAAAACCAAAACCAAAATGCCAGATGCCAAAACTCTACTGTAGTGGTGAACTCAAATGGGCAATCTTGGCCAAAAGACAAATCTACTCTCCAAAGATCGTCGTTTTCACTATCTGCTAAGCACGACAAGAGCCGAGCTCCTCCGATCCACGTATTGCGACCTCTCTCCCTTTTCCGGCGGACCCAGGCCACAGCAATCCACTCACGCACACACACACACACACACACACACACACACACACACACACACACATACACACCCTCCCCAGCACGCAACGACCCACACTCGGCTCCAGTGAAACAAACACACTCACAGCCGCCACACGACTCCTTTGCGCGGCCACTTTACACATATATGCCACAAGCACACGACTGGTAACTACGGACATTTCGACATGTCTTCAATCAGAGATATGCTGCCCCAGCTGGCACGCGATGCCCTTGCTCAGGTCGACGACAGTGAGTAGCAGTAGTAGAGAGAGGGAGAGAGAGGTATGGGATCCGGGCACGCGTTTGTGCTCGACGGTGGTGCCTGACGACTTGCAAGTGATGGGGACGGCATGGAGACCGGAACAGGGTGTTGGTAAGCCCAGATACACCTCCCTCAGCCATTACCATACCCCCCAGACACGTGTGATGACTCCCAACCCAGGCTGTTACATGTATGAAACAGACCCTGTGACAGGTTGCACGCGGTTGCAACGGACCACCACAATTGGAAGAGGCGGGATTATTGAGGGAAATCGGGGTATTGTGACACTCTCTCAAGGCCATTCTTGTGAAATACTAACCTAGTGAAATTTTTTCTGGCGACCGCACCGGCAAACTGGCAGCCGGGCCAAATTATCCGGCGCTACTACCTGCCCACCGAGGAGTTCATCAGCTGCGTGCTCTGGAAGGGCCTCTATCATATCACAGGAACAGACATTGTTCGATGCATCAGCTTCCGGTTCGAGGCGTTTGGACGGTCGATAAAAAACCGCAAAAAGTTCGAAGAGGGCATTTTCTCCGATCTGCGCGGTCTCAAGTGCAACAGCGACGCCGTGCTCGAGTCGCCCAAATCGCCGTTCCTCGAGTTTCTGTACAAAAACAGCTGCATTCGAACACAAAAGAAACAAAAGGTCTACTACTGGTTCAGCGTGCCCCACGACCGGCTGTTCGTCGATGCTCTGGAACGAGACATGCGACGGGAGCTTAACAACCTAGAACCCACGACCGAAGCTCACGCCGAGCCCGCTAAGAGCTTCAACTTTGATCTCAACGAAAGTCTCTATGAGCAGCTTATGAAGGTGACCAACGGAGACGGGATGCCAGCGGTGGGCTCTCTTCCCGGAGGAGGACATAGTGGACAACAGGCGGGACCTTCCGCCAGTGGAGTTGGAGGTGCAGGAGGCCCAGGTGATGCTCCAGGCAGTGGTCCAGGTGGTATAGTGACCGACTCTGCGCCTCCGGAGGGCCAAACCCAGGGTGGCGGCCCCACTGGGCAGATTGCATCTCAGACGGTGGCCAACCAGAGTGCGTATGCACTGAGCGATTACCTGAGCACGCCAACAGAGTACCTCACATCCATGCAGCAGCAGCTGCAGAACCAGATCCAGCTCAACCAGCAGCAGATGGCCAGCAACCCCGAGTATAATCAGATGGTGCAGCTAGGCGGGTCCATTTTGCATGGCCAGCAGTCGCATCCGCCGCATCCTCAGAATCCTCAGAATCCGCAGCACGCTCAGTCTCAGCAACAACTCCCGCAGCAGCAGCAGCTACCCCAAAAGATCAAGGACGAAAACGACGATTCTCAATCTTCCGATTTCCCGCTCGACTACTTCCCACCTTCAAACCCCATGGATATGCCGTATCTGGACTCGCTGTATGAGCAGGCCCCTTTGTCGGCGACATATGCGGCTTTCCCGTTTGATCAGAGTATGAACGCCGCCACGGCTCTGATGTCACAGCAGCAGGGCCAACCGACGCCCTCGACACAGGCTGCACATCCGGGTTCCAACGCCTCAGCGGCACCTAACAACAAGCAGTACCCATCATCAATCATCCCGGACTACCCGGACTACGAGCTGGAGCACCAGACGTACATCATCAACGGCAAGGTGATCCATGGAACGGACTACCGGCAGAACATGGTGATCAAGACGCCGCTATTCTGGGACTTTGTGGAAGGCAAAGATGGCCAGGGACCCCAGCAGCCGGCTCTACCTCCTTCCTCACAGTCCCAGCAGTCGATCCACGACTCTTCGGACGAATCCGAGTCCAAGAAACGGACGAGTTCAGAGTTTGAGCGAGACGAGCGGGGCGTCAAGCGGGCCAAGAGTGGTCTTTTTGAAAAGCCAGACTCCGACGGCCCCCCAAACAACATCACACAGTCGGATTCTGCGTCTATTTCTGTGCCTGCCTCTGTGCACGACGAAAACAACGAGTCGTACATGTTGCAGTCGGGTCCTCCGGTTTCCGAGGTGCCCAAGTCATACAGAAACACGTCGTTGGCGGCTTCTCTGGCTCGCAACGGCATCACTAAAAAGGGCAAGGTTCCGCCGCCTCTGAGTCTGGCCAAACCCGGCATGGCGCCTCAGCCGGTGTATCAAGGAGGAGTAGGAGGAGGACATCATGGTCATGTGGGGCATGGAGGTACCCATTCGGGCCCCCACGAGTCTGCCGGCACATCCGAGTATTCCACCATCATTGGAGAAGATGGACTTCCTCACTACGTTCAGAGGGAGTAGAGGGATGCTGGAGTATAGGCGGTGGATGGCCACATTCAGATTGTATTTATAGGTGTATGCTTAATCATAATTGTTGGATGGTGTGGACGTGAGTGTGATTGAAATGTGATCTTGCCACCAGTACCTTCATAGCCGCGGGACGCTTGTGTCATAATCATCATAATTACATCCTGGCGACCACTTGGTTTGATATTATTACAGAATATAAGGCTACTTGTAGTTCGGGAGGTAAGGGCTACAAGGATGTGAACTACGCTTCAGTAGGTATGCTATGTGCGAGTGTGTTGGTATCATCGACTTCCCCCGTCTGAGTCTCGGATTCGCTCTAGTCAATGACTCCGATCTGCTCTGCGACTCCGATTCGCTCAGTTGCTCATTCAGCTAGTTCAACCTCAATATTCGCCACGTTAGCTATGTACATTATCTGGCGTTGGTGTAGATCTCTGTCACGTCGTCAATCTCCTCGAGGGAGTCGATGAAGGCCTGGAAAACGCCGGCCTTGTGTTCGTCCTCAATGTCCACCATGGTATCTTCGTTGGGAATGTAGGAGATGGAGAAGTCGGCCACGGCAATGCCACTTTCCTGCACCAGCTTGGCCACGGCTCCAGTGTCCTGCACGTCGGTGTAGAGCGTGTAGGAGACCACCTTTCCGTCCTGGTCGACATCTTCCTCCACGTCTTCGGCGCCCCACTCAATGGCCTGGTCCATGACGTGGTCAAAGTCGAGCACCGTCACTTGCTCGATCTTCTTCATGGGGTTAGCCGGGTCCGGCGCCACCATGGACTTTTGTTCCTTCTCAATGGTGATGCAGCCCTTTCGGGTGAAGAGAAACTGGACTGTGGAAGGGAAGGCGATTCCCGAGTTTTTGCCCGCGGCTCGGTTGAAGGGCGTGTTGAGGCTGGCCAGCAGGCCGTTTCGGTTGGATGTGAGACACTCGATGATGAGCGACACCCCCGACGGCCCGATGCCCTCGTAGAAAACCTGTTCGATCTGCTTGTCTTTGGCGTCCAGTCCGGCTCCCCGCCGAATCGCCGCGTCAATGGTCTTTTTGGGCACGTTGTACGACTTGGCGGCGTCGATGATAGTTGCCAGTCGGATGTTGCCGGCGGGATCGGCCCCGCCCATCTTGGCTGCGGTTGCAATCTGGTTGCCAAACTTGGTGGCTAGGTTGCCCTTGATGGCGTCCTGCTTGGCCTTGGTGTGCCGGATGTTCTGCCACTTGGAGTGGCCCTTGAGACACTGTGCCGACGTGGAGAAGGCGCGCGCAGACACGGATTGCAGACGGAGAAGCGACATGATAGATCAGGCGTTGGTGGTGTGCGGAAAAAATGGTGAATCCGAAGGTTTGGAAGCACTGCATATTCAGCAGTACACATGTCAGCCAAGTAGTGTGATTTGGAGGGCGTAGCGTTTGCCGGCTAAAAAACCGACGTCACGTTATGAGAGATATAAGGAGAGGCAGGGCAATGAGTTATATGTATTGGTGTTGAATTATTGTGGGATCGTCGACTACTTTCGGTAGGTCTAGATAGGTTTAATTCGGGGTTTGCTTAGAACAAAAATTGAAAATTGAAAATTGAAAATTGAAAATTGAAAATTGAAAATTGAAAATTGGGTAATCAGAAAAATAAGGGAAAAATGGGGAAAAATGGAAATTTTGAAAAAATGAGAAAAAACGAGAGGAAAAAAACGAGAGGAAAACAAAACTCATTTGATTGTCAAACGAGTCGGGACATCGGGGTCAATCACTATTTGAATGATCTTTTTTCTTCTTTTTCTTTCCTGTCTGTGGGGTTCGAACCCACACAACACAAACACTTGAGTGCAGATCTTCATTTTACTTAAGAAAGCCATCTATCTGTCTCCTGTACTTAATATACCCAACTAATTAGAACAACAGTCAGCATGAGTGCGCCGCAATGGTCTGTTGTGGTGGAAATAAAAGTGCCCAAAGACAATCAATCGATTTAAAAAGGAATTTATGCCCGGTTAAATAGTTGTTTCTCTCTCCACTTGTTCGTAATTGGCTTCTAGGCACATCCAAACCAACTACAAGTGTTACTGTAAGTGCACTCGTACATACTCGTACCATTGGTAAATACTGTAGTTCACAAGGTCGACTATACACTCAGATCAAAATATACACCCAAAGAATAGCTTGGAGGTTCATCTTTTTCTTCCGTTTTTCTTCTCTCCGCCTTTATCCACTTTTCCTGCTTGCCTTCCCGCACCCCCTGACTAAGCCAACTTTCACAACTATACGTACATCACGCACATCATCTCGACGACACATTGACATTGCATCGACACCACCACCACACACCATGTGAGTATCGCAGCCACGCCCGCGACGACCGCAATTTGGACGCCAGACTAACCCAGGGCAACCACACAAAAAGACCGAGAGTTTCTTGCCGTGATTGGCGACGAGGATTCCGTGACGGGCCTGCTGCTGGCGGGAATCGGCAATGTGTCTGACGACGCGGAAAAGAAGAAGAACTTCTTCGTGGTGGACGCCAAAACCGAAAACGAAGCCATCGAGAAGGCGTTCGACGAGTTCACCAACACCCGCAAGGACATTGCCATTCTGCTCATCAACCAGCATATTGCCGACAAGATCCGCTTCCGAGTTGACACATACACACAGGCCTTCCCTGCGCTGCTGGAGATCCCCTCCAAGGACCACCCCTACGTGCCCGAGAAGGACTCGGTTCTGCGACGAGTCCGACGTCTGTTTGGTGACAACTAGACTAATTTATTGTGAATGCTGGCAAACCAGCCCTGGCGCCAGGTTGCTGCGTAGTTACTCTGATAGGAGTATAAGTACATTATACTGTAGATATTGTAAGCCATCTTCATCAATTTAAATCGTTGTTGTATATCATTCGGGAAAAATATCATGGTAATATCATGGTAATATCCTTGTTTACTAACCATTAGTGCATTAGTCAAACATCCATGCGCTTCATTAGACCATGTTAGTCTACTTCTTGCCCTTCTTCTTGTTCTTCTTCTTGTTCTTCTTGCCAGATGCAGCTGCGGGCTTCGAGTCCTCCTGTTTATCGTCCACTTCCTCTTCCTCGTCCCCGTCCTCATCTCCATCATCATCGTCCTCCTTGTTGCCTCCCTCAGCAGTGCTGTCCTCAGGCGACTTTGAGTCTTCCAGAGACACTTCGGCAAATTCGTCAGCGAGTTGAGAGGGTGACTTGACGGTTTCAGGCTCGGGTTTAGTCTCTTCGGCGGGTGTAGTTTTGGATTCAGGTTCAGTCTGGTTCTCAGATTCAGGCTCAGGCTCAGGCTCAGTCTCAGGCTCGGTGGGCTTGTCATCTCCAGTGAGGTCAATTACAGTCTTGGTCTCGGGCTCAATGGCATCAGTGGTAACTGCTTCTTCTGGCTCCTTGACCTTGTCCTCGGCCTTGGTCTCGGCCTCAACTTCGGGTTCAGGTTCGGGTTCGGCAACGACAACAGGATCAGACTCGGTAACGGCAATCTCCTCGACGGTGTCTGGGTCAGGCTCTCCACTGGGACCATCTAGATCGACCTCGGCCATTGACTCGGAGGCAGCCTCGACTTCAGCGTCGTTGGCGGCAACCTCCTTTTCGAGCTCAACGTTGAGAGGGTCCTCGTCCACCTCCTCGGCCTCGGTAGCGCCCTCGGTGAAGATGGAATGTCGAGTGTTGGATCTCTCAAGATAGGAATTGGTAGCAGTGGACTCGACAGGCGCAGCAGCAGCAGGAGTAGATTCGACAGAAGTAGACTCGACAGAAGTAGATTCGACTGGAGCAGACTCAACAGGAGCAGACTCAGGAGCAGAAGCAGCAGGCTCAGTGGACCTGATGGACTCAGCCTGGTGAATGGAAGGAGAGGCGGGGGCGCCAGGAGCTCGTTTGTACTGGGATCTGTGCTTGGGATCAGAGTCCAGGTAGAAGTTTCTGACGTTGACCATCTTCTTGTCCATTTTGCAGGCTCGGAGCCACTCAGGCAAAACAACAGGAATGTTCATGTCGACGGCCTTCTCCCATTGGGCTCCCTGGGGCTTGGTGCACACGAAATGGGTGGTATCGAGCTTGACTTCATTTTGCAGAGGCTTGGCGTGAATGTCCTCCAGAGACTCGGAGATTTCAGACTCGGTGACCGTTGTCATGTTGGGATCGATTTCGCCCAAGCACACAGTGATACCTCGCAGGTCGGTCATGCTATGGGTCTCAATTTCCAGCAGATTTGACTCGTAGGTGCCTGCTGTGGTGTACAAAACCAGCTGGAAGGTGTACTTCTTCTCGACTCCAAAGCCAGACAGCTTGGTGGCGGTTCGCACCAGTGGGTTGGGAATGTGGCCGCACCAAACGCCATCTCGAAGCAGCACCAGTTTCTTGATATCGGCCTGGGCGATTTCAATAGGCTCCCATTCCAGCACCACAGACGTCTGGGTGATGTTTTTCGCGCTCAGAACTGGCGCCTTGGGCTGCTCCGTGCCGTACGTTTCCAGCAGCTCCTTTTGCAGGCTCTGAAAGCTGTCTTCTTCCTCCTTCTCCGCTCCAGAGTCCTTCTCACAGGTGATCTTCACCACCGAGCCGGCCTCGGCGTCGTCGGGAAGCAGAATTGTGGGGAATTCGATGAGATGGTGGTCCTTGGTGAGCAGCAGCGCCAGAGAGGCGTCCAATTTGCCGACAGTAAGCGAAACTTCGACCATTGTGAAATGTGATGAATGTCTTTTGTTTAGATGTAGCGACAGATGTGATATGCGTGTCTCTCCTTGTTTAAGGTTTGATCACGTGAACGATAGAGCCAGTACAACTTGTAGTAGCTCCGAGAGCTGTTACGTGTCAGGATAAATGTCTTTTTCTCTTGTCGTTAAAATGTCAAGTCACGACATTGGCGGTGTCACCACAATAAAAAAGTACATATATACCGCGTCTGTTTCCCTCTCGTCAACCCTTTTCTACTCGTTACACCAAATCCCAAGGGCTATGTTTCACTCCCTGGTGCAATAAAGTTCGCTCCCAGTCGACGATATCACTATTACCACAGATAGAGTGACGCACAGGCCTCCAGAGCAACAACCCCGAAAACATCACAATGAAGGCAGTCGTGGCAGTGAGTATGATGGAGAACAGGGGGGGGTGTTATCGGTAACTCAACAACTAACACAGCCCGGAAAAGCTTGGTTTTGTACCGTTATTTCTGCATTTGGCATCGTCATTCTCGGCGTGCTGGGCCTGCTGTTCAAGAGCGGCAGCGAATCCATGGTCGGATCCATCAATGACCCAAAGGATGGTGCAGCGTGAGTATCGTGGTTTTTTTATGGGGAATTGTCGTTGCTACAAGCATGGCTACAAGCATGGATGACGTAGACGACGACACAGGATGACGATATCGACAACAACACGAGAGCACGTATGACATTGACGACGACATGAAGGACACATAAGATCTTTGATGACAACACAGACAACTCATACGCCGACTGGATGAATCCTTTCAACGTCGAAAACGTCCAATTGGAGGACTCTTCTTGCTGCTTGATCAGCGCAACACTGTTCTACAGTACCAATACTTGCTGTCCTCCATTCGTCACGCTTCAGTTTCTCGTTATCTCATGTCACTTGCTTGATTGTCTTGTTCCCTCCAGCTCTCCTCCCTCTCTCTCTCTCTCTCTCTCTCTCTCTCTCTCTCTCTCTCTCTCTCTCTCTCTAACACAGTGTCGCATCGACCATCTTCAGCGCCGTGCTGGTGTACATCATCCTGTTTGTCTTCTGCGGACTCCAGATTGTCCTCAACAACCGACAGTCGCAAATCCGTCTCTAGGTATATGACACTGACGTAATAATGTATTTATTCAATCTTGTATGTTTTTGATGATATCGCTCTCTCTCCGCTTGTATAAATCTATGTACATTAATTCTTCTTGTAGACCTCCTCGATAACACTGACGGCATGGCTGCTGAGATCGGGGAAATCCTGGACCATGTGTCCCAGGCGAGTCTGGCCAAAGGGAGACTCGGGCCGTAGCGAGTAGATAAAGGCGGCCACCACACAGTCCAGAGAGCCGATTTCGCTCTGCTCAAAGCCCTTGTCCTTGGCGTTGAAGAACTGGGAGGGGCTTTCGGCCAGCAGTTTCGAAAAGGCGGTCAGAGCGTCGTGCGCCCGGCAGTAAATCTCTTCAATCTCGGGATGGCTGTCGTACACCGACTCCATGGACATGACTAGCCGGGTTGGTAGTCGGGTGCTCTGTTCCATGGCGGTGGCGAGGTTCTTGTGGTCGGTGATGAGATCCTGCATGAATCTGATTTTGAGAGGCTCGACGAACCGGGCCTCGGTATTGGACTCGAGTGACTTGACGCTCAGAAATGTGTTTTCAAACTGCCGGGAGTATGCTGGGTCCAGAATGGTCACGATCCACGCATGGTACAGGTTGTGGAAGACCAGCGAGCTGAGCACGTTGATTTGCGGGGTCAATGGCACCAGGTTCTTGTAGATGGAGTTGAAGGTGAGAAAGGTGCGGTTGGAGGGCTGCTGGACCAATAGAGGCAGTTTGCCGTCCATGTTGGCCAGGTGAGATACTGTGGCGAGCTGTGTGGATTTCTTGGGGTGGAAATGTGACAGCAACAATTGCACCGCCAGCGATGTTGGTTCCGTGCTCAGCGTCGTTCCCACACCATTTTTGTGTCCGTACGTGTACAGGTAAAAGTCCGGGGATTGTGTTGATCCGCCTCCAACCACCTGGCAGGCGTTGGAGTCGGTTTCCGACACCTCCAGCGGCGGCAATTTCTCCAGCGGGAACGCGTCGAAGAATGTTTTGATTGGAGCGGGCACTTTGAGCATTTTTCCGTACTTGGCGACGATTTGCGGTCTTTTTTGCAGACTTATTTGGGGTCGCTTTTTCTGTCTGATCAAGATAGTGGAGAGAAAGGAACTTTAAGGAACTTTATCTTGAGTGTGCATAATGTGCCAGTCCTATTGCTAGAGGTACTCAATCTCTACCAGCACAACATTATAAGTACCGGGAACGCGCCCAGTTTTCTGCTCCACGACAATGAACCTACGACTAAGAACTCTCGGGCGAACGGCGGTGGTGCGCGCGACTCTGCGAAACACCAGCTCGCTCAGATACTCGTCGCTCCGGTACAGCTCACAATTGGCGCTGACAGACCCGCTGCACATCTACCAGAACAAGGTGGCCAGTGGGGAGCTCAAGGCGGATGAGGCGCAACTGCGGGTGGCGGCAGAGCTCCAGAAACTGTACCACCGGCTCAAGGACTACACTCCTCCACAGGACTTTCAGCGGAAGGTGTCTGCCCTTCAGGCGCAACTTTTGGAGATTGAGAAGGAGGCGGCCGGGGAAGACATGACCAACTCGCAGATCAAGAAAAAGGCGGTCAGGCCGTGGTACAAGCCGGATCTCAAGTCTATGGAGATGGTCAAGACTCTGACCGACGAGGAGGAGCTCATCAACTTCAACTCGCCCCAGGGTCTGCTGATTCACGGAGAAGTGGGCTGTGGCAAGAGTATGCTGATGGACATGTTTGCCGACTCGTTGCCCCACCAGTCCAAGAAGCGAATCCATTACAACAACTTCATGTTGTCGCTGTATGGAAGTATCCATCGGTTGACCCAAGAACGACAAGACCGACTGCGATCTGCTGAGACTCTTCTTGGCAAGGAATCTGAGGCGCTTCTGACAGATTATATTCTGCTGGAATTAGCCCAGGATATGATTGACAACCACACCGTTCTATTGCTGGACGAATTCATGTTGCCCGACATGGCAGCCGCCAAGATTGTCAAGACGCTCTTCATCTACTACTTCAAGTTTGGAGGCGTGCTGGTGGCCACAAGTAACCGTCTCCCCAAAGACCTGTATGCCACCAACTTCTCCAAGACACAGTTTGAGAGTTTTCTGACCATTCTGCAGGCCCGATGTGTCACCCACAACATGCAAAGTGACACTGACTACCGAGAGGTGCTTTCAGAAGAAGAGGCTGCAGAGGGTACAGACAAGCCCATTGTCAAGTACCACGTCAACGATCCCGAGGGTGACAAGGCGTGGGAAGAGACAGTTAAGACTCTGTGTCCTTCTTCTGAAGGTAAGGAAGAGGAGATCATTGTGTATGGACGGCCTCTTGTGGTTCCCTGGGTCAAGGACGGAGTTGCCATGTTCAAGTTCAGCCAGCTGATTGAACGACCCCTGGCTGCTGCTGATTTCATCTCTCTGGCTTCCAGATACCATACCATCATTGTCGATGAGGTGCCTGTCATGACTCTGGCCAAGAAGAACGAGGCCCGTCGTCTCATCACTCTGCTGGATGCTGCCTACGAGTGTCGATGTCAGCTCATCATTCGAGCAGAGGCTAATGCCGACTCGCTCTTTTTCCCCGAGATTGATGATCCTGAAAAGATGAAGGAGGAGGCTGATATCCAGGCCCAGGAAATGTACTCGGACACGCTTCAGGACATTGAGAACCCCCATCGACCCAACGTTTCCTCCTACGACACTCCTACTGGCCAGCGAGAGTCTGATGAGAACAAGCGAGTCATCAAGCCAACCAACTTTGCTGACACCACCGCCTTTACCGGCGAGGACGAGAAGTTTGCCTACAAGCGGGCTGTTTCTCGACTCAAGGAGATGACCCAGAGCCCTCATTGGAAGGTGGACAAGTGGATGCCTCTGCCGGACTCGGATCGGCCGTGGGAGGTGTTTTCCAAGTCGGAGAGCTACAAGGAGCAGGAGAAGAAGCGGGCTCTGACTGACGAGGCTGCTTCTCTTGCCAGCATGGGTTTCCGGCCTGTCAAGCAGGTTGCACCTAACGCGCCCAAATTCAACGAGTCGCATTTCTGGTCCATGATTTCGTGGGGCGACCGAGTTCCCAAGGACGAGATTGCCGCCAGATGGCGAAAGGGAGCCGATGTTTACCACAAGTAGGACTATATATATCAATAGTCACATACTGAATGAATAGATTTTGTACATAGTTATCATGATCCTTCTCAAACATGGAACTGATGTGTCCTGGAATCGACCCTGTTTGTCCCAGATACGAGGGAAAACTCTCTGTGGTATTTTAGTACAGATCCGTGGCAGTCTGTGATTCGACTCTCGTTGTTTTCTTGTTTTTCGTCTCTCTTTTTCATTTTTTTTCGTTTCTCCTATTTTATCCACTAATTGGTCGACTAGACCTCAATTTGTTTTAGTTAGACTTTTTATAGCATATTTCGAATTGTGTAAACCCATTTTCCTTCTTTTTCAACTTCCGGTATCCTGGCCGAGCGGTCTAAGGCGCCAGGTTAAGGCTAATACCTTAACGAATTTCCTGGTCTCTTCGGAGGCGTGAGTTCGAATCTCACGGATATCATTTTTTCTCAGTCATTCTTCCGTGCGTGAAAGTATTATTCGGTGCAGGATTCCGCCGAAGATTATAGTTTTCATTGTCTGCCTCTTTAGGCCATCTAGGTTTGGCTAGTTCAGGTTTGTAGGTTTCAGGGTCTCCTAGCGGCGGCCGCAAAGCCAAGGCCGTTTTACGTCATTGGAGCTTGGAAGGAATGTGATTCTTCAGGGGTTGGAGGAATACACCGCTGGTGGAAGATGGCGATGGCCGTCGGACGGTCTCCGTTGCTCATCTCCAGCGTTCTTCTTCCCCAAATCCACCTCCAAACTTCGCGACTCGATTGAGTTTCACAGAACTTGTTGACGCGTGAAAGTAGTTCGAAAAAGCGCCATTTCCGGAGCTGCGGTCGCCAACAGCGTTTGTAAGCTGATGCCGTGCATCTGTACGTCCTTGTGTACGCGGCGACGCTCCGTATGTTTCAAACCGTGCCAATTGCGCATTTTTCCGCACTATAATGGGCGACTGTAAGATTTAAAAAAATCATAATAAATTAAATCATAATAAAAAAGATCAAAAATAATCAAAAATAATCAAAAATAATCAAAAATAATCAAAAATAATCAAAAATAATCAAAAGACGCCAGTTGGAATCTGTCAGACGCAAAAACCGTGCAAAAAACAATCCCAGACTCCACATGCTGAGTAATGACTGGTATTATCATCTACAGCTTCAATAATAGACTGACTCGGCACCAATACTTGTAATACAACCTGTTGTACACATGGAACGTGGCAGTACGCCCGCTGACGCTCTCTGACGCTCGAAACTCGTTATATAGTCAATTAGTCAATATTAATGCTTACATAAGAAGAGCGGCAAAACCAATGGCAATGGCAGCCATACCCGGAACCAGACCCTCGGCGCCGTTCTTCTTGGGCTTGGAGGTGGACGAAGCCTGGCCAATTGAGGCGTTGGAAGAAACGTTAGGGCCGTTGGCATAGATGGCGGGAGCAAACTTCAGAGCCTTTTCGGCATCATCGTCAGTCTTTCCGTTCCAGCAGTACTTGGAGAAGCACTTGTCACAGTCAGAGCCCAGAGACTGGTTTCGTCGGGTGGCCTCTCGCTTGAGCAGAGCACAGCCAAGACACACAGGCCAGTCGGGGTCCACGGTTCCGTTGAACTGGGTGGAGGTGGAGTAGCCGTTCTCGATCATGCCGGCAACCTCCTTCTTGTTGTACGACAGCTTGGACATGGTCGATGTGTTGGAGAAAAAGGTCCAGGGGTAGTTAGCAATGTAGACAATGAGAGGGGGAAGGGCGGCGGAAGAGTTGACGTCGGTATAACCGTTCTTGTCCAGCGAGGTCATGTTCTGCACGTCACAGCCAAAGAAGGCGGGTCGAGAAGTCAGGTTCTCATTGATGAATGTGTTCACGTCGGGCACGTAGGGGAAAATGGTGCCATTGGCCTGGTTCTCAAACTGTCGTCGGTATGTCTGGACAGCGGAGGTTCCGTTGGGCCAGTTAAAGTCGGTGTCGGCGGAGTTGTCGTAGGAGATGACCACGTCGACGGCTCTCTCGGGCTGCAGCAGAGGGTAGTAGGGCACATTCTGTCCATCTTCTCCTCCGTCGACCAGATCCAGATACTCGGTTTGGGCAATGGACGAGTTGCCGAGGTAGGACATGCCCTTGAAGGGGTTGGGCGAGTAGATGGCGATATCGTCCGAGTCCTTATCCAGACGCTTGAGGATAGAGTGGGCCAGGTCGTAGACCACTCCGGTTACTCCGGTGGAGTTGAGCTGGAGAATGAACTGGTTGAACAGGGAAGAAGAGGTTCCCACAATGAAACCGGCGTTGTCAAAGCCATGCACACAGGTTCCGTTGGGTCGGCCGTTGGTCATGTTGGTTCCCAGCCACTCGGTCTTGGCAAAGGAGTAGACATTGGGGTCCCAGGAGCCGACCTCGAACGGGGCCAGCTCGAAAATGGTGGAGTTTCCGGAGATGATTCGGGTTCCGGGGGCTCGGCCGTCGGCCACAACAATGGGGTAGGGCATAGAGTGGTTCTTGAAGTGGTCGTAGTTCTGGATCTCGGACCAGGTGAGTCGGGCGGTGTTGGAAGCGTTGAAGAACTGGTACGACAGACCTCGGCCCCAGATGTCGGTGAAAGAGGTGTTGTATCCGGCGTGCTGCTTGTCGTTGACGTCGTCGTTGATGTCGTCCCAATAAGAGCCGGTCTTGAAGATGTTGATTCCGCCGGGGTTGATCATGGAGTGTTCCAGGTCCCACACGTCGGACGAGTGTTGCAGGTCGGGAATGGTGGTGAAGTTGTTGATGACCACAGATCCCACCATCCAGTTTCCGCCCGAAAGACCCACCAGATAGGTGGCGGCCTGGACCAGACCTCCCACATGGCCCGGTTCGGTGGCGTTGGGTGTTCGCGCGTCCAGAGCCGCAAATTGGCCTGCTCCCGCCAACATGGCTCTGTATCCTCCTCCAGAAAAGGACAGTCCGATGGTGATATTAGTGTCCTGGCCCAGGAACTGGTCCGGGTCCACCGACTTAAAGCCCACCCGTTTCAGGTAGTTGAGCAGCTCCGGTCGGGTCTGTTCGTGTCGGTTCTGGACCCACTCTCGTTCCTGCGAAGAAAGGCCCTCGCCCTTTCGCACAATCTGGGTGGAGTTGGAGGGACAGTCGACCGACCCGGGCGCGTACGAGTCGGTGGGCGAATAGAAGCTCTGGGCCAGACCCACGGTCGCCAGCAAAAGTGGAGAGAATTTCATGGTGTGAGGTGGTGCAAGAGTAACTATAGAAAACAATGTAGTAAAGCAACCGTGAGATATTTAAGGCAGGTGTGAGAGGGTTTCGAAATTAGGGTTTCACCACTCCAAAGTTCAAAAAGTGGAAGGGGTACAAAACTCGGGGGGGAGGTACATGCTCTTGAAGTGTACTTGTAGTACAGTGTGCCTTGTACGAAGTGATAGTCACTTGGTCCAGAGAGACAATGGATAGTGCGATTGGGGTGGATTTGGAGAAGGAGACGATGATCGAACCGCATTATCTCAATCTGACTCAGCCCCGCTCCAATCAACACTCCCCATTGCTGCTCTCAAACATAAATAATTAAATTAAATCAAATTAAATTAAATTAAATTAAATTAAATACATAAAATCCAGTTAAAAAAATACAACCTCAGAACCCAGTTTAACTGTGTTTTTCCTCAGAATGGAGAAAAGGGAAAACTCACAACAAGCCGGAATGTACCAAACCATCTAGACTTTTATTATACGCGTTGAGTGGGCTCCGTCGCGCGAACGCGTCGTTGAGGGAGGAGATATGGTCCATCCAGCGGGCCATTGGCACCCGTGGAGACCGCGGCGCAAACCGACGGTCGCTCCAATCCCCATTTTGGGCTCTTCATCACAAAGTGCATATGACTTGTACGACAATACATCTCTCAAGCGCTTCCCTCTTTCCTTGCCTTGCTTGTCTGAGTCTCATTACACGGAGGTAAATGAGTATATTGGGTAAAAGAGGGGAGAGACATAGCGCGCTAATTGGTGCTAATTGGGGCGAAAATGGCCACGTGATTTGTCTGATTTTTTTACTGACAATTCTCCATTTTCTCTCTGTCAATTTTCTGCTGTTTTCCGACATTTTCCCATTTTTCCCAGTTTTTTTGGGATTTTTTACGCATTTCTATTTTTCTCATTTATCCCTCATCCCAACTTCGGACCCAATTTTTCCGCACCAAAAACCGAACCGTTACTGCCCAGCCAGTCCAACCTTATTTGTATCGAGCATAAACTCTTTTTGTCGTGCATAAACTCTGTTTAAACTCTATTTCGCTATCACCCTGGTGACGTACATTCCAAAAGGGTCTGTTTATACACACAATCCTTCGACGCATATCCAGTGCGAAATGAGAGACAAGGATACGACGAGATGGAGAGCGTGTGAAGCGGTTATCGAAGGATAGCAACCAGTTGCAGATTCGTGTGTTGCCGTATTTTATCCATTTTCAACCACTTTCCGACCGATTTTAACCAACTAGTTTTATTGCACAGCCCACCGGTCATCGGAGATATAAATTGGGAGGCTGAGTAGACATGAGCCGAGCTGAGCACTGGGACAAGTATCACGGGATGGACTAAGCCCTTTTCCTAGACTCACGGATCGAATGCGCTCTGGAGAAAAAGAAAAGGGAGCGAAGCGGGAGCGAAACGGGCAAATGAACCAGGCTTCCCGCTCCAGGTCTGTTCTCCAGGTCTCCACCCACCCACCAAAAGAGCCCAAGGATCGTCGATGCGTCTTCCGTTTGGGGAGAAATGGATCCAGGAAGAGTCAAGAGTGGTTAAAGTAAGTAGAATGAGGCGATTTATTCACTATTCGTTGATCTGAGCCGGCGGGTTTTTATCAGTTGATTTATAAGCAGTGCCAACGGCTTTTTTTTTTTTTTGTCAATGCTGGCGATTCATTGCCAACAGTACATACGGTCAACATAATGACCTGAATCGGACCCTATTGTCTCACAGAGACCCTCCATTTATTACAGTGTATTTACGCGTATCTAGACAATACTCTACCTCCAATCCATCGCTTGCCTCTCCCTTGCTGTCCTTCTTCCGCACCGTGGAACTTTGCCTATTAAAATAGAAAAAAATAAAAAGGACAATAACTAAACAATGTGCTGAGATTGTTGCCTTCTTATACTCGCAAGTCATCAATCGGACCATCAGAAACCGACCCGACTCCAATCCTTCCATTCACCCACCCCATTTTATCCCCATCTTGATTTTTCTTTTCTTTTTTCTCTTCTCTTTTTTTTCTCTTTTTTTTCTTTTTTTTCTTTTTTTTTCCAATGTGTTTTTTTCTTTAATTCTTTTTTAGAGGAAAAAATCCTCCATTTTTTCCTTTTCCTAAATGATTTAATTAACTCCACTAAATGAAATCTCATCTGCACATCCCACAAACCATACATACAAACTCGCAAGGCTACCAGTACGCAAGCTCAGTGGGGCTGTGTGTTTCTATTTCTACTTTCAGTTGGTCCAATTAGACGGCACTCTTTTTTTGGCTGGGACCCCCCTTCCCCATTTTCGACTTTTTTTTTTCCGCTGTAAATCACCACTTCACAAATAAATACCCCGTAAAATACCTCAAAAATTAAATAATAATAATAAAAAAAACCTCGTATCGGGCCGTATCAGACCATTTGGAATAATATTCGTTGCACATATACTGTACATTCGTCGGCAGGGTAACATGGGGTGCGGCGAACATGATATCCCTCTCTTGTGTCGGTTAAATTGGATGGAGATGTGATGAGGTTTTTGGGAATTCCCAGTAAAAGAAAAGAAAAAGGAAAAGAAGAATAAATCAACAAAAAACAACGAAATCTGCTTTTTGTCATAGATTGAGAATTCGACATTGCTCAAAACAATCGACAGATCAAGAGTCTCATAACTGCAAACACACCACTTGTTCCGACATCTGGCGGGCGTCAGATCCCACCTGCACAGTAGTAGGACCTCAAGACAGAACAATGTCAAGTAGCTGGTGGGAACTTTGATGAGTAATAACCAGGTATGGTATTAGCTGACTAATGATCAACTTTAGCCATCCAGAGCGGCTCCCAGGAAATAACCGGGGGTTGCCGGACAGAAGTCTGAATGGGCGTGGCATCCACTCGGAAAGAGTAGGCAAGCGACTCAGTAGGAGGTCACAGGAGTTCACACTTGGCCAGGGAGCTCCGAGTGTGAGAAACCAACGGTCCACATCCACTCTCACTCCCTTCGCTCCCCTCGCGCCCCCCGCTACCTCGCAACGCTCGTCCACCCACACTTCCTACACCATCAAACCCTGCTCTGGTGACTATATGGAGACCATTGGCTGGGACCGTGCTGGAAAAAGTGGCAGAACTGGAGCGTAGCAAGAGTTCCAGGAAAGCGCAAGTAACCGGATCATATCAAGGTCGCATGCGGTACCCCGACAGAGTCAGCTGGAGATGTGTATGTGACCGAGACTGCATGATAGTAGTACAAGTATCTGTGTCAGTTTCTGTTTTTCATATCGTATCGGGTGACGACGAGGGTATCTGTGTCATATCTATCTGTGTCTGAGACTGGGTGGGTGGGGATATCTGTGGTGTCGTTTGGGTCTGTTTGTGGCATTGTTTGTGTCAGTTGTGTCACCGTTGTGTCACCATCTTGAGTAATGTGTAAGAGAATAGGTTTTTTATATTTATATTTATATTTGTATTTATATTTTATTTTATGTTAAATATTTTTTCTCTTCTGACATCTACCCATACGCTCAGATGCCACCATGGGTACAACCAGAACTCCGTCATCTACAACCATCTGGGGTACAGGAGCAATGGTGAAGTCACGTGTCCATGTCCTTGTACCGCATCGCAAAACCAGAATGAAAAATTCTGTCGACAGCTGAATGGGCGATTTCCGCCGTGACATGTGCTAGTTGGGGCAGCGGATAAGCGGCCATTAGTTGCTCATTAGTTGGACACAGCTCACATATTTGAGGGTCCAAGTAATACGCGACTAATGTTCAACAGTACGTCGACCAGTTCGAGGCCAGTTCCGTTCACATCAGCTTCCCTTGAGGGCTGTCTGATGGTGAAGACAGGGTGATACCCAAGTCAAAGGCAGGGTACTGCTCAACACCTCGATCTGCCTGTTGGTGTGTGGCAACTCTTGGGTCCGCAGAGTCAGGTACTTTCGCTACGAGTATTGTACAGTACTTGTACTCGTACTTGATGCCGACTTCCTATCCTTTTCCTTCGATCAGGTTGACCGTCTCGTCGAGCACGAGAACACACATGCCCCTGAACACGCCCTTCTCCAAAGGCCGGGTCTTAGCCGAACAGCATGAGAACGATCTGAAAAGATCTGAATGACTCGGCGTTGATCTCATTCAACCACAGTATCTGGCTGAGAAGGAGGTCCGGGAGACGAAGAAGCGAGACAATGACTACTAAAAGTTGTTCGTGGCATGGAGATCCACACTTCCACAGAACACGAGTACTCGTAGGTATCGCACTCTTAGTGTACCACTACACGACCATTCCATTACGTGATTCATTATTAATCCATACATACTGTTCCATGCATATAACTGTGGTATCTGTTAGCGTGGGATGCCATTCTAGTGTGTCCGATAGCTGTTCTGGGTGAGAGGGGGGTTAATGACAAAGTGATCTGATCGGGTCATGTGATTGGGTCATTTGAATGGGTCATGTGACCAAGTCATCTCAGTGGATAAATCATGCAGTCATCTAAATACCGCCAAATCTCTACGACCTCTTGGTTCTGGAGACCTTTCTCACGCCGGTCTCGCCACTGACTTGTCGCACCGATGCCTGGCGCCGGGATGCGCTCCGAACCCTCAATGGTGACTTTTTCATGTCGTTCTCCTGGTCGAAGTCCAGCTGTTTGGAGGGCGACCGCAGCTGCTGCTGGTGCGAGGGTCGTCGGGAGGGCGAATGAGAGGCCGTGACAATCAGCGAGCCCTCTACGTCCTCGCAGACTGACACAGACACGGACCGCGACGGCTGACGCGACGGCATTTGTCTGCTGCTGACCACTCGTCGCGCCGAGGCGATCGAGCCTTCTCGTTCCTCGTCCGAGTTGTAGACGGTGTCATGGGAAGTGGAAATGTACCGTTTGGGACGGATGGCGGAAATGCCCACACTTCCAGATCGATGGGCCGGACTGGGGGAGTTTTTGCGGGGCTGTCCGGGAGTAGGGGCCGGCAGAATCGAGTTGCAATGGTCCATGTCTCCGAGAATTGATCGTTCGGGTGTTTTTGGCGGGGGGGTTGACGGCAGAATGGAGTCATGGGTTACTGCGGAGGCTCCCAGAGAGCCCAATTGTTCCTCCTTGCGCCGGATCTGGTCCTGGAGAGCGCTCAATTGTTGTCTCAATTTGCACTGTTGGTCGGCAATGGGCACCAGGGGTCGCAGGTTGGCCAGCTTGTAGCTGGGGGTATCGCTGACGACCATGGTTCGTTTCCAGTCTCTGAACTCGTTCTGGTGGAGGTAGAGCCAGTGTTGTTGGGGGCCCACCACCATTCCTGGCCGCAGAAACCGCATGTAGGCAATACATTCGGCGGCGGTGAAGCCGTAGGAGTAGATGAGATGGGCGCCAATCAGACACCCCGTGCGGCCCAGGCCGGCCTTGCAATGAACGGCGATCTTGCCGCCCTGTTCGATGATGCATTCAGCCGCGCCAACAAACTTTTTGACCATGTCCATGGTGGGCACGGTGCCATCGTCGAAGATCATGTCCACGTGCTTGATTCCGCGTTGCTCGAACTGACGAGCGTCGTACAGAATCGAGTTGAGACGCACCACCAGCTGCACGTTGTGGGTCTCAAAGTAGTCGAGCACGTTGTTGAAGGCGTGGTCCAGCGGGGTGAGAAAGTCCTCCTGCTGCGGTGACGCAAACGCAATGTAATGAGGAGGCAGCTCGTTGAAGTCGCCCTGGTCCACTTTTTCATACTGCTCGTACTCGTCGAGATTGAAGTGGCGCAGGTCCAAAAAGCCCTTTTCCTTGGCCCGCCAGCACCCGTAGACCACGTCCTGGATGGTGAGAATGAAGTCAGCAGTCGAGTAGCCGGCGTCGCGGAACGGCATGAACGGAGGCTCCGCCTGTGCAATCGGTGCCAATGCCAAATGAGGAGGCCACGACTGGATCAACACCATGTAACAACACAGAAGACAGGCGGCATTGGCTCGGTATCGGGGATCAGGATACGAGTAGAACATGACCGCCTTGTCCTCGTTCTCCGCCAGAATCTCGTGAAGAGCAACCGCAAATCGGTACAGATGACCGGCATTCAGAGGCCCGAAATCCAGATGAAACGGGTTGTAGGGAAGAGCATCGTCGACCGTGAAGTAGACGGTCGTCTCGGTGTCCTTGGGGGTGTGCGCATATGCTCCGAGATAGACCCGGTCCTTGAGGAACTCGATTGGTTCCACTTTTTTCATCGTAGTGTGGAGTGGAGGAATGAAGGTGGTGAAGGTGTTGTAGTTGGGGTGACCTAGATGGTGTAATGGTGACACTGGCAATGTAGTGGTGACACTGGCAATGTGGTGGGGACGACAAGGACAAGGTGATGGGCACGCACAAAAATGTAATGGTGCAAACGTTCGCTTCTATCGCACAAACAACTCCACAGACTCTGCTCAAGAAGATCTCAAAAACATCTACACATATACTTGTTAGTGAACTGATAAGGTTCGGGCTTGTTTATGTTTGGGACGAGCCGTATTGGGAAGCCCTAACCCTATAAATAAAACTGTGGGTCTGTGGGACGATTGACTGGATATTTTTCGATTCTGAAAAGTGCATTTTGTAGCATGAAATGAGTGAATTACAATGGTAGTTTTATATTAATAATAATCCCAACACAGCGTCAATAAAATGTGATTGAAATTTGAAACTACACAAACACATTTAGACCCAAACTATATTTTGTATAAATACAAACAGTGTCAAGATCAAAAAAAAATCAGGAGGTTGATGACAAAGCCCAAATGGGGGCTTGATCACTCAACTTAGTCATCGTATCAAGGGAGTATGTTCAATTACGTAACGCCGTCTTACTAACTCCCTTTCCAGCAGACCAATTGACTGTCTGGGAATCCAACTCGTCTTAATCACACTCGTGTTATGGTTATGACCATTATGGTTCCCCGTTGAACGCTATGTACCGAGACATGGGCCCGTTGCTAGGTGGATCCGGTGTTGAGTAAGCGCTTAGCAGTGAGCGGGAGAGCAGGGTCACGTGATAGATATAAAACCCGTGAGTAAATTCTTTAGTTACATAACTCCCACCCCTCTCGCGTCCTGTGACTAATCATTTCAGTCGCTCATTACCTCTGCCACACAGACAGCCTGCCTCGCATTGTTTGTTTTGACCCCTATTTACAATTATACATGGTCCAAACAGTGCAAACAGTGCAACGGGGGGTCTCCAGAATGCTGACTAAGGACGACAACACAATTTCAAAGACTGATTCAGAGTCAGCTGAATAAGGCAAAAATAATGACATTCTATTTCAAACAGTTTTCAAATTGTCCAATTTTCCCCTCGAAATTTCGACCTTTATTATTTAAAGTTCATTACGCATGATCAATGCATCTAAGACGCAGTAGAGATGGGGGAGCAGTGGGTGATGGTGGGGGTCACGTGACCAGCCAGTCAGTCACGTGAGATACAGGAAGAAGCGGTGAAGGGGGTGGTCATGTGACTGGTCACACTTAAATTACGTCATCTAAGGAGAAGGACGCGCACACAACTCGTATGGTTGAAGGGTGCCGGGGAGCTTTTTCTGTTTTTTTTTTTTGTTTGGTCATGTGATCAGTCACGTGAGACAAAAACAGGTGCTGCTCTCCACACATGTGATTCTGCAGTACCCTTGTCAGTGCCGCTTAGTAAGTCTCGTCACTTAGTAGTCACTCCGCTGAGTAAGCATCTTTGCTTAATAAGCTACGTCGCTTACTAGACGCACATTGCTTAATAAGCCACCATCTGAGCCTCGTGCACTAAAAGCGCTAACGCCGAATCTGGTTTGTCTGCATGATGGCCAGTAATCAGGGTGAGTAATCCACGACGTGGTCATGCATTAGCGGATTTATCTGCGCTAGTCACCCCGCAGGACGGAATAATACGAATCTATTTGTAGTTGTTGTTGGGGAATATTATTCTTGATTTTTTCTGATTTATTTCGATTTTTTGAATTGTTTTGATTCACGTTGAATTTCGGAAAATTTATATAAATAACGTTAAATCGAGAACACGGGGAACATCAGATCGAACAAAAACAAAATAATTGAAAAAAAAAACAAAATGAACCGACAATATTGACATTATTTTTCGGTTGCGCGAAAAGGTTAGACTGCAACATAATACCGTTGGCGTTAAGTGAGACGCAAAAAGAGAATGATAAAACATATGACTGGGCCGTCGAAGATAGAGTAACGCAAATGAACGCCGTCGAAATTTCACGTAAGTAGAACAATTCAGCGCCGAATCAGCTACATGTTCCTTGCTTACTCATTCTCCAGGTCCAAGTCCATTTTTGCCACGTCATTCCCTCCTCCCCCACAGAACCTAGAATCACATGGTTTGGCCAATGGAACGAGTTTCAATGTCGGAACGGTGCTGGGGAGACTCGGAACGGGAAATTGCGAGCGTGTTATCTTTTTTTCTGTGCTGAGATGCAGCTCACGTGACTGCGCATTTCTGCCCTCGCCATGGACTCACGTGACTGTTCAGCATGCGCCACTATTTTTTTCTATTCTTTCTTTTTTTTCTATTTTGTCTATTTTTTGTCTATTTTTGCCTGTTTTTTGTCTATTTTCCCAATTTTCCCCATTTTCCCCATTTCCTCCCATTTCCCCCAATTTTCCTGATTTTTCCAACACCAAATCCCCCATTTTTCGCCCCAATTGCGTCCAAACATGCGTCTTATTTTCTCCACGTGACTTATCCCCGCGCAAATGCCCAATGTGTGTGCCGAACCTTCATGTGCTGTCCTGAAATTCCCGACGAGTTTATTTCAAAGGGGGGGGTAACATGGATTGGGAATAGTGGTGGCAATTTTTGGGGCGACTAAAAGCGCGGATATTTGGGAACTCCACACTTAATCAGGGGTGCGTTGTCAAATAGCACACACGTGACCAAATTACTAAGCGCTCGTAGCTTCCGCGCTGACTCCTCATCGCCACAACCAATCATTCCACGTCGGTGCGTTACCGTTGCCATGTGTTAAAGCATGTAATCTGGAGACCAAATAAAGTTAGTACCGAGCCGAGGTGATGACGTCCTGCCGACCCCACATTGGCCAAAAGGTGGTTCAGCCAGAATACCCAGTTTTGGAGGTATTTGAAAAATGAAAACGATATTGAAAATAACAAAATCCGAGAATCAAAACGCACTTTTCAAAAATCCCATATCTCCTCCACATCCCCCACAAACCCGAACCCCTAGTCTCAAAATTAAGGTTCAACCCCAGATACCCCATTTTTTTCATGCTGGCCCTTATATTAACCGTGGCTGCCCTTTTTTAAGTCCCCTTCTCCACTATCACCTTGTCGAAATCCCAACCACAATGACAGCTGGACTAGTTGCTGCCGCCGCCATTGGAGCCGCCTACCTGGAGGCCAAGACGCTCATCTCCGAAGATGCCTACATGATCCGAGGCGCCATGACCAACGGTCTGGATTTTTTCTACAACGCCTGGAAGGGCCGAGTGCAATACTGGTACGCGTTTGAAGACGCGGTGAAGAAGTACCCCAACAACCCGGCAATCGTCTACCCCAAGCCCATCGAGGGCAAGAAGCCCAGCGGCGACTCGTACGACGACCTGTTTGACGTGGAGACCTTCACCTACCAGCAGCTGTACGATGAGGTGCTGAAAATGTCACACCTGCTGCGAAACAAGTACGGAGTGACCGCCAACGACACCATTGCCCTCAACGCCATGAACTCGCCCCTGTTCATTATCGTGTGGTTCGCCATCTGGAACCTGGGCGCCACCCCGGCCTTCATTAACTACAACCTGGCCGACAAGTCGCTGCTGCACTGCCTCAAGGTCGGACATGCCTCCATCATGTTCGTCGACACCGAGGTCGAGGGCAACGTGCGACCTTCGCTGGCCGAGATCAAGTCCGAGGCCAAGTGCGACACCGTGTTCATGGACGACGACTTCCTCGCTGCCTACGCCGCCTCCCCGGCCTACAGAGCCCCCGACTACGAGCGACATCCCGAGCAGAAGGACTATGACACTGCCGTGCTCATCTACACGTCCGGAACCACCGGTCTGCCCAAGCCCGCCATCATGTCGTGGAAGAAGGCCAAGCTCATGTCGTCGCTCTACGGCCACTCCATCCGGCTCAAGAACAACGGTGTCGTCTACTCCGCCATGCCTCTCTACCACTCCACCGCCGCCATTCTCGGCTGTCTGCCCTGCCTCAACCGAGGAGCCGCTTACGCCCCCGGCCGAAAGTTCTCTACCACCACCTTCTGGACCCAGGCCAAGCTCACCAACGCCACTCACATCCAGTACGTCGGAGAGACCTGCCGATACCTGATCAACGCCCCTCCCTCTCCCGACGAGAAGAGTCACCAGATCAAGGTGGCGTTCGGCAACGGAATGCGACGAGATATTTGGGTCAAGTTCAAGGAACGATTCAACATCCCCGCCATCGGCGAGTTTTACGCCGCCACCGAGGGTCCTCTCGGAACCAACAACTTCCAGCAGGGTGAGATTGGTATCGGTGCCATGGGCCGATACGGTAAGCTTCTGGCTGCCATCCTGGCCACCCGACAGACCATCGTTCCTGTGGATCCCGAAGACGAGACTGAGCTGTGGCGAGACCCCGAGACCGGCTTCTGCCGAGTCGCCCAGTCCGACGAGCCCGGTGAGTTCATCCAGAAGATCCCCAACCCCGAGAAGGTGCACGAGACCTTCCAGGGATACCTTGGTAACGATAAGGCCACCAACTCCAAGATTATGCGAGACGTGTTCAAGAAGGGCGATGCCTACTACCGAACCGGTGATCTGGTGCGACTCAACGACGAGCAGTGCTACTACTTTGTCGACCGTCTTGGAGACACCTTCCGATGGAAGTCCGAGAATGTGTCCACCTCCGAGGTGGAGGAGCACGTTGGCGCTTCCGACCCCAACATTGAGCAGGTTGTCTGCGTGGGTGTCAAGGTGCCCGAGCACGAGGGCCGAGCTGGTTTCGCCGTGGTGAAGCTCAAGGACGCTTCTGTCAAGCCCAACCTTGACCAGATTGCCGAGTACTCGCTCAAGCAGCTGCCCAAGTACGCCGTGCCTCTGTTCATCAAGTTTGTCGACGAGATTGAGCGAACCGGCAACAACAAGGTGCAGAAGGTCAAGTACAAGAACCAGAAGATGCCCCATGAGGAAGGCGAGAGCCCCATTTACTGGCTCAAGGGCAACAAGTACGTGGAGCTCGATGCTGGAGACTGGGCTTCTCTGGGATCCGGAAAGATTAAGCTGTAAGGAAAGAGAGCAGCAAACAACCGAAGTGAGTGGCCGTGGGTCACGAATAAATAGATGTTATTATATTGAAAATGTTGAAAGTGACGAGGGGCGTGTGTGAGTCGAAAGCTATATCGTACCGATCTGTCCCGCATTCCAATGAATGTGTGCGGAAATCGCTGCAATGGATTCAAAAGTGGTTCCAATCGACAGCTCTTGACCAGGGGAGCACACAAATCAGGTATTTTTTATTGCGCTAGTATCACTCTACATCCAGTTATTGTATGTCGAAATGGCTGTATATCTTGGATTGTGTCAATATCTCCACGTGATCATTACATAAGCGCCAAATGACGAGACTTTTTTCTTTTCTTTTCTTTTTCTTTTCTTTTCTTGTCGACTGTGTAGATCCAGCACCAGTTGTTGAGTCGAGTGAGTATTTCTTTTTGTCGATTTTTCTGACGAACTTCATTTCGAACTGGTATTCACTCGAACAAGATGAGTATCACTAGCACACGAGCAACATGGAGGTAGAATAACCAGAGGGGAATGATATTGATAGTTGATGTGGCTGAAGTTCGTAAGATGAGAGCATGAGACGATCTACAAGTAGTTACTAGCTAGTAATGTTTTCTTTTCTTTTATTTTATTTTATTTTATTTTATTTTATTTTCTTTTATTTATTATTTATTATTTAATTTTAATTTATTTAATTTAAATTTCTTTCCTCAAAAACTGACAACACAATCCATGGTCTAAACATCAACATACCCGTGGAAGACAAGACACAAAATACACCAAGCCGACCATCTACATCTCTCTTAACCATTTCAAATCACATTCACGGACCCATTTCACACATCACTAGTCCACTACCCGCTGACTAATCAAACTCTATGGAACACGTCGGCATATGCATGTGCCAGCATCACGACATTCTCTACTGTTCAATTACTACACAACATGTCTACTATTGAGAGTGAGTAAGCCGACTCGCCTTACAGCCCCAATTAGTTTCTAACACAGATATCCTCGACGCGCGATTGGCGTTTTTCACCGGCGACACCAAGTCGCTTTTGGCCTCTTCTCCGTCGGAGATCAGAGACGAACACAAAGATGGCGTGGCCTTCCTCAAGTACCGGGCTGAGATTGCCAGCGGTCTGAGCCCCGCCAGCTTTGATGACGTGTCTTCTCCGGCCACCAGAGAGGCCCTCAAAGCCTACGCCAAGTTTGTGGCCTCTGGTCACAAGGACGCAGCCATTCTGTCGGGTCTGGCGTCATCCAACACAGACAACGAAGCCGTCCAGCTGTTTGGCGCCACGGGCCTATACCTCGAGGGCAAGATGGACGAGGCGCTTTCTCTACTGGAGAAGCACGAGGGTTCGTTCGAAGCCGTTTTGCTGACCGCCCGGATCCTGGTGGACCAAAACAAGATCGACGCTGCCCACAAACTCATCCGTGACTACGCTCGAACCTCGGATGATGACGTGGCCTATCTGCTGGCCTCTGCCATTGTCGCCATGCGGGCCAACGGCGATGACCATGTGCGATCCGCCTACTACATTTTCGAGGATCTCTCGCAGCACAAGACTGGCAACATGCTGCTTGGCCAGGCGCTCACAGAAATCCAACTGGGTCGAATCGACGAGGCAAAGGAGACTCTGTCCAAGGTCGACGAGGTGGCCCCCCAGGATCCCAATGCTCTCATGGCCAAGATTGTCGTGGGTCTGTCTGAGGGCGACGATGTGACCGAGCTTAAGGACGAGCTGAAAAAGGTGGATGCCAAGCACCCCATTTTCGAGGAGCTAGCCGAGAAGAATGCGCTGTTTGATAAGGTGGTTCTTAAGTACGCCGACAAGATTGTCGCGTAAGGTGGTATATATTTTATAGGATGATTGTACAAGTACAAGTACAAGTATGGGTGTAGCGCGATTAGACCGTGAAAGAGGCCAGTCAGCTCACTCTTCCAACAGTCAATCTGAATCAGATGGATGTCGGGCAGATAACATGCCGGTTTACGTACATCTCTTCTAATAATATGTAGGTCTCTCATGGAATTCATGTGTTTCAGGTCCACGTCCAGGTCGTCAGAAAAACTGGGGAAATGTATGTTAAATATAGACAGAAATGGTTAAAAAAATACATTGTACTCTTGTCACTCATTTTATGTACAAATATTAATCGTCATTATATCCCTATGAGCGCATTTCTGTCGCTGAATAATCAATATGAGGATGTCAGAAAAAGGAATCGAAAATCGGACTTGAAAGGGTTCTAAGAGATGATTGTAAAAGTGGATACATCTTCAATTGTCTTTTAAACGCTAGCTGACTTGTTTTAATACTCTTTTTCAGCTCTTCCGTCACATTCGTGTGTCGTTTCTTGGGCCTGAAAAAAAACCAGCACTCAGTATGACATCTAGGAGATCTATAATTAGTAAGGAATATCGTGTATTACAATTTTATGGCCCGTGAAAAAGGATTCTAGACGATTTCATTGACATAACAGTCCCAATCCAAGCGCTATTCCACATCCATTGAAATCCACGTTTTTGGTGTGGTTTTGAAAGACATTTTTAAGGCTATATTACGCTCAGGGAAAGATTAAAACTTGTTCTGATTATTAATTTGTCTCCTAAAGGTCTCCTAAAGTCTTTTAATATGTTTTTCTTATCATATTGGCAGAGATTGGTATTTTTTGGCAAAAAAAATGGGACTTTGGATTATATTAAAAATTCACTGTAACAATAAAAACTGGGTCATTAGTATAGTGGTAGTATGCCTGCTTCGGGCGACTGAAGCATCCTGTGATTGCAGTACAATCATAACTTGCAGGTGACCCCGGTTCAAACCCGGGATGACCCCCTTTTTATTCTTTTATCCATTTTTTTAATTTTTTTAATAGAAAAAAAAACTTACATATTCTTCTTGCCAATAATATTTTCTCACCGTTCCTGGTTTCCTTTAGTATCGCGATGCCAGAGTGATTATGTTCTAATCGAACTTGTATTAGTGATGTACATACATGGTCGGCTGGTTACCTACGGATTTTGGTCCATTGAATGAGATGATGAGAGTTTCCAAGCATGTTAGTCAGCTCCTGGAGACTGACATCCACTCGAGTCATGCGGATTTCGTCGTCCAGAGAAGTGTCTGAGGCCAATTGTTTGGCCACTCGCTTGGCGCTTTTCTCCACCGGAGACAGGAGGTTGAGAGACTCGAGTTTCTCCCATGCAGCTCGTGCCACTCCTCTGCTCCAGATTCGGAACCCAGCAACTGTTCCCGTGGCCATTCCCTCCAGATCAACCGCTCGAAGGGCTTCTCTCTGCTCCTTGGCGGTCTTGATGTACTCTTCATAGGCCAGATTGAAATTGACCTGATCAACCTCGAACATAACTTCCACCTTGGCAGCACAGATGATGAGAGACAGCTCCAGGTCAGATAACCCTTCAATAAACGACTCGGTATCGGCCACGCCTCTCTCAAAGACATCAGTGACAAAGTCGTTGGGGTTGATCCAGGGGTTTGCTTGCGACACCGCCAAAATGGCCGATGTGAAGAACTCCCGACAGGATTTCGTGGTGTGAAAGAGACGCTCAACATGATCTCGTAGAGGACCGGCCTGAAACATGCTCTCCCAATGCCAGTTCCAATATCTCACAGTGTCCAGATCCACGTCAGTATGCAATGCTGTCTTGTTCCCGCCCTCCTCCTTGACCATGGTCAACAGATTTTCAGGATAAATGACTGCGTTTCTGAGAATGGCCCAGAAGTCATTCATACCGTGCTGTCTCTTGACCTGAACCACCCGCTGTGAAAACCGACTCCGCACTCGCTTTTCGAGAAGCTCACGGGCGTTAATTCGAGGGGTCAGTCCAATCACAGCAATAGGTGCACGCGATGATTGCGCGACATCAAACAGAGTATACAACAGTGTCTGTTTAGTGGTTGAACAGAACCGATCGAATTCATCAAGAATGAAAACCAAAGAGACAGTTTCCTTTTCGCTCTCGTCAATGTCGGCACGGTCAAACAGAGATAGGATCTGATTGAGAGTCTCCGAAATACTCTTGTTCTCAATCAATTGGCCCTGGTTTAGTAACACAGTGTCCAACTGTCGTGCTATTTCTCGTACTGCCATTTTATCGTCTGTCTGGGCGTACCCAGACAATCTGATGGTGATGAAGTTGTTTTGTGATCCCGCGCTGTTGTATTTCTCTTCCAGTTCTGTCAGTGCAGATTCCACAATGAGAGTCTTTCCGGTTCCTCGAGGACCGACAATAATGCACGAGTTTCCCTCTCCAAACCGAATGGCGTTCTCCATCAGACTGTATACTCGGGCCTTTTCGCCGTCGAGAAAAATCGGCTCAGGGATGCTTTTGCCCGTCAAAATTGACAGCGTTCTGGATTTGATGGTATCAATCATGGTCTCACTGACAGCTTCAGGTTTGGGCACCTGCGGAGGAGGTAGCACGGGAGCTGCAGGTTCCACCACTTCCTCGACGATTTCCACGTCCATTTTGTCGCCCGTCGGGGTGATTTCGCCGCCAATTTCGGGGAATTCTGATTCCATGCCGTAAATAGTAGTGTCTATTAGTAATGTCGTGACCGAGTGTGAGTGTTGGTGTCAATGATGAAGTACCAGCTGGTGGTTTATAATGTCTTTCCGCCAGCTCTTGTCAAAGTCGTGTAGTAAATGCGTGTATCGTCAGTGCGTGTGTCGTCAAAGTCGTGTAGTAAATGCGTGTATCGTCAATGCGTGTATCGTCAATGCGTGTATCGTCGATGCGTGTATCGTCAATGTCTAGTGTCGTCAACGTATTGATCCATCATGATATTTCTACCTGGTGTTGTGCATGTACCGAACTTAATGGTCGATGGTGTTGATTAATAAGCACCGCAGCAATACCGGGATGGAGATTGGAGTAAGAAAGGGGATGTGAAAAGAAGAGAACTGTGAATAAATATTAAGTAAACACACTTATTTTGCTTAATAATAGAATTATATTGAATTACATATATTATTTTTAATTTTTATTTTAGACGAAAATCTCATCATAAAATAAGACTGCTGCGTAAAAAAAAGAAAAAAAGAAAAAAAAAAGAAGAAAAAAAAAAGAAAAAAAAAAGAAGAAAAAAAAAAGAAAAAAAAAAAGTCAGACCGCCGGAAACGCCATGTCGGACAAAAAAGCCGAGTTTGAGAACGATTGCCGTCAATACAACCAATTGAACCGAAATTTGGTCCCTCTTTCCATGCATACCTGTCCCCTACTTGTAGGGCGCCGGCTGCCCAGCTATTAATAAGACAAAAAACCCTATTTTCATATTTATCGTATCATGCGTCTCCCCACATCTCCAGCAACACAACCAAACCACCTACCAACACACAAAACACCAATTCAACATGGCCACACTTTCCAAAGAAGTCGAGCAGCTACTTACTAATGCTGGATTTGTGCATTTGGGCACGTGCCACAACAACCAGCCCAACGTGACCCTCATGAACTACACGTATATTGCCGACGAGCAGGCCATTGTTTTGACCACTCGAAAGTCCTCCACCACATATGTCAATCTATCGCAAAACCCATTAGTGTCTGTGCTTGTGCACGACTGGGTCACGGCCCGATCTCGTGTGGTGGGGGGCCAGGAGCCGTCGCTGCTGGAGCTGCTTCAGAACATCAACCAGAACGAGATCAGCTCCATGAGTGTGACTCTCAATGGCTCCGCACGAGTGGTGGAGGACCTGGCCGAGGCCCAAAAGTACCTTGCTAAACACGAGAAGGCCAACCCCGACGCCAAGCAGTTCATTGAGAACCAGGAGATTGCCCTTCTGCTCGTCACCTTCAAGGAGGTCAAGGTTACCGAAGTTGATGTTTAGTTGTGCCACAAGAGCAAGAGCGACAAGAACAGCCAGCAACCACCACCAAGTAACGCCAATTCCATTTCTTCTGATGATATTGTGGGTGCTGGTAGATTCAATGCATGCTAAGTCATTGCAGTCTCCAAACCTACAAGGTTCCGTAACTTCTTGTACGATACAGTACATACTCGTACCCTGTACTTGTAACAACATGTACAGTACGTAGCTTATCATTATTCGTGGCTTGTCCCTCAATACTTCAATTTGGTCGGTTTCGATTACAATAAATATATTCATTAGTGTACATGTTGGAAGATGTGTTCTTGTATCTGAGAAACATCACCATTCGGGGCCGCCTTGTTGCGGCACATTATCATCCCACTGAGACAACTCTCGTCTTCTTTCCGAAGTGTCCACTCGGTCTCCATATCGCAACGAAGAGTCCAGTTGAGATGAAGGCACAGCCAACGAAGACTCGTCGTCATGTCCATAAGTAGGCTCATCATCCTCGTCGTCCTCGGGGTTGTCACTTTCCGAATAGATTATGGGCTCCTCCTTCTTGCCGGCCTTGCGGATCTTGATCATTTCCTCCATGCCTTCTACCACAAACGGTCTCATTTCGTTGATCTCCAGAGCCCCCAGTCGGTCCATCTGCAGCATGTTTTCGTTGACCTCCTTCATACCCTGTCGACTTTTTTGCTCCCGCACCTCTCGGATATCTCGCACGAGGTTTCGGATCACCTGTGGCGGCGAGGTGAGGTCGTCTGGAGCGGTGGTGAGCACAATCTGGGCGATTTCCAGCCAGTGGAAATCCACGTTGGAGAACGCGGTGGGGTTGGCATGCTCAAAAGCCAAGATCCGCCGCAAATTGCTTTCCTCCATCCAGTCCGGGGGCACGAACTGACACCGCTGCTGTTTCTTGAGCGCGATGGCCATCCAGATGGGGACTCTGTTCTTTCGAAGAGGATGCATGAGAGGCAGATCTGTGCCTGCCAGCTTGATGGGGTTGCCGACTCGTCGCGGCAGGATCTCGATGGTCTCATTCTCCGCCATGAAATGCAGCTCCGACGGCAGGAAGGTCTCCAGCTGTTCCGCTGGCACCGACATTTTTTCTTCTTGCTGGTTGGTGTGCGACGATGGCTAATCTAATCACTTCACGCGTTTCCGTTGAAATTATCCTGCATATATGATGCATGATGAAAGATTGTGGGTTCGATTACGAGGCGTATAATATTACCGAGAGAATTAAATTGGAGATACGACCACGAATACTCGGCGTGTCATGGGATAGTGACGGTTTTTGGTGGCAAATGGTCATGCAAGTTTTGATGTTTTTATGAAGAGATAGCTTCTGGTAGCTCTATTCCAAATGTCTATGAAGTCACAACCCGTATTCTTGGAGACCCCTTGGGGGCAAATGTCGAGAATACGACCGTTCTGAAGGCGCCCTTGCTTCGGTATTTAGGACCTCAAACACCAGCGTTCCCCAGACTCGTGTCAGGTCCATTCACTTATGCTCAGGTACTCATAGCAGTTCTCCTGGTCTGAAAGGATACCGATCATCGGCTCTACAGTACCTCTTCCATCTCGGGGTGGTGCGCACAAGACGGCATGTCATAGATATTCTTTTACCGCGTCACGAGCATGTGTTTCGATCTGATCATGAACATTTTCATCAACGGCATGGACTTGATGGTCGTCGGTAAGGGAATCCCGTGGAAAGCTATTACAAATACTCGTGTCTGACAGGGGTCGAATCGTCATCTGAACCACCAAGTGAACGATAACAATTGTCTGTAGTCCTCTGACACCGTCTGTAATCCTCTGAAACCCCACCTCCGATTTGATGCCTTCACATGCTGGCCGACGAAGATAGAGTGTGAGACATTTAGTGAGAGCAAAGCAAGTACTTGTAGCGATAGAGCTCTCGGATGTCTGCGCACCAGCCGGATGTCTGCGCACCAGCCGGATGTCTGCGCACCAGCCGGGATGGTTTGAGTCATGAGTCATTAGTCATTAGATTGCTAGTTTCCGGGAGAACCACAGTCGGTCTTGCGCCAAACTCCAAACTCCGATCGCGACCAAGTCTTGGATTTGGTCATCGGAGTTGGAGGTCGAGTTGGAGATCGATTTAGGACTGGACTTGAGTCGGAGTTAAGTTGGCAAGGGTTCGGAGTCTGAGGTTCGGAGTCTGAGGTTCGGAGCTCTGAGGTTCGGGAAAGTACTCGAACTTGTCGATCTGTTGACGTAATCCTCCCAACTCATACCACTGTTTCATACTGTCGTGACGTCATTTGCGACGTACAGTACCATTGGAGGAGTAGTTGTACTGTAGTGGTAGTGGTAGTGGTAGTGGTAGACGTACCCGTGGTCGTACTTTACAGTACCGCCGAACTTGTATGTCCTGTAATTAGATGAGGGTCAGAAGGGGAAGTCAATGTTCAACTTGAATGTACTTTCTCCACGCGTACCGCTTTCGCTGCCGAACGGTACTCGTACAGCATCTACGCATCCTGTATAGCAACATATCAACAAACAGCATCGACGGAGTATTCGGAAAGAGACACTAAAATGAGAGACATGAATGTGGCAACTGTGGTTGACGAGGGCTGTGGAAGAGGAAGACAAGGGTGGTGCAACGTACAAACATTTGCCAGTAGGTGCCGATAGGATCTCTTGAAGTGGTCCATCTGGAGCACAGTGGAGCCATTTCCCCCCGTCCTACCGACACCACCTCTCACACCACTGATAATCGTCATGACGTAACTGTTTTCAGGTGTTCTTTTTTTGTTTTGTTTTTTGTTTTTTTTGCTTGGCAACTTTCATGTGTCTCAGTGCAGGGTGGGATGCCTTTAATTTCAGGGGCATGTGCTAGCAACTTGCGGTGGGGGTAATTGGGGCAAAAGTGCGTCTGAGAGTTGCGAAGCGGGCCAGAGAAAGATATTCGGGGCGTCTCAACGTTTCATATTGCTCGTATCTCACGCACAACGCTCTCTTTCTCTCGGAGCTTGGGTTTTTATCGCGTTTATCACGACTTGTGCCTCTTTTCTCAAAAACCTTACGGCTTCCCAATTGGGACTTCCGTAGGCAAAAATTAAAAAAAAAATGCGCACCAAGCACTCTGACGTCACAGGGAAGATTAAAATTTGACGCACTTTTTAAGTTTCAGATAGAAGGGAGCTGAATATATACATGTCCGGCTCACTACTTGAACTTGAACAGACAAGATACACACGACACGAGTACCGCCACAAACAATGCGAAAAGAAAGTACCAAATCCAAATACACCCCTGGACAGCGAAAGCAGACGCCTCCATCGCGATCCACCTCGGTCATCTACGACTCGGCCGCCCCTTCTTTGGCTGGTAGTGTGGCCTGTTCGTTAGCATGTTCGCCCAAGTTCGGGCCCCTGGTAGACGTGCCGTTCGAGGTTCCCGATTTCGGTCTCGACGCCGAGGACGTGGACGAGGACGTGTTTGAGCCCGCCTGTCTCTCTTCCGACGCCTTCTACTCGGAGTTTTTCAGCCACGAAGACGCCCCCGAGTTCCGAGCTCCTCCGTCCAAGAAACAGAAACGATCCACCCTGCCTCTCAAACAGGTGGGCATGACCAAGGCCGAGTTCGAGGGCTCTCCCGAAACGGTGACGCAAAAAAATGACACCGTTTTCTCGTCTCTTGATAACGTGCACGACTTTCTGTTTGGAACCGAACACTCCACCCAGGGAGGCTTCCTTGGAGCCCCCAGCATCAAGGAGCTCAAGATTGTGGCTCCCTCGGCCAACAAGTTCACGTCGCCCGCCAAATACGTGGCTGTTTTTGCCCTCAACCCGCCCTGCAATGTCTCCTTTGACGACACTAAAAAGCGGGTCGAACAGTTTTTCGCCACCAAACACGACTCCTCAGCATCTTCCATCGGCCGTATTTTCATGGGCGGAAACACCGTGGAGGCCATCACACCCGAAGTGGACGCCACCGAAAACAACAACTTTGCTGGATTCGCCAACAGATTTGCCCTCACCGACAACTCGCAATTGCAAATGTATGGAACCAAGAGTGGAGGCTGGTCGGCCATGGACCCCCATTTTGAGGGCGAGCTTGTTTCTCGAGCCCGAGTCCAGACCAACTCCGTCATGGACGACTCCCTTCAGGCAACTTACACTCTCGGAAGCAGTACCAAAACCGTTCCCACCAACGTCTGTGGTCGATGGAAGCCCACTGGACAGCTCACCCCCCTAGTCCTGGCCGGCATTCCCCAGGTGGGAATTGACGATGCCAAGGCGCCCCGAGAGCTCACCATTCGGCTCAGCGAGGCCGTTTCCGCAAAGTATCTCTATGTGCGATTTGTCGGAGATGACGGCGTTGACGTTGAGTCGTTTGTTGTGCGATAGAGATACAGCATAGAACCCACTAACTTATTTATTTATAGATAGAATAGACATTAGAGATTGATGGAGGTCGTCGTAGTTGAGAAATCAGTACAGGTAGAGTGTATAGGAAGGGCTCTTAGAGACATGGCTGGAAAAAAAGCTCGTGCTTGTAGTGACTCTGATTGTGGTCATCCAGTTACTTGAGCTGATGCTCCTTATGCTCTTTGTCGTCACCGTAGGCCTTGGTACCATAATGGCCGTTGATACAGATGATATCCTGGGGTCGATAATCCTGCTTGCCCGAGAAAAAGACCTCGAGGATCTTCTTGGTACCCTCAGCGTATCGGCCCTGGGCATCAATGGAGGTTCCGGAGATGTGGGGAGTCATGGCGTTTCCACCACCGTAATTGTTTCGCATGGTTCTCCAGGGGTGGTCCTTGGGGGCAGGCTGGGGGAACCAGACGTCTCCTCCGTATCCTCGGATTTTGCCGGACTCTAGGGCCTCGACAATGTCCTCGGTGACGCAGATGGCTCCTCGAGCAGTGTTGACGAGCCAGGCTCCATCCTTCATGTGGGAGATGAGCTCCTTGTTGAAGAGACCCTTGGTGGAGGCGTGCAGAGGGCAGTTGATAGTGACAACATCACACAGAGAAAGCATTTGCTCGAGCGACTCGACTCGTCGGCAGCCAATCTCCTCTTCGACGTCGGCAGGCATGGGCTGGTAATCGTAGTAGAGCATTTCCATGGGGTCGAAAGGCTTGCATCGCTTGAGGACACGCTGACCGATTCGGCCGCCTCCCACGGTACCGATGACCTTACCCTCTAGATCGTAGGAGTCCTTGGCGACCGCCGCAACGTCCCACCCGCCGGAAATGATCTGCTCGTGGGCGGGGACAAAGTTTCGGACCAGAACGAGCATAGTCATGACAACATGCTCAGCGACGGATTGGACATTAGAACCAGTGACCTCCAGAACAGCGATATCTCGAGCGTTGGCAGCATCGAGATCAACGTGGTCCGAGCCGACTCCGGCGGTGATGCAGATCTTGAGCTTCTTGGCCTTGTCGATTCGCTCCTTGTTGATGTAGCCGGGGTGGAAGGGGGTGGTGATGACAACGTCGGCGTCAACAATTTCCTTGTCGAGCACAGAGTCGGCGCCATCCTTGGAAGAGGTGGTGACAAGCGTGTGGCCCTGGGACTCGAGCCAGTCTCGGATACCGAGCTCGTTTTCGGTGCATCCAAGGAGCTTGGGCTCGTCAGCAGCGTGAGAGCCAGCATCGTAAAGAACAAGAAGGACCTTCATGGTAGTAGTGGGTGGTAGACCGGTGTGTTGATGAAGACCAAATTCAGGACTTTTGGGTCCCTTATATATCGTTTCCTACACCATATCATGTCCGCCTCGATCTGTGGGACTTGCAGGAATGGTGTTGTTCGACGGTTTTCAGACCGGAGAGCTATGCGGCTCATTATTATTTCCTGCATGTCGCTAAAGCACTCGTGCTGCATAGAACTCTTGTTGATGTGGTCTGAGTGAACTAGACAATGGACCTATAAAAAGACCATTCCGGCACGTTGAAACAACAAAGATCAATTAATAATCAATTAAGAATCAATTAATGGCCCTCTGAAATTACTTTGAGGTCGGTGTGGCTACCAAAATATGAGTTATTCGGGCTCCTCCCCTGAACTGCCCCCGCGCTCTACAATTTTCGAGCCGCACGAACGGACCACCTGAATTTTCAAGCCGCACGATGCGGGGCCGGTGTTCAATGTTAGTAGCCAGTGTCCCGAGAGGGCTAAAAAAGTACTAAATGGGGGCTTTGGAAGGTCCAATGAGACTCATTGGTGTATCAGAGTGAAATTGGTGTGTTTAACGACCATGACACGGGTTGAAAATGGACTTTTAGTCAATTGAGCCAACTTGGGCGAAGTCTCGTACCCCTGAGCCAAGCGACACTCCATTTATCCAGATACAAAAGGTCTGAGTGGAGTCGGGCCGAGACTCGCGATTGGTTCTGTTTTTCATCCAAACACACCCACAAGAGGACTCACAATGGCTTGTCCAACAGTAAGATCTTGTCCAATACCGGCCAGCCGCTGGCAACGTTCACCGAGTAAGTTGGAAAATGAGCTACTCATCAAATAAACAGCTTCCTTCGAAATTAACACGAGTGATGGACGATGCATATGACCAACTACAAGTAGTTTACTTGGTGTCTATCAACTGAACGTCCATACCTGTATCTGCCAAAAGATCCACACCTCCAGCAACACACGTTCCAAAAACAACAATTGGAGCAAAGGCGGGTGGAGATACTCATTTGAACGGTCCTTTTATCCTCCGGAAGCCCTCGAGCCGGTCTTTTTCTTTTCTGAACCTCGTTCCGACGACCCCCACCTCGCCATAGTTGGGCGGCTAAACGTGTCCTGCACCGTGCAGTTTTGTAATGTGGGCTGATGTACAGTTCGGCAAAAACACGGAGAAGACAAAGAAGCGACCCACAGAAGAGAAGCAGAGCAACAAGAGGGTTCTTCACTCCGAATTTGCTGTTTGAAACTTGTCTGAAAGTGTCCTGATCCGCCAGTTGAGCTGTTGTTAGTTTCGGACTAGACCATGCAAGGACGCACGAAATCCCTCTCCCCCCCCCAAATTTCGTCGGAGTTAACAAAAGTCAAAAAGAGCTCACTCACCCCCGCGTCGGCGTTTACCTCGTGATGGGTGGTACCGGACTATCTACTGCTGTAATGATAATTGCACTGTTGGACCCAGAAATCATCCAGTTCACATTGCCACCAACAAATGAGCTGGATATGTCGCTCCTGTCACGGCGTGTTGCATAGAGAATCACATCATCCCGAAAGTAGCCTTCCGCCCGAAAGCGAAAGGTAAGTTTAGCCGCCACTATCCGAGAGATCCGTCAAGGAAAAGGGCAAGAGCATGAGGCCAGCGAGATGGCGGAATGACGAAAATGGACACCTGCGTCTGAGGACATGTTGGAAAAACGCCGATACGAGCTCCCGCACACATATTACCCCACACTATCATAGTCAGGTGCAGCTGTCGTGTTTGGTTAGTGCGGAGCTTGTGTAGGTGCAGCAGGTACATCCAGTAGAGTAGAGGAGAAGCTTCAGTTGTGATGTTTTTTGTTTTTTTTTTTGTTTTTTTTTTAGTTTTTTTTTTTTAGTGGTTTGATCCTTGTGATTTTTGCGTCTTTAATCCATGTTACACAAGCGGGTTTTGTATATATATATATATATATATATATATATATATATACTGCAGTCCCGCTTCCGTGTTGCCCTACTTTTTGCTTATCTTCATCCAACTACGAGTCAGTTACTTGTACTGTACTTGGTCGTCACCACCTCGCGTCAACTAGGCTCCCCCCACAACCTAGATGCATAAGCTTCCCCGCATAAAACGGAAGGTGCGTCGAGACACGACAAAAACTAAGAAACAACAACCCCCCGGTTCGAGTACATATAAGGCTTGGGATCTCCACTGAGCAAAAGAGACCACGACAACATCACAACTCCTCCACGCACACAAACATGGTCAAAACGTCGACGAACCTTGCACGAAACGTGCTGCGAACCATCCAGGCCAACCCTCCTCCCGGCCTCGAGGTAAATGGCATCACCTCACACAACTTCGGAGCCTACCAGCGGGCTTTCACCCCCATGGTGATGCAGGGAGCCGGACACAGAAACTACGCCAGTGATCACAAGGAGACGGAGTACGCGTTCCAGATGGCCGCTTCCAACATCCGATACGGCCCCGGCGTGACGGCAGAGGTGGGCTACGACTTCAAGAACATGCGAATCGACCGGGTGGCTGTCTTCACCGACAAGAACCTGCTCAATACCCCCGCCGTCAAAACCGCACTGCAGTCGCTCGACAAGTGTGGAATCAAATACGACCTTTATTCGGACGTGTGCGTTGAGCCCAAAGAGCCCTCTGTGCTCGACGCCATTGCCTGGGGACGAGCTAAGCAGCCCAAGGCCTACCTTGCCATTGGAGGAGGCTCTGTCATGGACACTGCCAAGATGGCCAACCTGTACCAGTGCTTCCCCGACGCTGAGCTGCTTGATTTCGTCAACGCCCCCATTGGAAAGGCTCAGCCCATCGACATTGACCTCAAGCCTCTGATTGCCGTCCCCACCACTGCCGGCACCGGATCCGAGACCACTGGAACTGCCATCTTCGATCTCGTTTCCCGAAAGGCCAAGACCGGTATTGCTAACCGTGCTCTGAAGCCCCTGCTTGGAATTGTCGATCCTCTCAACTCTGCCACCATGCCCGAGCAGGTTAAGGCCGCTTCCGGCCTCGATGTCCTATGTCACTCTCTTGAGTCCTACACTGCCATCCCCTACCAGCAGCGAACCCCCCGTCCCAGCAACCCCAACATGCGACCTGCCTACCAAGGATCCAACCCCATTGCTGATATTTTCTCTCTCGAGGGTCTGCGTCTGGCCATTGAGTACCTTCCTCGATCTTGTGCCGACCCCGAAGACATGGAGGCCCACTCTAACATGCTTCTTGGATCTACTCTTGCCGGTGTGGGTTTTGGAAACGCCGGTGTTCACATCTGCCACGGTCTCTCTTACCCCATCTCTGGAATGAACACCTCCTACTACCACCCCGACTACCACACTGACCATCCTCTGGTTCCCCACGGTATCTCCGTTGCAGTTACTGCTCCTTCTGTCTTCAAGTTTACTGCTCCCAGCGACCCCGAGCGACATCTCAAGGCCGCCTCTCTGTTTGGCGTTGATGTTTCCAACGTCAAGCGAGAGTCTGCCGGAGAGGTGCTTGCTGAGGCCATCCAAGAGTTCATGTTCACTAAGCTCAAGCACCAACCCCGGGGTGTCTCTGCTCTTGGTTACAAGCGAAGCGACATTTCTGCTCTCGTTGACGGTGCCGTTCCTCAACGACGAGTTCTTGATCTCGCCCCCGGTATCCACGGTGTTGAGGAGGCCGAGGTCCGAGAGGCCCTTACCTCTATTCTTGAGGACGCTTGGGAGTACTAAGCGCGACTCAGGCATGCATTTATTGAATAAACGATTGAAAAAGGCAACATTTGTAGAAGTATTGGATTGCACGAATACACACACCATAGACACGTAATCAATTCGTTATATTCGTTATTATAGTTATTAAATTTCTGTCACATGTGCCTCTCTCTTAATGGCAAGACATGGATCGCTCACTGGACTTACCGCCCCAGATGAAGTAGCCAACACCAGCTCCAATGGCCACAGCAGCCATGAGCCAGGCATTGTAAGTCATGAAGACCAGCCTGTGTTAGTCCACACTTAGTGTATAACACAACATCACATCATATCACATCCAACACACACATATCTTCACTCCCTCCTCACTCCCACACCACATCCGCATCATGTCATACTCACATCAGTAAGAAGCTGTAGCCCACTTGGAATCCATAGAAGATGGACTTGTAGATTCGGATCTTTTTCTGGTCCGAAGGTCGAACGTCTGGATTAATAATCGGTTCCAGATCACAGTCTGTATAAGTATTGTCCAAAGGAACATGACGAAAAGAAGAAAAAGAAAACCATCCAAGGAAATCATCAAAGGAAATCATCAAAAGGAAATCATCAAAAGGAGTACTCACCGGAGCCCTTGAAGGCGGCATCAATGTCCCGCGACAGCTTTCGCACGTATTCGTATCCTGCGGAGATGAAGACCACGGCGATGACGGTCAGAATCATGCCCACATGGGTCTTGACGTGCCACCAGGGGAACACCACGCACATGCCCTTTGTGTCCCAGTTGAAGATCATGTTCATGCTGCACATTTCGGGCATGTCGCCGTGGCCGGGCATATCGGGCATGGGCATGTCGTGGCCACTGTGGTCCATCATGTGGTGAGAGTGGTCCATTTTTTTGTGTGGACGTGTGGACGTGTGAGGTTGTGTTATCTGATGTTCTCTGGGTTGGGAGTGGGTTAATTAAATAGCCATCTCACACACGCTTCAAAAATGCTCGAACCTGCATGGAGATAGAGGGCAAATGTGGCTGGCGCCACCCGGAAAACTAGCTTGAGGCGCACAGTTCGAGTGCGAACACTTGTACCGGAATATTGTGTGGCAATTGCGGTTCATGTCGTTTGCTGGATAAGGTCCTGATCACTTGTCAAGTCTGATCCTGATCACTTGTCAAGTCTGTACAGAGTATGATGTCCCCGCAAGTGTATCTAGAGTCAACTGCTGTATCGCTTATCGGGGAGTACGTACATGCTCGATTCAATGAATCGGCAAGTTGTATGAATGCGGAAGGGTTCCTTTTGGTCTTTCTTTCCTTTTTTGTCTTTCTTTTCCTTTCTTTCGGTATTCTCGCCCCGCTGTTACTCCCTATTCCGTGTGGTTTGGCCGTTAAGTGCAGGAGGGAATCGAACTTCGTAAGGCTGTGGATTGTGCAGCGGCTATTCACTTGAGGGTCCGATGATGACTGCAGATCACGTATTTCCCTAGGGTTATTTATATATATATTATTATTTATTTTATTTTATTTTATTTTATTTATTTATTTTTATTTTCACGAGCATCTTTATGTCAATTGTCCAACATCCTATTGAAGATCATAAGTATTATTGATGTGATATAGTTAACAACTTACAACCCACTCCGATAGTAGCACACACCAGAAGGGTGTGTGCTTGCTCATTCGCCAGAAAAGACTAGATCAGTGGATAAAACTATCTACAGGATGGACATCTCGTCGTCTACGACCCAGCTGATTTCTCTCATCACTATGTGGTGACATCTCACCATTATGTGAGGAATTAGCCAGGTATTACACTACCGGGTATGACTTCCTTCAGCACATGCAAGGCCTTCTGCCAAAAGATTGACGTCCCTTCCATCTAAAATGGCGGCTGAATCTTGTTGGATCTTACTGGAGGCCAAGGACGGCCCGCTGAACTACATTAGAGCGAGCCATGCGAAAAACTGGCCTATCTTGTAGTGACCCCTTGGTCCAGCGAGACTGGCTCGCTTGTTCAACCGAGTTTCTGCAGCATATCGTCGTCATGGCTGAGGTGGATGCGCAGCGGCGAATGAGCGCCGAGGTGATTTCACTCTACAAGTAGGAGGATTATTGCAATGGCTGGTACACATTGCGTATCTGTGGAATCTGCTCGCGCTGAATAAACTCGCTGACGACTGATTAATGAAAATGGAATATTGGGGGAAATATATATATATTTATTTTAAAACATAAAATAAAATAAAATAAAATAAAATAAAATAAAATAAAATAAAATAAAACATAAAAAACCAACACAACACCCCAATACTCCTACTCCCCGATTCCACTACCACTCAATCAAGATACACACGAATCTTTCCCATGCTAATGACACCTTCTACGGTCCCTTCGAGATCAAACTAAACCAAGGAGTTTGGAGAAGACAGGAGACCCAGAATAAATATATAAAAAACATATATAAAAAAGAGAAGAAAAAACACGATTGATACGATTTATGACTAACTAACTCGAGACCAGGACGATGAACCAAAGACTTGCGCCTCGAAACGCATATCGAGATTATCAAGTGTATGATTAACGCCAACAACCCGGCTTCATGTATATATAGATGTGATGAATCGAGAGAATACTAAAATATATATATATAAAGGACAGCAGATATCACGTTCCGTTGAATTAATTATATCATTCATGTGAACGTCTTTTTTATATTTTATTTTATTTTATTTTATTTTATTTTATTTTATTTTATTTTATTTTATTTTATTTTATTTTATTTTATTTTATTTCATTTCATTTTATTTTATTTTATTTTATATTACTTTCTTTCTTCTCTTTCTCCTGTCTCAGCCCTCAGATGCCCAACCATTTAAAGTTGGAGCGTGTGTTCATTTCTGGTTGAAAAATCTGCGAGCGGAGAAATGTGGCATAACAGACGTGTATCCACAGTTACATGTGATATTGCAACATGGCACGATGGAACGTCGCGCGAGCCTCAGCGACACGTGGATGTGTGTCAGTGCGGCTTGTGATGGCCGTCTCACCTGCAGATGCAATTTAGCGCTCGCTAGACGCGCTTTTGGCCCAGTCCAGGGCAAGGTGTTACCCAAACAACTAGTGAACGAGCCACGCGAGGATATGCGACCGTTAACGACGAGACAAGTCAAAGTGTCTAAACCCAAAATGTGTGCCGGGGGGGGGAGAATAAAAAAAAATCGGTCTTAGCTGTACGAGTAATAGCGGTCGAGAACAATGCCAGATACTAACACGACTTATATAGAGCTAGCAGGAAAGGGGGGGGGGCAAAAACGCTCGTAAAAACACAAACGAAACGCCGGTCTTCTCTTCTCCTACACAGACACCACTCGGGCCCACCGGACCTGCACTTCTGGGAGAGCAAACACGTTAAAAACAAAAGCACAAGCACAAGCACAAGCACATCAGCATCAGAGCCACGGACAAAGTTTATCAACATCGCCCTTTTTTTGAATCGAACGATAAATATCACCAGCAGCAACAGATTGCAGAGTTGGACCACTTCTCCAGACTGCGTAAACAGGTGATACTTGGTGGTATAAGAACAACATACCCACGCTCTCTCGCCCGCACATTCGTTCCGACGCATTTACAAACCGCCAGTCTCTCGCTCAACGCTCACATAAATTAATCACACAACAGCCCACACTCACACTCACACAAAATGGTCACCCAACAGTCTGCAGCAGAGACCAGCGCCACCCAGACCAACGAGTACGACGTGGTCATTGTCGGAGCTGGTATTGCCGGGCCCGCTCTGGCCGTGGCTCTTGGAAATCAGGGCAGAAAGGTTCTTGTTGTGGAACGAGATCTCTCCGAACCGGACCGAATCGTGGGAGAGCTGCTTCAGCCCGGAGGAGTCGCTGCTCTCAAGACTCTGGGTCTCGGCTCTTGTATCGAGGATATCGACGCGATCCCCTGCCAGGGATACAACGTGATCTACTCTGGAGAAGAGTGCGTTCTCAAATACCCCAAGGTCCCCCGAGACATCCAGCAGGACTACAACGAGCTGTACAGAAGCGGAAAGTCTGCCGACATCTCCAACGAGGCTCCCCGAGGAGTATCCTTCCACCACGGCCGATTTGTCATGAACTTGCGAAGGGCCGCACGAGACACACCCAATGTGACTCTGCTGGAGGCCACAGTCACCGAGGTGGTCAAGAACCCTTACACCGGCCACATTATTGGAGTCAAGACCTTCTCTAAAACTGGAGGCGCCAAAATCTACAAGCACTTCTTTGCTCCTCTCACCGTCGTCTGTGATGGAACTTTTTCCAAGTTCCGAAAGGACTTTAGCACCAACAAGACGTCTGTGCGTTCGCATTTCGCCGGTCTGATTCTCAAGGACGCTGTTCTGCCCTCCCCCCAGCATGGCCACGTGATTCTGTCGCCCAACTCGTGTCCCGTTCTTGTCTACCAGGTTGGAGCTCGAGAGACCCGAATTCTGTGTGACATTCAGGGACCCGTCCCCTCTAATGCAACCGGAGCCCTCAAGGAACACATGGAGAAGAACGTCATGCCCCACCTGCCTAAGTCCATCCAGCCGTCTTTCCAAGCCGCTCTCAAGGAGCAGACCATTCGAGTCATGCCCAACTCTTTCCTGTCGGCCTCCAAGAACGATCACCACGGTTTGATTCTGCTGGGTGACGCACTCAACATGCGACATCCACTTACCGGAGGAGGAATGACCGTTGCTCTCAATGATGCCCTTCTACTCAGCAGACTTCTCACCGGCGTTAACCTGGAAGACACCTATGCCGTGTCCTCCGTCATGAGCTCGCAGTTCCACTGGCAGCGAAAACACCTCGACTCCATCGTCAACATTCTCTCCATGGCCCTCTACTCGCTCTTCGCCGCCGACTCGGACTACCTGCGAATCCTGCAGCTCGGATGCTTCAACTACTTCAAGCTGGGAGGCATCTGTGTGGACCACCCCGTCATGCTGTTGGCTGGAGTTCTCCCCCGACCCATGTACCTGTTTACGCATTTCTTCGTAGTGGCCATCTACGGCGGAATCTGCAACATGCAGGCCAACGGCATTGCCAAGCTGCCCGCGTCGCTACTGCAATTTGTCGCCTCTCTGGTCACCGCTTGCATCGTCATCTTCCCTTACATTTGGAGCGAGCTGACTTAGACGTTCGTTGGACCTGGGCCAGCGACATGAAGAGATACTAACTAGATGATCTACTTGTAGCATATAGACTAATTTGAATGAATAATGATAGACCATACGAGTACTGTACTTTCGAAAACACGCCATGCCTGCCTGGCACACAAAAGCAATTCTCTCATGGCATGATGCTAAATCATATGACAAAACATATCAACTCTACATGTATATATATGTTCATTTAATTCATAAACAATTTGATTGATAAATATTCACAATTTAACACATCGCGCTTAGAGCTTGGAAGAGCTGCCAACGGAGGTGATCTGGTCGTAAAGGAGAGTGGTGAGGAAGTCGGAGTACTTGTCGCCAACAATCTCGGGCTTGAAGTAAGCGGCGGCCTCAGCAAACTTGTTGCCGGGCTTGGAGTTCTTGATGAGCTTGTCGGTCTCCTCGTTGAGAAGCTTGACGGCGTAGTCCTTGGTGACCTTCTTGCCTTCGGCGGTGGTAACACCGTGCTTGACCCACTGGTGGAGCTGAGATCGAGACACCTCAGCGGTGGCAGCATCCTCCATCAAGTAGTTGATGGGGACACAACCAAGACCACGGAGCCAGGCCTCCATGTAGCCAAGACCGATGAACAGGTTCTTTCGGATACCCTCCTCGGTGATCTTGCCGCCCTCAATGTAAGGGTTGATGAGGTCTCGAGCGGTGATGTGGACATCCTCTCGTCGTCGGTAGATCTGGTTAGGAGTGGGCATGTGCTTGTTGAAAACCTCGGAGGCGATGATGGCAAGCTGGGGGTGAGCAACCCAGGTACCGTCGTGGCCGGCGGTCACCTCTCGGAGCTTGTCCTTGTAGACACCCTCCATGGCAACCTTGTTGGCAGCAGCATCGTTCTTGATGGGGATCTGAGCAGCCATACCGCCCATGGCGTGGACGCCTCGCTTGTGGCAGGTCTGGATGAGGAGCTTGACGTAAGCAGACATGTAAGGGACGGTCATGGTAACGTCACCTCGGTCGGGGAGAACAAACTCGGGATGGTTCTTGAACTTCTTGATGAAGGAGAAGATGTAATCCCATCGGCCACAGTTGAGACCAGAGGAGTGCTCTCGGAGCTCGTAGATGATCTCGTCCATCTCAAAGGCGGCGAGAATGGTCTCGATCAGAACGGTACCTCGGATGGTTCCTCGGGGCATGCCGATCCAGTCCTGAGAGAGCTTGAAGACGTCGTTCCAGAGTCGGGCCTCAAGGTGGGACTCCATCTTGGGGAGGTAGAAGTAAGGGCCAGCGCCTCGAGCAACGGACTCCTTGGCGTTGTTGAAGAAGTACAGACCGAAATCAAAGAGACCACCGGAGATGGGCTTGCCATCAACAAGGAAGTGGGTCTCATCAAGGTGCCAGCCTCGAGGTCGGACGATAAGGGTGGGGAGCTTCTCCTTGTCGGATCGGAGCTTGTAAGACTTTCCACCGGGGGCCTGGAAGGTGATGGTTCGTCGGACACCGTCGTAGAGGTTGACCTGACCATCGACCATGTTGGACCAGGTGGGGGCAGAGGAGTCCTCAAAGTCAGCCATGTAGGTCCAGACGTCGGAGTTCAGGGCGTTGATGACCATCTTTCGGTCAGTGGGGCCGGTGATCTCGACTCGTCGATCAACCAGACCGGGGGCGGGGGGGGCACCCTGCCAAGTGGGGTCATCTCGGATGTTCTTGGTCTCGGGGAGGAAGTCGGGGAACTCGCCGGCATCGATTCGGGCCTGTCGAGCGACTCGAGCAGCAAGGAGCTCGTGTCGTCGGGCATCGAAGGTTCGGTGCAGGGTGGCGATGAAAGCCAGAGCCTCCTTGGAGAAGATGTGCTGGGCGTTGGCGGGGATGTTAGCCCGGATCTCAACACCCTTGAGAATGGCGTCAGTGTTGCTAGAAGGAACAGTAGTCACTAAATGGTTAGTATGGAGTGTGCAGTTTTTTTGCATCTCTTGTGCAGGTACAACGGAAGCGCTATCCGGCAGACCAGGCCCCATTGTCGAAGAGAGGAGTGGACGTTGGATCCCGCTCGCGGTTCTGAGTAGCGCTGGCTGGTGTGTGGGCCATGTCAGAGGCTGTTGAGTCACATGGGTGGTTGGTTTGAGGAGGCGTGAGGGCTCGGTGTGACTTTGCTGCCACCTTCGTACCACCACCAGCCCCCATCGTGCCACCACCTGCCACACCTGCCACCTGCCACCTGCCACCTGCCACCTGGTTTACCCCACAATAATACTCACTGTTTGCAGATAGAATCCAAAGCTGGGGACTGGGGATCCGCTTGCTTATATAGTCTCTGTGCTCTCGGCCCCCACAGACCGAGTGGGCAAATTAAGGTTATAGGGATATGCAGGCGGATTTGAAGGTCAAACGGGGAATCTGGGGACCAGAGGGGCCAAAGAAAAGCGTCTGTTGACCCCAAGACGGCCGCCGCAGGGATGGAACATATCCAATTCGCCCCGTTCTCGACTTTGGCCCTTGTCGCCGCCCATTATTGCCGTTTTTAGACCTCGTTTCCGACACTTGTCGGACGCTCGGCAAAGTTGGGGTACACGTTTTAACCTCCACCAGTTGCATTTGCAATCGACATGATTCTTTGACCACAAGCACCCGAGGTGAGAGCGAGATTGGAGTACTTTGTCTATGTGCGTGTAACACAGTCCATGTAGCCTGCAACGAGCGGGAGCGTTGCTTCTGCTGGGGAGAAGACAAGTGGCGGTTGACCATTGAGTGGTGATTGACCGGTTTCTGTGTATTTCGCTATACTCTTTTTTTCTTCTTCTTCTTTTTTTTTTTTTTGGCCCAAAAAAACCCATTCTTATATCCGTCGTTGTAACTACCCCCCCCCACATGTCCCCACACTCAAGTCCGCCGAATCGAACAATAGAGTGCTGTTGTACATAGTATGTGTGTGTATACAGTTGTAAAACCAACTATGGAGCAAAAGGAGCAAAAAAAAGGAGCAAAAGGCGCGCGCAAAAGACACAGCAGAGTGTAGACCGCTGAGGACGGTTCTTATTGGAGAATAAGACTGAAAGTTGGCCAAGTTGTAGAACAAGTCGCTTTGGCCAAGTAGTTGGACTCGCAGACTGTTCTGCTGCGGGAGTCTGCTGCTCCATGACCATGTCCACCACCTCTTTTTTTTTTTTTTCCACCGGCAAATCCCCGACGTCGCTCTAACTGGTCCTGCCTCGGCACGAAAACAAACCGGAGCAAACACGGGTGAAAATAAGCTTTTCTGACTCAGTGATCCCGACCGCAGGCACAGAATCATATGGAACAGAGAAGCTAATAAACCGAAATTGAGACTGGAAAAGTCTTGTACAAGCAAGTTCGATCTTGTACTTGTAGCTAATGAGCTGTGTGTGCAGTAGGCATGGAGTGATTTTCATTATCGATCGAGTTGGAATAACGGGGAATTTGGAATCATTTGGAATAATTTGGAGGATTTGGGGGATTTGGGGGATTTTGGAATAAAATGGATGAAAATGGAAGAAAATGAATGAAAATAATTGAAAAATCAAAAATCCATAAAATATATAAAATATATAAAAAACCCACTCAAAAGAACCCAAACCCCCGGCCAGCAAACTGTCCGTGTCTCATCGACTATCATGTCACCAATCACTCACCTAAAAATACAATAGTCCGTGGTGTGCATGACCAAATGTTCCACAGATGCACTTGATGAAACTAAGTACTTGTAATTATGAGTTGTATCTCGATTGGCGAAAAAATTGAACCCCTCAAACTCGAATCCGACAACTACATTCCTCACAATTACCAGCCCCTTCCCTCAAAAAGTAGGTTACTCACGACGATCTGCTTATGACGTGGACATTTCAAAATAAGGTTGGTCACGTGCCCTTTTGCCTAGGGTTAATGCAGCCCCAGGTTTTGCAGGTTGAATGCCCCCCACGCTAAAATCCGTCGAAATGGGGGGACGTCAGGTTATGAGTGGTACAAGCAGGAGTTTTCGGAGCTTCCAGGGAACATTTGAGATATAACAATAAGTCATATAAGCCATTCTTAAGCGAAGATGTTGGTGCAGAGGTTTATTTACTCTTATTTCGATATTTTTTTTGAAATATCTGTATATGGACCTTAATTGGGACGTGGTTGGGACAGATTATGACAGTGTCACAGATTATGAGTATTTGACTGCTAGATGAAACGTCAAATTAGCACCTAATTGCCAGTTTGAATATTATAATACCCCCAATCTTTCTTTTTTCTAAGCCATTCCAGACTGGTCATCCCTCCTCTTAACTCATAACCTGAGTGGGACAGGTAGTCTAATTAGGATTTATCACCTTGTCCACATTACCATCATCATCATTGGTCATAACCTCACTCACACGCTCATACACACACAATCATGAGATTAGAAAACTGGCCGATTGTCGAAATGTTCCGGTCGCGGCCCGGCGTGCCCAACTGGCCCAAGTTTGGTCTGTTTGCCGTCGGCGTCATCGGATCGGCATATCTGGGATACCGCTATGCCACTCCTTCCGAAGAAGATATTGTGCGACGAATGAACCCCGAGTTGCGAGAGCGATACATGCTGGAGCGAGATGCTCGGCAGGAGTATTTCAACGAGTTTGTCAAGGAGGCCATTGCCCAGTCCAAGACCAACGAGCCCATCTGGAAGGTTGGGCCCATGGCTTCCAAGCCCATTGATTTCAATGTGGCTGTGCGAGAAAAGATGAAGGAGATCGAGGCTCGAAATGACCAGGATCGAAACGAGCGAATCAAGAACGAGCTGGCTGCCATCGCCAAGAAGGAGGAAGAGGAAAAGAACAAGAAGGGATGGTGGTAGAAGTGGTGATGGTGGAAGGGATGCTCGACCTGTAATGGGTTGGGCTGTCTAAACGTGTAAAAGTGTACATAGCAAGCATAAATAATGAATTAAGCATTGGATTTTTGAATGGAGTCGGTGGTGAGGTTGGACATGGGCGTTTTTTTATTTTCATTTTTTTCCTTTTTATTTATTTATCTATTTATTTATTTACTTTTCTACTTTAAATTTACTTAACACCTACCTACGTGAAGACAGAATTAATTCAATAAAACTCTGCTTGGAAAAGTAAATTAAAAATGAATTAAAATTATGAAAATATAAAAAAAAAAAAATCCGACTATTAACGTATTAAAAATTGATTTAGAAAATATTAAACAAAGTACACGTTATGAATCACGAGCACTTGTACAAGTACTTCTACTTCTGCTTCTACTTCTACGCTATGTTATCACAATTTATTTATTTTTGCCTGCATCTCACAATCCAACCCTTACCCTTATCACCCTGTACGCGAGATTTAGGTTCAGGCCATCTGACCACCCTCAATATACCGACTTGCACATCAATGGGCCAAACCGAGTCGAAACAGACGTTTCGCACCGAGATTTTCCGGTTGTCGACGGATTCCAGCATTCCTGAATCAGATACCATCTTCTGGAGCAAATTATGGATGGTTCCGGAAAACGCCAGCGACATCTTCACATTGGTGGGCGAGAACGATGTCCGAATGGCGCTCCAGACTTTTCCAGACAATATAGCCACTCTGGTCCGAGTCGTGAGCCAACAGATTATCAATTGCGACGATACAACGCCCGAGCCGCAACTGCTCAATTGCATTCGCGTTCTCACCAGGGTGCTACCAATTGTGTTTGAAAGTGGCACCAAGACGTTTGATGACGATCTCTTCTGGAGCAACGACATTCTGGGCGAGAAGCTGGTGACAAAGCTCGTGTCGCTTTTGTTCAATAAAAAGCTATGCGGCACCTCGCAAATCTGGGAAATGGGAGTGGGTTGTCACAGCGTGGAAGGAGGGGTGACCAGCGCGCAGGAGGGAAATCGCTGCGAGATTCTCAGGTTACTCGTGTGCTGCTCGTGCAAACAGCTGTACACTAGTGTTAACCATGTTACCACGCAGGGCTCCCGGTTTCTCACGTGCATTGTCAGCGGGCTTGGTAAGAGCGACACCCTGTTGCTACTGTGCTCTCTGCTCAACTTGTCGCTGGTGCGGTTGTTGCGCGATGCCAATGCCTTCCAAACAGTCGTGTTTGGGGGCTCTCAGACGGCGTTCTGGGCCCTGGAACTGTTGCTTCTGCTTGTTGTCTACTACCCCCCGGAGCCGGGCGTGAAGAACAACTTCAGATACTTTCTGGGCAAACTCAAGCAGGATGTGGACTTTGAGTTCATTGCAAGACACATTAGCGAGATTCTGGCCAAGTTCTCGGCCTCCTCTGGCTCCATTTTGACTGGCAAGAAGGAAACACGCACCAACGAGATTATCTGTTTGTTATGGGAGATCATTCAGACCAACAAGCGATTCTTGCCGTGGCTTCTAAAGAAGGGGTACCTCGACAACATCATTCTATCGATTCTGCAACAAATCAAAATGTGTGAGAGCACGCAGACTCTGAGGCTGCTCAGTAACTTCCTGCTCTATCTGAGTGATGATGATGTGGTTGTGTCTTCGTTCGACGATGGCACTGTGAATTTCAACTATGTGCTTGGCCAGCTCTTCTCTGTCATCACTCAACCTCGTGAAGAAATCAACCCCATCATCCCCACTCTGGTTGAATGCATCTACAACCTGTCTGTGCAGGCCAAGCATATCGACTACACGGTGTCGTGCCAGCTGGTTGACATTTTCGACGTTCTGTCATCGCCCTCCTTCTTGTTCGCCAACTCCACAAACCGCTTCCTGTTGGAGCTCACCCTGGAGTCCATCAACGCCATGCTTGAATACAACTTTCAGGCCAACAAGTCGCTTGTCTTTGTTCTACAGAAGCGACGGTCGTCATTTGAAAAGCTGCATCGCCTCGTGAAGGAGAAAGGAAAGGAGCCTACAAATGGTGAGGAGGACTTGTCATGGCTAGAAGACCTTCCACTCGACACCATTGACACGGTCTACGCCATGATTGAGTCCTCTGTCCCTGGGTTGAACACATACTCCGCAGTACCACCACCAAGCTCCAGCACAAGCCCTGCTAGCGACGAGCCCAAGACCACTAAAGACACACCCTCCACGATGATCGACACTATAGGCACCCTCAATCCTCCTGTGCAGCCCACAAAGTTCCACAAGATTGAGTTTCAGTGGGACCCAGTGCTTCTTGGCTGGTATCTATCTCTCATTTGGACCAGTCTCTACACCCATGAGGCTCGCGTGGGTCGTCAAGTGACCTCCCTAGCTGACACTGTGGGCACAGGGTACAGTACGGGTGCCGCTGCAGTGGGTGTATGGAACCGAACCCACACCAAGCTGTTCAAGGTGCAGCAGAGTGTTGCAGCTCCTAATCTCGGTGCTGTGGATGCTGTAGCGTTGAACGTGTGGAAGCGGATTACTAACAGGTAGCCAACGACAGTGTTTGCCACAAGAACTGATTATAGATAATGATGAATGATGAACTCACGACAGAACTACTTGCTTGCGCTAAATTACAATCTTTCATAAACTATATATACCCCCATCATTCATAACAACTAGTAACACCAATCCCCCATTACATGTATTGGTCGAGGTCCTTGATGAGCTCATCAATATCCTTGAGATAGTCGAGCGCCTGCGCCGTAAGAACCTGGTGACGAGCCTTGGATTCTTCGTTGTAAAACTCCTGCTTGGATCGGCATCGCAGAGTGTACTGTTTGCCGGTGACCTTCTGAACAGCTTGCTCAAACTCATCGTCTCCTTGGCTAGTCTGGATCTCGGTCAATTGATCTGCGGTCATGCCCATAATCACTTCAGCAGGCTCGTTGAATGCCGTCAGCCACATGCTTCCTGTGGCATCTCCCACGTTGATGGAGAGGATGTATCTGTAAAGAGGTTTATCCATGTTCTTTTCACACTTTTCGCATCGCCACTCGTCACCATGCTCGACCACCTTTTTGTTACAGTCCGGAGTCTGACAAGCAGGGTATGCAAAGTTGCCGGTTCGAACGTGCACGACCCAAGCCTGTAGGGTGTAGTAGTCGGGCTTTTCTGACTGTCCGTAGCTGGATGTGGCGACATCAATGGGTGTGGCGGCCACAGGCTTGTTGGTGGTAGTTGTCTGCAGCTGCTTAAAGCTCGTCTGCTTACCCTCAGAGGCATACCATCCCTTGAGCGCGTAGGTCTCGTCGATGGCTGGTTCCACGGCAATAGTGGAGCTGTGACTGGTGGACAGGTTTCGGCCGTTAAAGTCGCCAACGCGGGCGCCCTTGATGGCGATAATGGTGCCAACAGGAACAGTTCCCTCGTCGAAGGAAGTGGCCTTCTCTCCAAAGAAAGTCAGACGGGTGGCAAATCCACTCTTGTCTCCCAACATGAGGTTTCGTCGCTTATAGGGGTTGCCAGTAGCCTTGGCCACGCCGTCTTCCAGGGGACCAACGTTCTGGACGACACCAAGAACGTCAACATTGTTGCCAACTTCAACATCCTGCAGCTTATCGAGAGTCACAAACGAGTAATTGGCTGTGGGGATAGCAGCGGCCTCGGCCTCGTCCGCCTGGATGATAACCGTGTCTCGGCCAAACACCAGCTCGTAGTCATTGTTCACGTTGGAGAACTTCTTGTTAGCCATGGAGACTCGGCATTGAGTCACGTAGTAAACCTGGCCCTCCTCCAGCATGGGGTAGAACTTATCCACCTCCTGGTTGAAGCCGGTGGCTCGAATTTCGCCCGTCTCGTCGATAAAGGTGACATTGAAGAGCTGGCCCTCTCCCTTGGTGTTGGAGAACTTCTTCTTGTCGGCCTTGGAAGTGACTCGGACCTTGATGGCCCACTTGTTCTGGTAAGGCGAAAGTCGCTCAATGGGCATCACAGTGGCGGGGAATCCCTGGGCCTGGACACCAGCAGGAATCTCGTTGGTAGAAGCCATTCGCTTGGCAGGGGTGGGGTTGCTGGTGGCAGCAGCAGGAGCAGTAGCAGCAGCGCCACCAGGAAGCTCAGCATCCTCTTCGGTATCGAGTCCCAGAGCCGCGTCGGCGTGGCTCAAGAAGTCCATCTGGTGGACGTAGACGACTCCTCGCTGTTTGGCCATGACCAGCTCAAAGTTGCTGAGCTTGACAATGTCGAATTTGCCCGGTCGTTCTTGGGGCAGGTTGTCCAGGTCGCCGAACACCATGCCGGGCTTTTCTCCGTCAAACAGAGTCACCTTGAATCTGTTCTTGCCGGGCAGCTCGCTCATGGGCCGCACAATCTGGAGAATTGGAGCCCGAAACTTTTCAGGCAGCTCATCTCGGCTGGTGGCGTTCTCCACGGCGTCGAAAAATCCGGTCGATAGCTCAAACGTCATCTTGTATCTTGTGGTCTTGTGTGTATGTGTGTGTGTGTTGCTGTGGAGCGTAGAAAACAAGCAGATGAATTTTGGAAAGAACGCGTCGCGCAGGCGTGCACACTCTTAATTAAGTAGGGTAAGAAGCGAACCTTGTCGCGGAGTGGCGGTGGCAAAATTTAGAGAAACAGGAACATGGAGGGGGGGTCAGTGGATATCCTCTTTACTGCCATATTCTGAGCCTCTGCTCCTTCTTTTCCTTCAATTTCTGTACTGGTCCAACCATTTCGAGGTCCATGGTAGCGTCGTCTAGACTACCCCCTAAACAGTATCATACATGCGCATCTTTTATTGTTTACGCGTTCGCATCAAAAACTTTAGGCAGGCTACTGGACGAGCGATGCATACAGTATTTGGAAGATTGAGACTTGAATACGTCTGAAAAAAACACAAAAAGATACGATATTTCCCCTCGAGCTTGGAGATAACTGATTTTCCTGTCCCAATTCCAATCGGTATTCGCCATCACCCCGCATTGAGTTGTTTTCAACTGAAGATCAGTGGTATAGGCTTGTAGTAATAGTCTTGTCCAGACAGTATCGATCCACAGCAGCTCGACCGGAGCAACCAGTTTTGACGACAACAACAGTCGTTATCATTGATGTTCTACAGATAGTACCAGTCCGTTGAGGTTTGGTTTGATAGCTTCTGAATCGTGTGGAGCTGAATTCGCGTGGAGCTCTGAATTATCGTGCGTGTGGTTCGCAATGTCTATAACGAGAAACCAGCAAGTACTTGTACTTGAGTTATATTTTTGTTTTCTTCGTAATTTACAAAGTATTTCTTTTCTTTTCTTTTATTTTTTTTATTTCTTTTATTTCTTTTATTTCTTTTATTTCTTTTATTTCTTTTATTTCTTTTATTTCTTTTATTTCTTTTACTGTATTTTTATTCCAAAATAAAGTTTAGATGGACGCGAGTGAAATGTAAATTGTCATTCTACCACCAACACGCGTACACTTCAACACAACATCACCACACACCATCACAACACCATCACAACACTATGGGCACCCTCAAGGCTATTGAGCTGTGCAACTTCAAGTCGTACCGTGATACGCACCGTGTGGATCTCGGTGACTCGTCGTTCTCGGCCATCATCGGCCCCAACGGTTCGGGTAAGTCCAACATGATGGACGCCATCTCGTTTGTGCTCGGAGTGCGGTCTTCGCAGCTCCGATCCACCCAGCTCAAGGACCTCATCTACCGAGGCCGAATCATGCGTGGCGAGGAAGTCAGCTCGACCCAGTCTCAGGAAGCCACGTCGGCATACGTTCTGGTGGAGTACGAAAAGTCAAATGGAGACCTACTCAAGCTCAAGCGAACCATCACACCCTCGGGCACGTCTGAGTACCGAATCAACAACAAGGTCACGTCGTCAGGCGAATACAATGCCACCATGAAGAAGGAAAACATTCTGGTCAAGGCCCGAAATTTCCTGGTCTTCCAGGGAGATGTGGAGCAGATTGCCAGTCAGTCGCCTCAAGACTTGTCCAAGCTGATTGAAATCACCTCTGGCTCCATCGATCTCAAGCCCGAATACGACCGTCTCAAGGAGGAGCTAGATGTCCAGACTGAGCGAAGCAACGCAGCCTGGCAGCGACGACGTACCTACAACGCTGAGAAGAAGCACTACGTTGAGCTCAAGGACCGTTACGACGCGTACACCGCCAAGGCCGCAGAGCGAGACGAGGCCGTTGTGAAGCAGCAGCTGTGGAGACTGTGGCAGGCCCAAAAAATCGAAGATGAGGCCCGAGACCAGATTGAAGGTGGAGACGCTGCTATCCAGAACGCCGAGGGGGCTGTTCAGGAGGCTGCTCAGGAGGTGGAAAACGTGGCTGCCAAATATGCCAGCGACAAGAAGCGGCTGCTCAAGCAGGAGCGTTCGGCAAAGAAGCGAGCAGACGTCATTCTGGAGCACAAGCAGCAGCTCGTGCCTGTGGCTGAACGTATTGCTGTGGTGTCCGGCAACATTTCGCGTCACGAGGCTCGGTACGGCACTGTCGAGGCTGACTTACTTCGACACCAGGACGAAGTCAAGCAGACTCGAGGCTCTCTCAAGATGGTTCAGGATGCCTCCAGTGAGTTTGAACGAGATCTGTCATCGAAGCAGAAGGAGTCAGGCGGAGTTATTCGAACTGATGAGGACGCGGCCGAGTATAGCACGCTGAAAAATGAGGTGCACAAGCGGTCGCTGGCTGAGCAGGCTGAGATTGAGACGGTGAAGCGAAAACTCAGACCTGTTCTGGACCATAAGCGAGCTCTGGAGCAGGCACAGGAGGACTCGGAACTCAAGGTCAAGGAGTTTAAAAGCGAGTTTGGCGTCTACCAGACCCAACTGAAGGAAGCTGAGGAGGTACTCAAGACCCACCAGTCTGCTCTGAGAACTCAGAGTGAGTCTCTGGCTCGGGTTGTGGACGAACAGACTACCCGACGACGTGTCGAGCTGGAGCTTGGCGACAAGCTGGGTGTTGTGGCTAACCGTCTGATTGAGCTAAATGCGGTCAAGCGACAGACTGAGCGAGAACGACGACTTAAAGAGACTGTTGCCAACCTGAAGCATGTTTTCTCGGCACAGAAGGTCCACGGTCTCGTCTACGACCTGTGCAAGCCCAAGGAGAAGCGACACGATCTTGCTGTGGAGACCATTCTCGGTAAGGACATTGATTCCATTGTTGTGGACAGTTTCAAAACTGCACAGGACTGTATTGCATACCTCAAGGAGCAGCAGGGCGGTCTTGCCTCGTTCATTCCCCTCGATACTATCAAGGCCATGCCTGTCAACTCGTCGTTGCGGTCGCGTCTTCGTGGGGCTGTACTTGCCATTGATGCCATTTCCTTTTCGTCTCAGTACGAACGGGCTTTCCAGTACGTTTGTGGCTCGGCCATTGTGTGTGACGACCTTAAGGAGGCTAAACGCCTTGGATGGAGCCTGAATGTCAAGGCTGTGACCACCGATGGCTCCGTGATTCACAAGGCTGGTCTTATGACTGGTGGTACTACCCAGAAGGGCCACCATGGCGGCAAGCGAGCATCCAAATGGGACGAGTCTGAGGTTACAAAGCTCCAGGCAGAGAAGGATGCTCTGGTTTTGGAGCTACAGACTGTTGGTCGGCAAAAGTTTGACCCCGAGCGTCAGGATACACTGCAGCGTGAGGTTGACAAGGTGCGACAGGAAGTGTCTGCTGCCCAGAAGCATGTTGCCAGCCTGAAGGACCGTCTCAAGGATATCAATTCGCAGCTCAAGTACTACAGCGAGGAGGCTGCCAAGAGCAAGAAGCAGATTGCCAGCACCGCCAGTGATCTCGAAAAGCTCGAGACACAGAAGGCCACCATTCAACAACGCCTTGACGAAGTCTGGTACACCGTGTTCTCGTCTTATTGCACTCGTGTCGGCGTGACTGTTGAGGACGTGTTTGCATATGAACAGACCCATGGCTCTCTCTCCGCTGGTGCCGAGCGAAAGCGGCTCGCATTCTCTCAGCAGATTGCTACTCTCGAGTCACAGCTCAAGTTTGGCTCCAAGCGTGTGGACGAGTGCAAGGGGCGACTGGCCAAGATTCGACAGTCTATCGATGATGACAAGGCAGCTGTGGATGGCTGGGAGGCCGATGAGGCCCAGCTGAGAGAGGACATTGGTATTCTGGAAGAAAAGGCTCGAGCTGAGGCAAAGCAGGTTCAGAAGCTCACAGCTGCCGTTCAGAACGCGTCAACTGAGTCCAACGCTGCCAAGGAGCATCTTTCCCGAGCTCAGGGCGTGGTCGATAACCTGCGACGAAAGCTTGCCCAGTCTGAGACCGAGCTTGAGACTGCTGCTACTCAGCGGTACGAGGTTCTGCGAGAGTGCAAGATTGAGGGCATTGAGCTTCCTCTGGTGTCAGGTGATCTCGAGTCTGTGCCTCTGGTTGAGGGAGACGACTCGCAAATGGATATCGATATTGAGGTTGACTTCTCGTCGCTTCCCCAGGGCATTCGAAGACTTGCCGACGATTCTACTCTTGTTTCCAAGATCAAGGCTCTGCAGGCTGAACTGGAGCGAATCAACCCCAACCTGAAGGCCGTGTCTCGACTCGAGCAAGTGGAGGCCGAGGGTGCTAGCATCGAAGCTGAGTCCAAGAGAGAACGTGAGGCACTCCAGGAGCTGCAGGCCCAATTCAGAGAGGTGCGAGACGCTCGATGCGATAAGTTCAATGCTGCCTTCGAGCACATTTCCGGAGTCATTGACGCTACGTACAAGGAGCTCACTCGTTCTGATGCGTTTCCTCTGGGAGGTTCGGCTACTCTGACTGTCGAAGATGAGCATGAGCCTTACCTTGAGGGAATCAAGTACCACGCCATGCCCCCCATGAAACGATTTCGAGAAATGGAGCTTCTCTCTGGAGGAGAGAAGACTATGGCTGCTTTGGCCCTACTTTTCTCCATCCACTCTTTCCACCCGTCGCCCTTCTTTGTGCTTGATGAGATTGATGCTGCTCTGGATAATGCCAACGTGCAACGAGTCGCCAACTACATTCGGAAGCATGCTGGCAGCAAGTGTCAGTTCATTGTGATTTCTCTCAAGCGGGGTCTGTACACTCATGGAGAGTGTTTAGTTGGTATCTACCGAGATCAGGAGGTGAACTCGTCCAAGATTCTTACTATGGATTTGAGATCGTATCCCGATACTTAGGCTGATGTAGGATTGGATTGGAATGAGTTTTTATTGATGAATTATATATATATTATTGGTGTTATTCGGATACCTACAAAACTGTAGAGTGAGGTGACGTGTCATGGCATGATCTGGCATAATCTGAGCACGTCCGAATCTGCTTCATCAGTCGTTTGTAGTTTAATTCGATTTTTTGATATATTTTCCAGTATTTAGCAATAATTCAGGCCGAATTCCGGTACCCATCTCAGCATCGCCATATTAGCTTTGCATGGTCTCCCCCCTTACATAATGGGCTGCGCGATATTGCATATGCACTAACAGTCGGAACACGTAAATTGTTCTTGTACACGACAAGATGAGTGACTTGAAATTCTTCACCAAGGTGAGTATTTGGGGTGGTCGCGCTTTGCGGGCGCGTCTTGGAGGTTATGCTAACTCAGGGAAAAGCTGCGGAATTGAGAACGGAGCTGCAGGCAGCCAAAGGTCCGAAAAATGTCGGAAAGAAGAAGGCGGTGCTGAAGAAGATCGTGGCCAACATGACCATGAGCAACAATGAGATGATTGTCTTATTCGAGGACATTATCGACATGATCCGATCGTCCAACGATCTGGACGTGAAGAAGATGTGTTTCCTCTATCTCATCACATACTGCAAGGCTAAACCTGAGCTGGCCACGGGAGCGCTGGACCCTCTTCTGGACGATGCTGGATCCCGGGAGTCGCCCTTGATTCGGGCCCTGGCCCTCAAAACACTTTCCTCTATTCCTCTGGAGGACTTCATCAGGGAGGGAGTGGAGCCTACCAAGCGACTGTTGTTTGATGAGGACCCCTATGTTCGCAAGACTGCGTGTCTGGCCGTGGCTAAAATGTGGTCCCATGACACCAAGATTGTTGAGCACTCTGACTTGATCGCACTGCTCAACAAGCTGCTGAACGATGGAAACCCCACTGTGGTGGCCTCAGCACTGGCTGCCCTGATGGACATCACCGAAAAGTCTAGTGATTTGCAGCTCACACTCGATCACAACCACGCGTCCAAGATTGCTACCGTGCTTGGGGAGTGTTCCGAATGGTCGCAGATCAGCATGCTCCAGGCGCTACTATGCTGGACCCCACAGACAGCTCTGGAAGCGGAGCGTATGGTGGAGCGTGTTCTTCCGCGGTTGCAGCACTCTAATGCTGCTGTGGTTCTCGGAACTGTGCGTCTCATTGTCTACCTCGCCAATTATTCGCAGAACCTCCTGGAACACGTGCCCCAGATCCCCACCAAGCTGAGTTCCGCAATGGTCAACCTCATTTCGAGGCAGCCTGAGTTGCAGTACCTTGCGCTCCGAAACTGCATCCTTATCCTCCAATCAAAACCCCAGCTGCTCCAGGGCCTGTCTGTTAAGGCTTTCTTCTGCAAGTACAACGACCCCATCTATATCAAGACCACTAAGCTGGAGCTTATCTATTTGCTGGCCAACGACAGCAACATTGGAGTTGTGCTGCGTGAGCTGCGTGAGTACGCGACGGAAATCGACGTGCAGGTGGTTCGAAAGTCTGTACGAGCCATTGGAAAGCTGGCCCTCAAATTGGAGTCTGCTACAGCCGCAAAGGCCAGTGTCGACACACTCATGTACCTTGTGGAGACCCGGGTGTCATATATTGTGCAAGAAGCCATTGTAGCTCTCAAGAACATCCTTCGACGATACCCCGGTCGGTTCGAGGGCGTCATTGGTGAGCTGTGTGAGCACCTGGATGCTCTCGATGAGCCGGAGGCCCGTGAGGCCATGGTCTGGATTGTCGGTCAGTACGCTGACCGAATTGATGACTCGCATCTCATTCTGGAGCAACATTTCCTTTCTACGTGGCACGATGAGCCCGTCAACGTTCAGCTTGCACTTTTGACGGCCACCGTCAAACTTTTCATCCTGCGACCTACCAGAGGCCAGGCGATGGTTCCCAAGGTGCTCAAGTGGGCTACTGAGGAGACTGACAACCCCGACCTGCGAGACCGAGGATACATGTACTGGCGTCTCTTGTCGTCTGACCCCTCTGCTGCCAGAGACATTGTGCATCCCGATAAAATGCCTCTGATCCATGTTGAGGATGAAGCAATCATGGACCCTCGAGTTCTGGAAGAGTTGGAGCTTGGCATCGGTACACTCGCTTCTATCTATCTCAAGCCTGTTCGCCATGTATTCCGACTGGCCAAACCCAGAAAGCTCACTCCATCGCCGTGTCTCATTCCTCGAAAAGACAGCGATGTGGATGAACTTAAACAGCTTGCTGAGCAGGCTGAAAAGTCAAAGCAGCCTGCTCCTAGCATGCCAGACATTGCATCATTGAATCTGGGCACTCTTCAGAGCCCATCTCTGGCCCAGTACACTCCGCTGATCCCCACCCCTACCACAGGTACTCCTACTACCCCCAGCTTCCCGCAAATGCCCCAGCGATCTAACAGCGTTGCTGTGCACCATCAATCACAGCAGCTGCTGGATGACGGAAGTGGCAGCCAAGGCTACTTCGTTACACAGAACGGTATTGCTCAGGGCTCTCAAAATACCCAGAACTTGTTGTGGTAACATTTGTATGTACAAGTACAGTAATGTACAGTACAGTACCCCCATATGTAATATTTACAATAGATTTTATATTTTATTGTGTTGACTTGTCGAATGTCTATTCGATTGTGATAGTCTCTGCTATAGGCATGTTCGGCTCAGGACCCTCCTTCACCTTAGTCCAGTCAATATCCCTACCGACGAGCTTGGATAGAATGATCTGTGCCCCTGGTTTACTTAACACAAGGCCATTCTCCGTGCAAAAGGCCCCAGCAACACATGAGTGACAACCCCAGTCGCATTCACAGTCGTTAACTCCATCGACAGCGTTGTTGACGATCTCTTCCACAAACTGAAAAGCCTTCTGTGACAAGCCAGAGCCGCCCTCGCCGCCTACCTTGTCTCCAAATATCAACCGTGAAGGCCGTCTTCGAGTGGATTGCCGTTTAGCAAACTCCTTTTCAGGAGCTTTACACTCTGTGCGTACATCTCCTGGTCCACAGACAACATATCTTGGAAAGAAGTTGATGAGAGCATGTTCGGCGGCGTGAATTGCACCGGCCAGAGAGAGCTTCTTGGCCTCGATCAGTTTCATAGTGGATTGTGGAATATCAATCCAGAACCCCTTTGTGTTTATCACAAACGACGGATGGTCAACCTCCACAGCCTCCAGGATTCGATCTCGCTTGTCAAGCTTGAAGAAGCCAAAGACAGTCGTTGTGATGCGGATGTTTCCAAATGACACCTTTCCGCCCCCATTTCCATACGAAAGCTGTTTCACCTCCTCTGACTGGACTGGATCCACATCTGTGAAGTCTCGCTGTCTCGTATACCAGTCCACATTGACCCTTCGGACCTTACCCATTCGTTCTTCCACTGAGACATCAACAACAAGGTAGGGAAACCCTTGGTGCATAAAGATTCCTCCCTCGTATAACGAAAATGGCACTCTGCTCTCTTCCAGAAGCTCAATGATGTGACCCTTGTTGTGGGTGATATCCACTACAGCATAGTGGTTCTCCTCAATGCCTCTAATGGAAACATCCTTAGCAGGATTGTCAGAGAACCGTGATGATGTGTGATAGAAGGTTGTCTCGTCAGTCTTGTCTTCAATTAGTTTGTCCTTCACTGTATGCAATAAAGGACCGAAAAATTCCACATCATGTGTCAGCTCAATGGGGAACTCCGAAGCTGCACATTGAATATGACTTTCGAGGAGTAATAGGTTAGTAAGAGGCTCGATTGTAAGGGCTTCTGTAGGCTCGGTAAGCATTTTGTCAGGGTTTTTCATGTAGAATTGGTCCACGGGATCTCCAGAACCAATGACAATAGTCAAACTGTCTGATCCGTCCTTTCGTCGTCCAGCACGGCCACTCTGTTGTCGTAGATTAGACACAGTCATGGGAAATCCGGCAACGATACATACGTCCAGCTGTCCAATATCAATTCCCAGCTCCAGGGCGTTAGTAGCAACTATACCCACTAAACAACCAGCAAACATGTCCTGCTCGATTTTGCGGCGGTCTTGTGGAGAATAGCCGCCGCGGTAACTCATAACCAAGTTAGACAGATCGGGTCTGCCTTCATCCACAAACTTTTGACGAACACCTTTGATAATTTGCTCGCAAATAACCCTGACTCTGCAGAAAACAATGGTACGTACGTTCTCTTTCACCATGTGTGCCAGAAGAGAGATGGCTTCACCGACCACAGATACGCGGCCGCTTCGGGGATCTGTGGGCGATATGTAAGGGGTGTTCCAGGCTAAGAAATGTTTGAGACCGTGCGCTCCGCCAGGTGAATCGACCAAAGTGATGGATCCCTCGTCTAGGCCAAACAAATTACTCATGTGAGTGAGAGGGCTGTTGATGGTAGCGCTGCAGGAAATGAACTGTACCACGTTATTCCCCAGTAACTTGCACACGCGCCTTAGCCGTCTCAGAATAAGACTCACGTGTGTGCCAAATAGGGAGTTGTAATAGTGGATTTCATCCACCACGACATATCTCAGGTTTTGGATGAACTGCCTCCAGGAAGATCTATCTGCATCTAGTTTTGGCAGAATGCTGACATGCATCATATCTGGATTTGTGAAGACGACACGAGCCCGGTCTCTAATTTCGCATCGTTTCTCAAAGGGGGTATCTCCATCAAAGGTTTCGACTGTTCCATAGTCAAGCCCAAGGGCCAGGGAAAGCTCTGTCAGCGATCTCTTCTGGTCCTGTGCCAGCGCCTTAGTTGGAAAGATAAACAAGGCCCTGGATGAATCATTGTTTAGAAGCGACTCTAGAACAGGCGTCTGGTAAATTAGTGACTTTCCCGAAGAAGTGGGTGTACACACAACCACATTTTGTCCACGATATAGGGCATTCAGTGCATCAGCTTGGTGGGTGAACAACTTGGTGACCCCCTTGGTCAACTCAAATGCTGCCATGACTTCCTTGTTCGGCTCATACTCCAGCTCGCCATATCTGGCTTCCTCTTCTGGAATGATCATATATCCATTATCGACAATCTGCCCAGAGTAGGACTCCTTCGTTGTGATATCAGTGATGAGTTGAGTGACATCCACCATTGCCTGTCCTTGGTTTGTGGCTTTCTTCCGATCCACATTCATAACATCCACAAATGTCGGTATTTGTGGAATCTCAATCTTTTCCCTCAAGTACTCCACCTCGGTCCCTTGGTAATCTAAGGATTTCATTTTTGATCTCAAAAATTCCACCGCGTCCTTGAACTTGGCATTCCGCTTGGCGGCCAGCTTGCCCATGTCTTCTACACTGAAATTCCAGGTTTGCTTGTCACGTTTATTGTTCTCTCGTGGATTGGTAAGATTCAAAACCGTCTCATCCAACTCCACCTTGACTCGATCTTCCACTGCAATCCACTCCTTCTCTTCGACTTTGCGTTTCTTGCTGGCTGGCTGGGGTTTCAGATCACCATCGATGAAGTCGAACATGAGAATCCAGTTGTCGCCATCTTCCTCAATGTCAAAGACATCCCTCTGATCGCCGCTGTATTGCTGTGAATCGACCCACACATAGGAGATGTCGTCAGGAAGAAGGTATTTGAACATGGCGAAGTGCGCGTCGGTAATGTCTTTGTGAGCACATTTGAGGTTCTTGACTGTCGGAAGAACGTGTTTTCGACACCTCATAAAGGTTGCAAGTGTATTAACCGACTTGAACACATTGAAGAGCTGATCCATGGGATGTGGCGTAACGAAGGTGGTGAACTTGGTACTTGCATAAGAGGTGCAGATCAAGCTTCACCACTAATGACAGTACATGATAATAACAGATGGACTATATGCATTTTTATTATTTTATACAGTACAAGCGAGTCGAGTTACTCATACGGAACGTTCTTATTATTAATGCTACTTTGCGGGAACCTCCACCTTTGGAGGATCCAAACGGAATTGTTCCGGTGCTGGTTTGTTACTCACAGGAGGTCGCTCTCCGTTCTTGCTAGGGACAGCGGGAGAATGCGTTGCTGCTGTAACAGCAGGTGGAGCTGAAACAGACGAAGATGGTGGTGCCGCTGTAGAAGGCGACGCAACTGGTGTCATGGATAGCTTGCTTCGAGAACCTGTGCCAGTAGAGTTTTGTCGGACGAGCCTCGAGTTGCTCCTCGATCTTGATCTGGTCGCAGAAACTGGCTGAGTGAGATGAGTGTTGGCAAGGGCTCGGCCAATCGCAGGTGCATGCGCTCCATCAAAGTCACGGCCTCTCCACATTTTCCAGCCCTCGAAATCAATCAGTGCTTGCATGCAGCCCCATTCCATGATCTTTCGCTCCAGCCAAACCATGTTGACGGGCTTTGTCAAGAAATCATTGCAGCCGGCTGCGAGAGCTTCAGACTTGTCCTCCTTCAGGCTCGAAGCGGTAAGTGCCACAATGATGACAGGAGAACGGAACAGGTTGCTGTCGAGGACATCTTCGGGGTCCACGGGCGCCATCGTGGATTGCCCAGCTCCAGCACCACCGCTGAAAACACCGATCTTGTTCTGGTGCTCCAATCGACGAATCTCCTTGGTCACCAGAATACCACTCATGACAGGAAGCTGAATATCCATGAGAATCAAATGATATCCTCCCTGTCTCCACTTTTCCAGAGCTTCGCGACCGTTCTTGGCCACAGACGACCGAATCTTTCGCTTACGCATGAATGCTTCCAAAATCTTCTGGTTAATCTCGTTGTCTTCGACAATCAGGACATTAACACGGGGAACGATAGTCTCCATTGTTGTGGGCCCCTTTTGAACCTTGGCTGAAAGTGGTGTTCGAGTGCGTCTCAGTTCGGGTTTCGCCTGGGCCTGAACACCTGGTTGAGGTGTCTTTTGTGGTGCGGGTACCTTGGTATCCTCCTTGCGAAGCGTCTTACCAGTGGGTCCGGCCACAGTTGCCGCCGTTGCTGTTGCAGGTGTTGGTGGTGCTGGTACAGTGGGCTCTTCCTTCTTTTGCTTACCCAGCATATGCAGATTGGTATTGCTGGGCGACTCGGTGATGGTAGCTCCATTGGGTCGAGCTGTGATGCTGATTGTGGGTTTGGGTGGGGGGTCAGATGCTGCCTGTTGGGCGGGTTGCTTTGATTGGTGTGCTTGTGACGCAGCAACTGCCTGTTGAGGCACCGGCTTGGGCTGCGGTGGCTGGGCTGCTGGCTGTTGCGGTGGTTGCTGTTGTGACTGCTGCTGGTGTTGTGGTTGAGGTGGCGCCTGTCTTCGCTTGTCGTCGGGTGCAGGCGAAGAGCCCTTCTTACGCGCTGCACTGGGCTCCTTGTCACTGTTTCGGGTGCCACCTCGGAACTGTCGGGGGAGCAAAAGAACACCACCTTGAGCCGTACCTGCGGCTGCGGGTGACTGGGACGGGGAACCAGACGAAGCACCCGCAGCGCCTGCCACCGAGTGTTGCGACGAACCAGCAGAACCAATGTCGCGACGCTTCCGTGCTGGCTTTGTGTCCTCGTCGTATATGGTTTCCTCGTCTGTGGCTGAAGGGGGTCCCGGGAATGCATCTTGGCCAGGGGTCTGCAGATGAGGCTGCTGAGGGATGGCATGCGGAGTGATGACCTGCTTCACAATGTGCGATGGCTGGTGATGGGGGTGAGGTGAGGCAGCATGGTGGTGCAAGGGAGCATGAACGGGCTGCGCCGCCTCGACCGTTTCTCCGTCGATTATGAGGGCATCATCCATGCGCATTCCGTGCGGGAAATGTGTATCCAAGAGCTGCCACACATTGATATCAGGTGATAATGGGTCACCGAGAGGGTGCGGCTGAGGCACTGCAGCTGTTGATGCTGACTGGGACGGTGTCTTAATAGTCAAAGGACTAGGTTTGGCAGGCTGTTTCTTACGCAGCGCCTGTGTGAAAGATGTGAGGTGTGGTGATGTCGCCGAGCGATACTCTTCCGTTGCTGCTGCTGCTGCTGCCAGTGCCGGGGACGCAGGTGGCGCTAGATGAGAATTCGACAGTCGCGATGGGGGTGGTTGAGCTGACTGCGGCAGACGGATAGCTAGATCAGCAGGGTCGGTTGTCCGCTGCAGTGATGTTGGGAACTTAGCTAGCACCACGCTCTTCAGGTCGTCGACAATGAGTTCTGCAGGAACCAACACCGTGGTGGGAGTCGCTCCTGGACGACACACCCATACTCTACGGTTGCCGTTGACTGTGGGAAACGACGTTGGTGGTGTTGTTGTAGTGGGAGTAGGCGGGAGTCCCTTGGCCTGGCTTGCTTGCATGGAAGAAGAGGATTGGAAACCGGAGTGACTCTTGGAGGAAGCAGTCGACGAATGAGAAGACTGGGAATGGCGAGATACCCCAGGTGCAGGGGCGAATGAGCTGCCGTGGTGCGCCGGCGTCGTCATTCCTGCTTTTTTATCTATGTTTGTTGAGTGCCTTGGGCGGCAGGTGGAGTTTCGCCGCAGTGTTCTGTGTTCGATGTGATGTTGGTGATGGAGGTTTCGTGGAGAGATAGAGTTCGCGGTATGTTTGCTAGGAAGGTTATTGAGCGATGATGGTGCACAGCGAGGAATGCGCGCTTCAATCATGATAAGGGCTCTGATGAATCTAAGTAAGGCAACTGAGAGCGGGGACGCGGACCTCCTAGAGTTGGAGACCATCGCTTATCTCTCTCTCTCATTACTGCTACCCATGAATGTAAACTACGACGGCATAACTGCGCATGTCACGTGCCACCTTGTAAGCCCAGAGTTGACACCCATCATCCTTCACGGTTTTCCGAGAATACGCGAAGGGTGCTAAACCTTTACTATTCACCGTGAGCCATATACTTTTTTTTGTCTGCGACCTCCTCATCGTACTATATGCCGTCAGCGGGGCAGTCCATCTATACTGGCCAGCCGATTTTTTTCCGCTCATGAAGATACTATATATTATGCCTGCTGCACGCGCATTGGTGTGAGAAGAGCACAACGATAGACGCGACGTAGTGGTGATTTCTAGGGAAATCGGCTCCGGAGATGCTAATTACTGCATTCTCGGGTTTGTCTTGAGCTGTTGTCATCTGTTTCTTGGTGTCTCTTTGATGGTCGTTTCTCGGCCATATGACCTCACTCAGTATAAGTATCGTAAAAGTATTGGCAAATTGTGACTATTAATTTGGATTTGCATACCCTACAAGTACACGTACAAGTACGCTCTGGTCAAGTAACCCCCGATAAGAAAAGCTCATGAATATATGCAAAACACGGGCACGCCAGCATCAAAGGGACCGCCTCAAACTGCTCCGGTGCCATCTCAACCGACAAAAGTAGTACCAGCACCAGTTCAGTATGTACTGTGTGTACCCTTGGTTCATCTCATCAGCATGCAGTACAGAATGGGCACGCCAAACCTTGTTCCGTAAATTTAACTGAGATAATGCATGACAAGAGCACACTTTTTTGGCCACCTGAGCACTCCAATATCATGAGACAGCTGATCCGGGGGTTTGCAACCGCCACGTCAACGCAGACAGTGAAAGCTCCAACAGGAAAGCCTCGGCGAGTAGGTAGATCTCTTTTCAGCAAGAAAAATGCCACGGGCCGGGGGTCTACAGCACATGCCAACAGCCACCATGAGATTATCGATGAGCCCCTAAGTCACCCAAGAATCGACAAAGAAATCAGATCGTGTGGATCGGTCCAGGCTGACGCATTCTTCGCCAATGTCGCGGGCCATAACCTCACCGCAGAAGACATGTGGAGCCCGAAGAAGTACACAAAGTGGATAATGCCCCCAGACAACAGTGGAAACCAGGACCCGGGGACATATTGGCCGGACGTGGTCACAGATCCCACTCAGCTCAAAGGAATTCATCAGCATACGGTTGGAAACGGCATCAAGAAAGCCAGTTACTCCCATAGCATAGTCGATTTTACATCGTTCTACTTGTCGCCATGGACGGTACAGGGTGTGTTCAGAAAGACGAGACCGTCAATTGTCATACAGTGGCATTCGTTCCTACCCCTAAATGGTCACAAGGTCAACGAATTCAACAACATGGGGTATGCGGCTCCAGGAATGCCAACATCTACAGGGATGCCCTTGAAAGATCAGAGAAACCCCTGTCCATTAACGTCAGGTGTCTACCGAAGCATCACGGCCAAGATATACAGAAGAATTTTCTTGGAAGAGTTCCACAAAACCCCAGGTGCGTGCGATGGAGTCTACGTATTCCGTGTTCGCAAGGTACCTGAATCCGAGTCGTACATTAGAAGCGGCATGGCAGAAATGATCAAATACGTCGCTGGCGATTGGAGGAACAAAAAGAGTCTTTTCAAACCAGATCCCATGGATACAATCAATAAGGCGCTCCAATCCTACAGAATTATCGAACCGCTCACCCCGGAGTTGGCCGAAGTCCGTCGGTTTGACCCAACACTCATGAAGCCAAACAACGACGGGAAACAGAAAACGGAAGAGAAGCTGTCGCCAAAACGCATCAACTCGAACGACAAGGCGAGAAAGCTCGCTCGGGGAGGCCCTTCCATGCCGGTCAGACAAGATTAAATGACAACTCAATGTATATACACAGTCATCTAAAAAATAGTTTGATATCTATATTTCAGACGGAAGGTTTCCATATGGGAAGACATTCCATCACACGAGCTCGCTTGGGGTTTCTTTTCCTGTACACGAACGACATCAATAATGATGAACCTCTATGTTGTATATCGTTGCCTGGTGCTTTTTCCAGGGAAAAAACCAGCCGAGAATCAATGACGTTCGATATGTACAGTATGTACCGTAATATTGAACGCGCGGTGATTGTATCCAATGTCATTCTCACCCACACGGTGATTCTGCTATTGTTTTTATATCGCGAATATGCAATATGTTTTTGGAGACCCCCCCGTCCAAAACCGAGAGCCGTTCGTTCGTCCGTCGTCATGCCATTATCCCTGGAGGTACAATACTTCCGCGACACGTATAACATATTATAGAGCAAGAAAATCATAAATGCAGACACGGCTTGCGTCGGATAGGTGCAACAAGAGTGTCTATTAGAAAGTCCGCCATTTCCGCTTACACAATATAACATGTAATAACTCTATAGATGAGTTCTCTATACAAGTACAAGTTCGAACGGATGTAAAAAAAACCTGCCCAGACTGGACATCTTTTGGAAGGAGTTCCACAGCAGCAGTTCTAATTTTTTAATTTTTTATATATTTTTTAAAACAATGCAAACACAGCTGAGACATGCTGCTTGTAGGGTATATTGTGTTGCCTTTAATATAGGGTAATTACATCATCGCGTGTATTCATGCCGACTTGTGTCTGAGCTTATTTACAGGCTGGAGTTTCGGGGCAACGACGCGCTACTGTACTACTCCTCAGTGACAAGAATCCGGGGCTTTCTAACGTCTGAATCAAAGTCGTGGAAAGAGCAGCCGCACCACTCCAGGGCCTTCCCCGAGCAAGCGACAGTAAGACTCGGGTCAGGTATGTATGTATGTATCGTCAGTCACCTATTCAGAGGTATTTCTTACAAGCATGTACATACATACTGTATACAAACTGTAGTACACACCAGACCGATAACGGCATGTACGGTAGGGTACAGTATGTACTGTACCTGTAAGACTACAAGTATCGGCATTGGTAAAGTACCCCCATTACGGTGCGGTACCTGTAAGGCTACATGGAAGTCGTGTGTAGTGTAGTGTACCGGCACTTTTTGATTTCAGCATCGGGGTTATTGTTTAAAATGCAAAGTCGCTTTATCAACACTCATACCGTGCTTCTACAATGTACGAGAGTACCTTGCCTCATTCGAAAACCATACTTCCTCCGAGACACTCACGTCGCGCCGATAGCAATATGTAAGCAAGTTAATCAAAACCCTGCTCCCCAGGCCACCCGTAGCACTCCAAGCTCTTCTGACGGCTCAGCAGGAAGGGCACTTAGAATCCTCCACAGCCGCTTGCGACAGCCTCGCGTTAAACGACCGAAGGTCGATCCAGGTACGGATCAACCCCGCAGCAGTTTGCAGCAGCCCACAATCAATCCGTAGACGACAATTTTAAGCGAGAAAATCGAGCTTAAGCTAAAAAAGTAGAATGTTGAAGCGGGCTGGCAAGGCTGCTACGACACCACTGCTGCTGGCCACCGGAGTTCATACTTCCTGTCGAAAGTGAGACATGTGCGATATATTGTGCACAGTCCTTGTATGTACCCTCAACTTGAGAAACAGTAGTCGTCATGGATGTACTGCTTGAGGTGTTTTTTCTTGTTACACACCCGATTGTGTTCAGACCTCGTGTCTGGTTAGTCTATCCATCAGCATAGGGTAGTTTTCATGGGAAATGGCGATTATTAATGACATCTGCACCTACAAGTAGTGTAACTACAAGTAGTAAAGCTGGTTTCAAACTAATTCCAGGGTGCTGACTCCGTTAAAAAGAAAACCCCTAAAAACACAAGGAAGCGGACAGAACAGGGCTTTGGCCGCTGCTCAAATCTTTGATACAGCTCGTTCCAATAGAAAACTTGTGACGTTAGTACTACTTGTAGTATTTTGTAGTCCATTTCTTGGCGCATGTCCCAAGTGTGCTTCCATAGTTGATTTTGCTCCAAAACTGCGCGTTGGATTCTTTGCAACTGTCTGTAATGAAGAAGAAAGCAGGGGGTGGGGGTGAAGAATCTGAGCTGTAGAGTCTTGTGGGGTTACAGTGCTATTCATATTTGTACCGTTAATTCTGGTGGTACCCGATACTCGTACTTGTACTGCGGATCGATATGGTGTATGCAACACACCAAATACTGTAGCGGTATGACGGGTCTGAAGCTGGGCCAAAAATGGTACATAAGACATGAAAGTATTGTAGTCTGACAAAAAGGGCGAACAGCAGAATCTATCTAGCGCCAGGGGTAAGAGGGCTCCAATTTTTTCCTAGCATCTCTTCAATATAATTAGGACAGATGGTCACCTGATATAAATCCTATTTCGTGAATTGGGGTTTCATTGTCGATTTCCCGAGATTGCCCGGCTGCAAGGCAGTCTGCTCGGATGGGTCTGCTGCGTCTAAAAGCCTGCTTATATGGTACAATGTCTCGCAGCCTTTGTGCTCGAATGGTGCCATTCTGGTACTGGTCCTTGGAACCAGAGTTCCAGATACTGTATGTATTCAAATCCACTAAAAGTAGATGGAGGAGATGTCTTGTTGAGGGCTCCTGCTGTTCAGTCTCGGCGTTTTTGCTTTTGTGCCGTGCCGATTTCGGAACCATCGGCAGCTCCGGTTGCATGCAAGCGAGTTTATAGCCACTTTCGACCACCTCCGAAGATGAAGGACTCCTGTCGACCGACTGAAAACAACGGCAAATGCGTCATTTATGACACCACGCACATGCAACATTTAAGATGAACCCCGTTGGTCTTTTTTTAGCCATGCTGTCCTTTTTCATTTCCAACGCTCCGTTTATGTGGCGATATGCAGCCTGAAGCAGAGACCTGCAGCCCAACGTCATGTCCAAGGGGAAAGGGGGAAATGAAATTTTTGCACGGTGCAATATTAATTTAATGTCTTGGATTTAGAAAAAGCTGCGGCCGTGGCAACTTTACAGGAAGAGTGGATAGTTGCCCGAGGTTGCCAACCTCAATCAGAATCGGCCATAGGTCTTCGACTCTTCGGATGGGCACAGTTTGGCAAGTCACCAAGCATCGGAAACTACTCTGATAATCCCATGCTACAGTGCTAAGTGAGTACAGGTGGCAACAAATTGTTTCATCTGTACTCGCACTGAAGTGATAGGCACTGTAGTCATTCCCTCTTGCTTCACAGCTGCTGTTCAGTAGGTGGTTGAATCGGAACAGCCTCAGCAAATACTTTACACGGCACTTGTATATATAACGCCATGCCATACAGTCAACTGTGTCCGTCCCCAACGCTATACAACAGCCCCTCCTCCTCTGGACCACTTTTCACAAAATTATGGATCAATGGGGGGTGGTCCAGGGTATTTAGAGCAGCACGACCTGAGATGAGAAATCCCGAATAATAGCTCACGGCTTATACCTCCGCATCCACAGCTGCAAATATACGGTAAAGTTGCTCTGTCTTCGATCCCACCGCATGCTAGGCGTATTAGAACATCCGAGAGAAGAGCCGACGAGAGTGAAATTCAGTTCTGAGATCACTGTTAGTTTGGTGCTCAAAGCTACTTTTGGTTTTTGCTGTTTATTAAACTCAACTTTCTTCTTGCTATCACTGTTTGCATTTCATTTGCCAAACTTTGTCACGAACCATCTGACCCAGCCGTCATCGTATACGTCCTTGGCTGTCTTGCATATGCAGCTGTAATGCGGATGATATCCCGAGAAGAATATTCTGTCGGGGAAAGTCACGTGTTATTTTTTAAAATGGGCTCTACAAGCTAGAAGAACAACACAGGGAAGACGGCGAAAAAAACTATATAGATTCAAGACCTTCTGTGACCAACAAGGGCTTCTTATTTTGTCACAGACATAGTCTTGTCATTTGCCGAGACCGGGCCGAAAAAAAGAAAAAAACAACCCACGATTTGCCTGTATAAACCTTAATTACGATGACCCAGTCATATTGATAACCACGTAAGTGTCGTGTGCCCGCTCCCACAGTTGGTTCACCTTTGAGGTTTTCATGTTATTCAAGCTTCATAAGAGCTCCCCTTGTCTTCGGCGATGGAAGTTATGCATTAAGACAATATCTCCGACTTGGCTCCGGCTTCGTTGCTTGTCTAGCTGTGAGCACAGACAAGTACACATTCCTCGCGGCTATTCGAAGGGACAATCGTGCACGGCGTGCGTGCGTTTTTTTGCTCTTATACATCACACTTTAATATTGCTTAATAGTGAATCTTATTTTGATTATTTTGATAATCTTATATAGTAATGGAACAAAGGCGTTTGGAGTCCAACACAACAATGTGGATAGTTTTCAAAGTGAGCCTCACTTTTTTTTTATCATTGATTACATACGGTTGGTAGCTTGAACAATAAAGACACTGGGCGTTTATCTCAAAGAGAATCGTTTGAATACAGTAAATTGTCCTGTGGAGACCCTTCAGTTTAGTGTGATGAGGGTATATAATTAAGATTATAGTTTAATGGAAGCATCATAGCACAGGTACTTTTAGATTGTATAGGAATAATCGTTTTAGGCAAAAATCTCCTGAAGCCCAGCCGATGGTATGCCATATCCCACAGTGATGTATCAGCCGCATACTTGCACTTGTCCTTGTACGAGGGAGATGACAAGCGACAGGGTGTGAACACGGAGAGTGGGAGTTGGCAGCATAATACCTGCTGTGGGAAGCAGCCCCAATTGCTGTCAAACCGCGTGGTTCCACTTGGATTATGTAGATATGTGTGTGATCCAACAATCACCCCACTGATTCATTAAGCGACTTTTTTTTTAAAAAAAATAAATATTTTTTTTTGCTGTTTCCGGCCTATTCCGCATTTTCTTCGGATCTTATTCCCGATGGTCTCCTCAGCCCTACTTGTAGCTATTGTATCGGGACCTGCGTGGCACTTTATGTGCGTAGACAAACGCTGGTCCGAGAACAAAACCCATCATAAGAGTATCAGTATACTGTAGTCCCCGACCACATCACATCTAAAATTTGTGACCTCGTCAATGTTAGGGTTGCAGGAAGGCTGCGAAAACAAGTGACAAACTCGAGGAAAATAGCGGAGAGAACACTGTCCGTCCAGCCAAGATGGTTCAAAGAAAGAGAGCCAGGTGCCAAGAACAAGTTAAGCCTCAGAATTTATAATTTCAGATGGGGGACGAAGTTGTCTTTTTGCGTCATAACACCACTGATCGAACTACTTGTAGCTGTCCCACAAGTGCAACTACAGATACCGGCACCGCACGAGGATGACCTTGTATCGTACAAGTACCCGCTACAAGTAAGATGCGACAGTGTCCCTGGTGTCGTTTATATAAGCTTTAATGAAGTCACGAGCAAAATACAGTGTACTGTACTTCGACTCGTTGTGACATCAGCCCACTATACATAAACATGACGGCAGAGCAAGATGGTTAGAGGATATGTCAACCACACCGCACGCATTAATAATCAACGCACCTCGGCATCTTGGATTATGCGGTGGGTATTACACCTATTTCTGTTTCTGTAATAATACATAGGGTTGTCGGTTATACTTGCATTTTCGTGTTTTAATAAGATTCAGTTTTGCCACAATACTCAAGACAATGTGGCTGAGCTGTTTGTGTTTGCACAGAGCTCGATGCGTGGTAATCAGTTATTACCAGTACACTCCAGGTTTTGTGGCGGTGGTGTATTTTTGTGAATCATCTGGAGTCTAAAGGGTCTTTTCTTAAATGTGCTCATGTTATGGCTTTGATCTTACTCGTTGTTCAGGTGGCTGCCTTCAGTGCTCCTTTTATTCATTTTGGGAGCAACTGCTATTGCCTTTGTCATTAGCCACAACGCCAATGCCAGGGGCTGGGACTAACTGGCGTTTATGGTTATGCAAGTGTTGTTTATTACAACCACCATAAGATCTAAAATCCATATCATTGATGGGCATAAAACTAAGGCCCCACGGTGATCTGGTGACTAGAATGGTCCACCCGCCATAACATATAGAAGACTGCTTACTATATTGGAATTTTATGGCAATTCTTTGACCCCTGCCCAGACTCACGGGGCCTTAGTGTCCGATATCTATGCCCACCTTATGCATGGACGCACGCCTCCTTTGTGAGGTGGTGTTTTGAGTGTCCGGCCAGCCGAGTAGTCCCATCTTTTCAAAGTGGATCTACTTGTACGAGTACACTCACTCACTATATACTGGATATATATTATTTCGGTAAATTAATTAAAAACCAGATCGTTAAGGAAAGAAGATAATCTTTATAATACCGAATTATAAATGATTGTCCACTCAAAAGTATTTGTCGATGATACAGGGAATATTGCTCCATCGCACATTCCCCCACACATTTCATGTCAACCGGAAGTGGATTTAAGGTTCTATGAGGAAGTTCCCACTGCTTCTGGAATTGGCCATGTTTCGCATCGATAAGCTCACCGGCTTGACAGCCGAAGAACCCAATTTCTGGTATTGCCCTAACTTGTCAACAGAACGCCACTGCATTGCAATTCAGCCATAATACTTCGCCATAACCTATGAGAGAAGAGGAGAATAAACAATCCACATCATGTCAGGTACCAAATTAGTATCTGGTTGAATTCAGAAGGGCAAATATACGTGCTATCCCCTCATCATGTGGCCTGGACACTGCATATGGTCACTCTTACGCACAGTTAATAGCCGCTCTCAAAATAACCGATCGCGGGGGTAGACTCAGAGATTTTTTGCCCAAAAAATAAAATAAAATAACTCTCCTCTTTGTTTATCGTGTCAAATTAATTCATATAAAAGCCTGACTTCGTTCTTGTATGTGTGACAGTGAGAGGTAGGGCTATGAATCGAAAAGTCAAACTGCAGTGATGCACTTCCTCTTTTGCCTAAAGAAGTAAAAGTTTCCCACATCAAGCGGTATTGGCGGGCGAAACATTCAGTCACAGAACGATAATTTATAATGCCGGTGCAGTTTTAATGGTCGTCCTGATGAATAAGAGCCAGAAGCCTGAAATGACCGAAATACTCAGCTACAAAGACAGTGTTCCAGTTAAGTCCAACGGCAATAGTTACCCCAACGTTTAATTGCCCTAATAGCAGAGCTGAACCATGGGTTTCCCTTAACTTCTTCCAATCTCCGGCTCCAATCCACTATTTCCACGTTCTCCACCCCTAACCTGGATTGAGTCTCACCACAATTTACACGTTTCAATGCCACAATCATTCAAATGCAATCCCCTAACCCTCGAAAGTCCCGCGATCCGGAATTATAGGGTTGACCTAATTTCAGGTATGAGTATAACTGCAGAGTTTTGTTGCACAGGTCATCGTGGTAGCGTTTAGTTCCATTAAGCTCAGCGCCTGCATGTGTATGTTAAGATTCGTTCAACCTTAATTATGTGTTGCTGTATGGAACTTTGCTTTGTTGTCTCTTTGTCTTCGATGGGAGCAATTCTCAAACAAAGAATCGAAACCCAAATGTCTACACACCCATGATTCTGCATAACCAAAGTCTCTTGGCTGGGATCGGGGCTCATAACATATATATCTATCAAGCCCCCCAAGATAGCCTTGAATATATCCACAATTAAATAATGTCCGTTACTCTCACAATGCCTTCGACCACCCCATCGTTCTCACTGCCATCCATCCACAACATGAACACTGGCCTCCGTACCCCGCCACGAGATACACGACTGCCATCAGTCAAATCACTCCTATGTGATGAGCCGGAACCCTTGCCCCCTCGGCAGTTGTCTCCTCCCCTGGAGCGACTGAATAAGAATGTTACTTCTCCTATGACCCCTGCCTCCACTCCTCCTCTGTATGAGTACACCTCGACTGCCGCTCCTCCACACGCCAGTGCGCTCTCGCAACCCTCTCCCATTCATACTGTGCCTACTCCAGTGCCAGTATACCATGCTGCTCCTCTCCACACACATCACCATATCCCTCCTCCACCTCCCCCTCACCATGTCCCCCACCATATGATGGCTCCTCACCCTGCCTACCACCATGTGGCTCCTCCTCACACCCATTTGGCACCAGCGCCCAGCACCCACTACTACGCTGCCCCGGCTACAACTACATACCCGGCCGTTCCTCAGGCTGTTCCTCAGACCCCCAAGCCCAAGCGACGCAGAGCAACCTCTTACCAAGTTGCTCGGCTCAACGAAGTCTTTGAGCAGACATTCTTTCCTTCTTCCGAGCAGAGACTTGACTTGGCCAAGGAGCTCAACATGACCCCTCGAGTGGTCCAGATATGGTTTCAGAACAAGCGACAGGGCTGGAAGTCTGAGCACAAGCGACCTGTTCCCCGAAATTAACCAACATCAAAACCTGTATATTATTTATTATATTTATTCTCTCCCAAAAAAAACACTTGTACGATATTTGATGTTGTTGTGCCTGGAGTAAATGGTCAAGCATTGTCATACTTCTAACCTCTGTTCGGCGTTTGTATATCTGCTGGGTTCTCATCACCTTATCTACACAGGCACTTCTACGTAGTACAAGTACCACTACAGCTTTCTATATATGTAGCCTAGAGGGTAAGGTGACGGTGGTCTGGTTAATTGTCATTACAGTCTCGGTTAACACCATGGTAAACTCCTCCTGCTGAATCATGGGACACACGAACATTTACGAGGCTTTTCTCGCCAGAACTTCGTACAAGTATTGGGCATTGATTCACAAGATCCCAAAAACTTGGGGCGGTCAGGCTGAGGTCTGCCTGATTGTAATTAATAGCAGAAAAACCATACAACTCTACTGGAAGAGAGAGCAAGGTGACTGCCACATTTGCTTTTGGCATTGGAGTGATAGCTATCCTCGCTCACCTGAACCTCAGGCATAAAAAAAGTTTGACGAGTTTCTCAAAATCAAACTCCCTCGATGGAAATGTGTCACAGTTCACACTCTGGGCTCAATTTAGGGGGATAATTGCATGACTAGTACATACAGTACAATCAGTCGGTTATCAATTAATAAACTCCCTGAATCGAGCAAATTGTTGATCACGACATTGCTTCGGAGTCTGAGCCGTGCACTTCGGAGTTAATTGTGTTGGGTAGAAAAGGAGCTTAGAAAGAGGGGAGGTGGGAAAACCTCAGAAACCATGTTTCTGGGACCGTGACGGAGTTAGAAACTCCAAGCTGCTTTTGGGGGGCTCCTACATGCATAATGGGGTGTTCCTGAGATTCTCCCACACTACAGGTACGCGTATTTGTACCTAGCGCATGTTCTTGTATGTACCATCTTGTGCTATTGGTACCAGTGCTTGTAGCGGGAGGGTGGGCCAACCATGTCCCATGCAGCACTGAATTTGCGGATCCATCGGCATGCTCATTCCGCTTTTTCTGTCCTCATGCATCTGACACAAGCTATAGAAGTATGGCCGGGGTGCATGCGTGCATCCTGTCGACCTGCAGGTTGTCGGAGTTCAGGGAGGTATCAGGGCTGAAATTGACGACCATAAAAAGCAATAAACCAAATACAGCAAGATCACCAATCATCATCACATTTTCAGACGCCACTTTTCTATAACTGTTTTTAAAGGGCAACCTAATCATTAGAAGAAGTCATTTTTGACGAGCTACACAAGTTAGAGTCAATGGTGGAAAGAGACACGTTGTGATATCATTCTCGAATATATTGTATAACGATATGAGCTGCAAGACGCAGAAGTTCTATGCCTTCGGAAGAGTGAAAATCTCAGACCCGCCTTAATTGGCTACCTATACCGGCGGTACTTACAACCTCTCACATAATCAAACTCACAACGCGACAAGAACTGCAAGGATATCTCAGGAGAGTTGAAACTACAAGTAGAAGTGTTTGTTCGTAATTCTTTTGTGCAAGAATTGCCGCACAAAAGAGAACCTACAACATGACCCCAGTTTCAAAACCGCCATGAATGTTTCTCATGTCTGGTCCTTTGTCTTTGTTTTCAGTATTATACCTACAAGTAGGACCTATGATACACGTAGGACTGTCAGTAATGTACAAGTACTTGCAGTCGATTGTAGCTTGTTTCAGACGCTGCGAAAAAAGATATCGACCTCATTCTGATCACGAATAAAAATTGTACCTCTTGGTGCGTCTATTGAAGCTGTATAATACCGCCGACAAGTGCTCATACTGGCACAAGTAGGTGGCGAAAGGGAGAATAGCAACGAGGTCTCTTATAAGAAACATGTTACAAGTCCAAATACTTGTATCTGTTGCAAGTGCTTCAGTTTCTCGTAGAGCATAGTGGAACTACATACTATTAAATACACTCTCCTTGATCCTCACAGACTGTATGCCGTCAATGGTGTTATTGGTGTCGTGGTGTTAGGTGGGCCAATTACTTGTAGCTCTTTTTAAATCTGCAATGCAAGGGGAAAGACTTCAATATCCAGTATATCGGTAACTACATAGTCAATCAATCTTTATATAAACAGAATGAGTGTCCAAGTACTTGTACCGGATACATCACGAGTATAAGTAATACTGGGAGGAGAAAAGAAAAAATGCAAAAAAGCTTGTTTCCAGAATACTGTGCACGCAGTAGCCACTGCTGCGGTCTGTTCAATCATCAACTGTTGCTGTTCTTGAATTAATATGAATACACGTGTAATTTTTCATATCTGTGGGAGCATTACATCATCATACATAAGCGAGATAGTAATCCTGCTTGACCAACAGAGTGGAAGCACATGTGCTTCCAATGTGCCTTCCAAAGCAATGTCTACTTCTATATGAATAGTAACTTCTTTGTCTGGGGAAATTTGACCTCTGCAGGAAACGCATGACATCAAAAACGGTCATCTGTGGGAAATGAAAATCAAAGAAGCGTGTACCCCCAGCCAGCCGTACATCCAGCGCAATAGATTGCATTTTGCCTCTTTGGGTCTCCTGCAGATGAGCAGCGGATTTTAGGGGCGTTGGAGAGTACAAGTACATACTGTAGGACGCATCACATGTAATTTTCACAGGTCCAGGGTCATCGCACTTGTACCTAGTGACTTTGTTGACTTGAGGTTGACGGGCAGCTACAACTCAGTTTCTTAGTGTGTGTCGGGCACAAAATCTCATCCCGAGATGATCATGCACGAAGCTGCTGGACACAAGAGCGACGCCTCCTTTAACTTTAGGGTTGCGGAATTGCTAGCCGAAGAAGTTGAGTTTGGTTCACTATTGGGGTGCTCTCATTTCACTATTGTAATACAGTAATATCAGTGGCTTGTGAATGTAAAAAGAAAACAGCCGGATACACGCTCTATGGTAGCTACCATTCGTAGTGAACTGTAGTGAAGGAAATGCCTAAAACCTGAATTGAACGAAGCGCTTTTCTACAAGTACCGTACGTGTAAGGTGGATGGTGGGCCTGATGTGTTAGTTTGACTGTTCTACTACGTGTCACCTTACTGTGCCTGTACTGTACTTGAAGATGGAGCAATATGTACACATGCGCGAAACTTCAGGAGTCAGGTTGTTATGCAACAGGAAATTTTTATGGTGATGAATTATAATTATGCACAGGTCCCAAATGGGAAAAATGTATGGAGAGAAACCTTCGATTGGTGTTTGTGGCGGTGCAATCTGGGGAACTTCGCGTGTAGTATTTGTACTTGTAGTAGAAGTTCTCCATCATTTTACAAGAATAACCATTAGTCAATGGGTAGTTGTATGAAATAGAACCATCTTTAAATGCATTTCCATCGCTGATGAAGAAAATGGCTTAGTTAACTGGGTATGTGTGGTCATTTCTGTGCCAGACCATCGACTGATTCAAGGCGTACAAGTACATTGGGTATACAGTTCTTACCGTAGTAAAAGCTAAGTGTTTGATGTCTTGAGTTTGAGGTCATTTAGACTAGGAGTACAAGTTCGTACGATACAGGGAAGAAGTACCGGTGTATTGTACTGGTACTGTGAGTACACAATCGGCATGAACGCTCTTCCAAACTTCCTGCGTCGGTGTACCGTTTGTGCGTTCTGTATTGGTGTCACAATGTGGCCCATACTTGTACAAGTTGCATGGTATATAGTGCGAGCTGTTTCGTATAATGTGGTACATACACATGCACTGAAGGTACCTGAACGTATACGTCGCATTGAAAACGGGTCTGTATGTTGTATTGTGCGAACATGGCAACATAATGTAGTGACGATACTTGTAACGTCACTGCTAGAACATTTCTCCTCAGTAAACCATGGATAGAAGCCGCTTATAACAGTATCGATAGCACAATTGTCACTGGTGCCAACGTACTGTGTATGTACCGCACAGTACCAGTACGAGCGAGTATCAGTACTTACGTATACGACACCTGACCGTGGAGAACAGAGTCACGAAAAAAGTTAGCACGGTTGTCTTGCTACGTTCTGGACTTTGAATGCTGTTTAGATAGCGCATGTGGTCAAGGGAGTCTGTGAAGATGAACTATCAAGTACGAGCACTTGCACTTATAGAATGGCGTGCGTGTAATAGTCATGTGTGGGGGTGTTGTAGCTACAAGTATTCTAGATGGGCACGTCACCTCTTCTACAAGTAGCCCACAGTATGTACGAGTAACTATATACTATATATTAATTAATTAATTTAGTCTCTGCATGGTTCCATGCGGGTTCTATTCAGCTTGGCTTTCATTTGTCAACAGTATACGGAGTGTCAGGTGAGTACCCCAGACTTTAAATATCAAGTGCTAAAAGCATGTACGAGTGCTTAAAAAAATTGACCGACAGCTGCCAATCACCTGTCCAGACAACTGTCGAGGCCTAGCTGTCAAGTGTCATCATTGCTTGGCAACTTCTGTGCCGTCGAATCGTTCAAGGTATTACCCTGCTACTTGTAGAAGTACTTCGTACAGGTATGATGTCCTGTCAGGCGAGCATTTAATTTACTCTGATATGAAAGCTTCAAGTTCGGTTATGAAATGACGAGGTTAAGTTGGTCAGTGACAAGCATGATTAGCCACCACCCACCCAAGACGGCCACCCACTCGAACTTGGAAATCTATTTTCTCGCATGTTGCTCCGGAACACAAAATTCGAGCCTTTAGTGAACTTCCGCAGTGCCCGTGGCTGCCAGATTCTACTCCTTGCAGCATTGCATCACTCATTACTCATTGCTCTCGTCCAGGCAGCCCTTGTTCGTTGAGATCTCAGGTGATTCACGTTCAACACAAAGAAATTGAGATAGTACATAGATGCAGACACGCGAATACGGTAGTTCCGCCAATATTAATGGGCTGTCATCATCTACTTAATGTTTTTTTTAAGTTACAGTAATCATATCCTTGGAACTTCAAAAGTGTAATCGTGTCATCGGCCCTTGTCGGGGTTGTCAGGTAAATTGGCGAATACGCGATCACCATTGGGCATGCAGTTGCAACCAGGACGTACAAATCGTGTGTTCTTGTGGTTCTTCAGCAACTGCGAGTTCTCGGGCGCAACTGGTCAAAACTATTCGTAGGAGAGTGTTCTGTAACGATACAATTGAGCTCTACAGGAGGTAGGTGATTTTACATAATTCCGAAGTCATAGTTTTTATAAAAAAAACACCTGTGGATTCTCGTGGTAGATATATGTACAGTATGTACTTGTACTGGTATTTGTATTCGTAGCTACTGTATATATCATTGAACCGAATGTTTCTTACGCATGTCACAACCACACAATGTATATTACGTAATCCAAGCCATGTGCGCTTGCTGAAGACCCAAAAAAGGAGATCAGCTACAAGTAGGTGCGATTGGGCTGAGTATTAGAAGTACGCTGCCACATACCTTCTTATTGTGTTGTTGGGGGGTGGGATAAAAAAGACCAGCCGTCGGAATTGGGTCTCGACGGGTGCGACTTTGGAGATGCACTCAGATCAGACAAAAACGCCTGTAGTGACTGATGAGACCAACCACTGCGGTGTGTAGGCCTCCATATGTCTAACCATTAGGGACTGTCATGTTTACTTTTTAATCCAATAATATCGCATGGCATGCCCACACGCCATCACGTTCTTATTTGGATGTTCCCTTGAACGGCTTCTCCAATAACAAATACTGTATTCCAGAAAGGAATTGCAGCTATATATTAGTATGAAATCCCAGCTGTAACCTGGTAACTCATGGACACAGGTACCGGTATTGTAAAGAATGTGGAACAAATGCAGGTTTACGTACATACTTGTATTTGATTCGTGGTGCAATAGATCTCTTCGAGATGAGAAGGGTTCGTTTTCCGACCCCCATGGGTGAACCACATGGTTCTGCTGTTAGGTATTTCGAGTGTTGACACGGGAGCCGGTGGTCCCAGTAACCGATTGAAGTTCCTGTCCACTATGGCTCACTGCAAGCTCACTAACCGCGCATGTATCGTACAGACGAGTAAGAGTACATACTGTACAGTATGTACAGTACGAGTACAAATACACAGTATGTACACCCATACAAGGAATGCATAAAAGAAGTATGAGTGGTCCTGTAAGTACGAATGTTCCAGTCATGCAGCGTGTTGTACTTGTATTGTACACTGTAGGCGGCGTTATTTCACGTCTGGCACATACCTGTATAGAATGTCTTTAGGAGTCTCGCAGTCTCCATAGCGGTAGAGATCAACGCCATGCTACAAGTAGCTACATGCTGCCACTCTCACTACGATAACAAGGTCCCGTGTTTATAATATTCCCACAATTCCATCATAAGAGTTTACATAAAGTACCTTCCTATGAGTCGTCCGGGTAAGCAGCCAAGGCAGCTCCCACCCCTGAGCCATCTTCTGCGTGGCCGATGTCGATACGGTCAACAGAAATACCCTCGACATAGCCCATCGCTTCTTTCACCATATCAGCAAATTTGGGGTAAAACTGGAAGACAGAACCGTCAACTCCAATGTCAACAACGTCGAATTTCTCCAAAGCGTGAGTATGAAGAGTAATGGCAGCTAAAGGAATGGCAGATAGATACGCAGATCGTCTACCAATAGCCGTAACCAGGGGTTTCAGGGCAGCAACTTGTTCAGGAGTGATGTCCTTGGCGGCCAGACCCATGGCCTTGATGATTTTCTCATAGTCGCCCTTTCCTGTCTCGATCTGTGCCTCAGTGGCTGCTTCAATGAATGACAAGACCGAAGTGTCCATTCCAAATCCCTTCCAAACAGGGTTTCCTTCCAACTTTGTGGATTGAAGAAGTAGGCCCTCACTCTTCAAATCCAAAAGACAGAGCCGCAACAGCTCACCCAGGAACATTCCAGAAATCCGCTTTTCAAACATGTGAAAAGACTTGTTGTGAGTGTTTTCGTCCAAGTCAATATCCCATTTGGTGTTTGGGAGGACGTCAATGTCATTATCGTAAGATCCCCACTCGGTATTGATAATCATAGTTTGGTTCGCGATGTGCTCTGGTGAGTAGCGCTTGAAAACTTCAGGGTAATTCGCAGCGGTAAACTTGGGGACCCGCTTAAGTCTTTCTGAGTAAGCACCATTGGTTCCGGTGCCAAAGATTGCGCCGATCAAGGTCTGCTTATGCTTACCATCGTCGGATTTAGAGGCGTAAGCTCGCGCCAATAGTGTGCCCACGGTGTCGTTGACCAGAGCCACAATCTTCACATTCAGGTCAAGAGCATCGAGCTGGATCTGAAATAGCTCCACGACGTCTTTTCCAACAGCATCCTTGATATCATAACCCTTGGTCCATCTCAAAAGATAGCCCTTGTCTAAAGCTACCTGATTGACGGGGAACGAGAAGGTCACTCCCATTCGCAAAGGCTCAGTCTGGCTGAAATGTTCTGAGTGGTGTTCTGTTAAGAAATCTTTCACTTGCTGGGCCAAAAATCCAAAGAAGTCAGCTTGAGTGCCAGTCATGAGGTCATCGCTGACAGCAACTTTTGATGCCACCGTTTTGTGGGTGTGGTCACCATTCAGGTGCACGGATGAGACCCGGAAGTTAGTGCCTCCCAGGTCAACTGCCAACTGGACACCCTTTTCCTTCCCTGTGGGAATTCGGGTGACAAACGAGGGAATCATGGGCATTGCTCTTTCCATGTTTGCTGAGAGGGCCTGTGCTGTCTGATCGACGAAGTGTTTGACGCCTTGCTGAACATAGCTGCCATCGATGGCGAACTCGGAGGCGAACTCGCCAACCTTCTGACTCAGAGTGATTGTCATTAGGCAGTACAAGTATGACAAAAAGAAGATACCCCCGCGTCTATATACGTTTTGGTTGCGCACCAGCAATTATGGTTTCAACTCTATAGATATGTAAATTTTGGAAGCCCATAGCCCATAACGAAGTAACTAGTAATACACTGCTGAAGTCTTAGTCACAGGCGAATATAATTAGTGCAGTCCGAGAAACTGGGGTCTCTTGACTAAGTCGTCGGAGACCATCTCTTCTGCTGACCCTCACAATGGTTACTTGCAATCTTCAAATGTGAGTCCCCAGAAAAAAAAACTATTACCTGTATACTGTATAACTACGCTGCTCGAGTCCCCAAGGTGTGAGTACAATCGATCCACCATTGTTTTGTTGCCTTTATCATGAATTTTATGGGATGGCTCATTGTCCACTCTCCATAACGCTGTCGCGTGGAGTGAGAATTAGCTTTTGTCCATGTAGGTCGTATTGAGCAATGCGTAAGGCGTTATTCATCAGATATGGTATGTACGGGCTGTGTTGTGTTCGGCTCCACCTTGTTGGATTGTATAACGCTTGGCGCATGTTTGCTATCTTCCGGATAACCCTAGAGCATTGACAGCGTATTCACCAATGATTGATAGTTGCCTCCAAGTCCGTACAAGTACCAGGTCGTTCCTCGCACACACTGATGTATCCACCTGTATATGTATGTACATACTGTATATTGTTGCCGGCAGCTAGAAAATTTAGTTTCTCCGGTTTTCGCTGTAATGCGGGAACGACTTAGAACGAGGGCACAGGGTGAAATACTCTCACCTGTGTTGATTGCGCAGCAATGTGTTTTTAATCCGAGTGTGGTCGGGTTCACATGGGTCCAGTTACTGTACGTTACTCTTTCGACGAGTATTTGTTCTTTCGCGCAGATATTCATCCCCGTCTCCCAACATGTAAGATTCATGAACTTAGCCGGACGTCAGCCTCCTTCAATATATGGGGAATTCTGTCACACGACCCCACAACTCACGGACTAATGAATTTCCATTCTTGGAGATAACTCTGCATCTTTTTTATACATTTTGCAGCCATGGGCTTCTCTGGTTGCCACTCGTTCGCAGCTAAAACCAACTTCTCCTTGTTCATTTACAAATTATGCAATCCACTGGGACAATTATCCGAGAATTGCATTAGCGAAATGGAGTGGGGTACAAGTACGGTATAGTACATACTGTACAGTACAGTACGTACCACGTTCAGCACAAGAAATTAGGTTGCCCCAAAATTCCAGGGACGTAGGTAGGGTAACTTCATATTTGTTTCTGTCATGGCTTCTTGTGCACGAAGTGTATATGTGCTTATGTAAGCCTCATTCCCCTCCTCGTACAAGTAACTACTTTTACGCGCACAATGTATATGTGCCTCAGAGACATTCCAGTATGTACTCGTATCCGTGCTCAGAGGTCTCTGAAGGCCACTGTGTGAGTGCGCTTCATCGCTATCAGCAGCGCTTTTTTGCCACTTGCTGTGACACAGTTTTCGCTGTGGCTATGTCTCGGTGATAGGCTGGTTAGTACCCGTTGTAGTAGCGCTGCGATATGGAGTTGTAAGTTCTCGTGCGTTGCAGTTCTACGGAACCAGCCCTCGCCGTGTAGAGAGATTCTAGGGGAGTAGCTAACTGAAAGGTAGCGTCGGACTGCTGACCGACTTCCAAGCATTCCAAAAAAAACACACCTTCTTGTTTCACATATTTTCACTGAACCCCAATGCTATCAATTTTGTGTACAACGGACCTTTTTTTCATCTTGCGGTAAACAATCGGCTGCTTGATTTGGTTCGGTTTGGTTTGGGGGTATTTCTCAGCCCAAGCTCACTTCCCAGGACCAGATGACCAAGGACATGGCGCCAGCTGTGATCGAGCTGTGTAGGGTTCTGGTCCAACTGTGATGAAAATGAGAGACTTGCACTCGGGTAGATGTAAGATAAGGTGTAAGTCAATCTTCGGGGAGTCCCGTCATGTGTGTCGCGAGTGTGTGGTGCATTTGTGCCGTACATAGGCACTGGTCGTGGCCTCGTAAGGACTTTCGCTTTCCTGCCGTTTCTCTTGGTTGGATGAGCTGGTGCATATTGGGGTCATGTACAGTGCAGAACTTGTACTTGTGGCTACCTGTAGTACTTGTACAAGTAGCGATGTTCTGGTGTAATAGTACAAGTACGAGTAGTGCAGTGCATGGAATATGTACGTTCTGATTAGAACGCATAAATATTCTACAATGTAGGTGATGTAGCGCAACTATTCATACTTGTATTACAGTACACGCAACGCTCAATACTCGTCACAACCACGGTCGTCAGCTCTCCACCTACCCTCAACACGCCCAATTCTCGACCTTACCAATACCAGTAGCGCCGTCAGTTACAACCAGATTGGCCCCTGAACGAAACCTTACCGGACTGACTGACATGCAAACAGTGCAGGAAAAAAATATTTTGAAACTTCACTTGTACAAGCCACCAAAAAACTGCAACGAACACTACAAGTAGCCAGACCACAGCAATGTCCGACATCCTAGAGATCGAAAATTCCAACGGACTGAAGTTCGGAGATTCACAAGTGCAGGCTCGATTCGAGCTTGGCGTATGCATGGCCTTGTATAACTGGACTGACCTCACCACAGCAGTTGATAACAGCTGGGGAGGATCTGACTCAGAGGAAAAGCGAGAGTGGCTCGTGGGGAACATAGTCGAACTGTTTGAGGAATCAACAGTACTCGACGCGCTCGACATTCAAACTAGACTATCCCAGGTCATGGAAGACGAATTCGATACAGTCGTGGACGACGACAGTGATTTCACAACTGCACAATTGTTGATTCAAATCTGGATGGAATGTTCACAGGGCATATTCTCTACGGTCGAAAACCAGTACAACAAATATGAGAAGAGCAAGAACACAAAGACCAGCGTGAAGGTCGACGACCAGACTACCGGTGGTGATAGCGAAGACGAGGAGGACCATGCACCGGACCTTGTGGACGGGGATTCTGAGATGGCAGATTTGGGTACAAAAGAGAAACAGGGCCCTGTAATCGATGATGACGGATTCGAAGTTGTCCAGCGAAAAGGACGCCGATAACTGTCTTTTCTTAATAAAAATATATTTTCGCATCAGTGTACGGATATGACCTATTTTATATAAGTTGTATATTTTTTTGTGTATCTTGCAAAAAACAAAAACAGACGAAAAACAAAAACAGGCGAAAAACAAAAACAGGCCAAAAAAAAACAGGCAAAAAGAAGAAGATTCCTTGGGAAAATTTTGAGAAACCACGAAGAATACATCGAATCATCTGACAAAAATTTAATTTAAGCAAACCAAAAAAAACTATAAAAAACAAAGATTTGCTTCAGAAAGTTGAGAAACTGCTTGAAGAATCTATACATTGTGTGATACGAGAAAAAAGTTGGAAAGAATTTTATTGAAACAACAAATACACCAGACCAAGATTGGAGAAGAATGTGCTGCGAACGAACAATATATATACACCATTGTAATAGGATAAAAAAGTTTCCACAATATCATCGATTGCTTGAATATATTAATGACAGAGAAGCGGGACATCTCTAATATATATATCAATTAGGTTTGAAAAATGTTCCTCAAATGTTATTTCTGATGACATTACAATTAAGTATTAGTACATTTTTACTTTAATACTTCTATTAGATATCAATAAAATTTCCGAATAGGGCAAAACCAAAGTAAATCAAGAATATTTGTGAATAACGTTAGTCTTTTCCGAATGAAAGGAAAGACTCTTAATAATATGAACAAACAAGAAGATATATATGACAGTAATAGAATAGAATTCATACGAGGTAATTATGAAACCATCCCGTAGATATTTTAATCATAACAATGAAAAATATATATATATACCACAGTAGAATAAGGGAAACATTCTACCAACTGATCTGATATTATGTAGTCGTTTAATATCATTCATTTTTACCCGAGAGTCTATATATATTTTGGACATAGATTATATGATTCAATTGTAATTTGATTTATTTTATCTGATTGATATTAGTATGTTTCGTTTAAATTTTATTGTATTTTGGAATTCGATGGGGTTTTGAGCAATTTGTATTTTGATCCGTTCAAATTTGATAAATGTATATAATTTCGTTTATATTTAATATATATATATATATATGATTGCTGCGCCTACGGATACTTCTTCTATAAATGTTGCTCTAGTTTGTATTTTGAATTTATAGTGAAGTTATTGTACTTCAGCAATTGAATTAACTTTCTGTAGTTCCATTGGTTTGTGTGTTACATTTTACTGTATTAGTATATTAACTTAAAATTCAAACAACATTATTACAATTTTATATATTTTTTTACCCTGTATACCTACATACACAACATTACTGACAGGTAATGAGTCAACATGATTTATTTTAGAGAATCAATTAAAAATATGTTATTAACAATTTTACAGAAAATGGATTAATTGTTTCCTATGTTATTTCCAATCAATCCTTCGGAAGTACTATTTTTCCTCCAGAGGTTGTGAAATCAATAACGTCAAATGTAGTTTTGAATATTTGTTTAGTCATTTGCTATGTTATTTCCAATCACCCCTTAGGAAGTACTTTTTTTTTCCAGAGGTTGTGATATCAATAATGTTATATGGATTTGTTTAGAATATGTGTTTAGTCATTTGCTTAGTCCTGGGAAGTGCGACCATAGATTGCCATATCTATTACTGATCGATTCGAGAGCCACACATTTGACATGGTTTTTTTTTCTTTTTTTTCTTTCCTTTTTTCGCTCAACATTTTTGTTTTTGTCGAAGTGGTATCTTAACATTTTTCTAAAAAAGGTGTGGATAATTTTTATTTTATTCTACTCTGATTTTTATTTGTCATTGTCGAGACATGAATATTATTATTTCTTATAAACAAGTCAACAAAATTAATTAATGATTTTGGGAGTTTGGGCATGACTGGGATCTGATGCCACCCAAGTTTATTGAAGATCATAAGTATTATTGATGTGATATAGTTAATTAACAACTTACAACCCACTTCTAGGGACACGGCGTTCCGATAGTAGCACACACCAGAAAGGTGTGTGCTTGCTCATTCACCAGAAAAGAGATTCTAGATCAGTGGATAAAACTATCTACAGGATGGACATCTCGTCTACGACCCAGCTGATTCCTCTCATTACTATGTGGTGACATCTCATCATTATGTGAGGAATTGTGTGTGAACCTTGCAATGAAGCTGCTGAAAGCAAGGAAAGCTGATCTGGGCTGCAGTCAGTATGGAACTCACTTTGTAATTCGTTAATTAAGCGATATATATCAATCTGCCAGTTTCATATTCACACGCTCATCATGTGAAATAATACAGTTCAATCGCCACATTATCTGATTAGTATGAACTTACTTAGTGTGGGGAACATACCGAATCCACAAGGTTTGAAGCGTCTCCCATGCAGCTGCCATACTCAACAACACGAATATATATAAGGACGTATGTACTTGCACGAATATTAATATTTACTAACATTTGAACACAACGCCAATCATGTCAGAGTTCGATTGGGAGTCAATTTTGCCGGCAACACCACTAGGTGAGATCGAGAAGGATATTCAAACCCTACGACAGGGCTTCAGGTCCGGAAAGACGCTGGATTTGAACTTCAGGCTTGACCAGATTCGTAAGCTTTTCTATGCTCTCTATGATAATGTCGATGCGATCAAAGAAGCAATTCATAAGGATCTCGGACGTCCGGTCTTCGAGACTGAACTTTGCGAGATCTCCTTTCAGTGGGGTGAATTCAATAATGTCGTTTCTAACTTGAAGAAATGGGCAGCTGATGAGACGGTGAAGGGAACCACCATTCAATACACTCTCACCCGGCCAAAGATTAGAAAGCGTCCACTTGGTACCGTCCTTATCATATCTCCTTGGAACTACCCATTTGTTCTGACCATCTCTCCCCTGCTTGCTGCTCTAGCGGCAGGAAATACGGTGGCCCTAAAGTTCTCCGAAATGTGCCCACATACATCGCTTTTGCTGGGAAAGTTGTGCACAGAGGCACTTGATAAAGAAATTTTCAAGGCATTTCAGGGAGGCGTTCCGGTAGTGTCGGAGATTCTCAAGTACAAGTTCGACAAAATCATGTACACTGGAAATCATCGAGTTGGCAAGATCATCTTGGACGCAGCTAACAAATACCTCACCCCCGTTATTTTGGAGCTTGGAGGCAAATCACCAGTCTTCGTGACTAAGAATTGCCAAAACGTATCTCTTGCTGCCAAGCGTGCTCTGTGGGGTAAACTGGTCAACGCTGGACAAACATGCGTTGCCCCCGATTACATCATCGTCGAGCCTGAGGTCGAACAGGAGTTTATCAAAGCTTGCCAGTACTGGGTTGAGAAGTTCTACCGAGGTGGAGTTGACTCTGATCATAAGGACTTCACTCATATTGCAACACCTGGACATTGGAGACGATTGACATCCATGCTTGCCCAGACAGAGGGAAATATCATCACAGGCGGAAATTCGGACGAGAAATCACGGTTTCTTGCTCCCACAGTTGTTGCGAAAGTTCCTGATGGTGATTCTTTGATGAATGATGAGATCTTTGGCCCTATCCTGCCCATCCTGACAGCCAGATCCGTTGACGAAGGTATTCGCTATGTTCATGAGAATCACGACACTCCCCTGGCCATGTATGTCTTTACTGATAATGCATCAGAAGGAGAGTATATCCAATCTCAAATCAACTCAGGTGGCCTGATATTCAATGATAGTCTTGTTCACGTTGGCTGCGTGCAGGCGCCTTTTGGTGGTGTCGGCCAATCCGGCTATGGGTCTTATCACGGCGAAGATTCCTTCTTGGCTTTTTCACACAGGCAGACTTTCATGAAGCAGCCCCATTTCATCGAACGACCAATGGCGATCAGATATGCCCCCTACACTAGTCGAAAACAAAAGGCTGTCCAGGGTAGTCTAGCTGCTCCATCTTTTCCTCGAACAGGAAAGGTTGACCGCTCCCTGTTGGAGCGGATATTTGGTAAGCTATGGTTCTGGGTGATCGTTTTAGGGCTAGGAGCAGCCAGTTTGAAGTCAGGAATTTTCTTATGATATGATATTTTTACTAACCACAGTTCGCCCAAAGCTATAAGCGGCCCAACTCCTTTATAATATAGATAAATACAGGTTATCGTCACATCCCCTTTTGTACAATGTACTCCTCTTTCTACCTTACCACAAATCCGCATTAATATGAGAGAACTTTTGGCTGAAACGTCAGAGCTACCAGGGAACTTTTAGTACTCTCGTACATACGATGCTTGTTGTTGTACCAGTGGGATTTTGTATGGTTATAATTATATACAAGGACAGGTACAAGTACAAGTACATACTTATATGTACTATACCTTTTTAACACACACACATGACAGCCTCAGTACAAGGGTTAGGGGTTTTGCGGTTTTCTTCAAACTGGGATTGGGACTTGCTATCTAATTTGATGTTAATTTAATCCAACAGTTGAACTTCGCCACAGGAGCTCAGTAGTCCACAGCCCATCGTATAGAACCAAACAGAACCTTTCTTACAAACCTCGGCAATACTACTTCACCATGTTGGAAGGATACCGTTGATTGGATCACATCCAGTCCAATGAGATGCCAATCACAAAATAGTATTATTAATACGGGTTGGACAGCGACCATGTACCCCGCATTCTAAAGATCATTTTACCAAAGAACGCTCTGCAATTAATCTGGAGCGCACATGACGACGTACTTTTTTCTCACCGTATGTACTACTTGTACTATGGTTAGCTGTCCTTGTCCCTCCACCATGATGTGTACCCGTTGTATTGTACCTACTTGTAGCCAGTTGATTATGCTTTCACAGGTTCTAATGCAACAACGAACGTGAAAGTTGCCCCGCATTGCGGGCAACCCGTTTTTTTTCGGCACATGAACTCTGTGTATGCAACAAGCCGAGAGAATCAATGTGTGGGGTTGGATACTCGGATTTGCTAATTGTACAGCACAAAACCGAAATCCAACCAAAATACAAACTGTGTGCTTGTCACCAAGTGCATTATCCATATCCGAGGAATATACAAATAGTAGTGAAATTGTGAGATGAACACGTTTGATGTTTGCTGTCTAAACACTGTTACATCTCCTGAGATCATGCATGCGCCAGAAATGCGGAGAGGGTAAAGCCGACAACTGAGGAAGGCTCGGAGCCGAATGCGCCGACAACGACGTACAAGCCAAAGAGATGTTGACTCCAGCAGCGAATTAGAGTAAGACTACAGTACTGGTAGAAGTAGGCCTATTGGACTGTAGGGAGTACTGCAATGACCAGTGTTTTCGGTATAAATATGAGAATTACCGAGAAAAGGTAAAAAATCTGAATTTCGGAGTTACGATGGGTGGCGTTCCCTAGTGGAACATAGATAGACCTACAATTGATGGGCTACTCTGTCGCAATTGTCATTTCTGTCACTATTACCACATGTGTCAAGTGGCAGCAATTGTCTAGTAATCATTTCCGTTGTCGCAGGCCAACGGCTGATTTGTGTAATGTGGGGTTGAGTTCCAGCACGGGGCTTATTTGGATTGGATGAGCTAATGCAAGCCAGAGTGAGCATGAAAACGGGCAGATCCCCATGGGGAGGTTGGCCAACCCCGAGCCAACCTCTTTGGGGAGAGATGGGGAAACCCTCCAAGAAGAGGAGAAGGATTTCGTAGGTCATGCCGTTTCCCAGTCAGAATTATTTAAACGTAAAATCGGTTATAACCATTTCCTGGTTCATGTTGAAATTTCCACAAGCTTCTGTATGGATGTGGGGTTCTACAACTTTGAAATTGATGACATTTTCGAGAAAATGAGAACAACCGAATATTTGTACTCCATATTGATACGGAAAAATTCACAATGGAATCACACAAGATAGCTCTGAACAATTGAGGACCCTTTTCTCCCTAAATTCATTGTGGTTGCGGTTGTATTGCCAACATGGATTACGCCCGCCCGATGACGAGCGACTTGCTTGAGCCGAGGCAGAGTCTAAATCGGGACAACGAAACCATAAACCCCATAGGAAGCCAAAGTGACCACTGCATGACCCCAGTATATAACCTGCCCCACCCCTCCATACTTGCTGCTTTCTAGATCAAGTTATACCGGACCTGCTAACTCAATTGAGGTAGAAGATACGTTATTAACACAATCTATTTATTCAACACACACACACAATGTCTGGAGAACTAAGATACGACGGAAAGGTCGTCATTGTTACCGGTGCCGGTGGCGGTCTCGGTAAGGCATACGCCCTTTTCTACGGCTCTCGAGGAGCCTCTGTTGTTGTCAACGATCTTGGTGGCGACTTCAAGGGCGACGGTGCCCAGGCTGGCAGTGGCAAGCGAGTGAGTATCATTACAAGCGCAGCGAAGCGAAACGACCCAAAACGACACCACACAGAAGGATAAACTAACACCAGGTTGCCGATGTTGTCGTCGACGAGATTGTTTCCAAGGGAGGCAAGGCTGTTGCTAACTACGACTCTGTCGAGAACGGTGACAAGATTGTCGAGACTGCCGTCAAGGCTTTTGGCTCCGTCCACATTGTCATCAACAACGCCGGTATTCTCCGAGATATTTCCTTCAAGAAGATGACCGACAAGGACTGGGATCTTGTCTACAAGGTCCACGTTTTCGGTGCCTACAAGGTTACCCGAGCTGCCTGGCCTTACTTCCGAAAGCAGAAGTACGGTCGAGTTATCTCTACCTCTTCCGCTGCTGGTCTTTACGGAAACTTCGGCCAGACCAACTACTCCGCTGCCAAGCTCGCCCTGGTTGGTTTCGGTGAGACTCTCGCCAAGGAGGGTGCCAAGTACAACATTACTTCCAACGTCATCGCTCCTCTTGCTGCTTCCCGAATGACCGAGACAGTCATGCCCGAGGATATCCTCAAGCTCCTCAAGCCTGAGTACGTTGTTCCTCTGGTCGGCTACCTCACCCACGACTCTGTCACCGAGTCTTATGGTATTTACGAGGTCGGTGCTGGTTACATGGCTAAAATCCGATGGGAGCGAGGCAACGGTGCTGTTTTCAAGGGCGACGACACTTTCACCCCGTCTGCTATTCTGAAGCGATGGGATGAGGTCACCTCTTTTGAGAGCCCCACCTACCCTAACGGCCCTGCTGACTTCTTCAAATACGCTGAGGAGTCTGTTAAGCGACCCGAGAACCCCCAGGGACCCACCGTCTCCTTCAAGGACCAGGTTGTCATTGTCACTGGAGCCGGTGCTGGCATTGGCCGAGCTTACTCTCACCTCCTTGCTAAGCTTGGTGCCAAGGTCGTTGTTAACGATTTCGGTAACCCTCAGAAGGTTGTCGATGAAATTAAGGCCCTCGGTGGTATCGCCGTCGCTGACAAGAACAACGTCATCCACGGTGAGAAGGTTGTTCAGACCGCTATCGACGCCTTCGGTGCTGTCCACGCCGTTGTCAACAACGCTGGTATTCTCCGAGACAAGTCTTTCGCCAACATGGATGATGAGATGTGGCAGCTGATCTTTGATGTCCACCTCAACGGTACTTACTCCGTTACCAAGGCCGCGTGGCCCCACTTCCTTAAGCAGAAGTACGGCCGTGTCATCAACACCACCTCAACTTCTGGTATCTACGGTAACTTCGGCCAGGCCAACTACTCTGCCGCCAAGGCTGGTATCCTCGGTTTCTCCCGAGCTCTTGCTCGAGAGGGTGAGAAGTACAACATTCTTGTCAACACCATTGCCCCTAACGCTGGTACTGCCATGACTGCTTCTGTCTTCACTGAGGAGATGCTCGAGCTCTTCAAGCCCGATTTCATCGCACCCATCACCGTCCTGCTTGCTTCCGATCAGGCTCCCGTCACCGGTGATCTGTTTGAGACTGGTTCTGCTTGGATCGGACAGACTCGATGGCAGCGAGCTGGTGGTAAGGCCTTCAACACCAAGAAGGGTGTCACCCCCGAAATGGTTCGAGACAGCTGGGCTAAGATCGTCGACTTCGATGATGGTAACTCCACCCATCCCACCACTCCCTCCGAGTCTACTACTCAGATTCTTGAGAACATCTTCAACGTGCCTGATGAGGAGGTTGAGGAGACTGCTCTCGTTGCTGGTCCCGGTGGTCCCGGTATCCTCAACAAGGAGGGCGAACCTTTCGACTACACTTACACTTACCGAGACCTCATTCTTTACAACCTTGGTCTCGGTGCCAAGGCTAATGAGCTCAAGTATGTCTTCGAGGGTGATGATGACTTCCAGACCGTGCCCACTTTCGGTGTTATCCCTTACATGGGTGGCCTCATCACTACCAACTATGGCGACTTCGTTCCTAACTTCAACCCTATGATGCTTCTCCACGGTGAGCAGTACCTTGAAATCCGACAGTGGCCTATTCCTACCAATGCTACATTGGAGAACAAGGCTAAGGTCATCGATGTCGTTGACAAGGGCAAGGCTGCCCTCCTTGTCACTGCTACCACCACCACGAACAAGGAGACTGGTGAGGAGGTTTTCTACAACGAGTCTTCTCTCTTCATCCGAGGCTCTGGTGGTTTCGGTGGTAAGTCTACCGGTACTGACCGTGGCGCTGCCACTGCTGCCAACAAGCCCCCTGCTCGAGCTCCTGACTTCGTTAAGGAGATCAAGATCCAGGAGGACCAGGCTGCCATTTACCGACTTTCTGGTGATTACAACCCTCTTCACATCGACCCTGCTTTTGCTGCTGTTGGTAACTTTGACCGACCTATTCTCCACGGTCTCTGCTCTTTTGGTGTCTCCGGTAAGGCTCTTTACGATCAGTTTGGTCCTTTCAAGAACGCTAAGGTCCGATTTGCTGGTCACGTCTTCCCTGGTGAGACCCTGAAGGTTGAGGGCTGGAAGGAGGGCAACAAGGTCATTTTCCAGACCAAGGTTGTTGAGCGAGGTACTACCGCCATCAGCAATGCCGCCATTGAGCTCTTCCCCAAGGATGCTAAGCTCTAAGCTATTATCTGACCAAGTGATACGAGTTAAGTAAATTTTAAGAAATGTATGAGTTAAGATTAGTTAATACTGTTATAGTTTCAGTTAGGACCACCACCATAAAAAAAAACGTAGAGTAATGTATCGCGCTGTGTACTGCAAGTACAGTACATACTGTACCGGAAGTGTGAGATCAGTAGAGGGTCTGATGTGTTAATAGTTCAACAAAGTGTTGTTCAAGTACTGTACGAATACTTGTACTGTATTATGTGATTATAAAATATATATATTGGATCTCGCCCCCTCCCCCAATATAATGTTATTACAGGTATAAAAATTTTTATGGATGAAAAAATAAAATAAAACAAGTTGCGATCAAGAGACTTCGTGGTGGGACTTTTTTATTACTAACAACCTAAATTGATCGTGCATAATCGTGTTGAATTCTCACACATCGCGCCAAATCGACAGCTTTCATGAACAGAGTGAATCAACAAGAAGCGGACCAGAACCCTGAGGCTACTCTTTATATAGGCAACCTTGACGAGAACGTCACAGAAGCGATTCTGTATGAACTTATGCTTCAAGCGGGCCCTATCGTGCACATCAATCTTCCTAAAGACAGAGTCAGCCAGACACACCAAGGCTATGGCTTCGTGGAGTACAAAACAGAGGCTGATGCAAATTACGCAGCGTCTATTATGAACCAAATCTGGCTGTTCGGAAAATCCATTCGAGTCAGCAAATCTGCATCCGACAAGCAAAACGGGTTTGAGATTGGAGCAACACTTTTCGTGGGAAGTTTGGATCCTCTCGTAGATGAGTCTACACTACAGCAAACGTTCTCTGTGTTTGGACCATTTGCCAAACCCCCTCGAATATCTCGTGACACAGATGGTTCTTCAAAAGGGTACGGTTTTGTGTCTTTTACTGATTTTGAACATTCAGACCGTGCATTGGAATCAATGGACAAACAGTATCTCATGAACCAGCAAATAACAGTCACATATGCCTTCAAGCACGATGGAAAAGGTGGGAGACATGGCGACGAAACTGAACGATTGCTGGCTCTTCAAGCGAAAAAGAACCAATACATCGTTCCCCAACAGGCAATCCAAGCTCCGCCTCCAGGAGCAACATCTCGGAGGGGCTAATAGAGGGAGGATTATTTATACACATTCTTCTTGGCCGAATGAAATTGTGATGGCTCGAAGTCCAGAAGCCACTCTACATAAAATCGATAATATATATCACACTTCTATTAATTTGTAAAAGCTACAAGTAGCTACTTCTACTGTAATGGTATCTTCGTCGAAGGCTGGAATCCCACACTGATGGCACAGACATTATTTCGACAGCCCCATGTTATACAATACATCTACAAGCGTACAAGGAGTTAATCAGTACACGGGTGTCGGGTGTCCAATAATTGGGTTGTACACACAAGGGTAAATATCGATAGAAGAAACACGTTGTCTCAATATAAGAATTAAGTATTTGTATGGAAACTAGCATCTTGCAGTATTCTAAAGCCAAGGTAGGATTGTACACTACGTACGGTTTGAAAGGCACCGCTACCAAATGTTTCCGCAAGCCCTCAATGGAGGGGTGGACCCTGAACACGTTGTCAGAGCCATTTCAGCCGTCAATCCCGATCCAACGAGTCTTACAACAGTACAAGTTAGCTATCGTTGTAGGAGGGATTAAAAAAACGAGCTTCATTATGAATACCACTCATGTAATGTCAAAAAACGCGATTCTGCGATGTCTTCGTGAGGACTTGCCCTGGTGGAAAGAACATGAGACTGAAATTAGCTAAAAAACCTGAATTAAAAAGTACAAGTATACTTGTATACCAGGAAATTACGGTACGAGTACAGTATCGTACCTGTAGCTACAGTACGACCCCAAGACCTTTAGTATAAAACTTTTCTTACCAACACTTTTACCGGTACAAGTACGAGACCACGATACTTCTAATACATCTGGGTGCGCCACATTACAGTTATAACCATAGACGTGATGCAGTAAACGTTAAAATCAGACATCGGTACAGGTACACACTCCAACATCGACATTGACAAACAGTTACGCGCGATGGCCGAAGGTGAGTATTGCAAGCACTACAACTACAGTTCAACAGGCGCTAACACTCAGATATCCCTCTAGAAGAGGTGGAAGGGAGCGGACGAAGGTGGTCCTCCAACAACCCCTTTCTAGATCCTGGTTCCGGAACTAGACGCGCAGCATCACGCTCGAACAGTTCTCTTTCGAGCGTAGAGTCCGGGTCTACAACAGATAACCCATCGATTGCATCGATAAGACAGGGTCTAACTACTGCTCTAGGTGAGGGGGGCTCAGGAGGCGAGTGGCTCACCAGCGAGCAGATCCACAATGACGAGAAGCTGAGTCCGAAGAAACGACGGACTTCAGTGTTCGAAGAGAGCCCAAAGTCTACCAAAGGTGGGCTGAAGCGACCTGAAGTGGGATGGAATCCTTCATCAAGTGACTACTTGACACCGAACAGAACTGTTGACTTTGAACTGGAATCACTCGACAACATCGCATATACGCCCAAGCGTTATACCTCATTTGATTCTGCCGACCCTATGATGCACAACGATTTGAGAAATACCGACCTCGAGAGAGCAGTTTCGAGAAATAGTCCCAAGAGCAAAGATAACACCGGCGATAAATGGAACAACTTGACCTCAGCTGTCCAGAGAGTCTCATACCGTATCATTTCGGGTATGGAGCAGATCGATCCCGATGAAATAGTCACAGACGAAGAGGACAGAGAGAGCTCTGATGGTACTATTGATGGTGATGAGGAGGATCCCTTCACACAGTATGATCACCTGCGGCCAAGTAGTCCACTCCGTCCCACATCTCCTGTGAGGCCAAGTCCCCACAGGTTCAACTCAAACACATCTTCAAGAAGACCCACTACTCCAAAAAATGACTACGACGACCCATCGCAGTACTTGTTTGGACGTTCTCTACGGATTTTTCCTCCTCAGCATCCTTGGCGGTGGAAAATGTGGAAGCTATGTAGTTCCCCGTGGTTCGAGCCTTTTGTGTTACTTCTGATTATTTTGCATACTGTCTTCTTGTTCTGTGAATCATCGTGGAACATTTTTAAAGACAAAGACACTGAACACATTTTCGCTTCGTGGGGTCATAAGTGGACGGACTGGGGATTTCTCGCAATTTTCATTTTGTACACTTTCGAGATATCAGCTAAAATAGTTGCGTTTGGGCTCTGGGACGATTCACAAATGTTTTACTCCACTGGCCAAATGCCAGACTCGTCGTGGAACAGATTTTTCCCGAACAAGCTGACCAAATCATCTAGGTGGAACCAACGCAAAGGGACAAGTTCAGCTCCAATCAGCCACGCCCTCACCTTACTTGTGCATAACGAACAACCCACACATCGTGTTCAAAGAGCTTTCCTCCGGTCGAGTTGGAATCGAGTTGATTTCATTTCAGTTGTTTGCTATTGGATCTCGCTGGGGGTGGCTGCACACGACTACGACATTATTCACCAGCTATTTCTCTTTCGCTTCTTAGCATGCCTTCGAATTTTGCGATTGCTGAATTTGACACATGGCACCACCGCTGTGCTGAGAGCTCTAAAAACGTCAGCTCCTTTGTTGATCAATGTTTCATTATTCATCGGCTTCTTCTGGTATGTATACGATGACTTCACACTGACATCCATCTTCAATAGCTACTAACAATCAGGGTGACCTTCTCTATCATTGGAACTCAATCCTTCAAGGCGTCTCTTCGACGACAATGTGTTTGGGTAGACTCCACAGGGCAACAGGATAATTACACTTATGAACAATACTGCGGTGGCTATCTTCACCCGGAGACGCTCGAGCATATGCCATATGTCTTCACTGATGGCACTGTTGGACCCCAATCGAAAGGGTACATGTGCCCGGCTGGCAGTATCTGTGTCAGCGATAAGAATCCATACGGTGGTACAGTGTCTTTTGACAACATTTTTAATTCTCTTGAAATGGTTTTCGTCATTATTTCACTCAACACATTCACCGATATCATGTACTATACGATGGATAGTGACTACATGACTGCCTGTTTATTTTTTATGGCTGGGATTCTCATCCTGGCGCTGTGGCTTGCTAACTTGCTGGTGGCAGTTATCGCCACGTCTTATTCGCAAATTCGTGTGGAGATGATTCTATCACGGAAGTCTAAGACAGAGACCCTGTTTCGGAAGAGATTAACTTCCGCAGAGGCTCGCAATTTTCTCAAGAAAACTGTGAAGGGCCGCTGGTATCTCCGTATGGAATGGTTATGGAGTCTCATTATCTTCATGTCTCTTGTCGTAAGCAGCACAAGAACAGCAGATACTACAGACAGCCAAGAGACAGCGCTCTACATTCTTGAGATCATAATCACTTCCATGCTTACAGCAGACGTGATCTTGCGGTTTTATGTCTATTTGCCGAACTGGCGCATATTTTTCCTTAATATTGCCAACGTGGTGGATTGTGCTCTTGGAGTCATGTGTATTGTCATCCTGATTCCCCCAATTCACAACAAGCCCGTGCTATATGGTTGGCTGACGATTTTCCAAATTTTGCGGATTTACAGAGTCGTGATGTTCTTCAAATTCACACGGCTCCTGTGGAGAAGAGTCGTGGGAAACTACAGAACTATGTTTTACATGAGTTGCTTCTTCTTTCTCTTGACATTCCTCTGTTCTGTCATGTCAACTCGACTACTGCGTGGTGTAATTCCGCAAGAAGACGATAGCGGCGAGTCGATCGAGTTTTCATTTTACAACCTACAGAATACCTTTCTGGGAATGTATGCTCTCTCAACTACTGAGAATTGGACAGATATGCTGTACAATGGCCAGCAGTTCGCAACAAACACCTTCTCAGCTCTTTGCATTGCTGCTTTTTTCATCGGCTGGTTCATCTTTTCCAATAATGTTGTCATGAACCTTTTCATTGCTCTGATTACAGAAAATCTTGACGTGTCTGAAGAAACCAAGCGCATTGAACAGATCAAGGGCTTCGTCCGGAAGTACACAGACCAGATCAGCAACAACGGCGGATCCCTGCCGACGATGCAACTATTGATGCAAAAAGTGAAACATCTCGGCAAGAACCGGGAGATCAACCAAACAGACGGCTCACACGTGTTTGATATGTTGATGCAACGTCACGTTGTGCAAGATTTTCTAGAAGACGAGGTGAATGAGGCGGAGGAGATGCCGGCTGAACAACGATCGCGGCCATCGCGAATCAAGCGCATGCTGAAACAAGCACATGTCAAGTCATTGATGTTTTGGCGCAAAAAGGAACCCACTGAAAATCCTTTCTTAGATCCCCCGCAAGGTGGAGATTTTTTCTCCAGAAAGAAGAGCCTAAATCCAATAAATTTGGCAAAGGATTTCCTGGATGATTATCAGCAGCGTTTGAAGACTCAGGAGGAATTTTTGGCTGAGCATCCGGATTTCAACGTGGTGCTATACTGCCTGCCTCCTCATAACCCTATTCGTCGATTTTGCCAAAGGATTGTAATGCCATCACATGGAACTAGGCATGATGGTGTTATTCCCAAGCAGTGGGTGTGGTACACATTTACGTTCATTATGTTTCTTGCTACTGTTGCCCTAGTTGTGTTGGCATGTGTTGCTACTCCGTTGTACCAGAAGGAGAATGGAGGTGGTGGGGTGTGGTCTTGGATCACCTGGTCCGATTTGGGTTTTCTGATTCTTTTCAGCATCGAAGCCATTATCAAGATTTTGGCTGATGGATTCTACTTCACACCCAATGCCTACTTGAGATCGTCGTGGGGTGTTATTGACTTCATAGTGCTGATATCTCTGTGGATAAACATGATTGCCATCTTTGCTGGAAATGGTTACGTCTCTCGAGCTGTTCGTGCTTTCAAAGCTTTGCGAGCTTTGCGATTGCTCAATATTTCGAATGCAGCTAAGGAAACATTCGAGAACATCGTTATCGTGGGCATCAGGAAGATCTTCGGCGCGGCCATGATTTCCATGTGTCTGCTCTACCCTTTCAGTGTGTGGGGCTTGCAAATCTTTAAAGGGCGCTTCTACAGCTGCAACGACGAAAATACCGAATTTCTTGCCAATTGTATCAACGAATTTGCATCCTCGCCGTCAAACTGGAATGTCCTGGCGCCCCGCTCTGTTGTGAAGCCATACTATGACTTTGACAATTTCGGTCATTCCTTTCTAATTCTGTTCGAAATCATTTCCCTCGAAGGTTGGACGGATGTTCTCAAGACTACCATGAGTATTCAAGGGCCTGGGATGAATTTGGAGTGGGCCGCTTCAGTGAACAACTCGGCCTTTCTTGTCCTGTACAATTTCATTTCCACAGTTTTCATTCTCACGTTGTTCATTGCTGTCATCATTAAGAATTATTCGAGAACCACGGGTACGGCATTTCTTACCCAAGAGCAACGGGCTTGGGCAGAGGCTGAAAAAATCCTGAAGCTGGTAAAACCGTCCATTGTACCGGTGTACGTGCGTGAGGGAACATGGCGTGAATACTGCTACAGAGTAGTGACGAATCGAAAGGGCAAGTGGAATAAGTTTCTTGCGGGTCTGTTGTTTATCCACCTCATTATTTTGTGCTTAGAATGGTATCCTCAATACCTATATGCCGAAGACATTCGAAATGGGCTCTTTCTACCCATCCTCATTATCCTGGATCTCAACGAGATTATGAGGTTTTATGCTTTTGGTTACAAGGGTTTCATGTCCAGAAAATGGGATCTCTACACAGTACTTGTTGTGACGGGTGCATTAGTGACCACCATCTTCTCTTTTGCTTCTTTCGTTTCCAACACTTACTACAACTTCCAGAAGTTGTGCCAAGTCGGTATTCTGCTACTTTTCATTCCACGATCAGAGCGACTCGACCAGCTGTTCAAAACCACGTCAGCTTCTTTTGCATCCATTTTGAACCTCATGGCTACGTGGATCGTCTTATTTGTGGTATATGCTATTGCGTTCAATCAGATTTTTGGTCTCACTCGAGTTGGCCCTAATGGAACAGGAAACATCAACTTCAGAACAGTCCCCAAGGCCCTGATTCTCTTATTCCGGATGAGTTGTGGTGAAGGGTGGAACCAAATCATGTCTGATTATCTTTTGGAGCCGCCGTACTGTATCAACGGTGCTGGTTTCAACGAGACTGATTGTGGATCCCGTCCCTACGCGTATCTGCTCTTCATTTCTTGGAACATTCTCTCCATGTACATCTTCGTCAATATGTTTGTTTCTTTGATTTACGAAAATTTTTCGTATGTCTACCAGCAGACTGGCCCACTCAGTCGAGCCATCAAGCGGGAAGAGCTGCGGAAGTACAAGAAGGCCTGGAGAGAATTTGATCCCACCGGAACTGGATACATTAGGCCAGATGAGCTCCACAGATTTCTCCGACGAATTGAAGGCACCTTCTCGATGTGCATTTATGAAGGCGATTGGTCTATCAAAGAGCTGATTTCAGACCACAACATTAGAGTCAATGACCATGACCCTTATGATGTCGACCTTCCTGCGCTGAACAAGGCCGTTCGAACCATCCCAGTCGGAGACATGATCAACAGACGCCGGGCCTTTGACACACTTTGTGAGCAAGTGTTACTTGAGAGAAACCCAGACAAGGGTATATCTTTTTCTCAAGTACTGCTGGCAATTCCCATCTATAAGATGGTTGATGAAAACAAGTGCTTCATGCTAGATGCCTATCTCAAGCGACGAATCATGCTTCAACAAGTGGAAGAGAACCTTCTGAAGGCAAAACTACGAGGCTTCATGGATATGGTGCAACTCAGAAGAGAGTTTCACGAACGACGAGACGATATGGGTCCTATGTCAGCTTCGAGAGATCCATTTGAGAGCACAGGAGTGACTAGAATACCTTCGGGCTCGCGAAAGAACATTGTGCCTCAAATTTTCATCACTACTGATGGCGACAGCAAAGAAGACTTTACCAGCGAGGAGCCATCGTTGCTTCCTAGGAAAACGGCGGACTTCGATGTGGAAGAGGTACCTACAACACCTGATGGTGTTCCAGTTCCAGCAGACTACTTCCTGTCTACAGACCCAATGACACCGAACCCGAATGCTGGCAGCTCTGGCCGTTTCTCATGGGCTTCGGAACGGTCAAACATTGACAGGAACTCTATGTGGGACCGGCGCGTATCAGGCGACAGTGACAATTTCAAGGACCAAGACTCCTCTGATTTGAACCTCATCCACAGACAGGAAGACCAGCTCATCGACTCGTTTGAGAACTCCGTTTGGGGTGGAGCTCTGTCCAAACGAGCTAGCCGATACCAACGTGCAGAGCAAGATGACGAGAAGGATGAAACACTTGACGACGATAGCCACGACTACATCTAACCATCGATATACTTACATAATTTATAGAAATGTTGAAATTAATCGAAACATATACACCGTAGTAAACGTGCTTTGTATTTCGTCTATGTACATGGCAGTATAAATTAATAGCATGCCTATTTTTTCTTCTTTCCACCGGCCGCCTTCTTCTCGGTGAGCTTCTTAGGGGCTCCCTTTCCTCGTTTCTTTCGCCTGTTGTTAATAATTGAACCACGATTGTGCGTGTACCTAGTAGCCTTTATACAATAGGATCTAATACTCACTGAACAACGTTGGTAAGTCGGTACCACTCAGTGTAGTCTGCGAAACCAAACTGGGGCATGGCCTCTCGAAGGCTCTTCATGCTGAAGTCGCTTGTGGGGTAGTAGCTCTTGATCTGCTCGCCAATCAGCGGTGCCCGGAGGGCCTTAGTGCCACGTCGAAGGTTCTCGGGGTTGTAAGACCGATTAAAAACCTGGGCAGTCAATTTTGCCAACGAGGTAAGTCGCTCTTTGCTGGGCCGGATGGGGTTCATCGTGGTGCGAGTTGTGTTGTGGTGATTTGGGACTGAAAAGCTAACATCTCATTGAAACCTTAAACACACGTGACCCGATAAGCTCATTTGAAAACACAGCCATCAGAATTACTGTATGAAGGTATGTGATACGAGTATCGTAAATAATATCCTGTTAATTAAATATATGGGTGGGCAAATGTAAATGCCCATGTAGCTTGTATGAAACTTAGGATTGAGCTACATCAGGAGCGGCAGCGGTGTCAAGCTCGTCTTCGACCTTGATGTCATCCTCATTTCCAACGTAGACCGTTTTCTCAGTCTTCGTTCCTGGCTCATAATCGAAATCCAGGATTCGGAGATAAGCCTCGTTGTCTTTCTGGACAGCTGCGACGAGCTTGGATCCACTAAACCGCACTTGCCAGATTGACTCACACTCCGTGAACAAATCTTTCACAAGTTTGCCAGTACGAATATCCCAGAGCTTCAAGCATTTTGCGGAACCACTGACAACTTTGTATTCGTCGTGCTGAAAGCAAGAAATTGCCTCCGCGTGTCCCTCCAGCTTATGTATGTTGCCTCCAGTCTCGGGGTCCCAAACTCGAAGGGTCCAGTCAACTGCAGCCGACACGAGCCAAGATCGGTTGAGGTCAAGGAGACCAACAAGCGAGGTGTGACCTTCCAAAGTGTACAGGCAGGATCCTGACTCAAGGCACCAGACCCTCACATTCCAGTCAAGCGACCCAGAGATGCATCGATTACGCTGATGATCAAGAACAGCAGCATATACTCGCTTGTGATGTCCAGAAAGTACAAACTTGCACTTTCCAGTGTTGATAGACCAGACACGCACAGTAGTGTCATAAGATCCAGAGACAAGAGTGTCACCGTAGCCATTAACGGCGCGAACAGAATTAGAGTGGCCCTGGAGTGACTTCATGAAGTAGGGATCCTGAGTGGACTGATCCAGCCATTCAGGCTCGCCTGGAAGAGGAAGCTTCCAGACTCTCAGTGTCTTGTCCCGAGATCCAGTAACAATGAGAGGTCGAGAAGGATACATCTCATCGGGGTCGGTGCTCTCCGTTCGTGCAGTAGCACACATTGCATGGCTCATTGGCACAGGAGTCAGGATGCTTAGTGACCGCACCGTAGAGACGTGACCTGTAAAAATGTGGGTGCATCGTGCTTCTTTGATGTTCCAAATTCTAACAGTTCTGTCAATACTTCCACTGACCAATGTATCACCAACGTACTGCAGAGCCCACACTCCTCCAGTGTGACCTTCGAGTCGACTTCGTTGACGGCCAGTTTTAGTGTCGTAGACGTTGATCCAAGGGTCTTCGCTGGCAGTGACAATGATGTCATCATCAAACTGGAGACAAGTAATGACTGCCTCCCGTCCAGTTCGGATGCATGTGGAGTCAGGTGTGGAGTTGGGATCCATCCAGTTGCGACGAATAAGATGTCTTCGACGGTATATGCTCTTGTACAGGTTGATCTTGCTGTACAGAGGAGTGGATTCGACAATGCTAGGATCGGTGTCCTCGGACCCCCACGTGGTATAGTCCCACTTTTGCTCGGTAGCTCTGGCAACGTCAGCATCGGTAACGGGCGCCTGGTGGCTCTCTGAAAGACCCTTCCAGATTGCGCCCAAGCTTTCAACAATGGAGTTCCAGCTTTTTGAAACCTGTGATGCGGCACAAAGAGTCTTGTAGTCGAGGTGGGACAAAACCTTTGTGGCGAGTTCCAAAGGAAAGATGGACAGCAAATCGCAGCGCAAGGCAGGGACGACAATATCGGCTACCATCGACAGGTTCCGTCTGTTGCATCGACGTAGAAGCTGGAACATCACGTAGTTCTTGACAGGGGCTGGTAGATCGTCGAAGTTGTCGAGGAGCTGAGGGATTTCGTCCCGTAGGTTGGCATGAGGAATGGTAAGATGCTGTTGCTCTTCTTCTTCTTCTCGAGCCGGGGGAGGCGAAGGCATGGCGACGTTTGATGCGGATGTTTGCTGCTCGTCGGTCTGCTCAATTTCCAAGTCATTTCGGGGTACCTTCTTCTGGCGTGGCAGGCTGCAAGACGCCTGGCGCTTTTTGCTGAGTTCCGTAGCACGGGATGTTGCGTTATCAGAGGCAGCTCCAAGAGTTCCATTCTCGAGACTGGCAGAGGTGGACGTCTGTTCACCCCCAAGTTCGACGAACTGGAGCTCGTTGCCATTGACGTCAAAGTGAAACTGCGAGAGATAGTCTGGAGTATCTGTACCCCGCAGCGGATAGTTAGCGTTGCTAGATTTTGGGTCCTTCCTGACGATGGAGACGGTATGCATTTTTGTATCGTAGTTTGAGGCTGCTTGTGTTGTGAGTTGAGCAGAGGGTGCGGGGTGGTGGTGTATATGTCCGTGTTACCGAGAGCGAGCGTTTGCAGCGGCAACTATTGAAAGGTAAACTACCGCTTATCAGTTGGGGCTCGACGAGTAGAGAATATGCTGTGGTGGTGGCGCGAAGTGGGTGTCGTGTATCAGTTGACTGCAGTGGTCTTCCTTCAAAATGAATCACCAGGGACAACAGGGGTTGCTCTGGGACCAGGAAAGGCTCTAGTGTCTTGAACGTGTCTCTTCTGCCAGTTTTTTTGCACGGCTTATCGTGAGTTGTCTTGTTTCGACGTTGTCGCCTGTGCCTGTTGTGTATTGTGTGTGGGTTTGGTGTGTGGTATGTTTCCAACTTCGGTTTACCCTTTCTATTGAAGTCTCTCATGCGCCGAAGGGGTCAGACTGTTTGTTGACAAGCACTACTCACCGAAATTGGAAATCTTACACAACCGCCGAAAAGCAGAGAAAATGAAATGTTTTAAAGTCTCGTATCCTGTGAATCTTTTGGAAATGTAATATCGTATTTGTCTATTGCTCATCTGAGGAAACAACAGCCTAAATACCAGCTGTTAGCCCACCCAGATGGTGTTGCTACATCGCAAATTCCTGCACGCATGAAACTCTGTTTACGACCAACTCAAAGTATAACAGCGTTGGGCAGTCTTCCAAATGTATCTCACGTGTAGTTAGCAACGAGTAATCTTCGCTTGCGGGCATGCGACATCACAAGTATATTGATTGTAGCTAATGTATCGCACAAGTATAAGTACGAGTAGAAGCACTACAAGTAGTTCTTACTGTACTATCGTAGTATGTCCTTGTATCGTACAATAATATATCGTACTTGTACAGACATTTTTAATTCCAACCAATCGGGCTTTTGAACCGCCGACAGACCCCTCAAAAGGACAGTAAATACTTCAGAATATGGTGGCAAAATAGAAAATAAGTATCATTCAGCCAAGTTTAGGTTGCCGCATACATCTTAGGAATTCATTTTATATGGCTCCGTAACATTTAATTGTACCGTGGAAGAGTGGGCGGCCATCATAATTTGATTACTCGGATTCGTGGGGAGAAAAGAGCGATCTGGTGATCTTGCATGAATTGAGGCGAACTTTACTCCCAGGCATCGTCCTTCACCACGATCCTTCAGAAAGCCATGAGTTTGATAAGATCGCTAAGAACAGTGCCCCGAATCGCACTGGCCACAAGAGTAGCCACAGGAGTGGCCTCTCTACCTCTTCGCAGACCCCTCACCACTGGCGTGCGACGTGCGACAAGAACAATTACTTTGCCACACATCACTACACATCATGAAACGCTCCGACTATATTCTCTCCAGGCGACCGAGCTGGAATTAGAGGATTACCACATTCAAGCGGATGAATATTTGGAGTCTATCTTGATTGCTTATGAAGAATACGCTGAGGAGGTCGATTCAAATGAGCTGGATGTGGATCTAGCTCAAGGCGTGATGAGCTTGGAAATCCCTGGTGCTGGATCCTACGTTATCAACAAACAACCCCCGAACAAACAGATTTGGCTAAGTTCCCCCATTTCCGGCCCCAAGCGTTATGACTATGTCGACGGTGAATGGGTTTATCTGCGTGACGGCACCACCCTAACAGAGCTTCTGGAGACCGAAACCTCCGAAGCATTTGCTTCCACTGGGAAGAAATTTCATCTTTGAGAAAGCCTGTATATAAGTGCATAGATTTAATCACCTACCTGTAGTATATGTCGAGTTGTGTCTAACCCACAAGAAAATACAACGGCGCTATTCAATCACACTTGTATGGTACTTTTATGTTCGGGGTGACAGGTGGGGTTGTACATACTTACTGTCTACGATACTGTACCACCATAATCTTGTTGAGAGGTTGTGCAGTTCCCTGGAGCAAAGGCGCGTATTACAAATCTAAATATCATGATATCGCTCGTAGAGGCATATAATAGTGCGCGACGAGTTTATTCCTTCACCGTATTCATTGCTTGTAAGGTCGCACGTGAAGGATCAGTCATACACAGCCTCCGGTCACATTTGACACAGCCTCCTAATTACCCTGTGTGTAGTGCAGTAGTAAACTTGGCCAAAACTACCCATACCCAAATCTCAAATCCCAATAAAGTCTGACCACGAAGTGCAGCGATCGAAACGTAGCTAGCTGTAACACGGCATCTTCAGTCCAGCCCAGGCCTCAGCAACGACATGCCAAACGAGCCAACTCCCCCCAGCGTCCCCGATGGCTGGTTAGCCAAATGGGACCCCAACTACAAGACTTTTTACTATGTCGACCTCTCCAACGGAAAATCACAGTGGGACAAGCCTAGCGGCTCCGGTGGCCACAGTCCGCCATCATACGACCGGCCTCCTTCTCGGGGAAGTAGCCACAGCAACAGCAACAACAACAGACCTCACCAGGAGCAGCGTGGATATGGTGGTGGTGGTTCAGGCCCTCAAGGATACGGCGGGGGACCTGGCCCTGGTGGCTTCGGCGGTCCCCACGGTGGCGGAGGTTATGGTGGAGGACCGGGCCCCGGATATGGCGGAGGGCCGGGCCCCGGATACGGTGGCCCTGGACCTGGTTATGGCCCTGGTCCTGGTTATGCGCCCCAGCCCATGTACCAACAACCCCCGCCTCCACCTATGTATGCCCAGCCCCCGCCTATGCAGATGCAGCAGCAGCAACCTCACAGACGAAATTGGGGAACTACCGCCATGGGTGTTGGTGGTGGTCTTCTTGGTGGTATGCTTATTGGAGACATGATGAGTGGCCACCATGATGGCGGTGACACGGTTGTGAACAACTATTATGACGACAACAGTAACAACAACGACGGCGATATGTATTCGGGAGGCGCTGATGATTATGGTGGAGGAGACGACTGGTAATATAGATAAGCTTGTTTTTTTCGATAATAATTTGGTTCTCGTAGCCCTTTTACTATGTTTTCTATTCACCCTCTTCGTCTTCTGGCTCTATGCTTCCCATCTACTGTAAGCCGAGTTGCTTACTCAGATCACACAATTAAGGTTCGTTATCATATGAGGTGGCATTTGAGTACAGATTAGTTTTCATCGGCAGCAAGTGAGTTCCGAGTCATTGAGGGTGTCCCCGTGTCTTGACAATTGAGGTGGGGATATGTAGAGAGCAGCCTACGATCCTGGTGATGTATGTGCGATTTCAATTTGGGGACTTCTATCATGTGCAGCGTCCGACATCCTGTTCGAGTCTTACACCTGCGTCGCAGCAGAGTGCGGACTTGGGATGAATGAATTTGGACATGAGCCGACAAAAGTTAACTTCACCACCTTACGCATCTTCTCTCAGTCCTCCAAACAGACATGGCCCGACACGCACTCAGTAAGGCAGAGGCCTCGTTTATTACCAAACTCATCCGTGTCGACCAGGCTGGAGAACTTGGTGCGGACCTTATTTACCGAGGTCAGTACATGGTTCTCAGCCGAACCAAGCCTGAGATCGAGCCTCTCATCAAGCACATGTGGGAGCAAGAGCAGCACCACAGACGAACTTTCAACGAGCTTCAACAGAAATACAGAGTCCGGCCGTCTCTGCTTACCCCGATCTGGAAGGTTGCAGCAACTGGTCTAGGCTGTGCCACGGCCCTTCTTGGTCAAGAAGGTGCCATGGCTTGCACTGAAGCCGTAGAAACTGTTATTGGTGGACACTACAACACTCAATTGCGATGGTTACACGAAAACTTCCCTCCCAAGGAAGAGCGGTCCAAGGACGAAGAGATCACCTCTTTGAAAAGCATTGTTAAGCAATTCCGTGACGAGGAGCTGGAGCATCTCGAGATTGCTGTGGAAAACGACTCGCATGAAGCCAGACCTTACTGGCTTCTCACGGAAACCATCAAAGCAGGATGTCGAGGAGCCATTTGGGTCGCCGAGCGAGTTTAAGCATCTGTATATAAATATGTATTAACGAATGTACGAGTGGAAGGTGAACTATTTTTTAAACCCCATCATCTCCTTAGCACGATCCTGCGCCGACTCACTCGAAAAAGTCCCTGAGAGTTCCGCAGGGACATTTTGCATCCACCCATCCCGGTTGGGATTGTGAGCAGGGTCCATATTCACCCATGTCTTGCTTCTGCTCCTCTCCTCTAACCTATTGAGAGCCTCTGTCTCGCTGATGTTGGGGTTACCTGTTAGTGATGGACCGAAGTCATCGTCGTCTGATGAGTCTGCCTCTTCGGACAGTTGCGGTCCAGCCTGGACCACTTCAAGGGCACTGGCAGCTTGCTGAAATCTCTTCTGGCGCCGTTGTAGAACCTCCCTAGGTATGTCAGGACCGTAAGTCATCGTACAAGAAGTCATGCTGTAGCTGTCGATCACTGTGTGTTACCTGTTACTGTACTTCTATAGTTAACACGCTTGTACTCGTACCAATAAAACAACCTCCCATCAAACTTTAAATCGAGGGTTCATGCTTCGTGTGCGTTGACAACAGCAGTAGCACAGTCGACGAGACACCACAACCATGAAGTTTTTCGCCTTGCTGTCGGCGCTGTCCGCCACCGCTATTGCCTCATCCGAATGCATGGGTTACATTGCTACATACCCCCAGACGGGTGCTGCTCAACAGTCCATTAATGGAGCTGAGGCCCACCTCGTGTTGGCTGACACCCTGGGTCTGTCTAGTGGTCTCAACGGCAACCAGTTGGCCGAGAAGGAGCAGTTCTTTTTCGCTCTTCCTCAGATGGGATTGGGCCCTGTGGACTCCCATACCGTTTTATTCTCTGATCATGCTAACGACGACTCTGGGGCTCTTTACGCAATTGAGTCCGCCATCGATATGGGCGCTATTCAGAAACTGAGTCACCGACTGGAACAAAAGCATGGAGCTGCCAAGGCTTCCCTCATAATGTCGTCTTCGTCAAGCCACATTGAAGAGCTGATTTCTAACGCCGACGAAAAGAATCCTGTCACCGTCGTGTACGCCCCCTCATGCCTCCGAGCTACAAACAAGGAGAAACGTGGCGGCCTACCAGCCTCCAAGAAGAAGCAGGCTATTGGTATTGCCAGATTTGGCTCTGAGGATGAGTGCAACGAGAAGACAAATAACTGCTCAGGCCATGGTGCTTGCTCCAAGGGCCGTGGCGAGTCTGCCTACACATGCAAGTGCAAGACTGGCCGAGGAGGAAAGTTGTGCCAGAAGCAGGACGTGAGCGTCCAGTTCCAGCTTTTCTTCTGGACTGCAGTTGTCGCTCTGATTACCATTACTCTCGGTATCAAGCTCATGATGAGCGTTGGTAGCGAGCCTCTGCCTGGCGTTTTGGGTAAATAGAGCATACTGTAGCTAACTATCCGTGTGTGACCTACAAAGAGATAACTGTATTAAAAGGAACCATGCTTCCTATAACATTTAATAAGCTGAATGAAACAAAATATGAAGGTATATTGGATACATAGGTTGTGGACGACAATCAAGGACCTCGTTAGACAAGTCCGTCATATAAATTAAGAGCACTGACGATGGTGGGATCAACCTTGGATCCCTCTCGGAATTCTTCCAGAGTCAGCTCACCATTTCGATCCTTGTCCATTTGACGGAAAATCTTGTCCACTCGCTTCTCGGGTGTACTTTCATCCTCAGGTAGTTTGACCATTGAGCCAACCATCTTGTAGATGGCCGTGACAATGGCAAGCATTTCATCGTAGCTGATCTTACCATCGCCGTTGATGTCGTACAACTGGAAGGCCCATTCTAGCTTCTCCTCAAGGGTTCCACGCGAGGTTACACTGATCGCACAGATGAATTCCTTGTAATCCACCGTTCCGCTCTTGTCTTTGTCAAAAACGTTGAAGACGTATTCACTGAACATGGAAGGGTCGCCGAATGGGAAGAATTGTCGGTAGATCTTTTGGAACTCTTCCTTGTTCAGCTGGCCAGACGGGCAATCCTTGAGAAAGCCCTTGTACCATTGCTGCAGTTCCTTTCGGTCGAAGTAGGTTGCTTTCTTGAGCTCAGTGAGCTCGTCCTTAGACAGTTTCGATGCTGCTTTTCCCATGGTGAAACCGTGTCTTTTATAGCAATGCGATTATGCTAGTTTTGTCGAATTTGCCCTTAATTTGTGTCGTCAACGGATCCTGGTTGTGGCGGTCAACGTGTGGTTAGCAGCTGTAAAGTCTGGGTTGTGAGTGTCGGGTGTCTTGCGCAGCTGCTCACGCACCCTTCTGGTGATCAAAGTTGTATCTGCTTAGAACCCCCCCGGACTGGCATGGTTTAACACTGCAGATGTGTGCACACTGTAGGCTTATAAGTGGTGAAACCACGAAGGGATACCGCATCTTTGCGCAATTATATTAGATCACAGAAAACAAAACCCGACTTGGTAGAGGCAACCGCCAGCTTCAGCATCACCGCCATCTTTCTATCATACCACTAATGATGTTGAGGTGACCAATTCAAGTGCCGTGTGGAGGCGCAGTTCCAACTTTAATCTGAACGGACGGATCATTATTGTTTTTCGAGATTCTACGACGGTTGAATATTTTGACGATCATCTAAGTTCCGAGCTTGGTGTTTGGTATTCTGGTATATTATTTCACAAACTTCTATTGACATTACAGTGTCGGAAAGCGCATCTTTTGTACTACCGATATCCAGTAGCTACAAGAACAGTACACTCGAATTTGTCTCATGGTTCTTGGCATACCTCATGCGCAGATACAAGTACCCTTGGCATCCTCAATGTTGACAACTTACACATATAATTTTTCAGTTGTCAGTAACTATGATACCGGTATCGGCATAGATTTGTACGCTAATAGATATCAAGATTATTTTTTTAAATATGTATTGAAGGGATGTTGTGTGTGCTGTGAGGTCACGAAAATCGTAGAGTCATTAGAGTCATTAGAGTCATTAATATCATAAGGGTCATAGGACTTTATAAACAGTGTCGTAATAGCAAGGTCGTGATGATCGTGGGGATCATGGATAAAGCGGGTCATAAAGTCATAAAGTCATCAGAAGGGTCATAAAGGTCATAAAGGTCATAAAGGTCATAAAGGTCATAAAGGTCATAAAGGTTATAGATGTCATAAAGGTCGTAAGGGTCATAGAGGTCATAAGCGTCGTAAGGGTCATAGAGGTCATAAGCGTCGTAAAGGTCATAAAGGTCATAAGCGTCATAAGGTCGGAAAAGTCGTAAGTCGTAAAGGTCGTAAAGGTCGTAAAGGTCGTGAAAGTCGTGAAAGTCGTGAAAGTCGTGAAAGTCGTGAAAGTCGTGAAAGTCGTGAAAGTCGTGAAAGTCGTAAAAGTCATCATGATTCGTGATGGTCGTGAGAATTACTATGAGGTATTCTCAAGCCCCAGGAGTTTGTCGATAAACCACTCTCGAAGTCCGTCTCTAACAATAGGTAACCGGGAAGGATCTCTTACGTCAAAAACATGCGATCCAATACCCACGTAGCGAGTGGATGGGATGGCGGGTAGTATCTCTCGGATGACGCGGCTGTAATCATCAGGGTGGTGGCCATCTTCGAATCCAGGTATGGCAACAGCTCCCCCACCAACTAGGGAACATGCTCGCGGAGGGGGTCCACAGTTTAGGAGATCAAGATACTTGACATTAAGGTACTTTAAGAGATCCTGTAACGTTTCGCCATTTCCATAGTTCGAGTAGGATCGATTGTAACTGTGGTCAGTGTCGAGGAGGGGATATGAAATACCAAGACCTTCCAAGTGAGGTGAGAGGTTGGCAACGATGTAACTGAGGCACACGTATGGGATCATAAGTGTGCCTCTGTCATCCTCCTTGCACTCAAGGTGTAAATGCCGAAGCTGCGAGTTGCTCAGAGCGCCAGCCATCTCACCGCAGTACATGGGCCAGAATTGCCTATGATGAGTCACCGAAGAGTTCCAGTGGATTATCAAATCGAGAGAGAGAGCGTTGACATGAGCTAGAAATGTAGCCACGCCAGAAATGCAGCCATCATTGCGCGTTCCGCCAGACTCTTCTTGAATGCGAAATGCATTGCTGACAGTATCAGTGTCTTCTGTCACATCCAGCCTCAGGTAGTCGAGGTTGTCAAAAGACGATCTGGATAACTGCTTGAGGAAGCCATCATCATGAAGGGTCAGTGATAGGTGTGTTAGTTGCGACGTGTCAATAGCACGCGAAAGCATGATGGCCTCCACGGCCACGAACCCATCAGCACGTCCAGGAATTCGAGAGATGTTGAGCTTTCGAATGTTCTTCATGGTCAGCCCATCAAGTGGAGTCAGGCCCTTGCACATGTGCAGGGTGAGAGAGCTCAGCCGGTCGGCTGAAGGAATTTTGTCGATTTCGCAGGTTTCAAGAATCTGCAGGTTCGTGAAGTCTGGACTCAGCCTGTCCACCGTGGAAACCTGCAGGTGCTTCAAGGCCGCCTTGTTACTCAGTAGATGGAGCACTTTGTTGCTACTTGAAGTGAATGTCCAAACAAGCCTCTCCAGTCGAGTCATCAACGGAAGGAAGACCCTTGCCGCAGATATGATGTCGTAATCGGGTATGTCCACACGCCGGATTTCTAGCTTTTTCACCATATGGGCTTTGTCGGGGTCCTTGAGGCTTCGCAGGCACTCCCGCATGCCTCCGATTGTGGTGACCTTGCTTAGCAGACCGTTGCCCTCTGCGGAGAGTTCCTCACAGTAGTGGATGGGAGAGTTATCAAAAACGATATGACTGTATAGTCGTGGGAGGGTTGAGTGCATCAGGCTGGTGCTAGTGGAGCACAGCCTCACAGCATCTCGTTGTGAACAGTCCCATGCAATCTGTTCTCTAATTTCAAATGGTAGGGAGTCGAGGGTAGAGGACATGAAAACGTGTCTTTTGAAGTACTCTGGCTCGTTGTCGGCTTCCTCGGGTGGAGTGATTATTCCGTGTGTGATGCTTAGGGGTTTGTGGGGAACCACTTTACGCGCTGTGTAGTGCTTGCCGAAGTTAATTGCGTGATCTCGCTTGCAGCACAAATCTTCGATATCCTGGGGCTCAACAGGACAGTGGGAGTAACCGAAGGCAGGGCAGTCCATACAGCTCATGCTGCTGTACTTCTCTGTTGCTTGTATCGCCACCATTGAACATCAAAAAAACACGATTGTCGGAAGTCTTTGTGTAAAATGCTGTAATTCTGTTGGTGATCGTGTGGGAAGGATCTGCTTCTTATATAAATACCAATGCAAAAGTAGCTGCGAGAATCTTACACTCGCATTTACATTTCATGCAGAATTCGCACTTCTTGCTGTGTCTGTAACAATGTGAAAAGTTATCAGATGTAAGTAGACAAAGAAATTGCGTCACCGAACCTTATGCATCTCCATCAGATAATAGCGCCGTTGATCAAAAGAGTCACTTTTTCTAACGCTTAAATACGGTCCGAGGACCTGTAACTCTGGGTCTGCCGCATGAATGTCGTGTATATTGACTCTCACATTCCTCTTGCCAAGCTATTATCCATTCCTATCCCTGGCTAACTACGATGTTCTTGGTTCTGTATGACGCCGTCCTGAGGTCTTTAGTTACTAAATTGTCTGGGCCCCATCGCCTCACCTGTCCAGTGTCGTATGTACTGTAGGTGAACCACAGAGCTACGCCTGCCAGAAAACTAAAATGAGGAGTCCGGATCGCTTTGTGGACTTGCATGTGGTTGGGGGAACCAACTGTCTTGCAGTATGTATTTGTATGCATGCGACTCGGAACCCATGTCGGGTTGGTGAGTACCTACTCGTACTGGTATGGGATGTACATATTTGTACTGTACTCGTACGGGTATGTACTAGCACATATAATTGCCGTATGTACTTGTAATGTCCAAGATCACCCGTACATGTTGAAGTTCGTAGAATAATAAGAATCATTGCTCACTGACAGTTCGATAATGGCATATAAAACTAGACCAAGTAAAATTGATATGCTTTGCTCCAGCGGATGACATATCACACCAACACCTAGGAGAAACCTTTGGAAGCTTAATCTTGTTTTGACGTCACATCCTGAATTTTATCAGATTAATCAACATTGAACTTGTACTACGTGATTTCAAGAAATCAAGGGCCTGCGAATATGGGAAAGATGCAAAGATTGTAATGATCTTGTACAAGTGTAGTATAAATATTGTAGTATAGCTTGTGGCCTGGTTTGAAGCCGGCCGGTTGGGGCTTGTGCGTTATTTAGCTACCCACACGTCTAGAGACATCGGATATTTCGCGGAGTGAGTGGTGCATGCGTCCAGCAAAGTCGAAGAGTAAGTACAAGTACAACGTAGAGAGATTATTGCATTTATCTACTTATATTGGTTTAACTTGGTCTGTTATATTTCTCCTACTTGTAGGGGAATTCTAGTGAAAGCCGAACCCCCCCCCCACGACACCTCCTCCAATTCCGACATCGGGGAACCTCGGCCATCCTGTCTGTACTCCTCATGCATGAGCCCCAGGCTGTCCTACTCCTTTCGGACTTGGCATGAGACTTCCCCGGTGCTGTACCTATAATCTGTATGCACTACACAAATGTCAAAGTGCAAACATTTATGATCCTTTGCTCTTTTTTCTCCATCACAGACGTATCCACGTGTGCACCCAGTGTCATCTGTTTGTGATCTCCTCTTGTAAGTGATAACATCGATTTGGAGGTTGGTAAATTTCCTTAATACGCAAGTACCCGTCCCGCAGGTGTAAACGAATTTTCATGTAGTCACGGTGGTGTTATGAGCCAGCGTACCTACTTGTAGGCTATCCACAAGCAGTGTACATACAGTACACTTGTAGATTCTTCATTCGACCAGAACCATCTGCAAGTATGTATGGGGTATCAGGAGACCTATCATTCATGCTACCGATTCTTGTGCGTTAACAACCTGCTAACCGATTGCTCAAATTCCTGAGGATAATACTTGTATACATTTAAGCCAAGGACTACATTATCTCCGAGCACCACTACAGTATGTACTTGTAGAAGTGGTCTCATTGTTACTTCTCTGCTACAAAAGTTGTGCTCCTAAATCACTACTGTATCTGTACTATTTTCAGTGATAGATGTATAGTGTAGCTACATGCCATGCCCTCACGGATACTGTGCTCTATCCAATGATATAAAGATAAGGATAGCCATTCAATCAGGATAATTCAGGTTAAATACAGTCAAGAGATTCACATATCACGGATTATACAATTCGTTTATTTTCATTGCTATGTACATATACAATCATCTTCTGTCATAAATATGTGGGTGTGAAAGAACCCACTGAACACCTCCTGGAGCAGGGAAATCAACTCCGGGCAAAACTTCAAGTAGCCATTCCTTCAACCGACTTAAGCAGCCATGGGAGCCTGCATGGGAGGAGCCTGAGCAGCCGCAAAGTATCGTCCTACGGCAATACCAACACCCTCGATAACGGCAAGCAGCAGACCACAAGAAATGGCACCATTTCGAGCGTATCTCCAGCCACCTCGGAAGGCAAGAGCACCACCGGTCATGAAACCAGCGATGATAGAGTTGAAAGGATCCTCCTTTCGTCGAATGGCCTTGACGGTACAATCCATGGTAGAGAAAACACCACCCCAAGTACCGAAGTTACCTCCAACAACAGGAGCTCGCATTCGAATGGCAGAGAAGGCACCTGCTCGTCGCTCACCAAGGGGAGAGTTTCTGAAACCCTTGATACCGTGCCAGATAGTACCTCCGACAATCTGTTGTTAGTAATGGAACATTGTGGAATAATGACGCTTACGCCCCCAGTTGCGGTCGAATATTCCGTATACTCACACCCATAGCAAAGGCACCGCCGAAATCGTTGATGATAACAATAGGACAGGGGTCTCTTCCTTGATCAGCCATTTTTGTGTCGTGTAGTTTGGTTGTGAGTAATTATCAAGGATTTTTCACTACAGGTAAGTTGGGACAACTCTATTTGAGGTCACGTGCTTGTGGCGATAACCGAACCGACCGCGGTACCAGACAACATCAACAAGTGGCGTAGGGGACTAAACTATCAATTCCAATGAAGTACAGTCCTCATTTCAAAGATTCTAACATATTATATTGAGACCTATCGTTGAGTATATACTAGTACAGACCCAGCAAATCAAACATGTAGTAATTTACCACAACATAACGTGGGGTTGCTAATAGTGTAGGACCGATATATCTCCGTAGGATCAAATGACTTCAGCACCTGAAAAAGGCTCCCTCGAAACTACACAAACAAGTATAAGTATGTACAACAGTATATCACTTGCCACCTTTGATTCTTACAGCGCCTTCTCCACATGAGCCAGAAATTTCAGCGACAACAATTTGGGACTGGGACCTACGGGGTTAAGCAATTAAGGTTGGGTTTGGTCACGTGATTGATTGAGAGGTATAAATTCTTCTGTCGCGCAGAATTTTTTAACCTCATCACCTCCTCCCTCACGTGGCCGAAATATATGGTCATTGTAACTGAGGCATGCACTGGCTGCAGCTTCGGTATAGTAGGGTTTACTCTACGGCGAGAGCTGTCTTGTAAATGTTGGAGCAGAGCAGATCACAGGATTCCAAATAAGCCGGAGCGTGGTTCTCACCCATGAACCAGGTTTGACTTAGTGACTCCAACATTCTTCTACGATATAGTGTGCGCTTAGTGAACAGCTCTCGGCTGATTCTGATGTTGCCCATTGGTTTGTTTACATTATGTTTCATGCGTACGATCCGATACTGAACCTGTTGTTTAGCCGTTTCTTTAGCTGAAACACAACAATCAAATGTCTTGTGCGGCTGTTAGCTCCCTTTGTTGGTGAGACCCTTGGGCTAACAATAACAGCTGGGCGGTCTAATCCGTAAGTTTAAACGCGCGCACACGTGACCCACTCGCAGTCTTTCGAGGGTGGGCCTTTTTTTTTGGTGTTTCTTTTGACGCTATTTTGAACTGTTTGTTGAAATCACTGGCATATGATTCTCATACCAATCCAAGTACTGTAGGTGTGTGAAATAAGGTTCCGGGTATGTAATGAACGTTTTTCTGTACAGATTCAATGTTCCTCGTTTGGTGTTAGTTATCGCCTCAATGAGACAATCACATTCCCTAAAAATCTTTGGCAACTGCTTCTTGTAGTTTTTTACAAACTCGCTGAGAAGTTACATCATTATTTATTACTACATCAATCGTCGACTCTTACATAATCACCTCGTTCACAACATCGTTCTTGATGTCCTTGTGGGGAAGAACGATAGTGTTCTGAACATGCACCTCCTCGGAGACATTAACGTCAGAAGAGAGAATGGTCACAGACTGGATCTTGGCGCCATCCTTAACGAGGGTCTCGGAGTGGTCGTTGGGAGCAACAGCGGATCCCTCGATTCTGGCCCAGGATCCAATCTTGCATCCTCGACCAAGAATAGAGTGGAACACGGCGGCATCATGCTTGACCTCGACACCCTCGAGAACAATAGAGTCCTTGATTCGAGCACCAGCGGCGATCACGGCACGGGGACCGATGGACACGTTGGGGCCGAGCTTGGCAGTAGAGTCGATCTTGGCAGAGGGATCAATGTAGACAGGAGGCACAATGTTGGCAGAGGGAGCCTGAAGACCGGGCTGCTTGGGATCAGCCTGAAAAGCCTGCTGCAGGTAAAGCGCGTTGGCGGGGACAGCAGAGCCAGCGGTCTTGATCTGTCGCCAGAAGTCCTTGGTCTCGTAGGCGTAGAAAGCGTCAGTAGCAGGGAGCTGGACGAGAATATCCTGCTCAAGTCGGAGGTGGTCCTCATCGCCCTCACCAACAAAAGAGGGATCCTGGGCCTTCTCTTCTCGCACCTTCTTAGCAGCAGCGATAGTGTCGAAGATGGTCTGGTCGAAAAGGTAAACACCAGCATTGATCAGGTTGGAAATGTGAGACTCAGGCTTCTCAACGTAATGGATAACTCGCTGAGTTTCGGGGTCGGTAACAATGGCACCAAAGTTGTTGGCGACAGCAGCAGGGACAGTGGTGCCAAGAATGACATACTTGGCCTTCTTCTCCTCGTAGAACTCCTCAATCTCCTTGAGGGGGAAAGAACAGCAGACATCAGCATGGATGACGAAGAATCGGGAGGGGTTACCCTTGAGAATGACATCTCGGAAGTGGTAGAGACCACCGGCAGTGCCCATAGCCTTGTACTCTCGAAGGTACTTGATGCTGAGGTTGGGGTACTGCTTATTGGTGTCAGCAATGAACTGGGAAAAGACAGAGTCCTCATAAAAACCAACGAGGAGAACCTCCTTGACATCCTTGAGGGAAGCCACGGCGTCGACTGCATGGCTGAGGATGGGCTTGCCTCCAACGGGGAAGAGAACCTTAGGAGTGTCCAGAGACAGAGGTCGGAATCGAGTTCCTCGGGTACCGCCTCCAACGAGAATAAGAGCCTTGGTAGACATTTTGTGTATGTGTTGGGGTGTTATTGTGTGTGGAAGGGGCTGGTGTGCAGTTTCGTGGTGGTGATGTGTTGTCGAAACCTTAGCCCACGTTGAAAGCTTATTTTTTGCTGCTGGTGCTGCTATCCTCGCAGGCTAATATCCAAGAATATACGGCATTTCATGTCCCTTGAGCTTCAAAATACACCTACCAAACTATCAATCTCCATGTTTGTTCCCGCGTCGGCTACAATTAGTCTGCAATGTACGTGCAGTTGCCTCAGTCAGTGGTGTACGTGTGTAACTTTGGTCTCACACTAACTATTACGTGAAATTTACCCGATTCAGACCCTAACCCCAACCCAGAGTGAGACCTGTACGGCCCTGACTTTCACGAACCTATTTTTTGAAATGTGGTTGAAGTAACTGCTGCATAGGACTGCCTCGGAATATCCTGGAACAATCTCACTCTGCGTCAGAACTGTATAGCCGCCAATCCTCCCCACCATTGCTACATCATGCGTAACATCACGTGACCGCAACGGGTGCGCACGATGGAGGTTCGCAGGTCCTATCACACAAGACACAGAAGGACCTAGATGAGAGTTATTATCCTTAGAAAGACCCTCTCGAACAAGAACCCGCTCACACCCGCTTGTATATATTGGTCAAACGATTCCCCACGCCTCGTTTGTTAGCGCCCTTTAAACTCTGAATTCGCCCCCTCTAAAGTGGACAAACCAGTCTCCATAGTCCGTAGTTGGAGTTATTTGGTCAATTCCCTTTGTTTTCAAGGTGTGACACCCTCGTAAAAGTACAGCTTTCGCGCCAGACACGGTCGTCTGATCGATTTATCTAGTGCCAGATCTCTTATCTCTAATGTTGGGCATATAATTACATTTGAAAGACTCGAACTGGCAAGCCCAGACTCACCTGCATGAATCTTGAAGCTAGAGGCTGCGGGGCTTGCATGCACTTTGAGATGCTATATTGCAACACCACATCTAGCATGTAAACCCTTCCTGTGTATCATCTTTTTGCCACCGGGCTTGCAACAATAGCTAACAAACACCGACCCAAGAAGAACCGTCCTCCCTACAGGAGGGTAGTTGGCACCGCGGAGAAAACGATTGCTCAGCCCCTCCACGACAGTGAGTTTGAGAAAATCGACACTCTAGCGGCCGCCCTCGATGCGCTCATTATTCGACCTACAAACGAGATAGATGAAATCGGGGAGGACGCAAAGTCGCAGGAAACGTTAGTGGCTACTGCTGACTCTGTGTTCCTCCCCCCAGAAATCGTCGACACGATTTTCACACTATTGGAGGATCCCATCACTCTTGACCTATTGCTAGTGTGTAAGACTTGGTACCGATGTGGTTTACCGTTCCTATACAAATCTCCGGAACTAGGTCCACTCAATTTCAAGTTGTTCGTTGAGGCCGTTTCTTCAAACGATTACTTTGGCACGTATGTGAGAGAGCTACGGCTGGACTCCATTATTCAGTCGGGAAAAAACTCTTACACCGCAAAGGTGTTAAAACGATGTTCAGCAAACTTGGAACTATTTGTGGCACCTCAGACAGCCTTTGGATATGCTCCTATGGTTTCCTTGCGTCACTGCAAACAGCTGCGCTGCCTTGACTTGTCTCTGGTCAGCGAGGTTGTTGATCTGCGGCTGTTGTTTCTAGCACTTCGACAATCTCCTGAGCTCGAACAACTCTTTTTTCCTCGATCGTCTTTATTCTGCGAGCAGTACGATAATGTCTGGCCCCCAAAACTTTGGAGACTAGGACTTTCTGGAGGAATCTCAGACGACTTCATCCGAGAAACCCGATTCGCTGATACCATCACACATTTGTCGTTGCGACATTGCCCCTTCATCACTGTCAACTCATTTCACTTTTTGTGCCAATATCTCGGCCCGAACCTGAAATATCTTGAGGTTGTTTACCCCATGCCCGGCCTGCGACCAGATGCGCTGGATCAAGTTTTGCGACACTGTCCCAACCTTCGACATCTTTCGGTGTCGGTAGACTATCTCACAAAGCACATATTTGATGACGGCATGTTCAAAAGGGCCGATGGCCATTTCCAAAGCCATCCTCTGGAGATTCTGGACATCGACTCGAGTGGCGGTTTAGGACAGGCTCATAAACTGAGAGCAGATGACATTACTCTGGCCATTTTGGAAGACAAGATTCCCAAATTGAGAGTGGTCAGAGTCTCCTCCAAGATGAGCTGGGATGCTAAGGATGAGGCTGTTTCTGAGCTGGCCAGTATTCTGGACGACACAGACGCAAATGGTGGAGGCATGTGGATCATCTAAACCCCATGTCTCATCAACTGACATCAAGGAACTTTCCAATACTTGTGACTTTTGTAATCGTCACCTCTTTCATCACAGCCAGAACCCGTGCTGCATGAAGCCACAAGACATCATTCATTTTGCATTTTGTATATAAACTAACATTGATAATTTATAAGAGGTAGGCTATTCACTGGTGACATTATGTGGGCGTTGTTTGTCCACTTACAGTGCAGTACATACTCGTGCAAGTAACCTGCCATCACAGGTAACAAGAAGTCTACAATCACAGGTACAAGAAGTTTGCTGCTGGTTTGTTTTTTGTTTTTTTTTTGCTTGGCGCTGCATCGACCCTGACTCTCATCATCATTTAATGCTTCGATGTTGGATGGCCTGCGTGAGAGAAAAAAAAGTATAATCACTTCTGGTTGACGTGTTGCTTCATGAAATTAGAAGGAAGGAAACAAGAAATATGCCACGTCACAAAGCTCTTGACCCTGCTATAATCAACACAGACCTGGCCATACTATGTACGTACCTGTACTGTAGTATTATTAGACATCTTCTGTCTCCATATAATTTCATTGAAGGTTCAACCACCTCGACTTGCTCGGTGCGAGTATCATCACCTTTAACGTCTCCGTACGAGTGTACAGTACAATGAAGTCCTTATGCTACTACTGTTGCGACTATACTGGGGTACAGTACATACTCGTACTCGTACTGTATGCAATTCCAACCTATGGATGCGCCATAGTTGTGTGTGTCGTACCCGTACCAGTACCGCCGGTACGATACCGTATTGTAATCCACTTTCTTGATTGAGTCAATTCAACACGCTTTCGGCAGCACACCCAAATTAAGCTCATCTGATGGTGACCATGTCTGGTTTGGCGTTTTGAAGGGCAGGCATCAGGTGGGGCTCAGTGAGGGGCTGTTTCTTCCCCTAGTGTCGTGGATTTTGATATCCACGCATCCTTTCATTGAGAGGGCCATTTTGCTTGCAATATCGCAGGCGTGTGTGCTCTGTGGTGTTTCGGTTGCCCTCAGCATATCTTTCTCCCCCTGGCTGTTTCAATTTTCACGACACGAAACCGAGTTTCGCATTGAAATTTGGCAGTGTGGAGAGAGGCCAACAATTGGGTTCCTGACAGTGCAGCGTGCAGGACCAAACCAGTTAGTGCAAACCATCACAGCATAGGTTCAGTGGCCAAACAAGTGCTTATTGGGATCAGAAGAAGACTACAGAGTAGAAAAAGATCGGTCCAATTGATTTTTGAAAAATTCTGCTTAGGCGACAGTTCAAGCCGGCGAACAAGCGTCTTTGTCTACTTGTAGGCTCTGACCATGTCGCGTCTCAGGCTCACTGCTCCTCGCTTCACTTCTGAAACTCTATGCCACGTAAGTTTCACAGAGTGTCCTTTAAGCACACACGTAGCTAACGAACCCATCTTCACACGTCTACTACGACACTTCTCGCGACAATGTCCAAAGGTGAAAAGAAGACGGTACAAGCCGTGTACGCCAAATCGGCCCTCGAGGAGATGGCTCCTGAGGTCACTCCGGCCCCCGGATACAAGAACCTGTCTGAGGAACGCGCTCTGACACCCAAGGATCGAGTGCTCATCTTCGTGGTCTCTTTCCTTGCCGGTTACACCAGATTCCGAAACATCTGGCAGCCCTCCAGTGTGGTCTTCGACGAAGTCCACTTTGGTGGTTTTGCCCGAAAATACGTCATTGGACGGTTCTTCATGGATGTCCACCCTCCTCTTGCTAAGATGCTCTTCGCTGCTGTCGGCTGGCTGGCTGGCTATGACGGCGAGTTTGAATTCTCCTCCATTGGTGTTGACTACCTGTCCTCCAACGTTCCCTATGTTGCCATGCGATCCTACCCTGCTGTTCTCGGTGTCGCAACCGTGGCCCTCGCATACCTGACCCTCAAGGCTTCCGGCTGCAGAACCGCCACTTGCTTCTTTGGTGCTGCTCTGCTTGCCATTGAGAACTCTCTTGTCACTGAATCGCGGTACATTCTGCTTGATTCGCCCCTTATCTTCTTCCTGGCTCTCACCGTGTACTTCTTCAAGAAGTTTGAGCTCGAGACCCCCTTCACCGGCGCCTGGTACCGATACTTGTTCCTGTCTGGACTGGCTCTCGGTGCTACCACCTCTGTTAAGTGGTACGGTCTTTTCACCATCGCCTGGATGGGTCTCATGACTCTGTGGCACCTGTGGTGGACCCTTGGTGATCTCAGTGTCACCCCCTGCTCCTTTACTCGACACTTCGGCTGGAGAGCTGCCTTCCTCATTGGTGTCCCCATTTCCTTCTACGTTGCAATGTTTGCCGTGCACTTCCTGTGCCTTGTCAACACTGGTGATGGAGCTTCTTTCATGTCCCCCGAGTTCCAAAACACCCTGCAGCACTCCACTCTTATTGGAAACCAGCCCGCTGATGTTCTTCTCGGATCTAAGATCACCTTGCGACACCTCAACACGCAGGGCGGTTACCTGCACTCTCACGAGTCCCTCTACGAGACTGGCTCCAAGCAGCAGCAGGTCACTCTCTACCCTCACTCTGACCAGAACAACGATTTCCTAGTTGAAAACTACACTGTGACTGAGGGTGACTTCCAGGGTGACCAGATCTTCCTTAAGGACGGTGATGTCATTCGACTCAAGCACATTGCTACTGGCCGACGAATCCACTCTCACGATTTCCGACCCCCCGTGTCTGAGGCTGACTACCAGAACGAGGTTTCCGCCTACGGTTACCCCGGTTTCGATGGTGATGCCAATGATAACTTCCGAGTCGAGATTGTCAAGTCCAAGTCCCAGAAGGGTGTCTCTCGGGACCGTGTTCGAACCATCGACACCAAGTTCAGACTTATCCACACCATCACTGGTTGTGCTTTGTTCTCTCACTCTGTCAAGCTCCCCAAGTGGGCCTTTGAGCAGCAGGAGGTAACTTGCGCCAAGTCTGGAACTCTTCCCAACTCCATCTGGTACATTGAGTCTAACTCCCACCCCACTCTCGTGGATTCCACTGACCGAGCCTCTTACCGAACCCCCTCTTTCCTGTCCAAGTTCCTCGAGCTGAACAAGGTCATGTGGACTGTCAACAAGGGACTTACTGATCCCCATACCTGGGAGTCTCGACCTGAGTCCTGGCCCTTCCTCCAACGAGGTATCAACTTCTGGGTTAAGGATAACCGACAGGTCTACCTTCTCGGTAACGCTCCCATCTGGTGGTTGACTACCCTCTCTATTGGTATCTTCCTCTTGTGGAAGGCCATCAATCTGCTGCGATTCCAGCGCGGATACAACGACTTTGCAGGCCGACCTGATCTGCGAGCTTACGACGTCCAGTTCACCTCCTTCCTTCTTGGATGGGCTCTGCACTACTTCCCCTCTTACCTCATGGCTCGACAGCTCTTCCTGCACCACTACCTGTGCTCTCTCTACTTTGTTTTCCTTGGTTTTGTCTGCTCTTGGGAGTACTTCACCCTCCGAATTGTGCGAAACAAGATTATTGGAGGTGCTCTCAGTGTTGGTGTCTTTGCTGCCGCCCTCTCTTTCTACGTCTACTACTCTCCCATCATTTACGGAGACCCATGGACCAAGTCTCTGTGTGAGAAGGGCAAGTGGCTTCCTGGCTGGGATTTCGACTGTAACTCTTTCCACGAGTCCCTTGACCTTTACAACGAGGCTTCCATTCTGCCCGTTGATGAGAAGGTTGTTGACTCTGTCCTCGACCACTCTATCGCCGAGGCCGTTGAGGATGCCGCTGAGGCTGTGAAGGCCTCTGAGGCTCACATTTCTCCTCATGCCGCTCCCCCTAACCAGAAGGTGGTTTACAAGGATGAGGAGGGCAATGTTCTTGACCCCGAGGAGGTCGCCAAGATGGCTGAGCAGGGCAAGGTGGAGTTCCGAAAGGGCGAGTAAACAGTATATAAAAGTTTAGTATAATAAGAGAAAGATAATAAAGTATAGAATTTTTGGAGCCCGTACTTGTTGTACTTGCTTGTAGAAGAGCTGGTGGAGATTATTATATTTTTCTCGTCGTTGCTATGAGTGCAAGACGCATATAGCACGAAACTCAACGTACATGTATGTACATACTGTACATTAACTCCACCACCATTATGACTACTGACGACGAAACCGGTACTCCGAACCTGGCCAGCCTGTTGGAGGGCCTCAGCAAGCTGGAGATTGATAATCTGGCCCGTGAGGACGATGATGGAAGCTCTGGCAACGACGATCTGTTTGTGACTTTGCTCCAGTTGGTGGATGACTATGAACATCTGACCAGGGACATGTGCGAAGAGCTCAAGCAGGGCCACTTGGACGTTGCAAAGACCAACTACGACAATTTCATGGCCGCTTCGACCTTTAATTCTCGAATATCGAGGTTTAGCTATGATGAGCGGCCCCAATGCGCCCAGATCACGGTGTCACATGCCAGTGAGAAATTCACGATACACAGCAAGAAGGAGGAGAAGGGAGCGAAAACAGATCCCATCAGGATGTTTGGTATCATGCCACCATACACGCTTCGTATAGCACAGGGCCACTTCCAGAGTGCTGTTGATAAAATGGTTGAACTTGCAAATGTCAAAAGTAGACTGGAAGCTTTGGAGAACAAGATCAAGCCTACCGAAAAGGATGAAGAGAAAGATCCTACAACTGGGGACGTGACTACCGCCACCGCCACAAAAACTGAGGTTGCCGCTGTCGCAGCCTCTTGATTATTTATAATACATACAATACAAAAATTGATGCACTCTATAAAGATGTGGCCATTAGAACAGAGTGCTCCAGCTCCACAAGATGCTAGAGGCTTCTGGTATTACCAGTGATAAGAACGCCTCGCGGTAGGATGTGAGCAGGCCTAGTCTTACCCGTCGTGCCTCTTTTTCTGCTGCCCGTTTCGCAGGGCAGGCTTATCGGGTGTTTGCCCATCCTTACATGCTCTCCACGTCGATGTGGGCCTTTCTCTGTGCGAGCTTTAGAATCAGTTCATCACAGTGCTCCAACAACTCGTCCTTCTCCTTGATGACGTCTTCTGTTACCTGATCATAATGCTCCAGCTCCTTTTGCAGCTTTTCGATCTGCTGCATCTGATGTTCCTCCGAAGAACCGATACCTGGCAACGAATCTATGAGGTAATCAATCTGTTGTGACTTGACCACAAGGTCTTTCGCCAGCTCCTCTAGCGTTCTCTCGCGTTCTTCGTCTGTGACAACAGGCACCGTATCGTCCTTGACCAACTCCTCCCCCGCTAACGACTTGAACCCATGATTGGTGTTAATGTGCGTTAGTGCCGAGAAATACTGGGTCAGCATTTGATCCACGCACGTCTGTAGCTGGGTCAGTCGGTCCGCCATGTTATGTGTCTTCGTCGCGTGTTTCTGATACTCCAAAGTGAGATTAATAATTTGGCTTTCTGGGAGATGTGTGCTGTATGCATCCATCTCAACCGGAGGTATCATGCATGTGGATGCTAGTCGCAATAAACGAAACGAGGAGGCGGAAATGAGACCGAAGTTCAAAAAGACTTCCGTAATACCACAATTGGAAAAGTCTAGGGTCGAATGTCTCGGTCCAATATGTTTAGCACGTGTCCAATCTTATTGGCTGGACTACCACTTTCAGTAGATTACGACATGGTTCAACTGACCTCGCTATTTGAAACCAACATCGATAGACTTGACTATGGGAGGGCATAATAAAAGCCCCACTCTCTGGTGTCTACAGTACTGTAGGTAGGTATTCCCACCAAACTGTGCGGCCCGCATGTATTCATATAATATTCCGCGCTAACCCTTGTGCAATGTTGTATGAACAGCTGGCAACCATATTGTCCATCATTCTGTGATGTAGACTACACCAACATACGCCACCGAAAATATCAGCAACTACTCACCATTTGACAGGACAAGGTCTTCCTCTTTATAATGACACCAATCCCCATACATTTGTTTACTTGAGTACTTGTTTGTGGTGTCTCGTACCCATACCCGTAGTGTGCTTATCGGCCCATAATTTGACCTCGGAGGTGTATCGTACATACAGTAGTCATAAAACATTCTCTAGCCTCGGTTTTACTGTTACTGGAGAATAATACAAGGAAGGGAAATGTCAGGGGGGTCAGGGAAACGAGTGTCGTATTTCGGTTGCAACTGAGTGCCTACAGGTAATGTAAACCCATACATTTGTTTGATACATTTCTGATCTACTAGTACCGATACAGTATGTACACTACCGTAGGTGCGAAACTGTACAGTACAAGTAGCTGTCTGACATGAGGTACGGTAGCACTGTAGACCTTTTGCTGCAGTCACAGTAGCTACCGGTACCAGCACATGTAACTACAGTAGACTAAGGAAGGTCTATAGTGCTACCGTACAAAGTGTAACTACTTGTGCTGTACATACTGGTACAAGTGGATAAATTGTCCAGGAAAGACGTGATAATTAAAATGCATTGTTGTATCGTACATCACCTAAATCCAAGTTTGAGTCTGTTCATATGGCACGGAAGGTCGGTGTGCAGGGTTTTCCTCAGCAAGATCCTCCAAAATCGCTCCGTGAGAAGGTAGCGATGAAGTAGAAAGGTGTCTGCCATTAGTCATGTAAGGCTGTTGCTGTTGGGTCTGCTGCTGCTGGCCGTGTTGTTGCTGTTGCTGCTGCTGCTGCTGCTGTTGCTGTTGAGATAATAGAGGAGAGGGCAACAAGGCAGACCTTCGGAAGGTAGTCTGTGACGCATTGGGTGTGGAGGCAGCACTCTCAAGATCCGACTGTGGGGCAGTCTGGCACAACCAGTTGTGCTGCTCGACAAAGTCTGAGCCCGGAGATGTCCATGATGATCCAATCGAATCAGAAGAGGGCTGGTTCTTGATGAGTCCAAGGCCATGGTTCTTTCTGCGGAAGCCTGCATTTGAAGACGACGAAGAAGAGGGTGTTTGAGGAGTTTGCAATGTCTGGGGAGAGGACTCAAACTGTTGGGACAATCTTGGAGAATTGAACAAGGTCTGGGGGGCAACTCCAGGAGTCTGGATGAAGCCATTGATATCGTATGAAGTGGATCCACGTCGTCGTTCAGACCGCTGAGGGATTCGGGGTGATGCATAGGGAGACGTGGTGATCTCTGACTCGCCGTCCATCTCTTCCTCCTCCTCAATGTCCAAATCAGCATCGGAGAAGCGCCACGACTGTCGGTGGTTGACAGACAAATTGGGTGCTGGGAAAGCATTGAGATTGGGATTAGGAGAGTTGGCAGGAGAGGCTCTGCTGAGATTGCCGTTGTCCTTCAAGAGGTTGGCAACCCGCGCCGCATGTTCACTCTGGACAGAAGAAAATCGAGCTTCACGGCCATCTGGAGACATGCTGGGAGTGGTGGCAGCAGTGACACCAACTTGAGACTTGGCTGTACTGCCCACAGTGGAGTTGCTGGAGTAGTTGGACGATGAGTTGGATAGTCGTCGAGCTTGTCCATGTGGAGCTCCGGCGTTGCTCTCTTCCTCATTGTTACTCAGACCCCGGGGAAGCACAATATCGTCAGGGCGGCGAGGCCGCACTGGCTTCGAGGTGTTGAGGGTGATTCCAGGCTCTGCAAGCATCGTTCGGCTATGAGTGGTGTGCACAGAGTAGCCAGTGGCGTTAGAGGGAGTCTTAGAAATAGGTCCACCAAAGGAATTGTCAAAGGATTCACCCGACAGACTCTTGGATGGGCTGTGGCCAAGAGCTCTGTCCTTGACTGACCGCAGGCCGTTCTTCAGAGCGTTATGTGCAGACGAAGTCGACTTGTTTCGTTGAAGAGGGGACTGCTGTGGAAGATGTGAACTGGGAGAACCAGGAACAGGAGCAGGCATAGTGATTGCTTCTGAATTGGCGTCCGCGTGCTCCACATGCGAAAAGTTGTAAGGACGAGAGATGGAGATGGTGAGATCCGAGTTAGAAGAGATAGACGAAGACTTCTTGTGACGGGGAGACCGAGTAAAGATGCTGTTGACACTCCACTTGGAGCCACTCTCCGAGCGTCGAAGAGGTGACTTGAGTCGAGACGGTGATTCTGTGCCTGACTTTGGGGTGTATGAGGTCTGCTTGGGGATGTATGATGCTTTGGGGGTGTATGAAGCTCCCACTGATGGCACAGGAGAAGACACAGAAGAGTGTTCAGTATCGGCTCCAATGCTCTTGTCGCTACTCGACTGTCGATCACTGTTTCGGTGCGAATGGGACTCGTTGTAGTTAGACGACGACGACGACCGCAGAGAGTCCGATTTGGTGGACTCGCGCAGTGGCAACAAAGGGAAAGATGCAGAATGAGAGATACCGTGTGCACTCGAATTACCTGGCAGGTTCATCGAAATGGTAGAGTTCGTCTTGGAGGAACGCCGCAGGCCCTTCCATCTTGACACAGGCTTAGTCTCCTCGTCACTGTCGTCGTCCAGCCACATTGATGACATGGGAGGACCCGGTATCCTCTTGGAGATTCGCTGAGAAGCCACGGACAGAGGGGGATGAGCGGTTCGAGCAGTCGAAGCTGTGATGGATTGTTGAGAGGAAGCTCGTGAAATGGACACGTCTGGCTGTGTTTTCATAGGAGACCAACCATCCATAGCGTCATGATTGGGTGTAGCCGGTGAAGTCACCGGTGATGTCGTGGAAACCGCATCTACTGGGGGGATAAGTGAGTCGTACCTTTGTGTCTGAGTCGAGACTGGCGTTCTCTTCGACATCATCTCTTGGCTGTAGTTCAGAGGGGTTCCGGGAGAGGTTGGAGTTCCAGGCTTGGAGGGAATGTCGCCTCTAGGAGCAAAGTAGCCTTGGTCGTTGCTGGTGACGGATTTTTGTGAATACGCTGAGGCCGACCTTCGCAAATTGGACTGTCGGTTTATCGATAGCGGGGATGTTTCAGAGGTAAAAACGTTGGGTGTGTGGAGCGGCGATTTGTCTGCACAGAAGAAAAGATAAACGTTTACGGGCTGAATCACAGACCGCAAACACAAAAAAGTGGTTAGTTGAGAAGTGAAATCGGCAGGCGGGCAGCCACAATGGAACGACGGAGGTTGCGTGGGTGGCAGAGGATATGCAGCAGCTCTTATTTTTTAACCACAGACAAGGACACCCTAGTCATAGCTGAGGAGGGACCACTGGCTTTTTAGGTCTGTAGTCTAATTTCGTCGCTTTTGTTCTCTGTCCCCATTTAGACGCATGACCAAAACCCAAAGCCTCCCACACAGATGTGAAAAAAAGACTACCAGTGTCCTTAGTGTGTCTTTCCCTCTCTTCTAAATCCTCTTGTTTCACTGTGCGGGGAGATCCAACGGACAAGGTGTGGACTCTCAAGAGACTTGGAAGGATGAGGCACAGTAGCTGCCACATGAAACGACCATAAAACCGTATCTGCGGTAATCATCCTTCACGTTGTACGTGTAGCATGCCCTCACCATCACATGGCCTTCCCACCCATGCAAAAAAGAATTGTGTCAATAGTTGGGACACGAATAATGTCAACTCATGCAGCTGCGGGCTGTCTGCCACTCACCCTGCTTGACAGCGCTACAGCACAATTAGTGTGGCTGCTGCACAGCGGGCCCTCTGGCTGCTTGTGGAAATCCGTGAAGTAGTGTCGGCCTGACAGGCACCTTCATTGGAACCATGAGACCAGTTGGTCTTTAGCCCCCGAAAAAGATGCCCATTTTCACCCCAAACATCAAGAACTAAAACCAGATTGGTTCTTGGTTCTTGTTGGTAAGAATTGGACGTAATAATTTTTCATGCGTATCTCGCACTTATCATTAAAATATCCGTCAGAACTTTACGGGCCTTCAACAGCATAACCAAAATCATGTACGAGTTGTACATGCAGCCCAATTGGGCCTGTAATGCATGCGTGCCACAGAGGCCGAGAGAGGTCTGGGCGCCTAAGACACATATGACTAAGCATCAGGCTGATGTTGATGGGTGACCATACATATCTTGATACACGCACGCATGACAGTTCCACATGATCTATGCAATATTCGTGTCCTCACAGCAGACTATTCCGTCGTCCTTCCACTCCTTCCTCTTCTTCCTCTTCTTCCATACTCACCAAAGTCTTTGAGACTTGAATGCCGTCGAATACCACCACCTCTAGGTGGCACCACTGGGGACGAGGGTTCGAGTGATCCCTCTCTGCTGCTCAGGCTGGCAGCGACACTGTTAGCCCGGTTAAGGGAGCCATCAACTGACGGCTGTCGTTTGGGGGTAATGCTGAGAGGAGGCGTCTGTAGAACTGGTGACACTGGCGATACTGTCATGATCTCCTCGGTTATAGACGAGTTGCTGTCGGTACGAGACAAAGGCGGTTCCTCGGGCTCAGGTGTCGCATATCGTGAAGAGCCCGCGAGAGACGGCTGCCGTCGGGGAGTTAACGGACTGGTGGCGGGCAAGCTGTCGATTCCTAGCCCCTTGTTCAATGAGGATCGTCGTCGTAAGGACTCTCGTCTTTTAGGCGCCATAACGGGCACAGAAGGGGAGGAAGCGTCGCTGGCGATGGGCGGCTGCTCCTGTCGCACATGGGTAGGATTGGTCGGTCCTATTGGTTTCACAGTCATGACTTCAGGCGGGAATGAGAGTATTGAAGTTGAAGACTCAGACTGGTGCATCTTTGGCGATCCGGTGAAACCGGGCGAACTCCTGGAAGGAACTCGAGGGGAAGGACGGTGCTGGTGGCTGGTTTGAGTGACCATCTCGAAGTCAGGCTCCGAGGCGTTAGGGAGAAAGGACGAACTACTGGCGCTTCTGGCAAAGCTGGTCGAGTATGGACTGCTGAGCGGACTCGTCGCTGGACTGCTCAGTCGGCTGCTGCTCAGTCCGCCACGTGAAGACCTTCGACCTACCGCGTTGGGACTACGTGGAGATGTCGGGCTTGTGTCAATGTCGGACGATGACACCGATCCCGGTGGCAGTGGATGCTCGAGAGGGTCTTGCCGTCGTTTCCACCCCGCACTAACTGCTCGTTTGAGGAATGACCCCGGGCTAGTAAGTAAAGGACTTGGTCGTGGGCTTGCGCTAGGACTGAGCGGGCTCGCGGGTCCAGAGCCCACTTGTTTTCTTTGAGACGTTTTCGGGCTTGCCGGCATTGTGTCTGATGACAGTTTGTGTCACACTTATGGCCTTGTCTGTCTGTGTCTGTCTGTGCCTGGGATGGATGTCGTGTGGTGCAAGTCGACCGATTCGTGACAGGTTTAAAAAGGAGAGGAGTCTAGTTGGACTGTCTTGTGTCTGTTTATGGACTGCCGGGCGGTGGGTGGTGCTGAGCGAGTAGCGAGTAGCGAGTATTGTTTTAGGTAAGTAGTCTTTCTTTTCTCTTTGGTTTTCTATGTATGGGAGTCCGTGATTTTAAACCTCAGGTCGGTCTTACTGTCATTACGCTATCCCGCAAGTTTGTTAATACATGTGAGCTGCACCAAAGACAAAGAAGGCAATCTGATTAACATTGGTGCAAATAATTATGAGAGACAAACGAGACAAAAAAAAAAAAGATGAATGGGGGGGGCTCCTCACCTACGGCACTTGCCGGTCGTAGGCAAGGTCTTGATAAGCGAGTCATGATCGGGATACACAGTCGAGTGTGAGTTATTTTCATGTTCACTAGTGCATATATCTATAGTCACATGGGTCCTATATTATCGACAAGTAGGTAACCTTCCGTGGGCACACTAAAATCATCTCACCTTTACTTGATAGAGGTCCCAAAACCGTTAGATGGGATTTCGGGCAGGATTTGCCACCGATTAGGTACTTGTAAATAATAACACAAGCCCTTGAATAAAGCAGGTCCAAGACGGCAAAAGTGCGATAGTGCCACAAGTACGTAGTGGTCGTCTATTCAACCTTGGGACAATGAGACATTTACAACACAAGCTGGTCCGGCCAACCGGACTCACAGTCTTGTGCTTAACCCCGGCACAGTACAAGTTAGCTCTATAACGCCGCAGTGGCGCGAGATTTAAGCAGTAGATCGGATCTGTCTTCCAAGAGAGCAAGAGTCAAGGGGGGAACGAAGCCAGACACCTGAAAACGTCGTGGTTAGCGAAATCTAGCTCTTTTGGCGATCGACTGGGGCCCATTTAAGATCTTCATATTGGGTCGTAGTGGAACTTGTCATGATGATGCGGAAGTGTCACATTACTGGTTGTAAGGCCGTTGTGGTAATAGATGTCGGTTATGACAAAGTCCACTGTATCGGACTTTACGCAGCAACTGGCCCTTACAGCTTACAGCCGAAAAAAAGCGGTGGGGCCTAGCTCGCGGAAGTCTTTTGCTCGTACCGTTGCACTCTAAACCGGTTAACGCTGCTATTCACCCACTCACGAATGGCACTTGCGTCTTTTTCCCCGGCGAAAAAAAGTTTTGGGTTGCCCGAGTAGGTTGGTGATAATGCCTGTTTTCCGTATTTGGAATGATCAGAGGGAAGTGTTGGGGATAATTTTCACAGGCGACTATCATCTACAGGGAGATTTTTCACTGATCGTCGGCGCCAAGTAAAGGGGAAATAGACGACCGACATTCACAAACTGGTTGCCTAAGATTAGATGTGTTAATTAGCCAAAAAAAGGGACGATTACAAGTGGAACTGCAACCTGCAGATGGATCCAAAAATCATTATCAGCCTCTACAGGCCGACCGTAAAGAGCATCAGTGACGGAAACTGAATCCCAAAACGGACTGATGCTCAATGTTATGTACATACATATTCCTGCTTCAAATTGGTAGCGGCTACAGTACGCCCCTGCACTTTTAAAAGTGTGTCCTGAACCCCTGGTGGGCTGTAATGGGGCAGTGACGTCGCAAAGTAACGGTCTCTTTTTTGAGATACACCACGCGTATGGTACACTTTACAGTATGTACGATACGATACCGGCATTTTCGTGTAAAACTACCACAGATTCTGCACCTCAAAGGTGCTTTTACTAAAACAGGCGCTCGACAAGACCTTCCTGCCATAAGCTGAGTTTCCGCGGCTCTCGACCTAATTACGTGATTGTGAAACACTACAGCATAACAACTACGGACGTACTAATCGACAGTGGAAATAAAACACTGATTGATTATAACTTATATAAATAAAAACCCTCTACTGTACCTCCATCATCTTTTCCATCCCCATATCCTATCTTCCTTGGCGTCTATTGAGACAGCACCCCATAGCCATCTACTGAAAATAGTAGTCTTCCCAACTACAGGAGCTCACGCAACTTCGCCAGGATAGGAGCCACCTGCTGACGAACCTCTTCGTCAGTCAGTGTTTTTGACTTCTTAACATCCTGGAACTTGTTGGGCAGATCCTTGAGAGCCCGCACTCCTTTTGAGAGGACCTTGGAGTCAGCCTCTTCCCCATGGTTTTTGCAATAGTGACGCTTCACACAGTCAAGTCGAGGACTGTGGTAAGCGCAACCCTCAGCACTGCATGTGTAAGCAGTGTTTCCATGCTGAGTCTTTGTGTGCCGGCTCTGCTCAGAAGGCGAAGCAAACCCAAGGACAGAGGAGAGGCAATCGTCATACTTACACCGTCCAGGACGTGTGACGTTGTACTGATCGAAATGGGCAGCAATCGCCAAGTAATTCTCAAACTTGAGGGAGCAGTGGTTGCAGGCAATTGGGCCCTTCTTAGACTTGAAGAGCATGGCAATGAGTGTCTCACTAGCCAGAATCCGGTCCACGTATGAGTGGCATCGGTATTTGGAGTTTGGCTGCCAGAATTGGCGCTTATTTTCCTTCAGAATCATAACCTGATCCTTCTTGGTTGGCTTCAAGCAACTCATGAGCATCGCCATAGCAGCCGAGGTGGGCTGCACGAAGGGATCATACTCATGATTGGGGTCATACACAAAGTCTGCCACAGAGGGAAACTCCTTCAGAACCTTGGGCTTCTTGAGGGGGCGTTTGATCTTTAGGGCCTTTATTTCTTCGCAATTCTCAATTGAGACCCTCTTTGGAACGTGGGTGTTGAACAATGATGTTGCTCTCACCCGTGGGTCAACGTTCGAGAAGTGTCCCGTAGGAGTTGAAGACAGAAGGGAGGAGACTCTCTCAAGTTGTTGGACGGCGGTTCCACAAGCTTCACTGGAACCCTGGTCAGAGTCCGATCCTTCAGGTGAGAGGATATCCATATCCGCGGGTTTGGGGGATTCATGGAAGTAGGTTGAGAACTTCTCCATGGCGCATGGCAACTCCTGAATTGAAAATGGAGTCCGTGGGGTTTCGGAGAAGGAAGACAACCGCGACTCGTCGGAGAAACACGACTGTTGCGAGTCGTAAGAGGAGGCGTGCAACTCCTCGTGATAAGAGGCTGGCTGACCCATGTCAGAAAATGAAGAGCTGTGCGAGTGGTGCGCGTGGTTGGTCCTAGAGGGAGTCTCGTAACTGTAAATGGTGCCGTCATGCGACTCCTGAGAGCTGGATAGAAGCAGCCCTTGAGACAAATCCGAAGACATTGAATAGGTCTGTTCAGAGTAGACGTCGTGGTTATACCCCTGGGTGAAACAGGAGCCAGCGTAAGGTCCGCAAGAGTATTGGGTGTGGTGAATATTGACTGACGCTGAAGGAGGAAGCGGAATGTTCAACGGGTCAATCTCCTTGTATGTGTAGAGGCCTTGGACATCATCGTAGCACGAGAGGCCCCACATGGGACCCTTGAGCTCTCCAGGTGGTACTGAGAATGTTGTGGACTGGGCTTGGTCCGTAGTGGTGTTGTGGTAAGAATTAGTCGGGACTTTTCGTAGGGCCATACCAGTGTAGATGGAGCCGCTGGTATTGCACATGAATGGGGAGTTGGGGGAGGGTTCGCTCATTGTGGTTGACTACAGCGGCTTAGCGGCGGTCCGGTGTATGTTGTCGACAAGAAAGCGAGACTTGAGCTGTCGGTGCTGTAGATGAGTAGCGCGTGTTTGTGTTTTCTTGTGTGTCAGATGGTTAAGATTGTTGGTAAGAGGCTGGAGGTGTGGGGGACCAGACCCAGCTTATATAGATAACGGGTGATTGGGCCCTGCCTCAGACAACCGCCGGTGTATGGGCTTAACTCAACAAAGCATGCCAGCCGTTCTATAGTCCCTTGTGCGTATTACCAAAAGCCTAACTTTGGACTGTTGTAATGCAGTTGTAAAGCTGTATTAGTCTCCAACCGCATACTCGCCAGTTCGGCTAAAGGTACTTTATTGGCCTGTGAGAACGTGGTCACGAGGGAGCCCTGGCCGGCTTATCTTCGCTCTCTACCGACCTCCCTGTTTTCCCGATTCAATTGGCCGACAAAAGGAGTATGGTGGCGCAATATCAACTCACACGTTTACCCCAGCCAACCAGCCCAGGGGAAGTCTGGGGATCTGACTGCTCCAAAGTGAAAATAACTGGTGAGCACCGTATGAGGTACAGCCTTATTGAGGGCCAGCTAGGTGAACTTTGACTGTCAAGATACCGGGTGGCAAGCACACATGGATAAAACCGGTATACCACAGGGCTTAATAATAGTAACGCCGCGCCTATGGTTACAGGACAAGGAGAGCCCTTAATGCAACTGCAACTGCAAAGTTAAGGTGATGACATATACGACGTTTTAGCTTAACGGCGTGTACCTTGCGTATCTACAATATTACTCTCCGAACACCCCTACTCATAAATTTGATGTCTTTCCAGAGTGAAATTCCGCCGCGGGTAGCTGGTGATATGTCGGTACATTTTTGCCACCCTCCTGCACGCCTCGCTGAACAGGACGAACGACCTGATATATCAGATGTGGAGTACAACTATAATCAAACTCAAACTCAATATTCAGATGCATGAAATGTGCAGAGGTAGTCACGCAACATTGAGTATCTGAAAGAGTACAGTCCAAGTACGTATACTGCACCCCGCTGGAAGAGCTGCAGTTTGTCTCTCCTTACCATATTATGCCCCAGGCTTAGATAAGGCTGTCTGTAGGTACGACTACGCACGAGGCGACGCTGTGGTTTTCTCCACGTGTTCATTTCTTTCCGAGGTGTGCCGAACCGCCGATTCTCAACTGTGGTTTGCCCGGGAGTGTCTGTATTGATATCCTTTAGGTTCACTTTTCGTTTGGTAGGCTGCAATATGCTCTATGTTATCTTCCCGTGTCCCCACACGTGATAAATGACGCGTGGAACCTGTACCAATACGTAATTACAGCATTGAATGTGCGTGCTGATGCAAAACTGGGAACTGTGAAGGCAGCCGATCTCATCAACACGTCGAGTGTGGGGAGTCAAAGGACTGGTTTTATTGTTGTGGTCGGTTTGTGGGGTTTTTTGCTGTCCACAGGTCATACGACATACAATTACGTACAGTTGAGATGGATATCCAACATTGCAGAATCCATGTACGGCAGTGATGAATAGAGTTTAGGACAGGACATATAATTAAATCCTGTGACGATCCACAATGGCTCGGGGAGAGTTGAGCCCATGACGTAATGGGACAGTTACCCAAATCACTCTTAAAATTACTTGGGATTTATGTATGAAAGGCTGCATTCTTCTGTACAGTACTGTACCCAAGGAGAGGAGGAGAGGTGGACATGCTGTAAGACAATACCAGATGTGCGATTAATTTTAGGAATGCAGGTGACCAGTGCCGTAACCAAATCAGAGCGTTTTTCGTCTTTAGCGAATACTCCAACTTATTGGTACACGTAACAAAGTATCTCACGACTTGGGGGTCCGTTTGTACGTTCCTGGAAGCATGCATCTCAATCTGTGCTCTCATATTGTTGTGTCATCTGACTGCACAAAATGATTTCGTTGAGCTCTGGTCCAGGTCACGGACCAACAATGGCAATTCAATGAGTGCCAAAGTTGAAAACCATCCATTGGTGTCAATCGAAATCACAATTTTCGAATGCACTTGCAGATCAGCATTCTGTGATGTTGGTTTGTGAATACCAATTGAATGACAGGACAACATGAGGAGGTTGACAGGTCTACCAGGCTGATTAACAAAGGCGTACAGTTACGAGTCTCGGGGACCCCGGATTGGAAAGAGAATATAGCGCATATTAGTAGTGCGGGGTCTCCATTCCATAACTAATTATCGTCCCACAGTTTTCTTTGTTTCGGTATCTCCTTTTGGTGTTCAGGCTGGCGCGTGTTTCTGCCTTTATAAACAGGAGCAAACAGCAATAATAATATCTTTCCGGCGTGAACGCGTGTACAATTCCCCCCCCCACAGGAGTCTTAAATACGACTTTTTATACACAAAGACCGCTCTCTGTTGTGTATCGTACTCGTATACCCCCGACTGCCACACAACCCGGCCTGCTTCGAGGCATCATCACACAGGCACACATGACTATACGACAAGAGCCTCAGCAAGCGTGCGGCAGCCTCGAAAGAAGTATGTTTCGAAATCAACAGCTGTTGTTTAACTGACGACATCAGTTCCCGTCCTTCTGCACAACAGTTGCGACACTTCACGATTGCCCCTTGACTTGACCCCTTTCCCTTCCTGGAATTGCCACATTGAGGCACACATGGGTTTTCAAAGCAAATGAGACCCGAAGAATGTTTGGAGCGGAGGGGGGGCCTCAAAAGATAATATTGATTGGTCTTATACGGGGTACAGTGGAATATTATTTGCACTGTGCGTTGGGCTTTTACTCATCTCGGAACTCATTTTCGACTTTAATTCATTTTTACAGTTTTGGGGGGGTTGTTATTTTTGAAGGTGCAGCCTCTCTTGCTCTAAGGAGACTACTGGCTTTACTTGTTGGCAGCCTTCTGGGCTCCAATGAAGTTGATGGCAGAACCAGCCTTGAAGAAATCAACCTGGTCGGCAGACATGGTGTGTCGGGCTCGGAAGTCGTAGGTAGAGCCGTCAGACTTGGTAGCTCGCATCTGGACAAAGCCACCGTTGTCACCACCCTTCTCAAGCATGTCCAGGAGGTCCAGGGTCTCCAGAGTGTCGCAGGCCTGGATCTTGTCGTAGTCGGCCTCGTTCTCAAAGGTCAGAGGAAGCATACCCTGCTTCTTGAGGTTGGTCTCGTGAATTCGAGCGAAAGACTTGACTAGGATGGCCTGTCCACCGAGGAATCGGGGAGACAGAGCAGCATGCTCTCGGGCGGAACCCTCTCCGTAGTTGTGCTCAGCAACAACAATCCAGGGCTTGCCCTGCTCCTTCCACTTGATCATGAGGTCGGGGATAGACTGCTCGGAGCCGTCAGCGGCATCAATAGTGTGGTTGACCTTCTGGGTCTCCTTGTTAAGAGCACCAATCAGGGTGTTGTAGGAAATGTTCTCAAGATGGCCCTTGTACTTGAGCCAGGCACCAGCGGCCGAAATGTGGTCGGTGGTGCACTTGCCCTCAACCTTCATGAGTACCGAGAGCTTGAGCTCCTGGTTGTTAAAGGGCTCAAAAGGCTCAAGGAGCTGCAGTCGCTCGGAATCGGGGGAGACAGTCACGTTCACCTCGGGATGGGGCTGGGGGGCAGCCTCGGGGTAGAACTCGGGTCGGCCCTTGGCAAACTCCTCGGGCAGCTCGGTACCCTTAGGGGGCTGGAACTTGAATTCCTTGCCGTCCTTGGTGGTGATGGAGTCGGTCATGGGGTTGAAGTGAGCGTCTCCAGAGTAGATCATAGCGGTGACAATCTCGGGAGAGGTCAGGAAGTTCATGGTTTCGGGGTTACCATCGTTTCGGGCTCGGAAGTTTCGGTTGAAAGAGGTGAAGATGGAGTTGAACTCGCCGGGCTTGGTCTCGTCAGTTCGATCCCACTGACCGATACAGGGTCCACAGGCGTTGGCCAGAACCACCGCACCAGCAGACTCGAACACGTCTGTCAGACCGTCCTTCTTGATGGTGGCTCGAATCTGCTCGGATCCGGGGGTGATGAAGAAGGGAATCTTGGCCTCGAGACCGTTGTCTCGGGCCTGCTCAACCAGAGAGGCGACTCGGGTCATGTCCTCGTAGGAGGAGTTGGTGCATGATCCAATGAGACCGGCAGACACGGTATCGGGCCACTTCTCAGAGGTGACCTTGGTGGAGTACTTGGAGAGGGGGGTGGCCAGATCGGGAGTGAAGGGACCGTTGATACAGGGCTCGAGCTCGGACAGGTTGACCTCTACAACCTCGTCATACTGAGCACCCTCGTCAGCAGCCAAGAAGCCTCGGTCTCGAGCAGCAGCTGCTGCTGCGGCAATGGGAGCTCGTCCGGTGGCCTCCAAGTATCGTCGCATGGACTCCGTAAAGGGGAACGTAGAGGTGGTAGCACCGACCTCGGCACCCATGTTGCAAATTGTGGCCATACCGGTGCAGGACAGGGAGTCAACACCCTCGCCGTGGTACTCGATGATGTTTCCGGTTCCTCCTCGCACAGTCAGCTTGCCAGCCAGATGGGTAATAACATCCTTGGGAGAAGCCCAGCCGGACAGCTTTCCAGTCAGCTTGACTCCGAGAATCTTGGGGGCCTTCAGTTCCCAGGGAGTTCCGGTCAAAGCGTCGACAGCGTCGGCTCCTCCAACACCGATGGCAATGGCACCGAGACCACCAGCGTTGGGAGTGTGAGAGTCGGTTCCGAGCATCATGAGACCGGGAACAGAGAAGTTCTCCAGCACAATCTGGTGGATGATACCGGATCCGGGGCCCCAGAACTGGATGCCGTACTTCTCGGCACATTGCTGCAGGAAGTCGAACACCTCCTGGTTGGTAGCGATAGATCGGGTCAGATCATCATCGGCACCGTCTCGGCCAACAATCAGATGGTCACAGTGAATGGACGCAGGCACGGCGGTGGAAGGAAGACCACAGGTCATAAACTGCAACAGAGCCATCTGAGCAGAGGCATCCTGCATGGCCACTCGGTCGGGGTTGAGCTTGAGGTAAGTGTCACCTCGAGTGATGCTGGGAGTCTCCTCAGGGTTGTGAAGATGTGAATACAGAATTTTTTCAGCCAAGGTCAAATCATTTCGGTTGATAATCTTCTTGACCTGATCAAGACGGTTGATGAGCTCCGCGTAGGGAGGGGTTCGGGTCTTGAAGTCAGCGGGCACGCTGAGGCCGGAGGCGTTGGCGGTGGTGGCAAGACCACGAGCCTTGATGGCCGAGAATCGTGCCTGGCAAAATCGAGCACTTCTCAGCATTTTTCGGTTGTGTGGGGAAAATCTTTTAGTTGGTTTGTGTCAAAAAGGGTGAAACTTCGTGATCTGAAATATCACGGTGACTCATACTGATAAGGTTCGTGCACAACTGCACATTATCCAGCCAATCAAGAACACGCAAATGTAAGCCAGCCGGGCGTATGGACGGATGATAAAAGCGGAGACACCGTCCGTGTGCTTTGTTCATTGGGTAGAGTGGTATTTGACCCTTCCATGCCCCATATTACGCGCCTTCACGTGACTCTGACCCATGTGAATAGACCAACCCATTCATGCAACTTTATTCGGTTGGTACACACAGCGTCCACAATACCTGTAATCGTTATAGACCGGTGCAGATATCAAGTGCATGTGGATAACATGTTTTTAGTCGTCGTCATGTTAGCAACTAGTAGTTTTTGTTTTGTGTCTCTATCACGTCGCTTTGGACACATGTTCTGGGGTCCGCTGAAAAAGACTTCTCCGTGGAGCTGCCGATATCGCTGGGTGCATAGTTCCTGGGGTAGAAATGAAATGACGTAATCTTAACTTGGGAGGCACGCGTCTGGTCGATGGTGTATATATAACATCACGTACGAGTAGGCGACCTATATATATTGACCTGGAAGTTGCATCTTTGTTGTGTCATCTTGCGGAAGAAAACATGTGCACGATATTGTTGTCTGCGTGGTGACTATTATAACATCATGTTTGGGTGTGTATAGGGCAACGAAGAAAGACCGAGTGATCTGGGGTTAAATTGGCACTGTCTAGAGCAAAAAAACCACTGTATGCCGCGGGGACAGACAAATAGGTCCACACCATATCCTCTTCCCCCCCAAATATGTCGCACTAGCGGTTTATATTTTTTTACCTATTATTTCCGATTATTTCCAATATTCTGCGGTTATTCAAACAAATGTGCATCAATTTACTGTTTTTGGGTTGCACATATCAAGAGCTACAGTATGCACTTGTAGCCGCCACCTACTCACACAGTATGTACTGTACTTGCTACATGCACAGCAACACAAACCTTCACGTGACTACACACGGTAAAGGTTGTTAACCCTTGCTCAATGTGATATATACCCCCAATCTGGCAGAAATGGTCTCCTTGTAATGGAATACCTTCGTAGCCCTTCCCGGTACAGTACACTCAGACTTTTCGAGTAGTTTCCTCCATAGGTTGCACGGGACCAACTTGCATTTTGGGGCAGGTTGGCGCCGGACCAAAAATCGTGGCCCCAAAAGGTATGCAAAAGTCTCGGGAGCTACCAAAGCGACTGAAAGCACCAAGCAACCTCCGTTCAAACGAGGCAAAGATGTCCCCTGTAAAACGCACCATCTCTTCACCTCCATATCGACGTTCGATTTCGGGTGTACCATCATCTTGCATATCCAAAAGCTTAATGTATCTCGGACCAGCATTACACTTAACTTGCCACCATTGAGGAAGTCTTAACCAAAAGCTGCCACAACGACTAGAAATGGTATCTGAAGAAGAAAAAACCGAACGAATCGCGCAATTCGTGGGAATCACACAGTCCTCGCCCGAAGATGCACAGGATTGCTTGCTCCACACCGACTGGGACGTGGCTCAGGCTGTCGATCTGTTCTTGTCGGCTAACGACGACCCCGAGGAGAACGAGGAGGATGCTGAAAACGACGATGCCGAGGACATTGACGTCGAGGAGGACTCGGACGCATACGCCAACCCCTCGGGTCTGGCCCCCAGTGGAATTGCCGCCGGAATCCAGGGCTTCCTCAGTGGCCTAGCTGGCAGAGATGATCCTGCTGCTGCTGCCTCTGAGCCACAGGGAATCCTCAGCAACCCCCAGCCCTCTGGATACAGACTCGGAGACGGTACCGGGTCGTCAACTCCTGTCAGCGGAGCCAGCAGTAGCACCACTCCTGCTCCTTCTGCCCCTGCCCCTGCTCCTGCTCCTAGAAGGGGCGTGGCGGGTGTCAGAACTCTGGGAGATCTGTCGCGAGACAATGCGCCTCCCAAGCGACAGGACCTATTCACTGGAGGAGAAAAGTCGGCTCTGGCTGTCCAGAACCCCAACAGACCTGGCCAGCCGGGCAACCAGGGAGGCAACCCTCTGGTTAATGATATCATTCGACGAGCTGAGGCCAACCCAGCAAGACCTCGAGGTGAGAACGACGATGAGTCAGAGGATGAGGAACAGGTGGGAAGCTTCCACGGAACAGGGTTCACTCTGGGCTCCGACGAGGTCCAAAGCCGACCCGTGGAGTCTGCTCTCCCCACCTCTCTCCCCAAGGTCTCTCGATCAATCACCTTCTGGCAGAACGGTTTCACAGTCGAGGATGGTCCTCTGTACAGATACGACGACCCCCGAAACCAGCGGTACCTTGAGACCCTCAACCAAGGACGAGCTCCTCTGGCTCTCCTGGATGTCCAACATAACCAGGCCGTTGATATTAACGTGACGGACCGAAGTGAAGAGGCATACGTGGAGAAGAAGCCTGTCTACGGAGGTTCTGGTAATCGTCTCGGATCTCCTGTTCCTGGGGAGCCTACCCCCTCCTCCTCCGCCACTCCGCCACCCTCCGCCCCTACTCCTGCTGCTACCTCATCTGGTCCTTCAAACTCCTCATCTGGAGCAGGAGGAAGCCGAATTCAGATTCGACTTGGCGACGGAACTCGTCTTACTCCCTCCTTCTCCCCCGATCTCACTGTCCAGTCCCTCTACGATTTTGTTGATGAACACAACCCCTCTGGTCGAGAATACGTTCTCCAGACCACATTCCCCAATAAGGAACTTAGAGACAAGAGCTTGACTCTGAAGGATGCTAAGGTTATTGGTGCTGCTATTGTTCAGCGATACGAGTAGTCACAATACAGAGTAACGATAATGACATGAACAATGTACAAGTACATATACCGTAGCTTGATAGAAAGAAGTCGTACAGTTGTAACGACAATGGTAGCTAGGCAAAGTACACTAAGAGTGTAGAATGTCATCAGCCCGCAGAGACTATTTTGCATGCTCTTCATTCATTCGTTACCAACAATGATGATCTATTCCCTTACGTAATACAAAGTTCGAACGCTCGAAACTCCATCATGTGAAAGACGAGCATTAAAAAGCAGCTTGGTATTGTATAGAATGACAACACATATTATTAAATTATGCAGCTAATAGTGAAATAAGCAATTTTTAATTTTTTAATTAAAAACATTGTTTATCATACTCATGATAATCATTTCGGTGCGGGTTTGGTGCAGGTTTCGGTGCGGGTTTATTTAGTTCGAAACTGCCAATATCGTTGTCGTTTTGTCTTTTTCTTGTCACCGTCACGTGGTAGTGAGTCAGGACTAGTAAAACAATCAATCATATCAATCGTCTCATGTTTTATCCAGACTCGAGGTTGGTTTAGTTTGTTCTCGTAAGGATCGTAGAAGGCGTTATTAGCATAGGAGTCATTAGGAAGATTCGTGTGTATCTTGATTGAATTGCTGCGGCATCGGGGAGTGGAAATAGGAGTATCGAGGTGTATGGTTGTGTTTTTTTTACTAATGATTCATTACAGCTATATACCTACTTGTACTAAGCCGGGTTATTGGCGTTCAATAAATCATACACTTCTGAATCATTGCGGTGTGCGCTGCGAGGTGCTGTCAGTTGGTTTGTCGACGCTTCGTCTAGTTCATGTCATTGTCGTGGTCTCGTGGTAGTGAATCATGGCTAACAGATCAAGAAATCATATCAATCGTTCCATGTCTTATCCAGACTCGAGGTTGGTTTAGTTTGTTCCCATAAAAGATCGTAAACGGTGTAATTTGGTTTTTTTTTTTTATTCTAAAGATTCATGGTTTTTTTTTGTTGTTTCAGATACTGGTAAACATTGTATTTTTTTAACTAAGAATCTGGCGGATTTAGCTCAGTTGGGAGAGCGCCAGACTGAAGTCATTCTTCAGTCAGAGTAATCTGGAGGTCCTGTGTTCGATCCACAGAATTCGCAATTGTTTTTGGGGAATACCAATTGTTTTTGGTACCAGCTTCTACCCGTGCACACATATCAATTTTTTTCCATCAGTGATGGAGATAGCACTTTAATCCCGAAAGGGACTTCATAAATCGACTTGTACACACTTACAGATCTAATTTGCTTCCCTCACAGACATCTACAGTTACGAATACGAAGTTTGGGTGGGACTCTATGGTCCAGAATATCTTAACCAGAGGTTCAGAGCACTAATTAAATCCTCTCTTTCTATAAACTAACAGGTTCAATTAAGTCTACATCCACAATTCGAGGCACGAATGACTGCATACATGCGAATCTTGGATCATGAAGATCAACTTCCGACTGCCCTTTGTGCTCGTGGGGCGGCTATGGCCTCTCTTCGGGGCTCTGGCTCTCAGGACCAGGATTTCTCTACTCTTATTGGCTCTGGATAGTTCCAGTACTGGCTCTCCTTAGCATCACATTTAGCTCTTACTGGCTCATGGCACTCACTGGATGCACTGTACGTCTCAGTCGCTTCAACGCGGCATGCTCTGGTGGCTGGTGGTATTCAACCATTGTTCAGCTCCAGGCGGCTTTTCAGCGTTGTCTTATTGTTGTTTGTCGGCATTTGTCGGTGGGCGGCAATTGTCGGTGGGCGGCATTTGTCAGTCGGCTGCTCTAGTTCTGGCTCGTTGCGGCTCGGACTAGCTCTGCTCTGGCGGTTTGGTTGGTTGGGCGCGAACGCTTTGCACAATAGCGGTCTTCGCAGACGCTTATGCTCAGGCGGAGCAAGCTGGATCAGGATCGGATCGTGTGTCAATTGTTCTCTTAACTGTGATTCCTGGTGTGCCGATACCAAGTCAACAGCCGGTGGGGGAGACATATGACTGTTTAGACGACAGTCCATCCCTCCAAAGCATTGTTACCTATGCAGAGCTTGCACCCTAGGGAGCTACCCTTCGGAGAATTCATGGACAATATTTCGTGTCCATCACAGCTTCATAGCCACGGAGATAGAATTCATGAGGGACTTGCTAAGCCTCCAACTCGTCTTCACCCTGCCTTACCATAGTACATGTACCGAAGGGCTTCCTTTCACTCGGCAGCTTCGTAGCTCGCGGGCAGCTTCACGTCTTAGTTACTCGCTCATGCGTTCTTCACACGGTTTTAATCAGTCTCAACAATTGCGTCGTAGAGGGAGCCTGAAACTCTCACTCAACAACTTCTGGAATACTGAATTGCAACAGGACTCGTAGAGAAGACCCCAAAGTGTTGATCATACTGGGAATGCGAACTTTGCTCGTCATAGCTCCATCCCGTAGATGCGTTAAGAGAGGTGTGCTGACTCCAACTCGACAACAAGAACAGCTCGAGTTGAGTCCTGGTAGGAGTGAAGTGAGTGTCCGCTTGTGCAAGACAGGACTACTTCCTTGCTTTTGCTCAGCAGTGTCAGCGTCTCTCGAAGTGACCGTATCTTCTGCAACAGCTGAGAGACTCGTCAACATTAACAGCTCAATACTGATGAAAAAGCCATTAGGAGCCCTCCAAATCAATATATAGAATAGAACACAAATGCAGAATTTTAGGAAAGCTCAAGTAGATATCGGAAATGCTACAGTAACCACTCATGGGAATTCTTGTGCTCCAATAACTAACCCAATCTAGATGTTCAATCATCAAGGTGCCGTTTTTCTTCTGTTTCATAATAATTCCAATCCAAAAGACGCCTGTCACATGTACACGACTTTACGACTTTTCTCTAACGATGACATACAGGCTTGCTCCAAAAGAGTTGCCACTGTGCGCGATAGGAACAGATGATGTCTCGCTACTTCCATAAGGTTTTTATGTTCCGTTTTTGATTCATGATCACGTGACAAACGATAACGATAGTCTATTTCAAATTTATTAAAAATTTGAATTCTTCCGATATAGTGTAGGGGTTATCACTTCCGCCTTTCACGCGGAGAACCCGGGTTCGATTCCCGGTATCGGAGTAATTTTTTTTATTTTTTTGCTCTTCTGGGAATGTGTTGAGGGCGCAAGTCCGATGCGAAGTACGGTGACACGATAATCGGTTTGGTTGCTTTATTTTTCCACGGTTTCGAGCTTCGGTAATAAGTATTTTCATGGTGCAACAGACAGCTACGAGAACAGGGTCTAGTTTAGCAGCATTTATTATTATTTATGGTCATCTGACGCGCTTCAAAACTGCACGACGATCTAAGCGAATGACGTCATGTTAAGAACAAGTGGGTATCATACCGGTATTGTACGAGTATTTGTATGGAATCAATGCTGTGAAAGCAGGTGAGTCCAACAGCTTCAGCCAGCAATTCTACCCTACCAGAAACGTTCAACGCGAAGAAAGGACAGGAGGGTGAATGTCGGTCTAAATTTTCCAAATAGTGGGATAGCATAGCTCCACAGTCAGGTTAAAATCGCCACTAGAGATCGTCCAAAAATCCGAGGAGTGAGAGATTCTGGACTAAGCTGCTATGCTACTGCAAGCGGCAAAAATGACGTAATTAGTGGAGACGCATTCGCTTGCTGATACTGAAGGACACAACAAGGGGATCATCATTTGCGGGCAGGCGGGGGACGCTACAAGAGGTGTCTCAGAGAACAAGATAAGCGTGCTATTCCTGGAATTTGACCCCTGTCGCCATCGGAATACAAAGGTCGATATTAAATAAACAACTGTTGAACGTCTAACCCACAAAGAGTTAAAAACTCACAGGTTTTACAGTGTGGTGCTATGAACCACTGGCAGGAGTAGACAGTATGTAGCTACTGTACAAGCGTATCTCGCAAAAGCACTTCACGCACGCAGGCTCTAGAAGCAAAGATGCTGTCGCGTGAGGGGGTTGCGTGTGGACCGATTAACGGGGTCGCGGTGGTGATGTGTGCTGTGTTCTCTGAGATGAAACACTCGGTGTGACTTCGAAGACTTTGTCGATGCTACAATGAGATTATCGCACTTTATTATTTTGACATGTGCTTACAGTAGTTGACGATGAGAGATTCGAGGTTATAGACATTGTGTTCAATCAATATGGACCTCATTCGATATTTTATTACTACTGGCAATCGTACCGTACAAGGCCGTAAGCTCCAGCGCTTAGCTGACTTGATACAAAGAGCGGAGCGATATAAGTAGCCAAGGTGCTGCTTCCTTTTATTGGAAGGGCATGAGCTTCCCTTCAACTTACAGCAACATCGTTTCTAAAAGCACAATGACATGGGGCCCAGCAGATGACTCAATGGCTATTCGGTTCATACTTAGCAACAGAGTCCAGTATGATCTGCCAGAAATTGTTCGTGATGCACAGATGCGGTTCCGCAACATAGATCCAAAAGTTGTGGAGAACAGATTCACCTGGTGGTACTATTATTACTATGGAGAGGATCAAAAAGCAGTTGAAAAAGACCTTGAGGAGATCCTGGTGCAGCCGCGGATGGAAGCATGAGCACGGCACGTTTGACTTTCTAAACAGCTGGTTTATAGGGTAATTTTTTTGAGTATTACTTAACTAGGTAGTTGACGTACATCAGAGAGTTTGATTGATGGGCAAAATGAGAGAGAGAGAGAGAGAGAGAGAGAAGTGGTCATATAGCCCACACTTACACATGCAGGTTTTCATTTGAATTGGCTGCCTTATGGTCTGGCCGGCCGCGCTATTCAACATGTGAGTCTCAGGAGGTTCATGCACATATCAGCATGTCTCAGTCGCAGGGGTGTTAGGGCAATAGTTACCGGGCGGGAGGAGTTTCACTTTCAAGCCAGATCTTTTACCTTATTGAATGCCTAAACCTGTAGCGAGCAAGCAAAAGAAGGTAGATTAGCACGGACCAATTTGGATGGCTGAGTTTAGCCGTATCCAACCGAAAGCCGAGGTCCCCTTCTCGGAGAGTGTCGGAGCCGGCCCGGACATGACGGCACTGACATGACATGTAGGCCTTCCTGTCGGGCACGCGTAGTATTGCGCAATGGCGTTTTCAGGGGTAGTGGCGTTACATGCGCACAGGCAGCAGCGTATCATCTGTTTGACGAGCCGCCAAAAAACATGCATGTTTCAAGTCTTTGTACGACGCATGCAAAATTAAGACACCATACCATCTCTCGTGGTGGAGACGAAGGGAGGGGTTGGATGGATGGTGGAGCGAGCTGGCCGGGCCACGGTATGCGCAAAAAATGCAGGAACACATTGCATAATTTAATGAAAATGGAGTCAGGGGACCACTATGGGCGCTTTGGACCCACACTACCAAGCCCAAGCGGCGCCAAATCCGGTGGCAAATCCTCGTCTGATACGCCTGCTCCACTTGAACCGACCCGGAATGCATTAAGTTCGGTTGGGCTGGCTGAGCCATGAGCTAACTCTTGAGCGATGAGGAGTCAGCGGCATTAAGAGGGCAGAAGGATTGGCGGCGACGATCACCGTCGGGAAGGCACCACATCGAGTTTGACGCGCCACCGTCCACAACCCGACAGCCCCAATAGCAACCCATCGCAACGTATCGTCCGATTTTCAGGTACGGACTAGACGTAGCTGCTGCTGGCACATGTAGTTGGGCAGCAAGAACAAAGAGGCAATAATCGCATTGGGAAAATTAAAACCAAAGCAAAAGCACAAATAAACTTCAGCCTGCTTCGTACAGGTACCAAGTCTGCATACTCTGGTGACAAACCTGTGGGGTACACTCCAAGATATATAAACAACCATGCGCTGCTGTGCAACAGGCTCCCCCCAGTCGTCCTTCACCGACCCGAACATTCAAAGTGCTACACTCTCAAAAACCCACATTCACTCACCATGTGCCGGTCGCGTACACGGCCATGGACGATGAGACGACCTATGACGACCTGATCAACCAATACATTAAAAAGTACCGCTTCACGACATATATTCCCGACATTGTGACCATGTTGGAGCCACTCATTCCGTGGGATCGTCTCGCCATCCACGCACGAACAGTCAACCTCATGAGAGTGGAGATGGCCACAAACCCCAAGAAGGGCTGGTAGACGGCAGGCCGTCTACAAGGACCTCACTACGAACAAACATAACACAATGTGTTATCTTACCTTTAGCACTGGATGGCTATCCCACACCCTTTCGGGAACAATCTAAAAGGTCGCTCTGAACGAAACCAAACGGGAGTTTGTGGGAGATATTTTGAGGTTTTAATTTAACGGCGATCATGGCGCCACCTCAAAACAAGTGTTAATCCCGAAGATATACCGGAGCAGCCCAGCTGTATACATCTTCATTTGACTCCAACTGGCCAGGGGTCTTTATTTATTAATTATATCAGATTATAGTTATTGAGTGTTGTGTGTATTTTTACTGGTAACTGTACAGTAATTTTATGTACATTCCTGTCCTTCAACTGAGGGACAGAAGTAAACAATGTCCGGCACCCCACAGACCACAGATATACGGGATAAAACATAAGGCGACAGTTACTTGCAGTGCGCATATGCACGATCACCCAACTTCGTGGTGCCATAATAATAATCTACGACAAAAGGGGAAAACAAATTACTGTATGGTGTTTTGTTTGTATTGTTTATCGTATTACACACGGAAATAAATAATGCTATGCACGAGCTACTTGTAGTATCGTAGTTTGGTCGACGCTCTACTCAAAATCGTTCATCTCCTGTCGGTAAGAGGTCTCAAATGCAGATTGCTGGAAGGTAGAGTGCTTCTCAGAAAGACTCTTGGCTAGGAGAGAGGTAGTAGGGCCGACGGAAGGCTGGGGCTTAGGCAGTTCCTTCTTTTCAAGAGGAACGGGGGGAGCCAGAGGCCGGTTTCCGAAGATGTTGGAGAGGAAAGAAGTGCCTGTAGAAGGAAGGGTTCGAGGAACAGATTCCTTGGGAACCGTGACAATGTAGTCCGAAGCGCTCTTCACGGCGGGCTGTGTGGTTCGAAGAGCAGCCTCCTGGTTCTGCTTCATGACCCACTCCTGCATGTCCTGGTAACCAGAAGCGGTTTTGACCATCATTCGGTTGTTGATCATCTGGACGTCAAGATGCGAGGGTGCAGGTGAAGAATTGGGCATTGGGGCAATATGCGAAGTCTGAAGAGGAGATGCCGCCACCAGAGGTGAAGAGTGTGTGGGGTTGAGCTTGGAGAATGACTTGGAAGAAGAGAGCGACTTGGAGGAGATGGAAGAGGTCATGGACTGTGGGGACGACATTCCAACGCCGTCCAGCTCTCGTCGCTGTCGCTGCTGCTTCACGTATTCCATGTCAAATGCATGCAGGAGGTTAGGAAGCTCGTCACTGACAGTGGAGGATGCTTTCGATGTAGAAGAGAATAGGGAGTTAACCGAGTTGCTCATAGACGAGAAAGATTCCGTCTGTGTGTGAGTGGGAGAGTCCATGTAATCGAAGGGGTCCGAGGCCTCTCGCTTGGGAGTTGAAGGAGTGGGGAATCTCGAAGTAGAGGACTTCTTTCGAGGAGAGGATTTTTTGGGAGTGGAGGCGGCGTACTGCTTGTACATGTCCTCGAGGTCCTTGACAACCTGCAGCAGATCTTGTCTGTTGTCGCTATCAGTGTCCAGCTCGGAGAGCAGTTGCTTGACGAACGATCTGTAGGCCACAAGCAGAGGGTTTATTTCGTCCTCCTCTTCTCCCTGGTTCTCGAGCTCCTTGCTGAGCTTCTCTGTGAGCTCGTAGTTGATCTTAATGAGGGTGGCACGTGACATTGCCAGATCCAGCTGTTCCTCCAGTTCCGAGTATCGTGAAAGGATTCTGAGCACAAGTGTGATGAGTACCGAAGAGGCGTCCGAGGTAAAGCTTCCGTTGGTAAGAAGCTTGCCTGTAACATTCTGGAGGTGTTTAATGTCCCATTGCTGCATCTGGGTCTTCATTTGGCCGCACTGCTTGTGGACCTTGTTGGCAATGTTGATGTTGAATGCTGTTTTGGTGCCTCCCTCGGAGGTGGGCTTTTGTGGTCGTTTTCGGATTCGATCGAGCCACGAAGACTTCCCCGTGACATGTTCCAGGTCGCAATGTCGCAGCAACTGGAACGGCCAGCTTTGTGTTTCTTTGAGATTGGCGTTAATGGTGTGCAGAATTCGGAATGCCATGGTGCACTCATGGGCGTCTCGAGCTGAGAAGGGCTTCACAATCACGGCGAACTGCGCAAAGGTGAGTTGCTGGTCGTCCTGTAGTTGCGAAAGGAGCTCATCGGCGCTCAACGCCTGCTTGCTTCGCTTAAACCATTGCATGGCGGAAAAAAAGAGGTGTGTCTAAGTGTGTGTCTTGTGAGTGTGAAATGTCTGGGTGACCTGTCTTGCTTGCGGCTTGTGGTATCTGTTTGTCTAGGTCCCGTGTTATGTCAGTGTCAAGTCTGTGTGTGATGCCTGACGTCGGATGCTGCGTGTTGGTTAGTGTCGTTGTGTTTCTTGTTGGTGCGGTGTAGCAATGATTGTGAGTCGTAGCTACCAGTGTCGAACGATGCAAAATATTTATCTTTACAAGTGGCCGCCGTGAACCATTTAGCAAAGAGAAGTAAGTGGTCAGACTTTTAGCGACCTTAAAATTCGAGACGGTGCAAAGCGTAAACAAAGACTTTTGTGGTGGGGAGAGTATGAAGGCAACGCATTGTTTCAGCCCCAGACACGGGCTGAAACTGGATGCAAAATAGACCCGTAACTGCCCAGGATCCCCCAATGGTGCACGGTACATTCTTGCGTAAAAAAATACTGTCCTAATCCAGTCAGAAATCCATATTTTTGCCAACATTCCCCATTCCTCCCTTTGCGCTTTAGCTCTAATGTAATGTATGCTGAAGCAAAACCTCAAGTGTATTTGAGCTTGACCACCACTTTGAAAATGGGAGCTGCACCAGATGGTGTGACCCTATATTAACTAAAACTTACAGTACATACAGTACAGCCCTGGACAGTAGTGTGTTTGGTCCGAGTATTTAGCAGATTTAGCAGATACAGGAAACACAAACACCCCCGATTAAAGCGCAATCTTAGCGCCAATTGTTGATGACACCATAATAACGCAACGCACCGGACCGGACATAATATTGTCCCCTCAACTGACATTCTCTTTGTGGACATCCCAGCCTCTTGTCTCACCTCACAGTGTCAAAACCAGCGTTTTCAGCTTTAGGGCTGGATGCATCGCTTTTTGACGCGTGATGCAGCCTCGAGGCAAAGAGGCGTGGGGCCATGTCTCCAAGGATAAACTTGGACAGGTGAAATTCCGAGGTTCGAGAAACTGGAATTGCTTCTGTGCAGGTCCCCAATACCGGAAGAATATCGTGAGGTTCCGCATAGAAAGATGCACACAACAGGGCCGGACCATCTGATGTAACGCCCATGCTGTACATGCTGTATGGGCACCAACTGGAGAGACAAGCAACGCAGATCGCGAGAAAAGCAAACGAAAATGGGCGATTTGGAGGTTTTGATATGATGCAAAATACACGGAATATCCCAGCTCAATGTTATCGCACTCTTCTCAACCCCATGTTTGTACAGTAGTACTTGTATGGCTACATTTGGACATGTCCATCCCACCAGCAACACATTGGGAGTCTGTTTTGATGTATACAGCATATGCATTATTGTATGTACGGTACGAGTACGAGCCTGGTCTGAGAACATATCAGTTGATATATACAATTAATTAGTACTTGTACCCAACAGCGGATAGATCAAGTTATTAAGACCCAATATTAAATGGGGCTAGATCCAGATGTGACGTCATATATTATCTAAAAGAAGTCATAATCTGATTACATAATCCCAATGATGCACCTGTTCTCGTATAATATGACGATAACTTTTGGATTGCATCGAATAAGGAGTAGCATATGATTGTCGTTTCTTACCGCATCATCGCGTTGTCACCGGCTGTTTCTTGCCCTTGACCTTTCTCTTCGTAATGTCATACATGCATTAACGAGCATAGGCTGGTTCAAAACTCAATCATGAGCTTGAGACTTCTCAGACTGTCACGAGTGTCAAACGTGGTCAGAAGAAGCTACACAACGTCACGAAATCACCCAATGTTCATCGACATCGCCGTCAACCTGTCTGATCCCCAATTCCAGGGTATCTACCATGGCAAACAGGGCCATGAAAGCGACTTCAATGCTGTGCTCGAGCGAGCTAAGGAGCAGAAGCTCACAAAGATCCTAGTCACGGGCACAGATCTTTCCGAAACCAAGGAGTCGGTCAAGATCTGCAATGACTTCCACTGTGACTATCTGGAGCTCTACTGCACTGGTGGAATCCATCCTTGTTCAGCCCTAGCAGAATACAACGCCCAAACCGGAGGAAAGCAGAAGGCTACGGAAGCTGAGGGAGACTACGATATCAACGCTATCGGCTCACGAATCCAGGATCTGCTGGAGGTGGCCAGATCGAACCCCAAGACTCTGCTTGCACTTGGGGAATTTGGACTGGACTATGACCGACTGCATTTCAGCCCCGAGAAGATCCAGAAGCTGTTTTTTGAGCAGCAGTTGAAACTCTTTGCCGAGTCAGGACTCGACCTTCCTCTGTTCCTGCACTCCAGAGCAGCCCACAAGGATTTCTGCGACATGCTGTATCCCTATTTGAAGGCTGGCAAGTTTCCCAGAGGAGGCGTGGTCCACTCTTTCACTGGTACCCTCGACGAGCTCCAGGATCACGTCAAGATGGGCCTTTACATCGGTATCAACGGCTGCTCACTCAAGACCAAGGAGAACTTGGACGTGGCCAAGGAGATCCCCCTGGAGTTGCTGTTGCTTGAAACTGATGCCCCATGGTGCGAGATCCGACCTTCGCACGAATCACACAAACTGCTCCAAGGGCACAAGCTACCCTATGAGTCGAAAAAGAAGGAGAAATTCGTGGAGAACAGCATGATTAAGGGCCGGTGTGAGCCTGCCAACATTGTGCTGGTAGCCAAGGTTATGGCCGAGTTGAAGGGCGTTCCTCTGGAGGAGCTCACCAAGGTAGTTTACGAGAACTCGCTCAAGTTCCTCAACCTCGAAAAGTAAATAGAACATACACACCAACGCACACATAGATACACAAATATAATATAGAAAACATCACTAAACAATTGTATCATGTACATCATTAAATAATCACTGCTCCTCGGTGATTCTGTCACCGCCGACCTCGACATCCTCCTCGACCAGATCTCCACTCTCCACAAGTTGTCCAACGTCCTCGGGAGCAAATCCCACTTTGGCAAGCAGCTCGGCAGCATTCTCAGCCTTGAGCACAACCATGCCGTTCTCGTCTGTGATGGTGGCACCGGAAGAAAGCAACTGCTGAAGAGCCAGCGATGCCGAGTTAGCCTGCTGGGCCTGGGCATTCTGCTGCAACTGCTGGGCAGTCACCTCTCGCTCCTCTCCGGCAACTCGCTCCACTGCCTCTCGGCTAGCGGCAGGACCCTCGCCGTTCTTCACTCGCTCGGCAACCATGTTGTACCACTCCTCCTCGGTCTTACCCTGCAACAGGGCCACAACCATGACGGTCATGTTGTCACAACCAACACCACTAAGGTCAGAGGTGGGGGCCAGACAGTTGTCAATCAGGTTTTCGCAAATGTCCACAAGGGTCTGCTTCTCGGCAATACCTCGTCGCACAAACTCCACAACCTCCTGCGACAGGAAGCAGTCCCAGATACCGTCACAGGCGAGAATCAGGAACTCGTCGTCGGCAGTCAGCTGATGCTCAATCACGTCGGGATAGGCAGTGACAATCTGCTCCTCGGGAGGAAAGTACGGTGACCGCTTGAAATCAAAGTCACCAATGGCTCGCGACAGAGCAAGGTTTCCGTTGACTCGTCCAGCCTCCACAAATCCTCCTGCGGCACAGATTCGCGTTCGCTCACCCTCGTGTTGGGGCTTGTGGTCAAAGGACATGGGCTTGGCAATACCCTTGACACCGAGCACGGTTCGGGAGTCTCCGGCGTTGGCACAGATGACCTTGCCGTCGGAAACAATGGCGGTGGTGGCGGTGCATCCAGATGAGTCGTGCTTGAGGGCGGCGTCCTCGAGAATGGCTCGGTCTGTGCTGAGGAAACCGTCCTTGAGTGCCTGACCGTAATCTCCCTTGGCAAAGGCCTCCTGCCGTGCGACAATGTGGTGCAGGTTGTCGCCGGTGTAGATGGCAACCTTATCACCTCCGTGTCCGTCGTAGACACCGAAGAAGGCCACCTTTTTCTTCTCGGGCTGTCCCTTGGCGTCCTTGAGCTCCAGCACGGTGGCGTGGGCGTCCTCCATGGTTACTCGCCAGCCCTGCATAGAGGACAGGCCGTAGACGAGATCGGAGTCTCCTCCTTTTTCAGAGTACTGCGTTAGTTGTTGTTTAGGGGAGATGTCGCCTCATTCAATGTTCGCCGTCGCTTGTTCCCGTGTCAGTCATCGCGTTGGGTGCTCAACGTTGCTACCCAGGAAAACGGGCATCAACACACTCAAGTAGTGCAATTGGACATGGTCGGGCGGGGTCCAAACAGCTGATACTCACTTTATCCGTCACAGGCGTAGACAAAATCTGTCCCATTATGTGATTCTGGAAGTTGTATTACCGTGTTTTGATGGGGGATGAAAATGTGTGTTTGTTGATACCAGAGAGATAAATCAATGTGAGTATCAAAAAATCAAAACCAGAAAGTGGCGCAAAAAATAGGGGTGTCGAAAAGAAGCTGAGGGGGGCAAAAAGGCAAGGATGTCTTTTTCTCTGTCGAAGGTTCTTTTTTTTTCTCTGTATCGTACTGATTTGCGAGGCGAGCCAGATGATGTTGACACTTGTTTCTGTTGTAGAGTCTTCTGTGGTGTGGTGTGTGGTAACTGTCGTGTCAGCAGGCTTTGCATTTAGCCTTCGCCTCTATTCCCTTTTCCAGGTTTCCAGAAACCCAATTGGCGACTCAAGTGACCGTCGTCGGTGCTAGCCCCAACCGCAGAACAGCAGTCGACGAGCTGCCTGGCGGCGGAATCCGCCTCTACTACTCACCAATGCCCGATTTCCACCTCTGATCTTGCCTAGGACCCCGCCGGGTTTGCGCCACACCATGCATCCGCGGTGTAATGAGGGGTATTAGTTAACCTTGTCACGTGAGCCGGTTTCCCCTGCTACTGTTTTTTTTTTTTTTGAAGTTTTTTACAGCACAAGTAGGGCCTTCAACAGGGAGATCCTCCTCACTGGTCTTGTTTTTATTTCTGTTTTCTGTCGACCAACCAATAGACACGAACAAACAAACAAACGGCGGAAAAAGCAAAGTCACCTAATACGGCACACGCCGACAATTCTGCTTATCGCACTCACCTCGTGGACCACACAAGCATGCTATGGCATCACGTGCTCTGATGGGGTTCTTTTTCTTTGTGTTGTTCGCCTATATTTTGTGAGACCCTTCCCGATCTCGGCTCGGAGATAATCGGATATATCCGGAACGCTGTGAAACGCGAGGTACCAAAAAGAACGCGAACCACCAGTAGACCTGTCTCTAAAGGAGGTTTTGTTTTCGACACCAAATTTAACCCTCACAAGACACCCCGCCAGTACGATGACGCGCGCGCCTCTTCGTATTCCTCGTATAGCCGCTCCGCACTGTTTATGTCCCTCCACCCTGTGACTTCCTCTTGTGGAGTCACCTCGCATCTTGTACGCATTTCCAGGGCAGTCTTTCCTCTTCGGACATGCCGAGAGCCGAACACCACTGTTAAGCGATCGTCGAAGACGTCCATGATAACACTTTGACGAGGCGGGTGACGATGTCTTGAGAATCGAAACCACAGCGAGATAAAAGTATTTTGGCGAGGAAAAGAGCTGATACAGTTGCCGCTCCATAGAGACAAATAAATAATATATTACTACAAGTTTGGGAAGGATCTCATCGTAAGGGCGCTGTTGGGGCTCATACAAAAACGATCAACATGTCCTTCCCTTTATGATTATACTAAACAAGCCCCGGAAACAGTGCTCAATCGCAGCGTTCATGACGCCTGGAATACAGCCTGCGACGCACGCGATTTTTGGGGGCACGTGATTTGGGGGCACGTGACATGGAAATTGCGCCCTGCGGCTCGGCTTCAGGAAGATCAGTAGAAGGCGTTGAAGAACAGTGGGAAGCTGGTTTCAAACTCCAGAATTGTATCTGTTAACGCTTCTTCTTATCACCCTTTCGTCCCTTGGAGCATGAAGGACAGAACCAGACTCCCTGGGGAGGCTCTGCCAGACCCACACAGTCGTAATGGAACCATTCGTACTGACAGTCATCGTTATCACAAGCAACCATTTCTCCGAATGACGGCTGCTGACAGAAACAGTAGAGCACCTCGTCATCTTCCCCAGGTCCGGCTCGAATAGCAGCATCCAGAGATCCCACCGCCACCGTCTCAGGCATGTTTCGGAGCTGCTCAGAGGCACCCACAGACGACTCCTTGCTCATAGATGCAGCCTCGTTATTCTTGTCAGTCGCTCGCTTCTTTGGCGGTCGTGTTCCAGGAGTAGAAGACCGACTGGCCGCTGGAGAACCGCCTCTTCGACTGTTGGCTCTGTCTCTTGTGTAGTTTCGGGATGGGGGTTCCGGTGCAGGAGTGGCTGATGACGTGGCACGCGATCTGTTGGCTGAAATAGGTTTCTGTGGTGGCGCGCCACCCAACAGACCCTCGGCATCCAGCTTGTCGATGTCGTCATTCAGTTTCTTGACGTGTTTTGCCACTAGGGTCAGCGCCTGTGCTGCCAGAGTGCATTTCTCGTCCTGAAGCTCCATGGCGGTCTGGAAGTCCTGGCGTATTTTGGGGTATGCCGCCTGCTCCTTTGGGTTTTCTGCCAGGGAGCCATTTGCTCTGATGAATTTGTGAATCTGGTTGTCGCGTTGTTGGATGCGCTTGCGGGTCTCATAGAACTTGAGATCCTTGTCTCGGACCTCTTCGAGGATGTGTGCGACCTCGGACGGCAGGTTCGCCAGGTCCTGGACGTATTGGTCGAGTACCGACGCTGCGTCCATTGTTGGGTGATGGCAGAGTAGTGGATGGGTTGATTAAAGTGGTGTAAATAAATGTTTGGTGTGACACAACCAGAGTGCATATTTTATGCAGCTGTCCCAACTAGAAAACCAAGAGTTTTAGTTGGACTTTTTGTCTTTTTAGAGGAGAAAATGACATCTACAAGATACAAATCTGAAGAAAAAAAAAAAAAGGAGAAGAGCTGATGTGGCAAGGTCGAACGAGAGGTGAATACAGCCCAATAACGATTACATGACCACAATGAACAACCACTGGGTAACCCAAGGGTTTTTTTCCGGGCAACAGTACATACTGTTACCAGACTACCCAATAGTAGTTCATAACACACTTGTACTGACGATACTATTGCAAATTCCCCAATACTACAATGCTACATCAACACAATTTCAGTGCACCCAGTGACCACGCTTGCATAACCCCACATCTGCAATGAAAAGACAGAGCAGTAGACATCATGGAGAATCTCACCAACAGCTCACACACACAACAAAGTCCCCCCCACGGAGCCCCCACTAGCGCCACTAACGCCTCTACCTTAGCTCTCCACTAACAGTGTATAGCCGCAGTCCCCTTACCAGTAGCTTAGTGATTCATACCATAACCCTATTTGAAATTTGTGTGTATGAAACTTTCCTCGACATAGAGTCATCCGGTACCAGTAAAACGTGCGTTGTAACACCGACAGCTCAACGGCTTCACTTACTCCACAATGATCCAACTCAGACCCACTCTAGAGGCTCTTCAGACCATCGTGGCCGACAACCGAGCCGCCGCCACCAAGGAGACTCTTCCCGACAACCTCTATCCCGTTTTCGCCTATGTGGATGCTGAGGCCCTGACTCCTCATACTGCCTACCTCAAGTTGGCTCGTCTGGATGACCCCAACCGAAGTCCCTCGTTCCTGTTCGAGTCTGCCCTCGGTGGTAAGCATCTGTCCCGATACTCTTTCATTGGATCTAATCCCCGGAAGATGATCAAGACTGGTGCTCCCCATGGACCTGACGTTGATCCGCTCAACCTGCTGGAGTCTGAACTCGACCAGTACCGACAGTTCCAGACCCCCGGCGTCCCCACTCTTTGTGGAGGAGCCATCGGATACATTTCGTACGACTGCATCAAGTACTTCGAGCCCCGAACCAAGCGAGATCTCAAGGACGTCCTGGAGGTCCCCGAAAGTGCCCTCATGCTCTACGACACCATTGTGGCCTTTGACCACGTCTACCAGCGACTCCAGGTTATCACCAATGTCAAGGTTGAGGCCGACACCGATCTCACCAAGGCCTACGAGGACGCCAAGAAGGAGGTGCAGCGAATCGCAGACCTGCTGACTTCCCCTGAGGTTCCCCAGCCCCCCCAGGGACCCGTGACCCTTGGAAAGACTTTCACTTCCAACATTGGCCAGAAGGGTTACGAACAGCACGTGACCACTCTTAAGGAGCGAATCAAGAAGGGAGACATCATCCAGGCCGTGCCCTCACAGCGAGTAGCTCGGCCCACCGACCTGCATCCCTTCAACGTCTACAGACACCTGCGAACCGTCAACCCCTCTCCCTACCTGTTCTACATTGACTATCTTGATTTCCAGCTTGTTGGTGCTTCTCCTGAGCTGCTCGTCAAGATTGAGAACGGCCGAATTGTGTCTCATCCCATTGCTGGAACGGTTAAGCGGGGAGCTACTCCTGCCGAGGATAACCAGCTGGCTCAGGAGCTTCTCAACTCTGAGAAGGACCGAGCTGAGCACGTCATGCTGGTCGATTTGGCCCGAAACGATGTCAACCGAGTATGTGATCCTCGATCCACTTCCGTCGATCGGCTTTTGGGTGTCGAAACCTTCTCGCACGTCCAGCATCTCGTTTCCCAGGTGTCTGGTGTTCTGCGACCCGACCAGACCCGATTCGACGCCTTCCGATCCATTTTCCCTGCCGGAACCGTTTCTGGTGCCCCCAAGGTCAAGGCCATGGAGCTGGTTGGAGAGCTTGAGAAGGAAAAGCGAGGTGTCTACGCCGGTGCCGTTGGATCTTTCGGCTACAACGGAGAGGCCATGGACACTTGCATTGCTCTTCGAACTATGCTTCTCAAGGACGGTGTTGCGTACCTGCAGGCCGGAGGAGGCATTGTCTTCGATTCTGACGAGTACGACGAATATGTCGAGACTATCAACAAGATGATGGCAAACAACCGGTGTATTGTCGAGGCCGAGGAGATCTGGGCTGGACAGCAGAAGGGTGAGTAGAGGCGATGAAGATGCACTTCATTGCACTGCGCACACAGACACAGCCACAGACACAGACATGCAAAGCCCAGCACCGCCAGACTCTTGTACTTGACCTAGTCAAATCCGTTTCACACTGTGAGACCCTCACCTTGAGTGAGAGGAGTCCCGTCGAACGACGATATGTAGATAATGAAGAAGGTTGTATACCTGTACAATACTGTGATTTTGTGTGTGAATTGTAGACAGAGAGAGAGCTTTGTGCATAGGAATTGGACTATAATGATATATGGCCAAGGCGACAAGTACGGATTCGGATACTTGGTTTTCCTACAGTACCCGCAACTAAGTGTTACAGTAATCCCGCCGCATGTCTGTCACAGAAGGCTGTTGTCTTGCAGGGGATTTGGCGTGAAGCATGATGTCACAACGCTCCGACGTAGACCCACCCGTTTGTGTTCCCCACTCCCGTACCGTTGACCCCACCCGTTTCTTTGTCTTTTTTAATTTGTCTTGCTTGTTCTTGTAGCCCGATGGAACTTTGGTGCATAGATCGTCGTCCTTGCATCGGAACTAGGTGGGCTGAGCAGAGGTGGGGTACGATAAGCTGGCGGGAATAGGAAGCAGGAAGTCGGGGGCCTCCGAGATCCGGTACCAAAGTATCTCTAGCCCAACTGTAAACGCTCCGCCACTGCGCGGGATAGTTTGCTTTGCTCCGGACCCCACCGTCTCAGGGTTCAATAACTGCAGATCAGGCACACTCCACGTGGGCCACTCTTGTCGATCATATTGAGTAATTAGATAGTAGAGAGCACTTCAGGGTGGGTGGTGGAGGAGATTAGATCCAAAAGCCCCGCAAAGTCGTGTATGGTATTGGACAATTGGATATCAACTCATGCGTCAGATAGGACCGTGGAGGTGGATTTTTCTTGGTTTCATAATTTTCAGGCCTTCCGAGACAGCCATACTTGTGAGCGACTAATTGGTTTCGTAATTAAGAGCTCGTGTGACCCTGTTAATTACTAATAAACCTCTCAGGTGTCACCAGTGACAATACTCAGCCTTCTCATTATTTCTTAAATTATTCTTGCCAAGAAATAAGCGAACCCCCCAGTGCAGGGCCAACTGCATCCTCAACTGCAACTGACTGTCACTGAAGTAGGTACCAGGCCACCGTAGGTGCCAATCGGTGTGGTTTCCGGATCAGGTGAGGTTTACCGTATATCCAGTTGCACTTTCTTCATTACTGTACCGTTAGGCTTGCTTCCGCTTTTCGCTTACTGGTAGCGTACCTGTTAATTACTCGCCAGACCCGCCAGATCGACGTTCAATTGTGGCATTGAGATAGAGTGCACTGGACATACTGTACGAGAGTGTACATGTGCACAGTAGTCGTTCTGTCAACAAATGACTGAGTGAGTCACGTGATCGGCAGATCCTCCAACCATCTAAAATATACGACCATCTCCAGAATCTCCGCGCAAATACCTGCTGCCGTTTGCGGTACACCACATTCCTCCATGTCTTATATTGCCCTGTTCAATACCTCTCTAACGTGTGAGTTTTAATTTTGGCATTCTTGGGAAGGCTATTTTTGGGGACAAGCGAAAGAAGAAAATCGAGACAAGAAAGCAAAACCAAGAAAAGGCGGCATACGCGGGTACAGAAGGACTTCGTATGGCAATCCGACGATCTGCTCGGGAAACCGTAACGCTGCCCTGGATATGACACGATCCATCCCCAGCCTTCCACGGCGCTCCAGAGACTTTTTTTTCTGGTGTCAGCGTCGTAATATCGTATCGGGGGGTTGTACCCTAGCTATTATTCATTACAAGGGCTGCACCCCACACTTGTGTGAGACATGGGAGCTTGTGTCGCAGAAAAGAGACATTTGACGTGAATGGCAGGCTCATGCTGCGGGCAGTGTGTATTACAGCTCCAGTGCGAGTTCAAATACCGTAGCATGGCAGTCTGGGCAGAGAAATCTCAGCTCAGTTGGAACGGACTTCAACCGTGTCTAGCAAAGGGCTGGTAGGGACACACCGTTGGCCAGGCCGAGTAGGTTAGTCAACGCGTAGTGTTGGAATGCAAGGCTGAAACGCAATCAGTGAAAACATGATGACCGGTCCAAGTAGGGCCAGTTATGACCACCAGCCCAGTTGGCAACAGTTGCTCATCTGTCGCAGTCCGGACAAATGCGGGCTCGTAATCTTGACACTTATCGTCAAACCTCCTCCCTCCTGCCCCCCCCCGCACCACTTTGTATGCCCTGCTGTGGAATGTCTATGTGCAGAGGGAAAACCGTAAGTGTGACAAGCGAAATGCACCATACGTCAGACAAATTGCTGGCATGGGGGGATTACCCTACCTTGATGTGGGATCGTGGCGATAAGCGACGGCTATAGGGGCCCTAGGGGACCGTATTTGGAGGGTGACCAATGTCCAGACACATGTTTTTTTGGTAGGCCAAAGACCTTTGGTGTCTTTTCCCTTCTTTCAACGGCTCCATACAGACCTCCTTCTGGCCTTGCACTTGCCCCCCCCCGCAGAGGACGCGGCATAATTCGGTCACTCTCATTTTTAAGCTCACGCCTAACAATCGGGCCCAAACGTGATTAACGAGCGTGGTGGCGGGGCACTAAAGGCGCGCGGTTGCAAGGCTGATAGCCCCACCAACGCATTAGTCAGGCACAGATGGGCAAGCGGATCCACTCACCCGAGATTCGGGCGGGAATCTGGCCGGTGCTACTCCACCCCTAACTAAAACTTGCGCAGATCGCCAACTTATCGTCTGTCACCCAGGCCAGTTTGAATTTAGGAAATGCAGTATTTTTGGCCAGAACAACGAAGCTAGCAAAATCATAAGAGCTTATGTGGGCAGACAAGGTTGCGAAACAAGGCAAATGCTTTCCCACCTAAAAAAGCCTAAAGACTGAAGCCTGAACAACAAGAGAGAGCACGGCCAGAAAAAAAAGAGCCCAATATATAGTAAATGGCCCCCCTGAAAGTTCACTCCAGAAGCTATCGCAAACACCAATCATGGCGCACTACTACCCGTCGGGCGTGTCGTCGGTCGGCAACTTCGACTCGCTAGATGTCGAGATCAGATCGCTGGCCGAGGGAATGGTACACAAACCTCACCATCGAGAATCGCGATACATTTTCGACCACACCTTTGACGACGAGTTTCGAGAAGAGCATGAGGACGAATACGACTATGATATGCTGCGGAAGACGTCTTTTGAGAACCCCGACGTCAACCCTTACGTGGAGGCCAGTGCGGAGCCGGAGCTGGATCCCTGGTCGGGCGAGTTCAACTCGCGAAAGTGGATCAAGACCGTGCTGGGTCTCAAGGAGCGATTTGGAAACAGTAAGGGAATCACGGCCGGCGTGTCGTTCAAGAACCTGGGTGCCTACGGGTACGGCAGTCGCAGTGACTACCAGAAGACGTTTCTCAACGTCATTGTGGCCACTGGAGATTTGCTGCGAAGTGCTATTGGCGCTAAACGGACAAGCAAAATCCAGATTCTGCGCAAGTGCGATGGACTGGTGCTTCCAGGTGAAACCTGTGTAGTTCTGGGACGTCCCGGATCAGGATGCACTACATTTCTCAAGAGTATTGCTTGCGAGACGTACGGATTTCATGTGGAGGAAGAGACACAATGGAACTATCAGGGTGAGTATTTGGGATTATGGGGCTATGAGGTTATGAGGGAGATGGAAATACCGGAATGAACATCTTCCAGGTGGTCTATTCTTTCTTGTTGGCCGTTATTTTGTGTCCACCTGATTTTTTTTATTTTTTTATTTTTTATTTTTTATTTTTGTGTGTTGCACACATTCCAATCAGTGCAGATCACTCCCAACACGGCCGGTATCTAATACCTAGACCCGAATAGAGTGTTCTGTACGCGATAATCATACCAGGTGGGAATCAGAACACAAGAACAAAGAAAGCAGATTTCCGCGGAGCGCGAAAAACAATAACCAATAATGACCCTACTAACGCAGGCGTACCACGAGATGTCATGACAAAGCATTGCCGAGGAGAAATTGTCTACAATGCTGAACACGATATCCATTTCCCTCACTTGACGGTCGGACAGACCCTCATGTTTGCGGCTCTAGCCCGAACTCCCCGAAACCGAGTGCTGGGAGTGACCCGAGAGCAGTATGCTCGTCACACCCGAGATGTTACCATGGCCACTCTCGGTCTGTCTCACACAATCAACACCAAGGTTGGATCCGATCTAGTGCGTGGAGTCTCCGGTGGAGAGAGAAAACGAGTCTCTATTGCCGAGTCCGTCGTCTGCGGAGCGCCTCTACAGTGCTGGGATAACTCCACTCGAGGTCTGGATGCTGCGAACGCCACCGAATTCATTCGATCTCTGCGACTTTCCGCCCAGATGACAGGCGCCTCCATGTTTGTGTCTCTGTACCAGGCTTCCCAGGAGGCCTACGACATGTTCGACAAGGTGTGTCTGCTGTACGAGGGACGACAAATCTTCTTCGGTAAGGCCGGAGAGGCCACATCATACTTTGAGGGTCTGGGATTCGAGCGAGCCCATCGCCAGACCACTGGTGATTTTCTGACCTCCCTTACAAACCCTGTCGAGCGAAGAATCAAGGCTGGATGGGAGAAGCTCGTGCCTCGAACTCCCGAGGAGTTTGAGTCTCGATGGAGATCGTCCCGAACACACGCTCTGTTAGTTTACAACATCGACCGATTCAATACCACTCATCCTCTTGGTGGTCAGGGTTATGTCGAGTTCATGAAGCTCCGAAAGGAGTCTCAGGCCCGAAATACCCGTCTGTCGTCGCCATATCTGCTCTCCTGGCCCATGCAGGTTCGTCTGTGTCTCTGGAGAGGCTTCTTGTTGGTGAGAGGAGACTTGTCCATGACGCTGATGACCATCATTGGTAACTTCATCATGGCCCTCATTCTGGCATCAATGTACTATAATTTGCGAGAGTCGACTGATGCCTTCTTCTCGCGATCTGCCCTGCTTTTCTTGGCCATGTTGCTGAACGCTATGGCCTCCGTTTTGGAGATTTTCGTGCTGTACGGACAGCGACCACTGATTGAGAAACACAAACGATATGCATTGTACCATCCCTTTGCAGAATCAATCGCGTCAATGTTGGTTGATTTACCGACCAAACTGGCAACTCTGATTTCAGTCAACCTCGCTCTTTACTTCATGACTAACCTGAGACGAACCCCGGGTGCCTTCTTCATCTTCCTGCTCTTTTCGTTCACCTGTACCATGGCAATGTCCATGATTTTCCGGTTCACTGCTTCTGTCACCAAGACTATGGAACAGGCTCTGGCCCCCGCCTCTGTGCTAGTTTTGGCACTGGTTATTTACACTGGTTTCACGCTTCCCGTCGATTACATGCATGGATGGGCCCGATGGATGAATTACCTCAATCCTGTTGCTTATGCGTTTGAGGCAGTAATGGTGAACGAGTTCCGAAACAGAAGGTTCCCTTGTGGACTTTACGTTCCTTCCCGGTCTTTCTACAACTCTGTGCCCGCTGAGTCCAAGTCTTGTGTGGCTATCGGCGCCAAGCTCGGCCAGGACTACGTCGATGGCTCCGTGTTCATCAGCACGGCCTACAAGTACGAGACTGGACACCTGTGGCGAAACCTGGGCATTCTGTGGGCCTTTGCTGGCTTTTTCTGCGGCGTCTACCTGCTTGCTGCCGAGTACGTGACCATGGCCCAGTCCAAGGGTGAGGTTCTGCTGTTCAAGCGATCCCAGCATCGAAAGAACCTCAAGGCCAAGCCTGACAAGCGATTCCAAGACGTTGAGCTTGGAGACAACCTCGGCGACCACAACTTGGACCAAAACCTCGGCGACAACCACTCGACGTACTCTTACCAGCAACCCATCCAGGCTCAGATTCCCCCTTCTCGGTACGCCCAGCAGGCTCCCATGACTCCCGCTCCTATGATGCATGTCCCCATGACTCCTGGTGGCATGCTTTCTCCCGGTCAGCAAATGTTCTCTCCCGGTCAGCAAATGATGACGCCTGGTCCCATGTCACCCGCAGGCATGATGACTCCCGGTTTTACATATGTGCCCCCCCATGGAGACACTATTCACCAACCGCCTACCGTTGGAGACGACATCAACTACACGACTCCCGCGCCCCAGGTGAACTTCACCCCTGCCACTCCAGCTCAGTACACTACTCCCGCCACCCCAGCTCAGTACAACACTCCTGGCACCCCTGGTATTACTGGTGGGTACGAGCCCCCTCATGGAGACACTGTTCACATGCCCCCCACAGTTGGTGATGACACAAACTACATTCCCACCAAGGTTCGCACCAACCTGTCTCTCAACTCGTCCAAATCTAACTTGCAGCACTCTGGAGTGTTCCAATGGACCGATGTTTGCTACGATATCAAGGTTGCTGGTGAGAACAAGCGATTGCTGGACCATATCGACGGTTACGTGAAGCCCGGTACCCTCACCGCTCTCATGGGAGCTTCTGGTGCTGGAAAGACTACTCTTCTTGATGTGCTGGCTGATCGAAAATCCACTGGTATTGTTCATGGAGACATGTTGGTCAATGGCCAGCAGCGAAACGCCTCTTTCCAGCGAAAGACCGGATACGTTCAACAGCAGGATTTGCATACTGCCACTGCCACTGTTCGTGAGTCTCTCGAGTTCTCAGCTCTGTTGCGACAGCCCTCTTCTGTGTCTCGAGCTGACAAGCTGGCTTACGTCGATGAGGTCATTTCTATTCTTGAGATGGATTCTTACGCTGATGCCGTTGTTGGTGTTCCTGGTGAAGGTCTTAACGTGGAACAGCGAAAGCGTCTGACTATCGGCGTCGAGCTTGCTGCCAAGCCCGAGCTGCTGCTTTTCCTGGATGAGCCTACCTCCGGTCTGGATTCCCAGACTGCTTGGTCTATCGTCTCTCTGCTCAAAAAGCTGGCTGCCAACGGTCAGGCTATCCTGTGTACCATCCATCAGCCCTCTGCCATTCTGTTCCAAGAGTTTGATCGACTTCTGTTCCTGGCAGCCGGTGGAAAGACAGTGTACTACGGAGACCTCGGTGATAAGGCGTCTCTGCTCATTGAATACTTTGAAAGTAACGGTGCTGACCCTTGTCCTGATAACGGTAACCCTGCCGAATGGATGCTGGAGGTAATTGGTGCTGCTCCTGGTTCCCGGGCCAAGAAGGACTGGCCCTCAGTCTGGCGATACTCCCAGCTTCGACGACAACAGCGTGAGGAACTCGATGATATGCGTCTTGCATTCAACGCTGACTCTCAGGCAGCTCTTGCAGTTGGAGGAGAAGACACTGATTTCGCCGTGTCTCAGTGGACCCAGCTGTACTACGTTACCAAGCGACTGCTGCAGTTCCACTGGCGAACTCCCTCCTATCTGTGGTCCAAGATGACTCTGTGTATTGGTTGTGCTCTGTTCATTGGTTTCTCCTTCTACAAGTCGGCTCGAGACATTCAGGGTCTTCAGAACCAAATGTTTAGTATTTTCCTCATGTTCCTGATTTTCACCACAGTTGCCGAGCAGATTATGCCTCTTTTCATGATTCAGCGAGACTTGTACGAGGCTCGAGAGCGTGCTTCCAAGACTTACTCGTGGCAGGTGTTCCTCGGCGGAAATATGCTCGCGGAGCTTCCCTGGCAGATTATCGTGGCGGTTGTCGTCTTCTTCTGCATGTACTACCCCATTGGATTCTATCGAATTGCGGCTGAGAACCACCAGACACAGGAGCGAGGAGCTCTCTACTTCCTCTTCCTGCTGGTCTTCTTCATTTACGACTCTACCTACGCTCACATGATTGGTGTCATGTTCAACAACCACGAGACGGCAGCCAACTTTGCATACCTGCTCTTCTCCTTCTGTCTTATGTTCTGTGGTGTGCTGGCCACGAAGGAGTCCATGCCTGGATTCTGGATCTTCATGTACCGAGCGTCGCCTCTGACATACTTCATTGGCGGTTTCATGGCCACTGGTTTGGCCGGAGGAAAGGTGACATGTTCGCAACATGAGATTTTGCAGTTCAAGCCTCTCAAGGGCAACTCTTGTGCACAGTACATGAAACCCTTCCTGGACAATGCTGGCATCTTCAAGGGCTACCTGCTCAATGAAACTGCCACCGACATGTGTCACTATTGCCCCATCGAGAACGCTGATGCCTACCTCGACAATGCCTCCATTTTCTATGGAGACCGATGGCGAAACTTTGGCATTGTGTTTGCCTATCCCATCTTCAACGTTTGTGCCACCTTTATGCTCTACTACGTTCTTCGAGTTCCTGGCGTGCGATACAAGATTGCGTCCAAGGTCCGATGGCGACGAAAGAAGCAGTAAGGTGCTATTTATGTATCTATTTATTACTAATCATAATGTCATTTTGAAAACAACTCACACGAAAACGAGTATTTTATCGAGTCAGATGTATAAATTAATGGTAATTATGTAGAGAAGAGTTAGGCAAACATGTCGCTGGTGAAGTCCACGAGCAATCCTTGGGTCTGGAGCATCTCCATCTCCTTACCGGCACATTCCTTGCCAAATTTCAAGCAGTCCTTGGCGATTTTGTTGCGAATCTTGCGGTTGCCTGCACAGTAGGCTCTGTACCATCCAACAATGGCCGAGGAGGCACAGGGGGGATCCATAGAGAGCAGCTTCTCGGTGGCCTTCACCTTGAGATCTTCAATTTCGTAAGTCTTGGCCATGATCAGAAGGCCACAGAGCTGGTCAAAGTTGTCAGGAACAACTCCAGTGAGAGTATACTGTTGGAAAGCTTCCACCCATTCGGCAGGCTGGTCGATATGGATTGTTTTGGAGACGTTATCCATGTTATCAAGCAACTTGGGAAATTCGGAGAGCTTGGAGGAGAAGACACCAACCTTGACGACATCATCCAGGTCCTTGTTGTTGGCGGTGATTTGGTAATCGTGAAGAGAGTGGCCGTTTGGCTGGCTGACACAATGTTCCTCGCACTGCTTCATGTTGTTGAGCTGTCGTCGAGTTCCAATGTAGATTCGAGGAGTGTCCAAATCGCTGTTAGGAATGTTCTCGGGAATGCTGAACTTCTCATGGAAATGGACCATTTTGGCGTCCACCCACTGCTCGGTCTTGTTGTCAAACACAAAAATGGAGTTGTCTCTGTTCTCGAACCAGTGGCTCTTTCGGTAGTAGCCTCCAAAGACAATGATCTTGTCTTCCAGCACCACGGCATGATGGCTTACTGCAGGGCCGGGGGCGTACTTGTTGGCCTCAATGATCTTGACGGCGCCGTCCTTCTTGATGAAGGTTTTTGTATTGTGGTAAATCTGCTCGTGGAACACGTCCTTCTTGTCCACTTGGACGTAGCCTCCGTGGATGAATTCGATGGTGCCGAGGGTCAGTCTGCAGGGTCCGATGAGATCGTCCACCGAGTAGGTGGGGGTAGTAGCTGAGGGCATGGTTGTAATGGTGGAGAGGGCTTGATTGGATAACAAAGTGAAACGGCTACTTCTGAGAACCACACCGATACTTATATTCATTCCTCTTGCGACTGGACTTCCATTTGCTGCCTTACTCATTAACGTGCCTATTGCGGCTGAGCGCATGAAACCTGCGAGGTTGGCTGAAGAAGGACATTATCGGCCCATTTTGGAGTGGAGCTTCGGGGATAAGCGTCCAACAAGAGAGCCAACAAGAGCCAACAAGAAGCAAGAACAAGAGCGAAGCACACACGGAGAAACCAAGACAAGAAAACGTCCAGCGACTTTGAAAGCAAGGTGGGTCCACTGACAAGAGAACTGGTACCGAGCAAATATGCAGGTGACAGGGGTGTGGCTGGTGGTCTGTCAGTTGATTCGGTGCTGTACTACAAGTAGAGACATTGGCAGTACTCGCTTGTTTGTAAAAGTGGAGTGTCGTGTCTAATTTCGAAATCAGATACAGTACAAGGTCGAGTACGAAAATATAAGTATGTACAGTATGTACAATACCACTTTGGACGACAGAAGTGTATGTTTTAGTATCGTAATATGGGCACTACTTTTGCGCTCTGTAGCCGTATCTGAGTCGCTGGACCACAAAAGTAATCATACGATGATCGTCCTTGATTCAGATGCCCTCCGTTTCACCAATGCTTGTCTCCAAAGTGTCTTACAATACCCGCTCAACCTTCTCGTATTTTCGATATCGCATGGTTTGGCTCTGCGTGCAGCCGGTCCGAGTATACATCTGGGGCGACCTCAAGAGGTCCACCATACGAGGGTTTTGGACTGAACGACGACAAAAAGAGCTAGAAAAAAGCCCCCGTAAACGTTTCTGTTAAATCTAGCCGTTATAAATTGCCTCTTTTGTACAAAATGCCCTCTAACAAGCACTAGACCGTTCAACACAGTGCCAAACACAGCTGGCAACTTCTCTCAACTAAAACTCTAACAACTTAAACCGAATGTTTAATTATTAGGTTACAACAGCCTCGTCCCGAGACCGAGGGTCTGTTCAGCATCTTCATTGATGAAACTGAAGTAATAGTCTTGATAATGACTCTGGCTTTGAAATACAACGTTCCAACGTTTTTTCAAGTCCATTATGACTTTTCCAGCTTCTCTCTGATCAATATTGACCTTGCTCACCTCAGAATAAACATGGCTTCTCTGCAGTTGCTCCATGCTCTCACACCACCACGTGCATGAGACACGTGATCCGGATCCGCTTTATCCGACCCGATCAACGTCCAGTGACCATCCAAACCGATGAATAATATTTGTCACGATGGAGAAAAGGCCACAGAACAACTTGAGACATAAACAGACCAATACTGTAACTGGCAGACTGTTGCTCAGCTACCTGTACAAGTACAATCTAATCACTCGTTATTGCATTTCATTATTTTCTACTCCTGGCCTCCCAATAAATAGTTATCTATGTCTATCAACACCGCTTCAACTCGGAGACAAAGGCCTCGCCCCAATGCTGAGAGGTGTACTTACTAACGTACTTGAACAGCTTGCGGTGGTTCTCAGCCTTCTTCTCGGGCGAAAAAGTCAGAGAGTCGTACAGAGCCTCGGCCATGTCTTCGGTGTTCCATGGGTTGACAATCAGGGCTCCGTTGAGACTCTGAGCTGCACCTGTGAATTCAGACAAGATCAGCGATCCGTGCTTCTCAGTTTGACAAGCAACATACTCATACGACACTAGGTTCATTCCGTCTCGCGTAGACGACACGAAACACACATCTGATATCGAGTAGAGAGCAATCAGCTCGTTGAAGTCCACCGATCGGTGCATGAAATGGATGGGCGTAAACTCGACAGTACCAAACATACCGTTGATACGTCCGACCAGCTCATTCACCACTGCTCTCAGGTTCTGATACTCTTCCACTAGTCCTCGGGAAGGCACTGCGACCTGCACCAGCACGACCTTGCCGATCCATTCGGGGTGTTCTGACAGGAAGACCTCAAAGGCGTGAAGTTTCTGGGGCACACCCTTGATGTAATCCAATCTGTCGACACCCACAACCACCTTGATGCCCTTAAACTTATCCTGGAGCTGTGCGATTCGTTCCTGAACAGCTGGTCGTTTGCATCCTTCGAGAAACTTGTTGACATCAATACCGATAGGAAACGCACCTACCACGACATGACGCCCCTTGTAATACGTTCCGTTGGGCATGGTTTCTAGATCCAGGATTCGAGAGACGGACGACAGAAAGTGGCGAGCGTAGTCGTAGGTGTGGAAGCCAATGAGGTTGCACGACAGCACACCTGTCAGCACCTCCTTTCGGACGGGCAAAATTCTGTAGATTTCCGAAGATGGGAATGGCGTGTGCAGGAAGAATCCAATCTTCAGGCCGTCGAGAGCGCTGTTGTTCTCGCACTCTTCACGCAGCATCTCGGGTAGCAACATGAGGTGGTAGTCGTGGACCCACACAATGTCGCCGGGTTTGACGATTGATGCCACCTTTTTGGCAAATAGCCGGTTGGCCTGTGTGTAAGCTTCCCACGCCACCTGGTCGAAATTCATTTCTCCGGGATGGTAGTGGAACAAGGGCCACAGAATGGAGTTGGAGAAGCCATTGTAATGGAGGTCGGCGAGATCGTCGTCCATGAACACGGGCACGCACGAGAACATGGTCTCAAGGTCATTGATGAGTCGCGGCTTGTCTTTTTCGGGGATCTCCAATCCGGGCCACCCAAACCATTGGAAGGTCGTCGACTGCTTGAGGCCCGACAGCGCTGTTACCAGGCCCCCTGAGCTCATTGTGTACTTGTAGGTGCCATCTTCCTCGCGGGAAATGGTCACCGGCAGACGGTTCGATATGACCAGCACGTTGGGCATTATATCTGTCAGGGAAATGTCTCGTTTGTGGTGTGTTGCTGGCGCGGTAGAAGAGACACACTGTTATTTACTTGCAACAAGATTCACTCTATGTGCATGGCGGGTTTGGGGATGGGAGACTTGTGTTTGCGCTAACTTAAGGTTGAGTACACATCCCCCATGCGCGCTGTAGTTCGACTCCCACCGCTGCAAATAAATAATTTCGACACCGCGATCCTCCACTCATCACGACACCATGGAGGCCAAAAAGCACCAAATCAAGTCGCGTCTGGCGTCCGTCGAGCTGCCCATCAATGTGGTAAACGAGGACCGTGCGCTGACTATGCTGGGAGGTCCTGAAAAGGTGGCACGAGCCATCAAAAACTCCGACAAGCTGGAGCTGCGATTCAGACCGGAAGACCACTTTGCACACCCCGTCAATTCGGTGCTCTCAAACGACCAGCACGTGCTGCTCGAAGTCAAGCTGTCGAAAAAACTGCTGGAGAAACACAATGGAGACGTGCGAGCTGCTCTTAAGGCACAGGAACAAGAAACGGGGAAAAGCTCCGACTACAAATGCCACCATATCAGCTCGACACAACGATTCCGAGAAATGGCTGATTTTCAATGGTGCACCAAAAACTCGCCATTTGTGCACAAGGTGGAGGCCTCGCTGTTTGCTGGAGACCTCCAAAGAATCAAAGAGCTGGAGCTGGAGGGACCTGGTGATCTCACATCTGTCGAAATCGACTCAATTCCACCTCCTCGATTTTCGCTCATCCATTACCCTTTCCCTTACTACTACAAACAGAACCCCATGGTCACTGTCGTCAAAGATGGCTCTTCTACAAAGCTAGTGAACGCCAATGCTGCACCCAAGCTGTACTCCTGGGTACTTACAGCAACAGACCCAGCCCCCACTGGCCCTAGAAAAGAGCTTGCCCCTCTTCCTGAGCCAGATGCTGAGATGGACACTTCCAACGGAGACGCTAGACGTGACTACTCCGGCAAACCCGCCCAACAGGTGCACGAGAAGCTACTCAGACAATGTGTGGATGAGCTGCAGGAGCTCTTCAGAGAACGGCCTCTTTGGACTCGCCAGGGACTGCGTCATTACGTTAACAACCCCGAGCTCAAACACATTCTCAGATTCGCATTGCCCTATGTGGCTTACTATTTCCGATCTGGACCCTGGAGAGGAGCCTATGTGGTGTACGGAAAGGACCCCAGAACTGACCCCAGCATGCGGTTCTACCAGACAGAAGCTTTTCGAATCAGCGACAACCAAGACGAAAAGACTGAGAAGGTGGAGGATGACTTGGCCGGTCTTGCCCCTCCCGTTCAGCCTGCTGCTCAAAAGGCACTTCCCCTGCCGTATGTCTTTGACGGAATTCATCCTCCCGAGTCGCAAACTCTGCAGCTGTGCGACATTACTGACCCTCTCTTGTACGAGAAAATCCACAGTGCCCCTGTTCGAGCCAAGTACGACGTTCTGGACGGCTGGTTCGAGTACAATGACATCAGCAAGATTCGAAAGGCTCTCCGAGCCAAGGTCCGAGGAACTATTCTTAGGGAGAACTCCGACGAAACCGTGCAGGCCATCTTTGACGCCGAGGAAGAGCAGCGACCTGAAGGTGATGTTGAAGAGAATCAGGTTGCTGAGGACGACGAAGAGGACGTTGTGGAGGTTGTGGACCCCGAGATGCAGCCTGAGACTACAGAGGCGGCTGTTATTACCGAATCCTCTTCGGAGCCCCCTGTGGAGGACCCTGATCTCAACATGTTCAGTCTTCATCTTAACAACGTCAAGAGCCTGCGAGACCTGTCGGGTATTTCTCAGCAGCGAATTGACGATAAGGATAAAGATAAGGATACGGGCAAGGACGAGGGCAAGGACGAGGGCAAGGGCGAGGGCAAGGGCGAGGGCAAGGGCGAGGGCAAGGACGAGGACAAGGAATGGTAGTACTATTTGTACAACTTGTATGTATTTTACGGTATTTAATGTATTTTTAAGAAGCACTCTTGTTATGCTCATACCAAAGACTCGAACTCACGACCCCCTGTATAGCTGATTTTTACCTCGTCTGAAAAAAACCTAACCCTGCAACATCCAAACTGTGTTAGTGAATTTTCGGATCACGGTACATCACTTCACAGTCACAAACATGTTCAAGCGAGCTACCGTCCCCCTGACGACAATCAAGAACGCCAGAAACGCCTCGATTCTGCGAGCGCCCAAGCGACAAAAGCGACTCGCTTTCGGACAGACCATCGCTCCCGTTTTCCACGAGTTTGAGTGCACCGTCCAGCTGTCCGACGGCTCCACCTACAAGCGACGAACCGTGGCCCCCGTGGAGCAGCTGAAGCCCATTAATGATCAGCGAAACGTGCATCTCTGGAACCCCAACAAGCCCGAGCTCAAGACCGACTCTGGAGAGGAGGGCAAGCAGATGTCCAAGTTCAACGAGAAGTTTGGTTTCGGCGAGGTCGACGACGACTTTGCCGATTTGCTGGGTCAGGACTTCGTCGAGACCAAGTCTGGAGTTCAGGTCCAGAAGAAGAAGTCCGACCTGAAGAAGAAGAAATAGGCGACGTAGAAGGAGACACGGAGAAGGCGTTGGTAGCGCAAAAACAGTACATAGTAACCAGCATATTATTGGATGATCTGAGCACGTAGGGGATTGTAAAGACATGGCATACATTCCTCAAACACATGGTGCACGCTATGAACTCCCGTTCACGTCGTAGTTATGGCTATATTACATATAAATTACTAATCTTTCTATGATGCAGAGTTATCCCGTCGTGGACAAGTAGACCTTTCTCTAAAACTTGTGTTTGGTACTATAGTCCTTGGGACTGACCACCAGACCCTTACCTTTACTTGCTCCACGATAGACTGTTTCGATGATGTCAATGAGCTCCTGCTTGTCCTCCAATACCCAGTTCAACTTGTTGTTATCTCCGGTGCCAAAGTCGCACATGATGTGTTTGTTTCGGTAGAAAAACATGACCGATACTGGGTCATACAGCTCGTACATCTGGTTGAACTCGGGCACCTGGTCAATGTCGCACACGTAGACGGCCGCGAAGTTTCTGATCTTTTCCGCCACCGAGTACAGATGGTCGTCCATTTTCATGCATTCGAGGTCGTGGTCTCGGCCGAATCGAATGACAACGAGTCGATCCTCCTCCGATAAGATGGCCTGGTCCACGTGCCAGCCCGTGTTCAGGTGAGGCAGCAAGATAGATCCCATGATGTGTGTGTAATGTGCTGAGTTGGTGCAGAGGTAGGGATATATTTAGGTCACGTGAGTGGGAGGTTTGTGGGAAAATACAAAAATAAAATAAAATATAATATAATATAATATAATATAATATAATAAAATAGAATAGAATAGAATAGAATACAAGTAAAAGTGCATCAACTCGATTTACAATATAACTTGATCAGACGCGGGAAAACATAAATGTGGTAAATTCCCCCAATAGCTATATATCTGGCACTCTACCCACCATATATCCAAGTTATTTGATTTTCCAGTACATTTTCGTATATGGGTACAAACCTCAAACTCTACATTGCATTGTTCAAATGCTCTGGAACCCTGACTAACTCAATTGGACAGGCCCGGAATATCGCCGAATATGAACCCATAGGGGATACCGGGCGAGAAAAAACGAGCCCTGTGGAATGGCATTGTCCAACAAGTAGTTCAAAGTCTGTCTATGTCTGCGTCCAGTCGGTCCCTTTTGGTGTTTATTGACACACTAGAACCTTCAATGATCTGAGGCAGGAACTAATTCTGGCTCTAGGAAGGGCCTGTCGGAGGGGGTCATGTAAGTACGAGTACGGGTGATGGATGAGACATGGTGAGTCACAAAGAGTGACGTCTTTTCTTTGTTATAGATGTGTGATGGGATTCAAGCTCTCGGGAAACACAATTCCGGTGTAGTCACGCCTGCTCTACGACTTGTACGAGGGACTCGTTATCATCTATCTCTCATTGACAGCAAATGCATACTGCGCTGGGGTCACTTTCACGCACCCTTTTCTTGTTACTCCCAAACCCCGTTGTTTTTTTTTACAAGAGTGCAAAGTTTGGAAAATTTAACTCCAGTCCACTCTTACGACTACTGCCATTGTGACTTCACTAAATCTGCTACGTAGGAAGCTGATTCCTACCCCCCATTTTATACGTCAATTCTCAGTCAGTTCGAATTTTTCCGCTAGAATGTCCACCCGACCCGCCGACCAGGAGCTCAACCGAGAGACTCTTGATGCCGTCCTCAAGCGACGGTTCTTCTACGCCCCAGCCTTTGAGATCTACGACGGTGTTTCCGGTCTTTACGACTACGGCCCGCCTGGATGTGCTCTCCAGACCCGAATCATCGACACGTGGCGAGATCACTTTGTGCTCGAGGACGACATGCTCGAGGTCGACACCACCATGCTGACTCCCCACGAGGTTCTGAAGACCTCTGGCCACGTGGACAAGTTTGCCGACTGGATGTGCCGAGATCTGGCCTCCGGCGAGATTTTCCGAGCCGACCATCTGGTCGAGGAGGTGCTCGAGGCCCGACTCAAGGGAGACAAGGAGGCCCGAGGCATCAAGGAGGACGTTGTTGAGGACGAGTCCGCCAAGAAGCGAAAGAAGAAGGTCAAGGAGATTGTGGCCATCAAGCTCGATGACAATGTTAAGGAGGAGTACGAGACCATTCTTGCCAAGATTGACGGTTTCTCCGGCCCCGAGCTTGGTGAGATCATGGACAAGTATAAGATCGTCAACCCTGTCACCGGCGGTCCCCTTGAGAAGCCCATGGAGTTCAACCTCATGTTCGAGACTGCCATCGGCCCCTCCGGTAAGCTCAAGGGCTTCCTGCGACCCGAGACCGCCCAGGGCCAGTTCCTCAACTTCAACAAGCTGCTGGACTGCAACAACACCAAGATGCCCTTCGCCTCTGCCTCCATTGGTAAGTCTTTCCGAAACGAGATTTCCCCCCGATCCGGTCTGCTGCGAGTCCGAGAGTTCACCATGGCCGAGATTGAGCACTTTGTCGACCCTCTGGACAAGGACCACCACCGATTCGACGAGGTCAAGGACGTCAAGCTGCGATTCCTCGCCAAGGATGTCCAGTCCGCTGGTAAGACCGACATCCAGGAGATGACCATCGGCCAGGCCGTTGAGACCGGTCTCGTTGACAACAAGACCCTCGGATACTTCCTTGCTCGAATCTACCTGTTCCTGATCAAGATTGGTGTCAACCCCGACCGACTCCGATTCCGACAGCACATGTCCAACGAGATGGCCCACTACGCCACCGACTGCTGGGATGCCGAGCTGCACACCTCCTACGGCTGGATCGAGTGTGTTGGCTGTGCTGACCGATCTGCCTACGATCTGTCTGTGCACGAGGCCCGAACCAAGGTCAAGCTGCAGGTTCAGCAGAAGCTCGACGCTCCTCTCGTCGAGGACAAGTTTGTCTGCGAATACGACAAGAAGAAGTTTGGTCCTCTGCTCAAGAAGGCCGCCAAGCCCGTCGAGGAGTGGTTCGAGTCCCGAACCCAGTGCGAGCTTGAGGATCTTGCCAAGGCTCTTGAGGCCGGCAAGATTGTCCTGCCCGAGATTGAGGGTGTCGAGGTTGCCGGCACCGAGCTTGACAAGTCTCACATCAAGATTGAGAAAAAGACCATCACCACCCACGTTCGAGACTACACTCCCAACGTCATCGAGCCTTCTTTCGGTATCGGACGAATCCTTTACTCTCTGATCGAGCACTGCTTCTGGACTCGACCCGAGGACGCCTCCGGAGCCAAGGGTGTGCTTTCTTTCCCTCCTCGAATTGCCCCCACCAAGGTTCTTGTTGTTCCTCTCTCTTCCCAGAAGGAGCTGGCCCCCTTCACTCAGGAGGTCTCCAAGAAGCTGCGACAGGCCCGAATCTCCGCCAAGGTCGACGACTCTTCTGCCTCTATCGGTAAGCGATACGCCCGAAACGACGAAATGGGAACTCCCTTCGGTATTACCGTCGACTTCGACACTGTCAAGGACAACTCTGTCACCCTCCGAGAGCGAGACTCCACTCGACAGGTTCGAGGCTCCATCGACGCCGTCATTGCTGCCATCAACGTCATGACCGCCGACGATGTTGCCTGGGAGGAGGCCACCAAGGACCTCACTCCTTTCGATTCCACCGACAAGGAGTAAATCCAGTAAACGTTCAATAAAAATATGTACAGAATAATGAGTTCAATATTGGAATTAAACAGCACCAAGTAGTCACCCTCAGACCACTTGAGGTGAGATGTATGGGTGAGAGAATAGACCAAGGCAGCCAAATCAGAACATGTCACACTTTGGATCTGTGGCGGTTTCTCTATGGACAGCCGGTTTACATATACTGAAGTAAGGCACGTTCTACTTTGTAGTAAGGGCATCTAGTCAAACATGTATTATCGTTATTTCTTATTTCTCAATGAGACCAACACCCCACTTTTGGTTGTTGAGTCTTTTGGCGACCACGGGGCCCATGTATCGCACGGCAATACCCAGGGCCAGCACAGTGTACACGAGGTTCTTCTTGCTGAAATTGGGCTTCATGAGATCGAAGGCGGTGGAAGGGAAGATTCGGGTGAAGAAAATGTCTCCGTTGGTGGATAGAACAGCCACCAGAGAAGTCGACTCCAAAGTAGCTCCGCTGGTGACAATGATGTCGCCCTTTAGAGAATAGGAGTGTGAAATGAGCATCTGGGGGAAGATGGCAAGGAAGGGATCGTAAGTTCCCAGACCTTCCTCCATCTCAGCAGCAGTAGCAGCTCGTCCAACGGGTCGTCTAGGGTTGATGGCCTGTCGAGGGATTGAGGCAACTCGTCCGTCAGCAAGAGCGACAATGACATCTCGGGATGTGATACCAAAGGTGGTCTTGGAGACAGATAGAGCAGTAACTTCAGACTCGATGCCAAAGGCCTGGCAGATGGTCTCGGGAACAAACATGTCAAAGGCAGACATCTCGTCAGTGGACTTTCGCTCATTGGGGGTAGTGGACTCGTAGAAGTCGCAGGTGACGAGCTTGGCACCGGGAAGGGCACCACCAGAAACATAAGAGTAGGTGATCCAGTACTCGCCGAAAACAATGTCGCTGAAGGACTTGACGTCGTTGTGAATAGACTGGTACAGGGTGTTACCTGTAACAGAGTCGAGCACAGTGATAAGCAGAGTTCCGGCAGTTTCATCAACGGAAGCAGCAGCAATTACGTTGGGGTACAGGTACTTGTATAGCACGGTTCGGTCTCCGAGGATAGTGCCAATAGACACAGACTCGTCGTCCAGATTCTTGGACACGGTCTTGGCGATGGAACCAGCTGCAGGACTCCAGGTCCAGGTGGGCTGGCCGCTCCTGTATCCCTGAATAATGTTTCCGGTGGTCTTGACGGTGTACTCCGAGTCAGACTCGGGAGCACTGAACTCCACTCCGTGAGCATCGTAAGCAATGTCTCCATTGGGTGTGGTAGCAACAACTCCGTTAGCGACAGAGGTGAGTTTGGTGACACCTGGAATATCCACCTCCCAGGCGTTGGTGTTGGTGGTGGTATCAATGGCAGTGAGACCAGAGGGAGTAGCCACAATCAGCAGCTTCTCGAAGAAGTGGTCGTTGTCAGTAGACACCTCCAGAACGTCAAGGGTTAGAGAAGAGAACCACTTGATAAGATGAGGCAGCTGGGCAACGTGGGACTGGATTCGGTTGATAAAGGCGGTCACGGGGTCGGTGTTGATGTTAAAAGCGTCATCGGCCTTGACCTCATCCTTGTCAATGAAAGCAGCAGTGATGATAGACGAGAGGACAGGAGAAGACCACAGAGACTTACCCTCGGGAGTGAGGACGTTGAGAGACGTAGGAGAGGCAACAAGGAAGTTGTCAGACCCAGTGTATGTCAGAGAAAAGGGAATCTGGGCCACAGAAGCCTTCTTGTTGAGAGAGTAGTCGAACGTCTCAATTGCAGCAGAGTCCTGAACCACAAGCTGTTCCTGGAGTGAAATGACAGCGTCTTTTCCATGGGGAATGTCACCGATGAGAACAGGCGCAAACTCGGAAAGATCAATCTTATACAGCTTGTCATCTCCTAGCACAAAGATATCAGCACCAGAGACATGAACCTGGCCCTCCTGGCCGATAACGCTGGTGGTAACAGTCTTCTTCGACTCCAGATCGATCAGGGTCAGGTGCACCTTTTCGCTGATGATACACGAAACCAAAAACTTGGAGGCGAAGGGCTGGAACTTGATCAGTCGCTGGCACAGACCCATGGTGATGGACTTGTCGGAGTCCTTAGAAATGATCCGGACCTTGGTGCTGGACCGTCCGTCCTCAAGAGCAACAACCGAAGTGTTGATCTCCTGTTGCTCTCCCTCCCCGGTGCTGATATCGACCACCGCCAGGTCTCTGATGGGATCAGCAGTAGCGGACCATTGTTCCTCGGGCACTCCTCGGTTGAGCTTGAACAGCCTAATTGATCCCAGAGCGTTGTCAGCTTGTGCCACATAGGTGTCGTCCTCTGTGGTCACAATAACACCCTCCTTGAGCACGTCCTTCTCATGGCTCTCCCATGACAGACCTCCGTCTTTCAAATTGAACCCGTACGACACACTTTGTTCCTGCACAATCGCGTGGTCATTCTTGAGTGTGATTGAGCTATTGTCGGAAAATCGCCGGCTCCATTTGATCCCCTTGGGGGCGTCTGAAGAAAGGTCGAGGGCAGAGAGAGCGTCTGCCGATGCCAAATATGCAACATTGTCGAGCACTTTGATGCTTTCGGGGGCGCTTAATCGTACCCAGTCGTTGACACCAACCTCGTCGATAAAAACGGCGACAACCGTCGATGCCACACAGGCCAGTACACTCAGTTGCAACTTCATGGTAGTGATGGTTCTGAGTGTCGTCACCTTCAACGTGCATGTTCGCTAAATCCAAACTTATTTTGATGCCCGGGCCAACACACCGTTATTACAGGATTTTCCAGAGAACAATGAGGTTTAAAGACACGGAAATATCATCTAAAAGTACAATACTTTGATATAGATTTTCAATCTCCTGGAAAAGTCGACTATTCATATTTCCCAAAGCGGAATAACCTAATCCATCATGTGTGATGTTAACTGTATTTATGGATTAAAAACGCAGTGTTGATGTGGTGGCTCAATGGTAGAGCTTTCGACTCCAGCAATTCTTGTTGTAATCGAAGGGTTGCAGGTTCAATTCCTGTCCATGTCAAATTCCTATGGGATTGACAATGGCTTAAACTGGAACAAATAAGGGGTTTGACTCCCCTAGCTTCTGAAGCTAGTCAACACTTTTTTTTGGAGATTTTCCTAACAATGTTCGATTACTACAATGCTTGTACTTCAGCCTCAATCTCAGTCATATTATTTATGTAGCTCTCTGTTCAAACAGCAGAGTATTGTCTCCCTCGGGCAAAGTCGTGTAAGAGTCCTTCATGGTGGGGAACTGTTGTTGAGGACTGGACTTCTTGATCTCGTACTTTTTGACGAGCTGGGCAGTAGCTAACTTCAACTCGCCCATGGCCACATTCATTCCAATGCACATCCGGATACCAGCTCCAAAAGGCATGAAGTAGGCGAGAGGAGGATCCTCGGACCACCGTTCAATTCGGAATTCCTCTGGGTCTCCCCAGGCCTTGTCTCGATGAAGAGTGTATGGCTGGGCTGAAATGATAGTTCCCTTGGGAAGAGCCACGTTCTGGAAAATGACTCCAGCAGGGCACACTCGTGGCTCGGCCCCTGGAATAGCAGCGTGGAGTCTGAGGGTTTCGTTGATAAGACCGTTGAGATAAGGAAGTGAGTCGACTGACTCAAGAGTTACATTGATGGGTTCAAGTTCAGCGTACAGCTTATCCTGAATGGATTTATCATGAGCCAGTCTGTGGAAGAGGAAGGCCAGAGTTACAGCGGTAGTCTCGTGTCCAGCAGCGATATGGTCCTGAACTTCGCTCATGGCAATCTTGTGGGACACGCCCTTTGACTTGAGCATGTCTAGAAGCGTGTCAGGATCTCCAGTCTGTTGAAAGGTCCAGTCGTTGCATCTCTGGCTAGCTTCGGAAATAGAGGTCTTTTCGCCCAACACAGTCTGTCTCTCGCTCAGGGCAGCAGCAAGATCCCACCATTTGGGCTGCAGAGTGGTCCAGAAGGTCATGGAGGTTTGCATTTCATGGTAGAAGACGAGTTTCTGGTTCCTACCAGCCAGCATTTCCGAATCAGAGATTGTCAGACGGGTAACTACATCGAAGGCAAGGTATCTGAAGAGAGTGTGAACGTCCTGCTTGTTGTTGGCCGCCACAACGGTCTCCATTTCGTCCACCTTCTCCTGAATGATTCCGGTGCCGTTGATAGTCTCTTTTCTATAGAAGCCTGTCATGAGTTTTCGCAGCTTGATGTGGGGCTCCTTTGTAAGAATACAAAAGAGATTAGGGGCTCCATAGTTTCCAAACTGCGCGTAGAATCGAGACTTATCAAAATTGCCGAGATAGACCTTTGAGACATCCTTGGGGTCGCAAATGGATACTTCGTCGGGACCCAGACGCACAATGGGTCCGTATTTCTCGTGCAAGGCCTGCACGTATCTGTTTCGGCTGTCTCTCCAGAAAATGACGAGAATCGGCATCTTACTGTAAAGAGTGTACCAGGGTCCAGGGCATTTTTTCAGCGGGTTGAGTTGGGCCACCACAACGAGATAAACGAGGTAAGCAGTTGCCAGGGAGACCAGAAGCGCCCCCGACGGCTCTGCTCTCACGAGATCGGTCAGTGTCATGGTTAGTGGATAAGGCGGAGTTTATTGCCAATGACAGGTTTGGTGACAAGATAAAGATGGTGCTTATCATGCGGGGGTGGAGAGTGCGGTGACTCAATTGAGTCATTTGTGGAACGATAAGGTGTGTGTCAAGACGATTGAAAATGAGAGTAGTGGGCCGTTTACACATGAAGTTGGGGTTTTGTTCGGTTTTGTTCGTCCTATTTGAGATCTCTGTTGCTTCATTAACAGTCAAATGTGATTTTTTTCACCTCTTTCCGCATTTTTGATTGGATAGAGGAGATGCTCGTATTGTTGCTGCACTCGGTGGGTAAGAACAAGAGAAGGTGGGGGTTATAGACACCCTGAGAGGCAGTTGTGGGGGGGGGGGGAACAAGAATTACCAATGAATTGTAGCAACCGTTTGTGTTGGTTTATATCCCACCTCCATCTGTTACATCTGTCGGCCAAAAATACCCGATTGAGTGTGTCTATCAGCATATCTCTCATTGGCTACAATAAACTCCGTGGAGAAGTGAAACACCAACCATGACGATCCGTGGAGATATAACACGGGAACGATACCATTTGTTGAAGCCAAGTGTCAGACTCGTTGGTGTTCCGGTCCGGCTTCCATGCAAAGAATCCAAAGTCTGCACTATTAGATATTAGATATTAGCCAAAAGCGTGTCTGGCGGGGAGATTTCAACTAAGGTCGTGTACCCAGGAACATGACTATTGGTACGTATGTACAGTTGAAGTACAGTACTCGAGCATCAGTACATACACAGTATCATACCATATGACTATGGCACCACTGGCACCACTGTGCTGGTTCATATGGGCCATTGCGGTGGTAAACCTTTGGACGATCAGCAAAGGTCTTAACGGGGGCACCTTCGTCAAGATATTGTACGGTGGTAACTACTTGTAGTTAATTCTGGCTACTGGTACTGGTATAGCGTACTTGTACATTACGTAACTCTCTATCCCAGTCCCTCAACCATCGCATTATAACTCAGTAACCTAGACCCGGCTATGCGAGCTACCTGCATCTAGCAAAAAGCAGCGTACATTCACGTATTGCACACCAAGGGATGCCACCGTCCTCTTCTTCCACTAAGAAGAGTGTGGCCTTATTCAGACACAGAAAGGACATAGTCTCGCAGCGTCTCGTAGCGCTCAAGAGCGCCGTCCAATAAAGGGATGGTCTAAAACTGCAGGGTGTCTAATCTATAATGGCTACTGCACGCTAATGTAAAGTTGATATCGACGGGGTGTGGGTGGACTAGTTGGAGAGAGAGAGACTCATGTTGGAGGTACTTGTGTTTCTGTTAATATGCAAATGTAGAAAAGACTTTCCTCAGGTCGTCCGCTTACGACAACATAACTACTTGAGCTCGTGGATATAGACATAGTATATATATATATATATATATATATCCTACCACCCAACTCAGTAGAACCCCAACCCCGATAACGCATGTGAACCTAAAACGCCAGGTGACCATCCGGAGCTGGTCTAAATAACCAACGGTGGCGACACTAGTCAGAATAACTACAAGCACAAGCCGGCACTCAAAAGCTGCGAGTAGTTGGTCGCGGTAGGGTGGGCAAATACACATTCTAATCAATTAATTATTGGCTTACTCAAACTTCTTGTAAGATCGAGCAGAAATGAGGTACTGGAAAGCACCGAAGGCAGCAAGGCCTCCGACGTAGATGCCGGCCAGCTTACCGTCAAGCTCACCTCGGGTGTGCTTCTGGTAAGCGGAGTAACCGACACCAATGGCAGCGACGATGCCGACAACAACGTTGGCAGCAACGACGGGGTTCTGGAGCTCGTTGGAGATCTTGGCGTAGAGCTCGGAAGACTTCTCGGACAGAGCCTTGCCGTCCTTCTTGAGCTCCTCGGCAAGCTCCTCCTTCTTAGCAATAACATCCTTCTCGACCTTTCGGAACTCCTTCTCGACCTTCTCGGCCTTCTTCTCGATCTCCTCCTGCTGGCCAGGGGTCAGAACGGGGCACTGCTTCTCCTCCTTGGTCTGAGGGGGGGCCTTGTGGGCGGCGTCGGCGTAGCTCTCGTTCTTGTTAGTGTGGCTGGGTTAGTAACGGTGTGTGGCGGGAGGCGTCGTGTGCAAATTGCCTGGTCAACATGTCTTGATTGCCTCGGCCACTGTGCGATGGACAGTCTCTGAGTCGTCTCGTACAACTCGCCGTCTGGGTACTTGTAGCCGGTGACTGCCATTGCGGTCTTGTATGATGAACCATTGAGGTCATGTGGCATGGTACTGCTCGTCACAGTATCCGTGTGGTCCTTACTATTGGGCGTCCAATAGCTCCGGGTTGTTACTCACGACATGATGGTTTTTTGTGTGGTTGGAAGGAAGTGTGAGGTGATAATATAACTGGTAGCAACTTGACGACGCCTGACTCCAAACCTAGACTAACCACTTGCCGATCAAGCGAACCTTAAGCAGAAGGTCGGCAGGAACTATTGGAGGGTGTGTGCAGTATTAGAGACATGTGGAACTATGTGGGAAGGAGCCCTTGTGTTTTGTGTCCTTTCGAATGTCTTATATATACCGTGTGTGGTCCTCCAGAGCACTCTTCTTCTCCCAACCCCGCCACCAACTGCCCTCCTCGCTAAAACATGTGATATGTTTGCTGCTGCAGTGGCGTGTCGAAACACACAGGTCTCATGCACCCGGCCCAGGACGGAACAAAACGGGGCTGTAGTCTGTGTTTGCTGTTGCGGCGGCTGGCTGAGATGCACAAGAAAAACACCTGCGATGATCCTGATCATCTATTGTCTTTGCTGAGTGGAGGTGGCACTAGTTGAACATGTGCGATGCTGTATCATTCGACGGAGTACGAGTTCATGGATTGCTACTGTTAATGGGTACTGTAACTTGGCCAGTACCACCGCAAAGCCTGCTCCATTGTTTTATTTTTCTTCTCATGTGCAAAAAAAAAAAAAAAAAAAAAAAAAAAAAACATAAATTTAATTTTTACAGGTACTGTAATTACGATACATGCTGCATTGTATTAATGAAACAGGCGATGAGGTCCGCAATATACGAGAGTCAAGCACAAGTGGCTCCGACAAGAGGAATCTTGATAGGAATCAGTGCGAAAAAGGGGAGAGGAGAACCGAACAGTTTTTGAGACGATACAATGTACTTTTACTGAGGGCTTGCGTCAATATAACCCTTTCAGACATAAACTGGTGTCGCGGACATGTGATATCACAGCATCACTCGTAATCTGGGCTTGGTGAACACTTGTCGGCTACTTGTAGTTCGGTTCACAGTCGTTGTCGATTCCTGAGAAACATGAAAATGAATAATCGCACTTGTGTCAAGTGATGATCTACTTTTAATGTGGTTGGAATTGGAGGCCGGTGATGAATGTTCCTTTTTACAAGTATGTAAATACGTACTATGGTCAGTTCCGAGCTCTCGTATTCAAGATTCCAACGGAAACCAACCACTAAAGCTGGCGCGCAAAGCAGTTTAGACGAGAATCCTGGAACTACCAAACAGCGGTGAAACTGTAGCTGGATTGTAGACCGTTAGTGGTACTACACGCACCGCCTGTGCCGTCTTTACAATGGGACTGGCTAAAAACGTTATACGATCTGGAGAGGCGGGACCAGCTCCAACAGCTCAGTAGAATCAGCCAACAGTATCTGCAAGTGGCTGCGCATAAACGTTTCAAACAGGAAGCAATCGGACTGCTCTGTATGTTCAGCTATGACAGTCTTTTGATCGACTTTTTTCCGTTTTGAATCAGATTAATCACCACTTCCCACCGCTTACCACAGACGTGAAAAGGCTGAACAAATAATAAAAAGCCATACAAGTGTCAGAATCTCAAGTGTAAACCCTTTCCAACACCTTTTCGGTCTTAATTTTTGTTTAATTTGATTTTATTGGTATTAATGAATCGTCGTTACTAACGGTACCGGGAATTTATTCCTTGAATCGGGCGAAAACGATTTCTAAATAGATCGGTGAGTGCATTAATCTGAATTTCCCCAATTATCCCGTTCCCCATCCATCTCATCACCCCAAATAAGCTTCCATTGTTTAGCCTTCTTCTCTGTCACATGATTTTTCCCGTTTGGGAAAACAGTCACAGACTCTTTCCTCCCAACTGCAGGTAGTGAAAAAAGCGAGCCACGAATTTCATCTTCACAACCGACAAATATATCAAAAATGTCTACTGAAGCAGCTGCTCCCCGAGGTGGATTTGGCCGTGGTCGAGGTGACCGTGGCGGACGAGGCCGTGGCCGAGGTGGCCGAGGCCGAGGCCGAAAGGACGAGGAGAAGGGATGGGTTCCCGTCACCAAGCTTGGTCGACTTGTCAAGGCCGGTCACATCAAGTCCATGGAGGAGATCTACCTGCACGCTCTCCCCATCAAGGAGTACCAGATTGTTGACCAGCTCCTGCCCGTTCTCGAGGATGAGGTCATGAAGATCAAGCCCGTCCAGAAGCAGACCCGAGCCGGTCAGCGAACCCGATTCAAGGCTGTCGTTGTCATTGGTGACTCCAACGGTCACGTCGGTCTCGGTATCAAGACCGCCAAGGAGGTTGCCACCGCCATCCGAGCCGCCATCATCATTGCCAAGCTCGCCATCATCCCCGTCCGACGAGGATACTGGGGTTCTTCTCTTGGTGAGCCTCACACCGTCCCCACCAAGACCTCCGGAAAGTGTGGATCCGTCAACGTTCGACTCATCCCCGCCCCCCGAGGTTCTTCCATTGTTGCCTCCCCTGCTGTCAAGAAGCTTCTGCAGCTCGGTGGTATCAAGGATGTCTACACCTCTTCTGCCGGTTCCACCCGAACCCTGGAGAACACCCTCAAGGCTACCTTCATTGCTATTGCCAACACCTACGGCTTCCTGACCCCCAACCTGTGGACCGAGACTGCCCTCACCCCCTCTCCCCTCGAGACCCACTCTTCTTTCCTCTCTTCCCAGAAGCGACGATTCTAAGTGTAGTTTAGAGTAAAAATTGCGTATCCTATCGAGTGAACTTTGCATAGTAAAGTGAACGGACCTGTAGACCGAAGCGAGCGTGTATCTGAACTGTAGAACCACGGGTGATATTGTATTGTAGACTGAGATTCACCATGGTGAGTGTTGGATTCTGATTCATAAGCGAGAAGCCATTCATATGTCTTACCGAGTGCATTGTACAAGGTACATACTCTAGCACAGGCTGTGGTTCGTAACTGTGAAGCCGTGATTGGTTTGAAAGAGACGAGCACAGATAAGGATGTTGTCATAGTTCGACCAGCCTCCTGTGGTGGTGAATCTGACGCAATTGGGCTGGAAGTCGGGACTCGAAGGTGCTCTTGTGTGAGAGTCCTAAAGAGCTGCTATTGGTGACATTGAGATTCGGCTCGGAGAAGAAGCTCATTCGCGAACCTCGTGCAGAGAGTCATATGAGAGACCTTGATTTCCCCGAGTGAGTGAGTGGTCACTACTAGGTCAAAGGGACTCTTGATAGGACTTGATGATGACTTGATAACTTGAAATGTGGAGACTTCAATCGCCGAACTCCTAGAACTCCACGGAATCTTCCCGTCTGTTCTGCTCACAAAAGTCCCAGCAGAATGAGCGTATAGCTTTGCCAGTTCCTAGTATAGTATGTACTGTGGGACTGTAGTTAAGCTTGAGACAATAGAGAGAGCGGAAGTGCCGGTCCCTTTACTATAAGTGGATAGTAACATTGGGAGTCCGTCCAAGCCCTGTGTCGCTGCGGGAGACCTTGTATCTACCATACTGGTGACAGTTGTACCCCCTACGGGTGAGATACGTCTGGTAGCCCTGAAATGAAGTACAGATGGATCTCAGTAGCCGTAGACCCATATTTTGCCGACACTATCTGAGAGCGTTGTACAACTCTTCACCAAGAGCTCCAATATGACTACTGGTGTAGTACAAGTACTTGGGTCTATCGATTCTTCACCTCAAACTGCGTCACTCCACCATCCATGTCTGAGGTATCAGCATCTGGTCTGAACAGACTGAGAACTTGTCTCATCCAAAACGTTCGCCCAATACCCCTGGTAGTTGCTTCACTTCCCTGTCATCCACAAGAGTCAACAAGACCTGTCCGACTGTCGCACGTTGTACTTCCTTGACCACAAGGATCGATCTTGCCAGGCAGCTCTCTGGCCAGCATCGCATGTACCAGTACTCGTACTCGTACAATAATTCGGGGGAAATACCTCACCGAGGCACAGTACTTTTCAAGCTCCGGTGTCGGTCTTCCTTCTTGTGCAGCGCACTTCGTATCATACTGATGTGCGCTAGTCCATCACTCACAGGACTGAACATGCTTAGACTGCCAGTACAGGTACCGCACCAAGAGATGTACGATACGGATACGGTACCCCTGGTCCCTTGTCAGTGACACCATAATATCAACGGCTCAACAGGTTGGAGCTGACCAACCTCGGATCTCTGCATCGGATGTCCCGTGCACTAACCTAAACATAAGCTGCGTGTTAATCTGGGTGTGAGTTTGGCCGACTGGAATGGCCGACACGTGCCATTGGGTCACATGAACATGACCCTGAAATGGCTGTTCATGGTATCTGGTGCCATGTCTTCCAACTGCGCGATACCCCGCTCCAGAGACCCCCCCTGTTGGTTCCCCCCGAGCTGGTACTCTTAGAGTTTGGTGAGCCCGGTTGGATGCAGTGGAGCTGTGAGGGCCCTTATTTTTATTTCGGCCTGTGATTTCGGATCTGACGTGTAGGTGACGTCATGTGGGGGGGGTTAGTGTTGGTGGTAGACGTCGGAGTGCGTGAAGAGCTGGAAGTGGGCTCGTCAGGCCTTTAAATGCCCACTTGTGCTGTTTTTGTGTCCAATCGGATTGTGTTCACGGCCGATTTTCTCCCTTATTATATTTAAACTCACCACCATACACAGAGCTCCCAATTAGCTTCTTCAACACTGTTGACGCAACTCACTACTTGGATGTGGGACGTCTGACACCCAAAGGTAACATCACACAGAAGCAATGAGGGCCACGTGCTTGCGAGAAAAAAAAGGGTGACGTTGCAGCAACAACGGGCGGGCACGGGGGCGGGGCTTTCCCAAGTCGATTTTCTCGGTTCTTGTCGCTATTCTAGAGGCCGTTATTGTCGTGCCCCCAAACATGCCAACCAATCGTTTTTTTCACGTTGCAGACTGCATCTCCGAGCATGACGTTGGGTGTGTTGGTGGATGCAGCTCCGCGCGACAGACACGAGTTAATAGAGCGGCAGGCTGGATGTGAGTGAGCCTGGTGGCGAAAGACGGTGAGTGCTGTGGCCGTGGATGGAGGGTTCTTGATCACGTGGCAGAGATCCCGCCGTCGCTTGGGCTCAATGGCCGACGCCTCACCTCTCGGTGCCTTGCATTCTCCAGCTCAACAAGAACCTTGACAGCTGCTGTAGTAACTCGTAGAGACCCCACACTGGCTGGTCAAGGCTTCTTGGGAGTATTGGGAGGTAAAAAAAAAAATTAAAAAAAAAAGACAAAAGTTTCAGGTCAAGCAAAAAGTGTAAAAACACAGTGGACATCATTTTCCAACCACGTTTCTCCAACAACCACTCTTCAGGTTCCTCCCCCCACCACCCCACAAAAAACACTCCCCTTCGCCGCAGCCCCAAACTGCATACCCCGTGGATCCCCGACACGACTTGATGAGCCATGTCTGAAAAAATTGACGCCCACACGTCCGGAGCAGACTCGGCCTCTGTCTCCAGAGTCACCTCGCGAGCAAACTCCAAAGTGTCGTCGCTCAACACGTCCAGAGACTCGTCACGAGAGGCCGAGTATCTGAAAAAGGCTGCCAAGGACTCGTCGCCCGAGTCCAAGAAGCAGGCATTCATTGTGCGAACCATCTGGTCGCTCGTCATGATTGTCTTCTTCTTCGCGGTGCTGGCGGCAGGCCACATCTGGGTCATTGCCCTGGTCGGCCTCGTCCAGATCCTGACCTTCAAGGAGGTGATAAATCTGGCTTCAGAGCCCGCCAGCGAGAAAAAGCTGCCCTGGGTTCGATCCCTTAACTGGTACTTCCTCGCCACCACAATCTACTTTCTGGAGGGCGAGAATATCATCCGATTCATCAAGCAGAACAACTCGGACCTGGAAAACACCCTCAACACCCTCTTCCTACACCACCGGTTCCTCTCCTACTGCCTGTACATTCTCGGCTTTGTCTTCTTTGTCGCCTCCCTGGAGAAGAACCACTATCGGTTCCAGTTCACCCAGTTCTGCCTCACCCACATGACCCTGCTGTTTGGTGTCGTCCAGGCTCACTTCATCGTCAACAACATCTTCCAGGGTCTCTTCTGGTTCTTTGTCCCCGCCGGCCTTGTCATTTCTAATGACATTTTTGCCTACCTTTGTGGCATCACTTTCGGCAAGCACCAGCTCATTGCCATCTCGCCCAAGAAGACAGTCGAGGGCTTCCTCGGAGCCTGGATCTGCACCATCATCTGGGGAGTCATTTTCTCCGTCTTCCTCTACAGATTCGACTACTTCATCTGCCCCGTTGAGGACATGGGAACCAACCTCTTCTCCAACCTGACGTGTGTTCCTAACCCCGTCTTCATGCCTAAGGAGTACCCCATCCCCACCGAGTTCCTGCGACAGCTCACCCACAAAACCACCTTCTCGGCCGCGCCCATCCACTTCCATGTTGGCATTCTGGCCTCTTTTGCCTCCCTTGTGGCCCCCTTTGGAGGCTTCTTCGCCTCCGGTCTCAAGCGAGCCTTCCAGGTCAAGGACTTTGGAGACACCATTCCCGGCCACGGAGGAATCACAGACCGAATGGACTGCCAGTTCCTCATGGGCTTCTTCTCGTACCTGTACTACGAGACCTTTGTGTCCAACCATGTGTCTAAGGTTGAGACGCTGCTCAACACTCTCATGTTCACCTTCACCCGACAACAACAGGAGGAGTTTGTGCGGCAGTTTTTCGAGTGGGCCAAGAACGAGGGTCTCCTTACTGGCTTCTGCGCCGTTCTTGAATAAGAAGGCACTCATACAATACACAGTATGATTCAACATCGTATTTATAGGATAGATTCAACTTTTCCAGCATGCCTTGTCTCATTAAGACTGGTTAACGCAAGTGGTACATAATAAAATGATTCCAATTAATTGAATGGTTACTAGTAGGTGCTAACTGTGGTAAGAGGATATGATGAAACATATATATATTCGCTTCTTGAAAAAATTGAGACAAAAAATAGCGATGCCCGGTTTCGATCCGGGGACATCAGGGTTATGAGCCCTGCGCGCTTCCGCTGCGCCACATCGCTTTAAGGTTGTAAGATGTAACAGATCGGGCGTACTATCTCTTGTCGTAATACTCTATCCAAGGCTGCTAGTCTCAATACTGCGCTCCTGGATCTACTGGTCTCGTCGAACTTCAATAATAAGCTAATCAATTAATCATATACAATAATCCTTCTTATACCTCCAAAGGCGAGTACCCCGCATGTCCTATTTGGGCACTCGCAGTCACACAGGCACGTGCCTTCCACGTAACCCTAGTCTCTATGTCACGTGCCTCCCACTGACATCTTATGAGTGTCTCCGAATCATTACACTCTCCCCCCCTAGGAGATGTCCACATAGTCCTCGCTTTCCGCAGGGGTCTTAATGAACTGGTTCCATTGATCCAATAGTGAATCCCGTTTGTCTTTAGGGATGCGGTGGAACATCTCTTTCGAAATTGAAGAGGCAATAGAGGGGTCACAATCTTCCCAAGTTACGAAGTAACGGTCGTCATCAATACCCACCAGGCTGGTGATCTGATGCAGGCTGCATTCTTGAGAGTACTCCGTACTGGGTGGGTTGATGTCATACTCAGGTCGAGGTATGAACTTCTTCAAGTGTTGTACATTGATATTCTTGTGTCGAGTCGAGTCGTATGGTAGCTGCACCTTGTAGACATTGGTGTCAATCTTCTTCTCGATGGGAAATGGTCCAAAGTAGACGTCATACATCTTTGCGTACTTGGCCTTGTCAAAGAACGCCTTCCGATGTACCAAGACTTGGTCGTTAATCTGAAACGCGACTGGCACTCGATGCTGATTCACCCTGTTCTCCTGGACCCGTTGGTGCTCGATTAATCGGTCGTGCATCGAATTGGAAATAGCCCGTAGTTTGTCCATCCAAGCGTCCATTTGATGGTGTACCTTGGTGAGCTCTCGAGTCGAGGCATACGTTGGTCCGTCTGGGATGTATCCATACACCGCCTCGAAGGGTGCGTATCCGGTGGACGAATGCTTTGCAGAATTCATCGCAAACTCGATGACAGGTAACCAGAGGTCCCAGTTTTTGTCCGTGACGAAGTGTTGCTTCATCTGTCGAATCAGCTCGGTGTTCACTCGTTCTGACTGTCCATCAGTCTGGGGGTGATTGACTGTGGAAAACTTCAACTCTGTGCCTAGACGTGTCTGTAACGTCTGCCATAGCTTTGCTGTGAATAGCTTGTCCCTGTCCGACACGATCGAACGAGGTACTCCGTGATATCGAACAATGCGGTCAATGTACATGTCCGCCAACTCTTCTCCATCCGTGCTCGTCTTGCAAGGAATCAGATGTACCATCTTTGACATCCTATCAACCGTGACCCAGATATTGTTGTGGCCTCGATGGGTCGTTGGGATGCCTCCAATGAAGTCCATTGTGATCTCCTGCCAATTTCCCGTCGGTACCGGCAGCTGCTTCAGCAAGCCCTGGGGTGGTGCTCGTCTGGCCTTCGTGGTCTGGCAGATCAGACAGGATCTGGTGTGGTTGCGCATGTGGTCTATCATTCGTGGCCAGTAGTAAGCCCTCGCCAGCCTTTCATAGCTTTTGAAGTATCCGTAGTGACCAGCAAGGGGTGCGTCATGAGCCTCCTTCATCAGCATTTTTCTGGCCTTACCTCTTGGCACGCAGAGTCGCTCTCCCTCCCCCTTGTAAACGGAGGCGAAATACAGCAGTCCTGTGTTCTTGTCGTATCGGAAATGGCGGGCGTGGTTGTGCATCTCTTTGGGGATGACCACCGGTTCCGTGGCCAGTACCTTGAAGACGTCCTTAAAGTACTCGTCCGACTCATAGCCCTGCTTGATGATGTCTAGCAACGAGTCGTCCGGCTCGAACACCATCGCTGTCTGTGCCAACATACGAGACAACCCGTCGGCTGCGTCGTTGTCTTTGCCCGGCACGTACTTGATCTCAAAGTCGTATTCCGCTAGGAAGTCGAGCCATCGACTCAGTCGTCCACTGGGAGGGTGTGTCTGGGACGTAAAGTAACTCAGAGACTGATGATCTGTCTCAATCAAGAACGGTCGGCCAAGTAGGTAGTGTCGCCACTTCCGTAGGGCATGGATGATAGCATAGAATTCCTTCTCACGCGTCGGGTAGTTCATCTCGTGTTTCTTGAACTTCGTGGACTCATATGCCACAGGTCGGAACTCTTGGTCCTTGGGACTCCACTGCTGTAGTACTCCGCCCATCGCAATATCGCACGCGTCCGTACTCACCTTGAACGTGTCCTCCATTGTAGGTATGATCATGACCTCGTTCGATACTAGCTTCGCCTTCATCTGTTCAAACGCCACCTGGCATGCCTCAGTCCATTTAAAGTCAGTTGGCGACAATGTGGCAGCGTCTGTGAGTGGGGCGGCGATTTTAGCGTAGTCTTCGATGAACCGTCGATAATACCCAGTCAGTCCTAGAAAGCTCAAGAGGCCTTTCGGCGTGTTGGGAGGTACCCACTCTTCCACAACCTTCACTTTCTCAGGGTCTGGCTCCACTCCTGCCGCAGACACCACGTGGCCCAGGAATCCCATCTTCTTCCTGAATAACTCACATTTCGACTTCTTGGCATAGAACTTCTGTGCTCTCAGGGCGTCCAAGACTTCCCTCACGTGTCGTTTGTGGTCCTCTCGGTTTCGGCTGAACACGATGATGTCGTCAAGATACACACAGACTGTCTTGTTAAGGAATGGTCGTAGGGCGTCATTCATCAATCTCTGGAAGGTGGCGGGAGCGTTGCATAGACCGAACGGCATTACCAGGTACTCATAATGTCCCGATCGAGTCGAGAAGGCCGTCTTGTGTACATCAGACTCTTTTACCAACACCTGCCAGTAGCCCGACAAAAGATCGAACTTGGAGAAGGTGTCGGCGCCGTCAAGGCAATCCAGAATGTCATCGATACGGGGCAGCGGAAATCGATCCTTGGTGGTAAGCTCGTTGAGGGCGCGATAGTCTGTGCAGATACGAAGTTCACCTCCTTTCTTTTTTACAATCACTAACGGTGCGCTGTAAGGTGACTTCGATGGTCGGATGATTCCTCGCTCCAACAAGTCGTTTACCTGCTTGTCGACCTCAGCCCATTCGAATCGGGTAAGTCGATACGATGCCCTGGCTGGAGGTCGTGCCGTCTCATCGGAGTCGATGGTATGTTCTACGCTCCGTTTCGGAGGTAGCTCCATTGGCATTTTGTCAACAATCACATCTGCATACTCCTCCAGCACCTCTCGGGTATCGACATCCGGCTCATGCTCCTCCCCCTCTGGCTTCTCCCGTACCATGTAGAGGAACAGCTGCGCACCGTGGTGTTCGGCCAGCTGCGTAGCTTTCTCTAGTGAGCACGACTTGATGTGGCCGTGTTTGTCCCACGTAGTTGACTCGTTAGCTGGCCATGCCGGTACCTCGTACCCGTCGGGTGTGAACGTTCGAGCTTTGAAATCCACGGCTTCATGATACTCTTCGAAGAAGGGCATGCCTAATAGTAGCTCTTGTCCGACCATCTGGGGTAAGACGTACGCAAACACGTCGCAACCCCACTTACCCAGCTCAACCGGTACTTCCACAGTATAGTTGGTTGTCTCCATGCTATGCACGGACTGGACTTGTCGTGGTTTGCAGGGCGTCATTTTCAGGCCTAATTTCTCAGCCAGGTTCCTGCTAATGAAGCACGAGCTCGCGCCACAGTCCAACAACGCCTGCACTGTGGTACCGTTGTAGCAGTACGGGATCGAGATCGGTGGTCGGTCGCCCTTGATCAAGGCTCGTCGCCGCTTACCATCTACCACCTCAACTCGTGCAGCAATCAGTGGTTCCTCCACTTGTTCCCCCACTTGTTCTTCCTCCAGCTGCATTGGTTCCTCCGTTTGCTCTTCCTCCAGATGCACCTCTACCCCTGCATCCTCCGGTTCTCCGGTAGTGTCCTCTACAAAGTTGGATTTATTGATTATATCATACTCCGCAGGTGGCACACTCACCGATTCGAGATCTTCGAGTGGCTCAGCAGTAATGGTCTCGGTCATTACTGCTGTCGCACATTTCCCTGGTCCTGTTGAATCAGTTCCTGAACACGTTCACGATGTCGGCAGTCACGAGCCAGGTGGCCAATCTTGCCGCAGGTGTAGCACTCACGAGAGGTTCGCTGGTTGTAGTAGTTACCACGGCCACCACGGTTGTTGCGGCCGTTTTGGGAGCCGTTGTTGTTAGCTCGTCCAATGGCGTTTGCCATCAGTTCAACCATATGGGTCTGCTGTTCCATCATTCGCTTCTGGCTGGCCTCCTGCGATTCCATCATAGCCTTGAGCAGCACCGCGTTGTCCACCTCCATCGGTCCAGGACCGTACTGGCTGGTGGATGTAGGTGTGGCCACAGGTGCGGCCGCGGGTGTCTGGGCGTGAGCTCCTGGGAAGTATTCTGCGCCTGCCACAATGTGCATATGACGCAGGGTCTCCTCGACGTTGTTCTGCAGTATGGGGCCCTGCTTCATGATCTCACGTCGCCACATGTCCTTCATACCACTGGTCAGCCGTAACCAGGCCTCCTCTGGGGCGGCCTCTCTGGACAGGTGGTGTCGTGCCGCTCGGAAGCGTGTCTCATAGGAATAGGATGACTCGTTGGGCCCACATTGCAGATTGCTCCAGTCCTCCTCCATGTTCATGGCGTAAGTCGAGGGAGTGAATCGGCTCTCGAGGGCCTGGGTGAATTTCTTCCAATCTCTGGCGTCTGCGCCCAGAGCGGCCCTACCACTGTCGAACCACCATTCCTCTGCAAGGCCGGTCATGGCCACGACGGCCACACCGACTCGAAACTGTTCGGGAACTTCGAAGTGTTCTAGTTTGTTGAGGATGCATCGCTACCACGTGTAACAGATCGGGCGTACTATCTCTTGTCGTAATACTCTATCCAAGGCTGCTAGTCTCAATACTGCGCTCCTGGATCTACTGGTCTCGTCGAACTTCAATAATAAGCTAATCAATTAATCATATACAATAATCCTTCTTATACCTCCAAAGGCGAGTACCCCGCATGTCCTATTTGGGCACTCGCAGTCACACAGGCACGTGCCTTCCACGTAACCCTAGTCTCTATGTCACGTGCCTCCCACTGACATCTTATGAGTGTCTCCGAATCATTACATAAGATTTACATCTCTTGAAACTAGACATCCATAGATTTATGTCACGTGATGGATTTCCTCGAAGGACTCTTAAAAGCGTTCAGAGGGCTTTTGGAGACACATGAAAAGATATATGATATGAAACTCAACCTGAACAATGTGGAGAACTGCTCCCTTTCTCGAGAAGATCATTTCTAGCTTCAATTCGTGAGTCTCGTTCTCAACACTATTATCAGATCATGATTGGAGAGCGATGAAGTCTTTAGGCACTGATCTTGAAGTTGAATTTCAGAACATACTGAAATAACAGATGAATCAATTGTATCAATCTACTATATTTCTTGCCAATCGCTTCGTGTCGCTTTTTTGTTTGTTTGCAGCCTATAAATGGCGGTTTCATCCTTTGGTCATCTACAAGGTGGTCTTTACAATGCAAGGGAACGCAAAAAGTTCAGGGTGGGTATTTTAGCGATATGGCCAAGTCAAGTTCTCATCAGAGATCATATTTTGTCGTCACTTACTTGTTTGAAGTCTCTGTGTCGGAACTCTGGCAGACCCCGAAACCTATGTGGGGGGGGGTTAGAAGCAATTGGAGAAGAAACGTTCAGTAACTTCAAAACTAGTTTTCCTCTGTCAAATTTTGGATCAGATCAAGTGTCCTATCAGTCTCGCCCTTGTGTTTGCACGGTCTGCCAAGTTCTCTCAGATGATCTACGTTCAACTAATGAGACAGAAAGAGCACGCAGGCTTGAAAGCAGGCTTGAACGTATTTGGTTGAGTCATTGTACGGCAACTGGAAGGGGCTGAGTTGATCTATCTGTCTTCTTCTTCCTCTTCTTCTTCAAATGACATCAGCACTGGAGATTCTCTCCTAGCTCATGGACTGAGACTACTATGTTCTATGGAGTTGTGCTCTCAATCCAACCATCTTTCACAACATCAAACTCAAGTCCACTGAGAACATCTCGCTCGACTTGTCTCTATCTCAACACCCAGGGCTATCTGAGCTGGATCGTGGAGGACTGGCTGTTGTATTTCGACACAACCACCCGAGGGCTGTATGCTTGTCGACGCTCGGACACCTCTGGACACAAGCACTATCCTCTGCTGCGTCGAACTACACGCGAAAGTCCACTAATGGCTTTTCTATTGCCAGCGTTCTGCTAGATACAGGAGGAGGGTTTCTGTCAATGGGACAGCTGGTTTTCGACGGTATCTTCGACCACGACAGGTCAGGGTATCTACAAGAATGTGCCCAAGTTTTTGCTTTCCTGGGTCACCATCTTCTTCGACGTGGTTCTCATGCTCCCGCACGACTGGTTCCCAGGAGCTACAGTACCCACATCCAAGATGGTCAAGATGTGAGTGAAGAGCCTGTGTATAAGGCAAGGGGAGCACTGGCGTATTTTGAATAGATTGAGTAGCATGAAGAGCATAGACGGGTTGGCCCAGTTTCTCTCGTTAGCCTTCTGTTGCAAGTGAACAGCGCACGATCTTCCATGTTCCGGTGCACAAGTAGACACCCTAGACACGCCGAAAATATCTCCGTCTCAATCAATGGGCCTTGGTTTATCATTGTTACACCATATCAATGAGCAAAGAAGGACACAACGCCGGGCGTGACCATTTGTCTTGGTCACAACTGCTCCAATTGTCGACGAATTACTCAGATTTCTCCGTCGGAGCTGATCTGACACCCTCCCCCACACAAACAAACTCGCGTTAGCCCTCTTCTCTGCAGTACAGTAGCGATGGTGACAGTAGGTTTAGCGGGGCTGTGTACAGGGCTGTTGAGATGGGGTATCTGCTAGTACAATCGTACAGTATGTACAGTAGGTGCATTGTGATTTGTAAGCATGGCACGGCGCAGTATGATTACCATCTGTTAGCTTGGTTTCCGATCGCCTCTGTCGTTGAATTGATCTCGGAAAGCAGACATGTTCCGACCTGTTTGTGGGTTGGAGGTGCAACCCACGTGCAAGGAGTAAAACCGGTTGGCAGGGCACAACCCATGCCTTTCAGAAGCATGTCCTAAAAATTCAAACAGTAAAAAAGCAAAGTGCATCATACCGATACAGCAGAGAGTACAGTATGTACAGTACAGCAGTGATTACAGACTACAGATGCTGTTAGTTAGGGTTGGTAACTGAAGCAATCAACAGTGTCGCCTCTCCCTCATATTTTTCCCCCACTTGATTGAACTACTACAAGTAGTAGTACAACGCCAGATACAAGTACAGTACACACCCCACTTTCACTACTCATGTATGAGCAAACAATAGCAGAGGTTTATGGTGCAAATTCTATCGCTGGATCGTGTCTTTGGTGGCTTCTCTTTCTTTGTCCTACTGTAGGATGCACAATACACGCACAGTCAAGATTGACTACAGCCGTGACGACCACCGATTTGCGTTGACTCAAAACGGAAGGCTGTGAAGACAGATATATATATAGAGGTATAACCTCCCCCGACTTTGATCCCCGTCGTCTCTCGCTTCTCCAACTACTCAAAAACAATGGCTCCCAAGGTCGCTGTCGTCTACTACTCCGTCTACGGACACATTCGAACCCTCGCCCACGAGATCCAGCAAGGTATCAAGTCGGCTGGAGGCTCGTCCACCCTCTACCAAGTCCAGGAGACCCTTCCCCAGAAAGTTCTCGACATCATTAAAGCTCCCCCCAAGGCCGATGACCCCGTCATCACCCCCGAGAAGATCACCGAGTACGATGGTATCCTTATGGGTATCCCCACTCGATTCGGTAACCAGCCTGCCCAGTGGAGATCGTTCTGGGACCAGACTGGAGGTCTCTTTGCCAGCGGAGGACTGGCCGGCAAGTACGCCGGTGTCTTTGTGTCCACTGGTACCCCCGGAGGAGGCCAGGAGACCACCGCCATCAACGCTCTCTCCACCATTGCCCACCACGGCATGATCTACGTGCCCCTCGGATACAAGGAGGCCGCCCCTCTGCTCACTTCCTTCGACGAGATCCACGGAGGCTCGCCTTGGGGCGCTGGTACTTTTGCTGGAGGAGACGGATCTCGAAAGCCCACCGAGCTCGAGAAGAACGTGGCCCGAATCCAGGGTAAGCAGTTCTGGGAGACTGTCGCCAAGGCTTTCAAGTAGACGTTGACATTGGCGTTGATTGCGATGATGGAATTTTGTATAGGTACACCAATGATGATAGATTTGAGTTGATGACATGGAGATGTGTAGATAGGGGGCAAGTATGGATGCCAAAGGTATAAATAAGGCATCAATTGATATATGGAATATCAATTGAGCTGGAAGAGTGATATATATATCTTCGTTACAGCCCATTCAGTTCACCATTGAAGCTGATAGAGGGTGTATCGCGCGTTATCTTATGTCTTCAGCCTTGTCTTCCAACCTCACTCAAATGCAGCTGATTTTTCCAATAGACGTGGCTGATTCTTGTACATATAATCTCGTCACTAGGGAATTTCAATTTTTCCAACTTTCAGCCTTATGTCGTTCGTATTGACGCTATAATGTGCATCCCCCTTGATTCACATTTACTTATCTAGCCTTAACTAACTCTAAGGCACTTTACTTAGGTTGTCGCATTCATCACAAACGCAGCTAAATCGTCGTATGCATGGTGAGGGTAAACTTGTACTGTCATCACCCCTACGTCGATTTTGAAAACCACAGCGATGGGACATAGAGACAGACACAAACTGACTCTAGCGTCGTCCAAGCGCCGGCTTCGCCACGTCCATCGCCTTTCCTTCGCCAATGTGGTTTGTGTGCGCGGCAAAAACGACCTCAAAAGCATCTCTTCGGCGCTCGCCACGCCCCTGGACACCCCTCCGACCCGGCCAGCGTCGCCCTTCATCACTAACCACGACTCTCAATTCCGCGTTTCTCAAAAAGGCTTTTTGCCGTTTGTGACTGCCAAAAAGGCCACGTCGACCAATGTTTCCATCACAACCAAGGGCGAGTCAGAGCCCGAAAACGGAGTTCATGACGAGACTACGGAGCCTAAAACGAACGGCAAAGAACTCATGCCGGCCCCAACTATCACCAGCGTCACGGAGTGTCCCGCGCCAACTCCCGAAGTCGAGATTTCTCGGGGACCCAGCACAGACTCACTGAACGACGAACTCATGGAATACCACCCACCCACCGCATTCTTCTCAATCCACGACCCAGAACATAAAGACGAGCCCATCTACGTATCGTCCTTGTTTGTGCACGAGTCGAACTTTGGCGCGGACCTGGACTTTGACAAAAACTACAGAGATTTAAAGGAGATCGTGGTGGTTCTGTGGCTCGAGGACAGCGACGACGCAGAGCTGTTCCGGCCCTCGGTATATCGAGTCGATTTGTCGTCTTTACGATACATTGGCCAGGATGAATCAACAGCCCGTCGGCAGAGCCAACTAGTCCTGTCCCTTGACGACGGTTGTTTCACTCCGGGAACTCCCTCGGCCTTTCTACACCAGGTGTCTTCTTCGTCTGGGTTACGCACACCCGCAGAGCCCTTGAATGCCACGTCATTTGACCAGATGCTCAAGGTGCTCAATATGGAACATCTTGTGAAGGACGCCGAACACACCCGACAGACAATCTCGAAGGAGGTAGAAACTCTGACGCGGAATCGGGAGCTGATGACCATGGCTGAACGTAGTCAGAACTACACCACTGCTGAAATAGCCCGGATAAAGGAAGCCCAGGCAGAATTGGCCACCACGAAGTTCAAGTTGGACCAAAAAAGGGCAAAGCTCGTGCAGGACATAGAAACGAGGCGTGCGTACTTGAGGAGCGGGGAAATGCTGCAAGATAAGGCTAGGGAGGCGCTACAGGATGTACCTACGGATCTGCACAAGCAAGTTCAGGACGAAAAGCGAGCTCTTTTCGATATCAGGAAACAGGCTCTTCAACAACTTTGTGAAATCTTTCCTATCACTCATAGGAATGGCTCGTACGCAATTGCCGGCCTATCACTAACCTCCCCCGACGAACACGAGCAGACATTTGCATATTCTCTTACTTGCGAGCTTCTGATGCTCCTTTCTGGGTTGTTTGAGATTCCGCTGAAGTATCCCATCACACGTGTGGGCGCTCATCATGCCATCTTTGACCCGGTGAGCGTGATCACCGGATCGCGTGCGTTCCCTCTGTTCCCCTCGTCGTTACAGTATCGTTTCGAGTATGCCGTGTTGCTGCTCAACAAGGACATCCAGATGATTTTGGAGCTGCTTAAAATACCCATTGCAGATGGACGGGAGACTTTGGGTATGTTGGCCATTCTTTTGGCCGTCAACATGTAGTGTATTGTAGGTATTATTTATTTCGTTATGATTATGACATTTGGACCCAGCTGGCGCAGTTAGTGGTATAGCCGGCAGCGGGTGTGCGTGTAAGCTGCAGTGTGATGCATGGTCGGGTCCGAGGTGGGGTGGGTAGGGTGAGATTACTGTACAAAGATGAGTAGAGAATCGGTGTGTGTGCAATTGGCATTGTAGATGGTAGGTGTGTGTGGTTTTTTGTATGTGTGTGGCTGAATCCGTGATACAGGCACTGTATTTCCGGGTTGCAAGGGAATGTGAAACATCTCCTGTAAGAGAGCTAAGTCAGGTGTATATACATAGATATATCTCGCGCAATTGGATGGGTATGTATTACCTAAGCGCATGATCAGAATGTCTTACCCTAGAACACACCCCCAGGGACCCCCCCAAACGGTCTCATTCTACCGAGGTACCAGACATATTCCCATATATCGTTCTATGTACAAGTATTGCAACCCCCCACCTAACTTCGACCCCACTTGAACCTTGTTGCTGAGACAGTACAAATATAAGGAGCAGTCCTTGACTTGACGCTGTCAACTTATTGCGTGTCAAATTTCAACATGCCCAACACTCTTACTCCCGAATGGCTCAAGACCTGCGTCTACAACCCCGGCCTGTTTGATGGCAAGGTTGTGTTTGTGACCGGAGGAGCAGGCACCATTTGTCGAGTGCAAACCGAAGCTCTCATTCTGCTGGGTGCCAACGCTGCCGTGATCGGACGACGACCAGAAGTGACACAAAAGGCCGCGGAGGAGATGCAGCAGCTGCGTCCTGGTGCCAAGGTAATTGGAATTGGCAACTGTGACGTGCGAGAAGTCAAGTCGCTGGTGGCGGCGGCCGAGAAGGCTGTGCAGGAGCTGGGTCGAATTGACTACGTAATTGCAGGAGCCGCAGGCAACTTCCTGGCTGACTTCAATCACCTGTCTGCCAACGCCTTCAAGTCCGTCATCTCAATCGATCTGTTGGGCTCCTACAATACCGTCAAGGCATGTTTCCCCGAGCTGAGAAAGAACAAGGGTAAGGTGCTATTCGTGTCTGCTACGCTGCACTACAGAGGAGTCTCGCTGCAGTCACACGTGTCAGCAGCAAAGGCAGGTATCGACGCACTTTCGCAGGCTCTAGCCGTGGAGCTAGGGCCTCTCGGCATCGCTGTCAATTGTCTGGCTCCTGGTCCTATTGACGGCACCGAAGGTCTCGGACGTCTGCTTCCTTCGGATGCTCGGAAGCGATCTCTGCAGCTTGTGCCCGTGCAGAGATTTGGAACCACAGAGGACATTGCCAACGGAACCGTGTTTCTCTTCTCTGATGCGGCCTCATACATCTCAGGTACCACTCTTGTCATTGACGGAGCAGCATGGCACACTTCTGCCCGAACTACTTACCCGGAGACTGTCATTGTGCAGGGCAACAAGCCCCCGAAGCTATAGGAGTATTAATTATATAATGATGATGACATTTATACACACAAGTGATTATTATACAAGCTCAGCAATAACCCACTGGCAGTACCTCATGAACCTCAAAAGAGACACACTCCCTACATAACAACGCTTAGTCAGCATTTACTAAATGGTACACCAATTCAAGTTGTTTCTACCTCGAATATAAATTTCCACCTGTATTTACAAGTTTGCTAATTTGGTTCTTCCCATGAGCTTTTAGAATAGCCCTAAACGCCCAAAATGTCGTGGTAAATTTCGCTATTTTGGGGCTCTAGTATGCTCTAGAGTCTCAAGACTCAACGCCGCGATTCGTGGCCCAGTGGCAACTTGCCGGAGTGGTTAACGGGACAGATTCGAATTAACGTACTATCTGTTGGGCTTTGCCCGCGCAGGTTCGAATCCTGCAGTTGTCGATTTTTTTGCACAATTATGCACGAAACGAATTTTTTTGTTCTGAATCTTGATTGTGTTAAGACATCTCCTATAGCGAGAGTGAGTCTCCCGGATAAGGCGCCGGGGGGACACGTTTTGGCGCCAATTTCCAGCAGAGGCAACGCCGTTGATCAAACTCTGCAGGTTGTGGGAATCCAATGAGACATCCATGGCCTTCCATAACCAGGCTTTGGAGTCAAGGCACCACCTATGAGTTGGCCGAGACGATAACCTTCTAACTTCCTCACAGAAGATGGAACTTTGGGGGGGATAGAGTAGCTGCCTTGGAGGTTGGTGATTGTTGGTAACACAGATGAAATAGCTATAAGCGCCTGATTAGGGCGAGGAAAGTTGCAGGAGCCGAATCCGAAGGGTCAATTGTACATCCGAAGAAGTCGATATTCGCTCAAACTTCCGGCTTGTGCTCTTTTGCGTCCCCGAGGATGTGTGTGCAAGGTTTGCCAAGTGCAGCAGCGGTTACATTGCTGGAAGATGTACACTATGGGTGTTGATTGGGGGGTGCTATGGAAGGGTGTATGGAGCAGGGGTGCTAGGTGGTCCACGGACAAATCATAAATAACACCTATTGCTGGTAGTTGGATACGAGACTTGTTTGACAAGAGCCAAACGATACACCAATGTGTATGAAACCTACGCACTCTTGGCATATCTACTGGTACTGTAGCGACAGATTCACTTGTTGAGAGCTGTGCTTCCGAGCATCGGATGTACCTCTTTCTCATATAATTATCGTCAATAATACCGCGCATAACCCAGGCACTCATCAGGGCTGTACACCCTCCTCTCCAATGGCAGGCGCTCGTAGCAGCAACTAAACCTTGGGGAGGGGGCGTGATCGAGGAAAGGGCTTCCAGTGCGTACCACACACGTATATCGACGTAATCGTGCCATGCAGACGGCGTGAGATAGTGTAGTTTGAGCTGTATTCTGAAGCCGGTCTGCCACCGTATGTATAGGATCCACGTCCAAGAAGCCGCCTCGCTGGAGCCACCGGATCATACCCCATGTTCCAATACCCCGCTGAAAGGACAAACAGAAGCCGGACCGTGCGGTGCGGCGAGATATTCGGATTTGGCTCCATTATCTTTGTGTATCCGGTGCAAGTCGGCTTTTGCGGCTCGGAAATGGCTACTTGTAGCTCTGGGTTTGTGTTTGAGGGGAGAGTTGGATATGGAAAAACGTGGATGGTGAAGCCTTCGGGGAATTGGTGTGGTTCCCAATCAACTACTAGGTCAATTGATGCCGTCTTTTTGGAGATTTCTGGACGCCATTGAATTGCTGTCCATGAGACACCCCATATTCGCTTAAGCAGCTTCCTTACCTTAGCGAGGCACAGAACATTCCGCCTGTCAGCCCCAACCCAATCTCTGAGGGCCACAACTCTCCCCCAATAGCCAGCTGCCCCAGTTGCTCGATCAGCCACCGAAGCTTCAGACAAGGCAGTTACACACTGAGCCTCAAGGTTGTGCGGGCGGATGGGGTATAAGGGTTGAGGTGGTAACCGTGTGAGCTCAGAAGATATATAAAGGGGTGGCCATGTCCCCCTATCGCTCCTTACCAAACAACAAACAACAAACAACTACAATATGAAGATCCTTCTTGTTCTCTACGACGCCGGTTCCCACGCCAAGGATGAGCCTCGACTTCTCGGATGTACCGAGAACGAGCTTGGTCTCCGTGACTGGATCGAGTCCCAGGGACACACCTTGGTGACCACCTCCGACAAGGACGGTGAGAACTCAACCGTCGACAAGGAGATTGTGGATGCTGAGATTGTTATCACCACCCCCTTCCACCCCGCTTACATCACCAAGGAGCGAATTGACAAGGCCAAGAAGCTCAAGATCTGTATCACTGCCGGTGTTGGTTCCGACCATGTCGACCTTGATGCCGCCAACGCCCGAGACATTGCCGTCCTCGAGGTTACCGGATCTAACGTCCAGTCCGTCGCTGAGCACGTTGTCATGACCATGCTGGTTCTGGTCCGAAACTTCGTCCCCGCCCACGAGCAGATCATCGAGGGTGGCTGGAATGTCGCTGCTGTCGCCAAGGACTCTTACGACATTGAGGGTAAGGTCATTGGTACTGTCGGCGGTGGCCGAATTGGTCAGCGAGTCCTGAAGCGACTTGCACCCTTCAACCCCATGGAGCTCCTCTACTACGACTACCAGCCCATGCCCAAGGACGTGGAGAAGGAGATTGGCTGCCGACACGTCCCTGATCTTAAGGAGATGCTCTCTGTCTGTGACATTGTTACCATCAACTGTCCTCTCCACGACTCTACCAAGGGTATGTTCAACAAGGAACTCATCTCCCACATGAAGGATGGTGCTTGGCTCGTCAACACCGCCCGAGGTGCCATCTGTGTCACTGACGACATTGTTGAGGCCCTCAAGTCCGGTAAGATCCGAGGCTACGGTGGTGATGTCTGGAACCCCCAGCCTGCCCCCAAGGACCACCCCTGGAGATACATGCGAAACAAGTGGGGCGGTGGAAACGCCATGACCCCCCATATCTCCGGTACCTCCATCGATGCCCAGGGCCGATACTCCGAGGGTACCAAGAACATTCTCGAGGTCTACTTCTCCGGAAAGCAGAACTACCGACCTCAGGATGTCATCTGTATCAACGGCCACTACGGCACTAAGGCTTACGGTGACGACAAGGAGCACAAGGCCCACGTTTCCAAATAAGCACTTTAGCTGTTTAACTTATAAGCAATTGACTACTAGAATTTGCAAGATATATTAGAAGCTCATATCCCCTAGCGTACAGAATGTACGGTGTTTCAATTATGTGGCACGTATCTCCAAAGGACTTTAGTCCATTGTGAAAATGAGCTTGGTCTCTAGAGAATATCTCAACTTGTCCAAATCTCCAGCCACGAAGAAGTGCCCCTGACGAGAGGATCTTGGAAGACAACCCGCTTGTCATCCTCCGTCGTCTAATGATCCTGCAAATGACGAAGCCCACAAGAAACCAAACTTGGGCCCGCCAGCGTACCTCTCCTCACGCTAAGCCTTTTTTTTATTCTAATGATTCGGTATGATCCATATTACGTTTATGAAATTAGTTGCGGCCATATCCTGGTGAAAATACGGCTTCCCGTCCGATCAGCCATAGTCAAGCACCAGAGAGCCTAGTTAGTATTGTAGTGGGAGACCATACGAGAATCCTAGGTGCTGCAATTTCTTTTTTTCAATCTCAAGGCGGTAGGGAGCGTTTTTGCTACCTAATAAACCCAGTTAGATTTTTCACACATTTCAATCCTAGAAATCACACCGTCTGGATCAAATTTGAATGACTACTGTAGTTGTACGTATTGCCCCAGAAATACGCCACTACAATACAATCTCTTTCAATGTTAAAAATCTAATAAACTAAATCAGGTCTGCTGATTATCATGCTATGCTTTTTCGTAGGCTTCCTTAGCCAAGTCAATGAGAGCCTCAAACTCGCCAGAGTCGGCACACAGAGAGTAGAAGACTCCGTCCTTGTCCTGCAAAAGCTCGTGGGGAGGAGCATATTCTCGGACCTCGCCAGCGTCCAGAACCAGAATCTGATCATAGTCGATAATGGATCGGAGACGGTGGGCAATGGTGAGAATGGTGGTGTCGTTGAGCTCCGATCGGATGGTCTTCTGGATCTTGGCGTCCGTCTCGTAGTCGATGGATGCAGTAGCCTCGTCCAGAAGAATAACCTTGGGGCTCTTGAGAAGCGATCGAGCTAGACACATGAGCTGTCGCTGACCCTGAGACAGGTTGGATCCAGACTCAGTGACAGCAGAAGACAAGTCCTTGAACTGGTTCTTGTTTTCGTTAGTAGCGACAGCAGAAGAGCTGCTACCGTCAGACTCGGAGCTGGAGGAGTCCTCGATCAAATGCACCCGTCGAAGCGCCTCAAATACCTGTTCGTCTGTGTACTGGTCAAAGGGGTCCAGGTTGGTTCGGATGGTTCCCGTGAAGAGAGTGGGGTCCTGGGGGATAATGGCCAGGCCTCGTCGCAGGTCCTTGAGACCAATCTTGCCAATGTCCACGCCGTCAATCTTAATGCTACCCTGGTGGGCCTCAATGAGTCGGAAGAAGGCGGTGATGATGGTGGACTTACCGGCTCCGGTTCGGCCGACAATACCGACCTTGGACTGCGGCTGGACGTGGAAAGTAACGTCCTTGATGACATCAGGCACCTCAGGAGCGTATTTGAGGGACAGGTTGTTGACTTCAATCTCTCCCTTTGAGGGCCAGTTGGCAGGAGGTCGAGAGTCCTCAATGACGGCCGGGGGCTCCTGGTCCAGATCAAGATACTCCTGGATTCGCTCGACAGAGTTCATGTTCATCTCGTTGACGGCATAGAGTCGCACAGCCCACAGCACATTCTCAGAGAAGAGGATGGCGTAGGTGAGAGACACACCTGCGAGGCCAGAATCAATCTTGCCAATGGCCATGAGAATGGAAGCACCAGCGAAGAAGGTGACGAGAGCACCAGCAAGATCAACTCGGAAAGACAGCCATCGGTTGGCAACCCACAGGTAGAAGAAAGGTCGGTTGTTGGTGTCGACCTTCTCCAGATTATCTCGTACAAATCGTGGCTCATCTCCGTAGGCTCGGATGGTAGTCACACCAACCAAAGTCTCTCCAAAGTGCTGGTAGATAGGAGACTTTGTGGTGGAGTCCAGGCGCTTGAGCTCTCGAGATGTGGTCAGGTAGAAGATACCAATGGCCAGGTAGATGCCGGCAATGATGATACCAAAGAACAGGAAGGAAGGTGTGATCATGGTGATAAGAACCACAGTGGCCAGGCAAGCCAAAAAGTTCTGGACCATCATTCCTGCGGCCATGGCAGTTTCCTGATCCAGAGCCTCCACGTCCTTGGAGAATCGGTTCATGATTCGGCCAATTGGAGTGGAGTCAAAGAATCGCAGCTTGGCATAGACAACCTTCTGCATGAGCTCGTTAAACAGCTTTCGAGAAGCCCGCAAACCTCCAAAGAAAATGTACAGCTCCTTGGAAACAGACAGGAAAACAAAGACAACAGCCAGAATAAAGTAGATGGTCAGGTAGTAGCCAGCCGAGTGAGCGGCGTGGGTCTCGTCCTCAACATTGACAAAGTTGGAGGTAACATTGTGGTAGAAGACAGAGAGAGACTGCAGAACGGGAGAAGACTGGACAACCTTGGCGACAGAAAGAAGAGTTCCGGGCTCCACACCGTCGCCGGGGGTACCAACACCAATTGCCCACTGTCGGATCCAGAAAGACTGGTACATTTCAGCTGATTGAGAGGCCACAAAGGCAATGGTCAGACCACCCCAGAAAATGAGACCACCCATGTTGGCCATGTATCCCTCGTAGACGGACCAGGGCACGGTTCCCTCGGATCGGGCCTCCTCCTGGGTGAGCTTTCCAGCTCCAGAAGGAGTCTCTTCGGCGATTCGAGAGGCAACCTTGGTCAGCAGATCAGATTCGGCATCAGCGGCAGCAGCCTCAGCAGCATCGGGAAGGTTCACGTGGGAAGCGTTCTTAGAAGCGGAGACAGATGCTGAGGACAGAATGTGCTTGTCGTCTCCAAGAAGACCCTGGTCGGCCATCTCCTGCGGAGTTCCAGCGCCCTTGATTCGTCCATTTTCAATGATGATCACCTTGTCGGCGTTGGTGATGGTCAGAGCAACGTTATGGGAGACAAGAATACAGGTTCGGTTGGCCATGTACTCACCAGTGATGCAGTGCTCGTAGATCCAGGCAGCAGTGTGGGAGTCAACAGCAGAAAGACAGTCATCGAGAATCACGTGTCGAGCACGGGTGTAGAGAGCTCGAGCCAGCGAGATACGCTGCTTCTGGCCTCCAGACAGAGTGATACCCTTCTCTCCGACCTCGGTGGAATCTCCAGCCTCCAAAATCTCGAAGTCTCGCTCCAGACCACATGCCTTGACTACCGCCTGGTATCGGGTGGGCTCGTACTCAGAAGAGAAGAGAATGTTGTTTCGGACAGTGTCGTTGAGCAACCAAGCCTGCTGGGGGCAATAGGCGACAGACTCGGTGAAGCCAGTGGAAGGATCGATGGCGAGCTGTTCTCGAGGCTCAGCACCAGGCAGGAAGACCTGGCCCTGCTCAAGCTCCATCTCTCCGAGCAGTCCAAGCAGAAGAGAGGTCTTTCCAGAGCCGGTGGGACCAATAACGAGGTTGAGCTGGCCGACCTTGAAGGACAGGTTGAGGTCTCGCAGCTTGAAGTCGGACTCCTTCTTGCCCCAAGAAACGGTAGCGTTCTCGAAACCAATGTAGGGGGAGTTGGGACCTCGAACGGGGTTGCATAGCTGCACGTACTTGGAGGTCTCGTCTTCGGACAGGAACTTCTCGACTCGGTCAATGGACACCTTGGACTGCAAAACGGCAGCAAGCATCTCGGTGAACTGGGCCATGGGGATTCGCATGATGTTGAACAGAGACAGGGCCGTGAAGGCGATAGGAGAGGTCAGCTTGTGGCCTAGCACAGAGGTGTAGACACCAAAGGAGGCAACGGTGACCAGGGAGGGGGCCATGTACCAGAAGAGACCGGCACCAGCCCAGGTGATGGCTCGTCGTCGCAGCAGCTTGAGCTCCTTCTCTCGAACCTCATTGACACCGTCAATGAACTTGTCTTCCCAGGCAAAGAACTTGATGATTCGAATCGACTGCAGCAGTTCGTTGGTCTTCTCGATTCGGATATCGGTGACACCCATGAGATCTTTCTGGACAGCAGAGAATTGAGCAGAGAAGAGGTAGTTGGCAGGCATGAAGAGCAACATGACGAGCGAGCCGGCAAGAGCAGACCAGCCAATAAGCACAAACAGCAGCCAGATGGACACGGCAAAGAGTACAATGGAGGCAACAAAGAAGTGCAGGTAGGCACAAACCTCGGAGACCTTGAAGGCGTCAACGGCCATCAGGTTGATAATGGCTCCCAGGTTGGCCTGCTGTGGTCCCTCTCCGTTGTTTTCTTCTGCGAGCGCGTCAACCTCGGCTTCACCAGAGATTGGCTCATCGGGCTTCTCCTTAGTCTCGGCAGCAGAGACCTTTCGTCGCATGGCCTTGGAGTAGATTTCTCCAATGATGACGGATCGCATTCGCACGCAGATTCGTCGGCCAATGAAAAGACACTGGCCCTGGCCAACGTTGTTGAGAATGGAGGCCAACAGCATGCCAATGACGTACAGCCAAGCCACGTTCTTGGGGGTGCCTGAGGGATCATCCACATACGACAGGAGCGACTTGAGCAGCACAGTGGGGATGAAGGTGACCAGCGAGTAGAAAATTGCCCACATAGAAGAGGCCCACAGATAGCCCTTGAAGAAGAAGGTGAATCTCCAGATGAGTCCAGCCGTTCGCTTGAGCTTTCGGAAGTCCTTGAGAATGGCCACAGCATGGTCGTCAGATCGCAGGTCCCAGACATCCTTGAGATCAAGGGTTCGCTTGTATCCGGCGTACACCATGGGATCAAGCCATCCGAAGGTGGATCGGGACAAAATGCTGGCAATGGCCTCGGGAGAGGGCTGCAAACCCTTGACGGCAGTCAGAACGATAGGCTTATCAGCGTAGGTTGCTGTGATGGAAATGAGGAAAAGTACAGAGCAGAAGGCAAATTGGGCCACAAAGAAGTTCTTGGACATTGGGGTCTGGGGGTCGACAATGGCGGATCGGAAGAAAACGGCCGAGCTGATGACGGCCACGGTGTATAGCAGAGTGGAGTGCAGCCACAACTTTTGAGCTCCCAGAAACTTGGACCAGTTGGCACAGACTCGAGCGGCGTACAGAGACACGGCCAGAAGCCAGAAGGCCATGTTGACAAGCACGTTGTAAGGGTAGCCCTCGTAAACGGGGTAGAGCTCTCGAATGGTGAAGGGAAGGGTAGCCAGAACCAGCTGGGCAATGACACAGACGCCCTCCAGCGCGAAAGTCAGGTTTCCAAACACTCCTCGGTGGCACACAGTGTAGGAGGTGTCATCCTTGGAGGAAGGGTTCTGGCCTCCGTAGAGTCGGGCTCGGTCTGCTCGCACAGAAAATCGACGCTGCTGGGTGTTAACAAGCACGGCTCCATACGTTTCCGACGCCACGGGCTGTAGGTTATCACTATCGTCGGTATCGGAGTCCACAAAGGTTTCGGAGGCGAGAAGGGGTTTAGCCGAGGGGTCTCGTTTTCGGGACTGTCGTGCGAGGTATTTTATCGAGGCGGGGATCGTTCGGGTGACCAGTAGGAGCACCGAGATGGCGATGGTGATGACATAGGGATAGAAGAAGAAGTATCTGGTGTTAGTGGTGTGTACAAGTATTGGGGATTGGTTCATATTCATATTTGTGTAGTGATCCCGCACAATACTCACATTTGGCGACTACACCGGGGCACATCGCTGCCATCCCACAGGGGACTTTCGCAGCTCAATGACATGGATGATGTTGGTGGGTGGACTGTTGGTGGAGAGGAGCGATGGTGGTGAAGTTGAAAAAGTTAGAAACCAAAAGGTTGGTGCGAAAATTAAACGCTGATAAAGGAACGTGTAGTAAATACGGTATCTTTTTAAGGACAAGGAACTCTGGCACTTAAGACTGATGTCTCAGCACAACACAACTTGTTCGAGCAGCGGGTTGACGAGAGGCGCGAATGTGGAAAAGCTGTCACCTGCGAAACCCCCACATTTTATACACAGTGTGTCTATCTACCAAACACCACTCGCTCGGGGGGGGTGGGGCTGCATACAATGCAGTGCCGTGCGCATTGCAAAGAATGAGTCTATTAAACACGCACTAGCTCGCACCCATGATGCAGCAAACAAGCGAGGGCGGGGATGTATAGCAATTCCGTTAACAGGAGCGTCTTGTGTCCACACTGTTTGTGTGATTTTCGTCTTCTTCTCGGCTTTTTCCCACCTCCATTCGTCTAACATTGACCCCGTTTCGCACCTCGGTCGTCTGCCAGACAAGGCTTGTGGGAAGATGGCAAAAGCGAAATTAATGGCACTTTAGCTTTTTAGCTTTCAGTTATCTCTAACCTGTCCCTTATAGGAGGTGTTGACAAGCGCCGTAATGATGAATGGTCATCCATACATGAGTGAGACAGACGAGAGAGTGACAGAGTCATGACACGGGTGGCAATCGTGACTCACATTATGTCCACGGCGATCTTTTCAGTCACACCAACTCACACAAACACACCAACTTACTGCTACTTGTAGCGCAGCACTGGTGAATGAGGAAGAAAAATAAAAAAAAACCACCGTCATTTTTCATCTTATCGGAATCCGCCAGCCACAAACTCACGAGATGGACCTCCCTGACGCGCCATTGATGCAAAAGCAGCCGGAAAAAAAACACCACGGGAATGGTCTCCGACATGGAGTCAACCGATCTCTTATTGGTGGGTGCTGACAGGCCCCCAGTATATCTGGATAGGCGGCTATTATTAGGGGAAGGGGGAGGTATAACACGAGCTAGTACAAGAAGAGTATGAAGGAGTGCATATACCAGGATGTATGAGCCGTTATTTCACTCACGCTGGAAAATGTCCGTCCTTCCACTTGTGCTTCCTTCAAATCAATTTTTCAATATGCCTCTTTCGGCAGCGCACAGATTTGTCGGACGCAGATCCATCCAGATGAAGAAAAAGTATCGAATCGAATTAATTTAGATTTAGAGGTGTTTTGTCGGAATCGAACCCACAAAGCCGAAAAATCTTCCCACGCACGTCACATGACTTACCCGGGAGTAAACTTCCTCCCGGCCGCAGCTCCAGGTCCTCCTTCCCAATCGGGGCGCACACCTCGCGCACAGACTCTCGACATTTTCAATCACCCAAATCTTCGCACCCTACTTTGTAGTCGCATCACACCACAGCTCAAAAATGACCAACGTCTCTAACGATTTCATCTGGGAGTGCACCAAGAGCACCAACGCTTACCTCGTTAAGCGAAAGGGCATCGACACCACTCTGTCTCGAGACCCCTACGCTCTCAACAACCTGTCCACTCACTACGAGTCCGGTCTCTCTCACGACAAGGCTGTCGGTGTGCACTACTGCAAGCCCTCCGGCAAGATCTGCGTCATCACCAAGGTGGTCAAGAACGCCAACAAGCCCGCCAAGTCCCGACACATTGTTGAGTTCAAGCCCACCAAGTCTTCTCGAGCTATCGCCAAGGCCGTCTCCAAGACCGTCCAGGGCTACAAGGACGAGCAGATCTACGACGCCATTGTCCGAGCTTCTGCCATCAAGCGAGCCGCCACTGTTTCCAAGAAGCAGTTTGCTGCCCGAAACCGTGCCTAAATTATCACCTAGTTGAAGTATGGTAAAAAAATAATGTATTGGAGTGAGGCATTCACTGATATTGCACTGCCTGAGATGTGTAGCAACTAGAGTAGACACGACATGGGGAAGATGACGAGTAGACAGAAATGCTGACACTGAGAGAGGTTGAATGAGCTGGGAAAGTGACTGCTATATTTAACGATAACAGATTGAGAGCGTGAGTATATACATACTGTAGACACTCTTCATTTTACCGACAGACAATCTAAGAGCACATTGTACACCGATGCTTCATAGCCTCACCCCGGGATATTGAATGGGCATCCAAGTAGACGATCAAAAGGACATCCAAGTCACGTGTGTGATTCTACGAGTTCGTTCTTGGGGGGCTCTTACCTGAACACCCAACGCTGAAGAAGTGTCGAGATGCTTAATAATCAAACAACGGCCAATCGTGTCATATCATGGTCTCGACTACAAGTACTGATTAATAGCAAAACCAAAGCACGTGCACCCTTGCTCCATTTTCCATTGATTTCCCGTCAACAACTCCGGCCCTGCATTATCTCAACCTAAACCGTTGACTTGAAGTCACTGTTGAATAATAATGGTGATTTGAGAGGAGTCAGACGCCAGGAAAGGTGCACGCAAAGTGATCAGAGGTGCCTAATGTAACACCAAGAAAAAGGAATATTCGCGTCTTGGAAGTCTGTAACATCGATTGAAGGTGATTGAAGGGGGTATACAGGTTATGACCATGAGAATCCTATGATACGGTGTACAATGAACGGTACTTGTAGCACCAGCGTAGTATAAGCAACAATGCATCATATTGACCAATTCCGTCTCTTGCAAACTGTTACCTTACGATACCACGAGCGATCGATATCACGAGTACTCGTACGGGTACAGTACTCGTACAAGTACCGCACTCCAATACTATGACGCAATCCGAGTGAGACAACGGATAAGGTACTGAATGTACAGTAGCCCAAGATGATTTACGATTCGGCCCACGTCATACGGTTGGGGCAGCCTTCCCTTCTGTTGCCAGTTGCAAGACTCCCCAGATTTGTCGATCATGGCGCAATAGCATATACAGGACAAGACCAATTGATGCTAGCAGGCGGGAGGACTTATATAGACAAGCCGTGCGGCTGAATGCAAGCGGAATGGTGTACAACAATTGGTCTTGCGGCCCGGAAAAGACAACCAAGACGCGTACGAGCACGAGTACCAGCACGATCCGTGGCCAGGGCTCAACCACATCTCTCCACATTTCTACCCCGTTCCATGGCTAGCCGGAAACATTATCGTGGCAGCTACGTGCATATTCCGGACTGTTCCGAGAGTGTGATTTGCCCGAAGCAAGTGGGTGCCGAGCGTCGGCGGTGGGGGGGTTGTAGTAGCGTCTTGTAGCATGTGTTGAGGCGGCTCAAGCGGCGGAAAAACACGGACCAGCGGTTTGGGGCAGCCGTCAGACCTTGGCTTTCTCCACCTGCCTCAGCCAATAGCACGCCATTATCATGTGCACCCCGCACAGAGCTTGGAAATTTGGGTTTAGCCAGCACTGACCGAAGAGCCGAGCAATTTGCTGGGTAGTTGAGGAGAGACGTGGACAAGGCGTGTAGTGTGAGGGCGAGAAAACAGGGCGTCCTGGGGGGTATTTATAGACAATTCGAGAGCAATTGAGCAGACCAAGACCCACCACAAGACTCTTGTATCGATGCCTTCTTCCGCGGCCCCGTCTCTCAGAACCCGGGGCTAGAGACAAGGTTATATGGTTATTATGTGTGTGGGACCTCAGCACACGCATCATCCCAACACAGGGTGCAGTATATATAGACAGACGTGTTCCTTCGCACCGTTCTTCACATATCAAAACACTAACAAATTCAAAAGTGAGTATCATGGTGGGAGTCAATTGATTGCTCGGGGAGTTGAACAGGCAACAATGGCATGCACAGGGCCAGTGAAGGCAGACTGCAGTCGCTGCACATGGATCGTGGTTCTGAGGCGTTGCTATCAAAAGGGTCAATTACCTCACGAAACACAGCTGGATGTTGTGCAATCGTCAATTGAAAAACCCGACACAATGCAAGATCTCTTTGCGCGCATTGCCATCGCTGTTGCCATCGCTGTCGCCATCGCCAATGCCGCTGCGGATTATTATCCCTACCTTGTTCCCCGCTTCCGCACAACCGGCGATGTCTTTGTATCATGAACTCTCGAAACTAACTCAGTGGTTAAAGCTGTCGTTGCCGGAGCCGCTGGTGGTATTGGCCAGCCCCTTTCTCTTCTCCTCAAACTCTCTCCTTACGTGACCGAGCTTGCTCTCTACGATGTCGTCAACTCCCCCGGTGTTGCCGCTGACCTCTCCCACATCTCCACCAAGGCTAAGGTCACTGGCTACCTCCCCAAGGATGACGGTCTCAAGAACGCTCTGACCGGCGCCAACATTGTCGTTATCCCCGCCGGTATCCCCCGAAAGCCCGGTATGACCCGAGACGATCTGTTCAAGATCAACGCTGGTATCGTCCGAGATCTCGTCACCGGTGTCGCCCAGTACGCCCCTGACGCCTTTGTGCTCATCATCTCCAACCCCGTCAACTCTACCGTCCCTATTGCTGCCGAGGTCCTCAAGAAGCACAACGTCTTCAACCCTAAGAAGCTCTTCGGTGTCACCACCCTTGACGTTGTCCGAGCCCAGACCTTCACCGCCGCTGTTGTTGGCGAGTCTGACCCCACCAAGCTCAACATCCCCGTCGTTGGTGGCCACTCCGGAGACACCATTGTCCCTCTCCTGTCTCTGACCAAGCCTAAGGTCGAGATCCCCGCCGACAAGCTCGACGACCTCGTCAAGCGAATCCAGTTTGGTGGTGACGAGGTTGTCCAGGCTAAGGACGGTCTTGGATCCGCTACCCTCTCCATGGCCCAGGCTGGTTTCCGATTTGCCGAGGCTGTCCTCAAGGGTGCCGCTGGTGAGAAGGGCATCATCGAGCCCGCCTACATCTACCTTGACGGTATTGATGGCACCTCCGACATCAAGCGAGAGGTCGGTGTCGCCTTCTTCTCTGTCCCTGTCGAGTTCGGCCCTGAGGGTGCCGCTAAGGCTTACAACATCCTTCCCGAGGCCAACGACTACGAGAAGAAGCTTCTCAAGGTCTCCATCGACGGTCTTTACGGCAACATTGCCAAGGGCGAGGAGTTCATTGTTAACCCTCCTCCTGCCAAGTAAGTATACATCACGCATCAGGGAAGCGCACAAAGTGCCTTCCTACTGATCTTTCCCCCATTTGAACTACACGATCACTAACCATTCTAGCTAGGATCTAAAACTTTGCCTTTGAAATGATAGAGTCCAGTCGGCTAAGTATATAGCTATTTAAACGTATTTGCGATAAACAGAGAGTGTACCTGTTGTAGATGTAATATTAGTAAGCTGGCCACACCAATAGCGCTCGTGCATTAATGATTACTGCGGCGGGGTATGACGTGACCCACATGTCTTGGTGACGCCATTGTCTTGCCCAACTTTCATGTCGTCGGGGCTGCGTTCGATGCATGGCTATCCCTTGATGGACTGTGGGGACAGGGTTAGGGTTGTTTTGAAATTACCGAAACGGGCAATTCACAAACAAAGAATAGACATCCTCGAGGTTGCATGCTTAAGTATCAAGGTGATCCTGGGAGGGGAGGTGAGAACTAGTCTGGACCCTGGATCACCGGTGACTAAAACAAACAGTGAGGGGTCAAACACAAAGAGTCGGGAGAGAAAAAAGAAGAACAAGACGTGCACAAAGCAATCATTTAAATACTCTGCATCCACACACACAGACTCAGACACACACACACATCCAACAACATGAACATCATACCAAGACAGCCTCGCACACCTACTCGCAAGAGCTGTAGCGGGACCGCCACACCGACTCCACGACGACGAGTTCGAGACGAAGTTGAGGAGGATGAGGTTGTTCTCTCGGGGGAAAACGTCAAGGAGATCACAAAGCGTCTGAAGGGCCACAGCCAGCGACGGACCCATGCTTGCACCACCCAGATCCCTCGGTATATCAGTCAAGGGTCGGTATACAGCATTCGACAGGTTCCTCTTACATTTGAATGCGAAGTAGGGTATTTTGGTCCACATAGCGATGTGATGGACAGCGATACGACAATACTCAAGCTACGGGACATTTCCAGTGAGCTCGGCTTTCTGTTCTTCCTGGACGACCAGATGGAGCCCAATATCCGACAGCAGCTGGAAAAGTGTTGGGCGGTTCTACAAACACAGCTAGGTGCTACTGTAGTTGCCGTGACTACCGACGCCCATGCTACACAGAACGACTATTCTATTCCCCTCATCTGTGACCATACAGTTGCCCTTGCGCGAGCTTTTCGGGCACTTCATCCCATGGGAGGAGGACGCATGTTGCTTGATGCCATTGCCATGATTGATCGGGCCACCAACAAGATCTATTTTGCGCCTCTGAGTCTTGGAAACAGCACTGCTCAGGTGAGTCTTCGGTGTGAAGATGTCATGGCCTTTGTCGAGTACATTTGGTCGGAACGTTGACCACCCCACTATTTATTGCATACTTACATAACTCTTAATCGCATTGAATTGTATTTGTACGAGTATTTTGTTATACTGTACTAATTGGCTACTCGTAGCCCCTACCCCTCTTGGTTTGATACTCTTCGTTTCTATATTCTATTTACAAGCACTAAGACTGATTAGATGCTCTTTTTGCCCTTGAGCTGGTCGAGGGGAGATCGGGCAAAAGTCGACTGCAGACCCCGGATGATGATATAGCTAATGTAGCCAATAACCCCGGCTCCAATGAAGACGCCAACTCGGACCTCGGTGCTCACGAGGCCGAGGAAGGGGTAGGGGAAGAAGTTGTTGACGGAGGCGGTCTTGTGGACCCAGAACCAGTATGCTGCCGACAGACCAAAGTTGGCAACTACGGCCTGGACGGTGGTCAGGTTCCAGGGCTGGCCCATGAGTACCACGTCCAGGAAAAGGGCGACGGCAGGGACCAGGTGGATGGACATGTCGAGCCACAACGGAATCTGTTCCTTGACGGCGGGGTGTTTGAGCAGCTTGGGGTCGTAGAGCTTGAGGGACCAGTAGAGCACGGTGATGACGCACTCGAGGGGCGTCACAGCCACCGACACGGAGTTTTTGAGCTGGTAAAGCAGATTGCTGAAGTCCTTGGAGTAGAGCGAGGCTGCGTCGGCCAGCAGAGCAAGCAAGAACGCTAGGTAGCTGCCGCACAGACCCAGAATGGTCAGGTACTGGTACTTTCCTCCGTACGAGGCATTGAGCGGGTTGGGGTACTGTTCCAGAAAGTGGAACGACGAGGCGAATGAGATGAAGCCAATCAGGTGGTAGGCAAAAGACAGACCCACGTTGGGCGAGCTAATCCACGGCTTGTAGGGCGCCTTGGTGGTGCGGATGGCTCGGGTGGCTTCTCGTTCCTGTTGCGTCATGATTCGGGCTGAATGGCAATGTGCAGAGTGACTGTACTTTGTGTCGTGTGTGTCAATTTTTCACACGCTCTCCTCCAAAGTAGGCCACACTCTTTCTCTGTTGCTCCCTTGCATAGCGATAAGCGCACGCAATCCACGTGGGTGCGTCTAACTCCATCGCTGGATCCCGGTCTAAATACATCTTTTTTAGGCGAGCCACGCGACTGGCGGCTAATTGCGGTGCAGAGGCCACCCGGTGACAACTAAGGCGGTTCCCTGGCCCCCTCGGATCCCCATATACTCTATCCATTTGGCTTTTGGCCAACACTGTAGCTATTACGAGGGGACGTTGCTCGTCAGCAATATTAGTCTTCGTGTGAAAATATAATTAACCTCCAACGATTATTTCCAACAGCAGAGTCCAGTAAGCACAAGTACGACTTTTTTGCTGGAAGTTTTTTGTGAGAATGGTATGATATGACAGCCACATAAGTGAAGCAGGAACAAGGAGCAAGTAGTTCATTTACCACTCCGTACAAGTAGCGAATTGACGTTGGTTATATAGGTATGGAGTTTCAAACGTATCAGAGTATGATGAGCATGTACATTCTCTACAAGTACGTATATGTATGTACATACTGTACCAGTACAACTGAGGTCATATCGTGAGCTGAAACTATGGGTTAGATGAGATGGAACACCAACAGAGAGAGGAGCCAGAGAGGGAACAGTCGAGGGAACAGTCGAGGGTTGCCTTTACTTACTTTACTCCAACCCTTTTTCAGTATGTACTTTTTTCAAGTGTTCAGCGTCTCGTCACCATTTTAAGCTTGAACTGTGGTCTTCAGTATGTATGAGAGACTTTGATTAGTTAATTTAGTTGATTTAGCTGATTTGTGTGGATAGGCGATTGCAAAATAAATGGTTCCCCTCTTTAATACACAGTCAATTAGAATGGCTTTTTTCTTTCTTTTAATTTTCTATATATTTATGGCGGTTTTATCCAATTTGTTTTGGTTTTATCACCGCACACTCCTCCCACTGACTAAGTGCATCACGTGCCGGGTGGAAAATCAAATTTGTCAAGGTTACGCATATCCACCACCACAGCGTCATCACTAACACAAAAATGCAAGGGTTTCAGATGCTGCGGACCCGAGTCGCCACGGGCGCCATCGGAGGTGTTCGACACAATTCTGGCCTCGCCAGTTTCATGAACCGTGAGTTGAGCGCTTGCGAGCAGGCTGATTTGAGGATCTGACCAAGATGGAACGACTCCGGATCGTACTAACACAGTGCAAAAGGAAATCAGCAAGATCCCTAAGACGGACGCCGAGGAGCTGAACAAGGCCCGAGAGACCCAGAGACAGATCGACCAGAGCGCCAAGGGTAAGGAGGTGGTGCGACACTACGTCCATGTGACCGCTACCAAGAACAACTTGCACATCTGCGCTACCGACGAGTTTGTTGACAAGTCCTTCATTCCCGAGAGCATTGACGAGAAGCTGCTGCAGAAGGTGCGAGCCCCCCAGGAGGTGCGATTCCACATTTCTTGCGGACATCTCGGCATTAAGAAGAAGGAGCGAGGAGAGTACGATGGAGCCTTCCAGACCAGTGTCCGAGCCTTTGAGCTGCTCGAGAAGAAGGGCATGCTGACCCGACCCGTCGAGGTTGTTGTCCGAGGCTTTGGACGAGGCCGAGAGGGTTTCTTTGCCGCTCTCACTGCCCCTGAGGGAGAGAAGGTGGCCTCCAAGGTCGACCGTCTGTCTGACCGAACCAAGCTCAACCAGGGAGGTACCCGACCTCCTGGACGACGACGAGTCTAAACGGGTGCATTGTACATAGGAATAGTATTCATAGTTGGTGTTTGAGCGATGCTGTAGCCTGTACTGGTATGTTGATGAGCCGCAACGCTCGGATACAATAAGGCAAGTATGACGAACAAACAATGGCCAACAATGACCGCACAGTATTGCTTTTTTGAACAATCTGATCTCAAGTGCATAGTCACTTGATTGCTCGGTCAAAATGTCTTTTGCCTTCAATATCAGCTACACTCCTCCTACCCCATACTAATCTCCGCATGTATGGATAAACTTCAGCAGTTTTGAAATATCCCGACTAACGACCCCGACCAACAGTATCGTACTTGTGAAAACAGCAGAACACATGTTTCGAAACGCCCGATTGGCTGGATTGGTATGCTCAGCTCGACGAGCAGGCGTGGTGAGTGCCCGAACTTCGCGAGCCATGCGACTCACCGGCGGATCCCGAGGACTCTCTGGTCTCCACAGTAACGTCAACATCACTCTCAAGCAGATTGAAGCCACAGTGCCCAAGTTTGCCGTGGACAAGGGCCAGATCCAGGTTCTGTACGATCCCGAAGAGTTCTACGACCAGCTCAAGCAGAAAATCCTGGCGGCGAAGGAGCGTGTGTTCCTCTCCACTCTTTACGTTGGCAAGGAGGAGACGGAACTAGTTAGCTGCTTGGACGAGGCTCTGACGAAAAACCCCGGTCTCAAGGTCTCCGTGCTCATTGACGGCCTGAGAGGAACCCGCGAGGAGCCCGAAACGTGCTCGGCCTCTCTTCTGGCCTCCCTGCTCCACAAACACGGAGATCGGGTCGATATCAGATGCTACATCACCCCACACCTGTTTGGACTCAAGAAACAGCTGATCCCCAAGCGATTCAACGAAGGCTGGGGCCTACAACACATGAAATTGTATGGTTGCGACGACGATATCATTCTGTCGGGAGCCAACCTGTCCAGAGACTACTTTACCAACCGACAGGATCGATACTTTGTGTTCAAGTCTCGGCCTATTGTCGACTACTACCACGCCATCCACAACGCTGTGTGCAGACTCAGCTGGAGAGTGGCCCTCCCCAAACCCGCCGAGAAGGCCCCCGAGCCCGGAAAAATGGCTGTCTTCTTCAAAAAGCAGGCTGCTTCTATTGCCAAGAAGATTCTTCCCGAACCCGAACCGGTCAAGGACCCCGGCTTTGTGCTGGAATGGCCCAACAACAACACTCTGCAAAGCCCCAATGTGTCTCTTGCCGAGTTCCAGCGTCAGGCTACCGCCTCTATTGCTCCTCTCATCACCAGTAAACCTGTCGAGAGCGGCCGACGAAAGGTCAAGTCTCTAGCCCAAAGAGAAACTGAACTCGAGGAGGCTAAGAACGAGTCAGAGTCCACCGAGCCCCAGACTCTCGTATTCCCCATCTCGCAATTCACTCCCCTTCTTAAACCCGATTCCTCCACCGAGTTCCCTACTCTGGGACGTCTTCTCTCCATGCTGTCCATGCAGCGATCTTCATGGACCTTCACCGCTGGCTACTTCAACATGCACCCCGAATTCAAGGCCAAGCTGCTCGGCAGTGTCCCCGATAAGGGAACCGTCATCACTGCCTCTCCTCAAGCCAACGGTTTTTACAAGAGTCACGGTATCTCGCAGTACTTGCCCGACTGCTACACCCTGCTGGCGCGCCAGTTCATTCTTGACGTCAACAAGGCCCATAGACAGAAGGAGATTGAGCTGCTGGAGTGGCAGCGAGGTGTCGTCAACACCCCCGGTGGATGGTCTTACCACGCCAAGGGTATCTGGATCAATGGTCCTGGAGACAAGTTGCCATCAATCACTGTTGTGGGCTCTTCTAACTACACTAGACGAGGCTATTCCAAGGATCTCGAGACTAACGCTCTGATTGTCACCACAGACGAGGAGCTTAAGCGACAGCTTCAGCAGGAGATTGACCACATCGAACGATACACCACCAAAAAGAGCATTACTGACTATGACCAGGAGGACAGACAGGTCAAGACCTGGGTCAAGGTCGTGGCTTACTTCATTGGCGATAAGTTGTAATGTGAATGTAAATAGTATAGAACGAACTAGACATAACTCATGAGACCGTCTTCAGTGCAAGTACAGGCATGGAGAAGTAGCAGAGCATCACCGTTGGAGGAAACCATCTGCCTTTGGACAAGAAGCACAGTAGTGTGACCTTTTGCCTTATATTCTCTCTATCACCACCTCTACAAGTATTGCACACCATTTGTCTCTGTCAAGATCATCGTTTCATTGCTCATCCCTTGCCGAAGCTTGTGTGCAAAAAAGCACAGTGAGGGTTTTTGATCTAATAAAACAGATGGCTGAGTTCTTTGTAGAAAAAAGGCGTAATATTCCCACACTCAGGCGTGTATTCAAATCTATCAGGTTCACAACCACCGGCTTTACAAACGCACCAGGGTGGTACATGACAAATGCATTGTCTCACGATGGAGGATGTGAACAAGCTCAAGCACTCATAACTCAGTCTAGTATGCAGACTAGCTAAACCATGCCCAGTCACTCCAGGTCTCGATCAAACACCACTCCGATGCCCGAGGGAGACGAAGCAGCCACGTGGCGAAACATCGTCACGTCGATAACCTCCCTGCAGGAGACGGACCCCGACATTTCGCGGTTGCAGCGAAAGCTGATCGACACCAACGGACTGAGCGATCAAACCAGCCTGGGCGAGATGTTGCGCATGGTCAGAGAGGCCTCTCCCTCCGAGTCCAGCTTGGATCACCTGCAGGAGGTGCTGACAACTGGATCCGAGGTTCTTTCGGAGCGTCTCAAGTGCCTGGATGGAGCTCTTGAGTATCTCCAGGTGCTGATTGCGGTCCGAACAGACTACCCAGAAGACTCCAAGATCAAGCGAAGAAAGGTCGAGGAGGACAAACCATCAACTTCTTACAGACGCCCCATTCCACGGGTGGGCTCACAGGTTGCATTCCGACTCCGAAAACAGCGAGGAGACGAAGAAGAGGAGTGGATCCAGTGCCAGGTGACCCGAGTGTACTCGGATGGCCAGAGATTCGAGGTCAAGGACCCCGAGCCCGATGAGAACGGAAACCCCGGACAGAGCTACAAGACGTCCATCAGAGACATTATTCCTCTGCCCACAGACGAGGAGCTGCGAAACATGCCCCAGTTCACTGCTGGTTCCCAGGTTCTGGCACGGTACCCCGAAACCACCACTTTTTACCGGGCAGAGGTAACAGGGACTCGACGAGACAAGTACCGGCTCAAGTTCGAAGGGGAAGATGACGCCGATAAGGAAACCGAAGTCAGTCGAGGTCTGGTGTTGAACATTCCCAAGTAACGGGAACAAAATGATTAACGTATTTAATGTATATTAGGGAGGCTAAATGTGTGAGAGTAGAGCAAACCGGAGTTGTGTATCTTACTTGTACCCAGAAGAAGGGTCTCTCAGAAGCCATCTTCTTCTATTCTGCTCCATGTCAACGTGGTAACAGTATTACTGTACTTGTACCATGAGATGAAGTAATAGACAAGTGCCTCCCTCTAATCACAGTCTAATCACAGTCTTACATTTTATTAAGATATTTTTTTCTCAGTCAACTACCGATACACATCTACTGGCGCTGATCACAGCATCATATTCAATTTATCTCAGCCTGCATGCAACATGACCTAGTCTCTCCTACTCTGTAATAACAACTCATTTTCACTTGCGCTCCACTCACGGAGGCTCCACTCTTCCTATAATAACTCATTACATAAAAACAGTTCCTTGTGCTTATTCGTGGAAAGCGGCAGGGGCGTTGGGGATCTGGGGCTCTGTTCGTCGAACGTAAGAAAGCTCCAGATCTCGTCGGCCGTAGTTGTAGCCAGAAAACTTGGCGATGGAGATCTCGGCGCTAGCAGGAGTCTCAAACTGAACAACTCCGCTACCTGCCTTCTTTCCATCGGGCAGGAACTGAATCTCGGCCTTGGTCACCTTGCCGACGGTCTCAAACAGGTCGTAGAGATCCTGGTCGGCGGTGGACCAGGGCAGGTTGCCCACAAAAATGGTGTCGGAGGGGTCGCCGCCACCAATGGCTCCATCCGAGAACTCGGAGGGAACCCGGGGAGGGTTCTGTGGTGCGGGAGCAAAGGGGGTTCGTGCCACTCGGGCAGGGGGTCCGCCTCGAGGAGGACCAGCAAATCGGTCCTCTCGAACTTCAATGGCTCGTCCGCCCATCTGGTGGCCGTTGAACCGCTCGATAGCCCGGTGGGCGTCCTCGGCGGTCTCAAACAGCACAATACCAGAGCCCTTGGATCGACCATCGTGAGAGGTCATAATGTCGGCTCGGACAATCTGACCAGCCTCTCGGAACAGGTCCTTGAGATCCTGCCATCCGGTGGAGTATGGCAGGTTACCAACGAACAGCTGGGTGCCGGGAGCACCACCGCCGCTCTGTCGGGAGCCGCCAAAGTCTCCGCCTCGCTCGCTTCGGCCACCGTCTCGGGCTCCGGGGGGACCCAGGTTGGGCTGAGAGAACTTGGGCTCGCTCTCTCGGTCCTCTCGAACGTAGACAACCCGGCCCATGAGCTCCTGGTTGGTGAGGGTGTTGACGGCATTCTCAGCCTCTTCTCGAGTGGAGTACTCGACAATACCGCAGCCCTTGGACCGGCCGTTGGGCATGAGCAGGACGTCGGCAAACAGCACGTTTCCGGCCTGTCGCATGAAATCCTTGAGATGGTGCCACTTGACCTCGTAGGCCAAGTTTCCAACGTAGACTCGTCGGTCTTGTTGGGAGGAATCCTTCACTTGCTGAAGCATCTGTGGGGGTCCGCTATTTCTTCTTGGTGGGGATCGGTTTCGTCGGTACGATCCGCTTCCAGCTCTGTCTCGGAACTGGGGGTTGAAGTCTCTTCGGGGCGACTTACTTCTGGATCGAGATCTGGAGTGGTCTCGATAGTATCTGTTTCTCTGATCTGGTGATCGGGATCTGTTTCTATAGGGTGATCGGGAATACTGAGTTAGTTAAGTTGTTGGGATGGAAAAAAAAAGTAGTTTTGCACAGAAACAGGGGTAGGTGTAGGTAGCATGGTCGGAAGCACATGAGCACATCAATCAACCAATTGATGCCACAAAGGCATTGCGCCATCGATGCCGTGGGCGTGGCAGTTGCCAAAGTCGAGTTGGACAACCCCATCCTCATACGCCATGTGTTGTAGTAGTTGCTGTTGATGCACTTCCTTCCATGTGTCGATTCCCATTCTTGCCTGTTTCCCTTCTCCTGAAAGAACGTCACATGTTCTCAGCCATCGTTCTCATTGCCAGACATACCCTAAAGTCCAAACACAGCCAATTCAATCAATATGCGTTTCCGTGATTATTTTTCTGCCAAAAAACTGGTGCTAATAATCCACAATTATCACTCTGAATATTTTCGTCTTGATGCCTAGCGCAATGCTCTCTCTCGCTCTCAATATCACGGCCCTTCTTCCAATTCGATGAACTGTAGCTCTGCACGTGTAGCTCAGAAAAGTAACAAGTTGTCGCCGATGGGTGGTGTGGTGTGGTGTGTCTGTGACGAATGACTTTGCTGTTGCGCACTGGTTGTGGTGGTTGGAACTTTAGAGTTGCCTTTACATGTGAGGCACTTTCAGGGTAGGGTAACCCTCCTTGAACTCTGTCCACGTGTGTGGAACCAAGAAGCTATGGTTCCGACAGCCCTGAGAGGACAGGAGGCATGGAGAGACAGAGAGGGCGTTTGTGCATGCCCAAGCTGCAACCGTGACCGAACACGGAAAGCAAGGGAGCAAGACAACCGGCCGGGTCGACGATAGAAAATGGTCGACGACAGAAAATGGCAGCAGAAAACGACGAGGGCAGGGATCGAACAGCCTTCTAATGTGACATGTCACGTAGAGGTCCTATATATCACGGGACACACACAGAAGACCCACACACACGAGGACAGGACACTCGCTCACACAATAGAGAGGAGAGACATGCCTCAAAAGCACCCGTCCGTCACAGGGACATGTGATACCCACGAGACCAAAAAAACAACAAGAAGGATGTGACGCACACATGCGTCTCTGTAGCCTATCCTTTTGTTTTTTTGCTGTCCATCTTTCCCGCCAGCCGTTCGTGTGTTCGTCCGTAATATGGGTGCCTCCCACAAAAGAGATAGTGCGCCTTGCCATGCCATGCCATGCCATGCCCGCCGTTTTTTTCGCTTGCCATCACATATCGAACAAGAAGTAGTAGTCATCAGCCAAAATAAGTAGATCCATCCCCAGCCCCCAATAGTAGATCCCCACAAGTATTATCACCGTCGTCTTCTGCCTCCTTGTTGATTGTTTTCCGCACGCCCCATTCCGGTCGCCCCATCATCACACCGCCGATGGTCTCGCCGCTTGCTTGGTCCCATATCCAGCATCCAGCACGCGGTAAAAGGCCAGGCCCGTCCATCCTCCTCCTCTCTCCATCTCGGTCCATCTCTCAAACGCGTCGTCCCTGAAGGGTGGGTTTGTGTCGTTGAATCTGGTAGTGTCGCGGGGTGGTGGTACTCACTCGATCCTCAGAATCGTCGTTGTTGTAGTTCATAATAATACAAACGGGGGATAAAAATACAAGCCTGGGTTAGTAGCTGTCCAAAAAGCCCGTCCAAGCCGTGTTCACGCGCCGTAGCGTTCATACTTACCTCCTCACAAGAGATCAAAGAATGTTCAATGGAAAAGTTTTAGTTTGGCAAATTACATATATCAACACATATAGAGTTCAGGTGCATGACAACATCATGATATATCGTGGATGACAAAGAAACGGTGGAAGATGGATGACTACTTTAGCTATCATACTGGGTCCTGTCAACAACCCCTCCCCTACAGCACCCATTCCATACACAGCCCTCTCCTAATAACTCACTCTTTTAACAGTATTATATCCTCGTTCTTTCTTCCTCCTCCACCTGAATTACCAGTACCTTCTTCTGCCTTCTCTTCATCACAAGCCAGCCTCCCTGTATCCGATGGCATCATTCAAAAGCGTCTTGCTAGTCATCTTCATGCTGCTGTTCTCCATCATCAACTTGACGTGTCGGTGAATGTGAGACACAAAGTCCGTGTAGGCGTACTCGCCCATGTTTCGGTCCTCCACCAGCAGAGACTGGAACTCCATCTCAGCACCATCCAGGTTGGGTCGACACAGCTGAACGTTGAGATGGCTGATGCCCAGAAGACCCTCAAAGTGGGCCACTAGAGCTCGAACCTGCTTGTTGATGTGGCTGTCGACCTCGGGAATGGAGTTCATATAAGGGTCCAGGTCCCGGGTGATGTTGTTGTCCTCACCAAACAGATCGTTAAGCAGCTGGGGAGAAACAGTACTGGGAAGCCATAAATAAAGCTTCTCGCCGTTGAAGAGCATGTATGCACCACCTTCCTCCAGAGAGGCCAGAGAGGGAGCCAGAGAATCGGGCAGAACAAAATGGCCGTTCTCAATAGCACTTCCGTCAATCTCTCGCATGTTATGCAGAGCGAAAAGGTAAGGGTAGAGCATGTAAGAAAACTTGTCCACGTCGCTGTTGTTGGCTTCTCGCAGGTACTGGATTCGTCTGTCCAGAGAAGTCACAGTGTCTCGCAGAAGAGGAGACTTGAGCAGCGCAAGAGACTGGATCAGCAGAGGTCGCAGAGAAGTGGGTAGGAGCAGTTGTGTAGCAGGGAGAACCTCGGTGGTGTTCTTTCGGTAAGAGGCAAACACTTCCACCAGTCGCTCATTGAGACCAAACCGAGCCTCCTTGAGAGTGGTGGAGGTGACCTTGGAAAACAGGTTTCGGGCCATGATGGAGAAGCAAGCATCGGCATCGACAAAGTTAATTGCAGGCTTGAACTGCTCGGTGACTCCAGCAAGCACGTTAATAACTCGCAGACGTCGAGTACCGTCCAGATGCTTATACAGCAGCGAAGTCTGAAAGTGGGCATCCAGCTTGGTGTCGAGCTTTCCGTCGTACGAAAACAGAATGCCGTAAGTGCTGTCGGAGTCGACAGATCCCACATCGGGCTCAATATGCCAGTCGTCGGAGTGGAAGCTGCCGTAATAGGCGGCAACCTGCAGACCCGTGGAGCATCGGACCTTGAGCTTGGCTCCACAAGCTCGAAGAGAAGTCACGGAGTGGGCCAAGTCAGCCATGAACCGCTTGCCGTCTCGAATGGGCACAAAGTTTGGGTAATGCTTGGTGGTTCCGCCAGACTTGGCAGAAATATAGCCTAGAGTGACCAGATCAGTGACACTGCTGGGCATGACAAACACATCCAGACCCACGCCGTCCTTGGCGTACTTGCCCGCCAGCTCGGTGTAGAAAGGGTCCTTGCAGTCAAAGTTCTTGGGCTCCTTGGACGCAGTTTTTCGATTTTCGAGGTTGTTAGGGAAAACACTTCCAGGACCCCAGGTAGGGGTTGATCCGAGAACCAGATGGGCCTTTCCTCCTCCAAACGCAGACAGCACCTTGTGGGCAGTGGAAACAGCTGCTCCAAAGGCAGACTCGGCGTACTTGTAGCCCTCAAACATGGACTGCAGCCGGGGGAGCAGATCTTCAATCACATGCCGCGACTCCTGGGCGTCCACAAACAGACCGTCCTCAAAGGGCACAAAGGGGTCCTTTAGATCATTAGAAACGACCATATGGGGTTTCTCCAGATCCGCATTCAGATTGTAGAACTGCAGAGCGTGGTCGAAGGTGATGATACCGATCTTCTTGGGGGTATCGTCCTCATCAAGGGCTTTTCTGATAGCCTCGGCAGCCAGAGAGGGCAGCTCCTTCTTGATAGCCTCGTCCGACACATCAATGACAAACAGGTGCTTGACGGGTTCTCGAGAGTCTCCCTCGGGGTAGTAAGAGTCGGGAACGACCATGTCGTAGGTGCCAGCAAACAGCTCAGCTCGTTCGGCGACATCGACTCGAGCTCCGTTGTGGTCGGTGGGCTGGAAGTACTCTCCGGGAACCGCATTGGGGAACTGGCACATGTTACAGACGGCTCGAGATCCGCCGTTAGAGAACAGGAACTGCGGGTTAATGAAGGCCATGCATCGTCGACATCGGAAGGGCTCGATCTGCGAGAAGTCGGCCACGGGAACGTCTCGTTCAGCAAAGGGCTTGACCACCATACCGAGGGGCAGCTTAGTCAGAGACCGCAGCTGATCGGAAACTGGCACGTTGTACATGGAGAGACGACAAAAGGGAGGAGCAGACACTCCCTGATCCTCACAGAGATATTCGGCGGTGGCAGGAGGGGGTAGGGTGTTCTGAAACGTTTTGAACACGGGTTTTCGAGCGGTGTATTCTCGCGCATCGTTTCGTCGAGCTGCCAGCGAAGGAATTCCTTGGTTGCCACGCTCCAGAGAAGGGTTTGCTGCGTCGTGGCCGAACCCCTCCTGTTCCGAGGCGTTCAGGCTCATCTGAGCAAAAGAATGGGCCAGAGGGGCTCCATGAGACACAGCAGGGGAGGCAGCATGACCGTAGGCAGGTTGTCCATGAGGAATGGCTGGATTGTGGGCCTCGTAACCGAACTGGGCTCCTCCGTAGGGAGAATCAGCTGCAACTTGGCCGGCAGGAGGAACCCCGTACATGGGCTGTGAGAGGTCCGGCGACATGAGGGGGTTGCCATTGGGCGCATTGGGGTCTGCACCGAGGTCGTGGAAGGCTCTGGCCGATCTTTTTTTCGAAGCCATGGCGTGTTGCAGTGTGTTATCTTTTTTTTTCTTTTCCCAGGCAAGCTGATGACGAACACACTTTCACACCGCTTGCATGTGTGCTGGCTGTTAACTTAGATTCGAGTCGTGGGTCGTGCACGCAGTGGTGTTGGTGTTGGTGTTGGGACTCTCTCTCTTTATTTTATTTTATTTTTTTAGGGCTTATTAGTGAAAGAGTCTAATAAATGTGCAGTTACTGAACGCGTCGCGATTTACAATGTATTACAGTAGACACAACAAGTTACACACGACTTGATACCACAAAAAGGAAAGAAATAAGACGAAAAGAAACGAGCAAGAGGTGACCTAACGACCGACGACTAACGACACAAGCGGAGAAACACAACCGACACGAACACCACCTCCCCAACCTACCTCTCTCCTTCCCTCCTTCCCACCTCCCCACACACACACACACTCGACATGGGAGTGTCTGGACTACTACCCCTGCTCAAGCCGATCCAGGCGGCAGCTCACATTTCCGAATTCAAGGGCCAGCGACTGGCAGTGGACGGGTTTGCATGGTTACACAAGGCCGCGTTTGGAAGCGCCGAAGACCTGGCTCTCAACAGGCCGACAGATCGACCCCAACAGTGGGTCATGCGCAAAGTGGAGTTTCTGAAACGGTGTGGAGTGGACGTGCTAATTGTCTTTGATGGAGGAGCACTGCCTTCCAAGCGTGGGACCGACGAGAAACGACACGCACTACGTGACCAGGCCCACAAGGAAGCCCTTGCATTGATGTCTCGAGGACGAAGATCCGAAGCTGTCAACCTTTTCCAAAAAGCCACCAGAATCACACAGGAAATGGTCCACCAACTGACAGAACTGCTCAAGAGTCAACGTATTCCTTTTGTGGTTGCACCCTACGAAGCAGACGCCCAGCTGGTGTACCTGGAGAAGGCAGGTTACGCCACAGGCATCATTTCGGAAGACTCAGATCTTGTGGTCTACGGAGCACAGATGCTGGTCACAAAGCTGGACCCGAGTGGAGGATGCGTCACAGTTGATGGATCCCGAATTTCCAGCTGCTCAGATCTCGAACTCGGCTCTGAGGTTCCTCTTGAGTACCTGAGATACATGGCTATTCTATCTGGCTGTGACTATTGCGATGGAGTGCCGAACGTGGGTCCTAAACGAGCTGCTCGGTACATTCGACGATGGCAAACTCCCGAGGCTATCATTAAGGCTCTTCGTATGGACGGATACAACTCCTCACCCGACTTTTTAGAACGATTCCATGCTGCCAACTTTACATTTCTCTACCAACGAGTCTACTGCCCCGAGGCTCGTAGGCTGGTACATTTGAATGAGCCTGAAGATGAGCTGGACGAAAAGGTCGACTTTCACATTGGCGCCGAGATTCCACAAGGTCTGGCGCGAGCAATAGCCACTGGACTGGTGCACCCTCGAACTCATAAGACTTTTCCTGCCAACAAGACAGCCAAGCCTACCAATCTACGGGGATTCTTTGCGCCCAAAAATGAGTACACAGGCGATGTCAAGCGACTTCCCGAACAGCTGCGCCGCAAGAAGCCCGTTGTTCTGGTGGCAAAGCCGGTTGACCTGGCTGTGCGAACAGCTTCTGCGGAGAACATGTTGAGTCCAACCCGAACGAAGACGTCCCCCGCGCTTACTTCCAGTCACTTTTTCTCCATCCCTTCGAGTCCCGATCAGGCTGAGAAGGAGAACAAGCCCTTCAACTTCAATACCATGTTGAGTTCAGAGCCTGACCGAAGCGACGATGACATTGAAGAAAGCAGCATCGTGTTTGGCACCCCAAACAAAGACACCACGCTACCGCAGACACCTGTGACTTGTGCCAAGCGGAAGTCTACTCTGTTTGAGGAGTTTGGATACAATGCCTCTACGCCCAAGCGTCGAGTAGTGACTCCTACAGGCTCCTCTGGTGTTGCCAAAAAGCCCACAATCACGCCCACAATCACGCCCAGTTCCACACCGCAAGCGCGTCCCAAGAAGAGCGCCATTTCTCCTCTGACCGTGCAGCGTGTTCCTGGCTCGTCTCAAAGCAATCTCATGAGATTTGCTTACAAGGCCAACTAACCTACAAGTACTAAGCTTCAGGGTTCTAGTTGACCATGCAGCATTACAGCAGCAAGCGCTGATAATCCCACGGGCTTGCTGCGTCCGATATTTAACTAATTTACATGGTCCAATTACAAGGGCCCGACGTTGATTGCAGTCCGAAATAGCAATCTGATTTCCTCCCCCAACGATGGCAGCCCCAAGAGACTCCCTAGCCTTGATTTCTGCTGGTGAACCGGTGCACCGGGGCTTTTGCAGTAGAGTATACACTGGGCACTGTAGAGTATGTCGTGCTTAGACGACGATATACGAGACGCGGTAGGGTGACTGTAGGAGGCATAGATTAGTTGACTTGGAGCGGGTTGCGGGTGTTCCAAACATGTGTTTTCGGTGTTTCCAACGCCGTATATGCGTTGCATGTAACCCCAGGCTCTCTTGACGGCTATTTTGCTTCCAGTGTACCGTCTGACCAATTATCACCATTTGCCCCTTAGTTCGTTAGTTCAGAGGGTGCGTGTACTAACAAACCCCGTTTGGGAAGCGAGGCTCAGAATCTCAAAGTATAATTGCCGGCAAAATTACCAATCTGACACACGCCAAAAAAAGAAGAGCCAAAGGTAGAGCGGGAGGGAAGCGTCAAGAGAAAGAGAGAAAGGTGCTGGTATGTCGCTGCCGGATCGGGGCAAGGGTCTCACACCTGTCACGTTGCTATGTAGGCTCCTATTACGTGGATTATGTCGCCCCTATATTGGTATTGTTGCACCGGACTTGTGCATCATAGCTCCCACCGCCGCCCTTCCTCCCCCCCCGTTTTACCTCAATTTAGGTGCACTGTGCAACCCTTCTCACACACCCCTCCCACACAAAGTCTACTGCACTTTCGACGACTACACACACCACACTCTCTTGTAGCAACACAAGACCGCCGTCACACCACCACAAACGTCGACATCTCGAAAGCCTAGTTGGTCCATATCCCGGTGAAGCGACAGATTGGATACTTGACCGCCATTAATATACACACGTCTTCTGATTACCTCGACTAATAGCTAAGATGGGTGTTTGTGCGAGCTGCTGTTCAGGTGAGTATCGTACACAGACAGAGAGCGGGTCTTGCAAGGGCGAAGATGGCAGCAAGTGCTGCAGACAGAATGGGGCGACAGCGTATGTCTGGTCTCTCTTGTTCAGCTCCCCCCCGCCCCACAGTCGTCACTAACCCAGGAAACAAACAGGACGGCAACTACGCGCCCGTGCTGGCCGAGGACGAACGGGAAGCCGTGGCTCTCCTGCTGCGATACCTCGAGAACCGAGGCGAAGTGGACTTTTTCTCCAACGGGCCCCTCCGAGCCCTCAGCACTCTGGTCTACTCGGACAACATTGACCTGCAGCGAAGTGCCGCCCTCGCATTTGCAGAAATTACAGAGAAGGACATCCGGCCCGTCAACCGAGACTGCCTCGAGCCCGTGCTGCTGCTGTTGCAAAACACCGACCCCGACATCCAGCGAGCAGCCTCTGCTGCCCTGGGCAACCTCGCCGTCAACAACGAAAACAAGGTGCTGATCGTCGAGATGGGCGGCTTCGAGCCCCTCATCCGACAGATGATGTCGCCCAACGTGGAGGTGCAGTGCAACGCCGTGGGATGCATAACCAACCTGGCGACCCACGAGGCCAACAAATCCAAGATTGCTCGCTCCGGCGCTCTGCTGCCACTCACCAAGCTCGCCAAGTCTAAGGACATGCGAGTCCAGCGAAACGCCACTGGTGCCCTTCTCAACATGACCCACTCGGACCAGAATCGACAGGAGCTGGTCAACGCCGGCGCCATCCCCATTCTGGTGTCATTGCTGTCGTCGCGAGACCCCGATGTGCAGTACTATTCGACCACCGCTCTTTCCAACATTGCTGTGGACGAGTCCAACCGAAAGAAGCTGTCTAGCTCGGAGCCCCGGCTGGTGGAGCATCTCATCAAGCTGATGGACTCCGGCTCTCCTCGGGTCCAGTGCCAGGCTGCTCTTGCTCTGCGAAACCTCGCCAGCGACTCCGACTACCAGCTGGAGATTGTCAAGGCCAACGGCCTCCCCCACCTGTTTAACTTATTCCAATCCACTCACACGCCGCTGGTTCTTGCGGCCGTCGCTTGCATCCGAAACATCTCCATCCACCCTCTCAACGAGACCCCCATCATTGAGGCCGGCTTCCTTAAGACGCTGGTGGAGCTGCTGGGCGCTAGCGACAACGAGGAGATTCAGTGCCACACAATCTCCACCTTACGAAATCTCGCTGCCAGCTCTGAGCGAAACAAGCTGGAGATTGTCGAGGCCGGCGCCGTGCAGAAGTGCAAGGAGCTAGTGCTGGACGCTCCTCGACTGGTCCAGAGCGAGATGACTGCATGCTTGGCTGTGCTCGCTCTCGGAGACGAGCTCAAGGGTACATTGCTGGAGCTGGGAATCGCTGAGGTTCTGATTCCCCTCACCTTGTCGGACAACATTGAGGTGCAGGGCAACAGTGCCGCTGCGCTTGGCAACCTGTCTTCCAAGGTGGGCAACTACGACACGTTTGTCAACCACTGGAACGAGCCCAGCGGAGGAATCCGGGAGTTTTTGATCCGGTTCCTCACCAGCGGCGACTCTACGTTTGGCCACATTGCCGTGTGGACCGTGCTGCAGCTGCTGGAGTCCAAGGACCAGCGTCTTAAGGATCTGCTCAAGAACTCCAATGAGATTGTCGATGCCATCCACCAGCTATCCAGCATGAACTCTGATGGGGCTGACGGCGATGGAGAGGACATGCGGGATTCCAAGAGCGAGGTTGTCATGTTGGCTAAAAAGGTGGCTCCTTTGCTCAAATAGTAGGATGCGATGATTTATTATATATGGAGAAGGAAGACAACTAATGTATTTGTAATCGGCACTTGGAGTTGTAGATACTGTAGTTTCCATCGTCATATCATATCTCCTTGGAGATAACACAAACTTTGTTATCGGTGTTACCTGTAATAGGCACAATGTAACCTTGTTCATTCACATGTGTGGATGAATAAAAGTGGAGGTGGTGACCTACAATTGTAGATGGATGACAATCTTAATGGGCCGGCTTCATAGACCAGTGGGGCCGTTGAGGGTGCAAACCGTGTTTTGATAGAGTGGAAAAAGCAACAATCGGGTGAGATTAAAGGTCACGTGTCCTCTTCCTGTTGGTCCGTCGGTCACTCTATGCTGTGTGTCCTCCGAAATGCTCCTGTTGTAGGCTGTGGTACACCCCCCTAGCACAGCCCCTTTAAACTCGGTCACCGTGCATAGATAGCTCCGATATAAGCATGCTCCCACGGGGAAAACAAGCCCACTACACCGACTTGAAAATTGGAACCGGAAGCGAAAAAACAAACCAACCATATCAAAACAGACAGCTATAGTTATGGATGGATCTGAAGCGAGCATACGGCACATGGAGACGACCGCGAGCGGGGCCATGGAGGACGGCGAAAAGGCGGCGTTGAACACGAGCTCGGAGCCCAGTCGCAACCCCTTTCGCCAGTCTCTGTCTACCGAGCCTCACTTGATGCCCTCTCCTCCGGCGGACTCGACGCTAAACTCCGATATCGCAAATACCATTGCGGCGGAGGAGACTGACGACCATGCCAAGAGCGCCACAGCGGTCGCGGGCCACGCCCAGGCACACTCTTGTCCGGCCGTGTATACCACAGAGGCTATGCAGGAACCAGGCGAAGTAGCACAGCCCTCCTCGATCCAGGGGCACACTACAACCACGCCCACGACCTCGGACTTCATTGTCGAACGCAGCCAGGTCGACATTCCTGCCACCGTGCCCACCACCTCTGTGTCTGCCGTCAACATCCCCGCCGAACCCGAAAAGATGCACTATCTCGACGTCCAGGGAGGCTCCAGCAACACGCCGTCCGACGTGGACTTTACAAGCTCCATTCGAAACTCGATCCATTCCTTCACATCGTTCCAACCCAACCCCGCAAACAGAGCCAGCTATATTGGAGACGGCCATGTGGAGGAGCTGGGTCTGCCAGAGGCTGGCAATTCAGACAGTGCCCTGGCTCCCCTGACAGTCAGGTCACCAGTCAGATCGCCTATCCTGAAGTCTGCTTCTCCTCCTCCTCAGAATATCATCCCAGCACCGCTCACCTTCAACCCACCAAAGGACAATATCACGTTCCAGGTCAAGGTCATCAAGTGGAGAACACCAGCCAACTACCTGGTCAAAACACCCATCATCCTCCAGGACGAAAACGGCCCGTGTCCCTTCATCGCACTGGTCAACACCCTCGTTTTCACCGAGGCCATGTCTCCCATCCCTCCAGGCCCCGGAAGACCACTTTCTGCTCTTTTGGAGAACAAAGAGATGGTGAGCAAAAACCTGCTACTGGATCATCTCGGACAGTGGCTCCTCAGTATCGGCAGCCGCCAAAGCGGACCTCATATCAACCCAGACGATCTCAACACCTGTCTACGACTTTTGCCAGAACTATACTCCGGTCTCAACATCAACCCTCGGTTCGACGGCACGTTTGAAGAAGGGCCCGAGCTGGCTCTCTTCAGAGCCTTTGAGGTGGATGTAGTGCATGGATGGATCGCAGACCCCAAGGAGCCGTACCATGACGATGTAATGGAGGTGGGATCATACGATGCAGCCCAACTATTACAGATCGAGGTTACCGAAGACGGAAAGATGAAACAAAGGGAACGAGAGGTACTGCATCGACAACTGGCAGCCACGTTCGACTTCATGGACGAGAACCCCTCACAGCTGACCACCTACGGTATCCGGTACATTGAGGAGATCCTGGTTCCTGGTTCTGTGTGTGTCTTCTTCAGGAACAACCACTTTGCCACTCTGTACAAACAGCCAACCTCAGGGCGTCTCTTTAGTCTCGTGACAGACAGAGAGCTGTGTGGACGGAACGGAATTGTGTGGATTTCGCTGGAGGGAACTTCGGGAACAGACGATACCTTTTACACCGGAGGCTTTGATTTGGTACAAATGATGACAGACCAGGAACAGGAAGAGTCGAGAAGAAGAGCCCACCAAACAGTCGAGGCCACCAACGACTTCCATCTCGCCAAGCAGATCCAGGAGCAGGACGACGCCGAGTACGCCAGACAGATTCAGGAAGAAGACCAACAGCGTCGACGACCCCAGCAGACAACCACTAGCACGGCAGGTACGACTGCTCGACGACAGCAGCAGCAGACCCGAAGCGGCAAGGCCACTAAAAGCAGACCCGATAAGACCAAAGGAAAAAAATCCAAAGATGGCAAGGATAAAAAGTGTGTCGTGATGTGACTTACAGTCAAAAGAACATCCTTGAAAATCAAAATAAAAGTTACGAATTACGAATAATGATGTTTGGATGGTGCTTGTACGAACAACTATCTGGTTACTGATGTAGCCATCGACTTCTCTGCTTGAGATCATGTATTTTTCTATTTCGATCTGCGATCATCGCATCATAGACAACCATTGCTCTGTATTATGAATTTTGCTCCCCCAACTCACCATGTACTGCAATATAGCTATGGTTATTACGCAATAAATTACCTATGATACTCATACTCCGCTGAGACCGTTTTCTTCGTTGTGGACTCTTCTTCATCAGAGTTATTCCACCAACTTTCCTCGTCAACTTTCCTTGCATTTCTTTCTCCTCCTACTCTCCAGCCTTACGCTTCTTAGGCCGAGGCGCAGGCGAATCCAACTCTGTCACCAGAGGCATGTCTTCCTCAATCTTGACTTCAGGGTCAAACATGTCCGCCTCGTTATCAATGTAGTCGTCCATGTTGAAATCCTGCATGGGCACAATGTTGGGGTCGCCCACGTTGAACAGGTCAGAAGTAGGATCAGGGGTAGGTGCAGAGCTGATTGTGGATGCCGGCGTGGGAGCAGGTGCCTGCATCGGGGTGGGCTGCTGCTGAGGCTGCTGCGGTTGTTGCTGGTGCTGCAACTGCTGCGGCTGGTATCCCTGCTGCTTCTTGAGCCGGTCAGTGAACTGGTCAATGTGACGGCCATGATCCTGAAGCTGTCGCTGCAGATCGTCGGCCTTGCCGTTGCCGTTGATGTTGAGGTTGTTTCGGGGACGCTCGGCCGACCGGATCAGCTGGTCGTTGGCGCCCTGGAACGCCTCTAGCTCAGGGAATAACGCGCCGGGCGTGCTGGGCTGGTAGTTGTAGTTGTGGTGCGACATGTTCTGCGAGCTATGGGAGCTAGTGGAGTTGTTTCGCATTGGCGTCTGGGGCATGTTGATGGAGTTGTTGGAGTTGTTAGAGAGTATCAACGAGGAATTCTTGTTGAGGTCCCCGAAACCCATGGGAGGCTCCATGGACTGCTGCACAGTCTGGGGGTCCAGCATGGAGGGTGTGAAGTCCGACAGGTCAGTGAGGTCCTGCAGGTTGTCGGGAAGCTCCGATCCCGTGTCGGTGTCGTATGCCGTAATCTTGTCGTAATTGTTGCTTGTGTTGTTTGTGTTGTTTGTTTTGTTGTTTTCTTCCCGGGGAGATCCTGTTACCGTCTGCGGTGAGTTGGTAGAGGACAGCGGCTGGACTCGTGCAAACGAGGGGCTGTCGTTGGGGTTATTGCTGTTGTTGTTGTTGTTGTTGTTGTTGTTGAACATGTCGTTCATCTCAAAGGGGAAGTTGCCGCTGTTCTCTGCGGCAGCAGCTGCAGCCGCCTCATTGATCATATGTGTAGCCTGGGCGGGATCAGTGTTGCCCAGAAGCAGACGCTGGTTTCTGTTGCCAGAGATGGCTTCTCCAAGCACCTTGCCCTGGTTGCCGTACAGAGAGGCCAGGAAGCGCATAATTCGCTCCAGCGTCTCGCCATGCTGCTTGTGCTTGTCCTTGAAGCCCAGGTTCTCTTGCCACAGGAGCTGGTTGTCTGTGCGGAGCTTGTTGACCTCCTGGGTCAGGTTAAGCTGGTTGAGCTTGATCTGTTGCAGCTCGTCCATCAGTGTGGTCATGTCCATTTCCTCCTCCTCGTCGCTGCCCTTGGTTCCCTTGTTTCGCACAATGTTGTCGAGCAGGTCTTCGCGGCCGCGGATGAAGTTGGGGCTCTTGAACTGCCACACCTCGTCGTTGGATTGCATGCTGCCACTGGTCACGTCCTGGACCTTGTGCCACCCGTACATGTTGAGCTGCCGCACAAACGACGAGAAGTTGTTATGTTTGAAGAACCGCGGCAGCACAATTTTCTCCAGCTGCTCTCGGCCCGTGATCTGGAACGACTTGCCGTCAGGCATCCACCGGATGTACTCGTCGTAGGCAGGGTCGTTGACCATGTTCCACAGCTTGAACACAAACGCAGGCCGGCCCTTGGTCTGGCCGCCGCCCTTCTTTTTGTTGTAGCCGATTTTTTTGGCGTTGGATGCCGCCTGGCCCTGGCCCTTTTTGACCAGAGTGTTGGACATGATGTTGGTAAGTGTGGTGGGAAGTAGTTTCGAAAATGTGCTACTGAAGCAGCTGCAGGGGTCTTTGTGTCGATGTGACTTTGGCTGTGTGGCGAACAGAGACACTACCGCCTTGGGGGAGGTTGCAAGCTGTCGTATCGAGAGGTGGGGGTAGTGGTGATGAAGACGCTCGCAAAGCTTTGTGTTGCTGCAATGGTTTTTGGGTGCTGCAGAAGCTCTCTCAACTCTCTTTTGCCGTCTTTAACGCTCTCGCACACGCACTTGTATAGCAGTAGAGTGTCGCTGGAGTGTTGCTGAGATGCGGGTAGGGTAAATGTAAAAAAGTGTCGGTTGGGACAAGCACAATGAAAAAGAAAAAAAAAAAAATTCAAAAAAGTAAAAATTAAATAATTGTTTTAAAAAAAGGTAGCCAAGCCAAAAAAGAACATCCGCAAGGCGACCTGATATAAATGCACCCAGTACCGCTACTACTACATGATACAGACGCTCCATGCACATATATATGTGTGATAGAGCTGCAGAGACAGACTGCCTCGTCAACGGAGCCAGAACCGACGCCTTTGCACGACTCCTAACAGCCTTACCCTTGGGTTTAACGCAGGCGTCACCATACCAGGTGTGCATGAAATCAACATTTGCGTCCGGTTATCTTGCAGCGAGGCGGATAGGGGGTGCCTAAGTGAGAGTCTCTTCATCGGGCTACTGCAAGATGGCCGACACCTTCTGTTTCACCTGTCGCGCTTTTCGTGTCGATAAAGCACCCTAAAGCGCTGCATCTCGGCTCGAGCCCCTACAAGTGGTACACTCTACATGTCTTCGTCTGCTTGTCTTTCTCTCAACATGCTGCCTCACTCTTGCGGTTAGACTCCATGGCACACGGCCGAGCCCCAGAGTCTAAAGAGCCCTCCTCAGAGTTGCCAATCGCTCATTTCAGCTGTTTCAGGCACCGCGATCGTCTTGGGCGTCCGTCGTCTACGTCGCAAGTGTAAATAGCTCACATCGGAGTGCGAGTGCGAGTTCGAGTGCAGTGGTGTTGGTTACAAGGTAGACAGCCTGAAGCATCCCGACTTACTATAGTACATACTACTACAAGTTCACACCACCCAAAAACAATCAGCCCAGGAGTTGCAAACCTACCCTACCCGCCGATTGATAACGTCACGTGACCAAAGTCTCATTCCATTCCAACCCAACATTTTTCTCAAACATACGTCTGACAAGCACATGAATGACGTGTGTCGTTTACTCCATCCTCGCGGACGATGTTATGGGGTGGAGTTGCTAACGTTGCTTGTTGGCCGAGTCCATATGAGACATGAATGTTGTGTGGGTCTCTCTCTAGATTGGCGCTTGTATGAATGTTCAGATTTGCTCGGAAGTTGGGTCAACCGTGGTCCTTCCGTCCTCCAATCGGTTCGGGAGCATCAATGAAAACTCGTCAATTCCTGACACTTTGATCCTTTCAAATTTCTTCTTCCGTCCTCCTAAATTGCTGTCTGTTCGAGAGCGGATGTTGAGCGGGACGGCAGAGAGCGGTTATGCTTTTCAGGCTCAAAACATTGTTGCTTGAACTCATATGAAACCTGAAACTGGTACGAATGCCCATTGAGGAACGCATGCTCTGTTAATACATAATACACCACCCAGTCCGGGGTTTCTGTTGTTTTTTTCTGTTGTTTTGTCTGTTGTTTTCTGCATCATCTGGCCACTTTTGATACTTTCAACCAAGAGCGCCAACTAACTCCAACTAACTTCCAATGTCCCGACTAAACCGCTCAATCTTCTCCTTGCTAGGCCTCGGAAAAACGCCGCATGTGTGCAGCAAGGCAACGGAAGGTCACGTGGAACGCAAAAGTATACCCGCTAGAGCAGCCCGGTGGACCTGTGGACGTGACCACCCACCGCCCGGGTGGGGAAGGCCCTGCGTTGGGGCCGATAGGCGAGAAAACCACTCGAAAATCGCTCAAATAATTATTCCTAGCCTGACTGTTGCAGCTCACCTTTATTTTCCAGCGTGTGCCCCACTGTGTCCTGACACACACTGTTTATTTTTGACATGTGTGAATGGCTGGCGCGGATGTAGACACCGGATCCCGGACCCGGTCGGCAGCGCAAACGGCGCCCGTAACCAGCCCTATAACCACCGCAAAAAACATGCGCCGGGGAACGCAAAAAGAATGGCGGCTCTGGCCCGTCGCTTGCCCCGCCGTCCACTTGTTGAAGGACGCACCATGTTCGTTATCTGACCGTTGCCGTTACGTGTAGATTAAACTTTTGGGCAAATCCAAAATATCTACGGGTGCGAAACGCTGTCTAGTCCTCTCTCTCTCCAAGCGTACTCTTCGAGCAACACCACTGCTGGATCCCGTACGACGCCCCGCCACAGGCCCCCCGCAACACCAATACCCGAATCACCCCCCAACCCCGCCACCCAAGCAACCATGGGAAACGCACAGAGCCAGGAGGAGGCCAACAACAATGGAGCTGCTCGGCAGCACCGTCCAGCGGACAACAACGGCCATCACGACCCCAAGGGCACCGCCGATCCGCAGCCCATCCCCCAGGAGGGCTCCGACAACACACAGAACCATGTGAGCCATTCGCCAGAGCAAATGTCCGCCAACTCGTCGCATGTCAGCGCAACACCCTTCAACAACCCATTTGAGCCCGCCTCGTACCACAAAGAGTCGCCTGCTCCGGAAAGCGTCCCCGTCCCCGTGGCGCCCGCAAAGAGCCACCCCCAGCGGCCCAAGATGCGACGAAAGTCAACTTTGCTGCTGGATGAAGACGAACCCGTGGGAGAGAACGACGACGATATCCCCTTCGACAAACTCAACATCACCCATCCCACATCCAACGAGCCCAAGCCGCTGTCACGGGTGGACTCCGGCGAAGAGATCGAACTCACCTCCCCTCAGGTGACCGAAGGAAAGATCCCCCTCGAAATCAAATGGACTCAGGGAGGCTCCAAGGTCTACGTTACTGGAACCTTCACTGGTTGGAGAAAGATGGTGGCTCTGACCCCGGACCCCAACAAGAAGGGCGTCTTCTCTACCACCCTTCATCTTCCTCCTGGAACCCACAGACTGCGATTTGTCGTAGACAATGAGCTGCGATGCTCAGACTACCTCCCCACAGCCACAGACTCCATGGGTAATCTTCTCAACTACGTGGAGGTGGGTCTATCGGACACCGAGGAACGGGCCGACCAGAAGGATCTGCATCCCATTTCTCGAGCAGGCATCATCCCCAGTAACGACGATCTGGGAGGAGGCTACGAGCGGTTCACTGAAGAAGATCTGCCCAAGGAGGAGTACGAGTTCACACCGGAAATCCCGGCTCTGTTCACCGACACAGAAGTGATGGAGCAGTACATCTCCAAAGAGTTGCCCACGCCTCCCCAACTGCCTCCCCATCTGGACTCGGTCATTCTCAACACAAACTCCACCGAAAAGGAAGACAACTCGGTGCTGCCCATCCCCAACCACGTCATTCTCAACCATCTGGCCACCACGTCCATCAAACATAACGTTCTGGCCGTGGCCTCGGTCTCCCGGTACTCTCGTAAGTACGTGACCCAGGTTCTCTACGCTCCTTTGCCTCTTCAGGCATAAGCATAGGTGGAAATGAGGAAATGAGGAAGGAGGTTATATAGAGTGTCGCAGTACGTACAGTAATTAGCATAGATGTATTTGGCGATAAGGACATTAGGAGAGCACCCGTAATGAAGAGATCAAAAGGAACAGTATGATCTATGACAGGTGTTCCTGTACACTTGCTTCACTCGCTTCACTAGACAGTGCATATATCGTGTGAATGTTATCAATCTACTGTATATTCCGTGTACATACTATATAATACCTCAGACAAATACAACTCAATAGTGCAGCTGCGAAGCTGGAAATCGAAAAATCAACTCTTCTTGCCATCCTCTAAGAGCACACAAAAACTCATGAAAAATTGACCTTTCCATCTCACTGCTTTGAAGGGTCCATAATGATGAGGTTCAAAATTGATATGAAACCTTATTAAAACTTCCTTTATCAATCTTCTTGTACAGACTTGTTTGAATATATACAAATACGAGTAGTGGAGTTGCACAACTTTGGGTGGCGTCAATTGATAGGTTATCGGAGTTATTCATCATCATCAAAATAAACCAGTGCACAATGGCTTCGAATTATCATTATCATTATTATCGTTAGGTAAGCACTTGAATACCGTCACTCTCCAAGAGCATCGTAAATAGCCTCCCAATCCTTGACCAAAGCCGCATAGAAATCCACCTGTCCAGAGGTCAGAGTCTTGAGAGTCTCCTTCATCTCGCCGGATCGAATCTTGTCGAAAGTGTTAATCTCGCGCTTGGTCTGCTCGTCAAAGGCCTCGGACGTGGTCTTGGCCAGATTCGTCTCGCCCGTGAGACTCTCGATCCGGCCCTCGAGCTTCTGCAGCCGTTCCCGTCGTGAAAACTCATGGTTGATACCCCGAATGTCCTCCAGCTTGTTTCGCAGAATACCGTTCCCTCCACCAGACACCAGCGCCTGTCTTTCGGCCACAGCTCGCTCATTGTACTCCACCAGGCCCTCGTAGTCTGCCTGCTTCTGGTCTCGTTGTTTGAGCAAAGCTCTGACCGACACAAGATAGTGCATGAGATCCTTGAGAGAAGACACGTAGTCGGTATCAAGTTTCTCCTTGAGCACGGCTGTGTTGATGGCCAGCGCCTGCAGGCCTCCAGCAAACTTGGAAAACTCTTGTTCCAATGAAGGAATCAGATGCTCCAGCTGGCCCACGTGCTGCGACAGGTCCTGGTAGTCCATGACCAGATCTGACTGTCGACGCACAGACCGAGCCAGTACCTTTTCAATGTGCGACACACACACGTCCAGGCGGTCGATTCGTTCCTTGACCTCCTGGAACTCCTGGGCCGTCTGTGGGGGTCGAGTGAATGCACTGACCAGCGTGTCGGACAGTCCGTCCAAAATTCCTCCGTCCACAATCAGTCCTCCTCGTGCAATGTTGTTTTTCTTGTATGCGTTCCATTCGCCAGACTCCAGAAAGGCGTGGTAGTATTTGGACCGTTTGAGCAGGGGGTGATGTGCTATGCGTGAGAGAAACCGTGTCAGAGATGCTGCTCGCTTGACTGTGAACTCTGTCGAAAACCGGTCCCCTCGAATGTACTCGAGACGCTGCTTGTCCGGGAGAGGGGGCACCACACAGGCCTGGAACTCGTTGTTCAGGCAGTTGTAAAGGAAGACAAAGTCCGAAAACCGGCGTCGGACTCGGAACTCCTTGTTCGAGAACTGCGTGTTGTTGGACTTGGTCGTCACGAGGTATGTGATGTGGGCGTTCTGGGTTCCATCCAGGTCTTTGGCCGGATCGCTCACCACAGAGTCGATATAAGTCTTGTCATTTTCGAGCGCATGGTAGTCGCTTCGATACAGGTCTGTGTCTGAGTGCGACGAGGGTCCGTTGGACGATGACGCTATGCCGTTAGAAGGACCACTCGAAGGCCCCGCTTCATCTTGCCATTCCATCGTATGCAGTGAGAGTGTGTGATGGGGTTTGATGGGGTGTGGTTGTAGTTGTAGTTGTTGCTGTTGTTGGAGTGGGGCTCTTTGTGACTTGTCGTCTTGTTCTGTGTCTGTGCCGCTCCGTCGACCGTCGTTATCAGGTCGTCAAGTGTTTGGCTCCCTATTGCAACAGGCACAGCGAAGGTGGACTGTAGGTTTCTGGGGTTGCCACAGCCCAGATAGAGTTCAGTAACGTGACGTTGATAGTGGTTGGCAGCAAGTGCACCAGTGGAGAGCGTACGGGCGTACGATAGTATGTCGAGAGGGGTACGGCGGGTTTTGTTGGATTTTCTGCTTGGAATCACTTAATGGGTTTTCCAGAAAGACTCTATTCGCGTCTCGTCTATCTCCATTTATAGAATAAGTATAAGTACACTACAGACGGTATTTAGCCTAAATTAACCCCCAAAAAAGAAGGAAAAAAGAAGGAAAAAAAACGAGACATCAGGTCAATATGGAAGAGACAGAGATATGGCTGGATTCTAATGAGTTGAGACCATTCGATTGGTCCAATATTTATCCAGATTGGGCAACAGATACGTGTATGAACTGCTCCTTAACTAGCATATGTACATACTGTACTTGTACATCTCAATAGCGTCTAAAGGCTGAGTAGAGATGAGTCAGAAGGGTCCACCTGATGAAGAATGCTTGTTGTGTGTCCTCAAGCAAACCAATTGTGTTTGTTACATACCCAGGAACCTTCCAATGTCGTCTAGTAGCTCATAATCTGTTTCCTGGAGAACTCCGAGGTCGGAATTGGGGGTTGCAGGAAGTACCATCTGTCCTGATACGACAGGCGGGTGATGTACCTGTACTAGCATTGTGGCTACTTGTAAAAAATGATGAACTATTCTGCTGGAGATTATTCCTGGTGCTCACTTCAAAGTCTTGTCTTTCCTTTCTGGTACGAGTGCTCGTTCATAACTACAGTAGTAGTTACTAAACCACTTCTGGCATCCTTCACAACGGCTCTACGAATAGCTACTGTACATACCCCAAGGAAAGTACTTGAACCGAGACTGTAAACCACCAGAATGGCCAATCAAAAGCCACGTCTTCGTGCTTCCAATTGTCCTACTCGTTCCGATTCTTGCACCGGCATTCGTACACGCACATACTGTACAAAATGACCTCAGACGATGCATGCTGTAGACACCTGCAGTTGTAGATTCAGGGGTTGGTTGAGTATATTCAAGTGTGGATCGATACTCAGTATGAGGATATTCAAGTGTTGACTGAGTATATTCAAGGGTCGATTGAGTATATTCAAGGGTCGATTGAGTATATTCAAGTGTTTAGTGCTTGTGAAAGGGACATTTGACTGGCTTGTCGCAATCGGATCACATGTTGACGGAGTTTTCGAACTACAAGTAGTTGTACGGGATCGCATTGTCACGCACAGTCTTCCCCGTCCGCCTTGTGTGTAAATTATATGCCCTTATTCCTTTTTATTTTGGCTCATGTTTTGGCTTCCGGCGAAATAATAACATAACACACACGGCTGACAGAGATGGGCAGCAGAACGTGATAGATGGTGGCTTGAAGCCATATATTGAATGCATAGAAACTCCATCAGCCATCCACAGTTGATATATTTTTGTCACGTGACCGCAATAGATGTTGCCCCCCCTCGGGTCTAGGAGCCATCTGGGTCCCTTCACCTTTCGCGGAGGAATTGCATGGGTGATGCACGACCATGTTATTGTTCCAAACTTTCATCCGGATATTGTCCCTGACTGTTCAAGCACCGCTCTCCAACGCTCCAACCCTTTTCAGCTCGTCGGCCACATCCCTATGAACCGATAATGAACCAGCCCGACCCCAAGGCTAACGTCAGGCCGCTGGCCATTCGAGGAAACTCGTGGTACAGCGAGACTGGTGAGCAGGACTCGTCGCAGCAAACATCCATGCCCTCATCTCCATCTCAGCGACTTTTGGGCAGCACAGCAGCCTCCAGTCTGGCTGTGTCTCCCGTGGGATGGGCCACGAGGGCCGGCATCACGCTGCCCCTATTCCGAAAAGCCTCCATGATCCTGCCAAACACAGGACAGCGAGTACGACGACAAGTGACTTTCAGCAACGAGGAAGGGCGACTGGTGCCACAGACAATCAAGATAACGCCTGAAGAACTGGAGGCATTAGCAGACGCAAACGCAAACGCAAACGCAAACGCAAACAATTTCCAGACAACGTACCAAAATTACAACAGTATCACCGAATTTGGAGAACCCAACAGCAGTTCTTCTCCAAACTCGCCAGAACCGGACCCCGAACGGTCCTTCAACTACGCTGTATCGACAGTTGACAGCCCCACAATGTGCCACAGACACAAACCAAAGCCCACAGGAGTGTTTGGGAAACTGAAATATTACGCCACTGGAGCATGGATCGATCCAGAAGCAAAGGTCGTCTTAAAATGTTCAGTGGGATACCTTCTAGGAACCGTGTTCGTCTACAACGACCGTCTCTCAAGACTATTGGGTAACGGTGACTCCAAACATATGGTTGCCACTTCAGTTATTTATTTCCACCCAGGAAGAACCATGGGAAGTATGGTTGAGGCTCTTATTTTTGCATCTATCGCCCTGCTGTACTCCTTTTGTGTCTGTTCTCTGAGTATGTTAGTGTCGGCATTTCTGGTCGACTTGCATATGCGCCTATTGGCGTACATTATCGACCTAGTCATCTTCTGCGCCGTGGGACTGGGCACTCTGGCCTTTGTTAAGCAGAAAATGGACTTGCCGACTTTCAACACTGCCACTTCACTGGCGTGTGTGTGCCTTGTTAGTGTGCTGACGAAGGAGGGAAACGTGCAGCAGGGCAGAATTTCTTTGGAACAGCTGAACCAGATCTTCTTGCTCGCCATTACTGGTTGTACTGTGTCTGCTCTGGTTTGTGTAACGCTCTGGAGAACTTCTGCAGTCACAGAACTCAAGCAATCCATTTCAAACACCATGGACATATATGGAGACATGCTTCTGTATCTTACCAGGCAGTTTATGCGGGCTGTCGACGTGGACAGCGTCGAGTACATTGAGCTCAAGGCCAAGCTGCGTGCCCAGCTGAGTTGTTTCAGAAACATTCGTCATGCGAAGCTGGAACTGTACTTGACAGGCCGAGAAGATGAATACCACCAGCTGGAGAAGCTCGTTCATCACATGAACAGTATTCATCAGCATCTTAACGCTCTTACTTCAGGTGTTGAAACGGAGCATTCTACATTGACGCGAAAGAAGCTGTCCCAGCTGTTTAAGGACAGCCCCATCAGAAAAAGACACTCATTGAAGAGAACTCTTTCTACCCCTGGAAGTTCTCTTCCTTCCCCGAATTTTGCATCTACAAAACCCAATGAGCCTACAATCACGCCTGAAAATCTGTTTGATGTCTTCTTATACCACTTGGGTCCACCCATGAAGTCTTTTTCCCTGACCATGAAGCGGATCTTGCACGGTTCGGAGCTCGACAAATGCGATGCCGAGGCGGATGTTGCTCAGTACCAGAGATCACTTGGTCTTGCTGAGGAGCTATTCTGTGAAGCCAGAAAGAAGGCTCTGGCTGAAGTCTACGGCTTGGGGCTGTTTAAGCGAAGGCACAATGACGAGTTCATCACTGATTGGGAGCAGGTGGCGGCTTCGTGTGGTAACTTCTCGCTGCTGCTTGAAGAAATGGCTTCTGAGGTGCAAAAGTTGCTGGGAAGCATAGAGGGATACCTCACCATCCGTGAAAACGACGAGAGAAGCTACCGATGGCTGTGGGGAGGCAAGCATAGAGAACCGACGGCAGCAGAGGAGGCAGAAACTTCCCAGAGGAGTGCAGTCAACAAGATCATCAGTGGACGTAAGACCATGGCGTTCATGACTCGACAATCTGATCTTCTGGAGGAGGGGTTTGCTGGGCGAATGCATGATGATCTCAATAGTGCTCTGACTAAGAAGGCAAAGCACGGAGAGCTCGAAAAGCCGTCTATGTCGTTCCGTCTGTGGAAACGCCTGCGTGTTTTTAGAAGACGAGATGTCCAATTTGGAATTAGGGTAGGTATTGGAGCAGCTATGTTTGCTACCCCCGCTTATATGCCCAGTCTTCAGCCAATTTTCTATACATGGAGGGGCGAGTGGGGGTTGATTTCCTACGTGGTCATCATGTCCAAGTCAGTAGGAGGCACTACTTGGACTGCCTGGAAACGAATTATCGGTACGTTTTTGGGTGCTATGTGTGCCTATGTGTCTTGGGTTTTGTTCCCAGAGAACGAATACATGTTGGCATTGATTGGAGCTGCCATTTCTTATCCTTGTTTCCGCATCATTGTTACGTGGAAGGATAACAATGCGTTTGGCCGATTCGTTCTGCTCACCTTTAACATTACAGCTGTGTATTCGTACTCGTTGTACCTTGGAGACAACGACAATGACGACGATGAAGGAGGTCTAAGGCCTCTGGTAGGTACTATTGCTTTCCATCGGTTCGTTTCTGTGTGTGCTGGAGTTATGTGGGCGTTCCTGGTTACTGTTCTATTGCTCCCCAACAAGGCCCGAGTCAATCTCAAGCATGGTCTGTGTTCACTCTGGTTGCGAATGGGTCTTACGTGGAAAGACCCGCTGGCGTCCCAATTTGATCCTGCTACTGGAGGGTATAGGTTGGTTGGGCTTGCTGAGCAGCCCCAGTTGCAGAACACATTGATCCAGCTGGACGGTCTGCTCAAACATGCCCCCAACGAGTTTCGTCTCAAGGGCCGTTTCCCTAAGAACACGTACGACAACATTCTCAAATCAACACAGAAGATCCTTGATGCGTTCCAGAACCTGCGACTGGTCATTGAAAAGGACCCCACCACGACTCCTCATGAAGCTGTTCTGCTCAAAAGCACGCTGGCTGAACGTACTGAGCTCAGTCATCGAATTTTCCTGCGGTTCTACATGCTGGCCTCTGCCATGAAGCTTGGTTTCCCCTTCCCAGACAATTTGCCCTCCACCAAGCATTCTCGAGACCGTATGATGGTCAAACTGAATATCTATCGAGGCAGTCAACCTGAAGAGTATGAGCAAAACAACGTCATGGCAGCTGGTTCGGAAATCACAGATAACGACTTTGCGCTCCTGTACATCTACATTCTGGTCTGTGTGACCATCACCTCCGAGCTGGAGATTCTAGCCAAGCTGATGCAGGATCTGTTTGGTGTTATTGACGAGGAGATGTTCGATATTAGTTACAGTTAGGAGTGTTAATTGCATTGTTTTAATTGACGTAAGAAAGAGGTTGTAAACTGTTTACAATGTGCGGGAGACAGCTTGAACATCAGACTTGTCGGTGTAGACAGCAGGAGCTAGTCCAATGCTGTAGTCCTCCAAATCGTAGACGACGTAGGCGTTCTTAAGGAAAGGTTCTCCGAGAACAGCATCATTCGGAGATTCATAAAGGGCAGAGTTTTGCACTCCCAGTACACATGAAGGGTCTGTGGTGTCCCCTGAGAAGAATCCCATGGGCAGTACCAAAGACGAAGAGTTGGCTGAGATTGTGAGTCCGTCGAATTTGAAGTCCACGGAGATCTCCGCTTGACAGTCGATATAATACAGACCCATATCTTTGTTGTAGTTGGTCAGGTTAAGCCCGCTTCCTATAGCTCTGAACTGGGTGTCTGGAAAGGCAATAGCTAGCGACCCTGAGTCCAGTGTGACCGGCAGATTGAAGTCGAGTTCGTGTCCGTCAAGTACGAGGCTCTTGAAATTAATCTGGGGACCTGCACTGGGGTTGGCGACGTTGTAGTAATGGAGATCTCCAGAGTATTTGGCGTGGTCAATACCTCCCAGTAGAAAGGTTCCGTCAGGAGAATGGGGACCGTCAAAATGGAGAGAGTAGAGCACATGGTCAATAAAGCCCTGTTCTTTGGCGGAAAACGGAAAGTTGTAGTACTGGGGTTGTCCATTTCGTACCGACATTTCTACTTGCTTGAAAGACACACCCAAGATTCCTTGCTTCTGGTCTTGCATGTTAGAAACAGCTCCAAGTTGCAGATTGGACAGAGACAGGCCTGCTGCGTTGACATTATCGGTCACCCAGTATCCCTGGGCTGTTCCTCCGACGTATGCCGCGTTGAAACTGGTTCCTAAAGATTTGAACGTGGAGGAAGCCTGGGGGTTGAAGAGCCCTGGACCTCCAGTTTGGTCATCACCCACGGCTGGTATCCATAGATCAGAAGATCCTGTATCAAAGCTGACTTCGAATGACTGAGGAGGAGTGCCCACACTGATGTATGTGGAAATATAGACCCCAGGTCTCCCCTTGACCGACCCTAGGTATGTCTTTTTAGAGACATCCATAGACACCACCTTGGGGTTGGAGGGTGCAGCTACTGAAAGAGCTGAGAGAGCCAGAAGAGCCAGAAGAGCAGGGAACGAAAAGAACATTATCTCCACAACTACAACCACGCTTACAGATCTCTTATATGGAATGTAATAGATGGTAGAGTTGATGCCGTTTGCACTTTATCCACCATCTGACAAACCGTATCCACCTACAAATACAAGTAGTAGGGTTGTATTGAGATTAGGAGGGGAGTAGAGACTAGAAGTGTGGAGACACAGAGGAAGTTGAAAAACAAATTGGAGTACTATCAAAAGCCCGCAACCGCTTGAATTTACAGTCGGACTGACAAAAAAGAGAATGTGTGTGTTGTCTGAAACATCTCCAAAAAAATTGCGAATTCTGTGGATCGAACACAGGACCTCCAGATTACTCTGACCGAAGAATGACTTCAGTCTGGCGCTCTCCCAACTGAGCTAAATCCGCCGATTTTTTCTTTTTCGACACAATGGCCACCGCAACACGTGGCGGGTACAGGTTATGAGCGAAAAAGAGCGAGATTTTCTTAGATCATGTGATACCTCATATCGATATATTAGGTAAAGTTCTCTGGAACCTTATTTTACTGTTAATTCAGCCTCCATCAAGACATTTACCAACCTGCAGGGTAACTCACGTGACGAAGTTTGGTTGAAAAAGTGAGATTCTCATGTGGTTCTAGAAAGCACCTCCGCACACCATACACACCACCATACACACAACTTTTCAAATGGCAGACATTTTGAAAAACGACGATGCTCTCAAGGAGCAGTTTGAGAAGAACATTTTACAGCGGGCCACGCAGGTTATGGGCTCAGAGCAGGACCCGACTCTGGGGCAGTACATTGTGATGATGCTGCTAGACGACTACGTGACCGAGGACACAATCAAGTCAGAGGTGAAGCAAATGACCGAGGGGCAGCTCAGCGACGACTTTGTGGCGTGGTGCAAGGACGAAATGGGTCGCGTGGCAAAACACGGCGGTGCGGTACAGGAGGACACAGAAATGGAGGATGAATACAGCGTGGGGTCTATGCCTGGCCGACGGAAAACAGAGAGCGTTTTCAAGGGCAGACAGGATCGAAGTGCGTTTGGAGGCGTGGGCAAGTCGCTCAAGGATCGGGTCGGCCGAAACGGCGTGTCCAAGGCATTCAGCAAGGAGGGGGAATATAGCATCAGGAGCAAGCCCACATCTACCGGGGGAGTTCCTACGGGTTCTGTAGGAGGCATTCCGACGGACGCACAGCAGGCCATGTTCGCGACGATGCAGAAAGCGCTGTCGATGGATCTTCCGCCAAAGGAGCGGTTCAACCATCGGTGCCGAAACTGGCCCAACTGCAACTACGATAACTGCAAGTACGTGCATCCCACAGAGGCATGTGAGGCGTTTGCCAACGGTGGAGCGTGTGCTGCTCCTCCTGGCACGTGTCTCAAGGTGCATGTTGGCCAGGATATCGATGATCTGGCCAACCTTCCCGAGCAGCCCAAGCCGTTTGAGTGGGTGCCCTATGAGAGATACAAGCCTGCAGTTCCCAAGGGCTTTATGCTCATGCCCATGATGACTCCCCAAGGCCCCCAACAGGTCATGGTTCCCCAGGTGCCCGTGAAAACGACCATCATGGAGTGTCGGTTCACAGACCGGTGTGCCAACCAGCATTGCACTTATGGCCATCCTACTCCATGCAACAATGAGGCCAAGATCACCGACCATTTTGCGTGGTGCGACAATAAGGAGCACTGTGCGGATCCTGAGTGTGTCAAGAACCATCCGTCGTCGTCGTTGGTGCGTGAGAATGAGTCTCTTCCCTCAGGCCAGACTCTGGAGCAGTGCAAGTTCAACAACTACTGCACCAACCCCAAATGTCGGTTCCGACATGCCATGTCCAAGACCATTTGTCGAAACGGAAAGGAGTGCACCCGAATGGACTGCATCTTCATGCATCCCGTGGAGACGCCATGCAAGTATGGCGTCAACTGTGCCAACAACAATTGTATCTTCTCGCATCCCGAGGGTCATGGAAACGGCACTGCTGAGCGAAAGTTTGTGAATGAGGCTGAGGGAACTGAAAAGCTCATTCCTGGCCAGCAGCAGCAGCAGGATGTTGAAGGTTCCACTGTTGACGCCGATACCACCATGGAATAGGCTGTTGTGTCAATGCCATACGCCGTTCCAAAATATAGCTTGGTCATTCGGACCACGGTAAATTATTGTAATATATATATTATTATTGACCCAACTGTGGGTTTGAGATGAACTGAGAGGGTTGTAGAGGAACGCTCCGAGTGGGGCGGTCTATTGTATATGTACTACTCATGACTCACAACTGTTTCAGTTACTACAAGTAGTACAAGTAAAGATATAATCAACCAACCAAGGCTACAAGTGCACCAGACTTGCATTCACTTTACAGAACATACTTGAAGATCGGTCAAAAGTACAAGACGCAGGCAAACTGCTATTTGTCAGACACACTATGATTATGGTATAAGACAGCGTAGCCCTTCATGTTAAGGACCCTTAGTCACTCGTGAGTAAGTGGAAGGTTTATGATGCCAGAACATTGCAATCGCACAAGTACTGTATGAAGTAGCCTGATCTTCTCCTTTTCATATAGGTGCGGTTGTTGTGGTGCGATTTTACAGGTCCCATGGCCCCTCTACAAGGGCCAACCGCCAGCTCACAAAACTACCCTCTTTATTGTTGGAAAACTAAGTGTTCGCCCACCAGTCTGGAACCCTTACATCGTATTGGGGCGTATCCGAGCCGAAGGATCGTCGTCAAGGTTTGTTAGGGCGGGTTTCACGTGAGCTGGGGTTCAGGAAGTGACGGACCATCAGAGTCCGACATTTCAGATCTCTCTATCTCCATTAATCCAATGTACACCTCCTTGTTGGCACAGTATCATGGCTAGCTACTGGTAGCCCATTCCGGTGGTGGTATGCATGTACTGAATTGCGCCGTTGAAACACCGTTTAAACGTTAGGGTGGCAAAGGCAAGGAGTCTTGTTGGGCATCTAGGACGATCCCATTTCGTATTTTTTTTCTTCTAATAAATTCTTCTAGGAGGACCCATTTTGTCACGGTATTGGCCAAGACTTCTCGCGTAAATGAGGACCTGAAACGCCCTTGTTGTGCGGTTCATGTCATATGACGACACGCCATCTCGGGGGGCATCGGACATGCATGGAGCACAAAGGGACAAACCGAAGGATGGGTCTCTGGGATCTTGTAGCGAATATGCCTTTTTGGTGAGCTGTGGAATCGAAATACGACGGTCAATCGCGGTCCCACAAACTGTCAGCAATCTCGTAGCGTTTTCCTACGCCCTTCAAAAGACCGTCTCGAAAAACGCACACCCTGGCTTTCGGGCCAACTATAAAGCCGCGACTTTATTTTATTTTTCATTGCTTGTGAGACTAAATGGACGGTCGATCGGGTACCTTGCCTGATTAGACAGTCGGTTTGAGAGAGGGGAGAGTCTCAAATTCTGTTGCCCAGGAGCCCCATTGCGGCGGATATGTGCCATGTGCGCCCGAAAACTCGGGGATTTGAGCGCCGCAGACGGTCGGGTCCAAAGTATCCACATACAAGACAAGACTCTAAATATTTTAATATTTTTGTTTCCTTGCTCCATTGTTCTTTGCTCCAAACCATGCCGCGTGTGCATTGCTACTTCCAGCAACCTGCATAGATAGCAGCCTGTACGGGTACATAGTGTCGCATGTGTTGATGACGTCAATGGAAGGCCCGGGGTTCGGTTAACAGGGACTTGACCGGTCGGAAATGACTGGTCACAACGGCGGCCATGACCTTCGGACAAAGGCCCGAGACACGGTTGGTATCGTGAACAGTCCCCCCCCCCCTGACCCCCAGCCACTCTTCTCGCCAGCAACTTCCCCACTACAGCCGTGTGCCATAATAACGCAACGTCATGCGGCAAAGATAAAAACTAGCCTTGTAGCAATGACCCACGATGAGTGGGAGGAGGAGTACAAGTAGCGATCAAGGTATGCCTTGAGAGGAGACGTAGGGATAACCGTAGGCTGACATACTGTACTGCTTTGTATCTCACAACCGGCGTCCCCACGACTCCACCACCATCCCCTCGTTCACCACCTTCGCATCCCCAGAACATTCACGTCCTGCACCTGCAGTCAAAACACTCCTTTCTCCCACCGACACCAATTCTTGTTTCTGACTTACTCACGACACCACCACCACGCCTCTGATAAGACACAATGCCCGTTTTTGAAAACCTCAAAAACTTCATTCGGCATGGAAAACAGGCCCAGAACGGCCTGGAGCCCATCTCGTCCCGTAACTCGGGCCGACGAAGCCAACAACCGCCCGCCATCACCCACAGTAACAGTGAGCCGCTGACCAAAACCACAATGTTCAGCGAGGGCGCAGCTCAGACCAAGGAGCCCGCACCGGCCGCCAAAGCCGCTGCTCCCGCCAAAAAAGTCGACAAGGAGAAGTACAACGACGCGATCAAGGAGATTGTGGAGGAGGAGAAGCTGCAACAGAGCAAAATTCCCAACTACCCGGGACTCGAGAGATACAGGCTGATTGAAAAGATGGGAGAGTGAGTATGAGAAACGGGAGGGAAACATGGGGTTGTGTATGGTGACAGGCGGATGCTTACGACGGCCATATATATGGCCATTCTGGATGTCTGTCGTTCAATTTCCTTGGGTCATGGTGTGATGATGGGAGTATGGTTAAAGTGTGTGCTCACACTTGTTAATTATTTTGTGACACGCTCGCTTACATCATGTTCACCATGGACGGTGAGGACATAGTGTCTGGCCATGTCCAGCTACTACATCCACACACTCGGACCTGACTACACCACTTGACACAAGTCACATGTCACTAGCGCGAATTTCCAACCATGTTGGTAATAAGCATAATGGCCTGCAAAACAGGTGGAGGCGTTTGAGACACGTGACGACGCAAGAAGAACTGATACCCAGTGTACTTGTAGCGCTGTTCCGTGCTTCACGCGCCAATGGGCTCTAAATACCACCCGCGCTAAACCCGCATAAGTGTGCGGTTAGTACATTATCTCAACATGCTAACATAGTGGCGCATTTTCCATTGTCTACAAGGCAGTGGATCTCCAGACCAAGGAGGAGGTGGCCGTCAAGGTCATTCGGAAATTTGAACTAAACGCCAATCAGGTGAGTCTTGTGAGGAGAGAGGAGTGAGAGAGTGAGAGAGTGAGAGAGCGAGAGAGAGAGAGAGAGAGAGAGAGAGAGAGAGAGAGAAGAAACGAATGCTTGTGCCTACACTCAGGAAAGAAAGACACCACTGACACAAGTCGCGACATTTAGGAAACAAGGCTAAGCATGAACAAAAGGCAACACAGGTGGGTTAATGAAGGATCAGGGATTGAGGTGGTTATACCCGCAGTCGCAAAATACTAACTCAGCGTTCGAGTATCCTCAAGGAGGTGGCAATCATGCGTCAATTACGGCACAAGAATGTGGTGCAGCTCATTGATTTTAGCGAAAGCGAAAACCACTACTTCATTGTTTTGGAGCTTCTTCCTGGAGGAGAGCTGTTCCACCAGATTGTGCGTCTGACGTACTTTTCCGAAGACCTGGCCCGACACGTGATTGTCCAGGTCGCAGAAGCAGTACAATACTTGCATGAGGAGGTAGGAGTGGTGCATCGAGACATCAAGCCCGAAAACCTGCTCTTCTACCCTGCTCCCTTCACCCCTAGCAAGAAGATTGTGTTGAGAAAGGGTGAGGACGAGAGCAAGGAAGACGAGGGTAAGTACATTCCCGGCGTGGGAGCCGGAGGCATTGGGGTTATTAAGCTGGCTGATTTCGGACTTTCCAAGGTGGTCTGGGACAGCAAAACCATGACTCCTTGTGGTACTGTTGGATACACCGCTCCTGAGATTGTCAAGGATGAGCGGTATTCGAAATCTGTCGACATGTGGGCTCTGGGGTGCGTTCTGTACACTATTCTGTGTGGCTTCCCTCCCTTCTACGACGACAGTATCGATGTTCTGACCGAGAAGGTCGCTCGAGGACAATACACTTTCCTGTCTCCCTGGTGGGATGAAATCTCCAAGGGAGCCAAGGATCTCGTTTCACATCTGCTGACGGTCGATCCCGAGCGTCGGTACACAATTGAGGACTTTCTGGCTCATCCCTGGATCACCCAGAGCAACGAGCCCACCCATCCTGCTTTGGATTCTCCCATGGCGTCCATTTTGGACCAGCGAAAGGGCCACACTCCCGCCACGACTGCCATTTCGCGAGAGAACGTCGAGGCCGAAGATCCTCAACCCCACGACTCTGCATCAACTCTGCATGTCGAGCACCCTGCCGAGGGCGCCTCCACGTCGTCGTTTGAGGATCCTCAAGCAACGTATCGGTCGCCGGCCACTGTCACCCTCAAGGAGGTGTTTGACGTGTCCAACGCAGTGCATCGAATGGAGGAGGAGAATGCGCGACGTCGCCGAATGGGCGGCTCCAAGAATCTCGGCATGTTGACCGAAATCATCACCGACGAAGAGGACGAGGAAGACGACACTCTGGAGGGAAGCATGTCTCGAGTGTCGGTGGCCGAGAACCCTCACGCCCACAAGCGCCAGAAGCAAAAGAACCGATCAGGCGTGTTTGAGCTCAAACTTGACGGCGCCACGTTGCTTGAGAAGCGAAAGAGAGCCGCTGCCGGTGTTGCATAGCGCGCAGCGTCTGTCGCTCTTGTTCTGAGTTATCGAACGGCATTTTTTATATCTACAAATCAAACGGGGCAAAAAATCAACCAGAGACTTCAAAAAATCAAACGTTTGCACTTGTACATTTTAGCACGATGGACAGTTTGCACCACGGATCTACGGGTTCCTTGTGTGCGAGAGAGAGCAGGGCTCGAGTTGCACAATGACACACAAAGGTAAGGAATTGGAGGGATAATTCGCAGTAATAAAGTGAGGGTATGTATGACTATTTGTAACAGAAATTGTAGACAAGACTCAGGTATGTGCTTGTATGAGCACGGGTACTTGTACTTGTAGATGCTTCTCATTCATGTATGTACATACATTGGTACATATTCGTGCTGTAGATGTAAATGTGTGTATATTAGTTGATGTCTATAATGCGTGTCCGTGTCTACTTTTTGGTTTTTCTCTTCTTCTCTCCCTTGCCAGTCTCCTTGAGCTTTTCCTTCAGACTCTCCTGGTATAGATGCAAATATTCCTCGCCGTAAACCTCGACAAACTCCTCCTCCGAATGCACATATTTGGTGAAATCAAACGGTTGAAAGGCCGTCTTCAGTTCTCGTTGTTTCTTGTTCTCCTTCTTCTCGGTAGGGGCATTTTCGTTCTCCTGGCAATAGAACCGTCTCAACAACATGATGGCCTCTTCACGGTAGAATCCGGGGTATGCCTTGTAGGTAGGGTCGACTCCCTTGTCCGAGTGAATGCTCATGACGCTTCCACAGCCGCCAAACCGGTCGTTTGCACATCCATAGTACACGCACTTGATTTTGAGCTGTCTCAGAGCAGATGCACACATGATACACGGCTCCACTGTGACGTAGAGATCGACCTCTTCAAAGATATCGGCCGTGTGTGTCTTGAGAATGTGCTCGATACCCAGAAACTCGGCGTGGCGGGTTCCACACAGACTCTTGTTTGTGTCATTCATGCCTCTGGCAATCACCTTGCCATTGTGCACAAACACGCATCCCACAGGCACCTCGTTATTGTTGAGCGACAGTTCTGCCTGTTCGAGAGCCTCTTCCATGAAGCCCGAATGGTATTCGTATTTTGTAGTCATTGTAGGGTACTGTACTCGTGCTGTTTGCGTTTTTCGTTGGTCTTTTTTTTCTTTTTTGGTCTTTTTCAGTTAGCCCTGTCAACTGATGCAGAATCTTGTTTTTTTTCAGCGTCCTGCGATAAGGGTTAGGGTTGATCTGGGTGGTTCGAGTTCCGAGATGGATGACTAAGACTGGGTTTGGGTTAGTCCTGAATTGGATGCCTCGACATTTTCACTTTCAGTTTCTCCACGCGCATGGCATAAATTAATCCAGGGGAACGAATAAGAGAAAGCCAAAGAAGCACACACGTCATGTACGGCACGTAATTTAGCAGGCGGCATGACAGAGGTGATGCAATGCTTCGTGGTCGTGGATAATTCGAGCTGGGTGATCGTCGGTGATCGTCGAGGGAAAAAATCGTGTCTATCTTGATTTACGTGTTTTGACAGACTCTGGTGACAGGGCTAATAGTCGGGGGCGGCGGGCGTTAGAAAACGATTAAATTATGATTAATAACTTGATCGTTTGGAGAAGTTCCCCACGTTTCAGTCTAAATTCCTCCACTACCAGACATTTTGTGTTAATACCGCTAGAAGGAGAGGCCGCCAGCAGTTGGTGACATGGTGTGCAAATGCTTGTCGATGTGAATATCATGTGGCAGGCGGTTAATCCCTACTTGCGGTGGTAGATGAGACGCGTGGATGTCGCATGAGGAAGTAAGGAGGTGAATCGTCGGTGGGAGCAAGTGGTGTGTCGGGGGAGGTGCAAGCGCGTGGCCTCTATGGCAATTGTGAGCAAACGACAACTCGAGAATTGCACACACTGTGGCGATATCAGCTTCTCCACAGACCGCTCAGAGGACACGTCATCGATAAATACGACCATTATGTTTCGCGACCTGCATGGCTCTGGTCATTTAGCCAACTTAACTTTTCCCACTCGGAACCTTGAGTGGTGGCGGGCAGGAACATGTTTAAACAAGGTCACACAGGCAATGTGAGGAGTCCAGTGACCATGACAATTGGCGTTGGCATGGACATTGCCATTGGCATCTCTGAGGAGTCTTGTTGTCACCAGATTTGGGTCTGGTTGGGTCTGGTTGTTCTGACTGTGTCTGTGTAACACGCCCAAGACCCCGTTCTGTCCCATGTGGCAAATCACACAACGGTTAACTGGCCTGTGTCATGTGGAATATGGTAGAAACCACACATTTCATCCACACATAACACAGACGCTGTTAACACGTCATTGAGCGGTTCCACAGCAACCCGCAATCCCGCAATTGCTCACATGACTCGCCGTCAATGTTGCCACCGTCGCCACCTCAAACTGCCACCCTGGCAGCTTGCCCAAAACGACCCTGTTCACTCCGTGTAGGGAATGTCTGTTCATGCCTGTCGATGCCTGCCACTGCTGTGAAGCACGCCAAATGCATCTTTAGGTTTGGACACGTAACCGAGTGGAGAGAAGAGCAGCACAAGAGTTGGGTGGAAGGCGGTAGAAGCATGATGGCCGGGGAGATTGAGACGGGGAAAGCCGGGATATGGCTGGTAGCAGCGTGTGACGCGTAGGTGTGGGCTCGGAGGTCACGTGGACGCTCGCGAACACCTCCAAACCCGCCACCTGAGACCGGCCAGATAAACTTCCCCCGCCTTTCTACTTCAGTTCAGGTGGGTTACCCGGCCTCAGAACCCTGCCACGCACCCACCTAATTTTTGAAGACACGTAATGACTAACCTTGATCCGACTCGAGTTTATATAGAAGGCTAGTCCCCCCCGCTTCACTTTTCTGCATCTTTCGACAGACCTGTGCCGTTTTTACCACAAAACCGTACAAAACACACAACCACCTCGAAATATGAAGTTCTCTATGCCTTCGTGGGGCGTCGTTTTTTACGCCCTCCTGGTATGCCTTCTGCCTTTCCTTTCCAAGGCCGGCGTTCAGGCTGATGACGTGGACTCTTATGGCACCGTCATTGGTATCGATCTGGGTACCACCTACTCCTGTGTTGGTGTCATGAAGGGTGGCCGAGTCGAGATTCTGGCCAACGACCAGGGTTCTCGAATCACCCCCTCCTACGTGGCCTTCACCGAGGACGAGCGACTCGTTGGAGACGCTGCCAAGAACCAGGCTGCCAACAACCCTTTCAACACCATTTTCGACATTAAGCGACTCATTGGTCTTAAGTACAAGGACGAGTCCGTCCAGCGAGACATCAAGCACTTCCCCTACAAGGTCAAGAACAAGGACGGCAAGCCCGTTGTTGTTGTCGAGACCAAGGGCGAGAAGAAGACCTACACCCCCGAGGAGATCTCCGCCATGATTCTTACCAAGATGAAGGACATTGCCCAGGACTACCTTGGCAAGAAGGTCACCCACGCTGTCGTCACCGTCCCTGCCTACTTCAACGATGCCCAGCGACAGGCCACCAAGGATGCCGGTATCATTGCTGGTCTCAACGTTCTGCGAATTGTTAACGAGCCCACCGCTGCCGCCATTGCCTACGGCCTGGACCACACCGATGACGAGAAGCAGATTGTTGTCTACGATCTTGGTGGAGGAACCTTCGATGTTTCTCTTCTGTCTATCGAGTCTGGTGTCTTTGAGGTTCTTGCCACTGCTGGTGACACCCATCTTGGTGGTGAGGATTTCGACTACCGAGTCATCAAGCACTTTGTCAAGCAGTACAACAAGAAGCACGACGTCGACATTACCAAGAACGCTAAGACCATTGGTAAGCTCAAACGAGAGGTTGAGAAGGCCAAGCGAACTCTGTCTTCCCAGATGTCCACTCGAATCGAGATTGAGTCCTTCTTCGATGGAGAGGACTTCTCGGAGACCCTGACCCGAGCCAAGTTCGAGGAGCTCAACATTGATCTGTTCAAGCGAACCCTCAAGCCCGTTGAGCAGGTTCTCAAGGACTCTGGCGTCAAGAAGGAGGATGTCCACGACATTGTTCTTGTTGGTGGTTCCACCCGAATCCCCAAGGTCCAGGAGCTGCTGGAGAAGTTCTTTGACGGCAAGAAGGCCTCCAAGGGTATCAACCCCGATGAGGCTGTTGCTTACGGAGCTGCTGTCCAGGCTGGTGTTCTTTCCGGCGAGGACGGTGTTGAGGACATTGTCCTGCTCGATGTTAACCCCCTGACTCTTGGTATTGAGACCACTGGTGGTGTCATGACCAAGCTCATCAACCGAAACACCAACATCCCCACCAAGAAGTCCCAGATTTTCTCCACCGCTGTTGACAACCAGTCTACCGTGCTGATTCAGGTCTTTGAGGGAGAGCGAACCATGTCCAAGGACAACAACCTGCTTGGTAAGTTCGAGCTCAAGGGTATTCCCCCTGCTCCCCGAGGTGTCCCCCAGATTGAGGTCACCTTCGAGCTTGACGCTAACGGAATTCTGCGAGTCACCGCCCACGATAAGGGCACCGGCAAGTCCGAGACCATTACCATCACCAACGACAAGGGCCGTCTCTCCAAGGACGAGATTGAGCGAATGGTTGAGGAGGCTGAGCGATTTGCCGAGGAGGATGCTCTCATCCGAGAGACCATTGAGGCTAAGAACTCTCTCGAGAACTACGCCCACTCTCTCCGAAACCAGGTTGCTGACAAGTCTGGTCTCGGTGGCAAGATTTCTGCCGACGACAAGGAGGCTCTCAACGACGCTGTCACCGAGACTCTCGAGTGGCTGGAGGCCAACTCCGTGTCTGCCACCAAGGAGGACTTTGAGGAGAAGAAGGAGGCTCTGTCTGCCATTGCCTACCCCATCACCTCCAAGATCTACGAGGGTGGAGAAGGTGGAGACGAGTCCAACGACGGTGGATTCTACGCTGATGATGATGAGGCTCCTTTCCACGATGAGCTTTAAAAGGTTTCGGAACTATGAGAGTTTCAATGTAGAGTATTTAATTATTGCTTCCTAATAAAGGTAATCTAGTGTATACGTGAGTTTGTAGTGATGTACTACAAGTGAGGCGTGTCTCAGAGGTGTGATCTGTGAGATACCGTCTAAGCGAGCGAATGTGCTTACAAATATCGCTGTAATTGCCGAGGACAGACCTGTATGTACTTGTTCATCTCCATGTGCGAGTCTTTGTTTGACGGTTCTATGACGTTAGATATATTCCTATGGAAAAAGGGTATGCATTTGTGTGTACCATGGAAGTGGCATTGGTACTGACACGGCTCAAGTGGCCCTTATCATTCATTAACGGTCATCATCATGAACTTGAGAGAGATTTGATAAGGTGTCCTCTTGGGGATGTGTTGGTTGTGGGAAACTTGTCAGTGGTTTCATCTGTCCAGCTTATAGGCAACAAGAGTATCAATCTTGTGCTCATTAGTGGAGAAGCTTCGGAGCTGAACCTGTTCCGGGTTCTTAATCTCTCTGTTGGCACTGTCGGCCCACTCGGGGGGCACAGGGGCGTCCTGTTCGGCATACACCAGCACGTTGAAGGTGCATTCATCTTCCAAGACAGGCAGAAACGACACGGAGGCGGTGATCTGGCGCATGATTGCCTGGATCTCCTGCTGGATCTGGTCGTCTGACTTTTTGTCGCCGTTGGTCTTTGTGTCGGTTTCTTTTGAAGCCGTGTCTGTGTCCTTGCCCGAAATGTGAATGTCAAATTGCCATCGTTCCACCACTTCTCCAGACTCTTTGGATGTGATGGCCACAATCAGTTTCTGGATCTTGCCACCCACCAGCCATTTGTGTAATTGGCCCATGATCTTGCGAATGTATGCCTTGACCTCTGAGTCCACCGTCACCAGCACATTGATACCGTACTTTTTGACCTGCTGGAAGTCGTCCGCCGGGTAGATGCCCCGCTGGTACAGAATTGTGTTGATGGAGTACTCAAAGAACTCCGCCACCGTCTTGGACGATCCTCGGATCGATAATCTGTCTCTTGTCGGCGCCTTATTCATTTTCGCGTGTGTCTGAACCGACTTTTCGAGTTGTTTCAAGTGTCGAGTAGCACTGATTCGGTTTTCGGTTTGTATATCCACCTCCCAATCGGGATGTCCAGCAAGGTTAATATTGGGTAGAGAGTAAGTATAAGATTAATTACATAAGCCATTCGAAAAGAGGTGATACAAAATAGCTGATTAGGAGTGCTGAATAGGTCCCAGATTTCGACCCAATGTAAATGTAGGCTCCAGAAGCCTCATTTCCAAATTTCAGTCGTTCTTGGTGTTTATTCGTCGACTTTGGCTCTAGTCTTCAGATTACTCCACTCCGCTTATTAAGCGCATTCAATGCACGCTCTCTCTAATTAGTAACACCTAATCGTCCCTATCTCCACCACAACACCATGGTAAGTGTCTCGAGTCCGCTGTTGCCACCCGATTTCCACTAACCCAGCATAACGTGCGCAAGCAGAAATACTCGGCCGAGCAGTTGGCAGAAAAAAAGCAGCTAGAAAAGGGCAAGATCAACGCCTACAATGGCCTCTCGACACAGGTGAACCAGTTTCGCCGAGAAGGAAAACACGACAAGGAGGCGCTGGATCTCAATACCAAGCTGATTAAGATCAACCCCGAGTTTTACACAATGTGGAATTACCGACGAGAAATACTGAAGACCGGAATCTTGCCCAATCTGGAGGACAAAGACGACTTTCTGGATGGAGAGCTCAAGTTTGTTCAGGAATGTTTGATGCGGTTCCCCAAGACCTACTGGCTGTGGAACCATCGAAAATGGTGTTTGGAAACTGCCGCAAAGCCGGATTGGAAAAAGGAACTGGCCATGGTAACTTATGCTCTTGCCAAAGACGAACGAAACTTCCACGCATGGAACTACAGACGATATGTGCTGGCCAAGTACGAGGAGACGCTCCCTGAGGCCCACAGAGGCGCTGTCAAGCCCAAAGAGTTTGAATTCACCGAGGAAAAGATCAACAAGAACTTCTCAAACTTTTCCGCCTGGCATCAGAGATCAAAGGTCATTCCAGAACTCATGGAGGAAACACGCCAGGGAAAGTGCACAGACGAGAAGCTGGTAAAACGTCTCAGTGATCCCAAGACGTTTTTCGGCTCGGAATTGGACTACGTGAAGAATGCTATCTTTATGGACCCCAACGACCAGTCTGTTTGGCTCTACTTACGATGGTTGTTGACCAAGCCTGAAATCATCTATCCTGATATTTCTACCGAATACCACATTGAAGTAGTGGAGTCCACCATCAAAGAAATTGCGGAGTTGTACGAGGATGAGAAAGACTGCCGTCATTGCATTTATTGGATTGTCTTTTACACCATCATGCTTTATGAGCTCAAGAAACAGAGAATACCCGAAGCTGTTGGTAGAACTCTTACCAAACACATTGGTGACCTCAAGGAGAAGGATGCCCTTAGAAAGGGCCAATATGAAGACTGGGAGAAGGTGGTGGTTTCAGCTCACTGAAACCAGGACGGTGTTGTAAGATCTAATGCATGAAATGAATGACTTTCAAGTACAGTAGACCGATATTGATTCAAAGAGAGATCTGCACGTACACCTACAGGTAATATCGACCAATGTGATTACAATCGTACATACCGGCATGCTAATTAACCTCCTCATACTTTCCTAGCTGATGAATTTCCCAATCAAGAATATACCGAACGGTTCCCTTATCAGAACGAGTTTTGTCCCGAATAAGTTGCTTTGAAATGGCTTGTTCTTGTTCGTGACTCAGCGTATGTTCCTCCACATGTGAGTTTTCCACCTCCTTTGACACGGCAATTCGTAGTTGTGAAAACACGCTCTTTTCGTACTTGTGTTCGCCCAGCTTGGTGCTGTCCAGGTAGATCATGTAGAGATCCAAGAGGTCCAAAAGCGCATGATTCACCGACAAACGATCCGAGTTATATGGTTCCGACTTGATGGGGAAGATGTTTGTCTCGTTCTTCAGCTTGCCAGCCAGTATCAAACACGACAGTGCGATAGTGTGTGGAGGACGCTTCATATGCATGTGTGTTCTGTATGTGTCCATGGAAATGGTCCATGCGAGGCGCGCTATCTCCTTGGAGGCTCCCAGCGCCTTGGCGATCTTGATGATGTATGGTTGGGGGTGTCTGATTCGGAAGTCAAAGGTGACCGTCTCCAGAATCTGAAGCTCTAGCGTCATGATCTTGGGTTTGCACGCATCAAAGGCCACCATGGCCACCTTTGAGTACAAGTATACGGCGCCATGCACATCTCGCACCCGTTTGGCGGTATCTTCGATTTTGCAGGCGCAAACAAGACAGGCAATGAGGACCTCCTCGAAAGTGCCGTCCAACGAGTTGTTGAGCAGACAGTAGCGCGAAAAGAGTACCATGGCCGTTCCGAACGAGCGCACGGGCAGCAGCAGGCTCTTGCATGTCGCCTCAAGCACTTTGAATGCGATGTTGGCCTGGGCCATGTACCGAGAATAGGTGGTGTAGACGGAATGAGCCTGGATCTGCTGGATGGCGTTTTCGCTGAGATACGGCTTGGACATGATGATGTCGGATGGATATGGCGACGCTGTGGCCATGGTTGTCGTGTGAAAATACTGAGATGTGTCTGTGGTAGTGTGGTATCGTGCTGAAACTGTGCACCTCAAGATCTTCTAAAGTTTGGTGTTGTGCATGTGCATCTTGATACTTGAAGTTGTAGATGGAGGTCATGTGTGTAGACTTGGACTAAAAGTGTGAGTGTAGCGAGAATATTTTTAATCCTGGATTGATTTGGTTCTATTGCTGTAAATTACAAGGCCGTTATTTTGCTATATACTTGTAATCTGTTTCTTTTGCTTCTATACACTCCAGCTATGTTACTTGAAGTACAGTTGAAAGTCTAAGTAAACAAGATCAAAGGGGCTGTATTGATTCTTTGTAAAGACGAACTAAAGATAGTGAAAGACACACTACAAGTATTAGAGGTCAATAATTTGCTACTGTGTACACTCTCTACAATATATTCTTCGTCTGTTTCTCATCTGTGTATTGTTCTGAGGTGTATACATTTTTTGCTTACTAATTTTTAATATATATTTTCCTCAGATTTTTCGTTTTCCTCTCATCATTTTCTCAAAAATTTTCTTCTCAATTTTCTAAAAGTCAAACCAACTTTTGGGATTTCTGCCGAATTAAACTTGTTCGAAAATTGAGATTAAAAAAAGGCGGAAAAAAAATCGGAAAAAAAAAAAAAAAAAAAAAAAACCAAGGGTAAATTCGAGAAACTCCAACTTTGCCGGGATATAAACCGATCTTACAAGGATTTTAGAGACAAAATAAGAACTGAATTTGTAATAAAGAGCTTTGGAAAGTGGACATATATGTTATCTGGGTCCCTGTGGTCATTTTCGAACCAGAATTATGTATGTAGTCCATTGCTTGTGTCAGTGATGTTTTGTGTGTGTGAGGAACTCTTGACAATGTGAGAATTCAGGCGAGAATGATAGAGGAAGCGATGAGCGCGTCCAATGAAGAAGTAGCCATTGTTTGGTTGTTTTCTACTATTTTTTATTATTTTTCCCTTCATTTTTATACCCCTTAGGCAGGTATTGTAGCTCTTGTGAGAACCCGATAGAGCCTTGAGCAAAAAATGAAAAATAATTAAAATAATGAAAAATACGATGCGGACCTAAGCAAGACATCCTATGTCGTCACTGACTATGCCAAGTGCTTTGCAATACCCACTTTTCCATCAAATCAAGCATTTGAATCATTCTTATCAACTTATCTCGCTCATGAACCATCCCAGAGTCGACTTTTTCATACAACCTAGAGAACCTTTTCAAGTTTTAAACCCCCTTATAACGATCCTTTCATGAACCCACCTACTCCTTTCACTCCTGTCTCGTATCAATATTCCTACAAGATCAAATGTATTCAACTATATGATGGTATCAACTTCAGATTAGGAGCAAACAACTCTCGCAATAGGTGAGGTATCACTGAAATGGAGGTATTTGATTTGGTCCCCTTGCTCTTGCTAACACGTTCCTATACCACTGGTATAATGCCCGATTTCTGAAGCAAAACTCCATCAGAGCTGAAGGATGAACGGGTAAAGATGTGATAGGTCTTCCATCATTAGAGCAGGAAGCAGTGTAGATTGTCGATATCTTGCGTCTTGTCGTACGTCTACAGCTACAATCAACCATTATCGCTCAGACAAGGGTCCACTCTTTGGAATAAACGGTTAGATTTCTTGTATTGCACTTTATTACTTGTACATACAAGCTACATTAATTTACTGAGACACGGCGACTGATGAAAGTCTGTGGTCCGTTCAATGAATAATTTTATTTTATTTTTGCGTCAAAAGACAGACTTAGTTCTGGGCCTTGATGAGAGCGTTGATGTTCTCCTCCCGGTTACCGGTAGAGCCACCCTCGATGTAGTGCTTGAACTTTCGTCGGACACCCCAGCCGCCGGAGGGGTTGGAGAGCTTGAAGGGCCACAGGAAGTTGGAAGCCTGCTTGAAGGCAGGGCCAACAGTGTAGATCTCGTGGATCAGATCCTCCATGCAGATGATGCCGTACTTGCCGAGAGCCTCCTCAATGATGGCGTTGTCGGAAAGAGGGATTCGCTGCTTGTTGACCTTACCGTATCCTCGCTTGTAGACGAGCTGTCGAACGGAGGCCAGGTTGGGGTAACCGAAGGCAATGTAGGGCTCGACGATTCGCAGAAGCTCGGCGGTAGCCTTGGTGATTCGCACAAAGACACCGTTGTTGATCTGGTGGAGTCGCAGGAGCTGCAGGACCTTTCGGGGCTTGGGGGCCATCTTGGAGATACCCTTGATTCGGATAACGAACACGAGCTTGGGCTCGGCGGGGACGTAGAAGGTGCCGTTGAGCTTGGCCTCTCGTCGGAGTCGGATCTGCTCTCGCTCGGCCTCTCGGTACTCCTTGACGTACTTCTCGGCTCGGGAGAAGATGACCTTGTCCTTCTCGGCGTTAGCGGCCTTCTTCTCGGCAGCAGCAGCCTCCTTGGCGGCTCGGATCTGGTCGGCGTTCTTTCGCTTCTTCAGGAGAGTCTCGGGAACGAGAACGTCATCCTTGGTGGGCACGGTTCCGGCAGGCATTTTAGATGTGTTGATGAGCTGAAAGAAGATCAGTGTGAAAATTTAGTATAGGAAGGACGTTGGGAGGTTGGGAGGAGCAGTGAGCGGTCACGTGATGTGACTGTCTTTTGGGAGTTGGGACCAACGGGGTGTTAGGGTTGGGATGAAGGAGTGGGGGTTGGGAGAGTTTGGCAGACGTCGGTTCGATTCTTAGTGAGAATAATTTATGTGTAATTAACCTGGAGAAAATGGAGAGAAGAGGATGTATCATAGACGAGATGAAGGATAGATGCCGGATATTACTGTCTGTGTCTTAAGGGAGTCTACCGGTCATGTGTGTTTCTGAAAACCCATCTGCATCTTTCCGGCTGTTTCTACGATACTTATCCGTTCAACTACTTGATCCATAGACTGCGAGGCAGGCAGTTGTATGATTTCCTCTTGAAGCTGAGCGTATGTGGAGAGAGCGTACGTGGAGAGAGCGTGGAGAGAGCGTGGAGAGAGCGTGGAGAGAGCGTGGAGAGAGCGTACGTGGAGAAAGCATGGTTTGGAACTCATTATACCAACAGCAAGCGACTGTTGCAGACATATACCTCCATGGCACCACAAGTTGCGGGCTCTGGATGTTCGGTTTTAGTTGAAGTTAGTGTGGATTGGTGCAATAGTTGTTTCCCACATTGTGTGCATTGTACTGTTCAATTCATACTGGACTTCCAATCACCTTCACTCACCTTCAGTCTCCAATCTCCCATCTCCAATCTCCAATCTCCAATCTCTAATCTCCAATCACATTCCGGACTCTGGCAAGCCTGTACCTCCTAAGCTATACGTTCTGGAGAGATGTGGGCCGTCAGTGCCAGTGTCAGAATGGTGTCAAAGTGGAGTCTGGCATCGTACACTGTCTTTGTCTATGATGGAGCGGGTATTTTTCAGACAAGTTAGTGGCACATTGTTGCAGTAGAACCATGGCTATACGTCGTATATTGTACGAGGTTTATTGTCACGGAGAATCTTGCGAAAACAGAAAGACGCGGCTCCGACTTCCGTAATGTATAGATACAACTAGTGTTATGATAATATCGGTTTATGCCGTTGGTAGGTAGCTGGTCTAGAACACCGCACCGCTATTGAATTGTTTGGAAGATGCCCCCCAGTTTTCCATCTTCCCCTCACAGATGTACGTCCGTTTCCGTAAACGCCATATCTGTCGCTATCTCAAAGAGCCACTCTGAGCGGCCATTTGCGGACCGTTTGAGCCCGTACGGCATCTAGAAACCCTCATTAGAGTGCAATAAATCTGCTGTGAAAATGTACGCGAGGTCGTACGGAATGTATCGTTTGTTGAGTGGTTCGGGCAGCGGTTCGGGCAGCGGTTCGGGCAGCGGTTCGGGCAGCGGTTCGGGCAGCGGTACGAGTACAATACAAGCACACCAAGTAACAATTCCTCAACCACGGCTGTACTCGTACAATACAAGCACGATACAAGCACATCAAGTGGCAATTCCTTCGCGCCAAATAGCAATTCCTTCAACCACGGCATATCTCTCGGCGTTCCATCTGTCACACCAAAGTTGCATGCACCCCTCCAAAACCAGAGACAGACTGCTTTTTTCCTCGGCCACTTTAAAGGTGGGCTGAGACACGAGAGTCAATCAGAAGACGGGGTGAAATGGGTCTGGAGGCGAGTCGTCAGGTGCAAGGGGGCGACCTCGGACACCGTGGGCGGTTGTGGATCTCTCGCAAGACATTCTCGTCCATGTTGATGCACCCAAGTCGAGCTCTTTGGCCCCGAGCAGACGCAGATATCGCTCAAAAGTGACGTACACTCGGGGCTAAAAATACCTGGCGTTGTAGCAAGGCTGTAGTATCCAAGCTTGGGACAGTCTAGCTTTGCATCAGGCTGTTGAACAACGTTGAGCAAGAGCCTAAAGACACTAAGAACGGCAACAATGTGGGATAACGTCACTGTTAATGCCCACCCTGTCTCAGACCTGTGAAGAGAGAGAGAGCAACAAATGTGGGGATGGCCCCTACAAGTAGGTGTAATTAGATGGCTCTCACACATTGGGTTGCGGTACCTGTGTCAACTGTGTAGCAGGAGTTTGGCGCTGTCAGGTACAGACAGTCAGAAGCAGCTGTTGCACGGGCCCACTGGACGGAAGACGGTAGGTACCGTTACAAGACACCCGATACGACAAAAGGAATTGTACATGTGGACTAGTACCGTATGTCCAGTACCGGTAGTGACGGTGTTCAAGTCGACTACTTGTAGTAGCTACCAGTACATACAGTAGTGTTCTTTACTTTTTTTCGGCACTAACGCGGTGGTGTATGAACCGGTATTAGTACATCAGACTGTCAACCGTCGCTAAGGGTCTGATGCACTGCCAAAATTGCATAAAAAACCCCCGGCAACAAGTCCATTTGGATGTACTTGTACAATCGGTGAACCCTCAGTCGTAGGTGAAGAAGTGCATTCGTAGCGGGCCCTGGTGCCTACGTGGAGCACGCGTGTCATGTCTTTTTGTTGTTTGGCCCCGATTGAATCGGCGTTTCTTTCCATTGGTTTTTCACCCCGACAGCACCCTGCGACACGTGACGGTGGGCATACGAGACACCGGCCGAGACCAGGCCACATCCACCTCTGTCCTTTTGTGAAACATTGGCAGTTTAAATTTGGACGAACCAGGGGGGACGTTTTTGCGAGCCCGAAAACGAAAAGGGCGACCATGACAACCGCGAAAAAGGGCGGCGGATCACGGTGGGCTGCGGATTGAGGCGGGCTGTGGATCATGGCGGGCTGCTGCTTTGTCGCCGAAGATCCACAGCAGGCCACGTCGCCACTTTTGCTTTTTCGCCTCCCCAAACGGACCAGCCAAGTTGTCAGCGCCCTAGTCGCGGTGACCTTGTGCAAGTTGGTTTAGGTTAGGTTATTGGTTCAGTGAAGGCTAACTGTGAGGTGGCAGCGAAAAAGCCAGAGCGAAGGCGACATGCCATTGCATTGAGTGAGTGCCATTGTGACGGGGTCATGGCGCAGTGCCAACAGCTGACAACTGAAGATGGATCGAATGGTTGGTATGCTGACAGAGAGCATCGACGTAGAGTTCTGGACTCTGAGTCAGCCACCCTTGGAAACGAAGCCCATCAACTGCTGACACATCCACACACCATTTTGCACCACCTCAATCACACCACACAGTCCGTCCACCACCAGGGACCATGGTCACAAATGTACGCTCCAGCATGGCATATCGTTGACTCTGCTGCACGCACGGGGCGTCCCACATAACATCCCAAAGCAGCAGCCATTTAGTGTCTGTGGGTCTGGGTCGCCATGGCTCAATCTAGATCAGCCCCCTGGAAACCTCCTGTCCCATAGATCGCGTCCTAGATCCGATCAATGGACGGTCCAGCACCTTGGGTGTGAAAAAGTTGGTGTCACGCACCCTGTGCAGAGTGCAGCTTGCACGATACAAGTGGAGAGAGTTTGCGAGTTTGGTAGTAGTACAGTACTTGTACTTGTTGGTGGTTGGGCGAGAAACGGGTGGCTTGTACGAGACCAGTGACGGCAGGCGGCGGGCAGCGGGCAGCGGGCGGTAGGCGACGCGGGAGGGGTGGCGATACTGGGGCCGGACAACCGTGTGGTTTACTGCCACGTCACCCAAACCGCCGTCGTCTTTCAGCTTGCTTTTGTAGCCTCTGTGGACCTGTAGCTTTGTGTATTTCTTTTGCGCCGTCTCTCTTGTTCGCTGCTGAGTCCGCACTAAAATTGCAGGTCGATATAATCTTATGTCCACCGTACAATCTTATTGTGTGGGAGTTTGATGAAGGTAAAATGGGAAAATTCAAAAAGATAGAGTGTAATGTTGAGCAGTGTGAATCTGTGCATCTGGCATTGGTACTGAGCTCCGCACAGACACGGTCGGTCCACAAGCAGCTGGAAAACGAGGGACGGGGACCGAAAAAAACGAGAAAAAAGAGGAGAAAAAAAAAGGAAAAGAAGCACAGACGTGTCGAAAACAGCGCCAACCAAACGTCGCCACAACCTCCCCCACTCTCACTACCCGTTTTGACCCTGTCGTCAGACCGCAGTTTTCTCCTGGACTCAGTTTGCATCCTACCCACCCAACTCTCTCCGATCTATACGACTCTGTCAACCCCGACACCCAACTAGCACTCACCTAATGGAGGTGGCCATGGATGGAAGCCACAATGGGCGCCGGAAATGCGCTCGGCGAAGCTCGTCTGCCGAGCTGCTCGAAAAACCGGAGTCGGACCTTTTGACACAAATGTACCACATGCGCAACGACGACTCGCTGGCCGACGCTCTCACCAACAACGAAAGCGAGCATTCCAACGTGTCCACTTCGTCGGCAGCGTCGGCGTCGACCGCCGCAACCTCGGCCTCGATGATGGACTCCCAGGTGTACACAAACAAGCAAAACACAGCCGCCAACAACGTGACCCCGGCGCCCAATAACACAGACATGCGGCCTCCCGAGTCGCCGGGCCCGGGCTCGTCGGCGTCGCGAAAACGCAAGGCACCAATGGCGTCGTCGGAGGAAATCGACGCAGAGCTGCGCAGAGCCGCAGAGCAACTGGTGGGCCTGCCAATTGAAGATATTGTGGAAACCCTGCGTCGACAGGACTCGCCCGCCGGCAGAGGCCATGGCAACGAGCGCACCAAGCAGACCTTTGGCATGGCCTGGCTCATGAAGTTCTGCGAGCTCAATGAGCAGTCGTCGGTCCTGCGATCCCGCATCTACGCCCGCTACGTGACCATGTGTTCGCAACACAATGTGCGGCCCATGAACCCGGCATCGTTTGGCAAGCTCGTGCGCGTCATCTACCCCGACCTGACCACGCGACGACTGGGAGTTCGTGGCCAGAGCAAGTACCATTACTGCGGCATCCGGCTCACCGGCGAGGCCGAGGAGATCTCTACCCCCGGGCCTGGATCGCCTGATCGGGCCTTCACCCCCGAATTGACTCCCTTCGACTCGCCCTACGGGTTCCGTGGCAAGACTGAGACTCCCGACTACGCGCTGGGCCTCAACTCCATGATGGCGTCCCAGCCCGGCACGCCACAGCAGCATATCCAAAATCATCAGCAGCAGCATCTGCAACAAAATCACCAACAGCATCATCAACAGCAACAGCAGCAGCAGCAACATCAACAACATCAACAACAGCAGCAGCAACAGCAACAACAACAACAACAACAGCAACAGCAACAGCAACAGCAACAGCAACAGCAACACATAATGGGAACCCCCCAACCAGGCGTACCCGACCTTCGTTTCGTGTCGAACCTAACGGAAGTGTCACTATCAGAAGGCTACGACTCCCTCATGCTGCCCTCGATGGAGCCGTACCTTCCTCTGGGCACTGACAGCGACACCGCCAACACGCTAGCGGCGCTCTACAAGGCCCACTGCCAGTCGCTGGTCGAATCGCTACGGTTCATGCATATCAGAAAATTTCTCCACATTCATGGAGCTTTCATTGGGGGCCTGACATCCACAGTTCAAAAGCTGTATCGACATGAGTCGCTGCAGCCGTGGGTGGCCAAGGCCGACTGGATTATGTACAAGGACATGGTCCAGATGCTGTCGCCTTTGGCGCTGCAGGAGATTCCTCCACAGGTCCTGTCGGGTCTCAAGAGCTTGTCGCAATACTTGCCCGAGTACCTCAAGTCGTCTTTGTGCAAGACGTCGCCGGGGTTTGTGGAGACCAAGCTCAAGCCCGCGCGGGCGTTTGCATCACTGCTGATGCGGCTGGTGCGGGTGTCGGAGCTGGCTCTCAACGCCGGCAAGCTGCTGGCGTCCGACCACGACCGAGCGGTGATGAAAAACGATTGGATCAAGTACGTGGACAGCGGGCTGATAGTGGCTCGAGACGTTCCGTGCTCATCACAGGAGGTGACCAAGATTCTCGACGTCGACCTTCCGCAGCTGCTGGACTACAAGGATCCGGTGGCGTCGGCTATAGTGGAGCACTGGGCAATGTACCTGATGACTCTTCCGTCGCGGTTCACCAACGTGTACCCCCATATGTTTCTGCTTTACATGAACGCTGTGTTTACAGCCGCACTACGGGAGATTTTTCTCAACGGAGGAGACGGGTTTGGAGCGTGGATGGTGGTTCGGTGCTGGGTGGATGAATGGATGGGATGGACGGCCGAACAGGGCACGTTTCTGTCTGCCGACCACAACAAGGAGGTCAACAAGCATGAGAACAAGGAAGGGACGCCCCATGGCAACCCCGCCAAGTTTCTCGACATGACTGTGGGGTTGCTCAAGCCCACCCACAAGGATGCATAGATAAATTATTAGGTGGATGGAGCCGCTGCAGCGTAGTATGAGGTCACACCGGGTGACTAAGAATCGTAGTCAATCGTCTTCTCTTCCTTGGTAGTTTGCTGTTCTATACTTGGCAAGGTTCAGATAACCGTTATCGCATGAACTTTATTTTGAAAAATATGTCTCGTCTGACTCAGGGGGGTCTTAGACTTAGAGGGGGTCATCTGAGGGCCTGTGTGGGCTGCGTGGTGGTTGATTGAGTGTTTTGTCCGAGGAAAAGAGCTGTTTTTTGCCCTCCATTATTTGTCGTGGGGCTTGTATGACGTTTGTGCTAGTGGTAGGTTTGGAGTTATGCTAAACATAATATGGTACATGCGGTTTGTCAAACTCTAATCTAATACTTTAAAAAAAAAAGAGGACGTGTGCCGTTTTTAGGCTTCTCTTATTGGATTAGCACGTGAGAAGTATAATTAACCGAGACATTTGTATGAGGGGGTTGTCTGCAAGCAAAGAGACCAACCGGGCTTGGAGACCTGGTTTCCATGTTCAGAGCGTAGTTTGGCAGACGTTGCGTTTAGGGCGCTTCTACAATAATATTTGCGCCGTCCATAATATCTGTTTGCAATCTTATTTGGATCCAAAACCAAACCAAGAGCTCCGTCTTGCTTCCATTGCAACCACAGTGATCTGCAAGGCTCCCTGAAACCGTAAAGGCCAGGGACAGGGGCTGCTTGGTGCGTGCGGTATTAGTATTTGGAAAGAGCGAGGTGGCTGCGCCGCGGGCTGCTCGGCGGCGTCCGATCGGTCATGTGACTTTTTGTCTGGCCTCGTATCTTGTGTGTCTCGGGTTTCAGTTGGTGCCAATCAGCGTCTTGTTTTCACCGGTGACACATGGACAAGGAAGAGAGAGAGAGCGCCGTAGCTGCTTGAGACACGACGGATGAAACTATTATTTAGGGGTAACGGTGCAAACAAGTGCTGATGTCATCATTATTCAGATGGCAGCCACTGAAGGACATGGTGTACAGCCATCTGACGCCTTGTTTCATCACTGTGGTGATCTGAGCAGCGTCAATCGTGTCTCACTGTCGACGAGCGAAAATCCCGTAGATCCCGTGGAGGAGGCGTTGACAAGGTGCTTGTACGAGAGACACTGGCTCTGAGACGGATCGGATCAGTGCGAGAAGTGGCGGAGATGCGAGTCTAGATGTACTGTACGTACGTACGAGTTGAGCGTGGGAAGTGCAAAAGTGGCACTGCTGATGAGCTACAAGCACTTGTAGATGTGGTGACCAATCGTCGTCTATCGGAGATGGGCTGCTCTTTTCTCTGCTGCTAAGTTTGGACACTCAATTCACACTTCTATATATAGCCCTTCATCGACGACTCCCTGACGTCTCATTCGTCAAAGAAATGAGACGTCATGGGGGATATTCTGTGAGTTTTCGAGTGGAAAATGGCCCTTCCCATAAACCGATTCCACAACATGAGCTACTGGATCCATTTCTATCGCCAATATCGTACTTGTACAAGCACCCTAAACGGTGCCCTATTGTCCTTAACAAATTGTTGATCTTAAAAGTACTCATTCTTGAAATCCTACTTGAACAGTCAACTCTCGTTAGCTAATTAGTTGAACCTACTTGAAGGATCTTCAGTTGTCACCAACTCTCGATACATCCGAGCTACAAGTAGTAGTATAACTTTGCGTGATTGGCTCATTATTGATACTTTTAGCTACAAGTACGAGTACGAGTACGAGTACAGTATGTACTGGTCTCACATGGTCGACTGAGACAGGCGGGCTAGAAAGACATCCATTATACAGTAACACCCATATCTGACATTTGTATTACTCAATGGCTCGTATTCAATGTGACACAAGTCCGCAACTCCCTCCTGATTACTACGATATACGTCCATGGTCATATGTCAAAAATTAAATTACTACAGTCCTAAATAAATTACAAAAGCCGGGGTACCATGAATACTCGACTACGCTTAAAGAAGCTGAGCGGCAACACCGGCAGCAAGAACGAGAGCGATGGAGCCCTGGAGAGAACCGGCTCCGTTCTGGTTCTGAGAAGAAGTGGCGGAAGGAGAAGAAGAGGCGGCAGCAGAAGTGGCAGAGGCAGCCAGAGAAGAGGAGCCGTTGGAACCGGAGCCGGAAGCAGTGGCAGAGGCAGATCCAGAACCGTTGGAGCCAGATCCGGAGGCAGAAGAGCCGTTCGAGCCGGAAGAAGCGCCGTCAGAAGCAGAGCCGGAAGCAGAGCCAGTGGCAGAGCCGGAAGCAGAGCCAGTGGCAGAGGCGGATCCAGAAGCATCGCCCGTAGAAGAGGCATCAGAATCCTGAGTTGCCGAGCCAGAAGCCGAGCCGGAGGCGTCAGAACCAGATGCAGAAGCGGAGCTGGAAGCATCAGCAGCAGAGGTGGCGGAAGCAGAACCGGACTCGGAGCCAGTAGCAGAGCCAGTAGCGGAGCCAGAGTTGGAGCCAGTAGCGGAGCCAGAGCCGGAGGCGGAGCCAGAGGCAGCAGAGCCTGAAGCAGATCCAGTGGTGGAAGCAAAGACACCGGCAGTCTTGGTGTTGACCTCGTCGGACCAGGTGTAGGCAGAAGCGGCAGCCTCGGTTCCTCCAGACTCGGAGGCGACCAGACCGTGGGCGTTGGGGTTCTGGATCTGGTTCTGCAGCGACTCGTCTCGGTCGGTGATGGTGAAGTTGGGGGAGTAGTTGACGTTGTCGCCGTTGAAGGTGGTGATCTCGATGGAGTAGTCGGAGCCGGCCTCAAGGTCGTAGGGGACGGGCCAGGTGAACTTTCCGTCGTTGGCCTGTCCGGGAGCGATATCAAGAACCTTCTGTCCGTCCTTCACCAGAGACAGGGTGATGGCCTGGATGGCGGGGTCGGCCACCCAGGTGATGTAGAAGTTCTCACCGGGAGAAATCTTGGTGTTGGCACCGGGAGACGAGATGGGGTTCTGGCCATCGGCCTTCTTGTTGTCCTGGGCAGCGGCCAGAGCGGCGAGAGAAACGAGGGCGATTCGGGCGAACTTCATGGTTTGATTTTGTCTTGGGTCTTCTTCTTTTTGGGGGGGGTGAAAGAGTACTACAAAGGTGTCTGAGAGCTGCAAGCTGGGATGGCCGCCTTATTATATACTCGGCATAGTGGGGGGGGCACCACAAGTCGTGGCCCATTACCTGGTGCTCGTGCATATTGCATAATTAGACATGCATGCGGGGAAGCGTTGTGTGAGGTGAGAAAAAAGAGTTGATGGAGAAGGTAATCTGGAAGTTTGAGGGCGTAGAGGGCGCTATTTCGGGCGCGGGTTTCGGCTCCTCGGCGAGTTGGACCGATTGAGGCCGATCCCATGGTATTTTCCCCGGTTCCCAAGCCGCAAACACCCCTTTTATTGCACTGTACACATGGCAGTGGGCCCCCTAATTAGTCGGTCACAAATAGCGACCTGATACATGCATGTAGCCTAATTTGGCAACTGAAAATCATGCTTGGTCACGAACCAACGCTAGGAGAAGGATATGGAGCAGTTCCGGGGCGTGTTTGGGGCCGTCCGGTACCACTGAGAGCGGCGCGTAATCGCCTGGAAATCTCACATACACGTTAATCTCGTAATATCGCCACAAACGTGTGTCGCTCGGCTCTTGGCGCGTGGCTGGGTGCTCGGCGTCTAAAAATAGAGCTGCAGTTAGCGAGCAGGTCTTGGAAAAGTCTAAATTTTAATAATGCGTCCGATGTTAATTGATTTCTGAAAATGCACGTTGGCGGACCCGAGCCAGGAATAGAATGACGTGGGCTGTGGTGGATTTTGGAGATGGAGTTGTTGGGCGGCCACAGCAGCAGCAGATACCGCATCTGTCGGGTCTGTCGCTGCGATGACCCACCTGCGTCAGTCAGGCTGTCAACTGACCCGACCCTGCGGGAGGCTGAGGCGGGTATCTTCTCTGTCTGAGGGCAGTTATAGCCAGACAGGGTAGGTTGAAAGCAGATTGAGCAAGTCCAAAAATAGTGCTGTGCACGCCCTCTGCTCTTACGGTACGGTGGGAGAGAGTTTTGCTTATTTCGAGGCCGTGGTTAAAAATGGTTGTCTGAAGGGTGATATGGTGGGCTGAGTTTGATTTCTCGTTTTGAATCTGGTACGAAATAGTCACGGAACTCAGATCCGGCCCTCTGCGAAGGTCTGAGTCTGGTTGGAGAGCAATTGCGACCTGAAACGCCAATTGGGGGGGGTCCACACACGACCGGCGCCATTTGTATCAGTCTTGGACCTTGGGACACTGTTAAGTCCGGCTCCAGTACAGTCTGTACTAGTGCTGGTAGTCTATAGGCCGTATAACGTGGACAGCAACTAGCTGTTTGGAGGTCCAACATATCTCTGGAGTCTGTGGCCAGCTGCAGGATGCCGTGTGCGACATGTGACTTGACGAATTCGGGCTCTTTGCGTCGAATCTGGAGTGTATTGAACGATACTGCTGTAAGCGGATACTGGTACCGTATGTACCGTTCTCGTACCAGTTCAAAGTGGGGAGAAAGACCCTAAACGAGTCCAACCCCAACCCATTCCACCATTGTCGCTGACGATGGTCAAGTCCCGCGATTTGGCCGACGAAGCCTTGCTCCACAGAGCCGATGCTATAACCCCCTATTTGCCTAACCTCCTTTCCGGTTCCGTCATTAGCGCCGTGGAAGCTAATCATTCACAATCCCATTGTTGTACAGTGTGTATGCACCATCTGACTGCCGATACAGGGCAATTAATTGGCTAGCGGCAATGGTGCGAAAAACTCGGAAAAAAACAAAGAAGAAAATAGAAAATCTACCATTGTGGGTAAGTAAAAGCAGTAGTTTCTACAGTGCAAATATCGACTGTATTGAGCGTTTGAGAACAGGTTTGAAGTGTGCACTTTTTTGTACAGTAGGTACTTGCACCAGAAATCTGTAGCTTATCAGATCATGAATCTCTTTCATACATCTCACTCACTCAACAGATTGAGCAGCTACAGTGTGTGCCGAGTAGCCATTGGTCCATGCTGTCGGTGTCGGTGCTACTTGTTTCGGAGTGTTTTTTTATATATATATTTACGCCCTTCGCCCCCCTCACGCCCAGATAATACCATTGTTGTGAGCTCGGGTAGCACAGTGAGTATTTTTCCACCGTATCCTAGCAACAGACTGTAATAGGCCCCATGATATCTTGTTTACAGGCCACTCTGTCTCCACCACCTCTCAACCACTCTTCTACACTTGCTCAACACTCACCTGGACACTACTTGTACCTAAGTAGCTAACACACACACACACCAACGATACACGTGATCTTCTAGTTGAAGCTACAAGTAGTGCGCCTTATCGTGACCTTGTGTTTGTGTCTCCTCCCCGCACTCTGGACACCTTACACGGGCCACAGACTCATATCATAGTCTTCTGATACCTAACCACACAAACTGCACCATACCCTTCGGAACCGCATCATTTCCGACACCCTTCGCTGATACCACCTAGATACCATTCGGATACCCCCCGGATACTACACAGATACCACCCGATACCACATAACACACACAACCCAATCAAACACCAACGTTGGTAGCCCTGTGCCCAATGGCACCTCTAAAAATCTTCAAGGCTGGGGAAGGACCCGCCAAACGAGGGCTTGTGTCGTGCTCTTATTACTCCACAGGAGATGTCATTTGCTCGTTTGAACCTGCCGTCAACGTCCCTCTCTCCGGACGACTTCTGGTAGGTGGAGACGCAGACGGAACTATCGAGGTGGAGCAGGAGGCACGTCTCGACCCCACTACAGGCGTTTGTGCCTTTTGTCTTGAAACATACCCCGCCAGAAACATCACCATTTGTCAGGACTGCAAGCTCATGTCCTATTGCTCGCAGAGGTGTCTCGAAGCGGACACCTTGCATTCTCCCGAATGTACAGATCTCTGTGGGCCCCAAAAACTGATCATGTCCGGATTCCTACGTGCTCTGTACCGGATTTTATGCATGGCAGAGCAGCCCCGTCCTCGCAACACTTACGCCCAGCTCACCCACCACACCACCGATACCTCCTGGCCTGCCATGGATACCCTTCGAATGGCAGCTGAAGCTCTGGTCTCCAGAAACGCCTCTCGCGGTCACCCGCTTGAACAGATTCTTGAGTACGCAGGTATGCTCTTCGTCAACCAATACACTCGATGTGACGATCTAGGGCGACAGGGAGGGTACATCTTCGATCCTACTCTTGCTCTGATCAACCACAGCTGTGTTCCCAACGCGTACTTGCTCTTTAGAGGCAGAAAGGTACATCTCGTGTGCTGGAAACCTATTAACGACGGCGACGAAGTGTTCCTATCGTACACCCGGTTCATGCACCCTACCCCGGAACGGCGTACTCTGTTGTATATGCATTTCCGCTTCTGGTGCGAGTGCCCAGGTTGTGTGTCGCAGGAGCTGGAGTACCCTTACAGTCACGTCGTGTGCACCCAGTGCGGGACTGGAGTCAACAGAGATCCGTTCACATTGCTGAATCCTCCTACTTTGGATCAATGTCTCAGGCACCTGATGGATGGTGTCACCGAGGCCATTTCTGTGCGGAACTCCGTCGATCTCTTGCCTTCGGCACGTTTGCTTGTCTGCGAATGTGAGAACAAGGTGTCTGGAGACGTCATCCAGGCCATGTTGACATTGATGACCCATTCGGTGGAGTATTTTGATAACGCCAACTTCAAAAAGGTCCTGGGCATGGTTCTTGCTCACGTTTGCACTCTTGAGGGTAATGCTAAGACGGAAAAGTGTCTGACAGTTGTCGAAGAAGTGACCCAATCCAAGTTGCTTACCATGCAACTATGTCTTCGATTGATGGTTCAGGCACAAGTTCTACCTATTGATTCTCATATCATGACCTTTTTGGTGACGCTGAGAAACCTACATCAACTTCAAGACGAAGCAGAGATCCCCGATTGGGAGCGACTGCCTCACTTGAAGTCCACCATTGCCGTAGCACTATTGGAGGCGTTGGTGGAGTTGCGGTACTGCAGAGTTCAGATGTCGTCATACAACCCCGTTGTTTCCATCAGCCTTTTTATGCTCGGCAACTACCTGCGAATTCTTGCCGGTGATATTGCTGAGTCCAGGGAGAACGACTTCCTTTCGGACGACGATTTGGAGTCCATTGTGAATCTCGCCTACGCCTTTTTTTCGTCTGCTCACGAGAATCTCAGCTTCACACATCCTGCAAGCCCCTACGTTGAGCAGACCATGATCTGTGGCGATCTTGTGAGAAAGGACCATGACAATTTGGAGCTTGACGCGAATCTCGTGGTCAGTAAGCATGGTCTTGACCACGACATGTCTGTTCTGTGCGGCTTCCTCTACGAATATCTTGCTCATGACGGGCTTCTTGCTGACGGATCTTTCCCCCAGTCCATCCATATTTTGGATGTGAGTCCTGAGGTGGAAATGATCAAGGGCAAACTGGAGTTTTGGTACCGCCCCATGTCTTCTCCTCCTGTTACTGTGTGATTAAAGCACATGAAGATGAAAGATATACATAGATATATAATAAAATACATAAGCTGGTTAGTAGACTAAACATCATTGAGGGCGACCGAAAGTGCGCCCTTGTGGTGGCCACTGTATTGTCTGATGATTTGCCCAGATGCCAATTCCCACAGCCGCACGTAATGGTCTGAGCTTGCGGTGACAAGGTATGCCGAGTCAGCACTGAATGCGCAATCCCACACCCATCGCTGGTGTCCTGTGAGAGTAGTTTCCAACGAGAACCCATTTTTGATGGACCAGATTCGGGCCGTGTTATCTGCGGAGCAGGTGGCCAGGTGCTTGACGTCTGGAGATAGCAGCACCTTGGTGATATACTTTGAGTGAGATCTGAATTTGGTAATGGGATGCAGAGAAGTCACGTCGCGGGTGTTGTGCATTTTCCACACGTAGCAGTTGCCCTTGTTATTTCCGGCCACCAACATTGATCCATCCGACGCCACAGACACTGATCGTACAGGCACGTCTTCTTCGGGGATCAGTTGGTGAGTGCATGTGTTTTCGCCGAGGTCCCAGATTCGAATGTTTCCCTCCTGGTCGCACGAGATGATTTCTCCTTGGTTGGGGTGGATCACCACATCGTTAACGGGGCATCTATGCTTGTAGTTTCTCTGGACTGTGGCGGTCCGCATATCCCAGACCTTGACTGTTCCATCTTCCGACGAAGTGACCATCCATTTGCCATCGTACTGGAATGCCAATGCCGTCACGTTGCCTGTGTGTCCCTCAAAGGTCATGACCGCCTTGGGGTTGTTACTTCGAATGTCGTACAGCCGCACTGTGTTGCCTCCTGCTGCTGCCAGATACCTCTTGTCTGGCGTGATTGCCAGTCTGTTGACCTGCGAATCAGGATGCTGGATGGTTCGCGAGCAGATTCCACTCAATGCCTCCCAGAACTTGATGGTGTTATCGTAACTCGACGAGCACAAAATCACAGACATGTCCGACTCGGCTGCCGCGGCCTGCTGCTGGGGTTGGACCTGGCCCTGGGGCTGCGCCGGTGGCTGCTGAGGCTGCGCGGATGCTTGATTTGTTTCCGAACCCATGGATTCAACCTGTTTCGTGCTGCTCGAGATATCACGGACTAAACGGCATATTGGGAGCGGCGAGATTAAGCTATGGTCACGTGAGGTGGACCTCTCTCTTCCCCCCCCCAGAAATCAGCCAAATCAGGACTACCCTAACCCTGATGAAAAATATGGAAATTCGAAGGTACTCATTTGAGATCGTCAATTGAGGAAAATTGGGTCTGTTTAGCGGCCAGAGCGACCCATTGGCTGAGTTTGCGGGTTTTTCCGTGGATTTTTTTCGTCTTTTTTTTTTTGCCTTGCGCGGTTCATGTATTAATATTGCCCTGCCTGACACACACGCCTGCAAGTACAGTAGCTACGCTACGTACACTTTAACACCGAGAGGAGGAGGTATGGGTGGCGAGGGGAACGCTCAATTGGTAAGAATTTCTCTCTACGTGCGCGCGCTCCGACATCCTGTCTGTCACGTGACTTTTCCCTCTTTTTTCTGTAGCTATTCTATTGCGCTAAGTATATATATATCACACTCACAGCCAAACTGCCGCCTTGGAATTTAGCTCTGTCGTGGTCCCAATTGCCAACCTTATCGCGGCGAAGACGCTGGAAGGTTCACAACCAATCTCGAAGGCTCCAGAAGAGTCGAGTGCGAATAGGCTCTGAGCAATACTTAAGGCGGGTGGTCAGCACTTTTTTTGCGGGCTCTTGTAACGCACGACATAGGTTACTACACCCATACATTTTCACAAGCGATACTATGGTGAAAGAAACAAAGCTCTACGACGACCTCGGGGTGTCTTCTGGCGCCAGCGAGGCGGACATCAAAAAGGCGTACCGAAAGGCTGCTCTCAAGTACCATCCTGACAAGCCCGGAGGAAATGAGGAGAAGTTCAAGCAGATTTCCGAGGCGTACGACATTCTGTCAGACAAGGAGAAGCGAGAGCTCTACGACCAGTATGGTTTAGAGGCTGCTCGAAAAGGAGGAGTTCCCATGCCCGAACCCGGCCAAGGAGGCGGGTTTCCGGGCGGAGGCGGGTTTCCCGGCGGCGCCGGAGGTTTCCCCGGAGGTGGCTTCTCTAGTGGAGGAGGCGGTGGTGGCCCTCAGACTTTCCACTTCTCTTCTGGTGGCGGTGGTCCGGGTGGCTTCGGTGGTTTCTCGTCTGGCGACGCCTTCAACATCTTCAACTCATTCGGACAGCAGGGCGGATTCGACGACGAGGGAGACGACTACGGAGGATTCGCCAACCTCTTTGGCGGACGTGCTGGCCGCCGTGCAGGAGGCATGGGTGGCGGCATGGGCGGTATGGGAGGCATGCCGCGCCAGAGGGCCCGATCGCCCGAGCGAACACAGGTGACAGTCAAGATGCCCGTGTCTTTGGAGGACCTGTGCACCGGTGCCACCAAGAAAATGAAGATCACCCGAAAGGGCCCCAGTGGCCAGCCCGAAGAGAAGGTGCTGACCGTCAACATCAAGCCCGGCTGGAAGGCAGGCACCAAGCTCACCTTTGCTGGCGAGGGAGACTCTCAGCCCAACGGTGGCCAGCAGGATGTGGTGTTTGTCATTGAGCAGAAGCCCAACCCCGTGTTTACTCGAGACGGTGATGATCTCAAAATGTCCATCAAGCTGTCTCTCAAGGAGGCTCTGTGTGGATTCACCAAGATCATTGAGACCCTGGAGGGCAAGAAGCTCAAGATTGAGCAGCGTCTGCCCATCAACCCCGGCCACATTATCACCTACCCCAACTATGGTATGCCCATTTCCAAGAAGCCTGGTGAGCGTGGTCAGTTGATCATCACCATCAAGGTGGACTTCCCCAGCTCGTTGACCGACGCCCAGCGAAAGGCCATTGAGGACAACTTTTAATAGACTAACTTATTGTACATAGAGTGCAAGAGCATTCACATGTAAGAATTAATAAATGATAGCATGATCATGGAGACAATTGTACGTGTGCATGAACAACTCATTACTGCAGCCTTAGTGCAACTCTAAGGATGATTTAGTTGGTGAGGTTTGGCGGGTGTAAAGAGGACATGGAGGTGTTTATAGGGATCAGGGGGAGGTTTGGAGGGTAGGAAAACATGTAGAATGTCTTTTAACGTCCAATTGAGCTGATGGGACTTCTGAGCGCCTTCATTTGGGGCTTCTGACGGCTCTGCTGAAGAAGTTGGTATTGTGCTGTCGACGACATTTTGAAGGCTTTTTAGCATAATTAGCAAACTAAATGTGCAATCGACGTGGGCAGATAAGCGGTGACGTTTGGAGGGCATTTTTCATGTACATGTACAATCACGTCGACGGCCCGTCAAGTGTTCAGAGGGATTATCGTCTTGTACGAGGCATGTGGGTTCTGGATGTGGGTTCTGGAACATTCTAGAATCTGTCGAGTTGAACGAATCTGTCGAGTTCAGCGAATCTGTCGAGTTCAACAGAAGAGCATTGTGACACAACTTCTTGCAAGCTGATGTGTGATTTGACGACGAGTGGCTGTTTGCATTGGTGTACTAGGGATGTTTGTACATTGTGCTTTACGGTACGAGTACGAGTAGTGTAGTTATGAGAACTTTTTTCATCGACTTTACATCTCCTACAGAACTGAGGTCAAGAAGATGGGTTGGTTAGAGTGGGAAATAGAGGTTCATCTTCAGGTGGTGGTCGTGGACGCATCTTCAGGTCGTAGAGACATCTTAACATCACGAAGATACAGTAGTTATTGCTGGTACGCACCTGTACCGATACTAGAACCCTGTGCTCTGAGCTCGTCCAAGTGGGCTGTGAACATGCCTCCGGAGAGGGAGCTTGGGTGACAATTACTGTTACAGCCGAGCCAGTTGACCAAGTAGCCTCCGTACTTACCAACGTTGTCTCGTTTGATCAGGGAGGCGACGCAGGTGTTGCGAATCCATCGGGTCTGCTCCTCGAGCGACAACGCTGGTCGGAAGCCATGTCGCCACAGCGCTTGAAGTTTTTCACATGGCTGAAGTTCTTCAGGCTGACGGTCAAGGGAAATGCCACGCTCATCCAGAGCTTGGGGCCACTCGGGGTCGATATCCGGGTAGCCCGATAGATGGTCAATCTGAGTACGTAAGTTGGATGGAACGAAGAAGCCTTTGACCAGCTTCTTGGCCCAGGTTGGTTGGCCATAACTTCTCTGTTGTTTACACTGCCATGCTCTCCGTGAAACCGCCTTCTGTTAACAGTTGGGTATTCAATCAGACGGTATTCAAGGGGTGTCACATTATCAACTGTACGCATACTCGCAGTCAACTTTCTCAACATGATTTTTTCGTCCACATACCACCTCTTGTCTCTGTAGGCCTCATACCGCGTGATGAGCCTAGCTTCAATACAGAACCAGAATCCATACAAATCTTAGCCATCTTCTACTGCCACTCTTCTTTAGTATTCACACTGACAATCTACCCTTCCACTCTTCAGTCCAAGCCACTTTGCACCTTTTTGTCGGAACCAAATAATAACATAATTTACATGCAGACACTAATCCTTGCTCTTCTTCTTCTTCTTCTTCTTCTCGCCCTCGTCGTCGGAGTCCTCGGCCTTTCGCTTCTTCTCCTTCTTCTCCTTCTTTTCCTTCTTTTCCTTCTTGTCCTTCTTGTCCTTCTTTTCCTTCTTCTTCTCCTTCTTGTCCTCCTCCTCATCGTCAGAGTCGGCGGCCATGGAGACATCAGCCTCGACCTCCTTCTTGGGGGCCTCGACAGCAATGGTCTCGGTCACAGAAGCGACAACGGGCTTGGTGACGGGCTCGTCCTCAGTGTGGTCCACGTAGCTCTTCTTCCAATCGGCAGGAGTGCTCTCGTTGGGTCGACCGTACTTGTCGAGCTTACCGTCGGCCTTGAGCTTCTTCTTCTCGGTAGCAACGGGTCCCAATCCCCATCGTCGGGGGTAGGTGTCTCGCTCCATGATGCATCGCTTGATTCGAGACACGACACCGTGGTCGCAGGAAGCAAGGTCGACGGTGGTCATCTGGGCAATACCAAGAGCAATGGCCTCACCCTTGGTGGTGATGAGCACAATCTCGTCCTCCAGCTCAATGCCCTCCTCGTATCGGAGAACACCGGGAAGCATGAGCTTGGCGCCGTAACAGATGGAGTTGACGGCGGAGTCCTTGACTACAATTCGCTTGTAGCCGAGCAGCAGAGACTCAAGGGGTCGGATGCATCGTCGCAGGTACGACTCGTCCTTGGTGTTGTCGTAGAGCCACTGGGCATCGAGAATGTCGTGCAAGGTGACCATTCCGTCGGACTCGTCGAGAGCACCGGATCGCACTCGTCGCAGCTCCTGCATGTGGCCTCCAACACCGAGCAGCATACCCAGATGCACACACAGGGTTCGCATGTAGGTACCGGCCTCACAGGAGGCCCAGAAGACACCGAGGTGTCGGTCGTTGTCAAACTCAAGCAGCTTGGAGTCGTAGATGGTTCGGACTCGCAGCTGTCGCTTGACGGCGGAAATGAGAGGAGGTCGCTGGAACAGGGCTCCAGTGAGGTTCTCGAGGCCACGGGCCATCTCCTTCTCGTCCTCCAGAGCATCGTGGAGTCGCACGATACACACGTACTCCTTTCCGGCTCCCTGCTGGGACTTGACCAGACGGGTGGCTCGGTCGATGCACACAATCAGACATCCAGTAACCTTGGGATCCAGAGTACCAGAGTGACCGGTCTTCTCGCATCGCAGGATTCGCTTGATCCAGGCAACAACCTCATGGGAAGAGGGGTTGGAGGGCTTGTCGAGGTTGATGACACCGGAAGCAATGTACGACTTGAGGTCTCGCTTCAGAGGAGAACATCCGGTGGGGATGGGGGTGTAGTGACCGGACCGCACAAGCAGCTTGTCGTAGTTCTTGAGCAAAAGGGGCCACTCAGAGGTGTCGGCCGAGGGGCCAACATTCTCGGGCTTGATGAGATAGTCGGTTTGTTCCTGAACAACAGCAGACATGTCGATAGTGTTGCTAGGTCGATATGTAGGAGAAGCTCTCAATGTGAGTTTCAATTTTTTTTTCACTGCGCAGAATTTTTGTACTTTGGGTTTGGATTAGGGGAGCGGCCAGGATTGGGACGAGTCCTTCTGCATTAGGGTATGGGGTTAGGGTGGCGGTTAGGGTACCGGGGAGATATATTCTGGTCATTCACTTGACAAGGTGGTTTGTGGGTGTGTGACGTGGGTTTGGAGGTGTTTTGGCCGGTATTTTGATGCTCGATCTACGTTTATTGTACTTATATCGCCACAAATCAGTGACTGCGTTGCGTGAGCTAGATTGTAGGCATATAGGCAATTGGAGTGTCGTATGGAGTGTGACAACATAGACAGTACAAATACAGGTATATATAGGTACGTGGTCATGGCAGCATCTCCATGGCCCGGATGTTCAAACCCCGGTCACACTTTGCTGACACTCACTGAAAGGGCTCATGGCTGGGTTGCCCATCACTTCAAGACTGCTCTGAACTTAAGGTTCTAGGATGCGTCAAGATGGTGAATGGTGGGTGAAGGGGGAGTCAGTTCAGGTGCTCTTACGAGGTATTTATCGACGAAGGGTGAGTAAGGTCACGTATTATATCACCAGTTCGAGTTATATGCTCGTATCTCGATTATTAAGCGACTGAGGAGAGTGTTGTGGCATTTGGTAACTGGACAAGTTTGTGAGGATTCGTACTTACAGTAGAAGCGGTATGGGAGCTGAGAGGTGAATGGAAGGGGTCCAGAAGAGACCATTTTTGTATGACAATGGGGGGCGAAGAAGACATATATAGGAAGTATACGTGACCAACAACAACTAGCATACGAGATTTATATCACACCTTTGTCAAAAATGGCCGGTTTAGGTGTCTACTAGTCCATCCCGGGGAACAGGCAGTGATCACCAAAGATAAACGAGACAAAAAATAGTGAAAAAGATGCCGAAAGCAGCTAAATCGAAGCTCCTATGCGAGCCCATCAATTTGATATATTGAAAGTGCCATTTTTTTCATTTTCTTCTTCGTAACAATGCTTCATGGACTGACGAAGGAGTATGTACAGTATGTAGTGTACGAGAGGACATTCAGAGTCTGACTGGACATGGAGTCCAGTGACTATAATATAGCAGACAGATCTACACGGAGGAAAAAAAAGGGGATACAACGGAGACATGGAGATATCCCCAAGGACTAGCACTTCGCCATTGGCCATGTTACAGGTGATTTCTCAATGGGGTCTGATACAATACAAGATCATCAAAGTGAGAGGCATACATCTCCCTAATAGAAGTGTCTCGATACAACAGGAACGGGATCGGAACTAGTAGTCACACCATACCACAACCTACAAGACTGTACGTACAGCAGCTGAATGACTAATTGCTGTACTCCACAGTTGTCTTTCTCCACGTACATGCCATCATACATACACATGATGTCTCTCTCGGAACATGTCTTCTTGTATCCGGTCCAAGTCAGGATGACAGAAGTGAAATTTCACCCAAGAAAATACAGTGCTCGTACAAGTAGGCCATTATTATATACAGTGGGCTCGCGGCAAGACAAGACAAGGTATATTACTAAGCAAAAGGACTCGGTAGTGTGCGTATCCTACTCCTCGTACAGATTATTCATACGGTCGGACTCCGATCGCCTACTCCTACCCTTTCTACCTGCATTTGGTCCACCGCTCAACTGCATCTCCAGTGCCGTTCGTGCAACTAAATCTTAGAGTTTGATCCGGATACAAGTATCGGCTAACACCTCTCTTTCTCCACATCTCCTCTCTTCACACAATCATGACCGTCGACCAATACCCCGCCAAGGCCCACGCCCTCAAGGCCGCGAAACACCTCAAAGCTTCCGGAGCTTCCGACGACGCTCTGTGGTACATTGAAGCTGCCAAAACCACCCTGTGGCCCCATTCGGACCAGACCGTGCCTCTCAGACAGCACCGGTACTTTTACTATCTGACGGGCTACGAGGCCCCCGACGCCATTGTCACCTACTCCGCCAAGGACGACAAGATCACTCTTTACATTCCCGAGATTGACGACGAGGAGGTCATGTGGTCCGGCCTGCCGCTGTCTCCCGAACAGATCCGAGCCGTGTCTGACGTGGACGAAATCAAGTACATGAACCACCTGGAGAGCGACCTCAAGGGCAAGAAGCTCATCAGTGTCGAGACCTACGACAAGCGAGACGCTGTGACTATGTCTCAGCCTTTGCTGGACGCGCTGGACGAGGCTCGAGCCATTAAGGACTCACACGAGCTCGCTCTCATGCGACACGCCTCCGAGATCACCGACAACTCGCATCTAGCCGTCATGTCTGCTCTTCCCATTGAGAAGAACGAGGGCCATATCCATGCCGAGTTTATCTACCACTCCATCCGACAGGGCTCCAAGAACCAGTCCTACGATCCCATCTGTTGTGCTGGTACTTCTGCTGGCACCCTGCACTACGTCAAGAACGACCTGCCTCTCGACGACAAGCTGCTGGTGCTGATTGACGCTGGTGCCGAGTGGAAGAACTACGCCTCTGACGTGACTCGTTGCTTCCCCATCTCCGGAGAGTGGACCAAGGAGTGCCGAGACATCTACGAGGCTGTGCTGGACATCCAGAACCACTGCATTGAGAAGATCAAACCCGGCGTAAACTACGAGGATCTGCACCGAGACGCCCACAGAATTCTCATTCGACATCTGATGCGACTCGGTATCTTCACCAACGGAACGGAGGACGAGATCTTTGACTCCCGAGTCTCCTGCGGCTTCTTCCCCCACGGACTCGGCCACATGCTTGGTATGGACACCCACGACACCGCCGGCCGACCCAACTACGAGGACAAGGACCCCATGTACCGATACCTGCGTCTTCGACGAACCCTGGAGGAGAACATGGTGCTGACCGTCGAGCCCGGCTGCTACTTCAACAAGTACCTACTAGACCACTTCATCCAGCCCGAGCAGGAGAAGTTTCTGGACCGAGCCGTGCTGGACAAGTACTGGAAGGTTGGCGGAGTGCGAATCGAGGACGACATTCTCGTCACCAAGGACGGCTACGAGAACTTCACCAAGATGACCAAGGACCCCGAGGAGGTGGCCAAGATTGTCAAGGACGGCATCGCTAAGGGCCGAAAGCATTTCCACTGTGTTGTTTAGACCTCAATGGACCACCACCCCTGTTTATACAGGTGAAAAAAGAAAAAGACTTGATTGTAGAAGAACGTAGGGGATTTAGGGCTGCTCGGGAGAAGACAGGGAGGACACCAGAAAGCTCTTTACACTAGTTGTATTGAACCAGAAGGGGACACCTGAACACTCGGTCTCATTACAGTCGAGGGATGAAGAGCTTCTCTGTGAAATGGTGTGCCGTGTGGGGGAGGGAGCACTGAAATTCAAAGACTTTCTCGATTCAATGATCAATGATTATACAGAAGCTGAAGACTCCAGTTTACCTATTATTGGGAATCAATAGACTCATTCACTCCATTTGCTAGCGTCGAACTCGCAACAACAAGCACTTGCACTTGTAGTCTGGTCTGCTGGACCCTAAAAAGAGCGGAGGAACGTATGGTGGACAGTTGACTGAGTAATAATCGAGATAGAGCTCCAATTTGTATAGAATATAACGCCACTCGACTATCAATTGTATTGGAATGTTTCACCTACGTGATACCAACATTTTACGGTATCTACATACTTAGTACGATGCTTGTACCCGTAGTAACTAGCCTCTCAAGTTGAGTTTAGATAATGCAAGCCTTGCAACCTTATCTTTCAACTCGTGCTGTATGATACAAGTACCGATAGAATCCAGTGAGACAAACAGCTCATTCATATCCGCCATATCGCCTTCCTATTTCAAACGAGTAAACAGACGTGGTAGACGAGTTCGTAAAGTCGACTATCGCTCTAGTTCCGACTTCTAGGACTCTTTCTCTACGACCTAAGATATCAATATTTGTTACTCTAAATGCTTCTTTTCTCTTCCCAGCGGCCTGGGGTTAATGTGTCCACTGAAACTTAGCCCGCACTCACGCGACACCTAAGCCTCACTATCGATATGTCGCAAAGCCTCCTCTATAGAATTGTAGTAAACGGCGTTATCATCGGCCACCAGCTTACTGATACCAGACTTGTCCAACAGCTGTCGGATCTTGTGGTCGTTGGGCACTCGCGTAAAGTACACCTCCAGGCCTCGGTCCTTGTACCGGGACACAATCTCCATGAGAATCTGGGCCGCACTGACGTCGATTTCGGTCATTCCGTTGAGATCGAAAATGACAAACTGCGTCATGTCGTCGTCTCGGATTCGAGGGTGCGAGGGATGCACCTTCATGGAACCATACAGCTCCAGACGACCCAGTCGGGTTCGGAGATCTCCCGTGTTGGCGAAGGTAAGAGGCTCGGGGATCTTGACAATCAGACATCCGTGAATATCCTCGAGCTCAGAATGAGTACCATCTTCGTTGTCAAGACTAAGATCGGCGTTGAAGAAGTCGTTGGTGCCGGGCTTTCGAGCCAGAATTTGGATTCGGGGACGTGTGGCATGGTGGATCACTCGAACCACAGAGAGACCCACTCCGACAGCAATACCGGTCTCGACGGACCAGAAGATGGTCGTGGAGAGCGTGAGGAACAGAGTGAACAGCTCCTGGTAGCCTCCCACCTTCCAGTAGAATGCAATATCACCGGGAGCCTCTTCCAGGAGAGAAAGACCAACCACAGTAATGACAGCCGACAGCACACAAGAAGGCAGGTAGAAGAAGTAGGGCATCAGGTAGGCTGTACACAGCATGGTGATGATGGCCAGGACGGCAGACGACATCTGGGTCGTGGCTCCAGAAAGAGCATTGATCTTGGATCGACCGTAGCCTCCAAAGGCAGGAAGGGCGCAGAAGAGCGAGCCAAAGAAGTTGCACAGACCCAGAGCAACCAGTTCTCTGTTGGTGGAGACAGCGACGTCAAAGGTGGTACCCAGCGACTTTGCAGCAATGGTAGACTCAAAGAATCCAAGCACGGCAAGAATGAAAGATGCCGAGAAGGTAGCCTTGAAGTCGGTCCAGGTGCTGGGGGTGAGAGGGAATCTCAGGTGGAGCTTTCCAGGTTTGACTTTGCCCAGAACAAGCACTCCTTCTCGGTCCCAGTCAAACACATCAGTCAGAACGGTGCAGACAACAACGACAATGAGAATCTCTGGCACGAAAAGCATCCAGGAGATCTTTTCTCGTAGCCTCTTCTTCAGACTTCGCAGGATCACCAGTACCACCAGGGCAGACAGACCGATGGCAGCAGTCAGTTTATGGGCCTGATGCCAGTGTGTGATGACGAACACGAGCTTGGAAAAGGTGGTTTCGTTGTTGGGCGACAGCTCGGCAAACAGACCGTTGAGCTTGAGTAGCCCAAGACTCTGGTCGATGCACATGACGATACCAACGGCCGAAATGAAGCCTCTCAGAAGCGCTCTGGAGAGCACGGAGTCGAGAAAACCGAATCGGACGAGGCCGGCAAACAGCAGAATGGCGCCTGTAGCTCCGGCAATGATTCCGTTGGCCTCAATGGGTTTGATGACGTTGTCACTGTCAGGGTGCAGGTAGGGTTTGAGGGCATGGCCCACGACCAGAGAGATGGCGGCTTCAGGACCCACAATCATCTGGGGCACAGATCCAAATATCGCGTACACTAGCGGCGGGATTACTAGTCCGTAGAGACCTGCAACAGCCGGAAGGTGGGCCAGGGAAGTGGCGTAGGACATTGACAGTGGGATCTGGAAAGAAGCCAATGACACACCGGCACAAAAGTCGCCCCAGAACTTGGTCGCAGTGTAATGGGGGATCCACTCCATGGCGGGGATGTAGTAAGCCCAGTAGGACTTCATTTTGGGCCGTAGGGCCTTTGGAGTTGGTGGAGGAACCAGTCTGTGGTGATCATCGTCATTGCTAGAAGAGGACGAGGGCTTGACCGAATTGTTGGAGATGTGTCTGATGAGGTTGGGTCGGAGAGTCGGGGTTCCTGGCCGGGGAGGCGTTCCGGGCTCGGAAATGGTGACTTTGTGTAACAACGGCGTATTCTCACCCGTCATGTTGCTAGCTGTGGATGAGATGATGTGGGGGGAGCTAGTGTGTTAGGGGGATGGAGTGGAGTGGAGTGGTTTTGGGGCTTGCTTTGTGGTCACGTGATCGAGGGGCTCGTCTGTGTGTAAGGGAGAACAAGGAGGATCGAAAAAAAGAACACCCGACTTTTTGTTTCTCGCCTAGCTGCTGCAATTGTCAGGTTCTTTAGGAGGGTTATGAAGGAACGTGTCGCCTATGCTGCACGACACTGTACGACTCCAGGCTCTAGGTTTGATAGCAAGACCTATTGAGTTTGGGTGCGTAGGGGGTGGTAGTGGCGGGGATAGGAGAGGCAGGAGGGAGTGGTGCGTTTGTCGAGTCTGATCCGACTTGTATGGTAAGGTGCCCATATCATCAATGGCCACAACCACCATCACATTCTGTTGTAGTTTCATAACCAGATGGCCATTTAGTCTGCTGTATGCACCACTAAACCTCGCTGACTCTCTTACCGTGGGTACCACTCTTTCTTGAAAAAAGACCCTATTAATGGTGATAGTTTCCGGTCAGAGTCTAAAAAGAGAGTATTTTTATCCCCCGAGACCTACTTGTAGTGCACAAGTGCACCTGATTGAGCAGCACAGTCACGGACAAGTTTGACTGCTGCACAGATAAAGCACCAAAGCACACGTGTGGCCTATAGGAGGGGGCGTTTTGGTAAGCTCTCGACTAGTCACCTAGATTTCGTAAGCCGGAGTCTGAACGTTGTTTGTTGCATTTTTTCGTTTTCTCGCCGCCATTTTTCACCATTTTTCGCCATTTTTCGCTATTTTTCGCCGCCATTTTTCATTTTCTTTCATCGTCCTCGATCGAAGACAAAGATGTACACGAAGATCTGTCCAATAAAGTTGGCAGGCAGGACAAAGACAGAGTTTGTGTGGAGGAGATGGGCGTGAAGAAAGAGAAAGAGAGAGAGAGAGAGAGAGAGAGTAGCGGGGAAAAGGGATGGATATAAATAGATGGCCAGTGTCATGACACATGTGATGTCATACGGAAACGACAATAGATACGATACGACGAGATACGGAATACTGCTCTAGTGGCACACACACGACACCATCTATCGTCGTATTCCAGACTGAACGTGGCTTGGATCAAACAAGGTAAAAAGCACTGTTACCGAAAGCAACGTATTAGTAAGGATATAATATACAACTGCTGGGTTCCAAGATACCTTGGAGGTTCAATTGGGGCGGTACAATGGGTAGGCGTCGGTAAGAGTACGAGTTCTGCTCGTAATACTCTGGCAGTGTGTTGTTGTAGAGTTGTGGAAGAATGTTTCGCTCGTGTTACTGTGTGTACAGATCCAGTATGTACCAGTTCAGTATGTACAATGAAAGGTAGCAAATGACGGTGGTCTGAGTGCTCTTGAACCTCAATGACGTCACGTCATGTGACAATACTTGTATATGAAGACGACATCGATGTCACGGTATCATGCTCGCACCTTTACCATGGCTGGGATAATCTCATGTTCTTCAGTATGCATCGATACCCCTTAATTTTTACGATATCTGTTCATTAAACATTGTGGACATTCAGGGACACACCGCCAGATGGCCGAGCCTGAAAAGATGAAGTTGGAATCAGAAGTAATCACAAGAATCAGAAGTGATTGTAGCTGATATAGTTGCAATTGCATTGTGCAAAGACCACTTGTGTCAGTGTGCTGTACCAGGCATTGCTTACTTGGATTCCATCCGATGTTGTAATGCCAATGGCAGCTACGTATCGTACACTACTTGTAGATGCCCCACAAGCTATCATATGCTCCTTGGAGGTCAGTTTATAATGCTCCACTACAGTCAATCAATAGGCAAAGATGCTACACAAGGCTGTGTCAGGATCTGGATGATAGCGTAGCTTCAGTGTGCTAGTATCGTAGATATCACGGAACGCAGCTTACATCACCATATGCAGACATTGGCTTATCAGGCATTCTATTCGCTCAAGATTCTTTTTCATACAAACATAAATCGTTATTCATTCACTTCTACCGTTCATCATTCATGATCTAGTCATGCATCACTTCAATGACTCTTGTTCCTAAGCCTTGACCTTCTCGGTGAGCTCGGGGACAGCGTCAAAGAGATCGGCAACAAGACCAACGTCCGCAACCTCAAAAATGGGGGCGTCGGCGTCCTTGTTGATGGCGGCAATGACCTTGGAGTCCTTCATTCCAGCAAGATGCTGGATGGCGCCGGAAATACCGACGGCAATGTAAAGCTCGGGAGCAACAACCTTTCCGGTCTGGCCAACCTGGAGAGAGTTGTCAGCAAAACCAGAGTCAACGGCGGCTCGAGAAGCACCAACAGCAGCTCCAAGGGCGTCAGCAAGAGGGAACATGATCTTGTCAAAGTTCTCCTTGTTCTTGAGACCTCGGCCACCAGACACAACCTTCTTGGCACCTCCAAGATCGGGTCGCTCAGACTTGGTGAGCTCCTCGGACAGCCATTCGGACTGGGGCTCCGAAGCGGGGTCCTTGGCGTCAGAGACACTGGCAGAGCCGCCCTCGAGCTCGACAGCGGGGAAGGCGGAGGCTCGCACGGTCAGCAACTTGATGGGGTCCTTGGACTTGACGGTCTCAATGGCGTTGCCAGCGTAGATGGGTCGCACAAAGGTGTCCTCGGACTCAATCTTGGTGATGTCGGAGATCTGGGTGGCGTCGAGCAGAGCGGAGACTCGGGGGAGCACGTTCTTGCCAAAGGCGGAGGACGGGGCCACGACGTGGGTGAAGCCACCCTCCTTGGTGGCAGCAGCGACCAGATCGGCGTAGTTCTCGGGCAGACCGTGGTCGTAGGCGGGGGATGAGGCGGTGAGCACGGCGGCAATTCCCTTGATCTTGGCAACCTGAGCGGCCACGTCGGCAGCCTTGGAGCCGGCCACCAGAGCGGTCACGTCGCCTCCCAGCTCCTTGGCGGCAGTCAGGGCGTTGAGGGTAGATCCGGCAATGGTGCCATTGCTCTGCTCAATGAGAGCCAGTGTGCTGAGAGACTGTCGGGCGGAGACAAAGCCCCGGGCAATGTGGGTTCGAACCTGGTTTCGCAGAGCAAACATTGTGTGTGTGATGGGGATGGGGAGAAGGAAGTGTGTATGTGGTGGTACAACGGGAATGTATGAGGTGGTGGGACCTTGAGCTTTTTAGAGTAAACTAAAGTTTCTCCACATTGCTCCAGGCCAGTCGGGACAAAGTCGGGGAGGTGGATGGCTGGGGTTAGGGCACGAGATGGGAAACAACGACCGGGATGACTCGGTTATTGGAGGAGAGCAGCCCGGAACAACGTGTTTTTCGGAGATACGGTATATTTTTGACGACATGAATCGAATCAGCCAAGTAGAATACTTCGATTTATGCTGCCACCACATCTCTCCCCTATCTCTGAATGTCTGGAAAACACACCTCTCTTAACCCGGGGCAAACTCGGCCGAGGCACAGTTCGGCGCATAAAACTCCCTGAATGGTGCAGAAAACGCACTCTCCAACTCTGTCACTTCCGATGACTCAGCGACATGCGACTGTGGGCAGCCTGTGCGGTCGGGCTTGTAGCTATTTGTTGGGGAGTCTGTTATAACTAGATACAGGTACCGGCAGTTGTTGTGGTGATGTAGAGGGGAAGACTATGTCCTCATACAATAGCTCAGTCTATAAACATCGTGTTACTCAACCTAGTCCTGGACATGAAAGGGGAGATGAGTGTAGATGTGGGCCAGAGGAATGACGGTGAGGTCTTGGTGTGGTTTCGTGATTTGGATCTTTTCTGTTTTTGCCATGTTTGGATCTGTTTTCGCTGTTTATCTTGATTTTCGCTGTTGCCAAAAACGAGATTCCACCATGTACTCATACATACTGTACATACAAGAGAACATCCCAGCCCCAATCGATGCAATCAAAGTGATATCTTCTGGGTAATTTCAGTATCCATGACACAATGAATGAGAGACACAGTGAGGACAAACGATCAAACACAGCAGACGGAAACATTCAAACGAGGGACACGAACAACAGTAGCCGACTGCTGGTGGCTCGTCACCGAGGAAGAACACAGCATCTGCGACTTCTTATCAGTCCAGATCTGCGGTTTCCGCCCGGAATCCTGCTCCAAACAACCTTCTCTTTTTCTCGGGCATCTGGCAACTCATTGGACCACTCGGACTAGGTCAAACGAAACCATGCCGTTGTAAAGGTGTATGTGCACTCGGCTCTCGGTGGATACTCCAGAATGTGTATTCTGAAGTACATTCTGATTCGAGTGTTGACTAAACAGTCGTCAAGATCTTATCTTTGACCGGATGGGGGCGATTTTCCAGGCACCATTCGGCCCACACTCAACTGGATGGATTCGGGTGTTGTTGTAGGCAGCGTGCACATATTGTTGGGTTTATCTTTTTCTGTTAGCGGGTTGCATTGGTGAACACGAGGAGCCGGTGAGCTGAGACACTTGTCATCCATACAATGGGAATCGGTTGACATTGTATTTCGGGCACGGCAGTGATTTTCGAACACCTGAAATGGACCCACATGAGGGCGGTGACTTCAAAGGCATGTATCAAGAGCATCATCAGTCAAAAGTCGATACTTTTTACCCTGTTCAGTGTCTGTTGACGTAGTGTATGGTTGATTCCACGTCCTTCGCCTATATTGTTCCAATTTACCAAAAGCGTGGGGACCGGCACAAATCCCGCGGGGTCTGCCGCAAAGAGCCCAAAAGTACTTGTATCTGATGCAAAGAAGTAGTAACTAGGACAAATACCCCGAATAGAAACGTTGGTGGATTTCTGATACTCTGTTCAGGTCTTTTCTTCACCGAAAACTGTTTTGACTTATACAGCTGAGACATGAGGATTGGGGGTGCTGTTGACAGGGCCAAACGGGGCGATTCCGAAGGCGAAAAAGCAACTGTTCGAATCCTTAATGAATTTCATGCCAAAACCAATTTTCCCACTTGCAATATCTCCAATATTGGTCCAGGTAGACCCTGTCATCGATCTCACTCGTGGTGCATATGTTCCTGCAGATTTGAGAATAGCCGACAGCCGAAGGTGTAATCGTGTATATAGAGTTTGTTCAAGTACTGTAGTTTCAGTACAGTGCTGGAATGGTATCTCACAGGGAACGGCATTCCAGAGGGAATGGCATTGTCATGGAACGGAGTCGGAGACTTTAGTCTAAGACAATGAAGTGTTTCTACACTCTCTGAAGATGAAGACTTTTCGGCTCCAGTTAGTTGCCCTACACGATAGTTGCATCTCCACTCAGACCGTTGGATAAACAGACAGTGTGTTTTGGTGTTTTTTCAAAAGTGGAATTGTAATCTGGTGGGCGGATCAGATGGAAGAGTCTGACGGAGGCAAGTCCCATGGACTTATCATCAGATTGAGAGGGTTTCTGGGCGGCAGGGTAGGTCGTTGAGGTACGTATTAAACGATATGATGGTAATCAGTGCTTCATAGGTGGAAACATACTGTAGAGTATGTACTGTACTTGTTCGTACTTCTACAGTACCTACAAGTACAAGTACAAGCTAACGATTGCGACCTCGGTATACTCTAGAAACAACCAATGCTACACAAGTAATCGACTTCTACTCCACATTGTAGGTTTGAGCCTACATGGTACATACAAGTATGTACATACCATTGAGCCCACTCCTACTTGTAGCAAGTCATTTTTGCCGATTTTCGATGATTTTTAGCCATTGTTAGTCTTTGTTAGCCCATTGTTAGCCCATTGTTAGCCAATATGTGCTGATCCGTGTCTACAAACGCACACTTGGTGTGAACTGTTCCTGACTAATACTTGCACAAGCACGCATGTACGGTACATAGTGGTACGAGAGTACTCCTCGAACGTATATCGTACATACTGTACACACTGTTTACCAAGTGCAATCAACGTTGCTCGTCTTTTACTTGTGGTTAATGTTCTGTTTTTTTTAACAGTAGCAACTGTAGTACCTTGCACTCGAACATTCACCACTACAATAGCTACCATCTCCCCTTGTCATTATATCTTGAGCTGCAAGCACTAGCACTTGTATCGTACACTACAAATATACCAACTCAACCACCACAAAGAATCAGAGTGGCTTAGTATCGTATCACCACCTGCTACATGCACATATCTCCAAGGAGCCCCAAAATGCCTCTTCCGTTGCTGTTGTACACATTCCACATACATGCCCTGTCTGCCCCAGTGAGCCCCAAAAATAGCCTGCTCAAGGTTCACTGGGGCCCCAAAAGTTCGGGTTCAGGTGACGTGAATGTGCATATGTGAGAAAATAAAGTGCTTTGTGCGTACCAGGGATAGGGTAGGTAGTGAAATCTGAGTTAGTACATCAACTCTAGACGATGGGCGTCGCCTGTGTAGAAGAACAATAACTCACCCGGTAACTAACACTATTTCTCGGTGGTCAATGCGTCAGAAGATATCAAGACGGTCCGTTTTGCGTTTAAGCCGAGTGAATGTTGCCTGCCGTTAGTAAATTTATTATGAAAAACCCCACTATGAATACATCAGCCTATACTGATATACCAAGAAGTGCAAGGGAGGTGGTCCTGTTCCACCTGAACGCGGTTCCCGACAGGCGGCGGTACTGAAGGGCTTTGTGAGAGAGGTAACGCCGATTCTCTCTGCAGTCGTAAGACCCAGGTGGTGTGTCCGAGGCAGTATCGCTTTCCCAACTCTAGTAACCTCGGTAGTGTGAGACACACTACCCCTAACGGTAGGACAGCCGGACGACGATGGCGCAGCAATTGGCGAACGCTGTTATAAAACAATTCACTTACGTGCAATGAAAGTTGTTTGGGCAATAAACAATAAATGTATTAGAGCCAGACGATAGACAACAATCCAGCAGATGATGAGCAGGAAAATTGAGTAAGATCGACGTGGCAAGAAGAGTTACAGTTACGCAGAGTTAATAAGGTGTTGGGAGATTAGAGTTACCCTGTCGGATGACTAACTCTCCAGAGCGAGTGTTACACCTGCCCAGGTCTAACGGGGTTTCGTCCCGAAGCCCTGGTTAGAAGAATCAAGAATAAAGGCCCTGAGCAAGGAAGGAGCCCTGAGCAAGCCCAGAATCAACACGAGCGAGCTTCGACCGAGAAGTAACTCTAGTCGACGCAGTGGTAGCTGCAGAACGGACGGAACGAGTAGCCACTGAAGCCGGGGGAAGAACATGTGGAGAACAGGCAGAAAAGCGGCCAGGAATGGCAGGGAGAGCAGACTCGCGGGACTGATGTTCCTTCATGCGGTCCTGGAACTCAACGATGGAAGCGGGGTGGAAAACCTTGAGGCGGTTGCGGTGGATACGCCGCGGGTTCTCACCGTCAACATCGTTGACAGTGTACGTGCTGGTCTCAGGGTGACACGCGGTCACGATGGAGGGACCAGTCCAACGAGGAGTCAGCTTGTTGTGGGGACGGAGGTCGTGAACAAAAACGAAATCATTTACGGCCAAGGGATCTGTATCAGCTGTGTTGTGATGTTTGTCGTAGAACGCCTTTTGACGCTGGCGTTGCAGGGTCAGGTGGTCACGAGCAGAGCCAACTTCGAAAGTAGAAGCAGCAAGTTGCAAGGTGCGCAGAAAAGCAGCATGAGCGGGGTCGTTGTGGGCCAGGTCGGTCTTGCCACTGAGGTAATTCCAGGTCAGGAAACGACTTTCGACAGGCAAGACACCAGAGACACCATACATCAGCTCAAAAGGTGACTTACCCGTGGATGAACGACGGGTGCACCGGTCAGCCCAGAGGGCGGTGTGGAGGTATAAGATCCACTGACGACCGTATTTGCGCAGGCAGTGGAGGAGGTTTTGGTGACCGCGTTCCACAATGCCAGTCGATTGACCATGAGCAGGAGTGGTGAAAACCTGCTTGATGTGGAAATCTTCGCAGAGATGCTTAAAATCACCCTTGAACTCACTACCACCGTCAGTGTAGACCCGACGGGGAACGCCAAAACGAGCAATGATGAAATCGTAGAAGAAAGCGGCTGTGGAGAGAGAGTTGATACTTCGTAAGGGCACCGCCTCAGGCCAGCCAGAGAATTCATCACGAGC